GCACGCAACTTGCGGATCCTTAGGAGACGTGCTTTGACGACCCTCTGTCCCGGCATACTGCTCTTGCATACTGTTCGGTCGAATCTACTTGAACTAGTCTGAGAGAGAGCGTGCCAGCGGGGACACGACGAGGTTGCAGTTGGGTAGCAGCGATCTCCTTATATATGTATGCGCGTAGGTGTCGGAGCCGGATTATGGCGTACCGAAAACTCGAATAGAAGCACCGTGACTGGGATTGGCAGCGGGCGATCGGAGTGTCGACGACGTGCATCGTTTCAATACTTCGGTTAGAACATCTTCGATGCTTCTTTGTTAGTTGACTTCCCGCCCGGTTCTAGGCAGAGGTAGGCAGCTGGCAGAACAGAAGCTGTCTGTATTCAGTTAATTGCAACTTGAAGCAAAGGTTCAAGTTGAGCGCAAACATCTTGAAAATGCATGGTGATGGAGAAGGGTATCACAGTATTTTCCGACTACGGTCGCTCTATTAATGTATATAGCGGATAGTACTAACACATGGCGGAGGAATGCGCGATATTGCGCAAGACAGATGTCGGCGCTAGTCCGACTCATTCCTGTCCACGAATGGGAATTCCCGACGGTGCATGTGACTCTGTCAACTTCAAGTGGCGTCGACTCGTCCTCGTCCTCGAGTCTCGACTCACGTCGCTCCCCCTCAGGTCTGGTCTGTGTCAAGTCTATGTATCAACTTCTCATCCCGCGTACGCGCTCTGGATACCTTATTAGCGCATGCAGGCGTCGCGTCGGACGAATCGTACGCTGTGACCATCATGGTGGTAGCTGACGTGTATCGCGCGTTCAAGACGGCACGTCACAGCAGAGTATTGATAGTGGCAGCACTGACGTGGCTACTCATTGCAGGACGCAAGGCCATCGAACCACGACTTGACTACACGTACACACGCGCGCGCGCTGCGTCGGTACATATAACATACCTAGTATGATGGATGGAGACCATTCCCCGCGCTGAAGCTTGCCAACATATCGTGTCGTTATCCCTACTCGACCATGTCTGTTCTTCGTCGAACAAGCCGCCGTCTGCCCATCGTAACGCGAGCTCGAAGGCGGGCCCGAACGCAACCACGGCGGCCATTCGGAGTCTCACTGGCCTTCAAGCTCCTCCTGTTGGTAGCATGCGCACTACTCTGTTCTCCCATGGCAAACGCGCGAACAGAGGCCGCGGATCCAACCACGCTATCCTATGGCGCCGTCATTGGCATAGGTCAGTCTTGCACAGATTCTCCGGAGGGAGACATAGCTTACACATCCGCCTCGCCGAAGATATCGGAGCAACGTGAGTGGCCAGTAACAATGGTGATCCTCTGCATTCGTCCTCACTCTGGTTCTTGCGCAGATACAGCCGTGTGGCGTGAGTATTAGCTCCCTCTCATTATGGCCGTACGAGCCTAACTCAACGCGCAGCGTACATCAGAACGGCAGCGTACAAGCCATCCCGAACTCTTTTGGCCAGCGAGCGACGCGCTCCCTCGTTCACTTCGTCGACGGGCTGCCACAGTACGCTTTATCCTCTGGTGCATGTGCTCTCACCGCGTCCGCACTCTGATGATGCACGTCGATCGTAGGGTATACGACCCGGTCGACACTCTCCACGACCACATCTCCGACTTCAATGTCCTTCTCGGGAGCAAGTACGACGACCCAGACGTGCAACGAGTCATCGGGCGCTGGCCGTTTCCGGGTTTGGAACGTGAGGGAAAGCCCGTCCTCCGGGTAGAGCAGAACGGGACGATGCATGAGTTTGTGAGTAGCGCTCCCGCCCATTAACCCACCGCTAATCTTCACACACATGTTGCTTGTTACAGACACCAGAATCCCTCACTGCGACAATGCTAGCCTCCATAAAAGCTAGCGCGGAGGCCTATCTCGGATCGAGCGTCACTGACGCCGTGCTGACTGTCCCTGCCTGTACGTCCCGTCCCTCCTCTCGTCCATCATTGCTTTTCACGCTTGCGCTACCAGACTACAACGACGCCCAGCGCCACGCCATCAGGTACGCCGCGTCCCTCGCGAACTTGTTCGTTCTCCGAGTGGTGGACGAGCCTGAAGCCGCCGCCATTGCCTACGGCCTCGACCAGAAGAGCGGGGAATCTGCTGCGCTTGTGGTCGACCTCGGCGGGGGGTCGTTGGACGTCACCCTGCTTAGCGTGGATGATGGTGTCTTCGAGATCCTAGCGATCTCGAGTAACTCGGATGTTGGGGGGCGGGAGTTCGACGAGCGGCTGGTTGGGTATTGGGTGCAGAAGCATGCGGCGATGTTGGGGAGGACGTGGTAGAGACGCGGCGAGGATGCAACACTCAGATGGACAGCCCAGCAGGCGAAGGAGGCGCTCTCAAGCACAGACAATACCTCCATCCGCATCGAGGTCTCGCAAGATGTTCCTCCGATCGAAGAAACGTTGACAAGGACCCAGTTCGAGGCGCTCAGTGGGATCTCTTCAATCGAACCGTCGAATACATCGACAGAGTGCTCCAAGAAGCAAACAGGACGAAGGATACTGTGATCGCGTATGTCCGCTAAGTTTTGGCCTCGTCCCAGTCCAGAGTCGTCACCTAATACTTGCTAGATCCTCCTGATCGGCGGCGCCTCCCGACCAGTACATCCGCCAGCTCGTCACATCGCACATGAACAAGGAACCGCTGGTCATCCCCGGAATGGAGCCCGACGAAGTGATCGTGTCTGGGGCGGCAGTTACAGCTGCCATCATCTCTGGAATTGGTTGGAGCGACAACTCATGCATATTGGCCATGTCCATTGCGCCTCTCTCTGTTGGCGTTGAGGCAGACGGCGGGCGCACAGTCCCGGTCGTGTCTCGGAACACTGTTCTGCCCACGAGGAGACGAAACCTGTCTGAATCCCACTCACGATCATCTGTGGGCTGATTTTCTGACATAAGCTCGGTCAGTTCTCGACAGCGCAGACAATCAAACGTCTGTCACGATCAAAGTGTACGAAGGAGATCACTTCCGCGCGGAGGACAACCGTCACCTGTTTCCTTCGAGCTCACAGACATCGCGTCCGCGTCGGCTGGCGTCCCGAAGATCGTGTTGACGCTCGACATGGACGAGGACGGCGTCTTACAGGTCACCGCGATGGATGAGGACAGGTGCGCTCGTTGAGTCGCCGCAGTCGCAATCTGAGTAGCGTGGACGCTGACTCAGATGTATCGCGCCAGCGGCCACTCGGCCTCTGTCTCAATCACAACGAGAAGAGTAGGCCGACGGATGATGAGATCCAGAGGATGGTTGAGGAGGCGGAGGAGGGATCTTGTTCGATCGATGTACGCCTTCATGCATTCATTTCTGTGGAAGCGCGGGTTGCGGACGTATCATGCGCGGATTTTAGCGACCTACACCAACCATCGCCGAGAAAACACCTCCATGCAGCGACTGCCTAGCCACACGACCAGTGGACGTACCTCCACAATCGTTGGATTCCCGGGCCCACCACATCATGTTCATGATGAAGCTGTGTGGTGCGTACTCGTGTCCGTTCAGTGTTACATGAACGATGACCGACACCTTGCAGAGAAACTAGACAATCTGTGGTACGCGGTGAGGGATCTCTTCGCCCGTGCTGACGATACGAACTCTGCGGAAGAAGTCGTCGTCGATGCAATCCGCGAGCTTTAATATTCCTGTCGTGTGAGCCCGATCGCAGCTTTGAACGTCTGATTCGATGTTGATTCACCTACAGCCTCGTTTGAATATCCTGCACTGGCATCCTCAACGGTTATGATCAACACAGCAAATTGAGACATCACTAGTATTACATATCGAGAGACACACTACATCTTTGGCTACAGTCCTACATGAATGAAAGGAACCCAGGCAAGTAGAGCAGCATCATTGTCCATGGTCCCAATCTCCTCCCTAAGCCTATTCACAGCCATATGGAGAGCCAATGCAGACATGGTACCTTGAGGTCTCTGATCCTTGCACAGGTAAGAATACACCCCATTTGTGACGACTGGGGCATCCTCATCCCTGATTGACCACATGGTAGCAATGACAGATTTGAATCCAGCAAACAGCATGCCAGCTGCTAGATGAACTGCTTCCTCTGAGAGCTCAGGTGTACCAGTAGCTGTCTGACAAGCTGAGAGAAATGCAAGCTCAGCATGTGGTATGGACTTTGTGATAAGAGTTGACAGTTCTAGGAAGCCATCATGGAGACAGAAGGCACTTTTGATAGGTTCTTTCAAGTTCTGTGTCCCATGACATGCTAGATGAATCCAACTGCAAGTTGAAATATCATCAAGGACTGCCTCAATGGTAGCTCTGGATCCACTCAGGTAGGTGCTTAGAGCATGATCATGATCATACTTGTTCATATGTCTCATGACAACAGACTGCTCCTCATTTGCAAAATACAAGGGTGCTTGACCTGGAGTCTCAGGCTGGGTTATCATCAGCAGCCCTTGGAATTCTGAAGCTGCTGCATGAAGTGAGTTTGCCAATGATGTCAAGGTAGGAGTGTATGATGACACCATATAACTTGAGACCTGGTCATCAAGCCTGAGGCTGGACTCATATACCCCTGCTGCATGAATGGGGAGCATAGCAAGTGGTCCAGTAACACACCACCAACAATGGGGTTTCTGTTCATCAGGAAGACACTATATAGGTATATTCAGTGATACATTCACAATAACCAATGAGCAGCATTTGAGCTTACCTGAAGGCCTAAAGCCTGGATGATTGGCCATGCAACATGATGCCACAATTCAGCCAAAATTTCTCTGAGAGAATGCTCTGATTGAGCAGAAGCTGAGACAAATTTTGCTTGTCTAGTTTGCCTTGTTTCTCTCTGCTGAATATTACTCTGCAGTATTGTGGCATGTAATGCATACTGGAAATCACTGGCCATCTTATTGCTGAATGCACTGAGAGGAACATGGAGAACACCCTGTTGACCACAAACAAGGACAAGAGCATCACATCTCATTCTGTGCACATTGACCATAATGATAGGGCCATTCTTGCATGCAGGGTATATCTCTTCAAAGGACTTGGGCTTAAGGAAAGTGTGAAATCCTGGCTTTGCTTGGATGTCCCTCAACAAAGTTTCCCATCTTTGAGCAAGTTGATGATGATGAGCAGCAGCTTCATGGAGAAATATAGGGCTCTGTGCCACTCCTGCCTCTGGCTTAGACATGCTGGCTTTCTCCAGTGCTTGGGCCACAGATTTGAGCTCTTTGGCCAGCTCAGGGTACTGTTCATCAAGGTCCTGATATGATGCCCTGAGTTGCAGAAGCTGATTCCAGACTACAGATCTTCCTTGTTCTAGCCACTCAACAGCAATCTCAAGCTTATTCAATATGATGGCCATAGATGCTGCCTCATTCACAAAGTCACTGAGTGAGATGATCTGTGCATATTGCTCAGTCATGTTCAGGCCAAGCCATATGACCTGGGGAAGCAAGCTACATGCCCAGCTATAGGCATCCAGACACTCATTCTGAAGAGAAGCATCTTGGTGTGCACAATGTGCCCACATCTTTGCAGCTGCAAACCTTGTTGTGATACTACCAGTGAAGGCTGTTGCAGCAGAATGATGGTAAACAATGGCAAAATGAAGATCATTCTTGTCTAAAGTGTGCTGATATTGGACAAAGAACATGTTGCCAAGATCATGATAACATTCAACCTTTCTGGCATGATGCTCAGGAGTCAAATGGACAGCATGGGTCAACAGCTCAATAGCCTTTTCAGCATGAAGGACATTTTTCTCATCCTGTTGATAGTGATAAAAGTATGCATTAGCCAGATTGCGCAGATATGCTGGCTTCATGGCATGTCCTTCAGGTACAAGATCTACTGCCTGTTGCATACTCATGATGCCTTCATCAAGATAAGACACAAGCCCAGTGTGTTGAGCATATTCAAAACATGCAGTACCATGGTTGTTCAGTTGGGCTGCCATGTTAGCCAAACCATCTGCTGAATATGCAATAGCTCTCTGATAGCAAGAAATAGCCTCTTGCAAGTCTGTCACATCTTTAGCATGTTGGTAATGGCACTGGTATGCACCACCAAGATTTGAGAGGCTTATGGTCATCTGTGCTGAGCTATCATCTGTCTTCTCAACTGCTTCCTGATGATACTGGATTGCTTGCTCAATATCTGTAGCATTCTCCAATCTCTCATATCTAAGCAGGAATGAATTTCCAAGATTACTCAACAGTCCAGCAACATGCTTATGAGTTTTAGGTATAAGGCTCAAAGCAGTTTGCTTCAGCAGAATTGCTCTGTCTATGTCCTTCACTTCCATTACATGCTCAAAACGATGTTCAAGAGCCACTCCTAGATTACTCAATGGAAACATGGCATTCATGCTCCCCTTCTCAGTGCACTGAACAGCTAGCTCAAGAACTTCCACAGCTCTTTCAATCTCAGCTAACTGTCCAGTCTGTTCAAATTGATCACTCAGAGCAGTTCCCAAAACTTGCAGAAAAATAGACATTTTTGGATGATCAATGGGCACCATGTGAATGACCTGTTCCATGATGGTGATGGCTTTCCCAATGTCTGCAAGCTGGTTTGTATGCTGGAACTTTAGCCTGTATGCATTGCCAAGAACTGCAAGCTGCAGAGCCCTATCTGCATGTGAGTCTGCAGTGTACTCAATGGCTCTTTCTTGGGTTGCAATTGCATCCTCAATGGCTGGGAAGCTCAGAGTATGCTCATACTGATCCTCCAGCATTATAGCCAAAGTACTGAATAGAGCTGATTTCTCAATGAGATTCCCTGCTGGAGCAATCTGGACAGCCTCTCTCTTTAAAGCCAAAGCAGTGACCATGTCTGAAGTGCTGCTTTGCTGGACAGAGCGCAGCTGTATTGCACTGGCAAGATTGTTAAGGTGTTTCATCTTGTTATAGTCATCATTCACACACAACTCTACAGCCTTTTGCTTCAGGGAGACAGCTTGGTCAAGGTCAGAGAGATTCTGACTATGTGTGAACAGGGACTGATAAGCTGCCCCTAGATTGCCTAGCTGTATATGCTTTTCAGGATGACCATCAGGGGTAAGGTTTGTTATGTGCCACAAAACCTTAATCCCCTTTCTAATGTCTGAGACATCCCCATAGTTGTCAAAGCATTGCTGGTATGCATTACCCAGGTTATTTAGGAAGCCAGACTTCTTATAGTATTCATCTGGAGCAATGTCCACTGCAGCCTGCAGTGAAGATATGGCCTTGTCAATGTCAGATCTCTTGTGAGACCTCATGAACAAGGTGAGATAGGAATTGCCAATGGTAGCCATCCTATCAGCTCTCTGGGGATCACCCTCAGGAGTCAAGGCCATGGCAGCTTCAACAGTAGAGATGGCCTGCTCCAGATCCTCCATGTGGGAGGAAACTCCATAATGAGACAAATAGGCATTGGCCAGGTTGTTCAGCAGCATGGGCTTATTGGCATGGCCATCTACAATGAGCGCCACAGCCTGCTCATAGGTCTGAATGGCCTCCTCAATAACTGACAAAGACCTCGTGGTCATGAACTCAAGCCTCAAGGCCACAGCAACATTGTTCAGCAAGTTCGCCTTCGTCTGAGGGCTCCCTGCAAGCTCGACGGCCATTCGCAAGGCAGCAACGCTCTTACGTAGAAACGTAAGGTCTCTCGTCTGGTTGTACGAATCCTGGAGCTTCAAGCCCAGGTCATTTGCGAGTTGCAGGTTGTCTATCGTAAACATCGTGATATCAGTAGGACAAGCGATGACATGGAGGGAGTGACGACACGGATGCGGATAGTGCGGATGAAGCGACGACACGGATGAGGTGTCTGAACTCTGGTGAGTACTTACGACCACAAGCTCCCGGGAGCAGCCTTGAGAAAAGTATCATCGATCGATCATTACTCGTCGACGCGACATCTCAACCATCGTGACTCACCTCTTGAACTCGTCTATATCGAGAGCGGGATCCAGCATCCTCGCAGGCACCGCGGACGGCGGTCCAGAGGGTCCGCCGGCGGAGACAAGTGCACGATCGTCATGAGCGATCGTACTGTGGCAAGAGCCCATGTTGCGGAGACGATACTGGGGAAGCGGGGGAGTGCAACAGTAAGTGGGTGAGGACGACAGCGATGCGGAAAGCGGGTCGAACGATGCGTACCCGGTCTTATGTTGCGGGGACGTGCGTCTATCCGGCTGATGGATCGTCGGAAGCTGGACCACACGCGCGTCTGCACCGCAGAGGGCTGTGTACGACGTCTTATCAGATGCCACAGACAAGGTAGATGCGTGCAACGCACTTGACTGGAATTAGATACGACACCCCGATCTTGTACTTCAGGTTAGGCTAACAAGGGCGTAAATTCGACAGGAGCGAGGCCTACAAGAGCTGTGATAAGCATTGCCAGACAGCAGAGAAGTTCGTACGCCAACACTACGTATCAGCCGAGGCAGAACACATCACTGCAAGATAGTCTCAGCACGAGCACATGACAGTATGTATTATCACGGTATCTTGATAGGTTCCGAAGCGGGTACGCACAAGGACGAGGCAAGAATATGTACTGAGCAAGTCCCACACAGCCGATTGAAGAGACTGACAATCGGATCGATATTTCAGACCTCGTGAAACCTGTCCCGGATGCAACGCGTAAGCTCGAGAGAGATAAGGGTTATATTTCCAGAAGTACTCACGATGAATGCGCGACTCCTAGCAGTTGTACGGACCCTGGACAATACGCGCATTGACGCGCGGGTGAATCGTGACATTGTTCGTCAACGCGTTCATAGCCTCCTCCGAGAGCACCAACTCCGAACCCTCCGCCGAGTTGATGAGTTTCACGCCCGCAAAGTTGCCCGCGTATTCGAGGACGACGCATTGGCCGCAATACGCGGGGTTCGCAGTAACGTTCGAGAAACCACCGATAGACGGGAAGGTCGGGATGGAGCCGTAGGTCGCGTAGCCCTCGGAGTTGAGCTGGGCGCTGCATACCACGGAGTCGGTGGGAGTGCTAGCCACGTCGTACGACGAGTCGTAGGACACGGAGTAAAGTGTCTGGGCTAATACGTGAGGTGCCAGGATAGCGGCGACCACTGTCGCAATCTGGAGCTGCATGGTTTCCTTGAGCTTTGCGTGACGGTGCTGAGATGCGAGGAGTGATGCAGACAGTACCTTCGCGCCGCCGCCTTAGATACACAGACTGGACACGGGGATCATCGCCATAACACAGAAATTGCGGGTACACATGCCGTAGGTTTGCAATTCAGAAAGGGGACTCGCCGAAGAGATAATTCCGCTGTGTAGGTTCGCGCGCACCGACGGAAATTATTCGCCTCCGAGAATACACGAGAGTTGATAGCAAGTGTCAGTGCAAATGTTTGCACGAAGGGATTGCCGAAGACGAAAGTACAAGTGTGTTCCGAGGAGATATCATTGAATCTCAAGACGCAGACCCGGTAGCTTTACCCAGGGCTAGGGGGGGAGGCTAAGAGTCACTGTGCGGGACGTTGTCACGGTATCGAACTCACCAATCCAGCGCACAAACCGCCTGCTGATAGCTAGATCTCGACTTTTCGTCTATCGAATTCGAGTAAGTTTCTTGTGACTTTGATGGAAGCTCTGAAGAGTCAACGGAGCCGCGTCGCAGCTAGGTTCGACACCGTCGCAGCTGCGTTTGCCAACCTTGAACCGAATCCCGATGCGCTGAAGCACCATGTATATCACGTGGCAAGATCTGTAGATTTCTGCTCTCAGCCACTTGTGCGCTCCCTGCTTGAGCAACCGGAAACTACCTCGCCGCCCCTACTCTTTCTGCTTCGAGTTAACCATCTTCGACATGGGAAAAAAGGCTGCGAAAGCAACGCGAAAATTTGCGGCTAGCGGACAGCTCAAGAAGACGATTCAGACGAGGCGCAAGCAGCGAGACATCAGAAAGAAAGCGGAAAAACGTAAAGCAGGCAAGGGCAGGGGCAAGGAGCTGCCGCAGGATAAGCCTGAGGACGACGTTTCAGACGATGAGGGCCAAACTCAGTAAGTACATCGCCGCTTAGCAGCACCTATTCCTCATGGACACAGATCAAAGGGAATGTCTGTCGACGACTTCCTTGGCGGTGGCTTCATGGAGGGTGAAGAGGACGAACAGGTGCGGGTCATACGGTTGCTTCTATCGCCGTCTTGTTTATGCTACGCTAGGAGGATGCTCCAATGTCCGACGTCAGCGAAGGCGAGAGCGACGACGAGGACATCGGGGATAACGAGTCGTTCGCATCTGTGGACGACCTCGATGGTGAGTTCAGGTAGCTCTCGTGATGGAATGGTTACTGAGGTTGCGTTAAGGCGAAGGGCGGACACATATGCTTGAGCTCTCGACGCTAGCAGAGAAGGACCCGGAGTTCTTCAAGTACCTCCAAGAAAATGATCGCGAGCTGCTGCAGTTTGACCCTGACGGCGCCGAAAACGATGTAGAGTTCGAAGAAGACGTAGACGAGGAGCTGCCGCCGGAGGCAAAGGCACCCGTTCTGACGAAGGAGATATTGCGGAGGTGGCAAAAAGCTCTCCTGGAGGTGCGTCTGTCTGTGCAGTGAGAACGCCAATAATCCAACTGTTCGAACAGCAGCGATCATTACGAGCCCTAAGGCGACTGCTTATTGCATTCCGTTCCGCGGCGCACATGAACGAGGAAGATCAGGATCTCGCGTGGACCATCGACAGTCCCTCAAGTAAGAGCGTTTTGATCTCCACGGCACCTGTGATCTGACACCTTTGCTAGTATACAACAAGCTCGTGGTCACGACGTTGAGGTATACGCCCATTATCTTGGATCACCATTGCCCGTGTAAGGCTACTCCCAACGGCAAGCTGTCCGTGCTTCACTGATTCTCGTCCGACACGGTGTACTCATTCTGCGTGCAGGAAGGGCCCTACGCAGACACCGAAATGGAAGACACTCCAGAAGCTCATCCTGTCGTACTTCTACAATGCCGTACACCTCATATCACAACTCAGTGATACGGAGATGTTACGCATGGCTGTCTCGGAGAGCTCCAAGCTCTTGCCGTACGTCATGGGCAGTCGCAAAGCCGTCAAAGTTTACCTCAAGGTGAGTCCACGTCCCGTCATAGCCTTCTACATCGTACCGAAAACCACACTGGACAGGCGTGCCTCGACCTGTGGTCTAGCGCGGAAGACAGTGTCCGGATAGCAGCATTCTTGGCTATTCGCAAATTGGCATCCGCAACCGATGCGTCTATCATGGATTTGGTGCTCAAGGCAAGTCGTTTTGTCTACCACCGTGACATGCGAGCTCAAGTTGCATGCAGAACACGTACCTCACCCTGGTGCGCTCGTGCAAGTCGACTAGCGTGCATACGCTGCCGTCGATCAACCTGATGAAGAACTCTGCATCGGAGTTGTACTGCATGGACCATGCAGCGGCGTATCAGCACGCCTTCGGATACATCCGGCAACTTGCTATTCATCTGCGTAACAGCATGAAAGTCAAGAGCAAGGTACGTCGGCTCGTACGCTCAACAATTGGTTGATATATTAACCGCGCGTACAGGAAGCGTACAAGCAAGTGTATAACTGGCAATATGTGCACTGCGTGGACTTCTGGGCACTTGTTCTGGCTCGGGCGTGCGACACGCAAGCTCAAACAGAGCGGAATGGCAAGGAAAGCGAGCTAAAGGCTCTCATCTACCCTTTCGTCCAAGTATCGCTAGGTGCCATGAAGTCAGTCGTATCCCAGTAGCCCGCATGTTCATGGCTAACCTCACGTCCATAGACTGATCCGCAACTCGCGTTCATTCCCATTCCACTTCCACATCATACGCTCGATTCTGCACCTGACCGAGCACACCCGCACGTATGTGCCCCTCGTGCCGTCCCTCCTTCCGATCCTTACATCAACCATGAGCTCGTCGTCGAAGCCGAAGGCCTCGACACTCCGGCACTTCGACTTCGACACGAACATCCGGGCCCCCAACAATATCTCAAGACACGCGTGTACAACGAAGGTCTCGCGGAGGAGGCGAGCTATCTCCTGGCAGAATACCTAGCCAGCGGGCCCGTCCACGCGAGCATCGCGTTCCCGGAGACGGTTGTGCCGCTTGTGATGATGCTCAGAAAAGCGATCAAGGGTGCGAAGGCGTCCCCGTGGAAGGCGAAGGAGGCCGGGGTAGCCAAGGTCCTGGCCGAGCGCATTGAGGAGAGTTCAAAGTGGGCGGAACAGAAGCGCAAGGGCGTGGCCTTTACTCCGAGCCGTATGACGGAGGTGGAGGCATGGGAGAACAGCGTCAAAGTGTACGAGTCGCCGCTGGGTAGATACGTGAAGGTACAGAGGAAGGCACGGGAGAAGCGCCGGAAGCTGGTAGAGAAGGTGCGTTTCATCGACATGCACCGCCCTCTCGTGTTTCTGTCAGGAGAAGTGACTGACGATGTGTGAACGCAGGCAAGAGAAGGAGCGGACGAGATCCTGGAAGATTGAGTTATGGGAAGATCCTTACGCGATTTGTACTGAGACCACCGACGATCTGTGAAAACCTCGGATGACCGCGGCATTGACGGCGGCCATATGTGCGCTGGCCTTGCTACTGGTGAACAGACAGTGTGCGTCAGTGGGATCCAGGAAATAGAACTGGCGATAGCTGGTCTCACACGACACCTTCGAGAAGTGAATCGCTTACCAGCCGCTGGGAATATTACGATCCATGCACACTTGTCATTACAGCTTTGCGTCTAAAGACGGCTCTTGGAGGTGTCAGCAACTAAATTCAGAAACCTCCGCGAACCACGTCCGAATCTCCGAGACAACGATAATCATAGTCTAGGGTGGCCGAGCTTGTGCGTCGCATCTACACCCTGTGCTAGACCGCAGGTCGGTGTTCGCGGCGCGGGAGATCAAACGGCATTGCGATTGACATTGCCACGCATCCTGTTTCTACGCAGATGTCATGTGAAGCGGCAAGTCGCGTCTGGTCAAAGCAGCGAGGAGTCTGATATTAGCGGAGAGCTCGGACGTTTCGGTTGTTGACCGACCTCTCACTACCATATCCCGAAGAATCTCTTCCACCAAGGCCTGCCGATACCTTTCGCGCTTTTCTCGTAGCCTTCGACCAACCGTGTGTAATACTGCGGCGTAGAAGCCGGCTTCAGGATTCTATCTGACAACGGATACTGCGAGGAAACGGCGATTTTCAAATGTGCACGATGGCGACGTGGTGACTCGACTGAAGCTCAACCTACCTTGCGGAGGAAGTGGTCATCTTGGAGCGCACGGGCGGCCGTAACAGCCTGCGCGGTGAGATTTGGATGGTTCGCCAGAGACTCCAGGAGATTCCTGAGCTGCAGATTCGGGCGAAAGGGGTCAGCTGGCCATTTTGCGGCGACGCGTTGCAGCTGCTGTCTGGCCTGGCTGAGTGTGGCCATGGTGGTCAGAAGTCAAGAACCGTCGGAGCGCCGGAACGCGTGCCTACGGTATTACGTAAGACGCTACTTATCTGGTCAACGCGCTGAGTGAGTCTGACTTCACGCCCTTCCGACTCGCCTCCGAGTCCGCCACACTGCATGGAGGTTATGTACGCCCATCGCCTTCGCAGCAGTCTCCTCTCGTACATCCGCGTAATAGTGTCTCCAACGTCAAAGGAACTCAAACGGCAGCTTGAGTGCTGCATCTATTCAAGTCGTAAACCACGGTACGACAACTCGGGTAAGCAAACTGCCAGTGGAATGGCGGACAACTGGACAAGACCCGGAACACGTTGAAGATGCCTGCAAGATGACGCAGCGCTTCCACGTCCATGTGAGCTACAGGCCATGTCCGGTGTTCTGTCTTACGTTCCGCATCGTTGCTACAGGAATCATAGGCGTGACCGGGATGCGCCGCATTCATAATTCATGATGCTCAGGTTGCGTGAGCTTCCTTCTGTTTATAACGCGTCCGGTAAGCTGTTCTCTGCTCAGAAGGATGCTGGGTTTCTGCATCGACATGCCCGTCTATATGTGGGCATTCCTTACGACTGCCCTGTATGTCTTCTATTTCATCCGCTAGCCAACACACCCCGCATCACGCCCCAAGATTATGATCAGTCCGTGTCTCGTCAAGTGATGACATCGTGGTGGATCCAGTAGAAGGACATATGCGCGCATCATAGACCAGCCTGCGGTCTCGATGTAGACATGCACTAACGGCATATGCGAACGCGACCGCCCTCATGGCGATACGCCATATCGATTTTCACTGCGGTCTCTTTTCATCTGATCACCATGATTTCTCCGCCTTGTCCTAGGACACAGCTTAACGGACACATGCGCTATTCGCGGTATGCACGTCTGCTTTTGTGGAGCCGGTGGGCGATTCTGGGAACGAGACAACGCTCGCCACTCGTTCTCCTGGAAGACCTTCGATGGTCTCTGTCGGAACACGCGCTGCCGCTTATGACTTCGGCGGTGTTTACGACACTGATATTGGTGTGCGCGCCCAGGTCTCGCACTTCTGGTTCACACCAAGTTCCCGGGCGACACGTTCACACCAGCCCGAACGTCGTAATTTTTAATTCATCATTCGCCCATGATCAATTCTTACGATGTGGCGCATTTTTCCGACTCTTCGCTGCGGTAATTGTGTGTCTCGTGTGGCTCGGTTTTCATCACCGCTAGGCCGTTGATTTATTGAATATTCTCCGAAGCACAGATGTGCTGTCGGACGGCTCGCAGTAAGTTATCTGTGTAAAAGCTGGGAGCCTCGTGTCGTATGCGTGGATCTCCGCGGCTGGGGACACATCTCCGACGCTCGCTTCCATTCAGCTGGCAACTGAGCTGGCTTAGCCTGGCTAGTACTCGATCTGATGCTCACCCTTCGCACAAATCCCAACCCGCAACTCTCCGGTGTCTTTCTGGGGCACGATTCGACATGAAACGCGGGTCAAGTCGGCCCCACAACGACAATTGTCTCTCGTCCGCCGATGGCTAGCTAGAATGCTTCGCAACATTCATGCCACTCCAGAGGTGAATTTCCTGCCGTATAAGCTGTACGTGACATGTCGTGTAAAAATAACTAACATCGGTCAATCACCCAAGTAGTCACTTCGACGCCCCCGATTCTGTGCCTGAAAATGACCGCTATTCGCCAGGAGTACACGCTAAATTGGATGTCACTTCGTAAAGCACTTAACCAAACAAGTTCAGTGCCGGCGACGTCGAATAGTCTCAATCACTGTCGGCTCGCTTACAGCATGATATATCCAGCCACAGGTGCGAGAACGCCCAATCATCTCCAGCAGTGCATGAGGTCTTGAACATTTTGACTAACCTTGCCTGACAGGTATCTTGTCGGCAGCTTGCGATCGCCAAACATTCATTCTTCGACAGTATGAATCACGGCGTATAGCCAGCCGACGCCATTGGTGGACATGTTCCCGGGCATTACTCACCAGGGTCATTCCTGTCAGCTTTCCAAATTGCCGCGACCAGCGCGGAACGGGTTCTCAATAGACTTGGGGGTGGCATCCTTCTCAACCGCTGCCACGCCGCGCCCGCGTGCAGCGGTGGTCCTGGCGGCAGTGCAGAGCGGAAAGCTTCACGGCATACGTGCATTTGTATTTCCGTGCCATGGTACGTGATCATTGGTCGTTTCGCGGCGCGACTCACGGGTAGCAGGCTTGGACGCCGGACCGACGGACATTGAGTACTTGAGTCGAGATCCACCGTCGGCCTCGTCGAGCAGGGCCAGCGGCGACGCTACTGTCCGCCCGGCGGCATCCGCTCATGTCCGCGCCTCCCATCCACGCGGGACCGATTCGGATCAAACCAGGGACCCTGATCGTCGCAGCTGGTAAGGATCGCACGAGCAGCACTTGGCCAGTTGCTGGCTTCTAGCCCACTCCGCTCGGCGGGCCATGTAGTGGCGAATCGCAGGCCGTTCGATTTCGGCAATGAGCGACGGCCGCTCCATCATGCATATTGTTGCGCTGCCGCACGCGCCGACGCTAGTGGCGCAGGAATAAGGCTGCTGGAAGGGGCATGGTACGCGACCGCTGTAATTGCTACCACTCCGCAGGAACCTGACGTCACATGCGAGGTCGGAACGGGCCACAGTCCCGTATGGTATGTGTTGCCTTCCGATATTTACGCACCACCGATAGATTACCATTATTGCGTGTCCTTGATCCCGAAATACATACCACGACCATCGGTTTGACAGGTTACAATGGCGCTCGATCCCATTCGCATCGATACTGTCTACCGTAATACATGTATTGTAAAGCGACCAACCGTAATGACGAGCCGAACTAGATGCCGCGTGAGGAGCATCCCAAGAGATCGGGTATCGTGGCAAGATAGCGCCTCGCTCAGCTAGGTTTGAATACCATGGATGATCTCCAGCGTTGAGATCTGGGACGTGCGTATACATGCGATCTCTCCTCTGACAGCGTCTGGACTTTGGACTATACCCTTGGTTGCGGACCAAGGTGGGAGTCATCTATACAATTCAGGGTCTCCGTGACGGATGAACATCTGCGTGATGCGGGGAGCCCGCACGCGCAGGGGGTCAGCAGTGTGACGAGGCACAGATCCTACGCAAGCTAGGTTCGCCTTGACAGTCATACACGTACGTACTTACCGGAGGCCGATTGCGATCCCGCTTCTCTCTTGTGGGCTCCCGGGCTGCGGCTTTACGTGACGTTGTCTGCCTTCCATGGCGATCGGGCCCATTCTGTCTTCGGCGTGCGGAGTGCATTATAGGTAAGGGTCGCACACGTGGCGCTAAGCTGCCCGGACTGGGTCTGACCGCATCCCGGAGCGAGCACAGCTTTGTCCATGATCGAGCTGTAAGTCCAGGAGATCTCGACGGACGGCAGGCGCCGTCTCGTGCCATGCCGCTGATACGACGCCGAAGTACTCGTAGGCTACGACTAGCGTCGGTGTGATGGTGTTGGACGCGATGAGCTCACATGGGTGTTGCTATATACGCTTGGCTTCCCGCATTCTTGATACGCTGGACCGGTAGGGTGCGCGGAAATTAAGCGACACCCGGATACCATCGCTCGCGGCAAGCACGCCGATGTTCTGGTGCTGAGCAACTCCATATGCTTATCCATGGACCATCGCAGACAACGTCCCGGTAGGCCCCGGTGCCAGAGGGCAGGCAAGCCGCATCTCCTCGTGCATCAGATATTGCCCCGCGGTGCGCCCCTTGTTCCGTGACAGTCTCCAAGAACGCAGAGTTTGAATATCGGGCGCGTTGCACTGTCGGCGACTGTATGAACGCAGTTACATATTCGAGGCTAGTGCGCACGAAGGGAGCGCATGATGCCGGCGGGGGTCCCTGTCTTCTGGACCGTGTGTCTATTGCCTTTTTGCCAGGTGTATCAAGATCTGGTGCAGAGTTACGGCAACGAGCGCAATCGCATCTAGCGGGATTAGGCTACGGCCAAGAGACGAGAGAGCGGCTACGGTTTGATGCCCGGAACGATCAAGGCTTGGGATAGTCGTTTCCGAAGCACGAGGATCCTTGCGTTGCCTCTCCGACGTCAGAGATGTAAATGGGGATGGCCGGCGCTGCAGCATGTCTTGAGGGGCCGCGCCGCGCCGCGTCCTAGCTCGGGCATAGCCTCGCTCCTAGGACGGCGCGTCTTGTCGTCTTCCAAGGCCTCCGATGTGCAATGTGTCAAGAAGCTCGTTTCCAATCCTGGAGTCACAGGCCTTATTTCATATGGTATTTCGAGGGTGCGCGGGAGACAAGACACGGGACGCCGACGCTACGAAGCTGTGACCGAGCGTTTGCGTATGTAGGACACTCTCAGCGTAAGTTGCCACTGTCAGTGATATTCAGCCTCGTATCCGGACCCTGAGATGCGCTCACCAGTCTGCGCTTGATTAGATCGTGAAAGCTGTCGTTGTGGTGGGGGCTGTGGCGCTGTCGTTGTTCCGACAGCCGCTCTTCTGCCCGTGAATCGCCGCTCGGGTTTGACGGATATATGTAGGTGTTTCTGCAACCATATGTTCCAGAGCCCGTTCGTCAGCGTTCGGCCACCGTTCACTTTCGAGCGGCGAAGAGAGAAAGTCGTAGGGAACACCGATGATCACCTGCGCGCTTCGGCAGTCCCACTGCCAGTTCAAGCACTGCAGCGCTTGCCTCGCAATTGAGCGGGCTTGAAGAGTCGCCTTCTCCCGAATCTGGCTGCGCGTGTGTATTTGCGACAAGCTTCAAAATGCCAGACGTCTGCGAGGCCGCCGGCGCGGATGTCCGGATAGCGGTGGTGGTTTGGTCAGAGGTCCGCTGATTCGGACGATGCAGCAGGCGTTGAGTGTGGAAGCGCCTGCACGTGTCTCTGCGAAAGGGCATCCGTCTGTCCACGCCGCAGACCGACCTTGCGTCTAGCTACTGCTGTCGACCTATAGACCCCGTCGAGCGCGGCCAGCACCGCTTTGCGGGGACCTCTTCAGCGTTACGCAGGGGACGGCGAGCGCGAAGGGGCCATGTTTCTGGGGCCGCGTGTAGGACTCGGAGAGAGACTTCATGCGCGCAGACCGCTGCATGACGTGCCATCTGTTCGCCCGGCGGCGTGTTGGCAGATGGTGAGTGCGTTCGATCCTCCCTGGCGTAGCCTGGCGTGTGCGGCTTCGAGCAAGCCATCGCGAGCATTTTGGCCGGAAAATAATCCGAAATTGCGCCATCGGGTCTTATCAGTTCGTGCAAAGTTTCATCTGCACCGCACGGAAGACATTTTCCCTGGTTACCCCGCCGGTGCGTATGCATCGCGGTTCCTGGCTTCCGCCTTCGATTCGATGCTGCTTCGCCAGCCTCATCCGGTATCGTCACGGCGGCGCGTCCTGTCTGTCGCATGCGAGGACTGCGTGGGCCAAGCAGCACGCCCACAGCTCCCGGAGCGTGACCGCTCCGCCGCACCTTCTAGTTCCGTCGGGCCTGTGGGCAGACAGGGCGCCAGCGGGAATGCCGGAACAGCTGGAGGGAGATCGGGCGTTCTTGTGGCTCGAGCGAGCTGGACTAAGACATAACGGACGATGACTAGGACTGCCAGCCGCGGACAGGGGACGTGCGGCGTTTGCCACCGCAACGGCTCGGGCGAGTCCGACTGTTGCCTGCCAGTGCGGCTGAGCAATCGACCGATCGCGAGGCTGGCCACCAACCTCATTTAATTTCCCTCGTATATAAGTCCTTTGTTCCTCTCCTATGGCCCTCACGTCCTCCGACTCAGCCAGGCCTCTCCGCCATGGCCGCCTCCACACGCCTGTCCGCCATCCCCCTCCACACCCTCTACGCCCTCCTCGAGCCCGCCACCGTCCCCAGCACCACCCCCGCGCGACGTTCATCAACTGGGGCCTCAGCTATCTCTGCCGCCCGCTCGCCGTCTTCGAGCCCGAAACCGAGTACCAGTGCGAGCTCATCTTCGAGCTCGCCCGTCGCGAGGGGAAGACGGTCCGTGCCACAGGCGTCGGCCACAGCCCGAGCGATCTTGCCTGCACGACCGGCTACATGCTACGGACCGAGAAGCTGAACGAGATCATCGAGGTGGGTTCTCTGCTTCTTTATCTGGCCTGCTCGCCCCCGTTTCCGCGCTCGTCATCCCAGGGGAGATCCCCGTGCTGCGATCCGGAGCAGCTGCGCTTAGATCTCTCCGTCCTCAGGCACCGCCGCGCACGCGCTGACCGCTCTCTCTGTCCCCTCTCCAGGTCAACACCGAGAAGCGCTACGTCGTCGCACAGGGCGGCGTCACCCTCAATGCTGTCCACGCCGCCCTCGACGCCCACGGGCTCGCCATGACGAATCTAGGTTCAATATCCGACCAGACGCTCGCAGGAATGGTCACGACGTCGACCCATGGTAGCGGCATCGACTACAAGGTTCTATCCACCCATGTGCTATCCCTCCTGCTGCTCTTGCCGGATGGCTCGCGCGTCCGTTGTTCCCGCGAGGACAGACCGGATCTGTTCATGGCGTCTCTGTGTGGACTGGGCAGCACAGGCCTCATTCTGGAAGTCAAGCTTGAGGTCGAACGGGCGTTCCGCCTGAAGGAGACGCAGGAGACGCTTCCATTCGACCAAGTGCTCGACAAGTTCGACGACCTCGTTCATTCCGCGGAGCATGTCAGGTTTTGGTGGTTCCCCGCTGCTCGTGTGGTGCGCGTGAGCGCAGCAAACCGGTCGAATGAGGTGCGCCAGTCTTCACGCTCCGCCGCGCGCTCCATGGCTGACTGGGCCATTACAGCCCAAGAAGCCCGTTAGCACTTGGCTCTGGCACTCGTTGATCAGCTACCACCTACTCCAATTCCTCTTTTTCCTGGGACGATTCATCACGTCGCTCAACCCGTTGATCGGACGTTTCGGCGCGTGGCTGGTGTCCGATTACACAGTGGCAGTGGACGACAGCTATCGCATTTTCAATGTGGACTGCAAGGTGGGTTTTGATCCTACCTGTCCACCTGCATTTCCAATTGACGGCGACTCCGTCCCTTTCTAGTATCCGCAATACACCACGGAGTGGGCCATCCCATACGCCCACGCACGGGCGTGCCTCCAGGAGATGCAGACATGGCTGGATGAGGAACATGCGAACCCCAATGGCCTGCGCCCCCATTTCCCGATCGAGATTCGGTTCACCAAGCGGACGACGTCTGGCTAAGTCCGAGCACGGCGGCAGGCATGCTGGATTGGTATCGTGCAGTACAAGTACGTGGGCGTCTTGTGCTTCTCCGAGGTGATTGCTGACGGGCAGTCGTCGGACTTTACTTCCGCAGGCCGTACGGCTTGAGCGTACCGTACAGAAAGCTCTTCGAGCGTTACGAGCGTATCATGATTCGCTACGGGGGCCGGCCGCACTGGGCGAAGGCGCACCATTCCGGCCCGACGACCTGCGCAAGCTGTACCCGCGCTTCGATGATTTCATCAGGGTGCTTGAGGAGGTCGACCCGCGGGGCATGCTCCGCAACGAGTATGTCAACCGCCACCTATTCGGTGCGCAGGGCCCTGCGTATGGGGAGCGAGTCTTCAAGGTAAAGCATTAGATCAGTTGGGCCGCAACGTTTAGCATCTATTATTCTTGGATAATACCCGTATAATCTTGCCTGTTCATTATCTTCTTAATTGTCCCGGGTCTACGATAGGAACAGTATAGTTCGAATTGTTGCTACGTTCCCCGAATAGAATAGTAGAGGAGCGCGTATACTGTCGATCCTGACGTTTGAGTCACCTAAATGATTGATATACACGACTCGGAACAGAAGATGTCAGTGGCGCATGCGACAATTCTCCTTGATGGGTTGCGGTGATACATTCACAGAGCCTTTCATCCATGTCTGGGAAGTCAGCTGAAGGAGCGCCCCCGCGCAGATGTGACTTTTCGTTGACTTGTTTGTTGAGTATTTGACTTTTCAAAGGCCAAGCTGGTCTTTGACAGATTGCCTGACGATACGCTCGTATTCCTGTGCGATCATAAGAGCGCAGTCCGGATCTTGTTGCCCAGAAATGTATACGTACAGCTTTGTTATCGCGATATAGTTTGCAGCAGTCGATGTTTGCACCGCTCTCGAGATTCGGTTCTACTCATAGACGTTAGTAGCCCTCCTTGGTTCCATCAACACAAACATCGTACCTGCGAGCATGGAGATAACACTTAATATGACCTTTTCCACACTCTGCACTGGGCTCCAACGTTCTGACGCTTGTTCGTACATAGTCGGGTCGTCCCCCGGAGCATGCAATATCGAGATGCAAACGTTGCCATCAGGTATACTGTTCACGAGCAACATGTGAGCGACTGCGGCGAGCGACGGCGTTCCATGCCATTTTGGGAACAAGATGCGTAGGTTTCGGCGATGTATGCGCTTGGGCACGGAACGGTCCACTCACTGTTAGGGTGAAACAAGGGTGGCTCGAACTTCATCTTGAACGGGGATAGCGGGTAATCATGCGGCTAGATCAGCGTCAGTGTTAGATTCGGCGTACGGGCTCGAAATGGGCACGGTACACGCACGAACGTGAGCTTGGCGGCGAAAACACCGCCCTCGAACGGCGTGTCCTTCGGGCCCATGATTAGGGCCTCCCAGGTGAATATATCTGACTCGGTGATTGGACCTGGCTCCGAGAAGAACGGGACCCATCAGCGCTCGGACAGGCTGCGATAAGTTAGCTCGTACCAGCAGTGAACATGCCATCGGGTGCTCCTGCACTCGCAAAGTTCAGACGCCACTCCTCTGACATCGCGGACATCGGTGAGGGTCACCTTGGGAAGTCAGCTGCTTGTATTCTTTCATGAGCCGGTTGACGGCCGTCCTGCTGCTGCCGCCGGCCATGCTGTGCGTAGGTGCGGGAGATGGAGGTCAAGCGCAAGTGCGAATGTAACTCCGACGTTGACGAACGTTGCGCTGCCACCACAGCGCCAAATGCGGAACTTAATCAGGCGCTCGTGTGACCATGAAGGTCCTCGATCGCGAGTCGCGCATAAGTTTCATAGGTGGCCTTATTGTCTATCTAATGGCCTGGAGTCGCGACGTTAAGCCATCATACAAGGAGCGCAATGTGGTCAGTACTGTTTTGTAAAGTATGCAGCGCTATCGCGAAAGCACTTGACTTCATATGCATGGTAAGCAAGCCCGAGGCCCCCACATGCCAGACGCCAGCCGGCATCTTGAACTCGCTGCTGCAGAACATCGAGCACGACTTCCTAACGTCTACATATAAGCGACGTTCATAGACTGTGTGAGCAACGCAACACATGAAGCCATAACGGGGCTGGTGCGAAGCTGATATATGACAAAACTGACGAGCAAGTTCAACCCGCTGGGTCGGACGTCTGAGCCCTAGACTGTAAATCAGTATGTCTCCACGGAGTGTAACGTACGCCTCTACTTACCAATTTCGCCTTAGGGCCTCAGATACTAGCCGGAAACAAAGGTTATCAGGCAACCGTCTTTGTGGACGGATTTGGTTATGCCCACGACCATCGACACAAACTGCCATACGCGGTTCGAGCTCACGGTAACTTAGTACCATTTTATCAGCGCAGGGGAATTGATGGCAAAGTATATCAAACGTGGTTCTTGTCTGAATTAGAGCGGCCTGTGCAATACAGCCCCCGACAGCGTAGCGCCTCTATCGCCGAGCGTGCCTCGAGAGCGGGTTTTCTTGAGAAGGCGTCGAGCGGCCGCATCGGAACCACCTAATTGCCCGAATTGTATTGCAGTCGACCTGTGGCGGTTCCTGTCAGCGACATATCATCGAGAAGCACCGAAATGACCGTGCAACCAAAGTGTGGTTTTACAAACCGATGCCGGCATCTCCACCGAGTTCGCGGTGCAGCGTCAGTATCGGAGTCCGGATCCGTGAGTCCAGTTCTTTGACCAGCCCAACGCGGTAGGTTCTGAGGGTGACAATTGTCATGGAACCATGATGCGAGGACAGAATTACATTGCGATTGAATACACCGTTACTGTTGACCGGAGATGAGAGCACTGACCAATAATTATCGTGAAATGAGTTCGTCGTTTGTCATGCGTCATCCAATACAAGCCGTGGCACGACATTCATTGCCATCAACTTCGAAGAAGTCAATATTGGACACAACGCCGAATCCACCAACTCACCTCCTGGAATAACAGTTTTGCAGCATAAGGTATGGTAGCTGTGCCATCTTCTTCGAGCTCTTGCAATACGTGCACCAGCCATTGTACCCCATGAGACCGCATCCTGACATGCGTTGACTTCGAATTTGTCTGACGAGATCATAAGGCGCTCTAGCAAAAGCTGTGTAGCGCCATAACCAATGAGACAATCGCGCTCCATCTCGCCCAGACGCAGACCGCCCTCCCTTGAGCGTCCTTCGGTGGGCTGTCGAGTCAGTGTAGCACGCGGTCCCCTGATGGGTTTTGCATCCGAGATCAGTTATGCGACCGCGGCGCCGATGACAGAGAAGGATGATCGCACCTGGCTCGTGCATGCATTTTGTCCATCACCATGTGTTCTGCCACGAAAGTTTGACAGTCAGTACAAGGCAACTACGACGTCATAGCGATGGTTCTTACTTAGTTTCTATGTTCCCGTAGGAGTTAATGTGAGAGTCTCATCCATGTACTGGTCGGCAGACGCACCTGGTAATATATTGGTCCGAAGTACACATATGCTTCCAACGGCTCTCCAGTGATGCCGCTAGTTAGCATATCTTTTCCAGCGTAGCTGAAGCCGTTCTCAATCAAGATGCGCGACATGTCCTCCACCTGTCAATTCGTCAGTGCTAGTCCTTATATGACCGTGATTGAATCCCCGAACCTTGGAGCCACCGAACGCCGTGCCGTATTGAAGTTTGCCAGCCAGCACACCTGCCTAAGCAGCGGGGGTCAGTCAATTGGGACGGCATTGATGGAAAGGAACCGAGAATACTTTCCGGCCAACAGCTCGATCATCTTCCCCACGGTCATACGAGACGGGAAGCCGTGAGGGTTCATAATGGTGTCTACGCATGTGAAGAAGGTCCTATCAGCCTCCGTGACTGACGGGTCAGTCAGGTACACGCACCAGGAACGATGCCCTGATCGTTGAACGGCATATCCTCTTGATTCACAATTAGCCCACAGACTCCCTTCTGACCATGTCGCGACGAGAATTTGTCCCCAGCTCCGGTCGTCGGGTTTGACGGATGAGCACCTTGATGAGGGTCTGGTCGTTCTCCGTGTCACTGATCATAACCTTGTCAATGTTACCAGCGACAGGTGACTTATAGCTCATGGGCGCGTTCTTGTACGGTACTGTGGCAGCCTGACCGGTAAGGAATTGTCATTGGCATTGGTTGGCGTCTGCTTGTTGATGTAGAGTCACCAGGGTCGACACGTTCACCGACGCCCGCTAAGCCATCCATCTGGATGATGTCGAACTTCTTTTGAATTTGACCGTTCTCATCCACCGGTGCGTCCGCTAGTCGGTCGAAACTACGAAGCCCATCAATACTACGCTTAATAAGGTATCTCCATGGACGTACGTTCCGTTGGGGTACTTCCTGATCAGCGTTGCATTCTTGCGCAAGACCTGGCAACGGCCGTAGCCACGATCCAGGCTGGCCTAGCGCAGAGGGTGAGTTTTGGACGATTCCAGGGTGCGTGTCAGGTAGTGGGCAAACCTTGTTCAGAATAAGCGCATCCTCGATATCATAACCGGAATAGCTCATGACTGCCACCGTGGCGTTCTGTCCGGCGGGCAACTTGTCATAGCCAATCAACTCTATTGTCTTTGTCTTGACCATGGGTGCTGCGGGTAAACGGAGAGGTAGAGTAGGGTGTCTATCCGGTTCAGTGGTTGTAGCCGATCGCACCGATAGCTTGTTTACCCATAGCACATTGGTAAGTGTTACGCGGTGATTGGTTGTGATGAGGGTAGGGAATGAGCCCTGCGACGGCGCCAAGCAGCGTGAAGGGCTCGATCTCTAGGTGAGTCGTGGTAGGCCCGATATCGGACTCATACAGCGCAATGTACGAGTCGTTCTCTTCGTTCACATCGAGATACTCCACTAGGCCTCTGCGCAGGAAGTCATCGAAGGTGACCAGACCTTTCTTGAGTTCCTGGACGATCGATGGTGAGCGCCGCTGTAAACGGAACAGGAGACGGAATGTACCAAGACGTGATCAGATGTTACGCGCGGTCTACCGTTCTCGACAATGATCATAGGGCGGCAAATTCGTCCTCCGTCGCTGGCGATGAGCACGGTGCGGTGGTGATGGTTAATGTATACACTGACGAATTCGCTGAACCTCCCGGCGCGTCGCAGCTTCCGGAAGTTACTAACGAACCGCGCCGGGTAGCGAGTGAGCCCAATGATAGTGCCGTTGACATTGACAACGAAGACATTCGGCCCGTAGATCTCTGCCCCAGTCACCAAGCTGATATCTGTACATGACAACGACGCGTGGTCAGCATCGCACCAGCAGTGGAGCAGGGCGATGCAAAGGCACACCTTCGACGCCGAGCACGAACGCTATCTTGATGATCGGGTCCTCCTCCACGTCTGTCGTGATGTGTGTCATAAGCGCCAGGTTCTTGACCAGCCCGCAGGCCTCTCCTTCGGGGGTATCACTAGGACAGAGCATGCCCCACTGGCTAGGCTGCAACGCACGCGGACCACTGACCTTGCGCGTCTTCTCGAACTGCGACGAGATACGCGTCATCATTCCGAGGGCGGAGATGAAGGAGAGCCTGCTGAGGACGTGTGTGACGCCGGCGCGATCCATCTTGAATCGCTTCAACGACCAATTCCCCGTGGAGATGGCGCGCACGAAACCAGAGGTGATATGATCGCCTTGGAATTGCATTGTATTGAAGGCGTCGAACTCGCTTGTCCGAGAGGGCTTCTTCAGCACCTTGTCGATGGCAGACTTGAGATTGGCGTTGAACGTTTTGAAGAGATCTTCGAACAGTAGCGCCAAGAGTTGTCCCGCCCTGGTGAGACACGGGTCAGCATTGGTACTGAACGCAATAAATCTGTGCTAGATGAAATCAGACGCTTACAACTCGAGACGCTTGTTACCGACGTAATCCCTATCGTCTACCATCTTCTCGTCGTCCATAGCCATAAGCACGCGCCGCGTCATTGTCGCAACAAAGATCGCCTTCGATCGGAAGTCCAGTCCATGTACGGGCACATGAGCCAGGACAATGGTCGCAAGCGCTTCCAGCGCCTCCTCCCAAGCTGGCCGCCTCGGCCCAACTACTCGTCGATTGACTTTCACCCGAGATCCGATCCACTCTAGAGCTTGGTGTCGGGTGAAGATGCCTAGTTTGGCGGTCTCCTCAAGGTTTGGGGAAAAGGCAGACTTGTACGCCTCATGGGGACCGGCCGTCAGAAGGAGGATTTCCTTGTCGGACTGGATACCGAGCGCCTTGAGCGCGATGGCAATCGGCACGTCCTCGTGAATCGAGTTATGACGAAGATATATCTTGCCCTTCTTGGTTGCAACGTAAGTTTTGGACTTCAGGCCCCATGTGTCGATCTAGAATGAATTCAGTGCCGGACGCTGTGCTATTGTCGGAAGTAGACACGCACGATGTACACGACGCCTGTACAATGCCCTTCGTCGGATCCACCTCAACGATGATACGGTTCTTACTAAGCTGTTCCTGAACGAGAATGACTTTCTCCGTGCCCTTGACAATAAAATACCCTCCTGGATCCAGAGGACACTCGGTCATTCGCGCCAGCTGTGTTCGTTCCTTCCATTGAGCCAACACTTGTTACTCCGAAGCATGATAGGGATTCGACCAATATTGACATTCGCTCGCCGCACGACGCTCTTCCTCGGGTGTACTGGATTGTCACAAGAATTGGTGCGCTGTAGGTCGCGTCTCTCAAACGACATTCGTGCGGCGTCACGGTTTTGTCGATCGCGTCTGCGTCCGTACGATCCGGGAAGCCGACATGGATGTCTGTGTACTTCAGCCAGAAACGGGGGTCGACGTCCGACGTGACCTTGTTATTCGCCTTCAGGATATTCTTGATGTCGACGTCCACGAAGTAATTGAACGAGTCTATGTGCTGCTTGACTAGACCCTTCACTTTGAGGAAGGCCGGGAGCAAGAGCCATTTATCCTGTCAATTCGCGTTCAGATCAGTATGCCAAGGTGCGAACAACTCACAAGCACACCTCTACACTCTTGATGGGATCGGTCAATCCCAGCCCGCGCCAGTTAGGCTGACCGGCCTTCTCCCAGTCCTGGTCGTCCTCTTCATGACCAACCATGTCCGAGCAGCTGCGAGAAGGGTCCCCTCGCTTTCTGTATGCCCCCGGACTTGTCTCTGTAGTCGACGACGGCAAGGTAGGGTTGAGGAGGATTTGTGCAAAGTTAGGATGGGCCGAATGCAGACTCGCGCGTAGACTTCATTATAAAGATTCCCACGCTTAGTCCGGACTATAAAATCGTAGCGCCCGCCCGCCCCGCAGGCTCTCAATCGATCCGCCTCTTGACTGCGAGCTACGACACCTTCCCCAGCCACCTCGCACGACGTTCCCAACAATGTCGAGACCGTCCGCGACATCGACTCCATCCAACTCAAACACACTGCTACTCCGACGCCAGCTTGCTGAGCTCAAGAAACGTCCCCTCGATGGTTTCTCAGCAGGTGCGTCTCCGGTAATCACACCAATGGCGCACATAGTGGTTAACAATTCTCGCCATGTGTTCATCGCATGCTCGATGCTGCTTTTGCTGCGCGGCATTGACAACTGTAGGGCTAGTTGATGACAACAACTTCTACGAGTGGGAAATTATGCTCATCGGGTGAGTACATACAGTACCTCTCGCTCAAGCAAGTGCTGACTTTGAGAGCCAGGCCGCCCGATACCATCTAGTGAGTACAAATGTGCTATTTCATGGTTATCCTACCTAATCGCGGTGCGCTTGCTTCAGCGAGGGCGGCTTCTTCAGGGCTCGGCTCAGCTTCCCGGAGGAATATCCTCTGCTGCCACCCAAGATGAAGTTCCTCACGCAGATGTGGCATCCTAATAGTGAGTTCTATATAGTTCTTTTGAGGATCACGACACTCAACACAGACGCATCTCAGTCTACCCGGATGGCACCGTATGCATCTCGATTCTCGTTAGTGCAGTCCATACTTTCTCCATATGGTCTTCGCCAATGACATACACGCTCACAGCACCCTCCGGGCGAGGACCAGTATGGCTATGAGGACTCGGGAGAGAGGTGGTTGCCAGTCCACACAGTGGAGTCTATTGTGCGTCATATGCTTCCCTACACGACCCCCGCGCTGATCTAGTTATTCGGTGGAATTAGCTGCTGAGTGTCATCTCGCTGCTCTCATCCGAGAAGCCCAACCTAGACAGTCCCGCAAACGTCGACGCTGCGAAGGAGGTCAGGGAGAACTTTGATGGTATGTACCACCATCGCTTCGTGTCATTGACATACCCTGACAGACTGCTCCGCTTCGCGCAGCGTACAGGAAGCGGGTGCGACGCTTGGTCCGGAGAAGCGCTGAGGAGGCTTACGACTGAAATTGAAACCTCCGCCCCGATCCGGTCCGCTTTCTCCTTCAGGCTTCTTCGGTCATTGTCGTCATCATCGCTGTGTATCCCTATCCCATTGTCTGTGCTATCCCTTCTGAGTCTAATCGCATCACTCACCATTCGTATCGGCCCGCTGCCGTTATGGGTAGTGTACATATCATCCACCTACGACTTCTATATTCCCGCATGAATGAACACTCATGGTTTTGGCTGTGTACGACGGCCCCTTACTTCTGTCTTGTATTGGGTTGGCTGTTCCGATTTTCGGTACCCAGCTAAGTCCCTGATTCTCCCAGCTCACTGCATGGGTACTTATGTCTGGACGCCGATCACAAGCTCCATTCGTCGCCATTGAGAATACGGTATCTAGGAGACCAGCTTCCTCGCTTGCTGTCACGGTATGGAATAGGCATAGTAGACGGCTGGCTGAACGCATGGACTGGAACGCGGAGACGTATCAGCACAGCACAGTAAGTCAATATAGTTTAAAGGCAGGTCATAATGGCACCGTCACAACAACAGCCCTCTTACATGACTTCCAGAAAGACTGTGACGGTGCTCGCGGCATAGATCAGATATATTCGAGGAGCCGCCGCACCAGACAACTATGTATACATGCGCAACAATGCAAGCCACGGCCGACGCGCCAGCACAACGTGCATGAAGAACGTTAGGGGAACGCAAACGCCGCATGAATTGATGTGTACGACACCACTTGGACACCACTGGCACGGGGACACCGATGTCTGTCGGCCACTAGTCGAATGACTGCGCTAAACGTGTGGTCGACGCGGGGACCTGGCCCACCTGCAGTATGAAATACTCCTTGGGAACGGCGGGCCCATCATTGTCGGTCTCCGATCCAAAGAGCGCGGTCCATGCTTGCAGCCTGGTACGCTAACGCCCTGATCGCGATTCCAACGCCGCGAACTTTATGGTGGGTGCCCACCCTGCAGGCTGTGTCAGCGGAAATGAAGGTCCTGGTAGAGTATCGTGCTATCAAATCGGTCCGTATTTCTTACGTACACCCACAGCGTCCCACAAGTCGTGTATGCAGATTGCTCGAGCAGTGAGCCAATTACACGACGTCATACAAGGACCAGTATTACTGTTTCGCGATCAACTCTGCGGTCATAGTGGGGTCACAAATACATGCTTTTACTGTCCTCCGTGGTCGGATATATGATCAGACGAGGTCCGTTCAACCTCTGTTGCAATAACGGACCTACTAACATCTACTGACCGTCTAGTCGCGACATGCCCATCATTCCACCAATCTGTGAACAACACCCTCGACAAACTCCTTCTCGTTTATATCCGTGTCCACTTCCACAGCCGAACCTCGCTGTCGCCCAGCCCGCCTTTCACCGCTGCAAATAGCGCCGCGTCTGCCTCCGGGTCCCAAAACGGTGCGTCCTTGACGCTCAGTGCGCTCACGCCGCGTTTTGGTACCCAGATCTCCGTGATGTCTGGGTCCGCGTCTTTCAATCGTTCCCCGACCTGTCTCCCGAGGATCTTGCAATCCTCCGGCGACGTGCGCAAGAGCGTCATGCTCGGGTTGTGTTTGAAGAGATTCCGACCCTTGTAGTGCCCGGGGACCGCGTCCATGGGCCCGAAATTCGCCATGTCCAGTGCTCCGAGGGACACGACTTGTGGGATACGTGCGGCGGCTGCCGCAGTGAGGCGTTGGTCTCCTGCGCTCAGGACACCGCCCAGAAGAGCATCCGCGAGCTCCGTCGTGGTGAGGTCGAGAATGCCGGACCAGTACCGGGACTCAGCAAGCTTCTCCAGCGCCCTCCCGCCGGCACCGGACGCGTGGAAGACGTACGTGGTGCAAGGATAGGCGGCGAGTAGCTCTCGAGCGTAAGTCACCGCAGGTGTAGTCACTCCAAACATGGTGATAGCGATGCGTTTATCTCCAGAGTCCGAGCGGAACATCCCTGTGGTTGGAGATGGCACGGACTGATTGTCGCGAGACTGTTGGGCGCGGGCCATGCCTGCAATTGCGCCGGCCGCATTCTCCAGGATGGGAGACAGGATGCCGTTCAACCCTGCGATATCCACCACGCTGTGCATCATGCTCAGGTCGGTCTCGCCGACATATGCGTGGACGTCGCCACCGGCCACCGTGCTCACAATGAGCTTCGGGAAGCCGAGCGGAAGAGCAGCCCGCATCACTTCCGCGCAGAGGGACGACCCGCCGCTTCCGCCCAACCCGATAGCCCCATGTATCTCTTGTCCCCGATGCAGCGACGAAACCAGAGGGTCGTGTGCTCTATGATGGTCGAAATGAGCTCTCCGCGAGGAAGGGCCTGCAGGTCGGCCGGCGCTGGTAAGCCGGAGTTAGCGAGGATGTCGGCCTGCGTGAACGCGATTAACGGGTGGGAGCAAGGGTTTCTGCCTACGTCGACGAGCTTGCATTGAACGCCATGCTCTTCAACGAGCCTATTGTGAACGTATACAAGTTCGTCCAGCTTTGTGTCGCAAGTTCCGATGAGGAGGACGGTAGGCGTCGGCGTCGACATGACTTCATGCGTCAGCCAGTTGTACCGTGTGGAGCTCACCTGGGCGACGAAACGTATGCATGAGAATCTTGAAAATCGAACCATCCGTGTTGGGTCATATTCGGCACCATCTGACACAGGCCATCGTCATTAGCAAATTAGAGCAACGGAGCGGCGGATCAGGAGACTCGGAGTACCATTCACTGCACATGACGCAGCGGCTGACGTGGGGGCTACGTGACCCTTAGAAGCTTCGCACAGTGAGTATCATCGATTCCACGCACTCGCCTGCCCTTGTCCTAGACCATATCAGAGATGCCTCGTCCAGCTAACAGAGATGAAGCACTGAAGCGTCTGCGAGAGACGATTGCGTCAGGAGATATCATTCTGGGGGCTGGGGCAGGTAAGTCTAGCAACAGTCATACGAGCATGTGCCTCGAGCTGACTCCATCCTAGGAATCGGTCTTTCGGCCAAGTTCATTGAGAAGGGAGGGGCGGATCTGATCGTCCTCTACAATAGCGGCCGCTTCCGCATGGCAGGACGTGGCTCACTAGCAGGCCTCATGCCCTACGGTGACGCCAACGCCATTGTCCTTGACATGGTTCGTCCGTTGCTGACCGCATATCGATGTCTTCGCTGAGGGGCGTTCGCAACCACAGGCAAATGAAGTTCTTCCCGTCGTGCAAAATGCCGGGGTCCTCGCAGGCGTTTGCGGCACCGACCCATTCAGATCCATGCCGCGGTTCCTTCGGCAGCTGGTGGATACTGGTTTCTGCGGCGTGCAGAACTTCCCCACCGTGGGCCTGATCGACGGCAACTTCCGCCAGAATCTCGAAGAAACTGGAATGAGCTACGCGCTGGAGGTCGAGATGATTCGGGAGGCGCACCAGCTCGGGCTCCTGACCACGCCTTACGTGTTCGATGTCGAACAGGCCGTCGCCATGACGCGGGCGGGTGCCGATGTACTCGTTGTCCACATGGGCCTGACTACCTCCGGCAGCATCGGCGCCCAGACCAGCGTGACTCTGGACGACTGCGTGAGCACGATTCAGGCGTGTCGAGATGCGGCTGTGAAGGCCAACCCGGACATCATCGTGTTGTGTCACGGAGGACCGATCGCGCGGGCAGAAGACGCAAATTACGTCTTGAGCAGAACGAGGGGGGTTCACGGATTTTTCGGCGCGTCCAGCATGGAGCGTCTGCCGGCGGAGGTCGCGATCGAGGAGAACACGAAAGAATTCAAGAGGCTGAAACCAGGGGTCTAAGGGAACTGCCAGCGATGAGGGGGTTGAAGATACACGAACTCCGAGGTTCACCACATGTTGTATAGTAATTTCTCGTCTGGCTTCCGTCCGAGCGGTCTCAAGTCGAGCTAGTTCTTTGTTCCACTTGCATGCCCGCAGACAAATGACGGCACCCTCGGCCCGGTGCATTCATATGTGCCACTGAATAAAACGCCACCGGAGGAGGGCTGCCAGTGTCTCAGCGGAGCCCTGACCGATGTGTTCGCTCGAGGGGCGACGAGTTCCTGCAGCGCCAGCCCATAGATGAATGTCATAGAATTGAATGGCAAGTCACCGTCTGTGCCGCCTGTAAGTTTTTGCGAAAATGAGGAAGTGCTCGTATCTTTAGGGACACACTGACCAGATGAGGTGCATGGCTTTCCACGATCAGCGCCAGGAAGGCAATGTGTGTATTCTGGGGACCGTGACGCGCGGCGTTGGCATCTCGCGAAAAGCTGAAGAACTTTGCACGAGAGGCTGTGAGGTGTCCCGGAAATGATCGGGCTGCGATATGGACGATATGAGATTGGCGACGGGGTGTGCTGGAGTTGTGTTTATCGCCACAAGGCAACTCCTCGCACATTCAGCCCCTCCAGCCCCAATAATTCATTGTGCAGGAAATTTAACATTCCGACAAAGAACCAAGGTGATCTAGGGACATCTCAATGGCCTCAATCATAGAAGGAAGCGAAGTTTGACATACACAGCGGCGCCCTCAGGCTTGGTGAATGAAAGCTGCCATTGTCGTCTAAGTGAACGAAGCTTCGGACGACATTTGATCCGTTCAGCTCCATTCAAAGGCTCACAGTAATGGGGTGCATTGCAAATGTTCGCATTTTAATGGGCCCTGTACCAAGGGTGCGGCTGAGGATATTAGGATATGGATGCGGCGCCACAATATTGTCACACGTACCTGAGGTACGAAGTGATAACTATGGACTCAGTACTCCGCTGTTTCGGTGACCTGCCAACATAACCTTAAGACCGGGTCAATCCACACGATGGCCTGGCAGAAGAGCTTGTTTGCATCCGTGTTGATTGATGGATGTTCACCGGGATCTGCCACACAAAATGTGTTTGGGGCTAAGGCGTGAGTGCGAGAGAACAAGGATGGGTAAGTGAGATGCGTCACAAAGGTTTCTGGGCAGCACGGTAAAGGCTCATTGAATGAACGTTGCCGTTGCTGTCAGGTCGAAAAGTGGACCTTTAAGTCGTTTTCAATTGCTGCGGTAACAGAGAGCGACAGCCGCGTGTGAAGCCTGTTCCCCAAGTGAGGGCTCATTCGGCAGCCTTCAATGCAGCGGATCATCATGCGTCTAGCCAAGCTCATTCGTCGACCGCGGATACTGACACGAGAGGACTCAGTGAATTGGGACACCAGGAAAATCTTATATTCCGCACTGAAATTTACCTTGCCGCGATGTCAGGCCTGTCAGGCGTTGACGTGGGTGAGACAACTGCGCAGAAGATGCAGTACCAAGTGCGCAGCCCAAGTCGCTGGACCCTACTCGCAGCAACCCAATCATAAGGCTTCGACGAAAGGAATAGGGACGTGTCTCAATGTACTGCTGTTCAAAAAAAGTCGAGCGGTTTCGGGAGGATTGAGCACTCACTCTATATTTCCAGACAAAAGGAGATATGTCTGAGCGAGGTACGCCGAGAGACGTTGGTCCCAAACTTGAGGAATGATATGTGCGTTGACGTCCCTAGGAAAAATGCAGGCGCATCTCTCAGCTGGCAAATATTGAATATTGAGGATGGTATGCCGAACGGAGAGGCTTGGTCGTGGTACAGTGCAACTCGAGCCGTCAGGCTCTCAAGCCACAAGCAAAGCCGTTGTTGAAAGTAACGTTAGGAAGTAAAGCTGAGCACGACAGATCGAGTAGGAGAAGGTGCGCGCACTGCGCGGGCCGGTGCACGAGCGCTACCGTCCGCTGCAGCGAGCGCCAGTGTCGCAGCCCCGCTCACGTCCCCACCGCCACCGCCTCCACTGGCAACTCGCTCGCTGTCCTCCTCGTCGACGCCGTCCATCATGTCCGGCCCAGCAGAACAATCTTTCAGAAATAATCTCTCCCAATTCCGATGGGCACAGTCAAATAACGCGGAGCCTCAGCAGGACGCGGCGGGTCCTCCGTCAGGGCGGTTCGCGCGTTTCTACAACGCCATTGGAGGTGGCTACATACCCTTGCGCTCGACGGAGCGGTCAAACGATGAGGAGGCGTACTTTGCACTATCAAGATGGGAGAGGTACGCGCGGTACTATAGCCTTGTGAGGGTGAACTAACGAATGTGCTTACGATGTTGCGCGCACGGTACGTGGCGATGTTCTATTGCATTCGACCCGTAGGCTGCTTGGATTCGGAGGCTGCTTGATTGGCGCAGCAGTCTGTTTCTTCGTCGCGTTCTTGACGCTGCCTATGATTGCTCTCCGACCAGCAAAGTTCGCCCTTGCGTTCAGGTACGTAACCACAATCCTCTACTTCGTTTCCTGCCTGACAATGTTCGGTTGATGTAGTCTGGGGAGTTTGCTGATCATGTTTGGGTAATTGGAGCAGCCGTACGCTTGACCGTTTTCTCTTCCTGACGCGTCTCCCCCAGATTCTCGGTCCTCATTGGGCCGATCAACCACTTAAAACACCTCGTATCCAAAGAACGGCTACCGTTCTCGTGCGCGTACATCGGTAGTCTGGCCCTTACGCTCTACTTCTCCCTTGGAGTGAGTTCCACTACTTGCGCGTGTAGGCCCTACTCACGACGCACCGCACTATCTCCAGCCACATTCATACCTCGGTTCCCTCATAGGCGCCATCATACAAGTGAGTATACCATAAAAATGTGTTTTGTGCGTTGGTCTAACCGGCGTGCGTAGGTTGTCGCTCTAGTTTCCTACGTGCTCGCATACTTTCCAGGAGGGGTCACAACACTGCGCTTCGGCGGCCAAATGGCCCTGCGGGGGGCTGGCAACCTGCTCCCGTTCTGACGTGTATACTTACTGTTATTGCTCCTGCCGTCTTGGGATGTTTATGCTAGCCAGATTCAGTGTGCTTGTTCCGACATCCCTGATAACACATATGTACAAGACTACTCCTTTTGGGATCCCTGCGTTGAAACTGACAATGTTCACGAGATGTATGTATCCCCGTCCTGTCCTCCCTCCGGTTCATCCTGCAAGCCAACCGTCTCCTTGATCCTCCGCGACATGATCTCGATATAGCTTTCGTATGACTGCCATTCCTTCCCGACAGTGTCCTCGGTCTGGATGGGGCATCAATAACAGCGCCCTTCCGACTACAGGTACCGAAGGAACGTACCAAATCCAGGCTCTCCAGCTTGTGGAACGCAGGCACAACCTTCCTCGCGGCCTCTACCTTCAACGTCTCAATGTCGGGTGATGACGCGAAGCGCATGGTGTGCGATATCGAGCCTTTAAGATCGGGGTTGTTGATGTGCCTGCCTTCGCAGTAGAACTCCAGGTGCCGCCACAACAGCAACAGGAGCATCTCCAGCGAGCCTGTCGAACGTTATGAGACACACCTAGCAGAAACTGGACTGGGGCTACTCAGGGTGACGTGCGCACGCCGACCGGCGTCGGTGCGCCACCGAGCCAGTTGCCTTGCGATCAGCGATTGCCTCTGTCGCATGTCGAGGTTCTCCAACAATGCGGGATCCGACATTGGGATGATCTGTACACAATATCAGTTTTCGTGGCTTCCAAGTACCGAGTATATGCGGTCTACGTACGTCCTCGATGTTCTCCACCCGTATGTACGTCTTCGAGTTCAGCTCAGCCGATATATCCGCTATTCGCTTGATTGAGGAAGAGAGGTCATCACAAAGATGATTCAGTGCCTCGATCGCATCGCCAACAGTCGGTACCGTGGCTTGGAGATCCATCAGTATGTTAGGCCTTCACTGTCAGGGAAGCTGTCACATACCCAAGAACCGAGACGTCCGCTCTTCCTTCGGCGTCGTCACGATCGGCGAGAAGACGAGAGTGATGTCCGGTTCTGAAATATCGTTAGCGTCGCATTCAGCCAATCCTACTTGCTCTCCTCACCCGTGAACTCACTAGCCGCACCTAAGTACGCAGTCAGCGCCCTACGCAAGAGCCGTTCTCTGTCGTGTACGGCGAAACGGAACCTCGTCTCCGTGCCGTAAGCTATAAACAGCCTCAGTTAATGATCACGGTACAGAACGTGTTAGATACCTGAACCCGTTATGCCTGCGTCGACTAACTCCGCGTCGCTCTGTGGCCTCACGGCTTCTGACCAGTGTCCGTTTCCGAGACATCTTGTGGCCAGGCCGGAAATCGCAGCATGGATACCCCCAAAGCCCGAGCTGGAAAGCTGTGGAGAGTGAGCATGTAGAAGACCTGAGGCTTAGCATACGATTTACCAATTCTGTCTTGGGAACTAGATGGAGGACATTGGCACATAATGAGACAATGAGACGCATCTCCTCGATCACTGCCAGGGACAGTTCGTCGACCTCGTTTTTGAGGAGGATGATCAGAGTGTCTCTGTGGCTTGAGAGGAATTGCAGAGCCTGTGCAGCGAACGTACTCAATGAGCAGAGCAGGGTACGGGAGAGAAAGGACGCACGTGGTTGACTGCTGTCGTGTGCCGGTGGCCCAGAGTGACCAATATACCACTGACAAGCTGTAGAGCTGGCAAGAACAGTTGATGGTACCTCTGGACCGCAGAGGGCAAGAACGAGTCGTGATCTGCCGATACCATTAGTAGCAGATCGTCCTACAGGTGGTTCGCCAAGACTTACCCATGAATGCCTGATCAGCCTCAGGTCTCGCATCGAGGTATTCACAGTCAGCCAGTACTGGGATTGTTCTGGACTCCAGCAGTCGCTCCGCCCCTTGACGACTTTGCGACATGCGAATGAGCAGAGACATCTTTGCTTCGTAGACATATAACGAATTCAGGTCATCTGAAGGCGATTGTGAGCTCTAAACCTTGTGGAAGGCCCGCATTAAGCAGCACGAACCTGGATCGGGTTTCAAGACAGCTTGAAGTCGCGAGTCCGACTCCTTCAAACCACTAACAAATCCGGCAAGGAAGCCATGACGCGCAAGAGCTTGAAGCACAGTTGGCGTGTGCTTCTCCCAGCGGGCCAGTCGCACCAAGGAGTCGAGGAGCATGAAAGCCACAGTCTTCCAAACTTCTGTCCCATCGATCGCGTCTCGAGATACAATGATGACCAGACGCTCCATGACGCTCTTCAGAATCGATAATGTACCGCTGATGTGAGTCGCTCCTGCAGGGGAGCGCGGGAAGCCAACCGCCAGGCCGTCGGCTGCAGACAGGCTGTCTGGGCTTAACGACGACGTCAAGGAGGAATCCAGGCCGGATGCATCCAAGTCTTGTCCATTGTTCGACGACATCACCAAGTGTAAATAGTTGACGAGGGATGCGTAGAGGTTTCCACGAACGAGCTCCACGCGACTATTATCCACTATGCACTCCAGAATACTGCGAAGAAGTGCATGTAATCGCTCAGCAGGTAACGAGCCAGCTTCGACATCGCCACCAGCAGAACGTAACAGGATTTGATGGTGTCGATCTTCGCGCAGTTTCGTTATAGTCGAGAGCATTGCTTCGGCCAGCAAGATGGCAGTCGACTCCTGAGTGTTCGCAGATCGCATGATCAACGGCATTACGTGGAGGAGATCGAAGAGCATGTCCTCTCGACGGTCGTAAGGCAATCGGTTGAAACACTTCATGAGGGTCATATCGAGGAGTCGTCTCCAAGCCTCGTAAGCATTGGCAGCTGCGAAGCGGACCTCCCGTCGATGGTTCTCGATGGCACAGCTCTGCAGGACATAGTTGATCTCGGCCGTCAGCTGCTGAAGATGTGTAGGCGTGACGATTTGACTCTGCGTATGAAGGACCTTGCGCGCTGATGCCAACAACGACAGCAAAGCGGTCCGGTCAACGATCTCACAGCCGTCTTCGTTGACGCGGACACAGCTCTGAAGGTTCAGCTGGCTCAAGAATTGGAGCTCCATAGGCTGAACCGTTAAACCATCGGACCAGTCGAAGTCCAGGGACTGGAGGAACTCGACCATGCGCAGATGGGACTGCCCTACTTCGTGAAATGGCCTGTAAATATCGCCCCCCCAACCCTCAGCACCGACCTCCACGTATCCGCCCTCGTTGCCGAAGAGAAGCTCTAAGAGTTCCGCGACGGTTTTGTGGTGACCCTTGTTGACGAGGACATGGAGCTCGAGAGCGATGAGGTCCATTATCCAGGAACGAAGCTTCAAGAATGCGGCAATGTTTGGGACAGTAGTGACGACGCGCGAACCATCGTTATACACGACCTCGATACATGGTTCTCGCTCGGCGCCCGGAGCCTTGAACGGAATCGCAGCAAGATGCCGCGCGAAAAAATCTTCCCGCGTCCGCAGTACCGCATCGTTGAGTCCGAAGTCCGGGGATGTTTACATAGCTCGTACATGACGTGATAGCATCGTTCCGCTAGGGCAGGAAGTACGGCGAACAGCGCGTCACCAGATGCAGGTTGCCTGCGCTCGCGTCCCTTCCCTTTCATTCTAGGCACGCCGGAGTTGAGAAGGTCGAGAATCGAATGGATGCAAGATCGCCGAGCACCAAGTGCGTGTGGGTCCTGGATCTGATTGTTGGCGGCGGAACCACCGAAAAGCAGCCAGTGTGCAATGTTCGGATATGGCCTGTTCTGATGTGTGTTGTGGATGAAGAAGTCCAACGTGGCGAGTCGAATAGCCTGCAGTAGTGCATCGGATGGTTCATCAACAGTGTGAGCGCCTGCACCTGTACTCTGCTCCACAAAGGTCTCTGCAGCATCCACGTCTTCCAACACGTTGCAGTCCATGATGGATACGTAGCCATCGAGAATCCGGTCAGACTCTGCGCTTCTCTCGATAAGTAGTGCAAGTTGCGTAAAGGACGAAGAGGCTGCCAACGCCGTGAGGATCTTCACACTGAGAAGCACAAGTTCGGGGTAGGCTGGGTAGGCCACGTACGCCGCGACCGCCGGGACGTGTTCGGGGGAGTAAGACAGGACCTGATCGAACCGCGTGAAGTACGAAGCGTGTGGCACATCCCCTATGTCCGGATCGTTGAGCTCTGCGAGTAACGGGAGGAAGACATCCAGGAAAACGTCTTGAATGTCGAGGACGCGGTGAATGATACGCAAGACACGGACGATGGTCGTCCTAAAGAAGTATTCCTCTTCGGCGAATCCTCGATCAAGGCCGTCCAAACCGTCCACGAGGTAAGACAGCATATTAGTCTGCAGAGTGGATGCAGTGAGCAGCCGCTTCATGATGTCGAAGCCAGGGTGGACAGCGAGCTGCAGGAGATCGTCACCTTTCGGCTGCAGCTCATCTGTGCTCGTCACAAGGGATTCGAGGTCATAGCTAGCCAAGCAGCGTTCGATGAAGCACAGGCAGAGATCGTTCGTCCGCCACCTGTCTGCATGACGCAGGTATTCCCGAGCATTGATCCTCGAGAAGACGTTGTCGATTACGAATGATGAGAACGGGCCAATACCGGGCTGCCTATACGGTTGTCCGAAGTTCTCGGGGATTGTGTTGATTGGCTCTGCGTCCGCAACGCGGTCCCTAAGCGGAATGCTCTTCGGGGTGTGTATAAGGGTGCTGAGGAGCTTCAGGAAGGGAATCGTCGCAGGGTACATCTTGTAGACCGCTTCGACTTCCTCCAATTCCACTTCCACGCCCTTGACTGTAGAAAGTGAACCTCCGAACCCGGTATTAACGCGCACGTTGATGACTTCCATACGCTCCATGAGTACCCACACCGATCGACAGATCTCCACGCCGGCACTGCCCGCGCCCGGCTCGCAGAACGCTGCCAACGTCTCAAAAATCGAGCCCTTGAGTTCGAGAGGGATACCAAGCGGGACAAGGGATACAAGGGTGGGGATAGCACGGAAGCGGGCGTGGCCGCTGATTGTGACTCTGACCGCTACCGAATGTGTGGCGACAGTTGCCAATAAGCGAAGGAATGCTTGTGCAAGCAAGACGTCCTGCTGAGTGAACGCGAGTTGTGGTGGCGGTTGTGGTGGCTGAGGAGCTTGCCATTGCTGCGCGGCACCGAAGCCGGACTGTATTCCGGTCATCTGCGGAGGAGCTTGGTTGTTGCGCGGCGCAGACCCAGCCGTGACCCACGAATCAAGAAGGCCAAAGATGGCGCTCCACGAGACGGCGGGGCCACCGGCGAGATGCGCACTGGAGGACGAGGCCGGTGCGCCCCCTGGGACGGCGTCTCCTCCACCACGCGCCAGGAAGTTATACGCGAGCTCGCTGCACTGCTGCCCTGTCGCGAGACCACTGAGCATGTCATACAACGCCATGAGCATGTCCACATCGCGTGGCTGGGTTGACCAAACAGCCCAATTGAGGAACGCAGGCAGCTTTCCCGAACTTGCCTCCATAGTTTCAGCGTACGTTGATCGCCTGCCGTCGGGGATGGAACCGCCTCCCCAGAAATGCAGCGCGCGCTCCGGAGGTAGCGTCGAGTACAGAAGACCGGTCAGTGAAAATAGCACGGCCATGTCGTTGCGAGGAGGTGCGCCGGGCTTGTCTGCCTCCGAGCTGCCAGGTGCGAAGCGGGCTGATGGTTGGGCATGCGACGAGCGAAAGGCCCTCGTCTGACCAGAACGAGCGCCAGCGAGAAGTAGATCCTCCTGTCGCTGCTTGATCTTGCGCAGCTCGGACGAGGCTTGGCCAATCATTGAGCGGATGAGGAGCTCGCATGCCTCTAGAATGGCAGGCTTGAACTCCTCTGCTGGGAGTTCTGACGATGGGTCCTGCTCGGTTTGCGCAAGGAGGTTTGACGCGAAGGAGGTGGGTGGGTAAGCAGCGTGTTTCTTCTGAAGTCGTGCAATCATACGCAAGAGGTAAGTGAAGCAGTCGCCCTGCACTGCGTTCCAGATCTGTGTCTCGAGCTCCTCTGTCTTGAATCCTTCCGCGTTCTCCAGCGGCGGGTTCCGTTGTCGCGTCTCAGCGAGGAAAAGGGTCCACTTCAGCAGCATGGTGGCCTTGAGACCGGGTTCCTTCCACTCAGTGCCGATGTCAAGCTTTTTCCTCATGTAGTTCATGAGGCCTTTGTCAGAAACGTATTGCTTGCGCGCCAGACCAGCATTTGAATCGGGCCGCACAATGTCAAAGACTGCGAGGATGGTAGGAAGGATGTAGAACGTCATGGGGTGTTGAGGGTTCGCGTCCAGCCAGTCGATGAGCTTTGACACCTCGTTGGGGGCTAGAAAACCCATTCGGCCGAGGAAGTACAACGCCATCGCAAGGGTCCGCCGCTCGTATTTGAGCGAATCGCACCGCGCAGTGAGAATATCCGCACCCAGCGATGCTTGGGCACCTGTTAGGTTCGCAAGTCGTCAGCTACTATCTTACATATATGTCGATTCAAAGAGAAAACATGATGCTCGTGTGGAAATTAGCTATGTGCACCTAGCCAAAGGGCTCAGACGAAGCATGCGTCGAAACATTGCCGACGCGCCACTTCGATGAAGCCCCGCGTACCTCACGGCCTAGAAGTACTAAATTCCAAAACAAACGTACTCACCTTGTGTAGGTGCAACCGTATCACTCCTCGCGTTCTGTCTCGCTACCTGCACCTTCGCAAGCACGTTGCTCAAGTTATGCATCTCCTGGAAAATCTTGAACGCCAATGACAAGCCGCTCCGAGCTCCCTTCGTCGGGGGAAGCAATTGTTGGCGCACAAAGGTCTCTAACCGCACATACAACTGCGGACATCCCCTGCCTCACCCAACTGCGCCGCCTCGAGGATGTACTGCAGGCAGTCGGCAAGGTGGCGGCGCCGTGTGTGGAACTCAAGAATGGTGGCCTCGATGCAGCGCTCCATGGGGACGTTGGGATTCACGGACATGACATGTTGTAGGAGGTTCGCCGCGTGTCGCTCGGACACGTCGAGTTCTTGGGAAATGAAGAGAGTTTGTCGAGCAAAGTCGGGGTTCACAGCGTGCGGTCTGCCATTGACTGTGATCTTGCCTGAATATGATTTTAGACCAGCTACGTCTTTTCTGGATCAGACAATATGCACGCACCTATTCCAATCTCGTTGTTCTTGCGCGTTTCGTGGACCGACGTCGTAAAGGTTCGTCAAAAGCGGCTTATGGGCCATGAGCTCTTCGAAGAACTCCTGCTCGCCATTTTGGAGCCCACGCGGGCTGAGTGCGGACAAAAGCAACGTCCGCAGCTGCGTCACGGAAGCCAGAGAAGACATTGAGTAGGTAGTCGCCGTGGACCGCGGCGAAGGTGGTGGTGGCGGTCGAACACGCTCTGCGGGCGTTCGACGCGTCGGACGCGCTTGAGCGTGTCTGAGCGCTTGGTCCTTCTTCTCGCCCACGAGTCTAACACCGTCCCGCTCGTTGTTCTAAGCCTCTTTCTTCTCTCCTTTGACGACCAGAATGAGTGCTAGCCCTATTGTGTACCGGCAATATACGGGCGAGTCCGATTTGCCTCACATCATGTCTCTCGTCCAGCATGAACTGAGCGAGCCGTATGTCATATACACCTATCGGTACTTTTTGCGACAGTGGTGAGTCTCGTTCATACCTTGCAATCATCATACGGAGATATTGAACGATGTTAGGCCCCAACTATCCTTCCTAGTGAGCAGCTCAGTCGACCCGATGTGTGAGACAGTGTGGTGAGACGGCTGTACAGGCATATCCCGACGAGAACTCCGACCCAGTAGGTGTCATTGTGTGCAAGCAGAGTATGCACAGGGAAGCAAGGAACAGAGGGTACATTGCCATGCTGAGTGTGCATCGAGACTGGCGAAAACGAGGTATCGGTGCGTACCCTTGAGCTCGTCCAGCCTGAAAGTGCTCTCTCGCTGACAGTGGCACTCCTATCAGCCAGTACACTTGTTCGCCGCTCGCTCGCTATCATGAAACTCCAAGGGGTCGAAGAGGTGGGTGTATGCGTGTCCAGTCTGCCTCTTTTGCTCATCACCGTTCACTCGTCAGGTTGTTCTCGAGACAGAGTACGACAACTCCGCCGCGCTCTCTTGTATGAATCCCTCGGGTTCATACGTGAGAAGCGACTCTTCCGCTTCTACCTCAATGGCAAGATGCGTTCAGATTGGTCTTGTCGTCCCGCCGGGTTCTGAAGACGAGCAGATAGCATCGACACCCCTTCCCCAGTACCACCGAGACCTCTCTTCCTAGCTCCACCACAATGATCCCATCCCTGCTTGCCTTATGACGCCGACGAGGCTTCTGCGCGGTAGACACCACTGCAGTACTGCATAAGTTACGTTTCCTTAATGCTGTTTCGTCTACTCCCTTATACTCCTCTTGGACTGCGACTGCTGTTACGGTATCTTAATATAGCATTCACCTGTCAACGTGCTACACTTCTCGATCCCCACTCTGCCTTGTAGCTGTGCTGTAAAACGGTGTACATTAGACATGAGCCCAACGAAGGATAGCAGTTCCTTGCAGTCTGGTATGACGTGGATGCATCGAATTGTCTGTCGGATTTCACGAAACTTCGACGTGTGCGTCAGTGTCTCAGTCAAGCCCATAAAGTCCGATCTCTTGTCGCACAGCAGTTCAGCGGATACGTGTCAACCAGACGTGGCACCACAGCAATATTCAGCGGAGAGCACAGCTTCAAGCGTTGTGGTCAGAGAAGAACAGATGGCGGCGTGGTCGGGAGTAGGAGACCTCTGGAAGGAAACAACTGTGTGTGTAATGTTGCTACAAATTCTTATATGGGGACAAGTAATGCGTTGTAGTACAATGATCGACCGATTAGATCTACTGAAACAAGCATACAAGAGAAGTCGTTACATAACTATGGGTTTGAACGCGAAAGCCGTATGGACGATAAGTCAGGCGTGTATGAGTGTCCGGGGTCCCACATTTCGAGAATGTTGACGTGGCGCGTCGAGGCAGCCGCGTATAAGAGCGCGTCGTCCACGGCGCGCACAACTTACAACACTTCCTCCATCATGTCTCTGCCCCGTCGCCCGTCGCGGTCGCAGTCGCGCCGCGTGGTGTCGTCAATATCTCTTCTTTTCATTGCGCTCGTCGCCATTCTTTGCTTGTGTCCTGTCGCGGTCAGTGCTGATGAAGACAAACGATCGGAATATGGGACGGTCATTGGTATTGGTGAGTTTCCTGCCTATTATTATGGGTGGAATGGGGAGCTGGGGGAGCAGAGGGGTGTTAAGGACGGGGATAGTCGTCGACGTATCATGCTCCAACTGAGTAGGTCGCCACGAGAAGCAGATACTGAGGTGTCTTGACGGACAGTGCAATCACTTGAGATTGCATCACCGTACTACCTAGTTGCTCTTAGGTTGGACTGATTGCCAACTTTGACCTGCTCATTGAGCTTAGGTGTTTGCCGAATCGCAGAGCAAGCAATGCCCCGCCCCCTTGTTCCGACCCTTCATGGAAGTCAATGCTGATTCATATTCTGTCCACAGATCTTGGTACAACGTGAGCCCGTGTCTGTAGCTAGCTTAGTTCGTGCGCGCTGACGTGTCATTGCAGTTACTCTTGCGTGGGTGTACAACGAGGAGGCCGTGTAGAGATTATCGCGAACGACCAGGGTCACCGGATAACGCCATCATGGGTCAGCTTCACGGATGACGAGCGTCTTGTCGGCGACGCAGCGAAGAATGCGTTCCATTCCAATCCCGAGAACACTGTCTTCGACGCGAAACGTCTCATCGGTCGCAAGGTCGATGACCAGGAGGTCAAGCGCGACATGAAGCACTGGCCATTTAAGATTGTCGGCAAGAACGACAAGCCGGTGATCCAAGTGAAGTACCGCGGTGAGACGCGTGACTTCGTGAGTACCTTGGCTCTTCTGTGCATGAGCCAACCTGAATTTGCGTGCGTGTCAGACCCCGGAGGAGATCTCGGCCATGGTCTTGAGCAAGATGAAGGAGACCGCTGAGGCATACCTCGGAAAGACCGTCACGCACGCCGTTGTCACCGTCCCTGCATGTAAGTGTTGTAGCTCACATCTTTTCGTCCGATTTACTGACTGTATGTGCAGACTTCAATGACGCTCAGCGCCAAGCCACGAAGGATGCGGGCACGATCGCCGGTCTCCAGGTCCTCCGTATCATTAACGAGCCCACGGCCGCCGCCATCGCGTACGGTCTCGACAAGAAGGGCGGCGAATCTCAAATCATCGTCTACGATCTCGGTGGTGGAACCTTCGATGTTTCGCTGCTCTCAATCGACGACGGCGTCTTCGAGGTCTTGGCCACTGCTGGTGACACCCACCTCGGTGGTGAGGACTTTGACAACCGCGTGATGGACTATCTCATCAAGCAGTACAAGAAGAAGACGGGGACCGAGGTCTCGGGCAACTTGCGCGCGATGGGCAAGCTTAAGCGTGAGGTGAGAAGGCGAAGCGCACCTTTCGAGCCAGCAGTCACCCGCGTCGAGATCGAAAGCTTCGAGAATGGCAATGACTTCTCGGAGACGCTCACTCGCGCCAAGTTCGAGGAGCTCAACATGGATCTGTTCAGGAAGACGATGAAGCCGGTTGAGCAGGTGCTCAAGGACGCGAACTGAAGAAGGAGGATGTCGATGAGGTGGGTGTTCGACGCAGTGACTCGCGTGCTGCTGACTTATATTTGCCTCAGGTCGTCCTTGTTGGTGGTCGACTCGTATCCCCAAGGTCCAGCAGCTCCTCAAGGAGTACTTTGGCAAGGAGCCTCGAAGGGTATTAACCCCGACGAGGCCGTCGCGTACGGTGCTGCCGTCCAGGGTGGATTCTCTCGGGCGACGAGATCTCGGTGACATCGTCCTTGTGATGTCTGCCCGCTTACGCTCGGTATCGAGACCACTGGCGGCGTGATGACCAAGCTCATCGCCCGCAACACCGTCATTCCCACGCGCAAGAGCCAAATGTGAGTGATCATTATCGCGGGTGGGGGCGCGTGCTGACGCCCACGAATCAGCTTCTCGACGGCCGCAGACAACCAGCCTACAGTTTGATCCAGGTCTTTGAGGGAGAGCGGTCGTTGACGAAGGACAACAACTTGCTCGGCAAGTTCGAGCTCTCTGGCATCCCACCCGCGCCCCGCGGTGTCCCGCAGATCGAGGTGACGTTCGAAATTGACGCGAACGGTATCATGAAGATCTCCGCGAAGGACATGGGAACGTGAGTGATGCTTCTTTGTAAGCATGTAGAGCCGTGACTGATTTCGTCCACAGCGGGAAGTCAAACTCTGTTACGATCACGAACGAAAAGGGCCGCCTGTCGCCCGACGACATCGAGCGTATGGTCAAGGAGGCGGAGGAGTTCGCGGCGGAAGACGAGGCACAGCGGAAGCGCATCGAGGCGCTCAACGGGCTCTCGGCATTCGTGTTCGGCCTCAAGTCGCAGCTCGCAGACCAGGACAACTTGGGCGGCAAGTTGGAAGACGAGGACAAGAAGAGCCTGCTCGAGATCATCAAGGACACTACGGAGTGGATCGATGAATCGGGCCAGGGCTCCAGCGCCGAAGATCTCGAGGAGAAGTTGCAGGGTGCGTTCGATCATCCTTGTTGCGTTAGTGTATAAGGTGCTGATATTTTGGGTTTGCAGAGGTGCAGGCGAAGGTGTCGCCGATCACGAGCAAGATCTACGCGGGTGGCCAGTACGCCCCCGGTGCAGACGACGAGCAGGACCCGCTCTACTCCCACGACGAGCTGTAGTGGCTTGTTACGTAGTCACGAGCTAGTATTCTTCATTTATTCTGTTTGGAGGCAAAATAATATTATACATTCGGTCTACGCGTCCCCAACGTTGTGTGCGACTCAAAGGACTCTTTTCGTGAAAGACTTAGACAGTTCACTGAGTCAACGAGGAAGGAAATGAAGGAGGCCACGATGTTCGATACATGTCGATCGACTGGTCACCTTCATGCTAAACGGCGTTAGGCGCGCAACGCCTCTCTCTTCGCGCACCCCTAAAGTTGTCTTTGAGCTTTCGAGAGAGCCTCGAATTGTGCGGTTCTACCACCCCCCTTTCCCTTTCACCGCACATATCGCCAAAATAATACAGGTATACATCCATATACAATTCGCTCGACGCGTTCCTGGCACTAAGTACTGGCACAGATACGAAGCTACCGCAGTTGGGAACATTCCACCCTAGCAGCTTACCCGTTACTTGCATTGCTCGAGGTCTCTTCACGTCACAGGTCCCGGATTTCGGTTTGGGGCAATCCGTAGGGCCGCGCCCCGCACTCGGCGACTCGCGACAACAATCCCTCCCACTGAAGAGCTTGACTCTCCGGCTCTCTACAATTGCGCGGCGATCTCTGCTTAGCATCTAATCATCCTCTACTTACTTCAAAGCAACGCACTACCATATCGGTTCATAGGTAGCCTTTGTACGGACCATTCTGGCGTCTGACTGTTGTGTAAGTAAAGGCGTTCATATATGCCCATACTGCAGCAACTCATGAACCTTTTACTTGCTAACTTGCATAGTCACATCGTGCCGCGATGAATAGTGCTACTTGCGAATGCCTTGCGTCGGCAAATGAACTCCTAGCTGCTCATTCTGCCTTGGTCTCTCGTATACGCGCGACGCAGAAACACCATCGTCGCCAGCTCAGAGCTCTATCTTCGCCGCCCTTTGACATTCTTAAATCACCATTGATCCTTCGCCTCCACCTTCACCGCCGTTATCACCGCCTTCTTCCCCTCAACTTCCCCCGAAACCTCGTCTCATTCGTCAGGATCTACCACCGGCGAAGAAGGCGCGTGCCGCACGTTACCAAAATTACGTTCCGGAGGAGGAGACTATCCGGAATGACTACTCGCAGCGATACGTAGATGGCGGAGAGTGGCCTCAGGATTGGGTGTTAGGTGCCGACCCGGAGCATCGCTTCGAGGAGTGAGTGGTCTACTCCTTGTGCACCCATAGCTAAGCCCGTTCATCGAACAGGTACCCCAAGCAACAGCGGCTGCTCGCGCTAAAGAAGGCTTCAGTCGCAGCGCATTCTCTTCCCCCCGTCTACCTCCCTACTCTCAACTATCCACCTGCATCCCGCGAAGTTCGACGTCATTCTCATAGACCCACCATTCTCATCCTCGTTCACATGGGACGACCTACAAGAGCTTCCGATCCCTGCGCTCGCCGCGGACCCGTCCTTCGTGCTGATGTGGGTGGGCAGCGGCTCCGGCGAAGGGCTCGAACGTGGGCGGGAGGTGATGGCGAAGTGGGGCTTCCGTCGGTGCGAGGACATCGTCTGGGTGAAGACGAATAAGACGAGTAATCGGGGACCTGGGGTACGTCGTCCGCGACAGCACTTCCTGAACATCGCTCACAGTCTCTTAGACAGACCCACCGACTACGTCGCTCTTGACACGAACCAAGCAGCATTGCCTAATGGGCATCCGGGGCACAGTCAGACGATCGACAGACAGCTGGTTCGTCCACTGCAACGTGGGTGCGTACGCCGCTGCTTCGCGCGTATAACTGCTGAATAACTCCGTGTCTAGACACGGACGTATGATCTGGGAAGGAGACGCGTCAGATCCGACGCTCAAGCCACCAGAGATGTACACGCTTGTCGAGAACTTTTGTCTCGGGCTGCGGAGGCTGGAGATGTTCGGGCGTGCGCGCACACTCCGGCGCGGCTGGGTCACAGCGCTCGCGGAAGGCGAGGAGGAGCGGATCGAGGACGGCATGGCCATGACGCAGATAGCAATAATGAGGGTCAAGAGACTGCAACCCGTGGGACCGAGAAGTATGGGAGAACAAGGTCAAGGAGTTGTCGAACGCCGGAAAGGCCGTCGTGCCAATGACGTCTGGTGCGCTGCACGTCCAGCAGAATTGCCTCGATTGCTCATACATGGTCCATAGAAATCGACGCGCTGCGTCCCAAATCTCCGGTCCGCGGAGGATCGTCCAACGCCAACACCGGCATGGGCTCAGGCGCCTCCTCCGCCCCGCCAATGATGAACAACCCACCAATAGCCATGTCCATGCCTGGCGGGGGCGCGCCGAACCGCGGCAACTTCAACAACCAAAACCGCATGATGATGCAGCCCGTCATGGGGATGAACGGCATGCCGCCCCCAGGTAATATGGGCATGATGGGCTGGGACATGGACATGAACATGAACATGGGCGGGATGAATATGCCTGGCGGCGGCATGCCCGTGAACAACATGGGCGGCGCGCCGATGAACGGCATGGGCGGGATGAACAACATGGGCGGCAACATGAACGGCATGGGCGTCGGGCCGATGGGCATGGGCCAGCAGGGTATGGGCTTCCCCAGGGCGCGGGCCAGGGCTTCGGCAGGTTCGACGGCGGACAGATGCAGGGGGGCATGCCGTGGATGGGAGCGTCGGAGGAGCAGTTCGTCGGTGGGCCCGGCGGCATGTGGAACCCCGGGATGGGCGAGCCTATGATGGGCATGAATGGTATGGCGGGCAACGTACCTATGCGCGGCGGGATGATGAACCCCGGCATGAACCCGAATATGGGTATGGGCATGGGGCAGTGGGGTGGAGGTGGATTTGACGGTCCGTATTGATGGTCCTGGTTGGACGACTCCGGAGGGACATCTGTTGTACATTAGCTATCGTACGGTATACACATCTACATGTTGGGTATGATATGGACAAGGGTATAAGACATTAGGTGCCGCAAGGCAAGCGCGCAGCAGAGGAAAGTCGTATCAGAGCTTTCTTCCTGCTTGTGCATGATGTCGGTCGAGATCCGCGAGGAATTCGTTCTGGCGCTGTACAGACCACTTGTTGCTACGATACCATTGTCAGTTGCCTATGTTAGCGCAGGTGGACGAGCACGCACAATTGCATTAGGAACGCTGTGAGCTGCTCCGCACTTGTATATGTCCCATTTCGATCATCGAGGCTTGTCGAGCTCTCATCCTGAGACGATGGTCAACAGAAATCGCTACCATGCTGCAGCGGTAACTTACCGCTCTTCAGGCGTCATCTTCCGCCTGTGGTGACTTCGGACGGGAGGCCAGACCACTCCCGGGGTGCTGCCCGTCTTCGCATCAGTTCCGTTCTTAGCCTTCGCCTTCTCGCTTTCTTTTTCTCCTGCTTTCTCGCTTGGTGACATACACATGCGGGAAGCACTAGACGCACCTCGACCGCATTCTTATGCCGTTGACCTTCAATGGCGCTCTCGGCGATGAGATCCTCGTTGCGATGAGTATACACCACGCCCACGTTGTTGAGAATCCTTGTATCCTGTCGTCTTTTGGTTCGACTTGAACGGGCCCTGTACACATACTCAACGTCAGCCGCCATTTACAGCATACTTCGATGTTTACTAACGATCATCGAACAGCAAGGATCGAGTCCGCGTGTGTCCTGTCCCTGTACACGAAGTCAAGCTCGGATTAGAGAATCACGACATTGGAGCGTACATCATCCTTTGTTGGGGCTATCCGTTTCGACGTCGGAATCGGCGCTGGATCTCCGCTTCTTAGCGTCGACGTTTGCCAGGGCCCAGTTGAAGTCAGAGATCACGGCTTTCTCGATCTAGGATACAATCAGCCATTTACTCGTTCATAAGTGACACCACGTACAGCCTTCTTAGTGGCCAAGCTGTTCTCGTGCAAAGTGAAAATGTTCTTGATGCCGAACAGTTCGCCTTGCTTGTCCTTGTCGCCTTGGACACCCTCGAAATACCTAATGGCGCTCGTACACATTCTCAGCATCCATGGGTCGCGTGCTCACCTGGTCTGGAAACTTGCGTTGTAGCCGACTTGCATCTGCTGCTGCTTGTACACTTGCCGCGCGTAGATCAGTTCCTCAATGGACCCTGCACCTAGCAGACGGAAGACCTCCACGTCGCGGGTCTGACCGAATCGATAGGCGCGATCTATGGCTTGTAGATCGTGGGCGGGATCTACGTGACATGACATTAGACGACGGCTTCCCGTTGTGGTTGCAATCCCACTCACTCCAATTGGGATCTGTTTGTAATGTCAGTCTACATCGAGTGACTTCAGAGTGTTCCGGTCGTACCGAATATCACCACTTTGTTTGCTCCTGTCAGGTTAAGACCCGTCCCACCGGCAAGTGTAGAGATCAAGAATACAAAGATGTCTGGGTCTTCGTGGAACCTGTCAATGAGGGGCATGCCTACAAAAAAAGTCAGTTTGTTGTCTCGCATAGTATGCCTTGACTTACGATCTTGAGGTCTAGTAGACCCTTCAAGCTTGACGAAGCCCAAGCCTTGAGAGCAAGTCAATCCACAGAGGATACTCATACAAGGTCAAGACACTACCTTGGCACTGTAGATTATACTCGAGGATGCCCAGTAGTTTCACCGACTTCGTGAATATGAGAACCTTGTTTGTAGGGTCTCGATGCCAGTCATGTAGCAGTGATTCCAGTACCTAAATGGCACCGTTCGACAACAAAAGATATATCAGGCATGATACGACGCACCAGCCACTTTCCACAGAGGTCCGGCACCATGATCGCAGGCCCATACTTCGGAATCGATCCCTCTGGAAAGGCCATCCTGGCAAGCTCACGATTACGGACGGTCTGGAAAGGTTTGGCATCAATAATTCTCTACAGGCCATGGATGGACGAACCTGTTCCGGGGAGTCCGTTGGAGCTTCATATGTAGTCAGCACGAGATGCCTCCCACACACATATAGTAGTAACTCACAGGGCAAGATAAGCGCAAGATGGTTCGACACCCTGATGAGTACAGTCAGGTATCTGAACAAGTCGCCCTTTTCGAACGAATAATGACATTTTCTGCGCCTGAGGACAGAAGTCAGTCTCTCGAAATATCCAGGCTGGAAGGCTCACTTTTTGCGAGATCCGCAGTCGCAGAGTTCGTCCTTCCGGATCATATTTTGTACGGCCTCCGTGTTCAGAATACGCTTGTACACTTCGATCTGCTTGGGAGTCAATGGGCAGAATGCCACTTCATCTATCTTGTTCGGTAACTACAGGGTGCCAGTGAGCCGGCAAATCTCGAATGCTTCGGTGCTATACACCCACCTGTTGCCTGATAATCTCCTTCGTTCTGATATATCATCAGCATGTGGGAAACCTGGCGATGCGACGAGAATTACCTCCTAAGGAACAAATGCGGGAGCAGCTTCTCCCCCAACACCTGTGCTACGAGCTAGCAAGGGGTTACGATCAGAAGCGTCCGCAATGATAAGCGCAAGATCTTACAATGGCTTTTGATCGCTGATCTTCGGTGGCAGATTTGCTCTGGCCGACGCCCAAGGGCTTCGTGACGTAACTGTCCCATTGTCGCTTCGTCCCAACCATGCCAGGGTTCGTCCAATTCAGAATAGTCCAAAACTCCGAGTACGAGTTCTGGATGGCTGCGGATACCTTAGCTGTACATTCACCACATCAGACGATGGTATACACACCGGTGCCTGTAAGTCCGAAGCGGACGGTGCATGCAAACTGATCGTAAGCCAACGCTGTCCCTGAGCGAGGATTCTTCAAGCGATGGACTTCGTCGACGATGATGCATGACCAAGCAAGATCGTCAAGCAACGCAATGTCGTTCCGAGCTGTTTCGAAGGAAGTGAGGACTAAATGATAATATCATTTCGCTGTGCTGAGAGTATGTTGAATGGCAGCAGGACAACTCACGGACGTCGAGCCTACCCATCTTGAAGTCATGAAGCACTTCGCTACGCTCATTTTTGGTGCCGGTATACATCCCAACCTCGAAGTAGCCCCACTGATGTCTTTATGAGACACAGCGTTATGAGAAGAAATCAGTAGAACTGACCGTCTCGAACTCCCTTTCCCAGTTCCCGACTACCGAGCTCGGTGCGACAATGAGACAAGTCGGCCATGTGGCGTTGGCCGGCGGAAGGACGCGTCGAGACTTCCATTCCGGACTGATGTCCTGCAAATGCGAGACGTGTTTGCGCCTACGATCGATGTCCCGCTTGTCGCCATTCTTCTTCATGATCGCCGAGAGGAAGGAGATGACCTGGATGGTCTTACCTGTGCAAGAGTTAGATCATCCTACACTCCTAATGCGTGTTTACCACGTACCCTGTCAAATGTAGACACGTCAGCAAATCGAACGTAAGCAGTGGGTACATTCGTACCAAACCCATATCATCACCAAGCACCCCGCCCCTGCCTTCCTTGTATCGCTGATAGAAGAATTCTACGCCCTCGCGTTGGTAATCTCTCAGGAAGGTGTTAATCTTCCAGGGGACTACTTGACCTGGATCCAGGACGAGGGGTTTGCCACTCTTGTGGCCAGGTGCGAGCACAAAAGCGGGACGTGGCTGCAGAATCTGCGATGAATTCGCTCCATGATCAGTCGACCGTCGTCACGATCGTGCAAGCTTAGACCAACCTGGTCCGACTCCTCTTCGCCCTCGGCATCTGATTCAGTTTCTGAACCTGAGTCCACATTCGCCTTAGGCGTAACTCGCCGTGCTGCAGGTTTGATGTATTAAGCATTGTTAGCGCGTGGCATCAGACCACGCTTCTGACTACACATACCAGCATTCTGGTTTGGCGGAGGGGCCGGTATCTCTTCCGCCTCCGTTTCTGGCTCAGTAACGGAGTCATCGTCGGATTCTACTCTGCGTTTCTTCATGGACGATGCGATCGTACCGGATGGCGACTGTTTGCGCTTCAGGGACGGTGAAGCTTTCATGGTGGGCTTCTCAGGTTCTAGCTCGCTCTCCGGTTCAGTCTCGGATTCTTATGAGTCGAAGTCAGCGGGCAACTCCACCGATTACGGTCGCCATACATACCGCTTGCCGGGTTGGGAGGTACAGCATCACGCGCTGTACTGCGCGCGCTAGAGTTAGAGACGGGTGGTCTCTGCAATACTGCAAACGTGTTTAACACGATAGGTGACTCCGGCTCTTCTTCTGCTTCGGAATCAGAACTATCTTCATCAGCACGTTGGCCTGGTTCAGGTTCAGCGCCGTCCTCTTCGTCTAAGACAGGCTTGAGTCCCAAGTCCTCTGTGTGATAAATTTCGTTATTGTGTCTTCCATAGCACGTAGTGTGGGACGACGCACTGAAGTATTCTACCAGGAGATTTTCGTTTGAACGGCAGACGTCTTGGTCGGCTTAACTTCTATGTAGAATGCAACATCAGTATGATCCATTCACGAGATGCAGCAGAGGATTAACTTCGAGGCTTGTAGTCACCGATGTCGACGAGAGTTTCCCTCCTGTTCCGGCGGCTCGTGGGTTGTCTCGTACTTAAGGACTTCGATGTAGATGTCCGCTTCTGTGGTGGTTCGTGTACATATGACCCAGGGTTAAAATCCGAGTCCGAATCTTCTTCTGTTTTACCGTCAATACCGTCACTGGCGTCGGGGACATATGTGACTTTCTGGGCGGTGAATGCTGCTCACCTAGGGGGACCGGGTTGGAGTGGCAAATTCTGCAGAGAAGCGTTCACTGAGTCAACATCAGTGTGAAAAGACAAGACACTTTCTCACTTTCTCTTTGCTTTGTTTTCGCCTTCACTGTGGAGGTGCGCGAAGTCCTCATGGCGGACGCGGCAGAGATATGATATGTAGCGCCCAACGCGTCGCGCGACGCGACTTCACGGTAATCACGTGCAGTAGCCACACAAGCGGTGCCAGAAGACCTTGTGAGAGTTGAGACCCTCGGCAGTCTGTATGAAATGGTCTTCGTCGACGCGAAAAACGAGGTCTGTTTCTCCCCAATTCCTCCCTGAAGTGACCACTGCATGACTCGAGGCTGAGTCCATCGATTGCTCAAAAGTCCACGGGCGACCTTGTTCACCATTCTTTCTCTCTGGCGACGTGCTTTACGTCCTACTCGTCTGACGGGTTGTAACACTACACGAACGATGGCGTCGTCCGCAACGATCGAGCTCGCACAGACGGGCAAGCGCGACCTGCTCATCTCGCTCGAGAAGAAGTACCAGGAAAGGTGGAAGCGGGAACGTCTCTTCGAGGCCAATGCACCGACGCCGGAGGAGACAGCAGGGCTTTCGCAGGCTGAAATCAGGGAGAAGTTCCCCAAGTGGTTTGGCAACTTTCCGTACCCGTACATGAATGGCTCACTGCATCTCGGACATGCTTTCTCAATCTCAAAAATCGAGTTCTCGGCCGGATACCATCGTCTGCTCGGAAAGAGGGTTCTTTTCCCTCTTGGATTTCACTGTACGGGTATGCCAATCAAGGTACGTGAGCAGTCAATTTGTGCAGGGATCTAGAACGTAATGTCTGCCGCTGGGATTCGGTGCAGGAGGTTGGTTCGGGTGCGGTGGCGATGGCGAACATCGAAGCAGCAGAGGAACCGCAAAATTTGGCGACGGCAATGACACTGGTCCAGTGCTACTGAGCACGCAGACGCAATACCGGGTGTATGTGTGCTGGGCCTAGTGTCATCGCCGCATGGTGGCGCCATTGTACAGGGTAGCCCGTGCTGGTCGACGGGCTACCAGTGAGTATTAGTGCCAGCTCCTACTGGGCCGAAGCGGTACTGTTGCGAGAGTTCGTACTCAGAAAAAGGGCAATCACAGCGGCTATTGCCTTACGCCTACGGCGAGCGCTGTGTTATGTTTCCTTGCCCAGTATGTGTCTTATGCCTTGAGAGATCATGCGCTTGGCAGTTCATCGCATGTGTCTTCTCTATCTCGAGAAGGTCTGTAGTCAAGATTTCTTGCATTTGACTCTGCAAATCACGGGCGAAAGAGGCGCTATGATAGATTCAAAGACTGCCAAGTCTGCTATCAGCTTGATCACGTTCTGCTCGTATGCCAGGTAGCATGTCTACCGCAGGTTGGCCTGTACATCTCACATTTTGTTCTATCGTCTTGCTGCTTGTCTCAGCGGCGGACACACAAGTGTTGTATCCTCATGCGATCTGTGTACTCAACTCACTGGGGATAAAGGCAGCTTCCGACAAAATCACGCGCGAAATCGAGATGTTCGGGCCCGACTTCTCCGGCTTCAAGCCTGACGATGAGTCTGCAGCAGAAGAGGTAATCAACACATCGTCCGTGACGCCAAAATCCGCCGACAAGGCCAAGAAGGGCAAGGTGGCAGCAAAGGCTACCGGTCTGCAGTACCAGTTCCAGATCATGGAGTCGATGGGCATCCCTCGCGAGGAGATCCCCAAGTTCGCCGACCCGTACTACTGGCCGAAGTACTTCCCGCCAATCTGCATGGTGAGTATTACAGTTGGTTGCTGAGATTGTCTCGCCTGATGTCCGTTTAGGCAGACAACGACGCATTCGGCTCGCGTATCGACTGGCGACGCTCGTTTATCACAACGGACGCGAACCCGTACTACGACGCATTCGTGCGGTGGCAGATGAACGATCTTTATAAATTGGGCAAGGTCAATTCGGCGAGCGGTACACGATTTACAGCCCGAAGGACGGCCAGCCGTGCATGGACCACGACCGATCGGAGGGGGAGGCGCTCGGTCCGCAGGAGTACACTGGAATCCGCATGGAGGTCACTCAGTGGAGCGAGGCGGCAAAGGCAGAGATCGAGAGCAAAGTTGGCGGGCGTAAGGTGTTCCTCGTTGCGGCGACTCTCCGACCAGAGACGATGTGAGTAATGCACGTTTGGGCAATTCGGCAACTCTGAAAGGATGCTAGGTACGGCCAGACGAACTGCTTCGTCGGTACGGCGATCAAGTATGGTGTGTTCGCGATCAACGACCAGGAGGCATACGTCTGCACGTACCGTGCTGCGCGTAACATGGCGTATCAGGGCATCATGACCGTGCACGGGCAGCTCACCCAGCTCGCTGAGGTCGAGGGGACGGCGCTGGTCGGCACGAAGATTAAGGCGCCATTCTCGGTCTACCCCGAGGTGTACGTGCTCCCCATGGAGAACGTCCTCGCGACAAAAGTGCGTGTGTGACGTGCTAGTGTTGTTCGCTCCGCTCATAGCCTCAATAGGGTACCGGTGTCGTCACGTCCGTGCCATCCGACTCGCCCGACGACTACACGACGTACATGGATCTGCGTAAAAAGGCCGAGTACTACAAGGTTGATCCCTCATGGATCACGTTTGAGCCCGTGCCGGTCCTCTCCACGCCCATGTACGGCGACATGACCGCCGCGGCGTTGGTCCAAAGCTGAAGATCCGGTCGCAGAAGGACATCAAACAACTCGCCGAGGCGAAGGAGATCGCTTACAAGGAGGGCTTCTACAGCGGGACGATGGTCATCGGCGAGTTCAAGGGCATGGCGGTGCAGGAAGCAAAAATGAAGGTGCGCGATAGTATGATCGAGCAGGGTCTTGCGTTTGCGTACGCCGAGCCCGAGGGCATGGTCGTGTCGCGCAGCTCAGATGAGTGTGTCGTCGCGTTGATGGACCAGTGGTACTTGGATTACGGCGAGCCCACGTGGCGGGCACAGGCTGAGAAGTACGTCTTTGCGTGCACCCTCGAAATTGCTTCTGGTTAACAAGGATCGTAGGGTGCTGGCCAAGATGGAGACCTACCACTCGGAGACACGCAATGCCTTCGAGGGCGTACTCGCTTGGCTCAACAAGTGGGCGTGCGCCCGAAGTTACGGTCTCGGGTCCAAGTTGCCTTGGGATCCCTCGTTCCTCGTCGAGAGTCTGAGCGATTCCACGATCTACATGGCGTACTACCCGATTGTGCACTTCCTTCAAGGCAACATCGACGGCAGCAAGCGTGGTACTCTTGACATTGCTCCTGAGCAGATGACCGACGAGGTCTGGGAGTACCTCTACCGCAACGGCCCATGGCCCGATCCGGCACCTGTCGAGAAGGAGAAGATCGACATCATGAAGCGCGAGTACGACTACTTCTACCCCTTCGAGGTCCGCTCGTCCGGCAAGGACCTGATCCCGAACAACCTCACGTTCTGCCTGTACAATCACGCCGCGCTATTCCCTGAGGACAAGTGGCCGCTGTCTATGCGGACGAACGGCCACCTCATGGTCAACGGGCAGAAGATGTCGAAGAGCAAGGGCAACTCGATGACGATGCGTCAGTGCGTGGAGAAGTTCGGTGCAGATGCTGCGCGGCTGTGTATAGCAGATGCTGGCGATGGTATCGAGGACGCCAACTTTGACGAAAAGACGGCAAACGCTAACATCCTTCGCCTGCATACGCTGATGTCATGGTGTGAAGTGAGTCGGACGTCTCTCGTAGCTTCTGTACACCTCACAAAGGCTTCTACAGGAAATGACTGTCGAGCAAGACAAACTGCGCAAGGGTGCCAGAAATTATCATGACCGCTTGTTCGAGGAGGAAATTTTCAACCTCATCAACATTACAAAGCAATGTTTCGAGGAGTAAGTCGTCCCAAATCCGTAACGACGGAATGCACAGACTGAGTTTTACACAGAATGCAATACAAGGACGCCCTCAAGTTTGGCTTCTACGAGCTTCAGTCTGCTCGCGACTGGTACCGTGAGGTCACTGGCGATGTCGGCATGCATGCAGAGTTGCTCAGCTGGTGGATCCGAGTTGCCGCACTGATGATCTGCCCCATCGCACCCCACTTCTCCGAACATGTCTGGACGTCCGTCCTCAAAGAGCCACAGTCCGTACAGCTTGCGCGATGGCCAGAGTCTAGGTCGACGGACCAGTCGATACTTGACGCAGGCCAGTACATGCGGGGTACCATCAAGACCATGCGTGATGCCGAGCTCGCCCTCCTCAAGAAGATGAACAAGGGCAAGCAGGGGCAGGCGACGTATGACCCCAGCAAGCCTCGTGCCGTCCGCGTCTACGTCACGACCGACTTCCCCGAATGGCAGAACCAGTGCGTGGAGGCGGTGAAGGAGGCGTACGTGCCCGAGGACGATAAGGTCGACGACGTGAAGGTCCGAGAGTTGCTGACGAAGCGTGGCCTGATCAAGGACAAGCGCGCGATGCCCTTCGTGCAGCTTTTCAAAGTGAGTCTCATTTTCCCGCCTCGTCGAGCTGGAGGTTGACCATCCGACAGAGGAAGATGTCCCAGTTCGGCGCTCAGAACACATTCAACCGTAGGCTGCCCTTCTCGGAGACAGAAGTGCTCGGAGAGATCCTGCCGTATCTGAAGAAGACCTTGGACCTTGTCGACGCTGAGATCTACACCACTGAGGAAGCTCTGGCAAAGGCGGGGCAAGGAGGATTCAACAAGTTGATCATCGAGACCGCAGAGCCTGGAAATCCTGCTTTCGAATATCGTAACGTATAGAAACTCACATAGATGTAGGCTACACTAATCTTGCTGTCGAACAATCGCATGAAACGGGGACGTATGCTCTGAAACAGTGAAACCACCAATGACTCGTTGGATGCAGACGAATGTATCCAGTCTTACTGCCACAATGTGCCGCAATACAGGTATGTAGGAAAACGCGAACGGCTGCTCAGACATCGACAAGATAATGCATTAAGAGAAGTACACATCTACTATATACAAGCCATCCAGCCATGCTCACGCCAACGACACAACTGAGTCCTGCCAATGAGCGCACAGGTCCATTACTCTCCAGGAACGTAGTTGTGTTTGTAGACGTATGCATCCTCCGTTGGTGGGTTTGCCTTGAATAGCTTGCCCAAACGCTCGTCTAAATGGGATCGTGGTCATCAAGAATGAACGGCATCATGTGAGAGACGACGGTATACTCACAGATCGGGTCAGAGTCGATATAGTCGAAGTGCTTGAGCTCCCATTTGGTCCCAGCAGTAGCCTCGTCTTTCCGTCTCTGCCTTTGCTCGTTCTACACCACGCAATCAGCACACAAACTCCCTCGCAAACTGCACAGATCACGCACCTCGATCTTGCTCTTCTCCCGGCTCGCCGTGTCGAAGTCTCCTTCCCGGATACCCTTCGCGACATAGCGCCAGAGCCGCCTGCTTTCCCACTCGTCCTGCTCCTCGATTTCCCGGGTGGTGACCTCCTCCTTCGGGTTCGTCACGTCCGTGAATGTCGCGCCCGTCCGCACGTCCTTGCTCGTCTGGTGCCACGTCCCCTCGAACGTATGCTTCGCCTGCAGCGTGCCCGGCGGCGAGAGCGACGCCTTGAACGAGTGCGACTTGCCAGAGAAGTAGCCCTTGCCCTTGTATTCGATCTGTGATCGGCTTAGTATATACGTCGCAAAACGGTCATCTGGGTAGACGTACGGTGGAGAGCCAGCCGGTGGAGCTCTGAATGTAGCTCGTCTCACTCAATTCGATGTATGGCGAGCCGTACCACAGGCCGTCAATCCGTAGGCGAGGTAGCGTGACGAGGAACTCCTCCTTCCCACCGTCGGGTAAGTTGACAGTAAGGATCGCGTGTCCAATCTGCTTGACGATGATGCTACCACCTACACCCCCCTCATCAGGCGACTGCGGATTTGCAGAGATATGGCGACGCACCGCTGAAGCTTGTCTTCTGTGCATTGTGGCCCTGCAGGAAGATCCCCTTCGACGGGTTCTCGATGTAGAAGGCCGTAATGGGAGGGTGGTGCGAGACTTGCTCCACAACAAGATTCGTCTGTCCACGGCCGCCGATGTCTGGCCAGTATCCGTAGAACAATCTGTGTACATTATAAGTACTTCTTAACCAAACCATGATTCGCACTTACTCTCCGAGGACAGGGTTCAGTGGTCTTCAGATCACGTCAATGATGACTTTTTCCGCACATTATGGCACTTACTTCTTCTCTGAGCCGAGTTTCTCGTTGCGAGAAGTATATTGGCTCTTGAGAGTAGACTGCAATGGGATTAAGAAGAAATCGGTTCGAGGCAAGCATATGTGCACATACAATAAACCATTTCAATACTGCGATAGACCGTGATTCCTCATCCGTAGCGTCGGCAATGGAGGAGAATAACTCTGGCCGTTCACACCAGTATGCTAAATAGAGACACCTTCATGAGCATGAGGATCCCGCCTACGGTATGAGATGAAGCGCGAGGCGACAGTGATCACGAAGCGCGCCGTGCGATTGAGGTTCCGTGTACCAGCCTGCATTCATTCGACCCAGTGTTTATTGAGGGAAGATAGTGATCGTTGTTAAGATCACTTGATTCCCAGCATGCACATGGACAGTTGGACATCAGACGTCCCAAGACTTTCCTTGGCCATTACCATTGCTCAATGACAAGGAATAGTCGGACCAAGATGATCGGCGACAACACACGTCGCCAGCTCGAATCCCTTCCAGAATGTCACAGCCTTGGTGCTCATTGGCAAAAAGGTTGTCGCCATGATCGCCTTGTCGAAGCACTGCGCGTCCCGACTACGTTCACCCACGCTAGTGCAGCAACGCAACAGCAACAACGACTCATGTTCTAATTGTTTGGGATAACCAGGATAAAGCCACGAAGTTGCCATTCTAGGAAAAGCAGAGGAGCAGGTGCCATACAAGGCCTCGGGGCTGCCATTTAGAGACAGGCGCATGCCGGGTGCGAGGTGGCAATGAGGACGTGCTCGGACCCCAACCGATCACGGCAGCACCGCAGTAGATGTGGGTCGACAGCGCACGGACGATGGGTCTGTGCCTGACACGGGTGACAGAGATTCCGCGTGCACTTCAACATCGTCCGCGCGTTGGAGGCCCGTCGTACCACAGTATGTATTACGCGTTTCCCATCGAGTGTTTCAGCGCCCAGTACAGGATCCCCACGCCAATTAATAGTATGGCGGCGATCGCAACATATTGAAATCCAATCGGACGATGTACTCACCAGGAAACTCAGTGAGTGAGATGCCCGAGAGAATGAATGGCGGCGCCGTCAGTGACGAAAGATCGCCTGAAACGGATGCGATGCTAGAGAGCGCGAGATGGACTTCGTCAGTAACCCGTCCCCGCGCACGAGGATCGGCAACGTACGACTTGAGGAAGGTTGCCCAGCTGCTCTTCTGCGCTGCAGGTACGGCCTAAATGAGTCCCATCCGCCACGGAATTTGAAGTTGAGAGGAAACGAAATGAGGCTAGGCATCAGACCTGGCGCAGATACACACATTTGGAGCGACCTGCCTCTCCGACGACATCGCTTTTCGGAGTGTCTGTCATGTTGTTTATTGGAGGCCTATAGCAGCGAGGAAATGAAAGGAGTGCGAGGAGATGGTGGTGGATTGCAGGAAGGGTATACCGAACAGTCTGAGTGAGTGGGAGCAGGAGCCGGGCGTGACTTTCGGCGCTTCCACGGTGACGGAGACGATGCTGTCGCGACGCACGTGCATCTCTCACGCCACCCTGCCCGGTGATCCTCAGGTACGGACCCCACGAGTAACTTACAGGTCTTTCCAAAATCCTTTCTCTAGGACACGGCAAGTTAGAAAAATAGTTGTTGAAGTCTCATTGAAGACAAGATCTCCGTGTGTATAATGGAAGCCCTTTTCCTCCACACATATAATTACTAGCTGAAGCATGGGGTCTGGTACGGATTACGCCGATACATGCCCGACTGTTGCATAGACAGCAACGCATCGGCCTTAATTTTATTAAATCGTAAGCATCGCTGTGAGCACAAATTGACCTAGTCGGCTTCATGTGCGTGGATTTTGAGCTACTCACATCAATAGTACGCGAATGAATGAACGGAAGCAGAACGGTCAAGCGCCGTCTGGGTGGTCTGTGCGCCAGAGAGCGAGCACGTGCTGCTTACATAACCCGTTGAACGGGGCACAGGCTGCAGCAAGGCCTGCGCCAGCACCCAACGAGCCCTCCCACCACAGCGTGCAGAGGCCTCAGCCTATACCTCCCTGCGCCTAAGGCCCACCCGCTACTCGCCTTTGCCCACTTTTACTCCCACTCTCTTCCCTCAATCACCAACGACCAAGGTATGTTCTATGGCCTCAAATGCGTTATCTGATGGTCATCCAACGGGCGCCGTCGTGCACGACGGCGGCGGGGCGCGATGAAGGGTATATGCACGCCTCGGCGAGACGCGTCGCGACGCGTCGGCGCGCGCCCGTGCCTCTGCCTTGCCTGCCTGCCTCATCGCTTCATCTCGCCTCTACAGTGTTAGAAATCGTTGCTGACGTGTCCGGTGCTGTGCAGATGCCTAAGGAGACGACGAAGTCCACCCGGGTGCGCATATAGTCTAGTTTTCACGCATATATGCCTGTACTGATGCTCATATGCCTTCCTGCGTGTGTTTTCGCGTCCGCGATGAATGCGATATAGCGCAGGGCCGCTAAGGATGATGCAAAGGCCCCTAAGGCGAAGGCAAAGAAGGACAAGAATGCGCCGAAGCGCGCATTGTCCGCCTACATGTTCTTCAGCCAGGACTGGCGTGAACGAGTAAAGGCAGAGAACCCCGACGCAAGTTTCGGTGAGTTCATCGACTATATGCGCGTCGTCGTCGTCGCCACGGGCGCGTGATGCGCCCCGTATCAGACGTAAGCTGACTACACTTGTCACAGGCGAGATTGGCAAGCTTCTCGGCGCGAAGTGGAAAGAGCTGGACGAATCCGAAAAGAAGGTCAGTATTATTCATGGTCATGTCTGTTGATCCCTCAGTCGGCGGGTTGGTCGTTGCCGGTAGACAAGTCTGAGCAAATGCTCGTTCGCCCGGGTTTCAACGACCAATCAGCAGGTCTAGCATCCGCCATCACACCGCTGGCGCGTCCGGCCTGTGTGTATGCGTTATGAACGCATCGTGGAGTCGGATACCAACTCTACCCATGCGGGTCGTCCTCAGGGTCTGAGGATGAATCTGTGACATTGCCTCGAGCAATGCGCGTACACGGTCCACTCTGAATACAGTGACGATGTCGCTATGAGACCGACCTGCGACTCTCCGAGTTTTTCTCATGAGTGGATCTTCGAACAAAAGCCGTCATGATTCGCTCAATGTATCGCCCTTTTCTCGATACTGAGGCTGATTACCTCTTCTTAGCCATACATCGAGCAGGCTGCTCGGGACAAGGGACGCGCGGAACAAGAGAAGGCTGACTACGATGTATGTTTTCTTTGCATTACTTTTACTCTTTCACTGACGTCTCTGTAGGGCAAAAAGGCCGTTGACAGTGCTGGCAGTGGCGGCGATGACGACGACGAGTAACTGCGCCCCTACACCTTCGTACCCTGCTTTCCGCTAGATCCTCGCCCTTCGACTTCGCCGCTACTCCGGTCCCGTGTCTCTTCATCCCGGTCCCTCACCGAAAACATACTTGACTCTTCGGCTTCGCCTTCCGTGATGTGTGTACTATATGTATCGTGCCGGCTCCCGTCGCCCTAGTTCGCTTCGTCGCTCTCCGCTGCTCGGCTATGTTACAGTCCCTCGATGTCCACATGCTGTATCTCCCGACGTGTATTGTACTGGACGGTGGCGGCTGCCTCGTTTACATACCGCGTATTTATTCATGTGTATATCATCCGCGCCCGACTTGCGTGCCTTTTGTTCGACGCACAATGCAACCACGCAACCAGCAGTGATGGAAGAGTAGAACGACGCATCATTGACGGTTTTGGCCCTTGCATGCGGTATCGTGGTTGCATAGTCCTTGGTGGCCATAGCATACGCTGCCTGCAGTGGCTACATAACCCGCCTCGAGAGGTACGTCGAGATCAAGCTCTCCGTGCGTCCCAGTCCTGAAACATCATATCACAGCATCCTGTCTCGAGAACAATCGTGTCCGTATACATCGGTGAGAGGCCTTCTTCCCATGTGATTCGGTATACCACCGAGTGGCGGCCTACTATGCCTAGTACGGTGCCACCCCTACTTACCTGCTACAATACCAGGATATATCTGTGCATTTGTGGCATCAGTGATAATAGCACGATGGTGTCTCACGTCGTTCTCGACGAAGCCCGCTTCGAGCCGTACTGCGGCGAAACAGCACATTACTCGTACTGGAGGAACAAGACTGACGACATATTCAACGAAGACCCGGACGTTCGAAGCTTCGCCGACTTCGTTCGGATATACGTACCTTCGTCCGTGCCGTACCAGAAGCCCACGTCCGAGATTGCAGGTATATTCGACGTCGCGAAGCAGGCTGTCGATCCGCGAGACAAGTCCGTACCTCTGGTCCGTGATCGCGTACCTGTGCATCCCGGACGTGCTGATGGCTAATGACGTCCACTGCAGTGTCGGGGCCTCTGTACACTGGCTGAAGACTTCCCTCCGACAAAGACACTGCGCTTCAAGGACGTGAATGTATCACAGTACTGGTTCCCGCCTGAGGAAGGCAGCCGCGGAGACACCAGACGCATGCCACTCGCGAAACCGGACCTGGTGGCATTCCTCCCGGGTATGGAGCAGCTTCCCAGAGGTCCCGTCGACATCTGGAGCACCATCTCGCTCATCGTAGATATAAGGGACGAGAGTTCCCCAGACCACCTTGCGAGCGGGCACCCCGACGCGGTGAGAGCGCGGATGCGCCTCATACGGTTCGCAGGGCACCACCTCGCCAACCACAACGCGCTGTGCTCGTTTGTGCTCTCGGTACGGGGGTCGCATATGCGAGTCTATCGCTTCGACCATGCGGGATGCATCGTGTCGCCCGCGCTCGACTGGGCAGCCGAGCCTGATATGCTGCGCCAGTTTCTGTGGTCTTTCGTCCATCCCCCAACCAACACGCAGTTCCTCGGGTTGGACGAGTATTGCACCTGGGCCAGCAGCGAGGACCTTCGCTGGGCGCAGAGAGTATCCCGTGATGCTTGGGATATCCACGACGTCGACAGCAACCGGTGGATCAAGTTCCCGTTCATGGGCTGGGAGGTAGAGTTCCTCACCTTGCGGATCCGGTCCATGTCGGATGTGACCTTCGGGGGAGCGACCTGCGTATGGGAGGCCCTTAAGAGGGGCGACGAGAGCGGCAAGAGGTACATCATCAAAGATACCTGGCAACCATTCACCCACCAGGAAGAGAAGCGGTTCTATGAGTGCATCCGGCGGCCTGATTGGCGCGTGGGCCGCCCGACGTTCGGTGTCGCTGGGTACGTGCACGGGCTAAACTACGGTCTGGTGACACGTATGGGCGAACACTCCTTGCACCGAACTGAGAGTGCGCGTCTTCGTCGCGGCATAAGGGATACCATGCGGGGAGAGCGTTGTCACGTGCGCATTGTCACGGACACGGTCGGTAAGAACTTGAACGAGTTCGAGCGTTCGAGAGAGTTGATCGAGGCCATCCGCGACGCTATCAAAGGTGAGTTCCCTGTTGCGCTGCGGTGATGACCTTGACCGGATTCATGGTGCAGGTCACCTACACGCCTACGAGACCGGGGTACTCCACGCCGACATCAGCAACGGTAATGTTCTCATCGCTCGCGACAAACCCTTCAAAGGGTTCATCCACGACTTCGACATCAGCGCCTGGATAGACAGCTCAGCCGACGGGGGCGCCGAGTTGCCACCCGCGCTGCGAGACCTCTCCCAGAAACAGCTGAGGCTCGTCATGGTGAGTATACCTCTGGCAGAATGAAGCGAGGGACACGTACCGACGATCGATTGCCTTCCCAGGGAACACCGCGGTTCATGGCCATCGAGATTTTCGAGTCGATTAGAGAGCCCATCGTCCGCAACGCCGGCCACGACCTGCAGAGCTTCTACTGGGTCACCCTCTGCCAGGTCCTCGAATGCATGGACTACTACACCGGGGACTTGAACAAGACGATCCACGATTTATTCGTCACGGACAACTGGGTGGCGATGACGAAGAACAAGCGAGCGTGGCTCGCTCGGGATCCACACGGGCTGTTCTCCGGCAACGATCCGCTCGCCTTCCTCATGCGCCGCCTGCACGAGCTTGTCAGTAAAAGCATCCGCTCGTACAGCAACCCCGACCCGATACGACTGACTCACCAGTCGATCCTCGCGGTCTTCGACGAAGCGTTGGCCATGGACGGCTGGCCAGAGGACGACCGGTCACTCACTGCCACCAGCAGCGTGAGGCTAGAAGAGCGTCCCGACGCAACAGTCGCTGTCGCGGGGCCGAGCGCTCCCGTCCGCACAGGTCCGCCACCGCAGGCAATGGAACAAAGGGCTGTACCGGATAGCCCCGCCATTGCCAGTGGTCCAGTTATTTCGCGCAAAAGGGCACGCGAGAGCGACGAAGAGTGGCCACCGCTGAAGAGGCTGAAGCACGAACTTGAAGGACCGAGGGAAGTCGAGGTGCCCGCTGATCAGCGAGCACATCCGAAGGCGGATGCCGGTTCCACGTCGACAGGAGCGGAGGCGGCGAGAAAAGCGCGGACGTCGCACAGTCTGCGCGAGCGGCTGCGCCCAAGCCTACGAGGAAGTCTGGTTCTGGAGATCTTTGCTGCGGCGCTAGGGTCTAGTGGCGAGCGGTGAGATGGTAAGTCATTCGTCCGAAGTCGATATCGCCGCTTTTGTCTGCTGGCATTGGTTGGGTCCCGCGATTACGCTCTCGATGAGACCCGTTCGCGAAGATGGAGAACCAGTCGCAATGAACTTTGCGCCGCGCGGGGAAGAGCAGATAAACATGCGGCAGGCGTGGGATGGAGGCAGGAGTGGGGTGTCTGGGCGGAGGTCTAGGACGCATAGTGAGCGATGCCGTGTCTGGAAACAGTCCGTCGCGGCAGCGCGCTCAATCTTTTTGGGCCGTTTTCCTTGAAAATTGTCCCCGACAACTGAGCGTAGGGCATCTGCAATGATGTTTCGTCGGGATGAAGAAAGCAAACGAGTTTATGATAAAATGAGGAAGCGGGCAGTGTGCTTCGGATGTCTTTAGTAATGTGTGACTGACGTGTGGTTTCTACGGTGGTCGAAGTTGTCAGAAGTCGATGGTCGACCGGTGCTTGCAGATCGGGTGAAATATATGGTCAGATGTCATGAAGAGGCATCACTATTCGCACGAGCACACGTACATCATGAGGGGAGCAGCGAGCGAGTCCGGCTGTTAGATGGTAATGAAAATATGGGTGTGAAAGCCAATCCCGCGCGGTTAAGCTTGCCCATCTCCCGATTCCGTTTCTGCCTCCACTTGAGGCTTGGGGGATTTCGCGTACCTACAGGACCGTCTCCGGTGTCGCGGTGATCGCGGCCGTGGCGGGTGTATGAAATTGCACGATGCATCTTCCTCCGCGTTCCTACTTGACAACTCGAAGAGAAGATGAGGCCAGAGGCAGGAACTATTGTAATCGTACGTGTGAGCAAGTGCAGAGTGAAGCTGTTAGCCTGCGAGCGCCTGTAAAAATGTTCGACCGCTGGACCATAACCGTGTCAGCGCTGTGTACTAAGCGGATAGTACTCGCCGTTACGGAGGGGACGCCCGAGTACATCATATGTTTGAGTAACACTCGCGGGTGCACTCGGTGCATCGTCCCGACGACTCGTAGGTCCTGTAAGAGACGCGACGCAGGACCCGACTGCGTTGCAATGGTCAAACGATGGCAACTGTGAGGGGCTGCGGTGGGACATACCGCACGACGGCAACTTTGCATTCCGCAGTTGCCTCGATCGATACTTCATTAATCGCCAAGCCTTCGCATGTCAACACAACTCGCACAGCCGGTCTCCAAGTCGCGAAGGACTACGTTGAGATCGAGATATCCGCATGTTATCGCTGGATTCCCCGTGTGTCGGCTGAGGATCCCGGCCAGGAGTCGGTCAGACCAATTATGATGATAGGCAGGTCCGACTGGCCCCGACTGGCTCTGCCTGGCTGGCCCGGTGAATTCGGATCTCAAATCTGCATTACAGTACGCACCCAAACCGCACGGGACTGACTTTATCTTGTCATGGAATAGTCGGACTATTGCATGCCAAGTCGCCCAAGTGTCCCAGACATGTGTGTACGAGAGGAGATGTGTCCATGTGAACTGCATCAAAGAGCGTAGGCTGCGGCGCACGGGCCAGTCTGTGTTGCGGTCTGCGGCGGTGGGGGCGATAAACTGCGATAAATAACCACATGTTTGTGAGCGATCGAGTGGGAAAATTGCCATTTATGGAAGCAGCCATTGCATGACGCCCGCGTCGCCGCCCCGCACCTCAAACGCTTTAAAGCTCTTACTGTAAGGCTCCTGCCTGATCAATGTCTGTCCCTGCCCTCGTGTCTCCTCACACTTGCCATGTTCCAGACGCTCTCATCCTTCCTCCCGTCTCCGCTCCAGTCTAACAGCGACAAGACCCAACCAGTCGCAGTAGACATCGCGAAACCTCAGGAGACCACACAGTCCGAGCCCGCAGCCATGCAGCGCGCCGAGGAGGAGCTGGCAGTGAAGAAGCAGAAGGAGCGGAAGAACGAGGTGAATACTGTATCTAAACTTGCAGACTTAACAACCTTGCGCGGGGCACACGATGGCTGGGTCAGACGACAGGCTCTTCGCAAAGCATGGTAACTGCTGGCAGTGTCATTGTGCTTGACAATGGGCTACGCGTCGTACAAGGAGGAGCATCAGCTGCACCCTGTTTGGACTTGCGAGGAGACGCTGCAGAGCCTTGATGGGCCTCAAGTAGTGACTTCGGCACTTGCTCTTGGACTCATCGCCGCATCCCGCGCCCCCGTCCCTCACGGACAGTCTCGTCATCGAGCGACGCGTGTACGGCGCGCAAAGGGTCATCTGTCTGGTACGGGCCGCATATGTTCGCCACGTATGTTGACTCTGGTGGTGTTCATGCAGTGGATACGGTGCCTCGTCCACCTTGATTAGCGCATTCGCAGGTGTCTCTCTTTCATCTCACTCCCGATGCCGTTCCAAGCCACACTGCCTATGTCATGGCGGAGTCGCAGGCGTACTCGCACTTCATGGACAGCACAGTCTAATTCTCAGTAGCCTCAACTGCTCTTGATGAGCCTCAAGTAGCGACTTCGGCACTTGCTCTTGGACTCATCGCCGCGCCCCCATACCCCCGTCCGTCACGGACATCATCGTCATCGAGCGACGCGTGTACGGCGCGCAAAGGGTCATCTGCCTGGTGCGGCCCGCATATGTTCGCCACGTTGGTCCTGGTGGTGTTCATGCAGTGGATACGGTGCCTCGTCCACCTTGATTAGCGCACTCGCAGGTGTCTCGCCTTCATCTCACTCGCGATGCCGTTTCACGCCACTCTGTCTATGTCATGGCGCTGCGTCGCGGGGGAGGTGTACTCGCACTCCTGGACAGCAGTCTAATTCTGTGTGGCATCTCGGACCTTCTCGCAGCGCAGCACTCCCACGATGAGCTTGCGAAGTGCAAGGCCAATCTCTTGCGGTGCCGAAGCACGCGTGCGTGCCCCTGGCAATGGCATACCTATGACCGTAGCGCTGCGAGAAATCCGACAGCAGGGCTCTCAGCGGCCATCTCGTGACCAGCAGTACGTCCCTCGGTGATAGATCGTGGTGTTACAGTTGGAAAACGCCTTCGAAGTGACACCATGTTGGACGCGCACATTTCTGTGATTGCGCCTAATGTTCCCATTTTCTCGAAGCACAGGTGATGCGTGCATTGGAGGGGGCTCGGACATTATCCATATCCCCGTTGAGATGACAAGCGCCTGACGGAATAGCATCCTGCTGCTCCGGCAGTCTGCCAGTTCGTCAGGCAATAGCCGCAGAGAACATTTGACTGTGCGGCTCGGCATCTCTTCCATACATCAATACGTGTATGGATCGAAACCTTATCCACAGCCTTACAATGTCTTGTCTTCCGCATCCACTGTCTCGCTATCCTTGGCTACGCATTTCTGACCGCGATGGTTCGTTCACAGTCGTTCATCGTTGTCCGCCCGCCACCCTCAAAGTCCAACCATCCCCTCAATCTCCAAGTCCAGCTCGTACCACCGAGTAACAAGGACAAGGATGGACGGTCTAGTCGACCAAGCAGTCGACATTCCGTCGACTCCACCGCGGAGAGCGAAGTATCACTGTCACGCACACCGTCTAACCGTTCTGAAGCATCGATGTATTCGTCCTACTCTTCGACTGGCTCCATTTCTACCCTTGGCTCGACGTCTTCGACGTCCTCCGGCCGGCGCATGATCATCCCCCTGTACAACCTCCAGGCCCACAATGTGATGCAGAACGTGATCGTGGACGCAGGGACAGATGCAAAGATCGCGAAGTTCATGAAGCGCGGACTGGAGGTGATTGGGCTGGCAGTGCTCGAGCCGATCGAAGTGTGGACCGGGGGATCCCTAGAGGATGACGTGCGACAGCGGACAAGCCTCGAACGTACACAGGGGCTGCTCCCCCAGGAGCAACCACGCCGACGTCGTCCGCGGCGTCCCTGGCATCGCATAATACGCAAGACCTTCCCCCACCCGCGCCTGTGCCCGCACCAGCACCGTTGATCGCACAGGCACCGATCACACCCTCCAGCTCGTCGAGCGGGCGCCCGGGCACACCACGCAAGTTCTTCGGCAAGCTGTTCAGCAGCAAGAAGAAGGATGCGCCGTCCATCGCTGGGCCCACCCCGCCCGCCACCCCGACTTCGCCAGTGCCGCAATGGTCGGCGGAGTCGAAAGTCTCCAAGCGCTCGTCCCTCCTCTCCGCGCATGGACATCCCATACTCTCTAACGTGTCGCTCGAGTTCCCGCTGCAGCCGCCCGTCCTGGGGATCCAGCCGACGCTCCGGTCACCCGTCGTTCCCCCGCGCGGCAGGCCGCACAAATACGTGTGGGTCGTGAGGAAGTGGCTGAAGGGCGAGCCGGAGAGCATGCTCGGCGGGATGCGGGACCGGTTCAACGAGGTGCGCTTGACGACACTCGCCCCGTCTGGCGGGCTCGAGGCGAACGTCGAGGTGCGCCTGGAGTGGAGCCGAGGCAAGAAGCGCGGTAGGGAGGGAGAGCAGCTCGCCAGGAAAGGGAGCAGACGGAGGAGCGACATAGGATCCGCGGCGTACTCGCAGCAGCCGCAGACGCCAATGACGCCGTACTACACACCTATGGGTCCGATGGTGTCATCGCGCAAGGCAAGAACGCGCTCGCCAGGCGACGGGTCTGGTGTCCGGCGTTCGATGGACTCGATCCGCTCCGTATCGCCTGGGCCTGCGGCAAGCATCACGACGGGCGAGTCGAACACACAGGAGACGCAGGAGGACGACGGGGACGAGTCGGACCCAGAGGACTCGGAGACGCCGTGGACGTGTACGCTCGTCTTGAGGCGGCTGCACCCGGCGACGCACCCTCAGTCGACCCCGACGCCGCGCTCTCCGCTCGCGGACGAGAGCCCGCAGTCGCAGAGCCTGCGCGTGAAGGTCGCCGCGGTTGTGCCGACGCCGCACCATCCGAAGGTTGTCGCGCTCCTGAAGGTGCCGTTCCCGCTGCCGGACATAGAGATCGAGCGTGTTGCGGTGAGGCGGCGGATTATCACACCCGCGGGGCTCTCGAGGCCTGCGCCCGACGCGGTCCCGGAGGCGGGCTCGGGAGGGAGTGGGCAGAAGAAGTTCTGGTCAGGTTCTGGGAAGGAGAATGGGAACGGGAGATCGGAGGTGGGGCGTGCATCGGGGATGGTGTTGACCGCGGAAGAGATCAAGGACGTCGTATCGTGTACGGGCCTCTGGCTGGTAGTGCGGGAAGGCTTTGGCGGCGTAGGGAAGGAGCGGCGGAAAGGTGATGGATGGAGATTGCGAGGCTGAGCTCGACCTGCGTATGGGTCGTAGTTGATTGCAGATTCAGCGCAGGCGCGCTTGACCGTTGGTGCGCATCTATATCTCGGGTGTCGGGTGGAAGGCCTCTGCGCTGTATGTTACCCATTCGTTTCTTGCAGGTCATACCATACCATAGTAATAGTTGGAATCTGGTTTCTTCTTTCACGGTTCCGGTGCAGGTGTCGATGTCCACATAGGCTTGGTCGCATTCAATACGGTACTGACTCACACAAACAAAGCAACGTTATCACTGGTCTGTCAGTAGCGGTAGTCCCGACCCACACATTCAGCTTCTCTTTTTTTGAGCTGGTCGGATCCGGACAGGGGCGGGTTTGAACGGATTGCCGATATACAAACAGATAAGGTGAGTCTCGTCTCGGCTGCAACGAGTACATGCCATTTGACCTAGTGAAATACATACAGTAGGCCTTGGACGAGTACTCGATGGTGCACGCGCGACCTTCGCAGACGGTCTTGAAAGATGATGTGGTGCGTAAACACGCGGTGGCATGCAATCGCACATGTAAATGATGCAGCGATAGCTTTCCAGGAACATGCAGGCACACGTATGAACAGTCACAATGCAAGTACACATACCCAGGGCCTCAGAAGGAAGTGTTCCTGGTACCCTCTGATACGAAACACCTATGTAACACGTGTGGATCTTATTAGGTTCTGCAACTACTGCTACACGGTTATATTTTGCGTCCGTCAAGTAACGTGCTGTTGAGTAAGTATTATACCTATTGACGAAGACGACGCATTAGATTTACAAGAATCATGCTGCCTACAACCGTAACTCGGCAGCGTAGGAAGTCTCCGGGTCTGTCAGACCACGATGCGTTCGGAGCAGCTTGCACACTTACGACTCATGCTGTGGATGATCGATTGGATTTGCAGCGATAGCCACAACCTCTTTCGCGCGTCCATGAATGAATTAATGATGGGTAGCTCAAATCCATATTCTCGTCGGCGTGCCACAAGACGCGTTGTTCACCATCATTGACGCGTTTACATGACCGACGGAGTCCGCGGATTCGACCTTCGTCGACATGCATCCTGAGCCTTCTCGGGCTTCCTCTGCTGACATTATGACAGCTTCAGTCAGCGGACATGCGACCCGTGGCTGCTGCCCCGCGACGAGACTCAGTGCGCGGCGACGATTACATGCGAGCCTGTACTACCTACCGCTGGCAGACTCGGACGACCAGGGAACTCCTCGGACTCCTTGCAAAGTTGCCCAATCAGCAGTCGCGTAGTAAGGGGTCTGATGACACATTTGGATCATATTTCGCACCTAGAACTGACTGCGCCCTGTTCGCTCGCGGCCTTTCACTCTGAATCAGGTAAGCTGAATATTCGTTCGCCTGCAGGCCGATGATCTAGGATGACTGATTGGCATCTCTAAGGAGGCTGAACCCCTATGTACTAGCGATTGTCCTGCGTCCTGAGTATAAAAGCGACGATGCGACAGGATGACTGTCATCACAATCCCCATTGCATCAATCAACACAACACTCACTAGACATGGCCAGCAAGACGAACATCCTGCTCTTTGGTGGCTCCGGTACGTCTAGAGTCATCCTTACTGTGCTAACGAACGCGCACTCAGGCCAATACTGCAGGCTACATCGGTGGAACTCTGTTGGATCGTCTTCTGAAGCACCCCAAGGCATCTACCTTCGACATCGTCACTCCCGCTCGCGACCCCGAGAAAGCAGAGGTACTCAGGAAGCTGGGCGCGAAGCCCGAGATCGCTGCTCTCAGTGACTTCGACAAGATCGAGGCACTTGCCTCACGTGCGGATGTCATCTTCAACCTCGTCAGTCACGATCGGACCCTCTGTATTTAATGAGTGCTGACATACGGACTTTCGTACAGGCGAACGCAGACAACGTGCCGCAGATGAATGCGGTTCTCAAGGGCATACGAAAGAGGCACGCGGCCACTGGCAAACCGCCTGTGCTCATCCACACTGTAAGCAAAGCCAGAGCGTGCGCGTGATGCCTTGTACGACTCACGATGATCTAGACTGGCCTTGGCGAAGTCATTGAGTTCGCGCAGGGAGAGTATGCCGCAAGACCGTCTACTCGGACGTGGACATCGAGCAGATCAAGTCCATCCCAGCAGCAGCCCTCCACCGCAACGTCGACCTGGTCGTGATTGGCGCAGATGAGGAAGGTGCGGTGGGTCCGAGCTACTGATTGGGCTTTGCTGACTCATTATCGCTGGCAGGCTATGCGAGGTCATACTTGATCTCACCGGGTATTGTGTACGGTCTTGCATCCGCACCCGCGCACGACGCAGGAATCGCGAAGAAGTTCTCTATTCAGATCCCGGGGCTCGCCAAGGCCGCGCTGGCCAGGAAGCGCGCTGGCATTGTCGGCCCTGGCAAGGCTGTCTGGCCGCATGCCCACGTCGACGACGGTACGTAGCTACGTTACCCCTGGCCGTCGCGCTCGCAGGGCTGACATGCGCACGCTCTCTGCAGTGGCCGACATCTACGTCAATCTCTTCGATGCGATCGCCAAGGACCCGCAGAGCGTCGGGCACGGCTGGGAGGGCTACTACTTTGTCGAGAACGGCGAGGTCGCCTGGTACGATGTCGGCAAGGCCATGGCCAGGCGCTCGTAGATCTCGGAATCACCAAGACGCTGAGCCACGCCGTTCGCGAACGAGGAGCTCGAGACTACTGGGGCTCACTGGTATGTCTCCCGGGTCGCCGCTCGCGCGCATTGATGTTGACAATGTCTGGTGTCGCAGGCCGTGGGCAGCTTCGGCGGGACGACATGCGTGCGAAGGCGGAGCGGGCGCGCACGATCGGGTGGAAGCCCAAGCACGCGGACATACTGGGGACGATCAAGGCGGAGGTGGAGCTGCAGTGGGCAGTCGCGCAGAAGAATGGCGGCGAGGTCGACTTCACATTCGAGAGGGGCCTTGCGAAGCTGTTCGGGTTTGCGTAGGTGTGGTCGTGTCTTGCTAAAGATGTCCTAGTCGCAGATATGAAGTGTTCAATGTATTAATTTTCTTTCACTCGGATACTTACACCTCGACTCCGATCAAGCACACGAGATAGGCGGCGCTCGCCGTGAATATACAGGATATACATGCTCAAGGGTTACATCTGCGTAAGGAGAGACGTCGTGGAAGTTCTCGACTTCCCTGCAGTACAAATGAGGTTCGACTAAAGTATGTATACTGTATCTTCTACACTACGGCACTCGTGGCGGACGCTATGACACGACCCGAGTTCCGACCGTCTTCTGCTAGGCGGTACACAGGAAGCGGGGTGTTGGGAGTTAAGGGGCCAAAAGCACGGTCCGACGACCGTCTCAAGCGGGCCACTTCGGCAGGGTCCTTGTCCTTGTCAGGAGTGTCAACTTGCGTGTCAAGGCTGCTGAGCTCGCGGGCTGAAATGTCTTCCTGGAAAGCGCGTCTTACAGTCTCCCGAGAGTTCAAGCTAGGGGAGCACTCAGTAGTCAGTCTTACTGAAAATAATATATAGAACATACGTCGATAGGAAGGAGCATGGATAGACTGCAATTATCGTAGTCAGATACAGAAGTGTTTGCTAGTCAGATCACTCACTTCGAATCAGCATCCAATAGAATATGACGTATATCAAGCCTTCGCCCAGTGTGACCCACTGAAACCGGCGCCGCAGTGAGCTTCTTAATGTGTGTATATAATACACAGGCACGTACGGTGATGACACAGACAAAGCTGAGGATCCTACAAGGCACAGTTTAGATCTAGAGTCGGAATAACACTTGGTCGAAGACTTACAAGGCGAGATACCTAGAGTAGTACGTTTTCAGTAGGCGAGCGCAAGGTAGTCCGAGTCTGAGTGTCTAGAACTCACATGTGCTGAATGCATAGGTCATCAGGAGAGTGATAGCTTTGTTTGTCCTGTTCAGTATATATGAGTGCATCGCATGGTCAACTACCGCATTTCCATACCGATAAAATGCCGTTCGACCCTCCCGCAAGTAATACACAGTACCTCCCGCGATCAATAAGTCACACACAATGTTAGCAGTCAGCGCTGTACTCGTGTATGCCTAGGCGCATTAGCAGAATGAGAGGTCGTAAATACCCAGTAGCATGTCACCACGCACATGGCATGCCCTTCCTTGCTAGGCGTAGAGAAGTAGCGAGCGCTGTAACTTTGAGTCGATGAGCATGCACCACAACGCCAATGACCGAAAGTGTGCTCACCCGGCAACGGTGTACGCTATGATAGTAGTAGTCTGACGCGTTAGTCTGTTGCAAATGCATACATGAACAATACTGACCTATGGAACAGGCTGAGACGCAATATGCCATACATGTCACATTGTTGAGCATACAAGACAGATCGTTACATACCTAGCTCCACGACACTAAGGAAACCCTAGATGGCTTAAAGATCATTAAAGGTTACTGTGATGGATGGGTTCTACGTACGATGATACCAGGAATTATCGGCCGTCGCTTCCCGACTTACAAACAAATAATCAGTGTTCGTGAGGCGACTTTGAGCATCTGCGATACCAACGGACATAAATCCTCCTTGCAAAGAATCTAGTAAAGCGCCACTTAGATTAGCGTCGACCAGCACGGCTGTTACACTCACAGTTGCACCAGAAACCCCACAAGGCTCTATATGCACAGAGCCCTGGTCAGTACAAGCGTGCATTGGTGATACCGCAACGGCACGTACTCCGTTAGATATCTGAATCTGTTCGCCTGTCTATGACATGCACTTAAGGGTTATTAGGATGACACGTACCGCAATACTCCTGTAAGGCAGAGTAGTCAACATTCCATATTCGCTAATCCGCTTTCCGCTTACCAAGTCACTCTTTGAAGCGCGACATAGTCCCCAAAGTTTGTCACCGTATAGTAATAGTACGCGGTCGATATTAGCGCGACATGCAAAGTATCCAAGGCGCTGGCGATAACATCAGCGTTCTGAGGCTCGACCACTTGAGAGCATGTGCAATTTACACAACGAGAGCAACCTGACACATCGGTAATCATCAGTCGTAAGGCCATTGAGGGGGAGGGCTCGCGACGACGGGCTTACAAAGAGCTTCAGCCGCAGGCTATCGCCTTTGCTGTATTGCGTATAGTACAAGTATGCCTGCAGACATGTAACGCCATAAAGTCTGACACAATGGTTAGCATCGATATAGCGAAGCAAGATCGGAGGGAGACGTACATAGTTGAGAGTATTATACCTATAAATTGCGCGCCCAAGATGTTGTCAAGGGGGACGAGCGTAGGCATGACGTGTCGACGAAGCAGAGCTCTGAGAAGCCGCAGGGTATAATCATATCAGCGATGCGCTTTATATGTATGCCGCTATGCATGCCGCCCAGAGTGATGACGAGCGCGTCGTAGAAGCCCATGCATGCCACGCGGAAACATGCAATGCTATGGTGCGTCTAAGCAATGAAAGTGCCGGTAGCAGATAGGATGCCGCTGCGCCCACTTGTGATAATGTTTGTCTTCCTTTCGACGATCATAAGTATGATCCCCGGCTGATCCCCGGTGCAGTGGCCACAGCATTATGGTCTGCGCGCCCTAAGATATTCACCAGCCCAGGTACCAGCTGCCGTTGGAGTTCAATAAGGAAAGGTAGCTTGTCCCCCTTCATGATTGATATTAGCAAAAGCCACTCACCCACGAGTTCAGAGACGCGGCCAGCAGTGGACAATTGCACGTGCTATGTCCAGTTCAGTGCCTAGAGCAAGAGCAGAAATCTCAGCGTCGGCGAGATGCTCAGCGCTCAGCGCCGACATCCATCCCCCTTCGGCGAGAAGAGATGTCCGACTTAGAAGACTCACTTGAAGATTACGGCGCTGTGCCATGCTTGCAAGGGGGATCTGATACGACGATGTTCGGGTATTACGGCGTGCGTATTAAGTTGTGTGGCTGTGCGAGGACGAGACGCACCAGCGCTATGTAGATGGTTTAGGAGTGCGATCGTCGGGACGCGGCTTGACAAGGTGTTTGACTTGAGACTGTGCAAGCGAAATAGCCAGATGATCGGCCTGATGTGACGTCGTTCAAACAGAAACTTGCAGAATGGGTCTGCTTCGTAGACACATGAGGGCCCCGAGTCCGAGGGGGTGCGACGGACGAGACACATCCAAGATGAACCACAGTTCGAAGCATGGCTTGGTCAACAACAGATCGATCAACAGCGTGCAGCCTATGGAATGCAGACCCACACTGCGTATGAGAACCAGTTCAAGTGTATGTGTGCGCGCGCGGTCTACTTGGCCATGACAACGTTTCGCCAATTCATCGAGCACTATAGCGCTCTAGTCCGCATGCATCAGAGTGAATACCGGGACTACGGAGTCCGGGCTTATCAACGCGAGCGGTCCGAATAATTGTTAGGATTGCTCTCTGTAATGATAGATTCCACAAGGTAACGTCAGACAATAAGATGACGGATAACGACACTCACTTCCATTGTGGTCCAGGAGATGGACGCGTTCACCAGTATGTTCAGACAGCAGCCGCTGACTCGGAGGTGAGTTTTGGCAGACACGGTAGGGACTCTCGCTCACACTCGGGAGTGAGTGTCCCGATGCCAATAAATCCACATCATTGGTGCGTAGGTCAGGACTAGCGACTCCTCTTGCGTTGCTTCACGAGTCGATGTGGCTTCCGCGACAAACCCTGGTAGAGGTTGTCTCAACGTCCCGATTTACAACGCCGCATGTCCTGAAGCGAAGCGGATATGCTGAATGGGGCATTGAAACAGTATGCCTTTCTCTCCGCGTACAACATGTACCTGAGCTAAATGGATGTCAGTGAGACTGAAGAACGGCTCGATGCGGATTCCGTTGGTTCCGCAAGTGCTCGACGTTTTCAGCAGTACCAAGAAAGTCATCCTTGGAGGCGAACGTGGCTTTGTCCAGAGAACGCGGCTAGGTATGGCAGGGTGATGCTTATGGCATCACCAAAGCCGCAGAGAACCTCGTCGCAACGAAGTGTGGAGCTAAGCTCACAAGGGAAGACTCTAAAGTGCTTTCCTATCATAGGATCAGGTCTCCATGCCCGGTGTTCGATTCGCACCTAACTTAAGTTCCGTTGTCTAACAGCATGCCCGGTTACATGCGCTACTGCAGCAAGTCCTCTAGTCTGTTTGCGCCGGCGTGTCTGAGAGGAGGGCATATTGCCTCTGAAACTCAACGCACTTGAACCAACTGGGTGAGCCAGGAAAGCGGAAAGAGATGCTTTTGTCTTGCGGTACCAATGTGGCGCACTGAGAGGAGGAGGAGGAGGAGAAGGAGGCTACGAGAGTTCGCGGTTTGATCGCCGAGCCGAGCCGAGTCGAATCAGTCAGTCGATCCTGCCATCTCATCTTATCTGGCAAGTCACGGGACTGCCTTACACCGAACGTCCTTTCACTCGGCTCAACGTACGGTCGACCATGACAGGAACCACACCAACCGTAACGCGTAACGTCGGACGCTCTCGCACGCAACACTCGAGTGAATGTCTGTGGGAGACAGGTGACCCCACGAGAGTTTCCTGAAGGTATCATAGCATTTCGCTCCACGACGGCCTGTATAATTTCGACCCGACGTTGATGTTGTATGTACATGCAGCCTTTCCCTCGGTAGACTCGAGCAAACGCACACCGACGTCCACATCCTTCGGCAAGTCTGTCATCGGCTTCATCAGTATGCCTGCCCAATACTTGTGTCTGCCTCCGACATGGGATACTTATCTCGGCCTGTACGTATCGCAAACATAGTCCACCCCCCTCTCCGTTTCTTAGGCGGTGTACGGCTTCACAACACTACATCACTTCATCAAGGCCCAGAGCCGCATCTCCAACCCAAGCCAATTGAATTTCGAAACACATGAGGCACTTGTAAAGTGCTACCGCCCCGCCATTTGTACGTCCTAACACCCGTCGACTGCCAGTCAAACTCACAGCTAATATGCAATAGGATTTGGGCAACTCAAGCGAGCCGAGCCTATGCTGCAAGGCGAACCGCGGACGCTCCTCTGACTCGGCCTGGTAGGTACAAAGCACGACGGGGCACCAGGTGACGGGTGACTGACTCCTGCAGGGCGCAAGCGGCAGATCACGACCCAGCGGAGGGTGTGTCTGAGGTTCGAACAATCGAGACGATTGCACGTCGTGCCGGCCTCTTGTTCGGGAACGGGTAGCGAGCAACGAGAGTCTGACTACATCCAAGTGAGTTTCCTGCAGTGATCTAACACCGTACCTTCAGATGTCTTGTTTCAGTGCAGCACGGACGCCGTCGTCTGGAGGTTCGACAAAGTTATGAATTCGGAAGGCGGTGCTGATGAAATTTCAAAGTCTTATCCAGTACACGAAATAGCTCACTGCACTGCAGTGCGAGAGGTCGTCTAGGCTGGCGTGAGCGAGTGGAACAGCCGATTCTCTGAGTCCTAGAGGTACAACTTGGACGCGGAGCGAAACAACGGCTGGTAATCGACACGAGTGACATGCTGGGCATCTTGAAGAGATGAACTCAGTCTGTTCCAGCACTCCATAACTTACGGCGCTAGGCGGTGACGCTCGACCGCAGTACTGCATCTTCTGTCAGTAAGACTATAAATAGTAAAGACATGACTATACTTGGTAGTTTTCCCTGGCTGCGCAGCGATCCCGATAGGCGAAAGACGCAGGGATTGAAAGTTCCGGGGGCGGGGGTTGCGCGCTTGCGTTGCGCAGCAAGTGCTGTGTGCCGCGCATGTGCCGCGTGTCGTTTATTTGCAGGTTTCCGAACGGCACCCTTGACGTTCCCCGGTTGCATCATGGCTTACCCCCGCAGCACCCTGTTATATATCCACGGCGACCTCATCCCCGTCGCTCCCTCGCCTTCCCCATATTCTCGTCTTCTGCCACGGTAACGATTCTTCCCTTGTGAAGCCCTCATAACTTTCTGCTCGCTATTCCTCTCTGCTTGTCATCGCGGCGTGCAGTCGTATCCACCTTGCTGCGCCTAGGAGCGTCAACGTTTCAACGTTCAAACGTTCAACACTTACTCTGTGCGTCCTGCCCAGTTAAGACGAGCGTCATGCAACCTGCTCACTCACCGGAATCTCCATAGGTCGAGATCACACCCGGTCTCCGTGCCAAGGACTCACATCCAACTCAGGGCGCCTCTTCAACATATATATAAGGCACCCACACCGCTGCGCTCACCGCTTTATCCTTTCCTCTCGACTACACGCTTTGATTCGCTTTCGATCGCCCTACGGCCTGTGTCCCGTTCTCTTGCGACTATGAAATCCGCAGTGCTCGCTGCAGCCGCTCTCTACTCTGGCAGCGCCTTCGCGGCGACCAGCTACAGCCTCGTGAAGGAGTACTCCGGCTCCAACTTTTCGACGGATGGGTTTTTACGACAACTTCGACAACACCACCAATGGTGCGTGTTCTACTTCTGTGGTGAGCTGCAATCGCAGAGACGGCGCTGGAGATCGGGTTCTCCGGTGCTACGGCTCAGTTGAGGTCCGCTGTTGCTGTAGCTGCGGTCAAGCTGTGGCATAGTAAAGGCTGGCTGGGCACCGTACCGTTTCATGCCCTTTGCGAAGATGCAAGGAGGCCATCCGACCTCAAAGCCAAATTTCTCTTCTTGACCATGGCGAAGGCTCGCCACAGCCGTGGGCGAGGCGGCACAGAATATCGCGGCTGCAGCCGGGGTTGGACGAGATGTGACATTGTCAAGCGTCGGGCGTTGGTGGCTATATTTGGCTGGGCCAAGTTCAATCATCATGCGATCGGGCAACTTTGAGTGGCAGCTGTCTGTTCGTCAGTTGCTCGGTTCGACCCGGTTCGACCTCGCCGCACAGCTCGTCGCGAATTATTTCACCTTGTTCCTCATGGGCACCTATCAGCAAGGACCCAGCTGACCTGTATTCAATGGTGCAGGTGACGTCGAGTACGTGAGCCAGACGAACGCGACGGAGGGCAAGCTCGCGTACGTGAACGGTAACGGCGCGGCGATCATCAAGGTCGATAACACGACGTTCGTGCCCTACAACGACAAGCGAGACTCCGTACGTCGTACCTCTCCCCTCCCCGGACGACAGCCTCGCTCGAATTAATGAATCGAGTAGGGTTGGTGGCCGGGGAATGGCTGCCTTGAGCGCTGCATACTGACGCGGCTCACATGACAGGTCCGCATCACCACCTCGGACTTTTTCGAGTCCGGCTCCGTGCTCGTCTTTGATGCTGCGCACATGCCCTATGGCTGTTCGGTGAGTCTTCTCTTCGCTGTCTGTCATCATTTCTTTGCCGGATGCAGGGGATCAGCTGCGCGGCGGTTACCTGCGGCCGTCCGCGAGACACATTGGGGTGCTGCTATGTTGCGCCGCAGCGCCCAATATTGAGCCTGCTCGTCGAGTGCTAGCCGGCGGAAGGCTGGCCGGAGGACAGCTCGAGCCTGCCGCGGGTCGGGAGGAGTACACTCCTCATTGTAGACTCCGGGCCACCGGCGGCGGCGAGGCGATTGGGGACTCGCGCACACTCTCCGTAGGCGGTGCAGGCGTTGGCGGAGGAGGCGTTTGGTCTGTTGTGTCAAACCCGAGATACGGCTTTACCTTGCGTGCGCGAGTTGCTCATATTGAGGTGTAGATCTGGCCCAGCTTCTGGACAAAAGGCGAAAACTGGCCCGACGGTGGTGAAATTGACATCATGGAGGGCATCAACGGCATGACCGTGAACCAGATGGCGCTGCATACCGACGCGGGCTGCAACGCTTCTAGCAGCGCGTCATTCTCTGGAACGATCGGCTTGACTAGCTGCAATTCCACCTCTGGCTGCCAATTCGTGAGTGTTCCTCTCCTGTATGAGCAATATCGGCGCTCACACACAGACCGCAGAGTGAGAGCAAGCAAAACAGCTATGGCCCGGGCTTTGCGTCAGCCGGTGGCGGCGTGTTCGCGACGCTCTGGGACGACTCACAAATCGCGATCTGGTTCTGGCCGCGGAGCAGCGTGCCGTCGTCCGTGTCGAGCGCGACGAGCAGCATCGACATCTCCGACTGGGGCACGCCGTCCGCGAACTACACGTCGTCGGCCTGCGACATCTCGAAGGCGTTCGCGCCGCAGCAGCTCGTGCTGGACATCACGATGTGCGGCGACTGGGCGGGCGTGGACACGGTGTACGCGGACACGTGCGCGATCCAGGGCACCGCGAACTCGTCGTCGTGCTACCTGCAGAACGTGTTCAACAACGGGAACCAGACTGCGCTCGCGACGGCGTACTTCGAGATCAACTACATCAAGGCGTTCAACGCGAAGGGCTCGCTCCTGAGCGCGGGCGGCACGACGACGAGCGTGGACGCGAGCAGCGCGCTCGCGTCCGCGACGGCGAGCGGCGGCGCATCGGGCTCGACGTCGAGCAGCTCGGCCGCGTCGCAGGTGGTGGCGAGGATGGGCGGTGCGGCGAAGGCCTGGGCGGTGGTTGCGGGCGCGGGTGCCCTCTTCGCTTGGACGCTCGTGTGAGCACCGACACATGTCGAACGTTGATGAATACAGAGGGAGGTATTGGGTTCTCACTGACACTGTATGCAGTCGATGGACTTGATGTATACATTCTAGTCTTCTACAGTCTTTCGGTGACACTGTCTTTACTAGTACTCTGAGGACGTTGATATCAACCTCATGCCGTGAGACTGCGTAACGATACCGTTGGCCTTGTTATATATACCATGCTATAATATCACGAAATCGTCATCACTCCGAAGGAAAGCCTGCGCGTCGCTCGGCGTAGACTGAGGTGCACGTAGGGCGTGACTAGTCGAGAAGGTGAAGCCTACTAGCGCGTCCAAGTGCCAAAGTGAACGGATCATCGATATCGATCAGGGTTGGAGGGCGGCGGGGCGGTGGCGGGAGCTACAGTCACGAAGTTGCAGTCGCACTGACAGCGCCGAGGCGCGTGTAAACCAAGTACTGCAACAATTGCAACTGGCAAGTAGTGCTCCGTGGACAGCTAGACTTCTATCGTTCTCTCTAGTCGCGTACTAAATAAGGCACGCAGTCAGATGATGAAGATGTGTTCGCGAGGTCGCTCCACAGGCAAGTGTACGAGCTCGAGCTTACGGGAATGCACTTCTACTCCGAAATCTCCGGGCAGTCAACGAGAACGAGTCTCACATGCGCAGGCTACGGATCCTCAAGTGAACGGACCTCGACACCTGCTTGTCAGCAATGCGTACGCGCTCTCAAGTCGCCGGTCGGACATGCACTCCAATGTTTCCAAGCGCATGCCCATACGAGTCGACGTAGGAGCGCCCTCCGCCTCCGCAACTTGAACTACGGAGCATGAGTCCTCAATCCCCAGCGATCGCACAGCGGCATTCTCACAGCTGGCGCGTCCCTGCGACTGGACCCGGCCTGCACACGCTCGAACGCACCACCATCTCCCGCACGCCTGGACGAGGTGCGACTGCAGCCGCCGGACGCTGCGCGGGATGGCGATGTGTGCAATGCGCATGTGGTTCGCTGATATGACCATCAGTAAGTTTGCCTTCAAATCGTCGAACTTCGACTAGAAAGGACGACTGACCAGCGCTCCGACTGCGATCTGACTTTCCTCATGTGCGTCCCGCATATCTCCACCATACTATGTGTTCCGCATGGTGCCAGTGGATCCCGTATGCGTGTCTCTAGAATGAACGCCCGGGCTGCATTCTCGCGGTGCAGCTGCCTACTTTGCAGGCAACCTTGCCGCCGTTTGCATGACCAGCCAGCCGTGCCCGCAGGGTTCTCCCGGCACTCCGCCGTGTTTTCATTGTCGCTTTGCTGTTCGCCACGCTTCCGGTCGTGCACGGCTCTGAAGTGAAGCGCGAGGGCTTCTGCTGTCCCAGAGTACGAACAGCCCTCCCAGCGGCAACAGCGAAGTCGCGAGGCACACTTTTGCCCTTCCTGTCGTGTGCGCCTGCAGATGTTGCCACAAACCGGCTGCAGGAAGTTCCAGCTGACAATCTGGCCAGGGGTAGGTAACGACGTCGTCAGGCTTGACCGTGACGTTTCGCCTTCGCTTGGGAGGCGGGCTCCACATCCCCGGCTCGCTTCCTCTTCCTGTTGACTGCCAAGTTCACGTCGTCGTCGAGAGTCGTTTGGGAGGTGGACGCGAGCGACGCGCAATACGACTTGCTCGTCAACCGAGGATCGATCCCCACGCAGGGGAGGGTGACGTCCAAACCTTCCCGCAGTATTTGCTCTTCTAAGAGCGCTTTCGGATAATCCGCTGAGGTACGTCAGACGAGCAAAGCTGATCCCATTAAATTATGCCAAGAGCCGCGAATCCTAGCACACACCATCAGACCCTACTGGAGGCTTTCCCATAAATGTGTTCACATATCTGGATGATGTGTGTTCGCAGATGGTCTTGAAGGTAGATTTGTACGAGCGCCGCTGATCGAAGCCGTCGGCGATGAAGATGGCAACTACACCGGCAAGATTCAGTTAGACAAACAACATATCGACGTGAAGACGACAAACAACAGCGACTCTTACCGCGCAGTCAGCAAGGACAAGAATATTATCTCGAAAGGCGGCCGCCAAGAGTCGATATTGTCCGGCTTGTTGCTGCTAAGAAGAGATGCTCAGGGCGAAGGCTCCACACAGTGTAACAAACAAACCTACTTATTGGCAACAGGTCAGCCTACGAGTTTGAGAAGATCTGAGGGCGTGGATTCCTGCAAGAAGCTCTCGGTGAATCACTCGCGACATCGACTAAGCCGATCACCCAAAATGCTCACCACGATTCTTCATGAAGTCGTCGAGACAGTCCCGGAAATGGTTGAGGCGCGGTGTGCATCGTTCTTTTCGTATGTAGGTGCCACACACGGCGCACTGCACATACCTGTCGCCGTGGAAGCACCAGTGCAGCCCCTGGATATGTCTATCAAGGTTCGCGAACAGCACCGACGCCGCCGAGTCCAAAGCCGCGTCCGGCGGGCAGAGCTTGCATCTCACAAGGGGGGTCGAGACGGGCGTACTGGCTTCTTTCGCCGGCTGTGGCCTGTGTTTGCCCTTCCAATGCTCGAATCGGTCCTGTTGGGTACCCTCGAAGCCGCATTCGTTCCTGTCACACTTACCGACGACCGGCGCCGGCTCCGCCTTCGCGGGGTCCACCGCGTAGTGGTCGGCACGGATGTGCGACCAAACCTCTAACGCGGTGCCTTCCCTCCCGCACTTCTCCCCATCGTGAATCTTCCACCCACACGTATTATCGACGGACGGAGGGGAGGCGGTGATGGAGGCGGATTCAGCGTGAGTTGGAGCACAGGTCGTGCCTTGGCCCGGGGTTGGTGAGGTGCCGGCGGTCGGGGGCGCGTGTCACCGTCTTCTTCGGCCTCAGATCCTCGTCTCCGCTTCTGTCCGGGCGTTAATGCGGAGAAGGCGAGTGAATCGGCAGGCACGTAGGATTCCCAAGCCCTCGAACCCGCATCCGTCCCAATCACTCCCAGTGACAATCGACGCCAGCCCCATTCTCGCAGAGTGCGCTGTGTCGTGATCGGCGCGAATGTGTGCCCACACCTCCAGCTCGGTGCCTGTCCTCCTGCATCTGCGTATATCCGCACCCTTCCACCTGCACTTCGCAGGAGGAATGGGATTGGGTATGGCCACCGGCGGTGCCCGCGACGCGTGTGGCGCGGGCGTGGGAGCTCATCCTCGTCCTCATTGCTGTCAGCGCTCCGTCTGTGCCTGGGACCAGAATCTGCAGCAGCGGAGGGATGGTTGTCGGCCAGTCCGCTGGAAAGGCCGTCGAAGCCACTGCCGAGTTGGTACTGCCACTGGTAGGACACAGAATGCACGAAGCTGTGGACGAAGTGCCCATTCTGAATGGACGCCGACGGAGCGACGGGCATCGATGGGATACCCAAGTGAGTTAGGTGGGTTCGGAAGGCTGTTGTATATCCTTCCCAGTCGGTGACGCGAGGCTCATCCACCCCTCGAACCGTTCGTGGAGCCTCAAGCCCCCAAAGGCCGAGCGAGAGGAGGAGTTCAGGCCCAGGAGTTAACAGCCTCCTCTTCGTCCGCATTGAGGTCAACGGTTTCTCTGAACCTCGTGTCTCGTGCCCTGATCGGCGGGGCCGCCCTATTATGCGGAACATGGCCATTAACCTCTGAAACGAAGAAAGTACAGGATGCGGCTACGTACGGTATATCAAACCGTTGGGGCAGAAACGCGGTGGACGGCTCTGCTCCTACATATGGCCCGACGTAGGCATTTTCCAACAGCGCAGGCATGGAACCTCGCGTGTTGACGGCTCCTCACTGTTGTTCGAGTTATAACCGCGGTCCAACGCCATGCGGCACCGGTCGAAACCGATACTGGGGTTGAGAGAAAGGGGGAAGTGAGGGTGAAGTGGAGGGTGAACGGCCTCCCATAGACCGTTGATGGGATTTGGTTAAGAGGAGTGGTGACGAGTTTGTCGGGAGTGGCGGGTCGCGTTCCGAGTGTGCGGACAGTCATTGCTTGAGATACGGAAGACAGACGGACGGACTGTGCGCGCGGTATTTAAGCCGTGGCGAGAGCTCAGACGCACGTAGGGGTGTGTGGACAATGCACACAGAGGGCGGAGCTTTCGCCACCCGGGACGCGACATTGCAGAGACGTCCTGCAATTGTTCGCCTCAACGGGAAAATCTGACAAACAGACAGAGCGTTCTCGGCTTTGAGTGAAAGAGGTCGCGGTTCGACAAAGTGCACTCAAAAGCTTTTCATAATGCAAGGAGGTCTTGGCTATCCATATGAGTATGCGGATCGGGCTGCTGGCGAGCGTGCCATTGTTTCATGGGGTCACGGAGATCAAATGCGCTTGGGTTGTCGACGACTGTGGGTGAGGCAAGGCCGCTGGTGCGGTTAAAGACCGATATGAAGCGCCCAAAGCTCGTCGTCCCTCATCGCATAGCGTCACACCAAGCTCATAAGTGAAAGATACACGAGAAGTGTTTGGTCTGAACTGAGTCCGAGGAGGAGACGTGAATCATTGAGGAGTACGGAGACGACATGGAACCATACCTCAGATGCCCATGTCACGGTGGGAGACACCAGATAATGGAATCGACGGCGTCGCTTGACACCCCGTATGAACCCGAAGGCCAGACATCCTCTATATTTTCATGACCCCGGTGGTGAGCAAGCAGTCTCTGTGTACGAGCGGAATGTCCAGGTCACTGACACCAATCGCGCTGACGTGGCATATGCTCCGTTGGGTAGGGCGACTTGCAGAGGGCGGCATCGCTTCGATAGCCAGTACACCAGTAGGATTGCATAGACAACCAAGATCGTTCTCCGCGAGACGAGGTCTTCACTGGAAGCCGATGTATTGTACGGCGTACTGTGCTGCCGTACGGAGCTCGCAAATCGGCGCGGAGAACCTTGTTTCACACTTGAGGACAGCGACGAGGACTTCACGATCCTTGCCGAAATCAGCACTCGACTCTTGGGCTGATGTTGTGTTGAGAGAGTCGTACATTAAACAGTAGAGACCGTAGCTGCAGCCTGCACCAGGTCGCCTCGAGCGAAGCCGCCAGCTGAGAGTTCTCGGCGTCTTCCGACAATTGTCCGAAGCGCGTCTTGGGCGCGTCGCAACTTGACTCTTTACACCAAAAAGGCGGCGTACTATTACTAATGAGGAGGGGTGGTTCACGGTGGCTGAAGAGGAGGAGGAGGAGTTGAGCGCCCGACTGGAGGAACACGGCATAGTAGGCGCCTAGCGACCTACGCTCACCACTTACCGACCGCAGGAGGAGGGCACCTTAAACTTTTCAAGCCCTGTCGCATTTTGTTTGCTCGTGTGCTTGAGTCTCAGTGCGGTGGTGCTGTTCGACCTCGATTTCGCGGTTCGTCAGGCCGCTCGGTGTCGCGCGTAGATTCAGAAGCGACCGTGCTCCTGAAGTCTTCAGGTTCCCCTGGCCAGTATCTGTGCCCTGCATCCGACACCCGGACCCTTGGAAGCTTGAACGCCGATGCAAACAGGATCCAGGGGGGGCTGCTATGAGTGTGTGGAATCGCGCGTCAGCCCGCCACACAAAGTTGGGCGAGTTGCATGACTGCTATCTCGCACGAATGTATTGTTGAAAGCTTGACAGGATCCTGCCAGGACACGGAGCGTGGTCGAGGTACGGCACCTCTGCTATGCTAGGAGCTGCGGACCGTGCTGCGCTGCGGTACGTTGGATTGACGTCCTCGCGACCTTGCATTATCGCCAGTACTTTCGTGCAGAGTGCCGTGAGCACAGTCGCCGTCATGAATGTCGTTCTACTACTCTGTTTGCAATCTCGACCCAGATCATCCCATCTCGAAGTCACGGAGCCGTATTGGCAACGTATTGGAGCCGTACTCGCGCATACATACCGAACTTAGCGCCGCCGCTGCCATGGCCCCCGGACTGATCACCCGCCATGAACCTGGTCTCTGGTTTGTCGGCAGCATCCGAAAGGGCAAAAACCATTTGATTTACATTGGACACTTCAGTTCCGCGATTATAATATTCTATCGAGCCAGACCCAGATCACACCTACGCAAACCCGAACAGCTTCGCAAGGCCCCTCTCGAATGTGAAGTCGACCTCGCCGCCATTCTTCTGCGCGACCGCCCACTGCAGTTCCACCTCCGCCTTGATCGTCCCCAGTATTCCGCGTGCTTGGGCTTCCACCCGATCGTGCGCGCCCGCTCCGCCTTCGCACGACATGTCGTCCCACCGAAGCTGCCCACGGCCTGCGAGCACCAGACATAGTCAATATCACGTCACGCGTGATGGCAACCTGGGAGACGTACCAGCGACCCCAGTAGTTTCGAGCTCCTCGTTGCGAACGGCGTAGGCTCAGCGTCCTTGGTGATTCCGAGGTCCACAGCGCCTGGCCGATGGCCTTGCCGACATCGTACCAGGCACCTCGCCGTTCTCTACAAAGTAGTAGCCCTCCCAGCCGTGCCCGACGCTCTGCGGGTCTTGGAGATTGCATCGAAGAGATGACATAGATGTCGGCCACTGCAGAGAGCGTGCGCATGTCAGCCCTGCGAGAGCGATGGTCGGAGGTAACGTAGGTACGTACCATCGTCGACGTGGGCATGCGGCCAGACAGCCTTACCAGGACCGACAATGCCAGCGCGCTTCCTGGCCAGCGCGCCTTGGCGAGCCCCGGGATCTGAATCGAGAACTTCTTCGCGATTCCCGCTCGTGCGCGGGTGCGGATGCAAGACCGTACACAATGCCCGGCGAGATCAAGTGCGACCTCGCATAGCCTGCCAATGACAGTGGTCAGCAAAGCCCAATTCATGACTCGGATCCATCGCACCTTCCTCATCTGCGCCAATCACGACCAGGTCGACGTTGCGGTGGAGGGCTGCTGCTGGGATGGACTTGATCTGCTCGATGTCCACGTCCGAGTAGACGGTCTTCGCGGCATACTCTCCCTGCGCGAATCAATGACTTCGCCAGGCCGGTCTAGATCATCGTCAGTCGTACAAGCATCATGCGCGTGCTCTGGTTGTGCTTACAGTGTGGATGAGCACCGGCGGTTTGCCAGTGGCCGCGTGCGCCTTTCGTATGCCCTTGAGAACCGCGTTCATCTGCGGGACGTTGTCTGCGTTCGCCTGCGCGAGAAGTCCGTAGGTCAACACACGCGAGCAATGGGATAACATGGACAAAACTCACGAGGTTAAAGATGACATCCGCATGAGAGGCGAGTTCCTCGATTTTGTCGTACTCGCTCAGAGCAGCGATCTCAGGCTTTGCGCCCAGCTTCCTGAGCACCTCTGCCTTCTCGGCGGAGCGTACTGGTGTAACGATCTCGAAGTTCGATGCCCTCGGGTGCGTCAGAAGGCGATCCAGGAGGGTTCCCCCGATGTAGCCTGCAAATGCGGTCTGAGTACGCGTTCATCAGCACGGTACGGAGACTTGTGAACGTACCGGAGGCACCGAAGAGCAAATATTCGTTTTACTGGGCATGTCTGTCGGTTTGCTTGTTGCTGGATGTAGATGTGGGTGTGGGTTTCTGGTCAGAGATGAGGATTGTGTTGGAAAGACCGTGTCCCGCGTCGCTTTTATACGTGAGCCAACGTCCCTGGTACGAGATCCAGCCTGGGTATCAGTCATCCTGCTACTGTCCGTGGATCTCCATGGATCCGTCTTGAATGAGTCGGCGCACTTGGACTCTCGTGTAAGCCATGTCACTAGAGATGGCATTGCTCAGTAAGCTGCCTCCTATAGATTGTGGCTGCACGCTGCTGGTACGCGAAGAACCCACTGAACCGAGCAGGAGTATGGATGAATATGAGAAAGGACGCGAGTTAGTAATGAGGCCGCGGACGTCCGACTGTGCTGCTCGGTGCGCAGGCCACTCGCGTAAGTACGCGAGCGCTAGCGCCAAGAGAGCGTCTATGTAAGCATTTCGTTACTACTTAGGGGCCCGTGGCTATTAGTGAGGGCATACTTGCGAGAGTTGTTGTCACTGGTTGGGCAACGCGACATCCGACGTTACTACATATACCCCTCGAGCTCCAGACACCACGAATACATCGACAAGACTACCGGCTCGCAGGTAGCGCTTTGTGCTACTTAATGCCCAATAAGTATTTGTATTGTACGCACCGACAGTCGCGACTTAGCACGTTCTCGTGGCGGTTACAACAACCACTCGGTAATGCATATGCATGCAGAATTCATTATCATCATCACCAAATGGTTGGGCAACGGGTCTGATAGTAGTACATGTCAAGGCAAATAGGCCATAAAATCGTTAAATGTAGCTGTCATAAGAGCGGATGCCCTGTTCAGTGACCGCTCACGACGCCCGACGGGCGATATGATGTACTTACCCAGGGAGGCCGATGACTTCGTCTCATGCCACCACCACCAACCAACCCACTACCTCAAGTCATTGGTAAGCCTGGAATAGTGCCAGTGTTATTCGCTCACGTATCGAACATGTCAGTTAGCGCGACGTCCGCCCAACGGCTACATCGTACGTACCATTCTGTCTGGCATTTCTTCCGGAGAAAGGCTGGACCTCCAGCCTCCGGCCCAATGGGCCGAGTCAGTGCAAGCATTGCCACTACAGTGAGTACCGCACAGCAACGATAGCACACCGTTATCATCAACCAAGTGGGTATCGTTTAGACCGTAATACACATCCTCATAGCCTTGCGGGAAACAACAGCCTTAGCTCGACTCAATCGCGTTCTGCAACAGCATCGTGCGGCCCAACTCGTATGAGAAGTCGACCGCGCCCTTCTCCTGCGCAAGCTTCCAGTGCAACTCGGTCTCGAGCTTGATGACCGCGAGCAGGTCCGCGCTGCTGTACTTGGGCTTCCAGCCAAGCGCACGTATGCGGTCAGCGCGGCAGCGGCAGGTCGTCCCGGAAAAGCTGCCGGCGGGCTGTGGACATGAAGCTCGGTCAATAGCATGTACGGTGCGAGGACCCCCGCGGACGACGCACCACGAGCCCCAGTACTTGGCCAACTCTTCGTCGGTGAAGGGCTAGGCTCAGCGCTATCCGCGAGCCCCAGGTGAACGAGCGCCTGGCCGATGGCCTTGCCGATCTCGTACCAAGTGACCTCCCCGTTCTCCCCGAAGTAGTAGCCCTCCCAGCCGTGGCCCGCGCTCTGGGGGTTTGTTGTGATCGCGTCGAAGAGCACGGTGTACATGTCGCCGCTGTGGATGGGTCTCAATATGCAAATGAAGCTTGGGCGGGTTGGATCACGCACTGTCGTCGACGTGGACGTGCGGCCAGATGGCCTTGCCGGGGCCGACCACGCCCGACCGCTTCCTGTCCAGCGACGCCTTGATAATTGCGGGGATCTGGATAGAGGTCAGCCTCGCTATTCCGCCTCAAATACGGGGCCGGACGGGATGCCGTCCACGATGCTTGGGATAATGATATACGACCGTGCGTAGCCTGCATGAATTCGTCAGCAACGCCAAAGTCTGATGGGATAGCTAGCAGTTACCTTGCTCGTCTGCGCGATGACAGCCAGGTCAACATCGCGATGAAAGGCTGTCGGCGGGATCGCCTTCAGCTGGTCGATGTTCAGGTCGGAGTAGACGGTCTCCGTCGCGTATTTCCCTTCCGCTGGCTCTGCATTTCACCCGTGCCTGACTGCAGAATACCATAAGTCGTACGTAGTACTGATGAACGTGCAGTTCTCGCACTGACCGTGTGGATGAGGATAGGAGGTTTCCCAGTAGTTTCGTACGCCTTGCGCACGCCCTTCAGAAGCGCGATTATGGCAGGCAAGTCATCCGAGTTGGCCTGGTCAGGAAACCGTCCATTAGTTCGTTTCCCATACTGTGAACCCTTAGATGGAGGACTGACCACGTTGATGATGACGTGCGCGCGCGAGGCGAGCGACTCGATCTTGTCATGGTCACTGAGAGAGGCTATCTCGGTTTTCACGCCCAGCTGCTCGAGCAGCTTTGCTTTCTCGGGAGACCGCACGGGCGCGGTGATGTCGAACTTGTCTGCATTAGGATGTTGCAGGAGGCGGTTCAAGACGGCGCCTCCGATATAGCCTGGAAGATGCCATGATTACATGTGAGCTGTCTGAGCTTGTCTCTAGTTTGAGATGATCCACGTACCTGTGGCTCCGAAGAGCAGAATGTTCGTCTTGCCTGTCATGCCTGCTATAGACCGCTAATAGATTGCGTCGACGCACAGACTCACGCTTTTATACGTAGGGCGATATAGCTGGCGAGAATAAGTTCCACTCTCCCCTCCGACGAACATGCATTGATCGGTCATTTCATTGCCAAGGCCCCCGTCAATTCCGAACGACGTCATCTGTGGCTTACTAAGCTGGTGCAGCCAAACGGAAGGTTGGCTGCTGGTTGGCTGTCAGTCGCAAGACCAGCTAACCGAAAAGACAGGCATTGCGGCATACGGTATGTAAGTCAGGAGGCGTGTAAGAAGGCAGTCGCTTCACGATTGCGCGATCGCGGAGATGGTGGAGGGTTGGTAGTTCTGTAAGCATTACCGCTGGACGTAGTGGGGCGAATGATTCCTTCGTGAAAGTCTTGGGAACAACTTGGAATGATCGATTTTCGCGCTACTTGTTCCGTTCACCCGCTACGTGAGGTCTGGATGTCCAGTCCAGGCTCGGTTGCTGAACGCTCGAGATAAGTACAGGCATGACACTCACCGTGATGCTAACACCACCAACATCCCTGTGTCCAATGTACCCGCTAGACCATGGTGATTGAACACTGCCATGCAGCCATATCGCAAGCTTTTGCCTGAGGTGAGTGAGTCCACTGGTCGGAACCAACTCAGCACAGACCGTCATGCCATTGTTGCCTGTCGTTAGATGAATTTCGACGGAGAAGACGAAACAAATTCAATCGACGAGTCGCGGACGTACGGACCTCGCGCTCATGTCGCCCTGCACTGCAGTGCAGCGCTGAGCGAACCCTCATATCAGTGTCACGGACGCGCATAACCACGGCGCGGGTCACATGTCATCTCGCCTGACTCAAATAAAGAGCAGCGAAGATTCGGAAGAGGGTCTTGTGCCCTTGCGCTTCTCCTCTCAATAGCTCGCCAGGATGAGCATAATAGTGAGTGTCAAGTTCACTCGTCGGAACCAACTCAGCGTAACCTAGTGAGCGTTGTGAGTTGACGAAGGCCTATACACTAGGATATCAGTATGTCAGAAGTGTCTATATTGCAAAATTCGGCGACAATACTGCGGATGTACTTAGCACGAGGCAGGAGGAGGCGGGAAAGAGCCGTGAGAAGGTTGTGCGAAGGTGGGAAGAGAAGGTGGCCCGTGCGCAGACACGCGGCAGAAGTATTTGTCCCTGTTGCCGTGATTCGCACGTGCGAGGTATATAAAGGCCCTCGTGACCAGCGTCCGTGACCTCGTCCTTTCCCCCCGTGATCTCCCCGCCCCGCGCCCCGCGACCGACGCCGTCCTCATCGCGCTCGACGTCCGACACGACGTCCTCGACATCCCACGCAAATCAAGAGCCTCAAGAGCGTCTGCCACCAGCAAACGCGAGTGTTCGCACGACACCGTCGAACCTCCTTGCCTCGGCCCCAGTACCGACATCGCTGACCATGTCTACCGCCCCGCCGCCTAACCACGACCCCTCCCTTTCACATGTTGCTGGACAGGCCCAGCAACCTCCGGCTTCTGGCGCGCAGCCTCCAGCAGGTGTCGCGGGCGAAGTCCCGCCAAATATGCCCATGAATAATGGCCTTGGCTCAGAGCAAGTCATGGCACTCCTGAAGCAGCTCCCGGGCATTAACTTCCCGAGGGTAAGTATTCCGTTGTGCTCGTAGTGCTCTGCGTCGTTGTGAACAGTATGATCGGCGCCGCACATATGAAGTCCATGCGCGCCGTGTCGGCCACACGTGATCGTTGTCGTCGGTCACGTTCGCGCCTGGCGCGATGTGCTGCGCCGATCATCCCGGAGCGCGGTGTGCAGTGTTGCTGAAGCGGTCAGAGAAGGAGCGGTGTGAAAGCGCGCAGCGGGGAGTCGGATCGGAGCCATCGTATGTGTGGCGGTCTTATAACCAAGCAGGCTTGTCAGTGGTCGTCCTTGGTCGGCTGTGGCGAGGCATCGTTAGCTGGGCAATGCGAATGTCCTCCATAGCTTGCTATGTGAAGTGAACAGTTCTCACAACTCCTATCCTCGCATTTGCGCATTGTCATCGGCTATCGATTATTGGGCTGGTGGGCTCACCGCTTGCTCACAGGGTGACCTGAAGGACTCAGCAGCAGCTGAGGCACTCTCGAATCTCGCACAAGCCGCAGCCTTCCCTGGCCATCCACATCATCCAGGGCACCTTCCACACCCCCATCAGCCTCCGCCGCCTTACCATGTTGTTCATCCTTCGCAGCATCCGCAGGTCATGGGTGGCGAGCCAGGCCCCTCATCGCATCCACGCGGTCCACCGAATCTGGGCCAGCTTGCGAACACCGCGCTACAGAATGGGCCACCTCTCCCGGGCCAGCAGCCCACAATGCGTGCGAGCCAGGAACCCATGACGCCGCCAGGTGGCGCCATCAACGGCTTGAGGGATCCCCAGATGGCGATGACCAGTCTCCTTCGGGAGGTAAGCCCGCTCCGCACGGAGAGGAGGCAGGAGCGCCACTATGAGTAATGAGGAGTGGACTCGGCAGAGGAAGGATAACCACGTACGTTGGTCCTGTACCTACCGAGACATAGCGAGCTCACAATGAGTGCCGATGCAGAAAGAGGTTGAGCGCCGGCGGCGGGGCAACATCAATGAGGGTATCAACGAGCTCGGACGCATCGTCCCGAATGGATCTGGCGAAAAGGCGAAGGGCGCGATTTTGTCCCGCGCTGTGCAGTACATCCACCATCTGAAAGAGAACGAAGCGCGCAACATTGAGAAGTGGACACTCGAGAAACTGCTCATGGACCAGGCGATGGGCGATCTCCAGGCGCAGCTCGAGGAGATGCGCCGGATGTGGGAGGAAGAGCGAATCGTGCGCGAGCGAACTCAGAGCGAACTCGAGGTCCTGCGGGGCCTCCAGCAGGGCCTATCCCTCGGCGCCGCACAGGCCGCCGCCGCTGCCGCTGTCGCTAACTCAGCGCCTACGCACGCCCCTCCCCCGAAGCCCGCTCAGGAGAATCGCCCGCAGACGCCCGAGGCGTCGAAGGAGAAACAAGCGCGAGAGGGAAGAGTCGGAGGCTCAGCAGGGCGCGCCAGCTGAGTCTACGGGCGAGTCGGATCCCAAGAAGGCTCGCATGGAGTGAACGTCTATGCTTTCTCGTGTGCTTTGTTGGATCGTTCTTGTGTTCGTATTAGAACTCGTGCAAGCCGGTGAGTCGGTGTATTATAGTTGCGTACATGGACGTGTTTCTTCGCTTGGAGTGATGCTTTTCGTTGATGATCCATGCCTCCCCCTCGTGTATCCGTGTATTTGTATGATCATCTCGCGTCTAGTCGATATGTCGTCGCAATGCAATCTGTTTCTGGCTATGTGCTTTGCAAGGAAGACGTATTGCATCATCAATGTGTTCCCATGTGCACGTACTATGCGCTGGACTCTTCATGGATGACTGCATTGTCCATAGTTTAGTCTGCCGCACGATGGCGAATAGCCTCAAGCAAGGAATACTATGTATGTGTCAACGAGCCGTACTTCTCGAACATAGCCTATTGGCCATAGCTTATACCTGTCGCGCCTCCGCGTCGGTGTTGAGGAACTTCCGCCTTAGGCTGGAGGTTTACTAAAAGCAGTCACTCTGAAATAAATCTCCAACGTATCAAGATGCACAATGTTGAGCAAGACCGAAAAGACGTGACGCGACGCCTGTGACAGTGCGCATCGCATTCGAGACCCTCCTGCTGGGTCGGCGTTCTTCAAGGGACGGAAATAAGGACGTGTGCGCCGTTTCCGCCGGGAATCAACTTGAACAGCTGATCATATTACATGATTAATCTCACTTCGGTTGCAAAACGTAACTTCGTCTTAAGTTCTCGGCATTCCACGCCATTCTACTTTCTTTCCTTCTCCACGAGCCACTGGACCGTCGGTTTGATACTCGTAATCATGTCTTTCGTCGTGTACGTCGGCTTCCACTCGATCGAACGTCCACGGTCCGCCCGGCAGCGCGAGTTCGTCCCGCTGTAGTTACCCATATCCTGGGTCATCGATGAAATGAATCAGTCGCAGTCCTTGGCAGGCGAGGATTGATGAGAGGTACGTACCACGGAGCCCCAGTACTTCACGAGCTCCTCGTCGGTGAATGCCGTGGGTTCATCGGTGCCTCCCAGGCTGAGTTCGACGAGGACGCGCGCGATCTCCTTGCTGATGTCGTACCACGTGTGCTCGCCATTCTCTCCGAAGTAGAACCCTTCCCAGCCGTGGCCGAAGCCCTCCGGATTCGCAGTGATCGCATCGAACAGCACGATGTACAGGTCCGCAACTGTGTAGGACACTCGTGAGCACCACGAACCGACAGCTCAAACATGCGCACCATCGTCGATATGGACGTCAGGCCAGATGGCCTTGCCCGCGCCGACCACGCCTGCTTGCTTCCTATCGAGCGACGCACGGATAAGGCTCGGGATCTGAATAGAGATCGGATTCGAAATCCCGGCCTCGACGAGCTGGTGCGCCGCGAAGCCATAGATCGTTGAGGGGAGCACGATGTGCGTGCGCGCGTAGCCCTTCTCGTTCGCGTCCACCACGGCGAGGTCGACCTCGCGGTGAAACGCCTCAGGTGGGATGGACTGAATTTGGTCGACGTTCAGGTCGGAGTAGATCGTGTCGGAGGCAAACATGCCCTTCGCGGGAGTGCTGATAACGCCGGTTCCGGACTGACGGGAATATAGAGCGTGAGTGTATGTTCTACTGACTTGCTGGAAGCACATACGGTGTGGATGAGTGTAGGCAAGTCGCCGACTGTTGCATGCCTCTTGTGCAACCCGCGCAGGATCGCTTGGATGGCTGGTAGGTGGTCTGCATCCGCCTAGTGTGTGGATGCCAGACGAGGTCCCCCATCACTACGCAGATCGGATACACGGTAATTGGTGTACGCACGCAAGAGAAAACGATATGTGCTTGCTCCGCGAGCCCCTCTAGCTGATCGCCATCGTCGTTCGTTCCGATCACTGCCTTCACCCCAAACTTCTCAAATAATTTGACCTTCTCTGGCGAGCGCGTTTGCACGGTGATATCAAAGGTCGCTGCGCTTGGATGCCTAAGTAATCTGGCTAGGACGGAGCCTCCGATGTAGCCTGTGCGGTTCCAGAGATAGTAATGAGTACGCGTTGTGACGGAAGACTGACATGGCCTACGCACCTGTAGCCCCTGTTAGGAATATTGTCGTCTTGGAGGTCGTCATTCTCAGTGTCAGTTGTCAGCTCCGTCCCCGAGGTATCAGTATAGCCGTCGAGCGAGTTCAATCTCAGACTCGGAGTACTATATACCGATGTGTCTGAGGTCGAGCTCGCGAGTACTGAGCGCTGAGCGGTTCCGTGTATTCCGTCTGTCATAGTCAGCATTCCGGATGGTTCAGGAACCTCGAGCCGACAGCGCGGCATCACTTACAAATGGGATAGCGAAAAGAGATGTTTATGTTTCTTGCACGATCGTGGGTTACCTCCGGAGCGCGCGGTACTTGAAAGAATTGTCTGCCCACGGGAGACTAGCAGTGGAGGAGGGCGGGCCGCATCGTCGCCGGTCTCGCTATGCAAGCGATTATCTTATCTTATCTCGCAATGGGATCCTGGTCCTCTTGCTGCAAATGGACCTCTGCGTACTAAGACCTGTGGGCTTTTCGCGTGTGCGGTCCAACTAGTTGCATCAATAGCGTATTGTAAGCTTGATTTGTAGACTGCGTACAGGTAGATAGCCATCAGAGAGGTCAAGTCGTCGCTGTAGACCATGTCGGGTCCTCCGAGGTTCATTTGAACTGAAGTTCGACGTCAAGATCTCTCGGACTAGTCGGCTCCGAGCCCCTGCGAATATGTCGACGAACATTCAACCTGGTGTCCATGCAAGGGATCGGGGCATGTAAGAAAGTGAGAAACAGCTTTAGAAGGCATTTGACGCACGCTGCGAGTACGGCATTGCAATACACTGGTATTTCATGTCTTTCAGTTCGAAACCATTCAAACGATAACGTAGGCAGGTGACCCACATGTGCTCTGTCCTAGCATGACTGCGCTCGACCAGTATGTATCTTCCGTGCTGTCGACAATGAACTCGAGAAAGACGGCAGTGAGAACAATCACACTGCAAATGAAAGGTAGTGTCAGCAACTCACCATAGCCATCTCAAGGAGTTGAACTGCTCTGCGGATTGCCCACATTGGATTCAATACCAAAGGTGGGGAAGGATCGCACCAAACTTAAGCGGTACTTACAATAGGAGGACACCTCGACTTGCGGTGTACGCTATGATCTTGGACATCATCCGACCAACTCGCGAGGTCTCAAGGACTAGTGACGAACTGAAGCCACGCAGGATGAAAACATGAGCCAAGGTGATGTAGAGATCGGCAATGACAATCGCAGTTTGTTGAACAATTCCACTATCCTAGTTAGTCGAAAACACATCAACTTGTTCAATCTCCGTAAATGAACAAGTCTTACTCGTATTAGCATGAGGGAATTCAGGCGTTTTTGACTTGCTGTATACCTTTAAGTAACATAAAAGAGCCTATGAGCTTTGCTTCGAGGCAGGACAACTTGCACTACTCCGCCTAAGGAGCGAAAAAGTAAGCAATCTGCTGGGCTGACGTCGTGATGGGATGGTCACTAACCAAGATAGCTCGCTAATCCCAGATGGCGACTTCAATACTCGGTACCGCAAGAGGACGCACGAGGTATACGCACAGAGACCGAGGACCACGAGAGCTAGCTGCATCAAGCCAAGTAAGTCTCATGCTTGTTCGACGACAAAGTGCCCCTCTTACACCAGCAATTACCACGGTCCAGCGAACAGTCCTCGATCGTAATCCAAAAACTTTGAACAAACAGTAATTGGGGCGAACGTCAATGAATAAGGCTATCAACATCAGACTGGCTTAACTTACGGGCATACAGAGAATGTAGATAAAAACTTCAAATGTATTGAGCGACGAACGAGGTTTCTCAATAGAACTGTGCCGGTCACTTACCACTGAGACGCAAAGACTAGGCTCCACTAGTCCCAACTGTCATGAGACGCGGATTACATCGGTGTTGAATGTGGAATGCTTACCCCACAGACGTTAACGAGCTGACCACAGGCACAGACCAATCGTCACACAAGTGACCCTTGGGATACAACATACCACTTACCGTATCTGTGCTGTATACGTATCAGTGTCGCATACATGAGTTGTACATGAGCGCGACAAATATCTCAAAAACGAATTTTCACGACTCACACGGGCACCGGAAGTGTTCCGTAGTCGGCACGGCACTCGATGATGTAGTAATATAGCAGCTGAGGTGAAAGGATTAGTGTCCAAACACCGTAGGTAGACATTTAAGGTTGTCTTACACAGGCTGCCGCGACCGACTTTGCGGTGTCTAGCATTCTACAGGACAGTGGAAGAATACGTCCGACCCAGAAGGAAGCACGCACGATAGCATGGCCACCTGTACAGTTTGACGCATAAAATGAGGCTTATTCACAGTGATCCAAGTCCAAGCAACTACGGGACGCACGTAGACTTTGAGACGGAGACTGTCATCCGGGTATCTGAAGTAGTAGAACACTGTTTGTCCAATTGTCATGCCATACAGGCTGCGCATCGTCAGCTCAGCGAGTATCATGCAGTTCACGGAGCGGCAACGTACCAGAAGAGCCCCACCCCGCCCGTATACAGTGCGACCAGTATCCGCTCCTCTAGGTACATAGTTGGACCCGCCATTGTGGTAGTGTGAATACTAGTGACAAAGAATTTGAATGTCTGCGCCAGTGGCACACAGTAGTCTTTATACCAAGTGCAAGGGCGCCAAACCATCGAATTTGATACTAGGAGCTATGCTGAGCGACTAGAAATACCCGTGTGCCTGTGTGGAGGGACTGTGTTCACTGGCATGAGACATCAATATCAGCGCTGGCCACCAATCCCAATCTCACAGAAGGTCCGTCGTATTATCACTATCAAGAGATGGTGGTATCGATGTCAAATCAAGCTCGAGCTGGGTGACTTGGATGAGAGGAGCGAAAACTGTCATCCCACGGTCGGAATTGAATTAACTTATGAATATGAATAGCCTCACCGTGACGTGGGAGTGATGTGAAGGATAATGAACAGAAGCCTATCAGCGAATGGTTGGAGGGTGCCGCGTCCACATTGCTTCCAAATATACATATGGCAGGAATGTGTTGGTGTTGGGGTCCGGCGGGTAAAATGAACCATAGCCTGCATTGTAACGACAGACAGCGCCTACATGATCAGGCTGGTGGTCCGCAGGTCTGCGCCGCCGTGTTGAGTGAATTACATAAGAGGGCAAGCTCTCTTGGGCTTGTTGACTTGCTCGAGCGAATGTGTCGACGAACATTGAGCCTAGCAGTAGGTGAGAGTGCAGCTGCAGAAGAAAGACCACTTGAAGACTTACACCGCGAGCACGGAATTGCAGTACACTGATAAGCAGTTAGCGCAGTTATGCCAGCTATCGTGTTAGAAGGCAACCTACGGGTGCTTTGAGGGAGCATCACTGCCATCGACACGTATGTATTATGTGTGCTGTCGACGATGAATTTGAACCCCTCCGATCGATACATACGCATCATGACTGGGCGTGCGCACCATACTGTTGTCATTTCGAGCAATTGAACAGCCCTGCCAGCGGTGTCAGCTGAGTTTCTCGAATGCACTGCCTGGTGGTTTGAGTTGAGACACTCACGTGAGAAGCAGGCCTCGTGTTGCGGTGTACACTATCAATTTGTGAAGCATACAACCGACGCTTGAAGTCTCAGTGACCAGAAAGGCCTTGAGACCGCGCAGAATGAAAATATGAGCCAATGTGATGTAGACATCGGCAAATACGTTTGCGGTCTGTTGAAACATCCCACTATACTAGCCGCTCGCAGGTCACTTGATAATTTCGTTATTCCCAATGTAATAGTACTCACCCGTATTCGTGCGAGGCCGTCATTATCGTCGCGGTTTGCAGTATATCTGAACGCGACACGTCCGGAGATCAGCCTTGTTTATCCTTGAGATATTGCTCTCCTTATTGCACGACTCCAACTACGGGCAACGATTCAGCGACAGTAAGGAGATGATACGGATGTCCACTGACCGACGAAACTGGCTATCGTATGAATTCGTATGAGCGCTCGAGGTTGCAATTGGTCGCATGCAATGACACTCACAGAATCCGAGTACCACGGGAACGACCTATGCATCGATTGAGGTTAGTCGTTTGTTCGATTGAAAGCCGGATGTTGTCCTTACACCGGTTATAACCACCATCAAACGGACAGCTTTCCGTTGAGGCTGGAGAACTGCGATGTGGTATGAAACAGATACCAATGCTTGGTACTGTCGATTGAGTACTTACGGGAATGTAATGAATGCAAATAGAAGCTTCCAGTCCATTGAACAATCATGAAAGAAAAATGATTCTGCGTATTGGCACTTACCATTGAGACATGAAAACTACGGTCCACTAGTTGATTTTCAGAGAGGCCGGAGCATGGTTGATGGATCTATCACTTACTCCAGAGACGTTGACAGCCTATTGACAGTCAGATCAGTCCGTAAAGCCTAATGTTCGAAAACACGACATCTCACTCACTGTATCTGAGCTGTACATTGGAGTTAAACACATGAGTACGAGTCTAAACGCCCATTAGCAATGACTTCAGAGACTCACACTGGTTGAGTAACTGTTGCGTAGGTTGAATGGTCCTCGATGATACACTGATAGAGCAACTGCAATCGAGTTTAGTTTGCAAACGACATTGACTGAGAGTTCGACCTCACGCGAGCTGCGGCAACAAACTCGACGGTATTCAGGATGCTGTGTTATGTGTTGAGAAATCCTGAGGCGGCCAGGAGCGAAGCACGTACAACAGGGTGGCTACCTAGTGAATAGACGGACTTGAACTCTTTCGTCAGGATCGAGGCAAGGAGCAAACGCACAAATACTTTGAAGCTACGTCGATCATCAGGGTAACTCACATAGTAAAACGCCGCCTGTCCCATTGCCATGCCATACAGGCTACCCGCGCGTTATTAGCTCGATGAGGAGGCCATACAACACCGGCTACGACATACCAGAAGAGTATCAGCCCGCCAATATACAGTGCGACAAGCATCTCCTCCACGAGATGCACGGTAGGGCCCGCCATTGTGACGACTATGACGTGTCAAGAAACGTCTACGGCAGCACCAACTGTTGGGCGTATGATAATGGAACGGCTGTAGTTGTCATAGAACCTAAAGTTAGCATTAAAGAGACCGTGATGAAACTCTGATCTGTGTGCACAGCGACGCTTGCTGCCAGCGTTTATGTACATGTCGGCGCATGCAGGGCTCTATGTTCAGAGCACTTGAGCGCATAAAGCTCATCCTCAATCCAAGTGGCACCGATGACTGACATGAGAAGCTTTGTCGCAGTGGTTGCACCTAAGATCAATCGTCCTCGGTAAGACCAACTGAAGTTGGTACCAGTAGCCCACATCGTTTGCGTAGTGAAGCGTGAGATGAATGAATACATACATCATCAGGACTCATCTTCCTGTGCGGACGGCTGTGTGCGAACTTTCTGATGTGTACCGCTTGTGTGAAAAGGTATGTGAAAAGCGGACGTGTACGAGCGATGAACACTAGTACTGCTTACCACCGGTCAGTGCGTGGTGCATCTCATCATGACGCATCGGCCGCCGAATGGGGCTAGCAGAGACGTCGTGTCGCAGTACATCGAGCAGCAGCGTACACTGGCCCCGGAAGATTCATACACAGTGCCGAATGAAATGAGTCCGGAAGTGCCACTTGCTTGAACGCAGTAGGGAATTCCATTATGTGTGACTGGAAAGGATACGACCTACGTATTGCTCGTGAAGAATGTTCAGCAGCAGAATCATGATCATCATACACGTACTGTTCTTGCCAAACGCAAAGCCAAACACCGCCCCCGAGGTCGTAGACGCTATACTACCCTCAGCTCATCAGCCGATGATGAGATGCTTTGATAGACCATCAACCATCCTGACTACCCTCATCTCGACGTGTCAAGACTGTCTCTTACCTGGGATTGACCTGCTAGTGAAAAGTTCGAATGTCGGCAGCGTGGGCTGGGCTTCCTGATCCTACTTACACTGGCCCATCGGTCCATCAATTCTGGGGGAGTCCGCTGTCCTGTGGCCGTCCGAGTCTGATCTCGTTCCCCATCCTTGACTTCTCATGAGAACAATCATGAGGCACTGTCCCTAATTAACGCGGGGTGGCCGAATTCTATCCACACACCTCTGCCTTGTCTTTTCTTGCTTCAGCCCGAACAGACGTGTTCAGGGCAAGCGGTCCAGGGGTACCACATTCGGTTGTGGGCAGGCACCGTCACGCCGCAGCTATCTCCTCCTCCTCGAGCCCTCCTTGCGCGTCTTCCTTGGCTGGAAACCTGCGGTTCACTGCTGTCTCGGAGAACGTCTGCACGATGGTCGTTCAAGTTGTGGAGGCAGCTTCGCCAATTGCGCCAAGCTCAGGCGCCATCTTCGGGAGTTCACGGCCTCGTGCAAGAACACCCAGCAACCCGAAGCCCATCTCGCCGTCGCAACCGGCAGCGTCGCCAGACCACCCCATGCAGACGAGAGTGCGGAAGTTGTCCGAGGCGAAGAAGACACCAGCTAGAAGACAGGCTAGTGTGGGTGACCAAGTCAACAGACCCGATAGCCCGGACTTGGACACTATCCTCGCCAACACACCCCGCCCACGCCGCAGAAGCTCAGTAGCAGTCTCTCCGTCTACAACCAGGTCGCGTACAAGCTCTGTGGCCAGCCCGTTTGGATGGAGGGTCTCTGGGACGGATCAGGATGGCACTGAGTTGCGAGGGTCAGACGACGACTTGAGGGGGCTGGAGGGTGACGACGGGAGTGAGTCGGATTCGAGCATAGACCTTCATACGCCGCTACCGTAAGTCCATATATCAGCTTCGGACAGGGGTGTTGGGCAGGCTGATAGAGACCGTTAGCCATCTTATGTTCCGCGATGGCCTCCTATCCCCCCGCTCGAAGTTGCTTCCGCAGGTGCCTGGATCTCCGTTTCCTTTCTTGCTAGAAGAGGACGAAGAAGGCGATGCGCTGGACAGGTCGAAGAGTGTTTTGAGTGTGGTATCAAATGGTAGGTCTTTGATACGTTCTGTTCAGACTTCGTACTGATCTGCGACAGTGGGGTCGGTCATGACCAAATCCGGACTTCTCTACAAGGATCCTCGCGACACGGTCAGACGCAGGCGTCGGCACCGGGATGGGCAGCTGTTGCGCGCGGGCATGGGTCTGACTACGGGTCTCGGTTGGAGCGACAGCGAGGACGAAGACGCTCCATCGACGCTAACCCGCCGCCTCATCCACACTTCGATTTCCCGCAAGCCATCCTCCTCGATCTCGCGTCCTGCTTCTGAATTTTCCCGCGATGTCGCATCTCCTGCTCCCGTGCGCCCTACACGACGCAAACCAGGGACAGCCCGGTCTGCTTCACTCTCCATAACCTCTCTGTCCTCGCTCGGGCGCCCTGGTACTGCGGGGAGCAACTCGTCTACCGAGTCTCAGCCAGTTTCGCATACTCGTGCTCAGTCGACTGCTGTCGGCACTCCGCCCACTGCGAGTTCGTTGCCCATGCCCTCTCCTCCGAGCTCAGTTAGTATGACGGTCCCTCGCGCGCGACTGCCCAAGTCTACCGAGGTCAAAGCCGCGCTCTCCCGCGTCCGTACCGACTCGACGGGCACGTTTGGCGGCAAGGCTAGGTCTGCATCCGTCGCCGTTCCAACTGCATCCGCCTTGCGTTCTCGCACGACGTCCACTACGTCGAGTGCAAGTACCGGGTCCGTATACTCGTCCAGTTCCGCATATTCCAGCTCGGGATCGTCCACTCAGTCTGCGGGGAGCACGACGTCGACCGGCGTGATACCCCGACCCCTGCGCCTCCCGCAATCGAGTGCGCTCTCGCGTCTCTCACAACCGTCCTCTGAGTTAGGCAGTATGTCGAGCCTCCAACAAACGCTAGGAAAAGGCAAGCCTCCCGGTGTTGAACCTACGCGTCCGCGTACTATCTCGATGTCGCGATCTACGGGCAGTATATCGTACAGTACGGGGCCTAGGCCCCGCCCTTTGCTGTCGCCGCCACAGCCGTATACCCCTCGCTCGCCCACTCGCACCCCTACGGACTCCCCGCGCAGTCCAAGTCCTGGAACATCGCTTTCGTCGCGCTCGCCGTCGCCGCGTGCCCGGCCGCTGGTCGCAGGGCCGAGGCCGAAGCCTCGCACGGGTACGGGTATGATGTATCGCACGTCATCGTACTCAAGCCTTCAGGCGACAGCAATGCGCATGCGGACCATGTCAACCGTGGCCCCACCAAGCAGCGGCGTTCTGATATAAACAAAAGGTCTATGTCGGCGTATCTTCAAGCCTGTGGACGCTGGCGCGTGCACGACAGATGAACGAGAACGTTCTGGTGATGTTCCGGTTCTGATTCACAACGCACATTCTCTAATCTACACGATCTCATGTCCGATAGCTTTGCGTTTCTTGTTTAGTTGCTCTGCTCTGCTCACACACCCCCTCGTGCTCTGGCCACGTCATCATCTATCTGCGGTCCTGCGCACACTCACTGCTACTCTGATATTTATGTTCGCATACCGCGACTACGTCTCACATCTATACATAGCATCCATCACAGTACATTGTAGCGACTTCTGTTCTCTGCGTGGTTTGCATGACATGGATCGTCGCACCACCCTGCGGGTGAGTTATTCGCGCAAATTGCTCGCAGTGCGAACACGGCTGATCGTATCACGACAGGTTGTAGCTTTCGTTGCCTCATCCTGCGGCAAACACCATATCATCTGTTGAACGATACGATATGCTCGCGCTACCTCGGCCACATGTTTCCCACATCGTCAATGACTACTTGTTTACCAGTGCGTTGGGGAGAAATCAAGTGGTCGAGCCAAACGCGAGTCTGTATGGTCACGACATCCTGACATGCCTCGTCACCGACCGATCGGGAATGTGATATGTGACATGTGGGAGGGTGTCGTGCAAGTCGTTGAACCCGTTCGCCCCTCCGCCGCCCTCTGTATCTTTGACTCAACCACTCGTCTGCTCACATACTAACGTGCCTTCATTCATTCTCGGTGGCGGATTTAGTCGCTCTTCGCAGACGACCCAACATGTTACCCTTTCGCTGGTTCCGGCTCACGCTGGCGTGCATACTTGGAACGGCGGTTCATGCTGTGACGGTATACCAGGCTCCTCTTGGGGCGATGACGACCACGAGCACTGCGCCGAACGCTGTCTACACTGGTGCCGCAGCGTACGATCCAACGGTTCTTACCCCGCCACCCATCCCCAGTCCGGCACCGCCCACGCAGTTCGGTGTTCAAGTTTCGAACAACGCAGGGAACGTTTCGGCGTTGTCCATCTCACCCGGAGGGGCATTCCTTGGTTTCTCGATTGAGATGTCTGTTGTTGAGCAAGTCCGTGAGTGCAATTCTTGCTGCATGTAGCCTGTTCTCATTCACGCGCTCGTCCTCCGATCGTGTAGTCGGTCTCAATGGGTGAGTGGCCCAGAACACTTATGGCCTGACGGTCGACTGATACTCTGTAGATCACGTCTGCAAGTACCATTCCTTAACCTCATGGCGCTCGTAGCCGAACGCAGCGGGAGTGTGCACATCCGGGTTGGCGGTAACACGCAGGAGTACGCTGCGCTTGTACAATCGCTCCCCGAGGACAAGATTGTCGAGAAGGAAGCGGTCAACGTCAATAACCCGGTATGTAACTCATTCCATGTCTTTGGCATGCGAAATGACACTTACTCGTGTTTCCCGTGACAACGGTGGTCAGACTCAAACGCCGAGCTTGCTGTACACCCCGGAACTCCTTTACCTCCTGTCCAACATCTCTTCCCTCGTCGACACGAAATGGTACCTCGGTCTTCCCCTTAACGACACGTCCAACCTTCGTCTTGCCATCGCTGAGTATGGTGAAAGCATTCTCGGTGGCAATTTACTGGGACTGCAAGTTGGCAACGAACCGGACCTCTATGCAAGGTAATGTCACACGACAGCGTCACTGCATGAGCGCGTTTGACAAATCCTGTGGTAGGCACGGCTTGCGCCAGGCGACTTATGGACCCAATGACTACTTCGGCGAATTCGCCTTGGTCGTAGACGCCATGCAGGCCGATTCGAACATCAAAGTTCACAACAATCTCATTGCACCCAGCGTTGCTACCGGTGACTGGACACCGGAGGGCAAGTTGATGCATATTGTGTACCTACGTGTTTCTCACAGACGTTTCCAGATGTGTGGAATACGGGCTTCATTCCGGCGTACCAGAACAGTCTGTCAGCTCTAGCTGTCGAGCAGTAAGTGAATTTATATTGGATGTCGAGCATTCTACTCATGGTTGACCTTCACAGCTACCCCGACGACAATTGCGCCGCACTCTACGGTAACTCCTTCGGCCAAACGATAAATCCCCAGGACGTTTTCTCGGACTACCTCAACCATACTTCCGCTCTCTCTATCGTTGCGCCCTATGTTAACTCTTCGCAAATAGCCAACGCAGCAGGCAAGCCGTTCATCATGTTCGAGACGAACTCAGCTAGTTGTGGCGGCTTTCCCGGAGTGAGCGACAGTTTCGGCGCGGCGCTGTGGTTAACGGACTACGCCATGAGTATGGCAGCGGTAGGGTTCAATGGCGCGTTGGTCCATGTAGGAGGGCAAGATGTGTATTACAACGTGCGTGATACGTTTGTCTTTGGTTGCGATTCTTGAACATTCATGCATTTCATACAGCCTTTCACTCGTGTGTACCATTGTATCGATGTGGCGGCATGACGAAGCTAATTGTACCGAATGGCGTTCGACAGCACCACCTACGAATCAGTCGAGTTATCACCAATGGACGATTGGATCTACGTTTTACGCTGTTCTCGTTATGGCCGAAGCCCTAGGATCGACATCCTCGTCTTCCTCGGGCAACCTCCAAGTCGTCGATTTAGGCATGAATGGTGGAAACCCGTTCACGCCAGGCTATGCGGTGTACGAAGGCGGCTCACTCGCGCGTGCCGTCTTCATCAATTTTATGACGGACGCTTCGGGCGCGAACGATCTGCAAGTGAACCTTCAGGTCCAGGAAGGCGTCCCTGGGAGTGTTCAGGTTAAGTGAGCCACTCTTCGCTATGGTGGAGCTAGGACATTTACTGATCAATGTCACGAGATATCTGCAAGCGCCGTCGGTTAGCGAGCACTTCAACATCACTTGGGCAGGACAGGTACTTGTGCGAAACGGTGTCATGACTTTAAACTCACTAAAATTCGACATCATCAACAGACTATGGGAGGCCAGTTCGCGTCTGATGGACGGCTGCAGGGCACACAGTCCATCCAGACTGTCACATGTGACACGTCCGCCAACAAATGCACAATAACTGTACCCGCGCCAGGGCTCGCGCTTGTCTCCTTCGAGCCATCTTCCTCCACTTCGTACCCGACACACACCTTTGCGACGACCGCGGTAGAGGCAACGGCGACGAAGGTGGACCCGAGCGTGGTGGCGACAAGCAACGGGTCGCCAGGCGGTGGTTCGCATGCGGGGAGCACGAGCCGCGGAAAGAGCCAGACCAGTCGCGGCACGGGGATTGCACCCAGCCTGTTGATGCTTGTGGCAATGCTGTTCGGAGCTGGGGTGCTTGGGAGGACGTATGCCTGGCGCTGGCCATAGGTTTTCGGAGACAGGGACATCCTTAACTCCACCACATTCTAACGTTACCAGACTATCATGTAAGCTTAAGCATTCTCAGGCGCCTTCAAGTACTGTAGCATTCAGACGGGATCACCGACAAGTGTGAGGCTGGCTATCCAGTCTTGGAGAGGCCGGATAGGTGAAATGTGTAACGCGACTCGTTGCTGCTGCACAACTGAAATCCACGAAGGGCCCGGGAGGGTCATCATTGGGCGATTACTCAAGCTCAAGGCTACCATGTGCGACGTGCCATCTGATGCTTGTCTCTGCATGGGCAAGTACTTTTCATCAGTATCAGTACTACAGCATAGTGCTTACAGCAGGCTTACAGAGCCACCGACACTCCGCTAGCTCGGCGATCGCGCAATTATTTAGCGCCCATCTTCTTACATATATACCTCTAGCCCCTAATACTGATTGTCTGTCCCGGTGGACCGGTCTTGCGAGTTGGCGACTGACAGCCAACCTTCCGAACCTCGATCGAAGACAGCTTAGTGATCCTCGAGATGACACCATCTAGGATCGACAAGGGCACTGTTAATGGAATAACCGACGCGTGTTCAGCACTACATATAAAAGGATCCACCGCATCCTGAGCTCCTGCGTCGGCTCAATCTACCGCCATCCATTAGCAAATTATAGTAGGCATGACAGGCAAGACGAACATTTTGCTCTTCGGAGCCACAGGTACGTGTATGGTCTCATACCACTGGCAGAGACAGGCTCAGATAGCTCACGTGTAATAATGGCATCTTCCAGGCTATATTGGAGGTTCTGTCTTGAACCGCCTCCTGCAGCATCCTAATGCAGATAATTTCGACATCACCGTGCCAGTGCGGTCTCCCGAGAAGGCCAAGCTGCTCGAGCAGCTGGGCGTGAAAACCGAGATAGCCTCTCTCAGTGACCATGACAAGATCGAGTCGCTCGCCTCGCGCGCGCACGTTATCTTCAACGTGGTCAGTCCTCCATCTCAGGGTTCACAGTATGGGAAACGAACTAACGGACGGTTTCCTGACCAGGCGAACTCGGACGACTTGCCCGCCATAGTCGCGCTTCTGAAGGGCGTGCGCAAGGCGTACGAAACTACTAGGCAACCACCTATCCTCATCCACACGGTCAGTGCGAGAAGTGCACGTTCATCGGTGCTACGTACGACTTATGGTAATCTGCAGTCAGGCACGGGTGAAATCGCGGAGCTGGCGGACGGGAAATACGCGACGGAGACCGTCTACTCTGACCTGAACATCGACCAGCTGAAGTCGATACCCCCGACAGCCTTTCATCGCAATGTTGACCTGGCTGTCATCGGCGCAGACGAGCAAGGTAGCTGCTAACTATGCCATCAGAGTTTGGCGTTACTGACATTGAAATCACGCAGGCTACGCCCGGTCGTATATCATCATCCCGGGCGTCGTAGAAGGCATCGCGTCCGGCCCCGTCTTTGAGGAGGGAATAGCGAAGCGGGTCTCTATGCAGATACCTTCACTTATCAAGGCGTCGTTGGACAGGAAGCGATCGGGCGTGATTGGTCCCGGTAAGGCCATCTGGCCGTACGTCCACGTCGACGACAGTGCGTGATTCAACTCAGCTCCCAAGCGTCATTTGTGTACTGATATCCACAGCGGCCGACATGTACACCGTGCTCCTCGACGCGATCACGGCAAACCCCCAGAGCGCGGGCCACGGCTGGGAGGGCTACTATTTCGCAGAGAATGGCCACATCTCTTACTACGAGATCGGGAAGGCCATCGGTCAGGCGCTCGTAGACCTCGGGTTCGCGGACAACGCTGAGCCTACGCCCTTCACTGACGACGAGCTAGTCAACTACTGGGGTTCGGTGGTGCGTCGTCCTTCGTACCTTTCGTGGCATTGACTGAGCTTCTTTCGCATAGTTTCTGGGAAATTTTGGTGGGTCAACCTGCCGCTGCCGCGCTGACCGCATACGTGCGCTTGGGTGGAAGCCCAAGTACAGCAGCGCGGACTTGCTTGCGATTCTCAAGCCCGAGACCGAGTTGCAGTGGAAGATTGCGCAGGAGAAGGGCGAGATCGACTTCTCGTACGAGCGGAGTCTCTCGGTACTGTTCCAGAATGCGATTGCCTCGAGCTGAAGACCGGGATGTCGTAGGATATATATAACGGTCTGGATATTACTCCCTTGGGTGATGATGGTGGTGTGCTACTGTTGCTGTGCGGTATTCACTGTGGTGCCAATGCAAGCTTGCACTGAGTCCATTGGATCGGAGGTCGAGCCTTTCCGTATGTACGATGTAGCAATGTTGTGGACGCCAGCGGTGGACATCGCGCGAACCTGTCATCTTTGTCCGTGGCGGAGATGAATAACACTGGCACGGATACAAATTCGGGCTTACCACTCACTTAAGGTACTGCACTCTTAGTGGTGTGGGTGTATGATGCTAGGAGACGCACGCTGGAAGTCGTGAGCGGTCACCGAACAGGATTCAACGAGGCTGGGGTAGGCGGTTGGCTTCCGCGCTTACGACCGCCGAGTTCATGACTTGTTTGCTCAATGTTCGCTTTGGCATGTACTATCAGACCCATAATTACCCAGCCAGTTACAATCGCTCCTCAGCAAGTACCTATTCATTAGCAACTTCTAGTACTCACTGACGAAATGCTTACAGAGACGCCCTCTTGGCGCTCGCGTATGCAAGTGGCGAGCAGCATACTAGTCGGACGTCCGCGGTCTCGTTACTAATCCACCTCCTTTCTCGTACATGGAGGCTGCATCTTGTTGCTCATCCATCGTTCTTCCTCGGTTCAGTGGGTTCTTCGCCTACCAACAGAATCGATGCAAACCAGCTTACTGAGCAAAATGTCTCTAACATTGCTTACATGGTCCAAGCTCGCTGACGGGTTAGACGGATCCATGGAGATCCATGGACAGTAGTAGGATGACTGATACACAGGCTGTAACTCGTACCAGCGATGTTGGCCCGCGTATAAAAGCGACGACGGGACACGGTCTTTTCCAACACAATCCTCATCTTCTCCCAGCAACCCACATCCACATCCAGCAACAAGCAAACCGACAGACATGCCCAGTAAGACGAATATCTTGCTCTTCGGTGCCTCCGGTACGTCACAAGCCTCCGTACTAGTGTGCTGGCGAACGCGTACTCAGACCGCATTTGCAGGCTACATTGGGGGAACTCTCCTGGATCGCCTTCTGAAGCACTCGAAGACATCAACCTTCGAGATCGTTACACCGGTGCGCTCCGCCGAGAAGGCAGAGGTGCTCAGGAAGTTGGGCGCGAAGCCCGAGATCGCTGCTCTCAGCGAGTACGATAAAATCGAGGAACTCGCGTCTCATGCGGATGTCATCTTTAACCTCGTGAGTTCCTGTCCGTGAGACTCCAATGCTCGCATATGCTGACATACGGCTTTCCGTGCAGGCGAACGCGGACAATGTCCCGCAGATGAACGCGATTCTCAAGGGCATACGAAAGGCGCACGCGGCCACTGGCAAACCACCGGTGCTCATCCACACTGTAAGCACATCCAGAGCGTGCCCATGATGCCTCGTACGACTCACGATGATCTAGACCGGCCTTGGCGAAGTCATTGAATTCGCGCAGGGAAAGTATGCCGCCAAGACCGTCTACTCGGACGTGGACATCGAGCAGATCAAGTCCATCCCTGCAGCAGCCCTCCACCGCAACGTCGACCTGGTCGTGATTGGCGCAGACGAGGAAGGTGCGATGGATCCGAGCCACTGACTGGGCTTTGCTGACCAAGTCTCACTGACAGGCTATGCGAGGTCATACTTGATCTCGCCGGGCATTGTGTACGGTCTTGCAACCGCACCCGTGCACGAGGCGGGAATCGCGAAGAAGTTCTCCATTCAGATCCCGGGGCTGGCCAAGGCGGCGCTGGCCAGGAAGCGCGCTGGCATCGTCGGTCCTGGCAAGGCTGTCTGGCCGCATGCCCACGTCGATGATGGTGCGTACATACAGACCCACCGCGCTCGCAGCTGCAGGGCTGACATGCGCACGCTCTCTGCAGTGGCCGACATCTACGTCAATCTCTTCGATGCGATCGCCAAGGACCCGCAGAGCGTCGGGCACGGCTGGGAGGGCTACTACTTTGTCGAGAACGGCGAGGTCGCCTGGTACGATGTCGGCAAGGCTATCGGCCAGGCACTAGTGGACCTCGGAATCACCAAAGACGCTGAGCCTACGCCGTTCGCAAACGAGGAGCTCGAGAACTACTGGGGCTCACTGGTACGTCTCCCGGGCTGCCGCTCACGCGTGACTTGGTATTGACTATGTCTGGTGCTCGCAGGCGGTGGGCAGCTTCGGCGGGACGACATGTCGTGCGAAGGCGGAGCGGGCGCGCACGATCGGGTGGAAGCCCAAGCACGCGGACATACTGGGGACGATCAAGGATGAGGTGGAACTGCAGTGGGCGGTCGCGCAGAAGAATGGCGGCGAGGTCGACTTCACATTCGAGAGGGGCCTTGCGAAGCTGTTCGGGTTTGCGTAGGTGTGATCTAGGTCTTTCTCGATAGAACGTTACAGTCGCCGAATTGAAGTGTCCAATGTAAATGGTTTCTGCCCTTTCGGATGCTGCCGACACATCAGAGAGCAGGTTCATGGCGGGTGATCAGTCGGGGGGCCACGGCGGCGGCGCTAAGTTCGGTATGTATGCGCGGATACGGCTCCAATACGGCTCCGTGACTTCAAGATGCATCAGATGGGATGATCTGGGTCGAGATTGCAAACAGATTAGTGGAACGACATTCATGACGGCGACTGTACTCACGGCACTCTGCACGAAGGTACTGGCGGTAATGCAAGGTCACGAGGACGTCAATCCAACGTACGGCAGCGCAGCGTCAGCAGCTCCTAGCATAGCAGAGGTGCCATACCTCGACCACGCTCCGTGTCCTGGCAGGATTTTGTCAAGAATGGATACGTGTGAGATAGCAACCACGCAACTCACCCCGCTTTGTGTGGCGGGCTGACGCGTCTTGCTGCTCTCCCCGCGATCCCACACAATCATATTAGGCCCCCCCTCCTGTTTGCATCGGTGTTCACGCTTCCATGGGTCCGGGTGTCGGATGAAGGGCACAAGTACTGGCCAGGGGAACTTGAAGACTTCAAGAACACGGTCGCTTCTGAATCTACGCGCGACGCCGAGCGGCCTGACGAACCGCGAACTCAAGGTCGAGCGGTACCACCGCACTGAGACTTGAGCACACGAGCAAACAAAATGCGACAGCGCCAGAACTGAAAAGCTGCCCTCCTCCTGCGGTCGGTAAGTGGTAAGCGTACGTCGCTAGGCGCCTATGCCAGTGCTGCTCCAGTTAGGCGCTCAACTACTCTCTTCAGCCACCGTGAACCACCCACTCCTCCTGCCCTCCCCTCCTCGCCGCAGTCCATCGGCATTCCCGCGACCCGTCGAGCATCAATATGATGCACCTAGATTTACCACTGGCTAGCAAGTCGGAGGTTATGACGTTGAACTCAAACTTCTCCGGCTGTGCGCACAATTGAACTAATTACAACATCGCGCTCGTCTGCCTTTGATGCCTCCTTTTTACAAATCCTGTTCACTCTTGATCGGCGTTTGGTGTACTCGCAATGGCTCGGCAAGCACAGGGCGTTCCTCGTACCTATTTACTCCCTCGTCTTGCCGCCTTCACTACTACCGTGGCAACAATTCGCCGACATGGAAAGAAGCACGCATGCCGAATCCACTCGAACACGTCAATCTTCCTGCCGTGAAGACGCGTCAGCGGCGGTATGTCGCGAGTGCACTAAGATACGAGTTCTCAAACGCGCGCCGATCGGTGGGAAATGTCCGTAACACCGACGGCGCAGGTGTCGAGCTAGCATGAAGTGCAATCATATAGCCGATTGAGGACAGTTCTGCGGAGCCTCTCTCGACTTCGTGGGCAACCATGACGGTGGCAAGTTGACCTTGATTTCGGGCAAGACTCCCTTCTGAATATTGTGACATGTTAGAGTGAGTATCCAAATATTCACCTCCTGCATGCTTTACGTCTTGCTTTTGGGCTCACAGATGGCACGGTCTGGCAGGCTGCTCAATCACGTATGGTATGCTCCGCAGATGTGGCGCCAATTCCGCGTCGACTCAGCATACTAAGGCGGTAGCAATACGGCGGATGAGCGGTCTTAACGTTCCGGGCATAATGGTAATGTCCAGATTCTGTTGTTTCATCTTGGATGTCGAATACAATGGGCCCGCAGAATACGCAACCACTTGGACGTTTCCATACACTAGCGCCGCCCACAGTGGATATCGCTTACGCGTACCTGGTCCGTGACATTCGTATAAAATCTACAATGCAGCAGTACTAGGGTCAGGATCCCAATTTCGCGTCCAGTCAATCTCATACAGTCCTCCGACTCGGAATATCAATACGATGCCCTCCTTCGCTGTGATCGGTGCCTCCCGCGGAATCGGCCTTGAACTCGTCCGCCAACTCGTACGTAGTGTCGCGGCGCCTGGTCACTGTTTTCTATTACTGACATACAGTCCTCAGTCCGCCAGTCCGACCAACACGGTTGTTGTGACCGTCCGGAACAAAGAGAAGTCTACATACCTCAACGACCTGGTGCGGCGATCAGAGAACAACAATGTGCATGTCGTCGAGGCGGACGTTGTGGACCAGCATGCCATGGATGTGCGCGTCTTCGCGTTATTTTGAACAGTGTCAAAGGCTGATTGCTCCCGCTGATGCAGCATGCCGCCGCCGAGGTCACGAAGATCACTGGCGGAGCTCTGGATGTTCTCGTCCATAACGCTGCGCGCACGGAGGGAGAAAACACGATCAAAGGCTTTTTGGATTAGTACGTCGTTCGCCTCGGACGGCTACTAGCAGGCCTTCATTTGAACGTCCTTCGCAGTGAAACACCGGAGAAGCTTGATGAGGAATTTATCGCTTCCGTATGTTTCCGTGTCGGGCTCACTGGACTGTCTGGAGGCTTGATTGACTCATTCGTGGTGCTCATAGTTCAAGGTGAATGTCCTCGGAGTGGTCCATACCGTCAATGCCTTCTTGCCCCTTCTGCGCAAGGGCACGGCGAAGAAGATCATTGTCATAGGCAGCGAAGGCGGAGACTGCAGCCTCGTATGGAGGATACGGCTCGCCAATGCCGCAGCGTACGGGACGACCAAGGCGGCCGAGAACATGGTTGCGACCAAGTATGCGGCTGAGCTCGAAAGCGAGGACTTCACCGTTGCTTCCGTCAGTCCCGGCATCGTTGACGTCTCCAAGACTGCCGCCGAGTCAGGTTTCTATGGTGGGTCTCACTGAAAGGTTTATCTTTGTCGTGAGATGGGCTCACGAATCCATACAGTACCGTCCGAAGAGCTCATGCCTACTGTCAACAAGATTATGAACGGGATTCTTGCGGCTTTCCCGAAGGCTACCACGATCACGCCCGAAGAGTCGTGCCGTCGCCTAGTCAGCTTCATCGACTCTGCCGGTCCCGCGGACAGTGGAATCTTTCACCCTTCGGCCGAGTACATTGATTGATTCGATCGGATATCTGCCAGGATAAGTTGTGAGTATTACTGTACTCATCGCACTTTAGCATCTATGCAGGACTAAAGACTCGAATGGCCGACCCGGATAGCAGGTATTACAGATGTTGCAACGTGCGGTCCATGGAGCGCAGCGTATCCCAGGGTTACATTCTGTGCCAGGATGTCAATATATACAGTTTGATGACACGATCGCGAGTCACCGGCGTTTGCGATCCGTCGAGCACCAATATGCTGCCCCTGGATTTACTGGCTGTGTAGCAAGTCGGAGAATATGACGTCGAAGTCAAACTTGTCTGGCTGCGCAGCGCACAATTGAACCAACATCGCGCTCGTCTGCCTTCGATGCCTCCTTTTGACAGATCCTGTTCACTCTCGACTCGGATTGGCCTTCGGTGTACTCGCAATGGCTCTAGGCAAGCACAGGCGTTCCTCGTACCCATTGACTCATATATTGACGCCCTTATTACTACAGCGATTCATGCCGAGCAGAAGGAAGCAGGCATGCCGAATGCACTCGAACGCGTCAACTTACCTGCCGTGAAGACGCGTTAGTGGCGGCATGTCGCAAGTGAGTAGGATTCAAGTTCTCAGACGCTCGCCGATCGGCCGGAAGGTCCGTAAGAACGATGCCGCAGGTGTCGTACGCATTCGCATCGACGTTTCCATACACTGGCACCGCCCACGGTGAATATTGCTTACGCGTACCTGGTCCGCGACATTTGTACAAAACCTGCGGCCCAGCAGTACTGGGTGAGGATCCCAATTTCACTGTCGATCTCATCCAATCCTCCGACTCAGAACATCAACAAGATGCCCTCCTTCGCTGTGATCGGTGCCTCGCGCGGGGTCGGCCTCGAACTTGTCCGCCAGCTCGTGCGTAGTGTCTTGGGGCCTGGTCACTGTCTGTTATAACTAGTGCTGACATGCAGTCCCCAGTCCGCCAATTCAGCCAACACCGTTGTCGTGACCGTACGGAACAAAGAGAAGCCCACGTACCTCAAAGACTTGGTGCAGCGATCAGAGAATAACAACGTGTATGTCATCGAGGCGGACGTTGTGGACCAGCACGCCATGGAGGTTCGCGTCTCGCATCCTATTGAAAGCATCTGGGCGATGCGCGAAGGTTAATCTCTCCCGTCATTGTAGCTCGCAGCCGCCGAAGCGACGAAAATTACTGGCGGAGCCCTGGATGTTCTCGTCTATAACGCCGCGCGCATGGAGGCAGAGAATATGGTCAAGGGATTCCTAGACTAGTACGTCGTTCGCCCGGGTAGCTGGGACTTTGATTCAACATCCTCCGCAGTGAAACACCGGAGAAGCTCGACGAGGAGTTCATCGCTTCCGTATGTGCCGGTTGCTGTGCTCAATGAAATGTCTAGAGGCTTGATTGACTCCCTGTTCATAGTTCAAGGTGAATGTCCTCGGAGTCGTCCATGCCGTCAATGCCTTCTTGCCCCTTCTGCGCAAGGGCACGGCGAAGAAGATCATAACTATAGGCAGCGAAGGCGGAGACTCCAGCCTCGTATGGAAGATGCGGCTCGCCAAGGCCGCAGCGTACGGGACGACCAAAGCGGCCGAGAACATGGTTGCGACCAAGTATGCGGCTGAGCTCGAGAACGAGGGGTTCACCGTCGTTTCCGTCAGTCCAGGCATGGTCGACGTCTCTGCCACCGGGTCTGGTTACTCTGGTAGGCCCCACTGAAAGGTTTATCTTCGTCGCAAGTTGAGCTCATGAACTCATACAGTGCCGCCTGAAGAGCTCATGCCCACTGTCAACAAGATCATGAACGGAATTTATGCGGCTTTCCCAAAGGCCACCATGATCACGCCCGAGGAGTCGTGCCGCCGCCTGGTCAGCTTCATCGACTCTGCCGGTCCCGCGGACAGCGGAATCTTTCACCCCTCGACCGAGTACATTTACTGAGCGCCTTTCGAGGGGATAGAGTGGAACGGCTTTCTGTGTCGCAACGCTAGGCTATTAATGTGGCTATGCATCGCAGTATTTGATAGATCACCCGTCCCGTAAATGAACTGCTGCGTGAAGTAGTACGCAACATAAGACATCTACCGTGTCCAGTAAACTTAAGACCGATTTGAAAATGCGCTACATAGTCGGCTCGACATCCACGCCTTTCCGAGGATGTCTCGAGCTGCCTGCTGTCCATTCAGACTCGTGAGTACGACACTTGGCCCGGTGCCATGGAGGTGTCCGGAAAGGCACTGACTCTGGCGGCAACGTAGCGTGGTGCTTCGTTTCAACCAATCACACCTTCGTGGCCGGTCAATTTCTTATCAAAAATACTTACTGCGATGCAGAATACGTACTTTGGTGTACTCCTCCAATTCTCTCGGGTTCATTGAGTCAAGACCGCGACGACGATGGCGTCTCGGACTTATCATCCCGGGCCACCAGGCGAAGACACCGGCTCGCCAATGTAGTAAGTACTTACCTTGCAGCGTAGGCTATCGGAATCTCAGGAATATTTCCCAGCCGTGAGCCGGGTCAACATCTGAATACCGAACCTTGCTTGACAGGGAGTCAACGAATAATTGAGCCAAAACTCAACCACTGTCAGCGAGCGGGCATGCACGTGACTTTGACGTACAACACCTTCCCAAAACGGCAGGGCACCTTCCAAATCCGTCAGCCCGCACCGTGCTCTCAGTCTTAACCTCTCCTAGCCTCTCCTTCGTCTCGCACCTGCTTGGAACTCCGCCGCCGCTTCTGACGAGCTCCACTTGTGTCAGTGTATAAAGGCGGGCTTGTACCGACGGTGTCTTTGCCCCTCCTCTCCTCAGACTCCGAGACTCCGAGTCATCAAGTTCCTCTCTTCAAGTTGTCCGATGGACTCACCAGACGAACCGTGCACTTGTTGAATTTTTGGTATATGCCTCCATGTACAGGTAACGTCAGGCACTTTATTGCCGACCTACTTATCTAATTACCGCCGCAGAATGCATGACTAGAGCTACTAGGCTCGCCGCTTGCCAGATGCTATTTTTGTAAAGCACAGGTCACGTGCCGATCATTGGGGGCAGCAGGCGCTGTTGTCGTCGTTGCCCACAGCCACGACCGCCGCGCCAGCTGCGATCCCTCCCATCCACCATGGCCGACCCAAACTTCCTCGCTGGGATCAAATCCGAGCCGTCTGCCAGCTCTGTTACGGCCGCGTCTGTCGTGGGCGCGAACGCCTCGTCCTCTCAGCCCGCACCAACCCTGCAGGAACCCGACGTAAGTGCCATGCCTCTGGTTGTTTCCTTGAGGGTGACTGACGCAAGGTGCAGGCCAACATCTTCGTCGCAGCACAGCGCGGAGACGTCGCGACCATCCGGGAACTCATAGAATCGGGTAAGGCGAAGGCGACCGATCGAGACGAGCAGAACATCACGCCCCTGCACTGGGCCTCCATCAACGCGCAAGTGGCTGCCTGCCGCTACCTCCTCGAGCAGGGCGCCGAGGTCGATGCGCTGGGCGGCGATCTCGTCGCAACGCCGATGCAGTGGGCTGCGCGGAACGGCTACCTGTACGTGATCCAGCTGCTCATCGCCCACAACGCCGACCCCACCATCGCCGACGCGCAGGGCTACAACAGCCTGCACCTCGTTACGCACTCCTCATCTGTTATGCCGCTGCTCTACCTGCTCCACCAGCCGATCAACGTCGACTCGCGAGACTCGCAAGGACACACGTCGCTCATGTGGGCGGCTTACCAGGGCGACGCGCTCTCGGTCGACTTGCTGCTCAAGCACGGCGCGAGCCCGAACACGAAGGACGATACGGGCCTAACGCCGCTACACTGGGCAGTAGTGAGGGGGAACCGGGTGTGCATCCGCAGGCTGATCGAGTGCGGCGCAGACATCAGCGCGAAAGACGGCGAGGGCAGGACGGCGCGAGACATGGCCGTTGAGCTGAAGAGTCTCGGGGCTTGGAAGCGGGCGCTGGAGGAGGGTGGGATGAATGAAGACGGCACGAAGAAGCGGAAGCCTTTCAGTGACGTGCGTGCCTCCTTTGACCGTGCAAGTCTGGAGGCTGATCCACGATCGGCGGCCCCTAATAGCGCAACACGAAAATCGCGATATTCACGCTCCCGACGATCTCTTTTTTCCTCATGTTCACGACACTGACGATCCTACCATGGTACACCGGCATAATTCTTTCGATGGCACTCTTCTTCGGCATGCACCATGTATGGTACCGTCCTACGTACATCGTGCCACTTGCTGAATCGGTTATAGGTCGTCACACGCGTCCTCCTGGACAAATCGAACTACACCGACAGCGTAGCGCAAAGCCCATATTTTGCAGGCATCATATTTGCGTCAATAGTATGGGTCGCCTACAGTTGGCTCACGCGCCTTGTGAATCGTAAGCGAAGTCTTTCCTGGTATATCGAAGGATCCCCTGATATATCGTTCCTGCAGAGACCCAATCGCATGCCTTCTCCCACTTGCTCTTCGCCATCAGCGTCATCCTGTGTGCGTACAACTTCTTCCGAGCAATTAGCTTGGACCCGGGGAGCTGTCCCAAGCCTGCGAGCGATGCAGAGCTCAAATCGGTGAGTGTTCGCGTACATATCTTGTCTTGAAGGCATACTCATATTCCGCCAGAACATTGAAGAGCTCGCATCGGAAGGCCGGCTCAATGGACAGACGTTCTGTATTCAGTGCATGGTTAGTGCTTCCAGTGAGTCCGCCCCGGCGGTACTGATGCCGTGTGATAGGCACGGAAGCCATTGCGATCCAAGCATTGCCGGACATGTGATCGGTGTGTTGCCCGACAGGACCAGTACGTCTGCCTGTCTTGCTGGTGTTTTCCGCGGTACTGACTTGCTGGCAGTCATTGCCCTTGGGTCTGGAATTGCGGTAAGTCTTCGTCGAGCAAACATTATTATCGACGTGTGTTGATTGCGAGCGTGCAGTTGGCGTGAACAACCATCGCCAATTTTTGCTTTTCGTCACGACATTGGTGACAGGTATCGTTCTCTTCGATTACCTCACATATGCCTGTAAGTGGTTACGTCTCAGCGGCGAAGTCAGCTAAATGCGGACGTTACCACGCAGACTTCTCGTCAATCGATATTCCCACCGACCCTGCGCATATCTCCCCCATCTGCATTCTTCCCAGTTACCTTTGCGCACTCACTGCGTACGACACCTTCCTCTTCTCTGTCGCATGCTGGTCGACGCTCCAATTGTCATGGACCATAGTCCTCCTCGCTAGCCAGTACTGGCAGGTCGCGCGCCAGCTGACGACATTCGAAGTATCCAACCTTGGGCGATATGGCTTTATGGGCGGGCGCGGTGGTGCGAGCCTCGGCTCCCAGATGGGGCACCAGCACAACCAACACCAGGGCATGCCCGGCGGCGATGGCGCAGCAACGCCCACGGGGCATAACCACAAGCACAGCCATGGTGCGTGCGGAGGGTGCGGGAGTGGGTTCCTGATGAACCTCCTCGGGTTCGACCGCTTCACGAAGGGCAAGGCTGCCGATGGGCTCGCGCGTGCGGGCAAGGCGCCGAACCCCTTCGACCTTGGCATATTCGGCAATTGCAAGGACTTCTGGACGAAGGGTCGTGAGCTCGGCGTCGAGTATGAGCGGTTGTATGACGTGCCCCCGGATGGTTTCAAGGAGGCGAAGAGGAGGAGGCAGAGCGAGGAGGGCGAGGAGATGCACGGGGAGGGGAGGAAGAGCGTGAGGAAGAGCTTGTTGATGGGCTTTGGGCTCAGTCGCGGGGGCAGCAGCCGCGCGGGATACGAGCCGTTGAACCAAGTGTAGGTAGGTGTGCGTTGTGCGTGCTAGTTGCCGTGAGGCGTGTATCATGTATAGTATATGTTTCATTGCACGGACTGATCTACGAATCTGTACTCTGAATGACTCTGGCATGGCGTGCAGGGGATCTTCTGGCGTTGTGGTCCTGGGGCTGCCTACTCAACTTCTCGTTGCGGAGGTTGCTGACAGTGTAGAACGCAGACAACCAACAACGAATGTCCCAGCATCGATTGCACCTGGCAAGTCGCTCTCTATGCACAACAGTACAACGCCCTCCACTCATGACTTCGCTTATGCAGACGTGAGTCAGGACCTCTGCATTGTTGCGGAGATGCCCGACTGTGCCCGACGCATCGACCAGCTGAAGAGCGATGGCGTGGCTGTACTCTCGCGGACGTGCTGCCGCACGTTGAGGCTGTGAATCGTGATCACGATGGTGAGCAACGTGCTCAGGAGAAATCGGCACCTACGCAGCCAGCACGGTATTGCAGTATACTGATGGTTCTCTGGTATCAGCTCCTGTATGACATGGATCACCAAGGCACGCACTTGTGCTTTGTGAGAGCCACACGATGTTGGTAAGGTATGTGTGATGTTCGTCATCGAGGAGATTCTGTATAGTCGTCGACATGAGAATTCGCCAGGATGACATTCGATACACGCACGATAGTGATCTCCACAACCTGCAGGACTCTGCGGGTCGGTGCCAGCGATCAGAGCTCGCGTCATCATGGATGAAACATGCGGAAGAAACCCACAGGAGCAGTGCGCCTCGACTTGCGCTGTAGGCAAACAGGCGCGACATGATCGTGCCCAGGTTCGAATCATACCTCCTCAGCAGCCCTCGCGTCTCGACGGCAGAATGGAAGTGGTGCAGGATCCACGTGAGGGCGACGGTGATGTAGAGGTCTGTTGCGATGTTCGTGGCAAGCTGGACGACGCCCATCCTCTGCATTCGGTGATACTTTGGTGAGTCAACGAGAAAGACGTGAGACATGGGAGCGCACCGCTGAGATGCCCGTGAGTGCGTCCTTGCTTGCGTCATGTAGGTTACTATGGAACGTTGAGACTCGCTCTGGTAGGCTGAACACGGAAGGAAACCTACAGTTCGGTTATCCATGCTGACGTGTTCCGTAGAAACGTCAGCACCCTGGTGCAAAAGCCGCAGAGGGTTATACTATTGACCGATGCCGGTGGCTGGGCGATCGAACGCGGTTAGCCAAAAAGCATGGATGGACGACGTGTTCAGAGCGCACCGAAACCAAGCATAGACAGGAGCAGCTGTAAGCCTGGGTGTCAGTACTTCCAAGATGAATCCTCAGGTTTGGACCTACCCCGGGTATCACGATAGCCACGCGATGTGCCTTCCGTCGCCCCGACCATACTTGAATATCGCTGCCTATCGGGATGGTTTTGATGCGGAGGTTTGGGGTTACCACTTACCTGAGTATATGGTCCGCAGATAGAAGCTGAAGCACAGGGGGGTGCGTTCATTCCAAGGAACACCGGTATCATTGACACTCGACTGAGATGCTCACCATTGGGACACAAAGACCGTCACGATCTTTTCGTCGTTCAGAAAATGCTGTTTGTGATACTCATGTTCCGGTGCTCACCCCCAGAACAGTCAGAATCTTTGCAGAAGATCAGTGGCTGGCGGGGAGTTGAATCGCTGTGAACTTGCCGTGTATGCACTGGTATGTATATGATCGTGAGCTGATAGTAAGTTGCCGAGGAATGCGCATAACCGACCCTATGAGCGCAGCGATGTCGGATGGCGCTTGGTGATTCGCCACGGTGTAGTAATACAAGATCTACCGCACGATCAATGAGTTAGACAGTCGGATGGGGTATGTCGTATAGACTCCATACATCGGCGCCTGCCCCCACTTTCGCAGTGTCGACAGCACTGAAGGCAATTCAGTGTTCAGTGACGCAGTACGATGCAGCGATTGACGTACAGCAATACTCCCACCTAATGATATCAATTGACATGAGTATGCAGTGTCCCCGCCGCGACAGCGTAGTGAAAGTCCAGGACTCACAAGTATCTTGAGCTGCGAATGGTCCTGCCCGTAGCGCGAGTAGTAGTATACCGTTTGTCCCAGGGTACAACCGTAGAGCCTAATACACAATATGTTGATAGCGAGGTCTCATTGGACGACAATTCGAAATCACTTACAGGAAGAGGAAGAACGCTCCGATGAACGTCGTCTGCAAATCGTCCCCGAGACTCTGACCAACCAGCGCGGATTCGACCATCGTTCGCTCGTTCTGAGGGCAGTGCATAGCTGCTATTATATATGCGATCGAAGGCGGCGATATATGGATTTAAGCCATCCAGACATTTAATGCGAGCTCAGCCTCCATAACGCCGGATCGAATCTCTACGGGGAGGGAGAAGCGCAGCTTCGCCTCGGCATCTGAGTCGACCATTACGCCTTTGGGACACTTGACAGCTGCTTCCAAGCAAGTCAAAGGAATGAATCCGGCGCCACGTTTGAGGATGACTTTGAGTCGTCGCCGGTGCTAGTAGGAGCTTCTCGCTCTCAGGAGGTGCATGTTATTCGTATTACTGCAACGCCTACCCGAGACGCGATGTGACCAGTGGGTTGAATGTATCCTTGACCCAGCGCAACGGTGACGATATCAAAAGGACTTCGATTGTGCGAGCAATTCCCTGTCATCCGTTATCAGATTCATGGACGTATGGAACCAGAGCCAAGCAAATGAACCAATTGAGTTCACCTGCACTGCTCACGCACTGCCAGTCTATTGACCACATTATGAGCTACCCCGCTTAGGCCTGGGGGAAGTGCTTTCCTGCATTGGCTTGCGCTGTGGCGATAAGGTAGTAGTGATCGACGCCTCCGGGCGTCCGGCATATGTCCGGCGCATTGCCTCCCAAGGGTCTGTCAGCAGAACTGCACTTCACCGATTTGGCTGGAAGTAATAGGAGAACCGCAGTCTGCGGAGATCAAGGCATTTCCGAGTCCGAGTCGATACGACGGATCAGCTGCAGACATAGGCACAACTCCTGTGGAACCCTACGTCCGTAGTCTTACCGAACCGCACTTAGAACCAGCCACGCAAATGGCAACAACGCTGCAGAATAATGGAGACGGCGCATCACAGACCGCCTGACGTTCTATGTCTGTCACACATTCAGCGAGAGTCATACAGTTGCAAGTTACAATCCGAGCAGTCCATTCCGGCTACAGTTAATCAAGGTACTCAGCTGAAGGGTGGAAGACACCGCTTTCCGCAGGGCTGACGGAGCCGATGAAGCTAATCAAGCGGCGCCCAGACTCCTCGGGCGTGATCGGTGTCCCTGCTTTCGGGAACGCCTTGCGGATATTCTCCAAGATCTTCATGACAGTGGGGGCGATCTTCTTTGTGTCACCTTCAGGTTCGTGACGCATAGGTGGGTAAGTCGATTCTGGGGTCGGTCACAAAGCAAGACTTACCATGGTTGGCACCGGACGCTGATGTCCCGGACACATCCACCGTACCAGGGCTCACTGAGACCACCGTGAACCCCTCGCTCTCCAGTTCAGCCGCATACTTGGTCGCGACCATGTTGGCTGCGGCCTTGGTCGTTCCGTAGGCTGCAGCGTGCGCGTGCCGGATCTTCCAGACGAGTCCGCAGTCGCCTGCTTCACTGCCGATGATTACCACCTTCTTCGTCGTACCCTTGCGCAACAGCGGCAAGAATGCATTGACCGCGTGGATAACTCCAAGGACGTTGACCTGGAACTAGTAGTGATCACCGATGTGAGTCATACACGTCGATCGCTGGTCAGCTGAATGGACACATACGGAGGCCAGAAATTCGGCGTCGAGTTTCTCGGCCGATTCACTGCGCAAGGAACCGTGGTAGCTCGTTGTGATTCGATAGAGGGAAAACCTACTAGTCGAACAATCCCTTTACCCGATTCTCCGCTTCCATACGGGCTGCATTATGTATGAGAACATCGAGGGCTCCGCCAGTGATCTCAGCGGCATCGACGGCAGCACGCTGAGACGGGGTGAGCGAGTGAATGATGCCTAAACCGAGTCAAAACGCGTACCTCCATGGCGTGGGCATCAACGACATCTGCCTCCAAGATGTGGATGTTTTTGTTCTGCGACTGCCGCACGAGTTCATTTAGGAACACGGACTTCTCCTTGTTCCTGACAGTCACAATGACAGTGTTGTCGGCATTCGCAGACTGCACATCGTGTCAGTGCACAGAACAAAGGACGAATGAAGAGACAGCACGCACAAGTTGGCGGACGAGTTCGAGGCCGACCCCTCGGGCAGCACCGATCAGAGCGAACAACGGCATCGCGTGCGAACACTTGGACTATGAGTTGCGAAGTTAGGACACGGCATTCTGCTGTCACTGAACGAGCTATATACTTGCCCAACCAGCCAGAAGACTGCGGCCCTGAGATATCAGCCTAATGACCTATGGGAGAACCATCTTCAAGCATCTTGGACCTCGGCGTAATTCTCCCTGGCTCCGCGGCCGACGCTGACGCGTCTTCATGGCAGACTGGTTCATGGCAGACTGGTCGAAAATGGGCTTCCGGCCGCACTGCTCACGTCTTGACTGAAGGAAACCTCTGCATAGCTACCGCAATCAATCTTCCTACTGAATATACACATTCAGCATGCATTGCTCGTCGCGAGAGCACTTACATACATGACTTGCGTTTAAAGCATCGATATTATGAGACTCAAGTTGCCATCTCAGGCTGTCAATCGAACCGGAGATTCAGACGCCGAGTGCAGAGTCTAGTACTGACAGGAGCGCTCTAATCGGAAGGAAGATGGTAGTACGCAGTATAGCACCGTGTAACATTTAGGTTGTTCTTGGGGCCTCGAGGATTATTGAATCGAAAACAAATCGAAAACGACAAAGTTCAAAAGGCTAAGCGCTGAGCGTTGAGATCTTGAGATCTCGAGATCTGGGCTCTGAGATCTGCAGCCGTCGTAGGCGCTTCCCCTGAGCGCGCGTCTATGCATAACCCTTCGCACACCGTCCGACCATCGCAACTACTGCTGCACTCTTGTCGTTCAAGTGTCATGGTTTGCGCACCGCAGAGACTAGGATATAACTACCCTCGGTCAATCTCGTGTGGAGACAGCGCCGATCTCTGGTAATGCTACGATCACCCAGTCCCTTCAAAGCCGACGACTGATTCAACTGTCTACCACAAACGGTCCATTGTACAAGGCGAGTGTTCAGATATGCTCTCGAAGCAAAGATAATTATAATGATGACCGGAAGTTGTGCTTCGTCCATAAAAGCAGTCATGACATTGGTGCATGAAAGGTTTGACTTGGGTTCGACACAAACTTCGCGCGACGGAAGGTTTTGATTATATGCCGACCACCGTTGCAACGAGGTTCTCTGCAGCTTTGGTGATGCCATAAGCAGCGCCCTACGATACTTAGCTGTGTTCTTTGGACAAAACTACACTCGCCACCAAGGATGTCTTATTTGGTATTGCCAACAACGTCGAGCACTTGCAAAACGAACGGAGTTCGCGTCGAGCCCGGGTTCTTCAGTCTCACTGACATCCATTCGACTCAAGTACACGTTTTACTCGGAGAGCAAGGCGTCCTAGTTCAATAACCTATTCAGCATATCCGCTTCTCTTCAAGACGTACCGCGCTCTAAACCGGGACGTTGAGACAACCTCTACTGATACTCGCCATTCCAGACTCGGACATCTATGTCAATATGTAAGAGGACTGTCCCGAGGCATCGACATGGCTGATGAAATATGCAGGATTTGCCGCGGAAGCCACATCGACTCGCGAGCAACGCAGGAGGTTCGCTAGTCCTGACCTACGCACCGTGACGGGGATTTACAGGACACTCCCGAGTGTGAGGGAGAGTCAGCTTCGGTACCTGGATATGCCCTGTCATGTCTGCCAAAACTCACCTCAGCGGCTGCATTTGTACTAACGAACGCGTCCGTCTCCGGCCCACAACCGAAGTGAGCGTCATTGTCTGACATCTTAGTGTCTGACGTTACCTTCTATCATTGCAGAGAACTGATTGAACAATTATTCGGACCGCTCGCGTTGATAAGCCCGGATCCTCCGTACAGTGCCGGACAACCACACTGTAGTCCCGCTACTCCGATCCATGCGGGCTAGATTGTAGTGCTATCGACGAGTTGCCATGGCCAAGTAGACGGTGCGCGCACACTTAGACTGGTTCTCATTCAAGCCATGTTTCGAACTGTACTTGATCTTGATGTGTATCCTCCATCGCCCGTCCTCGGCGGACTCGGGGCCCTCATGTGTCTACAAGTCAGACCCATTCTGCATGTTTCTGTTTGACTGGGAAGACGTCATCAGGCTGGTGTCATCTAGCTATCTCACTTGCACAGTCTCAAGTCAAAGACCTTGTCAAGCTGTGTCCCGACGACCGCCCCCAGCCTTGACTTCTGATCACATAGCGCTGGTGCGTCTCGTTCTCGCATAGCCACACAACATGCACACGCCGTATCACCCGAACATCGTCGTATCAGATACCCACTTGCAAGCATGGCAGTGCGCAAGTGAGGCCATCCGATTCGGACTTCTCTCGTCGCCGAAGGTGGATGTCGGCGCTGAGCGCTGAGCATTTCGCTGACGCTGAAAGCATCTTGCTCTGCTGTAGGCGATGAACTGGATATAGTATGTGCAATAGTCTACTGCTGGTCTCTGGACTCGTGGGTGAGCGGCTTCTGCTAACATCAATAATGAAGGGGAACAAGCCACCTTTCCTGAATGAATCCCAACAATAACTGGTACCGGGGCGGGACCATAATGCTGTGACCACTGAATCCATCATCGGGGATTATCTACACTGAAGATTGTCGAAAGAAAGACGTACAGTCATCACAGGTGGCCGCAGCGGCATCCTATCTGATACAGGCACTTCCATTGCTTAGACGCACCATAGCATGGTATGTGTCCGCGTGGCATGCGTAGACCTCTACACCGACGCGCTCGTCATCACTTTGGGCGGTATACGTAGCGGTATACATATAATGCGCATTGCTGATATGATTATACCCTGCGGCTGTTCAGAGTTCTGCTTCGACGACAGTCATGCCTACGCTCATTCCCCTTGATAATTTCTTGGGCGCGGCCTTCATAGGTATAATACTCTCAACTATGTACGTTTCCCTCCGATCTTGCTTTCCTTTATCGATGCTAACCATTGCGTCAGGCTTTATGGCGTGTCATGTCTGCAGACGTGGTTGTACTATACGCAATACAGCAAAAGCGATAGCTTGCGGCTGAAGCTCTTTGTAAGGCGTTTTTCGCGAGCCCCACCTCAATGGACTCATGACTTGTGGTTTCCGATGTGTCAGGTTGCCCTCGTTGTGTAAATTGCACATGTTCTCAAGTGGTCGAGTCTCAGAACGCTGATATTATCGCCAGCATCTTGGATACCTTGCATGTTGCGCTGATATCGACCGCATACTATCACTATACGGTGACGAACTATGGGGACTATGGAACACTTGATACAGTGACGTGGTAAGCGGTCAGCGGCTCGGCGAGCATGGAATTTTGACCACTTTGCGTTACATAGGAGTATTGCGGTACGTGACATCCTCATAACCCTTAAGTGCATGTCATTAACAGGTTAACAGGTTCAAATATCTTTCGGAGTACGTACCGTTGCGGTATCACCAATGCACGCTTGTACTGACGGCTCGGTGCATATAGGGCCTTGTGGGGTTGCTGGTTCAATTGTACGTGTAACAGCCGTGCCAATCCATGCTAACATAAGTGACGCCTTAATAGATTCTTTGCAATGAGGATCTATGTCTGTAGGTATCACGGATGCTCAATGTCGCCTCACGAACACTAATCATTTGTGAGTGGGCAAGCGACGGCTGTTAATTCCTGGAATCATCGTACGTAGAACCCATCTGTCACAGTAACCCATTATGATATTTCAAGCTATCTAGGGGTTTCTTGGCGTCGTTGAGCTAGGTGTGTGATGATCTATCTTGTATGCTCAACAACGTGACACGTATGGCATATCGCGGCTCAGGCTGTTCCATAGGTCAGTGTTGTTCATGTATGCACTTACAACGGACTAACGCGTCAGACTACTACCATAGCATACACCGCTGCTGGGTGAGCATACTTCCGATCACTGGCGTTGTGGTGCATGCTCATCGACTTGTAGTTACAGCGATCGCTACTTCTCTGTGTCTGGCAAGGCAGGACATGCGAATGTGCGTGGCGACATGCTACCGGGTATTTATGACCTCTCATTCTGCCAACGCGCCTAGGCATACACGAGTACAGCACTGACTGCTAACATTGTGTGTGACTTATTGATCGCGGGATGTACTGTGTACTATCTGCGGGAGGGTCGAACGGCTTTTTATCGGTATGGAAAATGAGGTAGTCGACCATGTGATACTCATAGTATACACTGAACAGGACAAACAAAGCCGTCACTCTTCTGATGACCTATGCACTCAGCACATGTGAGTTCTAGACACTCAGACTACCTTACGCTCGCGCTCTGAAAACGTACTGCATTAGGTGTTCTCGCCATGTAAGTCTTCGGCCAGGTGTTGTTCCTACTCCAGATCTCACCCGTACCTTCCAGGATCTTCAGCTTTGTCTGTCTCATCACCGTACGTGCCTGACCATTCTATACGTACATTCGCCGTCAGCGTGGCTCATAATCTCACCACGGCGCTGGTTTCAGTGGGTCACACTGGGCGAAGGGCTGATATACGCTGTATTCTATTGGATACTGATTCGAAGTGAGTAATCCGACTCGCAGACACTTCTGTATCTGACTATGATAATCACAGTCTATCCATGCTCTTTCCTATCGACGTATGCTCTAAATATCTTTTTTCAGTAATTGACTATTGACTGCTCCCTCAGCTTGAACTCTCGAGAGGCTGTGAGACGCGCTTTCCAGGAAGACATTCCAGCCCGCGAGCTCAGCAGCCTTGAAACGCAAGTTGACAGTCCAGACAAGGACAAGGACCCTCCCGAAGCGGCCCGAACGAGACCGTCGTCGAGCCGTACTTTTGGCCCCTTTACTCCCAACACCCCGCTTCCTGTGTACCGCCTCGCAGAAGACGGTCGAAACTCGGGTCGTATCATAGCGTCCGCTGCGAATACTGCAGTGTAGAAGCTGCAGTATAGTACGTGCTTGAGTCGAACCTAATTTGTACTGCGTGGAAGTCGATGACTTCCACGACGTCTCTCCTTCAAAGACTTAGGACTCCTTACGCAGGTGTAAAGTTTGAGCATATATGTATATCCTAATATATTCACGATGAGCGCCGCCTATCTCGAGTGCTGCGACCAGGCGCGACCGAACCACGAAGCAGGCGGTTAATTTGTCCGCAGAGAGACGGAATGACAGAAGCCCACATGCCGCCGATATACTAGCCAGCCGGACAGTTCTGGTTACTGCAAGTAGTATGGTCACTGTTATGTTCGTTAGATTCCTTAAGTATCACTTACCCGAGATAAGTATACAGTAACTCAGTAGTGAGTCTAAGATAAGTACTTATCTTCAGTAGACTGGAAACGCGGCATAATCAACAACGTACACGACTCTACTCCCATATCACTACCTCATACTACACCTAGTGCTAAGGCGTTCAGCCGCTTTCAGACCAGTTGCGGACGACATACTGGATCACCTCTTGGACATTTTCTGGACGCCCGGAGGGAGTCTATGTCTGAGATCCCCCTACACAAGCTCAGGCGTCACAGAAAGCTATCTACAGTGGGCTACGAGCGTCTCGCGAACGGCGCACCTTCACCCAACGGTGACGAACCCGGGTCTCCGAGCGACGCCATGCCTCTCAGTCCGCGCGCCGCGGCGTCAGCACGGCGGAAAGGTAAGCGGAGAGAGCGTTATGCCGACGATGCGGACCATCCGGACGAACAGGCGGGTCTCTTGGGTGACGAGGAGGACGGAGAGTTCAGAGACGACGAGGAGCAGGAGCAGAGGGATCATAGGGGGGAACCGTCAACGCCAGTATGTTCTCACTATGGTTGCATCAGTTTAGACTGTTCTAAACCTGCAATACGCGAGGTAGCATTCACCTTGGTCGCGCAAGTTCAAGCCACCACAAGACAAGTCGAGAACAGTGCCATTCAGACCACCAGGTAGGAGCACTCGTGTGAGCAGGGCTACATTGACTGCATATATGCTCCACCAGACAAGCAGCGCAACCGCTTCCCGGCTAATATCGTCCGCAACCAAAAGTACAATGCCTTCACCTTCCTCCCGATTGTATTCTATGAACAGTTCAAATTCTTCTTCAACCTATATTTCCTACTGGTCGCACTGTCCCAATTCATACCCGCGCTCAAGATTGGTACGCCGTTCTGCGCGCTCCGGGGTACAGAGCGGCTCACTTGGTCATAGGATTTATCGCGACCTATGTTGCTCCCCTTGCCTTCGTCCTATTCGTGACCATGGGCAAGGAAGCGTATGATGACTACAAGCGGAATCTCCGGGACCGCGAAGCAAATTCCGCGCGCTACCTCATCTTCACGCCTACCACCATCTCCAGGTCCTCGTCTCCTGACCTAGACCGCGACGATGGCCCGCATACACGCTCCGTCCCGTCTTCTGCGCTACGTGTGGGCGATCTCGTCTTGCTGGAGAAGAACCAGCGCGTCCCCGCTGATCTGGTCTTATTGCGCACCTCAGACTCGTCAGGAACTTGTTTCATCAGGACCGACCAACTTGACGGCGAGACGGACTGGAAGCTGCGCGTCGCAGTGCCCACGTGTCAGAAGTTGCCGTCCGAGCGGGAGCTCATGGACCTTGACGCGGAGATCTATGGTGAGTGGTTTCCATGTGTCGATTACATGCCTATTCACAAATGCACGGCCATGGGATGATTTCGTAGCGGATGCGCCCACGAAGGATATCCATACGTTCATTGGCACATTCACGATCAATTCACCGCGGTCTGCCTCCGACGACGATGTGCCCATGGTACAAGTGCCTACCGTCGAGCCTCTCACTGCGGAGAACGTTCTATGGGCGAACACTGTCCTTGCGGCTGGCTCTGCTGTTGGATTCGTTGTCTACACTGGCCCTGAGACGCGTGCAGTCATGAACACGAGCCACCCAGAGACGAAGGTGGGTTTACTAGACTTGGAGATCAACCGACTCGCCAAGGTCAGTGCGCTCGCAGCAGTCCACCCGAGAATAATAACGTACCATACCCACTACTGATCAGATTCTATGTGCGGTGACTTTCGCTCTGTCGTTCGCTCTTGTCGCCCTCAACGGCTTCCGTGGACTGTGGTATATCTACATCTTCCGTTTTCTCATCCTGTTCTCGTCCATCATCCCGATCAGGTATGTGCAACTCATCCTTCATCCGTAAACTAGGTGCGACGAGTTGTATTCTAGTCTGCGCGTGAACCTGGACATGGGCAAGACGGTATACGCGCAACAGATCATGAAGGACAGCGAGATCCCGAATACGATCGTCCGTACAAGTACGCTGCCCGAAGAACTCGGCCGCATAGAGTATCTGCTCAGTGACAAGACCGGGACCCTGACGCAGAACGGTAGGCATTCCGTGTCAAACTCTTCCGCGTTGACCGATTGACGCAGCGCATGCGTAGAGATGGAGATGCGCAGGCTGCACATGGGCACTGTGTCGTACGGATACGACTCCATGGACGAGGTTGTACATCAACTTGCCGTGGCCTTTGGAGCATCTGCAGAACAAGGTATCAGGGAGATTTCCATGACTTGCGGTGTCGTTGCTCATACAATGGTCAGCGCACAAACGCATAGGCTCTACTACCACGGGTGCGCAGCTTGCCACGAGGGGGCGTCGAGATATGTCCTCTCGTGTGCATGATGTCGTCCTCAGTCTTGCTCTTTGCCATAATGTGCGCATACAAACTACTCCTCACGGCCGAACGCTCATTCGACTTTTCAGGTCACTCCGGTAACGAACGATGACGGCACCGTGACTTATCAAGCGTCTTCTCCGGACGAAGTAGCGATCGTCAAGTGGACTGAGTCCGTCGGCTTAACACTCACGTATCGCGACCGCACGCGGATCGAGTTGCAGACGCCCTCCGGTTCCCGCATCACTTACGACGTGCTCGACCTCTTCCCGTTCACTTCCGAGTCTAAGCGCATGGGCATCATCGTACGCGACATTCAGTCGGGCGAGATTACCTTCCTGCAGAAGGGTGCCGATGCCGTCATGGCGCGTATTGTACAGCGGAACGACTGGCTTGAGGAAGAGTGCGCGAACATGGCCCGTGAGGGTCTCCGGACGCTTGTCATGGCGCGCCGCAAGTTGAGCGAACAATCGTACGCACTCTTCAAGGAGCGCCACCACCAGGCAAGCATCAAGCTCGAAGGCCGGAACGAGGCCATGACTACTGTGGTGTCGGAACTGCTCGAACGAGACTTGGAATTGCTCGGTCTCACTGGTGTCGAGGACAAGCTGCAAGATGAGGTCAAGTCGACGCTGGAATTGTTGCGGAATGCTGGTATCAAGATCTGGATGTTGACGGGTGACAAGATCGAGACTGCGACGTGTATCGCAATATCGACAAAACTTGTTGCACGGAATCAGTACATCCATCAAGTTGCGAAATGTTCGTCAGTTGTTACTTCTATCCGTCGGGCGGCGTGCTCACCTTTCAACCGCTGTCGGTATGATTAGTGAAGACGGCGACGGAAGTTCGAGACCAGCTGGAGTTCTTACAAAACAAGCTGGATTGTTGTCTTGTGATCGACGGAGAGTCTCTGCAGGTCGGTTCTTCCATACGCGCACCCCTGTGCAACACTGACCACAATGCTTGTAGCTATGCCTGAATCTGTTCAAGAATGAATTCATTGAGATCGCCACGAAGCTCTCCGCTGTCGTAGCATGTCGTTGTTCGCCTACCCAGAAAGCTGATGTAGCTCGCTTGATTCGGCACCACACCAAGAAGCGTGTTTGCTGTATCGGCGATGGAGGTAACGACGTCAGCATGATCCAGGCTGCAGATGTCGGTGCGTAAGGTGAAACAGATCACGAGTGGCGATTGTTTGACTGGCTTATCATTAGGTGTTGGTATCGTTGGCAAAGAAGGGAAACAAGCATCTCTTGCTGCCGATTTCTCCGTCACGCAATTCAGCCATCTCACGAAGCTCCTTCTCTGGCACGGGCGCAACTCGTATCGCCGCTCCGCGAAGCTCGCGCAGTTCGTTATCCACCGTGGACTTATCATCTCCGTCATGCAAGCTGTGTTCTCTGCAATCTTTTACTTCGCGCCTATAGCACTCTACCAGGGCTGGCTGATGGTAGGATACGCTACTGTGTATACGATGGCGCCTGTCTTCTCCCTGGTGCTGGACCGGGACGTCAATGAAGATCTCGCCTTGCTCTACCCAGAGCTGTACAAAGAGCTTACGAAGGTCAGTTAGTCGTCTAATATCTTCTCGTCGAGGCTCACGCGGGCTGCAGGGTCGGGTGCTGTCGTTCAAGACGTTCTTTATGTGGCTGATGATCAGCGTCTACCAAGGTGCGTCTGACTTCTCTGCCTGACTGCTGGGCCTCATGCCTCTTTTACGTCTAGGTGCCGCGATCATGATCATGTCCCTCGTGTTGTTTGAGAACGAGTTCCTGAACATCGTCTCAATATCGTTTACGGCGTTGATCCTGAATGAGCTCATCATGGTGGCATTAGAAATAACCACATGGTCAGCAGAACATTGTCTTTTCTCATTGCGCGACTTACAATTCGTGCACTAGGCACGTCTATATGGTAATCTCGGAGGTCGCGACATTGTTCTTCTATGTCATCAGCATCGCATTCCTCCCTGAATACTTCGGTGTGTCCAGCTGATGTTGCTGTCGACGTATGCATACTGACCACACTTGCCAGACCTCACCTTCGTCATCTCGGTACGATTCGCCTGGAAAGTCGCAGTGATTGTGGCTATCAGCGCGTTCCCTCTCTACATCATCAAACTTATCCGTAGTCGAATAGCACCAGCAGCATCTAGCAAACTGCTGTAATTTATGCCTTGCTTATGGAATTACGCGGAGATACGATCTTTAATGCATTTATATTGTTGTCAGTGTCATGCGGGTCAATAAGGATCATTGCAGGTAAGATGCGATATGAAGTGGGTAACAGAAAGGACCGTCAAAATGCACTCAACTACCACTGTGAGGAGGAGGCGAAGGGTTGTGAGCAGTGAAAGCATTAGCGAAGAAAGGTGTCGAAGGGTGCCACTCAGGGTTCGATGTCCAGATCGGATGTCCAATGGGAGGCGGCGGACGATTAGATGCAAAGCCAGGCGGTCCATGAGGCCCAGGGGCCCCCCAGGGGCCACGCATGTCGGGACCCGAGCTACGTGGGCTTCCCCATCCTCCTCCTACTGGAGCGGGGGCAACAGCGCGGCGACTCGGTGCCTGCACAACCTCATCGTCGTCCGCAGCGAGCGCAGATGAGCCTAGCACACCCTTTGGACTGGGCGAGCGACGACTTGGTGATGTGGAACCGGAGCCCGACGCGTCAGCGGACGGTCGCGCAATGGGCGCGATGGGCGCAATCGGGCGAGTGATGGGACCAGGATCGGCCGCAGGAAGACGACTCGTACTGGGAGTGAGATGCGTCGGCGAGGTCACTGCATTGCCAGAGGCTCGGTTGGGAGGCGCAATAGGTGCTGGAGGACCGATAGGAGTTGGTGGTGCAATGGCGGAGGGCGGAGCAATGGGAGCAGGCGGAGGCACGTTCCGTACAAACGGCGCATCGTACGGTATGCCGTTGCCGAAGGTTCGCGGCATCGCGGATGGCCCCAGAGGCGGTGGCGGGCCCTGCTGCATCGACGGACCAGGGCCCATACCGAAGGGACCTGGCGTGAACGGTCCGCGTGGAGACATTACAGGAGGCATCACACCCGGTGAGAACATGGGAGGCCCTTGGGGAGAGAGGTGGTTCGGAACATGGGCAGGCATCGGCTGCGGCGCGGTATGGTTCGTCACCACCGTCACGCGGGGCTGCTGAGGACGAGGTGGCTGAATGATGGGAGGAGCGGGAGTGGCGGGTTGCTGGGCGGGCGTAGGCTTGTTAAGGATCTTCTTCGACGGCGCAGCGTGGTTTGGCGACCGCTGAGAGGGCCCTGCTGTGTTAGCATTCCGAGGCGAAGTAGGTGGACGTGCATTGCGCGAGGCTGCGCGCTGCTGCTGTTGCTGTTGCTGAGCTGCACGCTCGCGCTCACGCGCCTCTCGCTCTGCCTTCTCCTTCTCCACCCTTTCCCTCTCGGCTTTCTCCTTCTCCTCGCGCTCCTTCGCCAGCCGTTCCTCCCGTTCCTTGCGCTCCTTCTCTTCTCGTTCGCGCTTCGCAGCAGCAGCAACGGCGCGCTCGGCGGCAGCCTTGGCTTCGCGCTCCTCGCGTACCTTGCGCTCGCGTTCTTCCTGCGCCCGCCGCTCTGCTTTGCGCTTCTCCTCCTGCTCCTTGCGCTTGCGTTCCCGTTCTGCCTCGCGTTCGCGCTCTTCAGCTAGGCGCTTCCGCCGTTCCTCCTCTTTGCGATGCTTCTCCTCCTCGGCCGCTTTCCGCACCGCTTCACGGCGTGCACGCTCCTCCTCGCGCTTCTTACGCTGCTCCTCCTCCTGCGCCGTCTGCTTTGCCTTAAGTTCTGCGTCCTCGGCTGCCTTCTCAGCCGCCTTGGCCGCGCGCTCCTCATCCTTCGCAAGCTTCTGCTGACTGTGGCGAGCAGAGGTAAGGACGTGAGTAGATAGCCGCATGGACAGCATGACGCACCGCTTCTTCTCCTTCTTCTTCTGGTTCTGCGTCTGTTTCTTGGCCTCCTTTTCTTTGCTGTTCTTGTCCTCCTCGTCGAGCTCGCGAAGGAGTTGCAACTGGCGCTCCTGTGCGACCTTTTCACGGTACGCCTGGAGCACCCGCTGCTCGAACATTCGTGCTGCAAAGATGGAGAACATCCGCTTGCCTTCCTCCATCTTCTGCTCCTCCGTCATCACCTACTGCGGGGTCAGACGCCTGTCACACGACTGAGCGCACAGATACGGACCTCCTCCTCGTCCTCATCTTCATCGTCCTCGTCATCGTCCTCGTCATCCTCATCTCCCTCGTCATCATCCTCATCCTCGCTCTCATCCTCGACGTCCTGCACAGCCTCATCCTCGCGCTGCATCCGCCGCTCAGCCAGCTGCTCCATCATCTCGAGAAACTTCTGGCCGTCGTTCTTCAGCAGGTCATCGGCCACGGTGAGGATGTTACCTGCTCCTGTAATCGTGAGATCAGAGGCCGGACTGAATGTAGCTGCGTGCTACTCGCCTGTGACAGTGAGGCTGTTGCCAAAGTGGCCCAAACCATCACGGCCGTTCGCCTTTGTCCCGTTGGGCATGGCGCGTCGCCGATGGGACGGCGCCCGCCGATCGGGTTGTGGCTTGACGTCGTCCTCGTCTGCCGCATCCACCTCCTCGTCCTCCTCTTCCTCCTCTTCATCGTCCTCCTCATCGTCGTACTCCTCCTCCTCATACTCATCCTCCTCACCGTCGTCCTCATCAAACTCGCTCTCGGGCGGCTTGACGGGCTTGCGGCCATTGGTCATGACGGCGCCTTTCGGGCGTGTGGCGGGATGGGCGGGAGCATGGGGATCAATGACGACACCGTTCTTGTCGAGCTCAACGCTGCCTGGGAAGGGTCCTGGGCCTTGCGGAGGAGGGAGCGTGCCGCCAGAGGAGATGTAGCGCTGCTGGTAGTTCGCGTACTGTTCTAGCTCCTCATAATAAGCATCGTACAGTACCTCCAGCTCTTCTTCTATTGCACTCCTATCCCGAAACACGCGTCACGCAACAACGGAGGTGCACGATGCAGACACAGCGGGATTGGGTACGAGAGCCGATGCCGAGCGTCAGTAAAAATTTTCGTGCAAAGGGGGAGAGGCACACGGACCGCTTCCTACCGCAGACAGCGCAACTACAGCTGTGCTTCTGCTGCTCCTTCATCTTCTTGAGGACGGCTTCTTTCTCGATTTTCACGAGATTCCGACGCTCCTCCTCGCCCAGCCCAAGCCAGAAGTCTTTGATGCGCTCCCGCTCCTCTGTCGTGCTCGTACTCCATATCTTGTTATTTTTCGCCGTACCTCCCCCTCCTGTTCCGTTCGCTGGGGGACGCGGTTTGTGAGGTGCGGAGGCGTTCGAAGATGGTGGCGATGGATGGTGATGAGTATGATTATGCTGGTACGCGTGGGAGGTAATGGGGGCCTTGGAGGCTGCGCGACGACTAGGGGGTGGGTTGGCGGCTGGCGCGGGGGCAGCATAGGACATAGGCTGCTTGCCCGCCGCGCGCGACGACGGCGGAGGGTTGGACGACGGCGGAGGTCGCGCGGTCGGCATTGAGTTGTGAGCAGAGGATGGCGGCGGCGAATTTCCCACAGCCGCGTCGCCCGGCGTCTCCGGCCGCAGCCGGCCGGGGGCCTCCGCGCTGGCCGGCCGCGGTGGCTGTCGTTTCTTTTTCTTCGGCTTTTTCTTTCGCCCTGGCATATATTCCGGGCCGAACCCGCCGCCGCCTCCGCTCGACGGCGGCGCGTCGCGCGCGTACGTTGCCGCCGCGCGACGAACGTCGTCGACGTCGTCGAAGTCGTCGAGCTCGTCCTCGCTGTAGTAGTCGTCCTCCGCGTAGCCTTCTTCGCCGTACTCGTTCAGCAGCACGACGTTCGTCGGCGAGAGCGCGTCGCCCTCTCCGAGGGGGTGCAGCCCGTTCGCCGCCGCCGCCTGCTCCATCGCCAGGCTGAACGCCGGGTCCGAGAACATTGCCGGGTCGAAGGGCACCGTCGTCGGGTACGCGCCCGCCGCGTACCGCATGCTGTTCTTCGCGCCGCCACCGCCCGCGCCGGCGTGGATTTGCTGCGCGATCGCATACATCGCCTGCGTCTTTTCGTCGCCGTCACCATACGCGCTCAGATGCAAGTAAGTGTTCCGTACAAAGCTCCGTATGTGGTCCGGCAACTGCTCCAGGTACTCCTCGTCAAACCGGCCCTCCGCGTCCGGCTCGATCCCGCGCGTGAGGTGGTTTACTGTGGCGGCCAGGTCCGCTTCTGTCACCATCCCCGGATTCTGGCGGGCGACGGCGGCGAGCGATGCAGAGAGCGACGCGGTCGTGGACAGGTGCACGGACTCGAGCGAGGCGGCCGTGGACAAGTGCAGGGACTCTGGAGACCGCGTCTCGGACTCCGCACTCACCAGCTGCGCCTGGATGTCGTCGTCCTCGCCGTACAGCCTGTCCTCGAACACCATGCCCTGGAAGGCGGGGTCGAGGTTTCCCTTGGTCTTCTTTTTCTTCTTCTTCTTGCCGTTCACCGTGGGTGCGGGCGTGGGGTCGGCCATTGGCATAGGTGCCGACGGCGGCGCAGGGACGACTGTGGGTCGCGAGACGGGTACGGCCGCCTTCTTGGCTTTGCCGGTAGCCATTGTTCGGAATCAGAGGCTGAGAATGCGCGGTAAGCAGGAAGAAGACTGCGAGAGCTCAGTGAAGGATGCAGCACCAGAAGAAGCAGGCCGGAAATGGTGCGGGCTGTGCACCGCAGAAGCAGTTCCCGAGAAAACTATCGGTGAAGACAAGTGAAGGATATGCAGCAAAGCTAGTGCGCAAGCCGAGATGGGAGTTTGCACTTTCGAGGAGATGGTCAAGATTCAAGACTGGGAGAGCAGGGCGTCGCGCGATTGGCGCCGGCTGTAGAGAGTCACGTGAAATGCGGTGCACGGGGTCCCACCGGAATAGTGGTATTCTACGTAAGTACCAAATGCCTGGTATCCTTCTCTTCGCACTCACTCCCAACGCCGTCGCCATGCACCCGTTGTTCTACTGGCATGCTATAACAGACTTGACAAGGCAGCAATATCTTGGACGGGCGGCCGGGGCGTCTCTATAATTGCTGAACGTGGACCGGACGTGGGCGAGTTGCCCAGCGTAGGGAAACTTGCCATGTCACATTATTGTGGATGCCGGAAATACATGAGATCGCTTGAACTTCGCTGCAACGCCCTGCCTTGAGTACGTGTTGAACTATTCGAGTATGTGTCATGTCCATCGACACGCAGCATGGGGTATGGGACTCGGACGTCCGTTAACTGTGGGATTGGTACGAGCCTTTGCTGGATCAAAGATGTGTCGAGTATCTAACATCCAGTGCAGGGTCACAACATGGGTATTCCACTCCATGAGCCGGAACAGCATCCTCACCGTGGGCAGGCGCGACCTGCCTGCCCCGCCGCGCTTGCGCTCGCCGTCGCGTCCGCTGCCGCTCGGTGCAGACAGACGAGGTGCGTGCGCTTGCTACTCAGTCCGCCTGTATTTAGACAGGCACATATACAAGGACAGCTGCATGATTATGGTCGTCGAGCCCTGCCTATCACGTCTATTTGAGCAATGGTGCGGCTCGCACGTCTGCATGTTTGTGCGTAACATATTCGTGTTACGCGTCCAGCAGTCCCTGCCGCACATGAACCGGACACATGCTCTTTCAGTATTCGGCGCAACGTCTCCCATCCTGGCAGTTCTATATCAGTATTGTTGCGGGGCCCAGGATGAGCGATCATGTGCCACACATCATCTCTGTGACCTCCGCACCTACGTCTTGTCTGGTAGTTCCATGTCGGCTGCAGATTATGAGTCCCCATAATGGTCAACTTTGCGGTTCGGGACCATGGCTTCGGGCAACGTTTCCCAGGTCGAGGCATCATCACCGGTGAGGACTCAGTCTGTGCAGCTTGCGATAACACGCGGGGTACTGAGCAACCAGATCGTGGACAGTCCGATCCACAAGCGACCGTTTTCACCTCTCGTCCTCTCGTCCTGAACTACTAGAGATGTGCACGCATCGGCCGGGCTATAATTAATGTTTCTTTGATGAGTGGATAGCAGTTTAGGTTCAGTTACCAGTAATCGCGGTACGCGTTAACTCGCCATCAGCCTAATAGTGCAGATACAAGACTCATCCGTCTCGGGTACGTCTCGCCGTTATCTCTTGTAGCAAGAAGTTTGTAATGTTGAGTTGTTCCAACAGTCGCACCTTCACTTTGAAGCGGCTGATACCGGACCTCATATCAAGTCATACCATTCAAAGGGCACCGGGAGCATGCAGTGGCACCGGGCTCGCACGCACCATCGGAGAGTGCTACTCAATAATATCGGTCGCCATCAACGACACCCTGCTACCTGTCTAACAAATCAACCAATAGACAATATTCGGTGGCCGGGTGCAAAGGTTTGCTCGGGCATCTGATCTTCTCGGGCACGACGGTCTGAAAGCAGACAACTCGACGCTGAGGCTCAGATAGATCCCCGGCGAGCACGCGGGTGGGCGCCGTGCGTCCACATCGACTTGTGCGCGGGCTGGTGGCGTACCATTGGGATTGTACTATACAGATTTTGACTCTGTCCACCTACACCCAGTTGCGATCGCACCCAGCGCTGAGCGCAGCACGTATGTCTCTGCATCATGATTCAAACGATAGGCGTCTGCAGGCAAACTTGAAATATGCCTCTCAGCGGGCTCATTCTCTGCTCCGAACCACTCCCTAGACCATTCCCTCGACATGCGACCGTACCTTTTCCGCGCAGCGACCCTCCTATCGCTCGCCTCATTGTGGTCGTTTCCTCTGGCCTGCTGTTCCGCAATCACCGCCTACAACGTACAGGGCCCCTTGACCATCGGCTCTGCGACATCGACGAGTGATACCGCAGCAGGGACAGCTGTGTACGACCCCCCATATGGATCTTATAGCGGCTATGCCGCGTACAACCCCATCGTCCTCGCGCCGCCTGCCGTCCCTTCTAACTTGTCGACTCAATATGACCTGGTGCTGCCGGGAAGCGCATCCGGTGTCCAAGGACTGAGCATCCCTCAAAGTGGTTCATTCTTAGGCTTCTCAGTCGAGATGTCGGTAGCCACCGAAGTCAGTAAGTGACGAAGTAGCTGAAGGTGTATGTATCTTGCGACTAATGTTTGGTTTGCAAGTCGGCATCAATGCGTGAGCCACGTTTCAATGATGCTTCCTGCTGTTTCTTGAATCCCCTGGTGTAGCTCGTTTCTACAGGTGCCTTTCTTGAACCTTATGCAACTCGTAGCGCAACGTGGGGGAAGTGTCAATGTCCGTGTAGGGGGTAATACTCAAGATTACGCGGTCGAAGTCACAGGGCTTTCAGACAATCGTGGCATATGCGTTAAGAAGGACATCGACGACACTCGTAATCCAGTGAGTTTGACCATACAGGAGGCTTGGATTTGATAGGCTTACACTTGCGCACTTCTCACAGACAAACACACCGACTCTGCTTTTCACACCTGAACTGCTCTACATGCTGTCGAACGTATCCGCGCTCATCAATGTCAATTGGTGGCTCGGTATCCCGTTCAACGACACTTCCAATTGGCGATTGGACATCGCCGAGACCGGCGAGGCTATCCTCGGCGACAGATTGCTGGGGTTCCAGGTCGGTAACGAACCCGACCTCTACGCCTTGCACGGGCACCGGGCCGCGAACTACAGCGTCTGGGACTACTTTGGGGAGTTCGCTGAGATCGTCGAAGCGATTGCTGCCGACGACAACATACCGATGCGTAACAATCTCATCGCACCGAGCGTGAGCGGAACATGGACGCCCGAAGATGTCTGGAACACCGGCTTTCTGACGTCATACGATTCGAGCCTTGGTGCTCTAGCTGTTGAAAAGTATGACTTCCGATCTGTACGAGACTTCTATCTAATGCACATGCCAACATCGATAGGTATCCTGACGACAACTGCGCTGCCCTATATCCCGGCGGTGATTTCGGCCCCGCAAAGGACCCACAAGGCGTATTCGCCAACTATCTCAATCACACGTCCGGCCAATTGCTGGTGAAGCCCTACCTCGCGTCTACAGCGCTAGCCCAGCAAAATGGGAAGCCGTTTTACATGTTTGAAACGAACACAGCGAGCTGCGGAGGCTTTCCGGGCGTCAGCGACAGTTTCGGTGCGGCTTTATGGGCAGCCGACTACGCTCTGCAGATGGCATACAGCAATTTCTCAGCTGCAAATCTTCACGTTGGCGGCCTGAGCGATTCATATAACGTGGGTGGTTCTCACATTAGAGCGGTAGCTTCATTCTAACATCAGGTCTATAATAGCCCTTCATCCGTACGGCTACTCAATCATACAGCGATGTCTCACTGATCGTCCATCTATAGCACCGCCAACGAATGAGTCATTGTTCCAGGGCTGGACGATCGGTCCGGTGTTCTACTCCGTACTGGCCGTAGCAGAGGCTCTCGGCTCCTCCAACACTTCCCGCGTGATTGACCTCAATGCCAACAATGGCAGCATCTACACGCCCGCGTACGCTATCTACGAGAACAACGCCCTCGCAAGGCTAGCGCTCTTCAACTACGTCTCGGATGCCAGTGGGGCTAGTAATGTCACTGCGACCATTTCTATCGATGGCGGTCGAATGGGCGAGCAAGTAAGCACCCCGCAAACCGTGAAGATCAAGTACCTCGCGGCAGAAAGTGTTGCCGTCAAGGAGAATATCACTTGGGCGGGTCAGGTGCGGAACCTTCTCGTACCACGACAGTGTATTACTGAATATTGGGCAGACCCTAGGCAGTCGTTTCGAAGTCGATGGCCGCCTCAAAGGCGGAGAGAATGTGCAGACCGTGCAGTGCGATACGTCCTCCGACACTTGTCAAGTGAACGTTCCCGCACCGGGGTTGGCCCTCGTCTTCCTCTCCGACACCGCCTACGAGGAGGTCGAGCCAAGCAGCGTGGTTACGTTTGCGACCACGTCTGTAACCAACCCACTTGTGACTGTGACCGTCAACCCAAGCGTGCTTTCCACATCGAACGGCAACGGAAGCATCGTCCTCGGGGCTACAGACCACAGCAGCCGAGCGGTGCCGAGAGGTAGTGTGGGTGTCGGTTTGTCGGTTCTCCTTGCAGCAGCGACGAGCTTTGTGTTGCTCAAGCGAATGGTGTGAGTGATGGCAGTTAGTGCTGTATGGACATCGGAATTATGCGTCCATAGTTCGGATGTGACAAGCGACTGTTGTGATAGGCGGCGCTCGGCGTGAATATATAAAATATACCTGCGTAAGGAGAGACGTCGTGGAAGTCCTCGACTTCCACGCAGTACAAATGAGGTTCGACTAAAGCATGTATACTGCAGCTTCTACACTGCCGTATTCACACCAGACACTATGATACGGCCCGAGTTCCGACCGTCTTCTGCGAGGCGGTACACAGGAAGCGGGGTGTTGGGAGTAAAGGGGCCAAAAGCGCGGCTCGACGACGGTCTCGTTCGGGCCGCTTCGGGAAGGTCCTTGTCCTTGTCAGGACTATCAACTTGCGTGTCAAGGCTGCTGAGCTCGCGGGCTGGAAAGTCCTCCTGGAAAGCGCGTCTTACAGCTTCCCGAGAGTTCAAGCTAAGGGAGCAGTCAGTAGTCAGTACTATACTAAAGTAATATATAAAACATACGTCGATAGGAAGGAGCATGGATAGACTGCGAGTATCGTAGTCAGATACAGCAGTGTTTGCTAGTCAGATTACTCACTTCGAATTAGTATCCAATAGAACACGGCGTATATCAGCCCTTCGCCCAGTGCGACCGACTAAAACCGGCGCCGTGGTGAGCTTGTTAGCCATGCCGATGGTGAAAGTGTGTATAGAATGCCCAGGCACGTACGGTGATGAGACAGACAAAGCTGAAGATCCTGGAAGGCACGGGTGAGTTCTGCGATAGGAACGACACTTGGCCGAAGGCTTACATGGCGAGAACACCTAATGCAGTACGTTTTCAGAGCGCAAGCGTAAGGTAGTCTGAGTGTCTACAACTCACATGTGCTGAGTGCATAGGTCATCAGGAGAGTGACAGCTTTGTTCGTCCTGTTCAGTATATGAGTACATCATATGGTCGAGTACCTCATTTCCATACCGATAAAAAGCCGTTCGACCCTCCCGCAAGTAATACACGGTACATCCCGCGATCAATAAGTCGCAGACAATGTTAGCAGTCAGTGCCGTACTCGTGTATACCTAGGCGCGTTGGCAGAATGAGAGATCGTAAATACCCAGTAGCATGTCACCACGCACATTGGCATGCCCTTCCTTGCCAGACACAGAGAAGTAGCGATCGCTGTAACTACAAGTCGATGAGCATGCACCATAACGCCAGTGATCGGAAGTATGCTCACCCAGCAGCGGTGTACGCTATGATAGTAGTCTGACGCGTGAGTCTGTTGCAAATGCATACATGAACAATACTGACCTATGGAACAGCCTGAGACGCAATATGCCGTACGTGTCATGTTGTTAAGCGTACAAGATAGGTCGTTACATACCTAACTCAACGATGCCAAGTAAACCCTAGATGGCTTAAAAGATCATTATGGGTTACTGTGACTGATGGGTGCTACGTACGATGATTCCAGGAAATAACAGCCGTCGCTTCCCCACTCACAAATCATTAGTGTCGTGAGGGGACATAGAGCATTCGTGATACCTACAGACATAGATCCTCGTTGCAAAGAATCTATCGAGGCGTCACGTATATTAGCATTGATTGGCACGGCTGTTACACGTACAATTGCACCAGCAACCCCACAAAGCCCTATATACACCGAGCCGTTAGTACAAGCGTGCATTAGTGATATCGCAACGGTACGTACCCCGAAAGATATCTGAACCTGTTAACCTGTTTATGACATGCACTTAAGGGTTATGAGGATGACACGTACCGCAATACTCCTATGTAACGCAAAGTGGTCAGCATTTCATGCTCGCCGATCCGCTTTCCGCTTACCAAGTCACTGTGTCAAGTATTTCATAGTCCCCATAGTTTGTCACCGTATAGTGATAGTACGCGGTCGATATCAGCGCGACATGCAAGGTATCCAAGACGCTGGCAATGGCATTAGCGTTCTGAGGCTCGACCACTTAAGAACATGTGCAATTTACACAACGAGTGCAACCTGATATATCGGAAACCACAAGTCATGAGTCCATTGAGGGGGAGGGGAGGGGGCTCGCGAAGAACGGCTTACAAAGAGCTTCAACCGCAAGCTATCGCTTTTGCTGTATTGCGTATAGTACAGCCACGTCTGCAGACATGACACGCCATAAAGCCTGACGCAATGGTGAGCATCGATATAGCAAAGCCAGATGAGAGGGACACGTACATAGTTGAGAGTATTATACCTATGAAGGCCGCGCCCAAGAAATTATCAAGGGGAATGAGCGTAGGCATGACTGTCGTCGAAGCAGAATCCTGAGCAGCCACAGGGTATAATTATATCAGCAATGCGCATTATATGTATCCCGCTACGTATGCCGCCCAAAGTGATGACCGGCGCGTCGGTGTAGAGGTCTATGCATGCTGGCACGCGGAAACATACCCTGCTATGGTGCGTCTAAGCAAAGGAATTGCCTGTATCAGATAGGATGCCGTTGCGGCCACCTGTGATGACTGTACGTCTTTTTTTCGACAATCATAAGTGTAGATAATCCCCGATGATGGATGCAGTGGTCACAGCATTATGGTCCCGCGCCGGTACCAGCTGTCGTTGGGATTCATCAACTTGAAGGAAAGGTGGCTTGTTCCCCTTCATTATTGATGTTCGCAGAAGCCACTCACCCACGAGTCCAGATACCAGCAGTAGACTATTGCACATGCTATGTCCAGTTCATCGCTTAGAGCAGAGCAAGATGTTCTCAGCGTCAGCGAAATGCTCAGCGCTCAGCGCCGACATCCACCTTCGGCGACGAGAGAAGTCCGAATCGGATGGCCTCACTTGCGCACTGCCATGTTTGCAAGTGGGTATCTGATACGACGATGTTTGCCAGTGGGTGATACGGCGTGTGCATGTTGTGTGGCTATGCGAGAACGAGACGCACCAGCGCTATGTGGTCAAAAGTCAAGGCTGGGAGCGGTCGTCTGTGAAGGGTACGGCCGGACAATTGCTATCCTGTCGAAAAAAACGGGTTGATGTTGACGTTGACGACCTTAAGCTGTTCTGTTTGATAGTCCCGAGACGTCGAACTCTGTGTTGAAGACATTTTACACAAGTTGGGTACGTTGTTCTTGACGTTGAAGTTGACAAGTTGTCGGACAAGTGGTTTGACAAGTGGTTTGACAAGTGGTTTGACAAGTGGTTGACAGGTGGTTTGACAGGTTGTCTGACAGGTTGCCCGGCAAGCGCCGGGCATCCGCCACATGCAAGTAGTTGAAGTACTGAGTACCGAGTACTGAACCGCGAACAGGCCGTGAACAGGCCTACAATGCAACAGTGAGTCTACGCTCTCCGTCCTGATCCACTGTCGCTGAGACGGACACGAAGAGATGCGAAGCCCTTTACGAGGTATGTGACGCATTTGTTTGCGTGCCCGGTCCTCCGTCTTTGTCATTTAAACAGGATTGACTTTAATTCAATAGTGTATTTTAGTTCACCTTAAGGCAATTCATTATTGAACCCCTATAATCCTATCCAGTACTCATCCTATCCAAAGCAGTAAACAGGCTTAGCTAAGACTATCCTCAGTATGTTAATGGTTTAGCTTAGACTGTACTAGCCAATCCAATCCTGTTATGAGCTTAGATTAGCCTATATTCACCCAATCCAATCCTATTGTAAGCTTGTCTTAGTCAATCCAATCCTGTTATGAGCTGACTTTACTCAATCCAATCCTATTGTAAGCTTGTCTTAGTCAATCCAATCCTGTTATGAGCTGACTTTACTCAATCCAATCCTATTGTAAGCTTGTCTTAGTCAATCCAATCCTGTTATGAGCTTACCTTACACTGTACTCATCCAATCCAATCCAGTTATGAGCTTAGTTCAGCCAATCCAATCCTATTGTGAGCCTGGTTATATCTGAGCCAATCCATACTCTCATGAGCTTAGTCACTAATCTAATCTAATCAACTCAATCAGGCATGTATAACCTTAGCCAAAACTGTCCATCTCAGCTCAGCTAATCCACTTCCATCTCTGATCTCATCCACAAATGACAATTACCAAAAAAGGAAACATGGTCCACCGAAACACAAGACAGCCTATTTAGCCCGGCCAGCTGAGCGAGTCTGCGGCCTACACAGTTCATGAGGCATGTCAGTATAGAGTGATACTTGAACAGTCAATGACTTACTTGACGGCCGAAGCCCTAGCGCGAGTGACACGAGGTTCATTGGACGAAGTCGCAACTCCCTTCAATGAGGATTTCTCACGTGTTTTCTTCTTCGATGGCGCAGTGCTACATGACAAGCAAATCAATCATATTGATCTCACAAATATCAACCACAGAACATACCTTGCGCTGCCGTTGTTGGTTTTGCGCTTCTTCGCTGGCAACTTGTCTACGCCATCAACTTATTCAGTCAACAGATTTGATAATGAGCCGAGCAGAACTCACCAGTTGTTCCCTGAGTCTCATCATTTTCTTCATGGCCCCTACGGCGGCTTTGCAGTCCCTCGGCACCATCACCTGTAACTGTTCAGTCAGCCACATCCCTGTCACTCGTATGGCCAGGCATACCCTCATTCTCGGCCTCAGTATCCTTGCCTCCCTCGACCCTGTTGAACAAGGAGTGATGTGGCGTAGCTGAAGGCAAAACTACAAAGAAGCAAACAATGGACTGTTAGAATGGAGGACTTACAACAGATCTCAAGACTACTGAGAGGGAAGACTCAGGAGGCGTAGAATGAGAGGAGAGATCGTTACATTACAGGGGCATCCAGCCCAGTATATATACACATGAGAGAGCCATCACATGATCGTACAGTAAGCGTAATAGCATGACATCGTAATGGTGCAATGAGCAATGATGCGATGATTGCACCATGGATAGAACGTACTGGAAAGGACTGGACAGGACCGGAAGGGAATCTGGACAGTCCTAGAACATGATATCATAGTGATGTCATGGTGATGTCATCAAGGAACGTGCTGGAACATCCTGGAAAGTACTGGAAGGTAGTGGAATGTTCCGTACAAGTCTAGAACAGATCATGTGCTACAGGTCTGGATCAAGTCCGTAAGAAATGTATGTAATATGTAGCAACGAAGAACATAAGTCCATAACGGGTAAAGGATAAGTCCTATCCCGTAGTGTAACACCCAAAATAGTCGAAGTTCAACACTCCCACTTGTTCAAGATGCTACAAGCATGCCAGAAGACGACCTGAACTTCTCAATTGCATTGAGAGGAACATTCTTCGTCAAGCAGTCAGCAAGCTGGTCTTCGCTAGCGACATAGTAGATCTCAGTTTCACCACGCTCGTAGAACTCGCGTATATAGTGATACCTGATCTCTATATGCTTGGTTCGGCGGTCCACAACAGGATTCACTGATAGGAAGATACTTCCGTGGTTGTCTAAACAAAGAGGAGTAGGACTTGACATGTTGTCTCCAAGCTCCTCGCCGAAATGACGAAGCCAAGCCATCTGACGACAAGTGTCTGAGGCGGCCTTGTATTCTGCTTCAGTTGAAGACAGAGAAACAGTCGGCTGACGTCTCGACGCCCACGAAATGACACAATTGGCCATCATGAAGATGAAACCGCTTGTTGAATGCCTATCATCGCGGTCTTCGGCCCAATCTGAGTCTGAGTAGGCAATCAGACCAGAGTTACTGCCGCCATCATAACAGAGCGCAAAACTCTTAGTTCCTTGCAAGTAGCGCAGAACGTAGAATGCTAAACACATATGCTCTTTAGATGGGTTGGACGAAAACTTGGCCAATCGCGTGACCGCAAAAGCGATATCAGGCCTAGTACCTAGCATGGCGTACATGATACTGCCAATGATGCTCTGATACTTCGTCCTAAACTCTTCGGTAGCAGTCTCAGTACTGCTCAGCAAGTTTGCACCCGCTGGCAACGGTGTTCGAGCTACTTTGCAGTTGCTCATTCCAAAACGCTCTAGGACAGTCTCAACATAGTCTTCCTGGTCAACAAAGAGCCTGCGTGTAGAACGCTCTCGACGTATTCTAAGACCTAGGAAACGTTGGACTTCTCCCAAATCCGTCATCTGGTATTCACTTGACAAGCGCTCTTTGACCGAATCAATGAAGGGCTTAGAGTTACCCAAGAGCAACAAGTCGTCGACATATAAAATGACGACACAGGTGTGATCTCCAGACTCACGGGTATAAACGTATACACCAGCATCCGAATATGTGCGCATAAAACCAAGCCCTAGGAGAGACGCATGGATCTTAGCATTCCATTGGCGTGAAGCCTGCTTAAGTCCATATATAGCCTTCAGAAGAAGACAAACGTGGTCTTCCTTGCCTGGTACAACCCAGCCTTCAGGTTGTTCCATGTAGATCTCCTCTTCAAGATCACCGTTCAGGAATGCCGTCTTGACATCCATCGACTCAATCTCCCAATCCTCAAGGGCTGCATGTGCAAGCAAGTATCGCACGGATTCAAAACGCGCAACCGGGGAGAAGGTCTCGTGGTAATCCTGACCCCAAACTTGGGTGAAACCTTTGGCTACTAGACGAGCCTTATAACGACCATCATGCTTGATCGTATAAACCCAACGATTCTTAACGACCTTCCTGTTCTTAGGCCGTGGAACCAGAATCCAAGTCTTATTCTGAATCAGAGAGTCGTACTCAGACTTCTCTGCACCTTGCCATTTCGACTTGTCAGGAGAACGCATGGCTTCAGAATGACTCTGAGGAACACCATAGTTCGCTTCCGCAACAGCACGAGCCATCATTAAAACATCTGCTTCAGGCCGCTGATTCCCTTGAGTATCAGTGCGTCGGTCTATAGAAGCTGGAGGTTCATCTCCATAAATGTTGTCTCTGTTCCTTGCAGGATTTCTCCCAGCGCCATCTCTCCGAGGCCTTTGATACTGAGGCTGAGGAGGTGGAACAGGTTCAGGATGTGGCTGCTCATGCGGATGTTCTCCCACTGGCTCAGGTTCGACTTTTGGCTCTTCAGGTTCATCGTCATCATCGTCTGCGGGTACAGGTTCAGGTAGAGGTACATCTACATCCTCCGGTTCCTCAAGATCCGAAGGGTCAAACTGCGGCGGACCCAGGGACTTCGGGTCATTGCCTAAATCTTTGCGTGCTGGAAAGATCTCTTCATCGAAGGTCACATCACGAGACACAACGATACTTCGAGTGGCCGGGTTCCAAAAACGATAGCCCTTTGAACCCTGTTCATAACCAACAAAGATCATCTCGACTGCCTTCTTGTCGAGCTTCCCAGATCTCTGCTCTTTCGGCACATGCACAAACGCCTTGCACCCAAAAACTCTAAAATAGGAAACATCTGGGATTGTGCCGTCCCAGAGAGTAATGGGGCATTGCCACTTCAAGCGGCGCATGGGCTGACGATTGTAGATATGAATCGCCGTATCAACTGCCAATTGCCAAAAACCATGACTTAGGCCAGCTTGGTGTAGCATGGCCATAGCCTTCTCTACAATAGTGCGATTCCAACGTTCAGCTCTGCCATTTTGCTGAGGCGAGCCAGCGACCGTCTTCTGGTGTTCAATACCATAAGACTTGAGATGTGCCGTGAAAGTGTCAGAAGTATATTCCCCCCCACGATCCGAGCGTAAACATTGTATCTTCTGCTTAGTGACATTCTCAGCCCACGCCTTAAAGTCCTCAAACGCACGGAGCGAATCAGACTTCTGCTTCAGGTAATAAGCACGGCCAAGACTTGAGTAGTCGTCCAAGAAACTTATGAAGTACTTGAAACCATTTGGCACAGAGGCCGTACGCATAGGACCGTCTTCATCGGTATGAACTAATTCAAGAGGCCTAGAGGCTCTCTTTTCCGATGCAGGGAATGGGGCACGATGAGATTTACCCCACTGACAACCTTCGCACGGAGACTTCTCAGGGTCTCCAATAGAATCGACACCCGTGGTATGGCTAGGCAGTTTCTCAAGAGCTTCCTTAGAAGGATGCCCAAAACGACGATGCCAGAGTTTCCAATCTGACGACGAAACAGTCTTTACAGACTTGCGGCTCAATATCTCCAAATACAACAGATACAAGTTATTGACAGGTGAATAGTCAGCCTGCAAAATGGCATTGCCAATGTTCTGTGTCTTTTGCCCATGTTCAAACTTACGGTCATAAATGACCATCCGTCCTGATCCTTGAATCAAACAATAGTTCGTCCTCTCAATACATCCGGTTGAGAACAAACGACCAGATGCATACGGAATATAGGCGACATTTGTGATCGTCGTAGAAATGCGCCGTCCGTTGACTAAACAAACTCCCTTAACGGTACCTTCACCAAGTGCTTTGATGGTTGCTGATCCGGCGGTCTTAAAAACGATAGGGACACGATACTCATGGTAGTCCCAGAAATCAGACAAATCATTGGTGATTGTCATAGACGCACCAGAATCCATAATCCAGTCAGTCATCTTTCCTCTATCCTCAGCGGAGTGATCCGCAACATAGAAAGAAGAAGTCAATTGAACGGAGCCAGCAGAGCTCTGATCTACTTGTACAACATTTGACGACTGTCCAGAACTACCAGCACCATCTGACGTAGATACCGTATGCGAAGAATGTCCGTTAGAGTCCGCTTTACCCTTGCCCTTGCCCTTGCCTTTGGCCTTTCCCCCTTTGCCGCCCTTAGCCTGTGGGCGCAGATGAGGGTACTTGGTCCAACAATTCTCCTCGCCGTGCTTTCCGCCGCAATGACCACAAGGACCCGTCGACTTCCGCTTAATCTGCGAAGATTTTGAAGCGGACTGTCCCATACCGGAGCGACGAAGCGACTCCTCAGCCAAGATCTTGTTGACGACCGTCTCGACCTTCAACTCGGTCAATTTGACAGTTGCCATAAGAGCTGAGACCATCGTCTGGTACGTCTCCGGCACCTTGGACAAGAGGATGAGGGCCTGCGTAGAGTCGTCGAGCTTGATCCCGCCAGCAATGACTTCCTTCAGACGAGTAACAATTTTGTTCGTCTGGTCTTGCAGGGGCTTAGAATCAGACATCTCAGGCGACTTGATGAGCGAGCAAAACAACGACCAGGAATAGGCCGCATCCGGAGTACCAAAAGCCTTTTTAAGGGCGTCCCACATAGATTTTGCAGACTTCAGGGTCTCCCCGTCAGCCTCAAGGAGGTGATGATGGATATTTCTATCCGTGCGCATCAGGAGAACACCCTGAGCGCGAGAGTTCATTTTGGAGTATCCCTCCGACGTGGTGGTACCCGGAGCGATAGCAGGCCAGGCTTCAATAAACGTGAGGTAGCCGCGCATGGCAGCCGACCAATTAGCGTACTGAGACGCTTGGGCAAGCACAGGAATAGCATCAGGCTTGACGTCTCCCATGGTGGTAGTCAAAAGAATAAACTCTTGGAAATCAAAATCTTCGGACTCAAAAACGATAGGATCTAGGAAATCCTCAGACGAAACTTCAGGTAGGGGAGTAGGAGGAGAATAATCTGTGTTGCTTGGCGACGGTAGCCTTACAACGTGTTCAGGACCAGGAGGTAGAGGTGCCTCCGAAAACGATTCAGCGAATACAAAGTCTTCCTGCCAGGAAGCAACCGGTAAGCCACCCCAACTACTTTCTTGTAGAGGGTGTTCAGGAGTATCGTAACGATTTGGACAAAGATGACGATCACAAGCCGACCAAGAATTTGCTTCTGGCTCGTAGTGATAATCGAAGACCTCCTGATAATCAAATAGATGCTGATGACTGGTACAATCGTAAGGAGTAATTTCCTCACTAGATTCGCTGTTGTCCGATTGATGCTCAGACGAAGCCACAGTGTGATGCTTTTATAACAAATCCAGGTATACAAAAAACGTATTGGTATGCCGACCAAAGATACTACAAAACGATCCAGTCCAAATATCCGCCGTTCGAGATATGCACAAGCTCCCTAGTCACCTTGCGATATCTACGCGCAAGTGGCTCTGTAGGAGTAGAAAACTCGACGTTCCCAACGCACTTGCACGCCCAAGAAACCTTCTCACGCTGCTCCTTCGACCAGGTAGGAACCTTGTCGATGTTCTGATCAAGCCAGTTGAGCTGATCAGCGAAGCGATGGAGAGCCTTCTGGTACTCGTCGTCGAGGCGATCAAAGAGATGCTTCTTGTCAAAGATCGCTTGGAAACGATCAGCGGTAGCTTCTACTTTCTTGGCAAGAATGCCTTGAGCTTCGACGTCTGACTTCCGCTTGAAGTCAGGGAGAGGGCGAGGTGCTGACAGACGCTCAGCAAGAGGTCTGGGTTCAGAGGTGGGAGCGGCGGCGGGGCGAGAGGGGAGCGGATGAGACTGGGATCAAGAAAACGTTAAGATCAAAAGATCAACGTAGGTAGTGTCGGCGTCAGACCAACCTTTCTCTCAGGTTTGGCTGGAGGATAAACTTGTAAAGTACTCTGACGAGTAACCCTGGAAAGACGCTGGGACAAGGCCTTGGGCACTATGTCACGCAACGCCAAACTCAGTCCCAGAAGGACAGCAAACGGTGCCTAACTTACTCCTTGAAGAAGTAGGACTTTAAAACAACAGTAGTGCGCACTGTAACAGGGAGCTGGTCAGTGACCGGGGCTCATAACCTGTTGAACAAGGAGTGATGTGGCGTAGCTGAAGGCAAAACTACAAAGAAGCAAACAATGGACTGTTAGAATGGAGGACTTACAACAGATCTCAAGACTACTGAGAGGGAAGACTCAGGAGGCGTAGAATGAGAGGAGAGATCGTTACATTACAGGGGCATCCAGCCCAGTATATATACACATGAGAGAGCCATCACATGATCGTACAGTAAGCGTAATAGCATGACATCGTAATGGTGCAATGAGCAATGATGCGATGATTGCACCATGGATAGAACGTACTGGAAAGGACTGGACAGGACCGGAAGGGAATCTGGACAGTCCTAGAACATGATATCATAGTGATGTCATGGTGATGTCATCAAGGAACGTGCTGGAACATCCTGGAAAGTACTGGAAGGTAGTGGAATGTTCCGTACAAGTCTAGAACAGATCATGTGCTACAGGTCTGGATCAAGTCCGTAAGAAATGTATGTAATATGTAGCAACGAAGAACATAAGTCCATAACGGGTAAAGGATAAGTCCTATCCCGTAGTGTAACACCCAAAATAGTCGAAGTTCAACAGACCCGAGCCTCGGCATCGTCCTCGACCCGAGCCTCGACATCATCCTCGCCCCGAGCCTCGACATCATCCTCGCCCCGAGCCTCGACGTCGTCCTCGACCCGAGCCTCGACATCGTTCTCCACCTCAGCCTCGACAGCGGCCCCAACCTCAGCACTGACGTCGTCCTCACCCTTGGCATCGACGTTGTCGTCAACCGGAGCCTCGATGTTGTCCTCGTTGCTCTTTCCGACGTCCTCCTCGGCACTGTCTTTGACTCTCGATTCACGGCCACTCACGGTAACGTCCGATGTACGATCACTCGAGGGGCCAGCAACGGCAACACTGGAGCTAGTAGCACCGGCGTCGGATGATACACTCTTGAAGGTGAAGTGTTCGGGTGTCCCTTGAGTCTTACAAATCTTGGTCCAAAGCGGCACAACCTCTGCATAGCCAGGCTGGTCAGAGAAGTCCACATCGTCCCAGTCAAGCTCCCGCAAGCGTTCTGAGATCGCCGCAGTCGGCATGGTAGGGACAGAGGCAAACCCTCGGTGTGCATAGACTACAACACAGCAATCAGTAAGTGGGATCTGAGACAAAACATTGACGACTATACCCCAACACGCCCGAAAGAAAATAACCAGAATCTTCGTTAGCTGCAAGCAGTTCCACTCTTTCTGAGCCATCGGAAGTACTGGGAAGCCGTCATGGTACTTGATGCCATATTCTTGTCCAGCTTCCTGTTGCGCTGCACGAGCTCTTAGTGTACAGGGACACAAGCTTGAGACAACGAACTTACGAAGTATGGCAGACGCGAACCTCCTCCACTCGGCGCTCTCTTCCACCAGTCCTCCTGCGAACTTAACAAATCCTTGCTTATTCAGCAAGTCGCCGACGTACATCCTGTAAAGGCATAGTATCAACGGAGGTGAATCACGCAGAGATGCTGCACCTACTGCTTGAGTTCGAGTGGGCCATCATCATCACGGAACGCGATGCGCATGAAGAACGCGGCATTGCCGAGGCAGTGAAGGCCTGTACCAATGCAGCTTAACAGATACTCTTGCATCTGTTCTGGGAAATTGGCACGGTTTCTATCACTGTCTTTAGCACTTGACGTACGCGCAGTGACTAATAGGAGAACGTACTCCTTCATGGCTACGGCCAGCTGCTCAGGCGACGGCTGCGCCTTCGCCTTCGCCTTCTCCTCTGCCTTGGTCTTGAATGCTTGCTGCTCGTCGAGAGGGAGCTTCTGGAATAGGTCCGTGCGCGTCGTGGCTTGAAAACCTCCTGCTCCCAAACCACCCTTCTCCGTCTTCTTTACAATCAACGCCTTGTTCGCAGGAACCTCCGCCCACAACTCCGAAGGTCCCTTCAGTCGCGATCTGGCGAACAGAGACTTACTCTTCGTAGTAGGTGCGCTTATTAGTACGGTACGACCGTTCTTCAACCATGCGGCGCGTGCCGCGTTCGAGCCATTGTTCTTGAACCAATTGTAGACAGCCTGCACAAGGTTATCAGCACATATATCTCGTGTTACCTCCCACTCACTTGTTGCATGTCGGTCGACTGGTTCCAAGGATAGTTTCGCGACAACTCGATCTCAACCTCTGTACGAAAGGCTTGTGTGCGGCCCTTGCCCCACTGGGCAGCTCAAACCAGGCCTGGAGCTTCCCCCTCATGAACGGCTGCAACCCATCCTTGCTCCAATCTGTACGGTCCCTCGTATCTTCTTCTTCTTCGTTGTCTTCAGCCATTTGTCTCGCAGTCTCGAGCGGCTTGCTCGCTGCAGTGTTGCTGTCGACTTTGTCGTCACTGTCTTCGTCGGAGCTGGGCGTCTCGTGCGTGTCTTGGAGGCTAGACTCATCGTCGGTTGACATAGCTAGATACTGAGAGGTGAAGCAAGTGGACGGTGGAAGAGAGAGTCGTCGTATCCTGCCGTCGACGTACTGAGCCACGGCGTGATCCGTAACAAGCGAAACTCACCGTTTGCAATCGTGACGGTTAGCAGCGGTTAACGCGCTGGCAGTACCCCAATGCAAACTTCGATCGTACGAGCCATGAGCTCACCCGGATTCATCGGCGGCAAGACCATATTTCCGCATGTTCGTCGTTGTTTACGCCCGGGAAAACCCTTCGGCTGGTGTGAATCTCCACCGCAATCTGTAACCACAACGATCTCAGTCAAACACGATCTCATTTTGAGACCATCAGAACTGCAGCGAGACGACATCCAACCACGGCTACTCTGCAACTACACTAACTCGATCCACATCTCTATCTCATCGTCGATGCGCTCCCACCGCCCAACAACGGGACGATCGTCCAGGCGATTATTGCCCTTGGCGCGTTTGCGCGCTGTCAAGTGTTCCTCGGCACGCTTCCTTTTCGTCCCCTTAGAGGTATGTCCGCCAGACGAGATGACGTCCGCGTCGAACCGCGCGAGCCTGCGGGACGACGAGGCAGAGGCCGGGCTCCCAAACGAGGGGCTGACGTTTCGGCCGGAGCGCAAGTACCGGGCAGGGGATGAGCACGAAGAGTCTACATCCATGCTGCACATGAATGCGCTACCGCGGATAGGTGAATTGGCAGGAGTACCAAAACTGTCGCTCTCCCCGCCGCGAGTGCGCATGTACTGAAGGAAAGACGGGATAGGCTTGCCTACGGCTAGGTCAGCAGCACCCGGACAATCCAACACGCCCCGGGCTCGATAGACGAGAACCTGGTCATGAGGGACAAACCGCTTGTCCTGCGCACGCGGGTATTGGTCGAAGTCGCCTAGCTGGGGGCTGAACGGCTCGAAGTCGATCTTGGTGTCGCGTGGGCCGAAATTGAGAATATCGCACGTTATCGCTTGTCGAAATCTGACTTCGAGGTGCTTGCTTCGCACGGTGGCGAGAAGTGGTATAGATATGGGCATCTCTCCATCCTGTCACATAGTACTTAGCACTTGAAAAAAGCGGTCAATCGATGCATACCTGTATGTATACGTAACAGTCGACAACAGTCATCTCCAGCTGCGGACGGCCACGGCCTCTGGGCGTGTCTGGGGCGGTGGCAACCGGGTCGTCTTGACCTATGTACCAAGTACCACCCAGCTTCGCTGGCGGGTCCAGCTCGGCGACCTTCCGGCGGACAAGAGCGAGATCGGCCTCGCTCATCTGCAAGTCGGTGGGCTTCATATGCTGGCCGCACCGAGCTTGGGTTGGCGAAGTGCACTGCAGTGGAGTTGTACTGTCAATCTCGTCGTACACAATGAAGTTCTTCACACTTACGACCATGAATATCTTGCCTAGTGTGTCTCTATTCGTCGCTCCAAAGCTGACTATAGGGATGTGGCGAACATCCGGATGCACCGAGCACGGAAACATGCTGTTGCGAATGCGAACGCGCGATGGCAGGTGGTGGTTAATGATGCTTTTGACACGGGGATCAGAGCGAGCCATCTTTGCAGTCGAATGAAGTGGACGACGTACAGAGGTTCTCATGCGCCTTTTATACAGGTGAGCGATTACTTGCATATTTCGTCACCAAAACAAAAAAAAAAGTGTTAGTTCCGTATGAATTTGTGGAGAAGGCTCACGCGTTTGAAATGTCGCCGAAACCCTGAGGAAGACGTGAAATCATCGCATTCAGAAATCCAAAGCAACATTCATACATTGTACACGACTGATCGATCTCTAAAGCCATTCTCCGGCAGCACTGCAGGCGGAACAGGCAAGCGGTGAAACACAGCGAGAAAAGATTGTATGTAAAACGTAATCGCAGTCTTCTGGAGGTGCAGGAATCGATCCGCGTCACTACTGAGCACCTCCTGCTGCGAGATTTTGAGCAGCTCAGGAAGCTTCGACCACCGCGCCATGACACCCACAATCTCGGCGAGTGCGACACGACAAGTCTCCCATCCTATGTTCGGAGAATCGATCCAACACAGCCTCGGTTTGACACCGTCCTCCCAGAGAGGGACAACGCGCAGCCCTGAGCTGTCAGCCCCCCATACGCGACAAACTCGTGCTTCACGCTCCCACTGCTGCAGTGTCCCCCATTGACGCGAGTCAGTCAAGACTGCGTCCAGCTCACGGAGCTCGCACCGCCAATTCACCTCATGTATCTCCCACAGGATTCGTCGCTTTAGCATAACGTTGTCGAGGGTACTAAGGGTGGCGACGGTGTCCCCCCACTGCACTGTCAGAGCCTCGTGATATGTCGGGAGCCCCGCGGCCTTAGAAAAGAGGCGGCGAATGTTCTGCTGCACCTGACGACGTTCCTTGCTCCGTTTCGTAACGTCGGGACGCATCACTTCGTCACCCCGAACGGCGTAGTCCCCCCAGAGCGCATCGCGCCACTCCGAAATTCGAAGCGGCTCTCCTCCGATTGTCGGGTCCAGCAAACGTTGCCGACAGAAACCGCGTATTCGGATATAGTTGTGTAGATACCGCTTGGTCTTGTCACCCACCCCTTCAAACAAGAAGGGAGGTGGCCAATAATAGGTCGACGGTGTTGCAGGGGGCGACAGGGTAGGCGTAGATCGGAGGCAGTCGGCCCAGACGTTCGGCACGACGGCTATGGTAGGCGGCTGGTAATAGAGAGATGGGTGGGGAGCGGGAGCGGGAGCGATCGGTTGGGACCGTTTTCCCCGATGCGTAGGCTTGCGACGAGACGAGCCACCAGCCGCATTGGCACGAGGTTCATCTCGATCTGGTTCTTCTCTTGCCTTCTTGGCAGGGGGCACCTCAGGCGCTGGGCATTCGTCCTTCGGTAGCGGGGGCAACCGCGCATCAAGTAGGCTCTTCAAGACTTCTTGTTGCATCGCGAAGGGCCAATCACCGGGATGCTGGACGATGCCAGCAAGATCGCCGGTGCCGTGAAGACGCGGCTGTGAGAGCTCTAGGCTCAAGACCGTGGAGATCGAGGTCGGCACGTCGACGACCTCAATAATGCGTAGAGTCTTCGTAAGAGGCTGAATGTACCAGACTGGTATTCCCAACCGGAACAGCACCTGGGCGGTACTAGCATTGTTTGTGAACGCGCCACGTACAGCGAGAGGAGCCGCAGCGATATAATGTGTATTGGAAATGCGAGGCTGGACGATCTCGAACAGGAGCACTAGACCGCACAGCTCCAGGCAAAGACGTTGGATATGAGCGGCGACAGCGATGGTATGCGCGCGCCATGTCGGAAGCACGGTGAGCCGATCGAGGGCCTGCTCAATCGTAATGTGAAGATGTCGGCCGAATGCCTTGGCCTTCGCATCTGCTCGCGAGTTAACGAAGCGGCCATAGACCGCATGCGCAACATATTTGAGAGACAGGAGCCTCGAGGCGTTGAGGAAGCCTAGATCGGGCACACCGCATGCGGCGTCGCTAGCCCAGTCATCACTCGAGAGGGGTTCCCAAAGGGACTCAATCGTTATGGGGAGTATGTCTACGTGGCCGCCTTTGGCTGGAATGCACGCGTGGTGAAGGACTCTGGGGTGATAGAGCTGCGGCCAGATCGAGTATTCCTGTGGACCCCATCGTCCATCGGCCCGGGTGCCAATAAGTCCTGGCGCGGCGACCGGGAATTCGGGCATCCACGCGGCGTTTGGGGTAGTGACGACTGCGTCCTCACGCATCTTCCATGGTGACGCCAGGCGACCATCGCACCAGTCGATGCGGGGGTTGGCTTCTGTAACAGGTCAGTGGACTCACGCGAACGAAAGCGGTCTCATACGCACGGAATAGCTCAAGTGTGGGGTTCAACTCCATGATTCGCCCCGCCTCGTCATACTCTCCCCCAACCACTCCCAACCCTCCTACGCCGGAAGAGATCATGTCGTGGCCAGTGAACGGGTCTTCATGTGCTCTGTCGACGGGACCATTAAGTCGACGCGTGACTAATCGTAAGTTCTGGGACTTACGGCGGCCAGACTTCTTCATGCGTATCGTCGCGCCGCCGCTTCGACAAACAGTGCGACTGCTCTCTATTTGGAGGCGGCCTAGTCAGCTACGACACGCGATGCGACAGAACGCTCACCCGGACGTCAACATGGCCTCAACTTAGCGCAGATGTGGGAGATTAGGTGAGGATTGCGAAGTTCGACTGAACTTGTGTCAGTGAATACGTCGGGATGCAACGAAGAATGGTCAGCTCACTAACCACGACCTAGTTCGAGTGCCTATGTGCCGGGCGTCGAGGAAGTAACCTTCCTTTTCGCGCACAGCAGTCGAAGAGGGGCGTCTTAGGAATTGTGACCTATAGATCGCACCGCTCTACCCGTCGTCCGGAGAGATCTTGAAGTCGAGAGGCGAGGCGTACAACTGGGGCGGATTAGAGACAGGATGAGCTTGGGAATCGGATGAGCGATTACATGAGATTAGCCGCTGGACTCAGTGGCTGGAGTCGGACTCAACCGCAGCGTGACTCGTGCACTTCAACGTGACCAGACGTTGTCGCTGAGCGCCCTTCTTCGGCTTATCCTCTACGTACTTACTAAGTTACTTAGCTTATACTCACCCCTCGTATCCGTTCCTCGAATCCGTTCCTCGAATCCGTTCCTCGCCTGCGTTCCGCCTAGGCCCATCACGAACATCAGTCTCAAGTCACGGTTGAGCAAAAATGGCCATATTGCCTTTTTGACCCGTTGGCATACCGTACGCTCCTGCAGGGTTACCTACAGTTGAGATGCGGCTTCGGCATATCAACCAGCAGCCTCCCTCGTCGAGATTGGCCCAGCACTCCGTCACAGCTCAAGAACAGGTCGCCGGAAGGCCGCGTTCGCGTATTGAGCTCACGAGGTATGCACCTGCGGCCTTCGATCGTGTTCGGACTCGCACTGAGTGTCGCTATCGCCATAGCGTTGCGCTACCCCACCCCGATGCTGCTCTGAATGGTCTGCAGTGGTGCATGCTTTGGGCTATGCCCGGGTGACCGCATCCACAGACCTGAGGAGCACCCATATCGGTATCGCTAGGCCGGTCTTACTGCTGGTACGGTCATCAACGATCACCATTAGCTACACGTCCTTACAACCAAAACAGCAATATAGCTCTCGAACTCCATGGTCATCGCGAACCTGCAGTTTCACGGGCGTGGCTGAACGCCGCACATCTACGGGCTCACCTTGTGCTCGCGCAGACGAGCGATCGCAGGTTCAACGTCGACTTCGCCACCGCCACCGCCACCGCTCGTACACTGAGATCTATGGACTGCACTGACGACAAGTAAGTAATTGCGACATGAAAGCAAACTGCCGACTGAGCTCGTGTGCAGAGGATCGGTGTTTCTTTCCAGTCGCTCAACGACGCACTCCTTGGCATGCAACGTCTCGCTGGCGCGGAACATTTTCGGTATATACGGCTGCAGGGAAGCACAGGTGCGCGTACATCACCATGTCTCGGCTTACTGCGCTGACCGATTGCCAAGTACAGATTTGGTTGTCTTGTGGTGAAGAACGACGCGGCGCGTTGGCATGTTTTGTGACGGGTCACTCGGTGCAATGAATGTGGCAAAAGAGCCAGGGTAGCCATCTCCCGCTAGTGTTTCATGCCGGCTTGTTCAAGTTGGGCCGTTTACTACCGTAGTGGCTGAGGTCTTCTCAGATTGTACCTACGATTGTGGATCTCACCGATCGGGCGGACTGTTACAGATCGAGTAGTACTACTGTTTTGCCCCGCGTGAATCCAATAGAACGACCCGCCGCTCTAGCGTGGTGCAAAGCGCACCGTGACGCGACCCACGCACCTCTGAGAAGCCTCTCGGCGCGACCCACCCTTCTCCGTGCTCGGACGCCGCCTACGCCTCCCTCCACGCAGTCTCCGCGCCTGCGAAGCTCATGCACCCCTGCGAGCCTCGATGCGCGGCGTATCCGCGTCTCTGATTCTTCCGGACGCTCGAAACCTGCGCGCTCTCTCTTCTCTGCAAGCCTGTCTCGTGGTCTGTGTGCATCTGCGCAGCCCGTTGACGCGTCCTCGCCACTGTGCGAGGCTTTTCTCGTATCCCCTGCAGCTCTGTGTAGTCCGTTGACGCCGTTGTTCCCGCCGTTCCCCGAAGCTTCTCGACGAGACCTGCGCGAGTCTGCTCCACCACTTGTCGCAGCTCCTGTACGCCTACGAAGCCTGCCAACGCCGCCCGCATTCCCTCCAAGCCATGAGCTCCCGCCGCCGGAAACGCCCTGCTGCGGTTATGGAAGACATCTTGCCTGCTGCCACGACCCGCAGTGATACGACCTGCGTCCAGCGCGATGGCTTCGTCCAGTTTGCGAGGCGTGAAGTCTACCGTGTTGAGCGGCTGCCACCAAAGCGACCTCGACTTACAAGCCCAGCCGCGCCCCCTTCGCCAAGCAAGTCGGCGCCTGATCAACTCCCCTCAAGTGCTGCTGAGAACGCGTCAGGGCTGCCTGATCCTTCAGGAAAGGATCGCACAGTGAAGGTATGCACAATACGTTGCGGCTCTGACACAATGTTGAGATCTACTTCTTTTCAGAATGGCATCTCAGCGGTTTTAGAGCGTTGGAGACCACGATTGCCCGACATTCTCGATGACATCCTCGCTACCGAGGTACCGCCAGGGATCGGCGAACTTTGCACCTGCGGAAAACAGGCTGCAACCACGCGTTGTCGAGACTGCTTCCAAAGTCGTCTCCAATGCCCTCGTTGCCTCATTCACTCGCATCGCCATAGTCCCTTTCATTGGGCCGAGGTGTGGAATGGCGAGTTCCTTGTGAAGACCGACCTCGCGGCTCTCGGCCTGACAATGTACTTGGGACACGACGGAGATCCGTGCCCGTCTTTGCGCTCGACCTTCCTTCCCATCACCTACACGATCACCCACAGCAACGGTGTTCACTGCGTACCCATTCAGGAGTGTCACTGTCCTGGTCATCGCGCCACCGTCTCCCAGCTTCTACGTGCCGGGCTGTTCCCCGCCACACTGGAACGGCCGGAAAGCGCATTCACTTTCGAGGTCCTTCGCCAGTGGGATATTCACTTCCTTACGTCGAAAAAGGGCGCATACGACTACTTTCAAGCCTTGCGACGCCTCACTGACAATTCAGGCACTCAGAAAGTCAAGGTACGAATAGCATGATCGGCATGCTACTATTGTTGCTCACACACCCTCCAGAATAGGTATCGAGAGCTCAATGTTGCGGGTCGAATATGGCAGTACCTTACCGCTACGAAGCGTTCCGGACTGCATCACGGGCTGACGCTGCCTAATCGCGCCCCGTCGATGACCGTACCTTGCTTCGCATGTCCGTGGCCTGGTTTCAACATGCCTCCGAATTGGAAGGACACGCCGACTGAGCTAACGTAAGTGCAACTCGTTATAGAAGCCTACCGTGGGAAATGACTGATTGGCATGGATGTGTAGGTACATTCATGCATGCGAGCTAGGCGGCGATGGCAATCATGGGTTGCAGAAGAAGCGGAAGCGCGACGACCCGAATGATTGGAGTCTGTGGGAAGGTCGGGGATATTTCGTGGAGCACGCGATTATGAAGGAGTACCTAGAAGGCATTGACGCGGAGCCCGTGGTAAGTTATTGTTATACATCGCATCATTGCTCTCTCACACATATGAATCGTAGCCCGAAACATGCAGTGGTTTCAAGGTGGGACGCGCACAGCGACCGGGGAAGTTCCGCCACCTGGAGGTCAGCGGGGTCGTCGCTGTGATCTGCATTCGACACGGTTGCTTCAGACCCAGGGCGATGGTTGACCTCCAAAAGGGGGAAAGGTAGGCCGTTCTAATATCGTCTCAGCCGCCCACTGACCACCTGTAGATATGGCCACATGGACTACGCACTAGCGGGTGCCCTCGAAGGTCTGGAAGAGCTCTCGCACTTCATATTCACCTACGACGTTGCCTGCATCTACAAGATCAACCTGCGCAAGCGGTTTGGCGACCGTTTCCCGCACCTCGTCCCCTTACTTGACCGGATCCAGCTCCTCTTGCCGAAACTGCACATGCTCGCTCACAAAGAATTCTGCCAAATCGTATACGCTCTGTGTTACTCCTGGGGCGCAGGACTATCGCACGGTGAGAGTGTCGAGCATCCATGGGCCGAACACAACCAAGTGGGGTTAAGCACGCGTGAAATGAGTGTTGGACACCGCCACGATACACTTAACGCCGTCCACAACCACTGGAACTGGTGTAAAGTCGAGACTCAAGGTGAGCATGTTGTGTTCAACAGGCAGACAACTCTTAATCTACGTCTCCAGCCCTATTCCTCGCACGCAAGCTCCGGGAGGCCTTTGTCCTGCAGCGGCACAAGGTCGCTCTCTTCGACTCTCTCAGCCAGGTTGCTGGAGAGAGAGTACAGGAATGGGAAGAGATGGAGTCCGACCTCAGCGGTTCACTCGTACGACCTCAGGCAGCGGCGGCGGCAGATGGTTCAGCGACAAGCAAGCGAGCAGTGAAGGGAAAGGCGGCAGCGAAGACCAAGATGGCGAAGGGCAAGGCAGTGGCGAAGGGCAAGGTGGCGAAAGGCAAGGCAGATGCAACAGATTCCGCAGCGGAGCAATTACAGAGAGTATACATGCTGGACGAAAGCATAGGTGAGTTCCGTGTCGCCGCGAGCCTGGTCGTAATAGCCGGCGAAGCTGACGCCGTTGTGTGCTAGTGCCAAGTGCTGGGAAAGCCTACGAGGACCTCGTCAGTCTCGAGATCAGCCCCAAAGAAACATTCACAACGGCAGCAGCTGGGAAAGCTCCCGCGGGCACGACTCATTTTTTTAAGAAAGCCCTTGAGCTTGAGCGACGACAGTAAGGATGGCATTCAGATTCCTGATACCCGGACTCATTCCTGCGCGTAGGTACGAATTGCGAGACAAGGCCAAGAAAAGCGCCGACGATGATGGGTTGGATGAAGCACTATCCACCTTAAACGGTGAACGCCACACGTTACGTCGTGAACTGGAGAAGTGGCGCGAACTACAGTCGTCTCTAATGCCGCAGATGGACCTCCCCGACCTTGACAGCGAGGAACTCGACGACGGTGACGACGACGATACCTCTGGTGGAACACCTGAGGACGAACCCCTTGCGCTGCCGTCTGACTTCGCAGCAGTCGAACGCGACAGTATGGGCATCGAAGGTCTAGCCGTCTTCGAACGTCGTGTGCGGACAGGACATGCCTACGATCTCCTCGATGCAGTCAAGCTGTCGATCAACCACCAGGGAGCTTTCCTCGAGGATAAGCGCAAGCACGCACGAGGTCAGAAGGACAATACCCGCTCGCAAAAGAAGGTGACGGCTGCCACAACACGCACGCGCATGCTTGCGGGACTTTACAACTACAACCGAGACCGCCTCCTCATCCTCTGCAATCCTGACGCGTCCGAGATCCCACCAGCCATTGATCTCAAGCAAGACCTCAAGAGCAAGAACTGGCGCAAGCCTCGACAGCTGGGCGATAGCCACGAAGAGCCTGCCTGGATTTGGACTGCGGTTCCTCCGTGGACCACGAAGGCAGAGGCGGAGGCTTGGGAACTTGAAGGTACGGCAATGCCACTGCTGCCTAACCTGTTCTCCGAGTCTGACTATCTCCAGTTGAACGTGTCCAGTGGTTCCGCGCCCGGGCAGAAAAAGCTCGAGTCAACGAGGAGATCAACAAGTTACACGCCGAATTCAAGCGGACGACTCTCGGATTCCGCAACATGTCAGCGGCGTGGGAAGCAGTGTCTCTCAAAGACGGGATGTCTCCGGGTGCACGCGCATATGCGAAGCGAAAGACCGCGATGTTCAAGCAGATGAGTACCAACTCTGCTGCCGCGTTCGCTGCGACTCGGAGAGATCCTGGGGAGAAGTGGGACTACAGCTTTGTGCGCGATCTCCCCCGAACAGTACGAGTTGTTCACTGACCCTAGCTAGCAGATACCACCGAAAGCCCCAAGTCCGGCTAAGGATACACCAGGCGAGGAGGGCGCTGCGGCGAGTGGTGCTAGCAGTGGCGCTGGAGCGGCGTGAGCATTGCATTCGGCGAGTGTGGACATTCGTTCCTTAGCCGCTCTGCCTTCCGCTTCGTCCATTCGCGTACTATCGGAGCACATTACTGCCCGCTGCTATCGTGATAACGCCAGCACTGACGAAGTGTGCGCTAGGGTGCGGGCCACGGTCACTGACTCGCTCCCCCTCCTCCCCCTCCTCCTCCTCTCGCTGTTACAGCAGGTCTCAACACCGCCTCGCACACCCCACCTCCTTTCATCCATCTTCCGACTCCCGCTTCATCTGTATGCTCGTCACCACGGCAGTTCCTGCGGCTGTTATCAAACCCGCAACATCGTGCGCAATTCTTGGGCGATATTGTGGTGCCACCGGCGGATGTTACTCAATCTGCGTGTTGATGGTCCACGCCTCCGCTCACTTACTCATTTGTTCGCCAATCATATGCTCGATTACTGGCAGCCCGCCCTGACGTGCGGTCGCCTGGTACAAGTCCGACGTTGACCGGGATCATGTGATAATGTGCTCAGCTGATAGATTGACTTAGCTAGGAGGGTGGATTACCTGAGATGGTGATTAGAATTAGATGAGAACAGTCTTTGCTTTGCTACTTTCTCAGTAGTATATGGGATTATCTCAAAGAGTGCCTAGTGCCAACAGCTTATATTAGACTGTATGTACCTGATTATTATGGTGTTAGCTGAGCTGATATTGTGCTTATGAGTGGATTGGATTGGCTGAACTAAGCTCATAACTGGATTGGATTGGATGAGTACAGTGTAAGGTAAGCTCATAACAGGATTGGATTGGCTAAGCCAAGCTTACAGTAGGATTGGATTGACTAAGACAAGCTTACAATAGGATTGGATTGAGTAAAGTCAGCTCATAACAGGATTGGATTGACTAAGACAAGCTTACAATAGGATTGGATTGAGTAAAGTCAGCTCATAACAGGATTGGATTGACTAAGACAAGCTTACAATAGGATTGGATTGACTAAACTCAGCTTATAATGGGATTGGACTGGATGAGTACAGTCTAGGTAAGCTCATAACAGGATTGGATTGGGTGAATATAGGCTAATCTAAGCTCATAACAGGATTGGATTGGCTAGTACAGTCTAAGCTAAACCATTAACATACTGAGGATAGTCTTAGCTAAGCCTGTTTACTGCTTTGGATAGGATGAGTACTGGATAGGATTATAGGGGTTCAATAATGAATTGCCTTAAGGTGAACTAAAATACACTATTGAATTAAAGTCAATCCTGTTTAAATGACATCACTGGGTCCTCCCTCCATTATCCACCGCCAATCCGCCAGGACCGTCGCCGCCTCTCGCGTTGTTGATCGCCTACGCCCTCCACAGAACGCGGCCTCACACGTCGGTGATGTTCGCTGCCCTCTACCTTTTCCAACGTCTAAATGCGTGGTTCCCTGCCGCCAGCGTCTCGTCGAGTTACCGTCTATAGATTCCCGCTTTCATAGCATCCAAGCTCATCTGGGATGAACGTACTCGAACAGGTCGTGGAGAATCGTAGGCCGGGGCATGTGTGCCCTCCGCAAGATCAATCAGATAGTGCGAGAGATGTGCTCTTACCTCGAATAGCAGCTCAACATCGAACTGGCAGCGCTGAAGGAGTTCGAGGCGAAGGTGCGGAGGAACTTCAAGGGCCACGAAAGGGCCACAGGCCGTACCCTAGGTACGTGCTCCCCTCGCCTGCGCCGACACCGGTACCATCGATTGACGCCATACGTATACGATGCCACGTCCACCACCACCCCGAACTTCGCCAGGTATCCGTCAATGTCGTCACCGAAGCCCACCCCCATGCCTGTCGACGCCAGCACGGCGTACCCAAGTCCGCCCGCGAGCCCCGACATGCCCGACCCGCCCGAGCAGTCGTACTCCACGTCCATGAGCCCCGCGTCGTCCGCATCGCCGTCAACGCCACCAGGTTCCGTCGACGCCAACATCCGCCTCGCCTTGCACAGCACCCACGGGATGCCCCACGCCATTGAGCAAGAGTCCGTCGCCGTCGTCGTGCCGTCGCCAATGCAGAAGTAAGCTGGCCAGTCGCTGTCGAGGTCGAACACGTTCGACTCGTTTCCTGCGAAGGGCTTGCCTTCAATATCCAACGCCATCTCGACCGACCGCGCCTCGACGAAGAAGGCGAAGGACCAGGGCTGGTACGCCCACGCGACGCCGTGCGTGTGATAGGCCCGTCGCGCGACATGCTCATCTCTGTCTTCCATGCTTGCTTTGCCCCAACTGGTTGCCGCGTCTTTGCTCGCGCAGGCGGCCGTTGTCGCTTGTTATCTCGGACACCATGCTCTCGCATAGGACCTATTGCACCTGGTTCGTGGCGCCTTTCTTCTTTTATTCGCTCTCGCACTGCCCCGCTCACTGTCCGCATGCTACTGCCGCCGCAAACTCTTCATTGTGCCGTGTCTGCTAAGATACCCAGTTTCGCATGTACTGTTTTTCTACCATGCAAAGTACCTTGTCTATATTTGTACATGGCTGCTTTGGGCTCTCCATTGTAGGATCTTGCGTATTCTGTTTGATATTATAGGTGAACATAGACTCCGTTACCGCAGCGGCGAAAGCAGGTGAGCAAGACCCTCTCGCGGTTGAATGTGCTCGAGTCGATGATATCCGCGAGGGAGTCCCCTTAAATATCGGCGACCGAACGGTGATCACTATGTCTCTTGGTCTCTCGTATGCTTGCTTTCATTCATTGACTGGCCGCCGCGTATTTGTCGTCGTACGTGGTTGCTGCCTCTCCTTATTGTGGACACCATGCTCAGGCACCGAAACCTGTTCATTATCCGATCCGTACTGTAGTGTTTCTTGTTGTCTCGTCGTCTCTTGCATCATCCTTGTGCCCCGCCTACGATTACCCACTAGAATCCGGGGTTGGAGCTTTCGTGCCATGTGTCTCCGTATATACGACCACCCTCCCCCAGTCACAGCTAGTTGCAGAACATTAGGCGCAGACGAATGCGCGCGACATATGATGACAAATAGGCGCTATCCACACGAAGACGTCGGTTTACCCACTTCACCACACCTCGCACCACCATTTTTTTGCGTTGCATCGATTGTCCCTGCAGCAGCCGTCATGAGAGGCATGTCTTGCAACTCGGTGAACACGACCCCGTGGACGCCTTGCAGGAGTACTGGCCAGTGCCCGCAGACAATTGAACGTGTATCTGCCCCCTACACCCAGGTCTACGACGTCTGTCGGACTCGTCCATTGTAGCTGACTGCAAGCAGTGGTGTAGGGGAGGCATTATTGCATTGTTACTACTCTCAATGGAATATACATTAATAGAGTGTCCGAGGAACGTGACCGCGTCGCTATTGCTCGGTACAGGTGCTAGTGCAGACGACTGTGAAGCCGCAAAAACATGATGGTGCAGAAGTGGGTGAACCAACGTCAACTGTGGCGCGGCCAAGGCGCGGCGCTTATTTGTCATCATATGTCGCGCGCGTTCGTCTGCGCCTAATGTTCTGCAACTAGCTGCAATAAGGTCGTGTTTAGGGTCTGCCTACGGGAGACTAGCGTCTCCGCCACATTGCAACACACGTGCCTCAGATCTCCCTCTCACCTCTCACTCGCACTCAAGTACTCAATACTCATCGATATACTGCGTACTATCATCTTGCCTTCCGATGAGAGCGCCCCAATCAGTACTTGACTCTGCACTCGGCGTCTCCAGTTCGATTATGTTAAACGTCCAACTCTTTGACTGCAACCTCTTGGAAGTTCGGAACACTATCTGAGTATGGGCATCGTAATTGTGTGTCCTTGATACGGTTGTGACGAGCGACAGTTGTAGTAGTAACAAGTTGTAGTGCTATTGCTATTAGTCTCATCCCGACCCGTGACTTAGAAGCGTCAGCTTAGACTTAACGAAGTCTGTCGAATTCATCTCGTTCTCGTTCCCAATCACGCACTCGAGATAGGCGGCGCTCGCCGTGAATAATATACTGTATAGGATATAAATTACATGCTCAAACTTTTCACTTGCATAAGGAGAGACGTCGTGAAAGTTCTCGACTAAAGCATGTGTACTGTAGCTTCTACACTACAGTACTCGTAGCGCACGATGTGACACGACCCGAGTCCCGACCGTCTTCTGCTAGGCGGTACACCGGACTCGGAAGCGGGGTGTTGGGAGTAAAACTAAAAGGATCAAAAGCACGGCTCGACGACGGTCTCATGCGGGCCACTTCGAGACGATCCTTGTCCTGACAGGGACTGCCAGTTTGCGAATCAAGGCTGGTGAGCTGGCGGGCTGGATTGTCTTCTTGGAAAGCGCGTCTTACAGCCTCGCGAGAGTTCAAGCTAGGGAAGCAGTCAGTAGTCAGTATTCAGTATTACTGAAAGTAATATATAGAACATACGTCGATAGGAAGGAACATGGATAGACTGCGATTATCATAGTCAGATACGGAAGTGCTTGTTAGTTGGATGACTCACTTCGAATCAGGATCCAATAGAATACGGCGTATATCAGTGTTTGGTTCATGGTGACCCACTGGAATCGGTGCCGCGGTGAGCTTGTTAGCCATGCCAATGAATGTGTGCATAGAATAGCAAGTACGTACGGTGATGAGACAGACGAGACTGAAGATCCTGGAAGGCACGGTTGATATCTGGAGCAGGACCAGCACTTGGCCGAAGACTTACATGGCGAGAATACCTAATGCAGTACGTTGTCAGAGCCCGAGCGCGAGGAAGTCTGAGTGTCTAGAATTCACATGTGCTGAGCGCATAGGTCATCAGGAGAGTGACAGCTTTGTTTGTCCTGTCCAGTATATATGAGTAATTCGCATCGAGATGGTCAAGTACCTCGTTTCCATACCGATAAAAAGCCGTTCGACCCTCCCGCAAGTAATACACGGTACATCCCGCGATCAATAAGTCGCAGACAATGTTAGCAGTCAGTGCCGTACTCGTGTATGCCTGGGCGCGTTGGCAGAATGAGAGGTCGGAAATATACCCGGTAGCATGTCGCCACGCACATCAGCATGTCCTTCCTTGCCAGACACAGAGAAGTAGTGATCGCTGTAACTACAATTCGATGAGCATGCACCACAACGCCAGTGACCGAAAGTGTGCTCACCCAGCAATGGTGTACGCTATGATAGTAGTCTGACGCGTTAGTCTGTTGCAAGTGCATACATGAACAATACTGACCTATTGAACAGCCTGAGACGCAATATGCCGTACGTGTCACGTTGTTGAGCATACAAGATAGATCGTTACATACCTAGCTCAACAAAACCAAGGAGACCCTAGATAGTCTCAAAGATCATCATGGGTTACTGTGACAGATAGGTTCTACGCACGATGATGCCGGGGATTACAAGCCGCCGCTTCCCGACTCCCATATAATCAGTGTCCGTGAGATGATATTGAGCATCTGTGATACATACGGACATAAATCCTCTTTGCAAAGAATCTAGTAAGGCGCAACATGAGATTAGCGTCGACCAGCACGGCTATTACACTCACAATTGCACCAGCAACCCCACAAGGCCCTATATGCACCGAGCCGTCAGTACAAGCGTGCGTTGGTGATATCGCAACGGTACGTACTCCGAAAGTTATCTGAACCTGTTCACCTGTCTATGACATGGACTTACGGGTTATTAGGATAACACGTACCGCAAGACTCCTAAGGCAAAGTAATCAACATCCCGTGTTCGCCAATCCGCTTTCCGCCTACCAAGTCACTCTTTTAAGCGCGGAAGAGTCCCCAAAGTTTGTCACTGTATAGTGATAGTACGCGGTCGATATCAGCGCGACATGCAAGGTATCCAAGGCGCTGGCAATAACATCAGCGTTCTGAGGTTCTAACATTTGAGAAAATGTGCAATTCACACGACGAGGGAAACCTGACGCATCGTCAATCATGAGTCATGAGTCCATTGAGGGGGAGGGCTCGCGAAAGACGGACTTACAAAGAGCTTCAGCCGCAGGCTATCGCCTTTGCTGTAATGCGTATAATACAAGTATGTCTGCAGACACGACACGCCATAAAGCCTGACGTAATAGTTAGCATCGATATAGCAAAGCAAGATCGGAGGTAAACGTACACAGTTGAGAGTACTATGCCGATGAAAGCCGCACCCAAGAGATTGTCAACGGGGATGAGGGCAGGCATGTCGTGTCGTCGAAGCAGAGCTCTGCAAAGCTGCGGGGTCTAATCATCTCAGCAATGCACGTTATATGCAAGCCGCCCAAAGCGATGACGAGCGCGTCAGCGTAGAGGCCCATGCATATCACGCGGAAACATACCATGTTATGGTGCATCTAAGCAATGGAAGTGCCTGTATCAGGTAGGATGCCGCTGCGGCCACCTGTGATGACTGTACGTGTTTCTTTCGACAATCATAAGTATAATCCCCGGTGATGGGTGCGGTTAGTAGCCACAGCATTACACACTCGCCCGGGTACCAGCCGGTGGAGTTCATCAAGAAAAGGTAGCTTGTATCCTTCATTATCGATGTTAGCAAAAGCCATTCACCCACGAGTCCAGAGACCAGCAGTATACACAAACAGTTCAATGCACACGCTATGTCCAGTTCGTTGCCCAGAGCAGAACAAGATCTTCAGCGTCGGCGAAATGCTCAGCGTTCAGCGCCGATATCCACCTTCGGCGACAAGAAAACTGTCCGACTCGGATGGCCTCGCTTGCGCACTGCCATGCTTGCAAAGTGAGTATCTGATACGAGGATGTTCGGGTAATACAGCGTGTGTATGTCGTGTGGCTGTGCAAGAACGAAACACACCAGCGCTATGTGGTTCAGGATCAAGGCTGGAAGCGGTCGTCGGAACACGGCTTGACAAGGTGTTGGACTTGAGAGACTGTGCAAGCGAAATCGCTAGATGACCAGCCTGATGACGTCGTTTCCAGTCAAACAGAAATATGCAGAATGGGTCTGCTTCGTAGACACATGAAGGACCGGGGTCCGCCGAGGACGGGCGACGGACGAGACACATCTACATAAGATCAAGTACAGTTCGAAACACGGCAGATCAATCAATAGCGGCGGGCACTTAGCCTATGAAAAGTAGATCCACACTGAGTGTGAGAACCTACTTGGCCATGACAACGTACCCGCCAATTCATCGAGCACTACAGCCTAGCCCGCATGCTTCAGAGCGAATACCGGGACTACAGTGTGGTTGTCCGACACTGTACGGAGAATCCGGGCTGATCACAGCAACGCGAGCGGTCCGAATAATTGTTAGGACAGTCCTCGGTAATGGTAGACTCCAGAAAGTAACAGATAATGACACTCACTTCAGTTGTGGTCCAGAGGCTGCCAGTGGAGATGGACGCGTTCATTCATATGTTCAGACAGGAGCCGCTGTGGTGAATTTTGGCAGAATGGTAGGGCATCCAGGTAACGAAGCTGACTCTCGCTCACACTCGGGAGTGAGTGTCCCGACGCCTATAGATCCCCGTCATGGTGCGCAGACCAGGACTAGCGAACCTCCTGCGTTGCTTCACAAGTAGATGTGGCTTCCGCGGCAAACCCTGCATAATTCATCAGCTATGTCGATGCCTTAGGATAGTCCTTTCAATCTTACTTCTCGGAATGCTTCGTTGACACGTTTAATTCCACAGTGGCTCAAGTTTCCTTGAGGCCGCGATAGAATCAGGCCCGGTGGTCGCCATACGTACCTAGTCTCGTACCAAAGCCCTCCGCGGGGTTTGCGTCGGATCTTACACGCACAGATGATGTTCATGACTGTTTATATGGACGAAGCAGAACTTCCGGTCACCATATGATTACTGTACAGTACCTTTTTTTCGAGCAGCATATCTGAACACTCGCCTTGTACAGTGGACTGTTCGTGGAAAACAGTCGACGGCTTTGAAGGGACTGGGTAATCATAGCATTACCAGGATTCGGTGGTGATCAGGTACTAGATTGACCGAGGATGGTGATATCCTCGTCTCCGCTGCATACCACAGAAGAACGACAAGAGTTACAGTAGTAAAATGGACGGGGCTGGGACGGTGTGAGAAACGGAGAAACGGCGTTATAGACGCGCACTCGAGGAAGCGCCGACGACCACCAGCGACCACCAGGCTTGCCGCGGCGGCGTCCTGCAGCTGTACTTACTCAACTTCAAGAACTTTGTCCAATTCCCTCCTCCAATTATTAGACGTCCACCTGACTTCTTGCCTCCGCACTTGCTTTGAGCTCACTAGCGAGGTTCGCACCTACATCGTGTCTGGACAATCCCATGTCGGCCGCAAGTACGTATACAGAGTCTGATTTGACCTGTGCACCGGTGTGTGATTCATGTCGCCTTGCACCAATTACAGTCCTGCATACGTGCAAGTGGTCCTGCACGGAGGCTACGCATCCGAGATCGTTTCCGAACGTCATGTACTCGTGTAGAAACAATCCATCACCGCTACCGATCCACGGGCTGATCATTTGTAGTGGGCCTCATCCAAATTCCTGAAGAGTCGACAAACATGTTCAACAATGCTGCGAATGGCGCATGTGTAACTTTGTGCGTAACGTCATTGCTCTGGTTGGTTATCTACTCACGGATTTGCAGACGAGCAGTTCCTCCAACGCGTCCCGAACCGGACAGAGCTCTCCGAATCAAAACCCTTACCATACTGAGCACTAACACAGCGGCTCACCGAGTACATCACGACTTGACATATAGAGCCAATATAGAGCACAAGCCAAGCCGTCCCCGCACGGTGAGATCAGAGGATCGATGACTGGCTTCGTCGAGCCGCCCATGTGGGTAGCAACGCTCCGTGTCTAAAGTCAAACTCTACTTACGCGAAGCGAACGGAAGATACAGAACTTGCATGCCGATCCAAGAATAACCTTCGATGCTGTAGCGGTAGCACTCGGCCCTCCCGTTCGCATTCTGGACCTCGCTGCCCGTCTGGCGGCCGCGTACGTTCACATACGCTGCCGTCACTTTCCGTAACGCGTCCGGGCATGCCTACTGCCGAGGTTCCCTGACTCACCGCAGCTGCCAACGGATATTCTCCCGACAAAAGGACATACCCTGAACATTTATGGCAGCGCCCCTCCTCTCAGCTGCCACACACACCCGTTGCAGACGGGAGAAGAAGCGCATGCCGGCCGGTGGCCCGACTCGTGACCAATGCCCGCATGGACCCAGCGACATCCCCGTGTATGTCCCTGGTCGAAGCGCGGACAAGTTAAAAGAGAGCATCTGCGTGAGGACCGCCATGACTGGAGATGGTTTCCTTCGCCCTGCTCACCGCGCTCGTCCTCTGTCTCGCCTGTGCGCGGACCAGCAACGGCCAGGGACCTGATCCAGGCCAAATCAAGACCTTGGTGACGTTTGGTGACTCTTACACGGATGTGGTGGGTGCTCAAGTAACCTACCTTTGCGCGAGCATCGATGATCATGACTTTCCATAGCGGTATGGCCATGCCGGGGACAACGGCACCGCCTGGCCGGTCTACGTCGCCGACTACGCGAACCTCACTCTTTACCCGTTCGCCATCGCGGGCGCGACGTGCTCGAACAACCTGACGTACCGCCCGTTCTCGTCCGTCATGGAGGGCCAAATCCCGTCGTACATCCAGGAGTTGCAAATCGGGTCCATCAACGTCGACCCGTCGAGCACGATCTACACGCTCTGGATCGGCACGAACGATGTTGGGGCGAACTCCGTCCTGACGGGCGGCCAGACCCCTGGCGTGACGATCGTGAACACGACGCGGTGCGCGGTCGACTGGGTGAAGGTCATGTACCAGAACGGGGCGCGCAACTTCATCTTCCAGAGCGTGAGCGATTAGCGCTGAGCCTGCCCTTGAAGTGTACAGAGCGCCATTATATCTTAGATGCTACCGCTACAAAACACGGTCATGTACTCCGCCGACTCATACCCGAACGGGTACTGGACCGCCCAGCGAAACGCGACAGATTGGAACCTCGTCATGGCCGAGTTCACCAACGCCGTGAACGCGCTCGCGCTCGCGTGGCTCGAAGCAATGGCGCCGTCCCTCCCTGGCGCGCACCTCGGTTAGTTTTCGTGGCACGAGTTTCCGTTTCAGCGTCTGATGCAGCGGTCATATCTCAGGCTACTTCGACTCGTACGGCCTCTTCGCGGACATGTACGCCAACCCAGGGAACTACCTGAACGGCACCGCGCCGCTGAACATCACCGGCTGCATCAAGTCGTGTGTCTTCCAAACGAACGAGAGCACGTCTGGTCCCTCGGACTGTGCCATCGCCGAGGGAACCGCACAAGACAGCTTCTTGTGGTGCGTGAAACCTTGAATGCTGTCACATAGTCCATCTTGACATTGTGGGTTGATCAACTGGGTGGGCAGGTACGACGAAGTGCACCCGTCGGAACAGGCCGACCGTGTCGTCGCGAGAGAGATCGCGGCTGCAATCGTGAGGAACTCGACGGACTGGATGACGTGGATTATTTAAGACATTGGTGAAGCGTGCTTGTCACTACGGACCTCACGGACATTTCGAAGACGTCCTCACAAGCTGCGAACGCCTCGGATCCTTCACAGACATTTCTTTTTATGATTTCAGGGTATCATGGTCGATTGCTGGGCTGTAAGGTTGTATGTATCCATTGTCTGTAGATCTTGACAATCACAGAGCACTGCTGCTCAATGTAGAGCGATCTGTCTGTATGTCACTGATTAATCAGTCAGATGGATCTGTATCGGCCGGCGGTCCTCAGTTCGCGCTGCACTCACGAATGCAGGGCGGGCGGCAGATTCCACACATACAAATACTACCAGTCAGTGGAATAGATGATTTGTTCCACTGACAGCAAGATGTCCTATGCGTGAGTCGTACTTCTACCATTGTCTCTCGTGAATCTCGTGTGCGATCATGTCCATATCTACTCCCCGATGCTGAACCCAACGCTCAACCTACGATCCACCCACCCGTGCCAACACTCGTAAACGTAACCGTAGTCCCACTTACGCGCGCCCCGCTATCCAGGACCTGCGTCACCGGCTTACTCGCCAGTCCAGGCACATCCCCTAGCTCGAACGTCTCATCGGCGTAGTTGAGGTTCGTCGCGAGCACGAGCGTCTTGCTGCCCACTGTCCACGTTCCGACGTCGATCTGGTCGTAGAAGTAGTGCGCGAAGATCGCGGCATCGTTGGCGATGTACTCCTTCAGCGCGGGTGATGCTTGTGCAAGGAGCGAGGCGTAGTCCCAGACGTCGTCAGTCGTGGGCGCGTCCCAGGAAACAACCCCTGATGGGTGCAGTCAGAAAGGGAGGATGATTGATGATGTTTGTCCGTACCCATGCCGCCGTGGTTGATCGCAAGCACGCTCTGTACGACAAACTCGGGCCCTGTGGGCACTCGTGGCCAGTACCTGGCCATGTGAGTACTCCATTGGTAAGAGCCCTGATGGAAGAGCACTCACTCGCCCCCTCCAAAGCCTTGTGGGACAGTCCACACGCTCTTTGTTGTGTCCCAGCCTGTCGCCCAGAGGCGGTACGCGAAGTTGTCCATGCGAGTGCTGATGTCCTCGAAGTTACCGAGGCAGTCGTCGCACCCACAGTCGCCGTACGTTGCATTGCATGGCGTGTCCTGTACAGTTCGACACTGTTAGGGTCTGTCAATCACATAAGTGAGGTGATACCACGTACCCATTCAACACTCCACGTAACGTTGTTCGAGACCATGTACGTGTCCTGCAAGACGATGTCTGCACCTGAGGTGTACTCTGTCCAGTAGTAGTCGAAGCAGTTCAGGCACAGCGACACTGGGTGGTACCCATCCAGCTCGTAGATCAAGTCATAAGCGTGTCCCGTGGCGTTGAGCGGATCTGACGTGCCATCGGGCTCGTCCCCAGTGTACCACAACAAGAGCGCAGGCGAGTTCTTGACCAAGTTTACCTGTTCCGCAACGGAGGTGTCGTTCTGGTACGTCCACCGCATATCGTACATGAGGTACATCCCGACTTCCTCCATACGCGTGATCACCTCTTGCAGCTGCGTGAGGTTGTCGTAAGACGGGATGGGGTGGATCTAAGTAGCATAGGGGTCAGCGTCTTGCGAATCAATACATTGCTAGAGGCGTTCCGTACAACCGAGAAACTAGATGTCTGTCAGCGCACAGCAGACCACGTACCGAGAAACTCACCCCATCGCCTTCGCTTCGTCAATCGTACTCAAGTTGGTCGCCAGGTAGTCCCCAAACGCCGTATAGAACCCGACTGGCAACACTGTCTCGTACTCTCCCTCCTGGTTATTCGTAGGCTTCGCGAGCAACGCGCCCGTCCTCGCATCTAATTTCACCACGTTCCCACCCTCCGTCGGGTCCGGCAAGTAGCTCAAGCTCGCAGAGGCCTGGTATGTCTGCGAACCCTCCGCGCTCGCATATGTCGCGCTGCAGCTCACATCGTACGCGCTCTTCTGCGGCGTTAGCCCTCCGAGGCTGAACGGCAGATCCACCTTGGTCGAGTTAAGGGGCACCGTGCCGCTCGTGACGACGCGTCCGTCGATCTCCACTGTGACGAGGACATCGCCTAGAGGTCCGCTCGAGGGCAGGGCGACCGCAGACGCGCCTGCAATCTCGGAGTTCGTGATGAACGTGTCAATCAGGATCCCTGCGGGACTGCCAACGTCAGAGGCGAGGTATGGCTTGATCGCGGGTGCGCAGCGGAACGCGAGGAGCGGCGAGGCGGATATTGCGGGCGCTGAGAATTGGCCGCCTGGTGGGACGGCAGACGTGTTCTTCTCATAGTTCTTGCCACACCTGTCCAGATAACATCCGTGAATACCACTATGAGACCGTAGGCGATTGAACAGCAAGACCATACCATGTCGGATCCGCGAGTGCACTGCTGGCCAGGGCGGCAATGACAGCGAGGGCAAGGCGAGCCATCCTGTCCACCCGTCGAGCAATAACCTGCGGGGCATCGACAGCGTCCGCACCGAAGGTATATATACGGTGCCTTCGTGGGATCAGAGACATGTGGTTCCCCAGGGCGATAAGTGCGCCGAAGATAGCTTCATGTTAAACCTGGTGATGTCGCCCTTACGGCAGTCGCGCATTCCGATCCATCCTCGATCAAGCCTCGAGGCGTCGCACGGACGGTGCTCGGGAGCCTGGAGGTGCGCAGGGAATGCGAAGCACGCACCTAACGGCATCGAACAAACTTTCACGCAGTACTCCAACCACGAAGGGTAGTTCGACATACTTTCACATTGTTTTTCATTTTGAGTATACTGCAACAGCACAACACGACCCCCGGGATGATGTAACAAGACAACAACAGAGAATGCAAAGGTGGCAATCTAACACACAGCAAACAAGATACGGATACATTTACTTGAACTGCAGGGGGCGATTCAGTCAGCACCGTCGCCAACAGGTCATGCGCACAAATAACACGTACGTTCTTGCCATCCACCCACTTCTTGCCGTCAATCTCGAGATCCCATGCGAGCGCCGCCTCGAAAAACGCCTTGTCCTCCGCGTTGGAGATGTCAAGCTTCTTGTACTCGTACGACTCCCAGTCGGGGGCGACGTCGACGACGGGCTTGATGTCGGGCCCGCGGCCGATCAGCACACCACTGATGACCGAGTCGTTCGCCTGGCCGAGCACGCCCACGGAACCAAACAGGTACTTGCGTGACGCCTCCAGGCGGTTGAAGAAGCCGCCGATCTGGTTCGACGACATGAATGTTTGCGTGAGCTCGTTGTTGTACTTGAAGTCCACGCGCCAGACGGAGAAGCCCGCCGGGTCGTAGCTGCAAAGTCGTCAGACGCGACGCGCACGAAGGGCACATAGGACAACGCACTTCTCGTAGAACCACTCGATCGCACCACCGGCACCGCGCGTCTCCTTGTTGGAGTACGCACGCTTCCAGTCCTCCAGGTTGAAGGTCGACTTGGGGAGGGAGTCGAGAGGGTTCTTCGCCTTGGGCTCCTCCGGCACGAGGTCATCCTCCTCCTCCTCCTCGACCTCCTTCGCTTTGGGCTTCTTCTCAGCCTTGGGCGCGGGCGCCGCGGCGGGCTTCGCCTCCTTCTTCTCCTTGGGTGGCGGGGTGAACTGCTTCGCCTTCTCTACGTACTCTGTCGAGCCGAAAGCGGCGAGCAGCGCAGGCTGGTTAGCGACAGTCTCGAAGTGGCGGACGACGTTGGGGAATTTGGCGCGCAAGGGTGCGTCGATGAGGTAGGTCAGCTGGCGCTGGACGATGGAGGCGAGGGTGATGTCGGCAAGGGTAATGCGCTCGGTGACAAGGAAAGTGTGGCTGGTGAGGTGTTGCTCAAGAGTGCCGAGAGCGCGCTCGACACGTTCGGTGAATGCGTTGTGGATCTGGGAGTAAATGTCATTAGGTGCTCATAAGTGCGACAATGACGATCGTGACTTACGGGTCTGGTGTAGGGAGCCAACGCGCCATTGACAAGCTGGAACACGACACGGCCGGGTGCATTGAGCTCGCTGTCAGCGAAGGCGGTCCACTGATCGACGAGTGCAGCCTCCTTCGAGTCAGAGCCCTGCAGCAGGCTGTTAGGCGCGAGCGATGCAACTGAAGGCGTGATGTGAGCGATGCAATTCCGGACAGATGAAACGTGAATAGCGGTCAGAGAGTTAGTTGGCTGTCGACACAAGTATTAAGACAGGGATAACTGATTGTAATCTTCTCATCATTCGCAAATCACCAAAGGCGATGGTGCAAGGGATGGATCGGCAGAAAACTCACGGTAGCGCGCAATAGCTTGTGTCTCGAAGAGCTTGAAACCGTCCGCCGTCTCCAGGGCGGGAATTTTCCCGTGCGAGAACTTCGCGAGGTACTCAGGCGTCTTGTTCGTCTCGCCGAGGACGAATCCTGACGGAACGTCGAGAGCAAGTCCCGCGTATGCGGCGACCGCCTTGAGCTGTATAGATGGGTTGAGCTCGCCGTCCGTCACATCCCAGTGTCCGAAGGTCGACGACAACTTACGCGTTTGCCGTAGTCTTGTCGGTCGATGGTGTAGAGGGTGCCGATGGAAGACATTTTCGAGCGGGAGGAGATGGCGAGCGGTGCAACACTGCAAGTCAATGCAGCCAGTGATAACAGAAAAAATCAAGTTTAGGGCAGGCAGCCATCGATCCTCGTTCCGTCCGAGTCAACCTGCCGATTTGGTTCGATACCAACCGCAAACTCCCATGCATGTCCGTAACCTTTCGTATTGTCTCCTCCACGAGTCATGAGCTGTTTTTACACCTCCACGCACTACCATCACCTCGAGTCACTGCCTCGAGTTCGCGAGAGGTGTTACTCGAAAAGGAAATCGTTGTCACGTGCAAGTTCAGGTTGGCTGGTAGCCCGCAGGAGATGTTTAGTTGACACAGAACACTGAGTCGACAACCTGAAGTTGACCTGAATGTTCGTCTGAACCGTCATGACGAGTTGCGCCTAGGCTCAACCATCTTTTACTACTAAGTTACCACTCAGTCGATCCTTGATCGACAGGAAGGTGACTCTGGGTTGAACGTTGCACAATGCACACTGACTTTGCTGAAAGGCATGTTACATTCAACATCGTGCCTCAAGCTCTTAGCCTTTCAGTAAATACAGTCAGTATGAGGGTATAGATCAGCGCATGCCTTGTTGTGACCTTCACGTATTATTACATTCAAGTTCCGAGTCGTCGTTCCAGAAACTATAAACCCTGAGTATTCCACAATCGCAGTCTTTGTGACAGAGTTCACGGTCGTCGCTGCGCCATCACAGGCCCGCTGCTGACCTCAACGCTGCATAATTTGGGGATCCGAGGCCAGTGACCTGTACCGACATCCGTCAGCCACCATGCGTCCATTGGCAAAGCGAATCACGTACCGGATCCCACCCAGTCGTCGCAGAAAAACCATTGGTGCCGCACCCAGGGTTGTCACCGCTCGTGATATCATATAACGCTCCCGGATTCGCGTACAACCACGGGTTCAGCCACCCGAGCCTGCTCTGGCCCGCGTTCAAGAGCTCATCGTTCAGGAGGGAGATGACACTGGCGAAGATGGGGCTCGCGCAGCTCGTCCCGCCGACCGTGTAGAAATCGCCTTGCCATGCAATGATGACGTTCTCCGCCTGGGCAGCGACATCGGGAAAGCCTCGCCCATTGGGGTTGAATAGCCCGCTGTAGGTGCTTCCGAGGGTTGCGAGGTAGGCGGAGACATCTGCAGACTGGAAGGACGGTGTGGAGAAGACGTTGGAGAAGCCGCCTCCAGATAGGGAGGCAGCAGTCTCTGGGCTGTAACTTGTCGTTCCTCCCACAGAGGTCAGGCTTGTCAATGCCGCGTCAGCAAGGCAATTCGCATGGACAGAAGAGGTAAGTGGGTGGTCACTTACTAGGGGCAGCCTGCGGGGAACGTGGGCACGAAGTCCGTGCACGATCCGCTCTGCAAACCAGACACACCGCCATCACCGGAGGCAAATAGCACAGTGATGCCAGCCGAACCGAGCGCCGCGTACTCATCGCACAGTTTGCTACAGTGAAGGCGCACTGGTGAGCGCCGTGATGATGTGTTGTTCAGCAGGACGACAACTCACCTAAAGACATCCGTGGAGATGGAATCCTCGTTTGAGCCGTACGAAGTAGTCATGACATACGTATCGCTCCACGAATCAAGCACAGCGGTTGCGGTATCCAGGAACCCGAATACCCCGTCGTCGGTATCGCTGCCAACAGAAAGGAAATACACTTCGGCGTTGGTGGCGACACCGACAGTGTACTCAACATCGAGGTCCTATCCGCCTAAATTAGACAGCAATCTTCGGTAGGATACAGTCAAGACATGCCGCTTCGTCGCCGGGCTGGCTCGGATCCCAAGTGCCATTGTCAAGGCCCCAAGTCGACCACGTAGTGGAAGAATCGATGTCGGGACGAAAGTTTGTTAGGAAATTCTGAAAAACCCCACGATTGTCAAGGCGCCATCCGTCGATGTCCAGATATGAGACTCGCTTACGCTCATGTCAGAAGTGCTGGGCCACTGATTGTCATATCCTGTCACGACGAGCGGGTTGGAGTTCGTCATCGGCGTCGCAGGGATCCCGTAAATCTCCTGCAAGCAATCGGGGTCTATGTAGCTGCTACACGCAGATTGGCGCTTCTTCAAAGAGCCGGTGTACCGCTGTTTCGTTAGGGGAAGCTTCGCTGACGGGGGCGTGAAGGTCGTTGTAGGGTGGACAAGCTGCAGGTGGCCGACGAGATCGGTGGGGATGGAGTACGCGAGAGTGCGAATGCTCTGAGCGCCGGTTTCGTCGTGCGTGAAGGTCGAGAAGTCAGCACCGAAAAGTTCGTTGGCCTGTGAGACTGGCAGAGAGATGGCAAGCCAGTCCCCTGCGTTGTTGAGAGTGCGTGCTGCCAGGTTGTTCTCGCTCAACCAGGCATTGACGGTAGCAGTGGTCTCGGACGTAGGTGCAAGGTAGGCCACCGCCTATAGATATCGCAAAAATAAGTTAGCATATGTAGCGCCGTGATGTCTGATCAACACATACCTCGGGCCTCGAGAGATGCTGGCCATAATGGAGGCTGGAGGGCGTGCTGACATCGTACAACGTCTCAATGAGCCCGTCTACATTGTTGCTGACGAGCCCGAGACGAAGGTTCAGCACGGTGGACGCATCTGCCTCACCAACGCGCGTAAATCCCACAGGGATTGTTGAGCGGGACTCTTGCAGTTGAAGGCTACGGGCGAGTGGATTGCCGAGGGCGAGCGTACAGAGAGAGGCAACGTATAAGCTGTTCCTCAAGGTGAGCATGATGCGTATCTCTGGTCTGTGGTCGCCAGGTGGTGAGAGAACCTGTAGGATCTGAAGAATCCTCGTTCACAGACAAGCTTTTATATGTCACCGATCGAATTGTCCTGTCAAAGAACAATATGTGCCCACAAAAGTAAGGCGAAAATGCAAGGCTTCGTACTCACCGCGCCAATTCGCACCATGCTATCGCCGCCCTGGAACACTCTGGCATCAGCTCCAGCGTCCCGTATACAGTAGCAAAACGGCGCTCTTTCAGGTGTCCCGGTGCCTGGGTTGATATGATGGAGGTCGAGAAGGCAGTCGACTGCAAGGATTCTTCGGTGCCGGTCCGAATGAAACCCATATTCTGACCTGAATTACGCACCCAACTTCGTAGAACAGGATCCTCTTCGTCCACGCCTTGTGTTGACTTCGTCGATGTGCTTGCGTCCTAGACATTTGAGCGTACTGTAGTGAGTCCTTCCAACCTGGACTTCCACAACTTCCAGTTCTTCATCTGTCAGACCCAGCGCTGCCGCCGTATATCCACCCGCAAATCATGATACTAACCGACGGCTGGACTCGGCAGAGCCAGGTGTGTACAATGCCCGAGACGTCCAACCATGGCCAGGGCCATCGACCTGTATATATGGGTCAGCTGGATAGTCGCTGCTTCTGACCGAAGGGGAAGCTCATGAAGGCGACGTGATCGGACTGCCTACATACACTGGTTCATTGCCTCGTCCTCGTCGAGGCTCTGGGCGGATACTCAGCATGTGGGCAATATCACCGAGACAAACTCCGTGTGAACGTGCCACAGACTAAAGGGCCTGAGCACACCATATGGAGACGTACGGTGCCGGGAAAACGTACGGAGACGCTCGGAAGGCTAAAAGAGAGGTTTGCGAAGACAGTCAGGTATGTGGAGGATGTAAGATACCCGCTACTAACTTGCATCAACTTGGGGGTAGACTTTCAGAGCCTATGCTTGCCAAATGCATGTCGAGCTTGACTACATATGTGCCTTCTGGGCATACGTGGCCGCCAAAGGCTACATAGGACTAAGTAGTAAGACCACATCAGTTGCGAACGACCGGGTCCGGCTATGCCAATAGACGATACAGACCGAGAATTTTCAAGTTGGCGTCAATAACGACAGGGAAGCGGGACAAAGCATGCGTATGCACGCGCCTGTAGTGCGGACGCTACTCCGCGCTGGTGGGAATGCGGTTGTGGCGTTGTTGGTCATCCTGCGATTCTCCTCAACGGTCCCGTTAACTGCTTCAACATGCTTTGAGGTCGAACGTGGGCCTAACAACCGTAAGCTCGAAGCTTTGGTTAGAGAAAGCTCGACCAGAAGTATCCGGAGTGTCGGATTACCGATACCTACCGAAGTGACAGGTGGTCCGGTGGTGCAATGGCCTGGTATGTCACTTGGTGCTGTGATAAAGCACAGGCCCGCTCGGTCATCGACAGTTGGAAACTAGACTTGCCTTGTGGCGCGGTGGCATGTACACTCACCGGACGCATCAAAAGTGGCCCGTCTGCACACGCAAAGTCGCCGGTGGCGCGTACGCGAATGCCGTGATCGTATGGCATGGGCCATGCATGGCAGACCGAGGCATGCTCACGACGGCCCAATGACTATCGAGGCCAGCCTTCTGCGTATGCCACGCTCTGTCATGCATGAGAGCTGATATACCTAGGCTCAACCGCACAACGCGGAAATGATGAGTGAATGCATCCGCCCCTGTCAAGGACTTCGTGGCGGAAGTCGGTGGAAGTGGAGGATGCCAGTCAGAGGTAGACGCCTTGCGTAATCTGTTCCTCGAGAAGCATCGACCGGAGAAGCAGATGCACGAAGAATCGAGGTACGTCAACTACCTGTAGATATGGTGCAGACTATCAGAGCGAAGAACAGTGCCTCAAGTACTGATTGCCACTTACGTGTGATACAGCCCTGCAGACTACACACTGATTACTTCAACCTCGTACAATCCCCCAAAGGAATCGCCGTTCATCGTACTGGAGAGTTCCAACTGCGACTCACTGAATCGGTACTGCCGTGGAACATCTCAGCAAGCAAAGTCAGGATTGACTCGGATAAATAGCACATCAAGAAACAACGCAGCAGGATATCCCGACCTAGTCCATATCCGCATTACGAATTCTGTCGCCGAACCACCGTACCACCGCGCCTCCCGCAGCAGCAACCAGAAACGATCCATCGAAGAGAGACCCAAAGAGCTGGTACTCAGGGAGTGTCGAGAAGAGGTTGACGAGCCCGACGTCGGGAGTGACGTCCGGCCGCAATGGAGGGGGAGGGAAGGAAGTACGCAATTGCACCAGGGTCGAGAGGAGGTAGATACCCTTTGATACGCTAGGTGTAAGACGAGGATGTGATGGAGGAGGAAACGTAGCCCCTACCATGAGTTGTGCCAGGATGAGCAGCATGAGGGATGCACCCAGGTTCCGACTCGTGACGCGAAGTGCCTGAGGTGGACGATCAGCGCATGCATGTATCAGGTAGGCGAAAGCGTACTCTTGCGACACCCCTGAGTACCAGCCGGATGCTACTGAGAATGATTACTCCAACTAGCCCGAGGCTGATCTGCCGTGAGATGTCGGCCACCCCATCTTCCTCAATATGCACCGAAGGCAACAAGGAAAGCAACTTCGCAAGCCCAATACTGAGCATGTCCACACTCCGCGAAGACTGCGCGGGACTCGTTGCTTGGGGTGCGGGGATAACTAGGTTCACCAGCGACTGCGTGGAGAGGTAGATAAGCACAAAGTGAGCTGCCCGCTAAGCCCGGGTCCACGCACGTTGAGTATCCGGAAGATACAATAGACGGCGAAGAGCCTACCACCCCAGTTGAATATCATTCCGCCGATGGTACGCGAGAACTTGGCGTCGGCCTGCCTCTCCTTGAGTGTCTCCAAATTCCGCGACATCTCGTACTCGAGTGATTCCAGTCCGCTCAACTCTTGTAACGTAGATGAAAGCTCTGCATCACGCGGTGTCAGCACAGAAAATGGCATACAGGTAAAGTAACGCACGACTATCGCCCCGGAAATTCGTGGCCATACGGGAGAACCAGCCCGTGTCGGGGCTTGCCTGCTGCTTGAAGATCACTAGTGAGACGACATGTCGCATACCCAGCAGATCTCGCATACCTGCGCTGCCTGCAGCTTCTGCACATCCTGTCGGCGCAGGGCGAGATCGCTCTGTACTCGCTGCAGACCTTGCTCTGCCATGCGAATATCCTCGTCAGACGGATGAGAGCTGTGTTACAAGCGCATGAGCAACGTGATGCCCTCAACGCGACTTGTAGCTACCTCTGTTTGCCGTAAATCCGAGGGAAATAGATCCATGCCGTGTTGATCGCACCAAACCCAGAGAGCAATCCAAGAATGATGGTGCCCAACACGGTCAACTGGGACAGAGTCGTGACGATGATACCAGACGTGGGCAATGCGGAGGGTAGCGGGATCATAGCCAACAGGAACAGGAACAGGCCGACGGGTATGAAATTCAGTAGGATTCGGAACACAGACGGCCGCTGTCTCGAACGGAGCCCTGCAGTGACGTGAGACCGCTCGGCCATTACAGTGAGAGAGAACACGACCACTTACCTGCACCCGTGACTGAGTCGCTCACGACGAGGCTATAAGAGAGCGGGATGAGGACAAGAATTGCCGCGAGTAGAAGTGATAATGAGATATTCCAGTTGAGTAGACGGGCTCTAGTATACAGGGAGATATAAACATCCGACGAGCTATGGAGAACTACCATGCACCTACCGAGGGTCCAATACGTCGAAAGCCTGACACATGAGCAACAAGAACAGAGTACAACTCTCCGAGAAGCACAGAGCAAACAAGCTCCTAGCAAGGACGGAATGGAACGGCCGCTGTCCGACGAGAGATGACGCTCGCTTGACTGTGGCAGTCGACGGTTCAGGCAGAGTCTCCAATTCGATGTTGTCTGCTTCTGCTACTGGCGGCGTTCCAGGATCAGTCGTTCGTTGGGCGGATAGATCCTGAAGGTCATGATACAAATGACGCAGCAGGTATTTGCGACATGCTAGGAAGAGACATAATCTGGGAATTTGGGATGAGGTTTGGCTACAAGCGAACGGTTTTCAGGCATCCATACCTTGAAGTGAACAGAACACCCGTTTCCAAGAAGGACTTCAAGGTCAATACGATCATTACACAGCAAAGTAGCTGACACGGATGAGCGTCCTTGTCAATGAATGCCCCGCCACCTCGAATGCACTTAGTCGAACTGGCTCCTCTGACCTCGTCGTGTGAGTCTTCTTCGAGCCAAAATCAGTGTTTACCGTACCGTCTCAATCGCGAAACTTATACGAAGAGAAGAGAACCACAGTAAACCCAGATGTCGCCGAGATGCTGGCCGTCCGAGGTAAAGGCTGCGCGGCGGTGGGCCGACCGCCACGCGCCGCGGGAAGGGACGGCGAACTCTCACGGTCACGGCACGAGCTGCCTCAAAATCAAAATCCTCCATCCTTCTTCAAATTCACGTTTTGAATGCTGCTCTTTACTTGCATCGCTCTACAATACGCCCACTGAGGCTGGAGTATGATTGCTTCATCCATATACATGTGTTACAAGATGCGTGCTCAAACCATGACGCTAAACTTTCGGGGCTCAGCAATGTCACGGTCAAGTACGACGCAGCATTGCATGGCTTGCTACGAGGATCTTGCGAACCTGGATTGAATCCGGACACCTGGCAGTCGACGACGCCGATATGTCATGCGCCGTGCAGCGTGTCTTTGGTTCAAGTCGCACCGACCCGTCACAACGGCCCTAGCTTGTCAAGCTAGTAGCATCACTCCGACCAGAACGGCGGTCGCTCCTTTACCATGCCTTTTCCCCTGGCAGGTTGGTGATGCACGTTTAGCAACGTCTGATCGTGCGTCCTACGTCCACCCTCGCGGCAGCCTCGAGTCCACTCACGAGCGTTTGCAGATCGGCCGTGTTCATCGACGGCTCAGAGATCCGGGCCAACGGGCAGGCTCGCGGGTCCTGGAGGCCTCATTGCGTCTGCATGTCCTTCTGTGCTTGACAGCGCCGATCCACGATTCAGCCCGATGTCTTGGACAAATCGATCGCCTTGTCCCTCTTGGGAGTCCTGGGCGAGTAACGTCAGATGGGAGGATCCCAGATTGCATTGCCTCGCTCAACTCTGATCTACCAAACGATCGGTACGTTGGCAGCAGACGTGAGCGCACTGCGATGGCAAGCACGGTACTCCTGCTATTGTGAGTTCGTACCGCCCAACGTCGACCTACTCATTGGTAGACACCGAATGGTGTCTCACCGCCAATGTAAGTATTCACATTTCATGACGGTCTCTATGCTCTCTGACGCGATGTGTGCCACCGAGATCCTGCTGAACGAGTATAATCTGCGAGGTATCAAAGCCGGACCCGTCCGCCAGGTACGCCATATCCCCTTTCATCGCCGCGCGGATCATCTCAATCGCGCTCGACGCAGCCAGTCAATGTCTTCCCCCGCATTCCGTGATCCTACCGGGATCGCGCATCGGAACGCGTGCAGGATCTCAACTGTTCCCGATGAGACTGCCCCCGGCCTACGCGATCTGTCATGACGCAAACCTACGCTCGGACACAAGATGTCCGAAGGAAACACATGCGTTTCCATTCGCTCCCCCGACACGCGTCGTACGAAGACGTCGTGCAACGTATGTCGTCCTTCCTCCGAGCTGATTGGCGTGTTTGTATTGCAGGCGAATGTTCCCGCTCCTCCACTGAACGTCCGCATTGGAGATAACGCCAGTCAGGCGAGCCGTCTTTAGTCGTCATGTATGGCTTCTACCAACGTGTGTCGTTGCACAAACTACCGAAATGAAATTTACCACATGGTACCTTTTCCTGGTGGACCGTCGGCGTGGCCGTGTCGTCTGGGGGGCTTCCGTCGACACTTCGTAGCCCACTGGAACATTCGCGCGTTCAAGGGGGCCGACTTCTGGCAGTCAAATCCCGGTTCTCCGCCGCCCTTGTCCACGGATGCACTAGGCCTAGCGATTCCTCAGTCGCAGGGTCGCTTCATATTCACGCAGATCGCTTCAGGGAAGGGCCGGGGCATGGAATTTATTCATAACCTACGTAGACATAATGTGCATACATCGGGGGTATAGCGACTACGGAAAGAGGGGATTAAATATCTATTCAGGGGTCTAATACGCGAGACCCTTCGCGGCAAACTACGACAACCTCGTACAACCTATTCTCGAATAGATAGATCGAGGGAGATGGCAAGGGGAGCGGGAAGAGGAGATGAGTATGACACAGAAGCCAAGGGAGGTATGACCACACGAAGAGGGAGATCGAGAGAGGAGAAATTATGGCTATAGCAGGGGCGCGAGCATTGAGTGGGAGGGAACGGGACCGGGCTGATGACGATCGAGCGAGGATGGGAATATGGGAAATCGACAGCAATGCGATGACGGGACGATGCTCGGACCGGTATGCGACAGGAGCAGTGATGAGACATCTACACAAAGGATTCTCGAGAATGATAGCTTGCAGAGACCATAATGAAATGGAGAAAGGTACCAAGCTCACACGCACACACGCCAGCGTCCGAACAGTCGTACCCGCGCACGCGCAGGCAGAGTCAAGTAAGCTAAGATCACCTTGCTACAGCGTCCGTGAGCGAGATGGAGCCCGGGGAGACAAAGGCGTGAAGTTCATCAGAACGTGACCATTGGTGTGTCGTAGAACGAATCCGCGTGCCCCGCAGACTTCCCCCAGTCGTTCGGAACCATCGGCGGGTGCAGCTGCAGGCCGCCCATGGCCGGAGAGTCGCCGTCGGGCGGCAGCATCGGCGGGTGGAGGTACGTAGCGAAGAGGGAGTCGTCGTCATGCTGCAAGCCCTGCGTGTGGAGGAAGATGTTCGGCGAGCTGTCTGGGGGGAGCATCGGCGGGTGGATGAATTGCGGCGAGTCGCTGTTCGGCGGGAGCATCGGCGGGTGCCACATGTTGTTGTTGCTGTTGTTGTTTCGGTTGTTGAACCCATACCCGCCATATGGATCGTACGGCCAGTCCACCGACGAACGCTGCGAGTGCGAAGCCGACGATGACGCCGACGTGAACGAGTCCGCGTACGAGCTCAACGACACTGCCGACGACGGAGGCTCCGACGCCGAGTCGTTGCTCATGCGTCGCCGCTTGTTGGTGCGAGACTCGAGGCCAGAATTGTCCACGTCCGACAAGTCTCCGGATGCGAAGGGAAGTGCGTCAGCGGGAATATTATGCGTCTGTGCGAGGTAGTCCGGGTTGTACGGGCCCGGGAAGCCGGAGTAGGAGAAGTAGCTGTTTCCGCCGCCGAACGAACTGTGCGTGTCGCCAAGCGCGCCCATGAGCTCCGACTGCATGGACGGGCGGTAGTCCATCTGCTCGCCGTTGTACATCGACGACGTCGTCGTGGACGAGTCCGGCGCGAGCGTCGGTGTGTCCGTGGTGGGCGACGCGCGGCGACTGGCGCCTGGGCTCGCAGAGGGCGTCTCCGAGGGACCATTTCCAACACGTCGTGCGTCGTGACGCGCACGCTTGCGAATAACGTCCGACTTCATACTGATGGGACGCGACGAGCCATGCAGCTTGTAACTGTGTTAGGAACAGTCAGTTATGTAGACGATCCGGCGGCAGCCAAGGAAGCTCACTATAGGCCGCAGCTGATGGAAGAAGGGACGCCCGTTAGCAGCGAGCTTACCCCCGAGATGACAACTTTACTCACGCATTACACACCGTCTTGCCTTCGTCGTCCTTGCGCCAGAGTGGCGTCGCAGTCGTGTGGCAGTTGTGACATTGGGCTGTGGCGTTGGCGGTTATGCATCCGTCATAGACAGAAAGCCGACATAGGCGAGTACGTAAATACTTACCCACTATCTCCTGAGTGTCGCTTCGGGGGGCGCTCTGCGTGCGACCCTCGCCATGGTTGTTCCGCATGCTCTTCGGGCGAGGACGTTTGTGCTGTAATGATGCGTCTTAAGCGAGACGTACAGGGAACCCTAACAACGTTGACGTACCAGCTTGCAATACAGACCACAGGCGTTGCAGTTCAACTCGTCATTCAGGCCTCGGCGCCAGAGCGGTGTGTGAGTTGCGCCACAGTTCGAGCATTCAGCCTTGACACCGCCGGGCGCCGTGTTGGAGCTCTGAGTCCCCGGCCCTCCGTTGTTAACCGGAGTGGCACTAGGACCCGACGAGCGCGCAGACGACTGCGTGCGCAAACTCAGGGACGGACGCTTCCCGTTGCTGTTAATCTGCGAGGCGACAAGACCGTTACCGCCGAGGCGTGTCGGAGTGATGGTGCGAGGCACCAGGTCCTCGATGGGCGTGGACAGAGGAGGTACGTTCCGCAGAGCGGTAGTGGACCTGAGAAGAGCTTCGTCGTCGTCAGTGCTGGCGTCGCGGCCAGAACTGCCGGAGGAGGGGTATGATGAGTCGCGTTGCGTGGGCTTCATTTCGATGTCTTCGTGCATGGAGACCAAGTGGGGCCACCCACTCGGGCTATCGGCGTTCAAGAGTTCGTCAAGAGGGAGTTCGATGGTAGGGCGCATGATGCTGAAGTCGTTGGCACTGGCACCAGACCCGACGCCCTCGCCGTATGTCATGGGGTTGGTGGTAGTGGGCGTGGGGTAGAGCAGCGCGGTGGGGCCGAAGTCGTTTGAAAACAGGGAGGGGAACCGAAGAGCGGCAGCAGAATACATGCTGTCGAGAGCAGAGTTGCGAGAGTCCGTGCTCGACGGGACGGGCTTTCGGCCGCGCTGCGTCAGAGGTTGATCCCTGTCAGCAGTGTCCATGGAAGTATCTTCGTGGGTGGTGGTCGAGCGGGTTGCGGGACGGCCTCGCTTGAGGGCATTGTCCTTGAATTCGGCGGAGGGCTTGAGGTCGGGCTTCTTGACGTCGATAGTCGACGCGGTCGGCGGCGAGGGCTGGTCAACGCTGAACGTGAACTGCATACGGTGAATCGTCCCGGGCCTGCCGTTTTGATTCGCCTCGCGCTCGCGCTCCCTCTCAGCGGCACGCTGCTGCAAGAGCTCGGTCGAGTGGTTGCGCCTGAAGCCCGGCGCCTGGAGCTCTTCGATACTCCTGAGCTCGAATGAGCTTTTGCAAGCCAGACAACGACGAGGGCGACTCACCGTCCTTTCTCCTTGTCTAGCTTATCGCTCATGCATTTCGATAGCTTCTTGAAGTCGCGCTTGGACTTGGCGTTATCCGAGTCGACCATGATGTTCTGAAGGTGCCACAATCTCCAGCTCAAGTTCTCGAGGCGTTGTCCCTGCTCCAAGACGCTTGCCACCTTGGTGCAGACCTGCAAAGGCTCGCTCAGTTACAACGCTACATCGAACCGGGGGAAACGGGGAGGACCTTCCAGGTCAAAGTCAGCGAGTCGCCATCGTTGAGGTTGCTGAAGGGTACGAAGGACTTGTTGCCCTGTCGGATTTTAACGAAAAAGGATGTGAGTACGCGTCCCCTGGTGTCCTAGGACTCGGGAAACCGACTTTGAACTTGAGATTGAGAATGTTGGGCATTGACTGGACCTGAGGGGTGCAGGGGGGATCAACGAGCGAGGCGGGAGACGGAGAGTTAAAGGGAAAATAAGAGAAGGCGCTCGCCTAAGCGGCGGTGTGATTTGGCGGAGTTTTCTTCCCATTTTTGTCCACTTTTCGTGCAGTTCCCTGTAAATCTACTGAGGCACGTTTCCCGGGTTCGAACTCCGCGGCGTTCATTTAAAGGTCTTCTAATGGCGTTACAAGCGTCTTTGAATTGCCACTCATACAAACAGAATGCAACATACAAACGCGTTTCTTATCCGCTCTTACCATCCCTTGTATGGTACGTGAGGTCCGTCCCGAGAACACCGTACCCGCCGCGGTCCGTCCCAAGACCGTCCGCACAGCTCGGTTCGTCCTTGTGCCCCACTCCTCCGGCATCCACACGTGTCGCCTTGGGCTGAATGTTGCATGCGGTCGGCCCCATCCCCATCGCGGCTATATTCGTCGCCCAAGGCACCGTTCCACCGACGTCGCTCCGGTGTCCGAGTCGGAACCCATGGGAGGAGGCCCTACACAGGGTGGCTGGTCTCGCTCGGTAACATGCACGCCCCAGCATTCGCGCAACATGCTCACCGCCGAATGACGGCACTGACGGGGGTAGCGTCCGAGAAGACTGCGCTACGCACTTGCCACGAGCCTAGCGATCTCACTCACATAACTCCGGGCTGGGTAGTGGCTGCATAGGGTCGCCAAGAGTCCTATAGTCAACACGATGCTCATACGGGCTCCACAGCAGATGTGACGGAACCATAATGCGTGGCAGTAGCGTTCCTGCGCCGCTCAACTTACCAGCCCAATAATCTTGGTTGCTGCTGGACCAGCACAACAGCTAGCCGAAGCCACGAAGGATGATATACTCGTGGACCGAGCACAATGCGCCTCTCCACCACCTACCGGCAATTCCGAATGCCAACCCGGGCGCGGAATTCCTACGAGACAAGAAGACGCTGCTGATTGATGAAGCCCCCGCGTACGTTTAGAGGGCGTCAACGATGATCCCCTTTACCTACAAGGCGCTCCCTGTCAGCAGGCCCGCGCTAGTGCCCACCGTCGTGCCGATATTCGCGCTCTGCGAGGAGGGAGCGGGAGACAGTCGCGCTGACCGAGCGACGGAGCGCCGATCACGGGACGCAGCGGGGTACACAAACTGGCGGAAGGAGAGCCTCGAGGCGGATTGCGCCATCACGACCTACCACATCCGGAGATTCTGAACACCAGTACCCTCTGCCCATGGCAGCATGCTGCAGGTACAGTGCGTTCGGCACGTCTGCCCCCGCAGGCCTCGGCGAGAGCACGCCGCAGACGGGGCCGAACTGCAGGAAGGTTGCACAGGTGCCAAGCGAGACTCCAGAGGCAAGTGCAGCGCACAAACAGAGTAATCACTGTCCTTGTTCGACCGGACGGATTGACGCCCCAGTCTTCTCCAGTGTGAATTGGCTCCACCGTGGCCAGAATCTAGAGGTTCCGTCTGGCCACGGACGCCACAGGCGGGGGAACCGCAATAGAAATATGACCTGCATCCCTACCCAGGTGCGCTGCATCCCTGTCTTCTTACCTTCGCGGGACAGAGCAGCTGATGCGACTTCCACAGAACAACATGGCGAACTCACCGCCCTGATCAGAACAGAGAAGGTGGCAGAAGCAGGCACCACCGCCGGCGAGAGGCATAGCGCAGTCTTCGGACCATTTCCTCTCCCACCGCAAGGCGGCGGACCCGATAGCGATAGCTGAGATGATAGCAGGCTTGCAGGAGCTCACCATCCCCCTCCCCCTGCGTCCGACTCCGCGAGCACTGGCAGCGTGCATGACGAGTACCAAGATCCGATAAGCAAGGCGCATAATCGATCCCGAGTGTCCCAGCGCCGAACTTGTGCGCGCCGGTACCATCACGTGCGGCGCCTCCCGCCGCACAATGGGTACCGGCGGTCGGGGGCTGATATCACGAACCCGCCCACAGAAGACAGGATGCGGGGAGAGAAATGAGATGCCAGGAACGAGGCGTGTCAACGTGTTCCGGCAGGGCTAGCACCAAGTAGGTCTGTCCGGACCTCGTACCAGAGCGCACCTACCGGACGTCCCGCTCGAAACGCGCTTTTCGACGCTGCCGTATGCTCGCCGCAACATGCGTATCAGTGCGTAGCTTATTGCTGTCGAGAGCCACGATGATTCCGCCCTGTGGCGTCCTGCGGTTAGTGATCCTCGTTCCTCCTCGCCCGAGAAGCGGGCTGTCATCGCAAGACCCGATGAATGGCCCTGCGCCTATCTCGCTGGATGCTTGCCAGCACGCTACAAGCTCGAGGGTTGTAACCAGGACGCTAGCTTCGCCACCTGAATCGAGTTTATTCCGCGACGACGCCGTGCGCACGGGATCGCCTTCTGAGAAGTCCAGCGGCAGCCGCGCATCCCCAAAGGTCAGTGCAGCCCCCCTTCCCAGGACGTCGCGCGCTTCTTCGCTGACGAGCGATCTGGTTGCATCCTCAGGGCCGGCGGCACTCGTGACAGGAGGGGGGAATGCATCGGCGAATTCGAAGCGCCCAATGGCTGCCACAGGAGCCTCTGAGCAGCTTTCTGGAGGCTCGCTTACGGGCCTCTACGCGAAATCAAAAATGCCCGCTTATCCACTCCTCAGCCAATGAGAGGCACGGATTCCTGTCCGTTTTGGTTCAGGCGCGCGTCGAGACGTGCTTTTGTATTTGCAATTACATGGCTTTGCAGATGTGCACGGGCGACGATAGGTTCTGACATTTGACACAGACAAATTGGACGGCGAGCAAGAAGCTGTTGCCAGGTCAAAACGGCTGCTTAGATCCGTCGCTAACGTAACTCAGGCGCAGGGGGGAGCCTGTAGCCTGGGCGTAGTAGACGCTTCAGCGAGATTGAGTGGGGGGCAGTACTTCAATTGAGATAAATGTAGGGTGGCTTCGCACGCGACGTCGAGGCCACGGTTCCGCGCTGCCACGCCACTCCCGAGAACGCGCACACTGACGACGCTGTTCCTCACAGGTTCCTCAGGCATGACGGCAAGCTCGCGCCACATTAATCGGGGGCGCCTTCGTACGCCTTCAGCGCGGATTCGCATGGTGAGTGGGAGGTGCACTCAGGCTCCACACCGTGCGCTGAACCTGAAGCATGGGAGGGGGTTCTCAGTTCAGAGCGCTGCCAGAAGCCAGGCAGTCGATCACGAGTGCAGGCGATCGCACCCGTAGCAAATCGGGTATCGGGCCATTCGAATGAATGGCAGATCCAGCGCCACTCGAGTGCATGGGGGTTTGAGCAGGATTGCTTACCGCAGAAGGCAAGGACAGCGTCTTAGTCAACCCGCAATCGGAGGGGGCCTGGCGCTGTACCCACGGCTGCAGAGTTCGTCGCGCCGAGGAGGACTATCCGCTCTAGGGAAGGTCGAGCGGGAGAACCGGCCTAGGGATGCACGGGAGCAGAACGTCACGGGAACGCACGAGCGGCAGGAAGCACTTGCCGCGCGCACAAAGCGCGAAATGAAAGATTGCAGTACTCACCAGCTGGGCACGATAACCAGTAGCATGACGCAGAACACTGTCAACAACGAGCGAGATGGGCGGCTACGCGCAGAAAGCGTCGCGAGACACGTCCGTCATGAAACGATATCTCGAAGGCGGGAGATCCTCGCTCTGGACTACGGGCCCCGACCACAGCGTCGTAACAAGCCGCAGCCATTGATGAACCTGGGAGGAGAGGGTTACTTCCCGCTCTCGATATGGCCGCTCGACGGATGAGTCGGGAGCCAGTCCGGGCCGAAGTCGTCGCGGATTGCACGGTCCATGCCTAGAAAGGGTGAGTGTATACTGAACCAGGGAATTCGTGCGCGTAGGGTGACTGAGTCATCATCCTTAGCGGGTGTCCGATACGGCATTCCTCGTGCACGGTTGATGGGTTCAATTGGGATAGAGGTGGTGGTCGGTTGGTAGTCGGCGATACGCGGTCAGGTGACCGCATATAGCCAGCGCGACGCCTGGAGCCCCGGCTCGCGTCGCGTCGTGTGTTGTCTTCTGCGATACTTACCTTCAGGTTTTGCGGCTTTATCTACGCCACTATGATCGTACACGAAGCGATGAAAAGAAAGTTGTCACATTTGCGGCCGCAGCTACTCTCCCGTCCAGGTATGACATCGCCATTCAGGTACTGAGTGGGAGCGAGCAGTGCTCTCGCCTGAATTGTGCGCGCGGTTCAGGAACACTGAACGCATTTGTTTGAGGAACCAATGTACCAAGCACAAACAAGGAAGGCTAAACGGCATGAAGGAGGGAGACAAGATGTGGCCGGCGGTGCACGGTACAAGATCGCACCCGGTGTTGGCCGAGGGTCGGTGATTGTCTGTAAGTAATTAGTGGATACTCAGTAGATACGTATCATACGTTACCAGGGTCTGTAGCACCATTCGAACGTATAACATACTTTTGCTACTTAGTCTGGAGCGATTTCGGCCGCTGTGTTACGACGCGTACTATTCTTGCAACACTTCGAAGAAGGCCCCGCGAGCTATGCACCTGATGTTCTAAAAGCGAGATCGCTGGAGTTCCCATGTCCTTACTTACTCCCAACCAAACTCCCTCCTACGGTGTGTCAGAGAATGGCTTCATCCATGCTCGCTGGCCACACAACCCGACCGCCAGTGTTGTACGCCGTCATTCGTGTCGATGTCATGCCAAGTATGAGGCCCCGAGCGCGTACAATAGACATCGATATCGACACGCAGGACATCCGGTCACCCAGGCTCCTCCCCATCCGCCTTCGGGGGGTAGAGGGGATGAATCTGAGTACGCCAATACGATGCTCTTTCTCGATCCTTAAGTCCTGTATCCAAAAAAGTACTAGTTGATACAAGTCACATGCACCACGCGAGCCAATTCAAACTCCCCAATCTTATTCCCCTCTACCCCCCTCTGGCGGCTGGCACAAAACATATACAAACACCCGGAGCCCGGTGATGGCGTCCTCCATATGGTAGCCCCATCAGCCGTCGGACAATTTCTCGGTGGACAATTAATGAGCATTTTCCGTTTTTCGTGAGCGAGCACGTGCGACGGTGCGACGCGTCGCGACGCGCCGCAGGCCTACTGTACGACGAGAAAACTACCAGTCCACCCCCTCGACTCCCTGCCCCTCTATCATGGCACCCAGTCAGTCAAGGATACTCTCACTTGAACAGATTCGCGAGACGACCCTTGCCAAGCTCGGTCGTTTTCCCTGTCGGTGGCAAGCGCACGCGACACAAGTCATCCTCGAACGCAAGAACGACCTCATCACTATTGCACCTACAGGTTCAGGGAAAACACTGACCTTTTGGATGCCACTTCTCTTCCGTGCCGACGGTATTCAAATTGTCGTGACGCCGCTCAATATTCTCGGCACTCAGAATGAGCAAGAATTGGCAAAATTCGGGGTGCGCGCGATTGCTGTCAGGGCAGAGACAGCGACACCGAAGGTTTTTCGTGTGAGTCATGGTTCGTATAGCCATATTCATAGGTTACTCACTGATTTGCTTAGGAGATCCGCGAGGGCAAGTACCGTGCAATCGTCGTCAGCCCGGAGGAGTTGATGAAGGTAGGCGGGGGATTCGAGGACCTGTGGAACGACGAAGGGTTCACCTCGCGAATCATGAGCATTGTCTTCGATGAGGCACACTGCATAAGTACCTGGAAGTCATTTCGACAAGACTACAAGAACATCGACCGACTCCGTTACCTTTTGCCGCATGTCCCGTTCGTCCTCGCCACAGCAACTCTGCCAGGCGAGATGCAGCGTGAGATCATGAAGACGCTGCAGATTCGCGCCGACCGCTGTACCGTGATACGGCGCTCGAACGATCGCCCAAACGTGCACATCGAAGTGCGTCGCATCAAGCATTCGCTCTCGGGTTACGAGGACTTGGATTTCCTCGTCTTGCCGAGGACAGAGCGTGCAGCCGGGGACTTAATCCCAAAGTTCCTGGTCTTCTTCGATAACATCGACGATTGCGTCAGGGCTGGGGAGCATCTGCGAAGTCGGCTTCATCCAGAAGAGAGAGAAAAATACATTGGTTTCACGCACAGATGTCCGAGCAGTTCCGCGAGGATGATCTCGCGGCCTTCAATGCATCAAATCTATATGGCCTGTGTAGCACAGATTCCTTCGGAATGGTCAGTGAATTTCAGCCCGAGGCTAGTAGAGTGGTAACTAATGAAAAACTTACATTCGCAGGGCGTGAACGTCGCGGACGTTCGCATCGTCGTGCAGTGGCGGATGCCGCGTGATTTGAACACGTTGTGGCAGCGCTTTGGACGCGCCGCGCGTGACCTGACACTCAACGCAGTTGCAATCCTCCTTGTCGATGGTCGGTATTTTGATGAAGAGAAGGAAAAGAAACAGCGCGCCGCCGAGAAAGCTGCCGAGAAAGCCGCCAAGAAAAGAAAAGCGGTCAATGATCCAGCTCAAAAGCCTACCAAGAGGGCACGTACCAATGACACACCCGGCACATCAGCTGCGACAGCTACCTCGTCCATCACGAACATCGAGCAACAGCGGGAAGCTGCTAGTGAGACGGAGAGCGCAGATGCGACACGGCCTCCAGCTGGTGGTGTGTCAGAGGACCAAGGTCGGGGATCATCCCAGGAACCGCCACAACGTGGCGCCGGTGTGGGGTCGCAGGTCGATCTTGCGAGTTTGCGTGCAGACATCGAAGCAGCGCGTTTGTCGAGTCGACAAGGAGGAGCACGGAAAGGGAAGAAAACAGACCAGGAAACGAGTGAGCTCTCGGCGGAGCTCGATGCGCTAGTCAACGCAGCAACAAGGCCGCACCGCTGCTATCGAGCGCCGATCATGGCGTACTACCGGAATGACCAAATCGGTAAGTGTGTTTACTCGCTTTGGTTCTGTGGGTCCGTCCGTCTGATAGGTACTTGCCTATTAGAGCCGGATGACCCTCCTTGCCTCGCCGAGGGCTGCTCTCGATGTGCCACACGGGCACCCATGCTCTGCTGTATCCTGTGCTCCCCCGATGCTCCCTGCTTCGCAGCAGTCGCGCCTCACGAATGCGATGCGGCGCCGCCTCAGCCGCGCGCGTCGCGCATCAAGAAGGACACAACCATCTCGCCAGCCGGACGCGACCTCAGGACGGCCCTCGACACCTTCCGCCGAGAGCGGACAATCAACAAATATGGCCGGGCCTTACTCGACAACCTCGGCGCGAGCGTTGTTCTTCCGGACAACGCTATCGACCGATTGGTTGAGTGCGCGCAGGCTGGCAAAATCAAATCTCTAGACGACGTACAGCGCGAGGTAGGGAAGAAGTGGGGCAAGGCACGCGAGTATGGAGAGGAAGTGGCAGCCATAATACGGCGGTGCGTCATTCGATTCAGTCGGTCACCGTGCAGTTACTAAACGTTCTGTAGCATCTTCCCTCTAGACAATCCTTTCGTGGTCGCTCCGCTCACTCCTCGGCCGCAACCCGTCAACGCAGCGCATGTAGGCTCCTCGACCGCACCAAACCACAGCAGTGCTCTGGCTACTCCGACGCCGGCAAGACGAACTGTTCGGCAGTACAAGTGCAGCGCATGCGGCGCAGCTGGCCATAACAGTAGGCTTCATGAGTGTTGACCTCACCTCGGGATGACTGACGCGCATTGTGCAGAGAACAACCGATCGTGTCCTAAATATGCGAGCAAGGCTCAGCAAGAGAATGCCCCGCCGACGGCTGCGACGGCAGGCAATGCTGATGAGGGCCCGGCCTCAGACACAGACGAGCAAGAAGTGCAACCACGACGATCTCCACTTCCAGCGCCTTCGACTGTGTTGGACACTCTGTTCACGACTCCATCTTATCGACGTAATGCTCGGGTGGCAACACTCGAGCAGATCCGTGCAGAGCAACATAGCCTTCAGTCGCCTCAGCAACAGGACACAGTGTCCACTCCAGGGAGGGCGGGGCTGGTCACGGAACCTGGCGTGAATGGTACGTCTATGTCGTCGATGTTCCTTCACCTATAGCATGCTCATGTGTACCTAGGTTCATCCGCGGAGGCGTTGATGATGCCGGTGCCGCCGTCTCGCTTTTACGGGAGTCCTGCGAGACTCAGATAAGTATTCCATCTCGTCAACATGCTCAGCTGGTAAGATTACATTATATCATAACACTGTGTCGAGACTAAGATCTCCTGCATCGATAGCCATATCTACGCCGTCCTCGGGCGGTCCAGCACTGTCGGCCTCATCACCGTCACTGCTCGTGCTCCCAAGCATGAGCCCAATTCCCTTACTCAGCATATCTCGAATACAATGCGCTGACTTCCGTCCCTCACGTCGCTCGTGCGGCCTCGTTTCATCCATGTTTTTGAGTAGAGCATTAAATGTTATTTTGAGGTTCTTCTTTCCATGAGCTGACGAGAGGCCGGAGAGATAAAAGTTGTGCTCTGCATTGCGAGCACAACTTCAACTGTACACCAGGACATTGGGAGACTCTGTGATAACCCGGTCCTTTGTGTAATTGGAGCCGTCTCCACCGTAAGTGTCCTTGATAGATGTGTGTCAGCCTCGCCCATACCACGAACAGTTGGTTGATACCTTAGTGAACAAATTCATCAGCTCAACGACCCAATCGACCCCCCGGAAAGCGTGCGGTTTGCCCGTTGGGTTAACAAGAATGTTGTAACGAATTGCATGGCTTCCACAGTACAATGAGTCTCACCATAACTCTCATCAGATCAGCAGGAAGTGCTCACCGCAGTCGCTCGGGGTAGACAAAATGTACATCTGTCCAGAACCTCTCCATGTAGCTTGCATATTTATGCTTCCCCGTCGCCTTGAACAGAGCAATCCATGCAGGCATTATTGCCTCAATGCCTCCGATATCTCCCGCATTGGCATGATAGGAGAACTCCTCGTAAAGCGAAAAATACTGATGCATGAGCATGATGTTTTCGTGTTGCTGATCGCGTACATCGGCACTGCGGTTGCGCATAGCATAGAGGTTCTGCACCCCGGCAACATACTTGGGGACCATACGGTGGGCCATGGTAACAAGCTGCTCGAATGTTGGTGTCTGGCGAGCAAAGTCATCCAGACTGTCCACTGCTTGATCGCGATATTGCGAGCGGGCCTCCGTACGCCAGCAATCCAGCCGCAGTACGATTCCGGTGTGCAATATTACCTCGTGCATCTGGCGAAACTTCGGCTTTGAACCTATCTGGCCTGTTTCTCGCGGGCGTAGCATCCCCACAAAATGCATGAGACTGTTCTCATCGCGACGCGACTCGGGTGGTTGTATGAACATGCGCCAGATGTCATCTGCACAGGCCATCTTCGAGTGAAATATACCTGGGACGAAGATGGCAAACTGATGGCGGCGAAGGGCTGTCTGCTCGATGCTGCGGCGCTTTTGGATAGCCTGCACCCGCTCGGCCGTTCCGAGATCACCATGGACAAGCACTACATGCTCCGATATGTCTACAATGTCTTCATCTGCCTCCGTGGCCTCGGGGTCTCCGATCCCTGCCTGTTTGAGCAAGTCCGCGATCGCCTGGATGTTGCCATCGACCTTCGACTGATTTATATCCATGCACCGAACGGGGTGGTAGGTGAGCTTTACAACAGGGATCAGTTCGACAGCTTCTGGGTTGGGTAACAACGGAATGAATTGTCGGAAATATTCTGGGCCATGTCGGAAGAGTGCGTCGAGAAAAAGCCATGCTGTGAAGCGGGCGCTACGGGACAAACCCGATGGATGTGGAGGATCGGGATGGAGTGTCAGGAGGTTTTCGTACGAATATCGTGGTGGCGGGGTTGGGCTGTAGAGGACACTGGGATTGAGCCACGAGGTCTCCCATAGCCTACGTGAGCAGCGTAGGTCGTCAGGCTGGACACCATGTTCGAGCTTGATGATGAGCCCTGATGTAAGGTGGACGAGTCGATCCCCCGATTTCTCGATCGTAGGTGTCATGGTCCTGAGTGTTAGCTCACAGTTGTCGTATGCGAGCATCGCGCGGAGGGACTGCCCGAGCTGGCGAACATTTCTCGCACTCTCTCGGGACAGTGAGTGAACGGCATTATTGATAGAAGACGGTGAGATTGAGATGCCCATATGTGCAAGTGCCTTGATGACCTTGTCAGGTGTATTGCAGGAATGGAAGAAGATCGCGTTGACGGCAGCGAACGCGTTGCATTGCTGATTGAGCGAGTGCATGATTACAGACAGTATAACTACTGTCTTCTGCCGAAGGCAAAGCTAATTAGGACAAGAGTAATAACATACAAACTTGCAATCTGGCTCACTAGATGACATAAGGCTCGCTGCAATTTCAACCGAGCATCCTTCGCAGGAGCTGAGGGATCGGCGCCTTCTCGAACATCGCCTCCGCCGAGTTCAAGTTCCCGCCACAACTCCAGCTCATCCGGACTGAGAGTTTGATTCTCGGGATCTCCCTCCCCTAGGCCAGTCCAGAGCTCTCGGCCTGACAAGAGGAACGCGATGAGTTCCCATAGTTCGGGAGCCAGGGACCGCATTCGCGCAGCCATGTCCTCGATGCGGAAATCAAGGACTTGCTCGGCTTTCATGTGCACGGCACCGAGATGCCATCCGTTGTCCTTGTCCGTCAGCTCGCGCGCGACGCGATGGTAATGTGCTTTCATTTCTTGATGCGCCCAACGCCGTGTCACGGCAGACGTCCGAGTATTCCGCGCAGACGCCGCGAGAATAAGGCCAAGATTGGCATTGAGACCTTCGAAGAAGGTGAACCCGGCGAAGGTCTTGTCATCGAGTGATTCCAGAACGAGCTCAGACAGTGACACACGAGCTTCAAGGAGAGCTTTTCGAATGAACTGGATTTGTGCAAGAGATATCATCGCCCGGGACGTACAAAACGCGCTCGTCCGTTATATATATGCAGTGCGCGCGTTCGCGCAAATGAACATCGCTCGAGGCGCAGGTAATTACATAATCTCGGTCATTGATCGACTCGCCAAATTGGGGGGTATGCAGCCGGGGCTCCGTTTGTTTGTATATGTTTTGTGCCAGCCGCCAGAGGGGGGTAAAGGGCAGGCTCCTCCCCATCCGCCTTCGGGGGGTAGAGGGGACGAATTTTCGAGACCGCGAACTGTGCTTTGTGTCCCTGTCCTCACCCGCCACACCTCAGCCACATCCCATCAAAACTTTCCATCCCCGCCCGATCCTGAATCTCCGTAATCTTATTCCCCTTTACCCCCCTCTGGCGGCTGGCACAAAACATATACAAACAAACGGAGCCCCGGCTGCATACCCCCCAATTTGGCGAGTCAATCAATGACCGAGATTATGTAATTACCTGCGCCTCGAGCGATGTTCATTTGCGCGAACGCGCGCACTGCATATATATAACGGACGAGCGCGTTTTGTACGTCCCGGGCGATGATATCTCTTGCACAAATCCAGTTCATTCGAAAAGCTCTCCTTGAAGCTCGTGTGTCACTGTCTGAGCTCGTTCTGGAATCACTCGATGACAAGACCTTCGCCGGGTTCACCTTCTTCGAAGGTCTCAATGCCAATCTTGGCCTTATTCTCGCGGCGTCTGCGCGGAATACTCGGACGTCTGCCGTGACACGGCGTTGGGCGCATCAAGAAATGAAAGCACATTACCATCGCGTCGCGCGCGAGCTGACGGACAAGGACAACGGATGGCATCTCGGTGCCGTGCACATGAAAGCCGAGCAAGTCCTTGATTTCCGCATCGAGGACATGGCTGCGCGAATGCGGTCCCTGGCTCCCGAACTATGGGAACTCATCGTGTTCCTCTTGTCAGGCCGAGAGCTCTGGACTGGCCTAGGGGAGGGAGATCCCGAGAATCAAACTCTCAGTCCGGATGAGCTGGAGTTGTGGCGGGAACTTGAACTCGGCGGAGGCGATGTTCGAGAAGGCGCCGATCCCTCAGCTCCTGCGAAGGATGCTCGGTTGAAATTGCAGCGAGCCTTATGTCATCTAGTGAGCCAGATTGCAAGTTTGTATGTTATTACTCTTGTCCTAATTAGCTTTGCCTTCGGCAGAAGACAGTAGTTATACTGTCTGTAATCATGCACTCGCTCAATCAGCAATGCAACGCGTTCGCTGCCGTCAACGCGATCTTCTTCCATTCCTGCAATACACCTGACAAGGTCATCAAGGCACTTGCACATATGGGCATCTCAATCTCACCGTCTTCTATCAATAATGCCGTTCACTCACTGTCCCGAGAGAGTGCGAGAAATGTTCGCCAGCTCGGGCAGTCCCTCCGCGCGATGCTCGCATACGACAACTGTGAGCTAACACTCAGGACCATGACACCTACGATCGAGAAATCGGGGGATCGACTCGTCCACCTTACATCAGGGCTCATCATCAAGCTCGAACATGGTGTCCAGCCTGACGACCTACGCTGCTCACGTAGGCTATGGGAGACCTCGTGGCTCAATCCCAGTGTCCTCTACAGCCCAACCCCGCCACCACGATATTCGTACGAAAACCTCCTGACACTCCATCCCGATCCTCCACATCCATCGGGTTTGTCCCGTAGCGCCCGCTTCACAGCATGGCTTTTTCTCGACGCACTCTTCCGACATGGCCCAGAATATTTCCGACAATTCATTCCGTTGTTACCCAACCCAGAAGCTGTCGAACTGATCCCTGTTGTAAAGCTCACCTACCACCCCGTTCGGTGCATGGATATAAATCAGTCGAAGGTCGATGGCAACATCCAGGCGATCGCGGACTTGCTCAAACAGGCAGGGATCGGAGACCCCGAGGCCACGGAGGCAGATGAAGACATTGTAGACATATCGGAGCATGTAGTGCTTGTCCATGGTGATCTCGGAACGGCCGAGCGGGTGCAGGCTATCCAAAAGCGCCGCAGCATCGAGCAGACAGCCCTTCGCCGCCATCAGTTTGCCATCTTCGTCCCAGGTATATTTCACTCGAAGATGGCCTGTGCAGATGACATCTGGCGCATGTTCATACAACCACCCGAGTCGCGTCGCGATGAGAACAGTCTCATGCATTTTGTGGGGATGCTACGCCCGCGAGAAACAGGCCAGATAGGTTCAAAGCCGAAGTTTCGCCAGATGCACGAGGTAATATTGCACACCGGAATCGTACTGCGGCTGGATTGCTGGCGTACGGAGGCCCGCTCGCAATATCGCGATCAAGCAGTGGACAGTCTGGATGACTTTGCTCGCCAGACACCAACATTCGAGCAGCTTGTTACCATGGCCCACCGTATGGTCCCCAAGTATGTTGCCGGGGTGCAGAACCTCTATGCTATGCGCAACCGCAGTGCCGATGTACGCGATCAGCAACACGAAAACATCATGCTCATGCATCAGTATTTTTCGCTTTACGAGGAGTTCTCCTATCATGCCAATGCGGGAGATATCGGAGGCATTGAGGCAATAATGCCTGCATGGATTGCTCTGTTCAAGGCGACGGGGAAGCATAAATATGCAAGCTACATGGAGAGGTTCTGGACAGATGTACATTTTGTCTACCCCGAGCGACTGCGGTGAGCACTTCCTGCTGATCTGATGAGAGTTATGGTGAGACTCATTGTACTGTGGAAGCCATGCAATTCGTTACAACATTCTTGTTAACCCAACGGGCAAACCGCACGCTTTCCGGGGGGTCGATTGGGTCGTTGAGCTGATGAATTTGTTCACTAAGGTATCAACCAACTGTTCGTGGTATGGGCGAGGCTGACACACATCTATCAAGGACACTTACGGTGGAGACGGCTCCAATTACACAAAGGACCGGGTTATCACAGAGTCTCCCAATGTCCTGGTGTACAGTTGAAGTTGTGCTCGCAATGCAGAGCACAACTTTTATCTCTCCGGCCTCTCGTCAGCTCATGGAAAGAAGAACCTCAAAATAACATTTAATGCTCTACTCAAAAACATGGATGAAACGAGGCCGCACGAGCGACGTGAGGGACGGAAGTCAGCGCATTGTATTCGAGATATGCTGAGTAAGGGAATTGGGCTCATGCTTGGGAGCACGAGCAGTGACGGTGATGAGGCCGACAGTGCTGGACCGCCCGAGGACGGCGTAGATATGGCTATCGATGCAGGAGATCTTAGTCTCGACACAGTGTTATGATATAATGTAATCTTACCAGCTGAGCATGTTGACGAGATGGAATACTTATCTGAGTCTCGCAGGACTCCCGTAAAAGCGAGACGGCGGCACCGGCATCATCAACGCCTCCGCGGATGAACCTAGGTACACATGAGCATGCTATAGGTGAAGGAACATCGACGACATAGACGTACCATTCACGCCAGGTTCCGTGACCAGCCCCGCCCTCCTGGAGTGGACACTGTGTCCTGTTGCTGAGGCGACTGAAGGCTATGTTGCTCTGCACGGATCTGCTCGAGTGTTGCCACCCGAGCATTACGTCGATAAGATGGAGTCGTGAACAGAGTGTCCAACACAGTCGAAGGCGCTGGAAGTGGAGATTGTCGTGGTTGCACTTCTTGCTCGTCTGTGTCTGAGGCCGGGCCCTCATCAGCATTGCCTGCCGTCGCAGCCGTCGGCGGGGCATTCTCTTGCTGAGCCTTGCTCGCATATTTAGGACACGATCGGTTGTTCTCTGCACAATGCGCGTCAGTCATCCCGAGGTGAGGTCAACACTCATGAAGCCTACTGTTATGGCCAGCTGCGCCGCATGCGCTGCACTTGTACTGCCGAACAGTTCGTCTTGCCGGCGTCGGAGTAGCCAGAGCACTGCTGTGGTTTGGTGCGGTCGAGGAGCCTACATGCGCTGCGTTGACGGGTTGCGGCCGAGGAGTGAGCGGAGCGACCACGAAAGGATTGTCTAGAGGGAAGATGCTACAGAACGTTTAGTAACTGCACGGTGACCGACTGAATCGAATGACGCACCGCCGTATTATGGCTGCCACTTCCTCTCCATACTCGCGTGCCTTGCCCCACTTCTTCCCTACCTCGCGCTGTACGTCGTCTAGAGATTTGATTTTGCCAGCCTGCGCGCACTCAACCAATCGGTCGATAGCGTTGTCCGGAAGAACAACGCTCGCGCCGAGGTTGTCGAGTAAGGCCCGGCCATATTTGTTGATTGTCCGCTCTCGGCGGAAGGTGTCGAGGGCCGTCCTGAGGTCGCGTCCGGCTGGCGAGATGGTTGTGTCCTTCTTGATGCGCGACGCGCGCGGCTGAGGCGGCGCCGCATCGCATTCGTGAGGCGCGACTGCTGCGAAGCAGGGAGCATCGGGGGAGCACAGGATACAGCAGAGCATGGGTGCCCGTGTGGCACATCGAGAGCAGCCCTCGGCGAGGCAAGGAGGGTCATCCGGCTCTAATAGGCAAGTACCTATCAGACGGACGGACCCACAGAACCAAAGCGAGTAAACACACTTACCGATTTGGTCATTCCGGTAGTACGCCATGATCGGCGCTCGATAGCAGCGGTGCGGCCTTGTTGCTGCGTTGACTAGCGCATCGAGCTCCGCCGAGAGCTCACTCGTTTCCTGGTCTGTTTTCTTCCCTTCCGTGCTCCTCCTTGTCGACTCGACAAACGCGCTGCTTCGATGTCTGCACGCAAACTCGCAAGATCGACCTGCGACCCCACACCGGCGCCACGTTGTGGCGTTCCTGGGATGATCCCCGACCTTGGTCCTCTGACACACCACCAGCTGGAGGCCGTGTCGCATCTGCGCTCTCCGTCTCACTAGCAGCTTCCCGCTGTTGCTCGATGTTCGTGATGGACGAGGTAGCTGTCGCAGCTGATGTGCCGGTGTGTCATTGGTACGTGCCCTCTTGTAGGCTTTTGAGCTGGATCATTGACCGCTTTTCTTTTCTGGCGGCTTTCTCGGCAGCTTTCTCGGCGGCGCGCTGTTTCTTTTCCTTCTCTTCATCAAATACCGACCATCGACAAGGAGGATTGCAACTGCGTGAGTGTCAGGTCACGCGCGGCGCGTCCAAAGCGCTGCCACAACGTGTTCAAATCACGCGGCATCCGCCACTGCACGACGATGCGAACGTCCGCGACGTTCACGCCCTGCGAATGTAAGTTTTTCATTAGTTACCACTCTACTAGCCTCGGGCTGAAATTCACTGACCATTCCGAAGGAATCTGTGCTACACAGGCCATATAGATTTGATGCATTGAAGGCCGCGAGATCATCCTCGCGGAACTGCTCGGACATCTGTGCGTGAAACCAATGTATTTTTCTCTCTCTTCTGGATGAAGCCGACTTCGCAGATGCTCCCCAGCCCTGACGCAATCGTCGATGTTATCGAAGAAGACCAGGAACTTTGGGATTAAGTCCCCGGCTGCACGCTCTGTCCTCGGCAAGACGAGGAAATCCAAGTCCTCGTAACCCGAGAGCGAATGCTTGATGCGACGCACTTCGATGTGCACGTTTGGGCGATTGTTCGAGCGCCGTATCACGGTACAGCGGTCGGCGCGAATCTGCAGCGTCTTCATGATCTCACGCTGCATCTCGCCTGGCAGAGTTGCTGTGGCGAGGACGAACGGGACATGCGGCAAAAGGTAACGGAGTCGGTCGATGTTCTTGTAGTCTTGTCGAAATGACTTCCAGGTACTTATGCAGTGTGCCTCATCGAAGACAATGCTCATGATTCGCGAGGTGAACCCTTCGTCGTTCCACAGGTCCTCGAATCCCCCGCCTACCTTCATCAACTCCTCCGGGCTGACGACGATTGCACGGTACTTGCCCTCGCGGATCTCCTAAGCAAATCAGTGAGTAACCTATGAATATGGCTATACGAACCATGACTCACACGAAAAACCTTCGGTGTCGCTGTCTCTGCCCTGACAGCAATCGCGCGCACCCCGAATTTTGCCAATTCTTGCTCATTCTGAGTGCCGAGAATATTGAGCGGCGTCACGACAATTTGAATACCGTCGGCACGGAAGAGAAGTGGCATCCAAAAGGTCAGTGTTTTCCCTGAACCTGTAGGTGCAATAGTGATGAGGTCGTTCTTGCGTTCGAGGATGACTTGTGTCGCGTGCGCTTGCCACCGACAGGGAAAACGACCGAGCTTGGCAAGGGTCGTCTCGCGAATCTGTTCAAGTGAGAGTATCCTTGACTGACTGGGTGCCATGATAGAGGGGCAGGGAGTCGAGGGGGTGGACTGGTAGTTTTCTCGTCGTACAGTAGGCCTGCGGCGCGTCGCGACGCGTCGCACCGTCGCACGTGCTCGCTCACGAAAAACGGAAAATGCTCATTAATTGTCCACCGAGAAATTGTCCGACGGCTGATGGGGCTACCATATGGAGGACGCCATCACCGGGCTCCGGGTGTTTGTATATGTTTTGTGCCAGCCGCCAGAGGGGGGTAGAGGGGAATAAGATTGGGGAGTTTGAATTGGCTCGCGTGGTGCATGTGACTTGTATCAACTAGTACTTTTTTGGATACAGGACTTAAGGATCGAGAAAGAGCATCGTATTGGCGTACTCAGATTCATCCCCTCTACCCCCGAAGGCGGATGGGGAGGAGCCTGGGTAAAGGGGAATAAGATTACGGAGATTCAGGATCGGGCGGGGATGGAAAGTTTTGATGGGATGTGGCTGAGGTGTGGCGGGTGAGGACAGGGACACAAAGCACAGTTCGCGGTCTCGAAAATTCGTCCCCTCTACCCCCGAAGGCGGATGGGGAGGAGCCTGCCGGTCACCTATCTGTTATGTAGGCAACCGTGACATTTTCTCGTCGAGAATCAACTCAAGCACACACCTTGAGCTCATATGCTTACATCAAGTGTCATGACTGGGCCCTAATAGGCACAACCTTTTGGCGAAATGACGCATATTGCATTCGAGCGCGTTGTGGGGTCGCCGCGGACTTGGCGTGAATCCCCTAGCGTCCCTCCAGGGCCGAGCCTCGCAAAATGACTCGTCAAGTCGATGTCAAGTACGAAAATTTGCACGACCGGGGCTTTGAGCTGGTTTGCGTTGCGAATAGGAGCAGGTACGAGCAATATTTGTAAGTTATCAAGACTGCGCTCCTGACATTAGCCAGGGCACAATGGCAAGCTGTACCTGGCATATCCGAGTCGGATGTTCGGACTACGCGCCATACTGGTGCGTTGTGCCCGCGCCCATGGCCGCCACCGCGGTGAATACTATGCATATGCGCTGAGACGCGTAGATCGCCCCAGCCAAGTTCTCCTGAAGTTCTCGCTCATGCCGCAGAGAAAACTGCAGGGGTGGAGAGTGGCCCGGATAACGACGGATCATGATCGGGGCGCACGAACAGATCGTCCGGCGCCTGCCAAGCGCACGGCACCGCTGCCATCAATGTGCGAGGCGCCCAGCCCCGACGCCTGTCTCACCCCGCCTCGCTCTGCGGGGTGCGACGCGGGGGCCCGCACCGCCCGCGCCTATGCCCGGTCTGTGCCCCAAACTCGTCCACCGCAGCTCTGCGTCCCTGGGCCACAGCCGATCAAACACCATGCGAAGACACCGCGCACCACAGAGGAGTGTCAGGCGACGACATAGGGTCGCCGGCGACACCTCGAAACGGGACACCGTACGTACATCGCTCATCCCCCGACAATGGACGCGCTTGGCGGCCCGACGCTGCCGAGCGCAGTTGGAGCCTTCCACCTGTGGAGGCTCCGCAGGTCGCCCTGGCGAGCAGGTGATCAAGACTTCTGGATCCAGGGTAATGTCAAGTTCCCGGGTTCTTCCCATTCCGCTGCGCGCTATGCACCGGCCGCATCAGGCCATCCAACCCCGTATATAACAGCGCCATTTCGGAAGCGGCCCTGCGCGTTCTGCTCGCCGCTCGTCCCGCAACTTGCACATTTGCCCGCCATGTTCAAGTTCAACACCTTCTCCGAGACAAAGGGCCGGAAATTGTACTATACGATCAACCTGGTGGCAGGCCTCGCCATCTTCTTGTGAGTGGAGCGTTCCGGTCATGCTTGCATGTCCCGAGACTCAATGCCCGCCTTGGCACACAGTTTCGGGTATGACCAAGGAATGATGTCCGGTACGAATTTTGCTTGTGCGCAGAGAACGCCAACTCACGTCGTGTCAGGTGTGAATACATCGCCCGACTATGTGCGCACGATGAAGCTTGGGTACTCGACGTACGTGACCCCGTGCTGCAGTAGGATCTTGCCTGAAAACTGGCGATATGCAGATACGAAGGTCCTTCAGAGGGATATGTCGCTACAATCACAGAACCAACGCGAGAAGGTGGTATTGTTAGCATCTACTACTTGGGCACCCTCATCGGAGCCCTCATGGGCGGTGTCCTCGGTGACCGGTGAATCCATATCGCTAAAGCTCTGTGCGAGCAGAAGTTGACCTCTCGTCCAACAGGATCGGACGTATCAAGACCATGCTTGTGGTGAGTTCAGCCCTGCCGTCCTTGGTGTCAGTCTGGAACTCACACGCTCAACGGATCTCAGGGAAGTCTGTGGGTTCTCATCGGCGCTACGCTGCAATGCTCCGCGCAGAACATCTCATGGTGGGTCCGCTAGTGGGAAACCCTCCAGAGGGCGCTACTGATAGGTCCCCCCTTTCAGGATGTTGTGCGCTCGTGTGATCAACGGCATCGGCACAGGGTACCTGAATGCGATCGTACCGGTCTGGAGCGCGGAGGTCGCCTCACATACGTCTCGAGGCGCCTTCATCGCGAGCGAATTCACGCTGAACATCTTCGGAGTAGTCGTCGCCTACTGGCTCGAGTTCGGCCTGGGCTACGTCGGCGACGGCACTACGCAAGTTCGATGGAGGGTATGTGAACTGACTTGCGAGACGATCCTCGTTCTGACCAGACCTGTATAGTTCCCCATTGCGTTCCAGATCCTGCCCGTTCTGGCCTTCATGGTAAGTTGCAGTGATCGTCACGTAGGCGCGTGACCGACACTGAGCGCATCGCGAATCCCCAGGTGCTCGTGCCGTCCATGCCGGAGAGTCCCCGCTGGCTGCTGAAGATGGGGCGCACTGAAGAGGCCCGGGTCATCCTCGCGCGGCTCCGCTCGGAGGACGGCAACCTCGAGAACGCGCGCGTGACCGCGGAGTACGAGGAGATCCAGGTCGCGGTGCAGCTCGAGAAGGAGCACGCCGCCGGCAACACGTACTTCGCGATGTTCTTCGGGCTGCACGACAGCGACCTGCACGTCGCGCGCCGCGTCCAGCTGTCGATATGGCTGCAGATTGTGCAGGAGTGAGTGTCCCCGGCCGGTTTCCATGCCCCACTCACCCTGACTGACGTCGCCTTCCTCAGGTGGGTCGGTATTGCGGCGGTCACGGTCTACGCCTCAACCATATTCTCGCAAGCCGGCTACTCAGCTCGCAAAGCCCAGTGGTTGTCCGGTCTCAACGACGTACGACATCCCGCCTTCCCATTGAATGTATCACATGCTTACGACTCGCGTCCCGTTTAGGTCACGTACATGCTGAGCACGCTCCTGGCCGTCGTGACGATCGACCGACTCGGCCGCCGGGTCGGCCTCTGGTGGGGCGCGGTCGCGCAGGGCGTCTCGCTCTTCCTCGCGGGCGGCTTCAGCGCGCTGCTCAAGAGCAACCCGGACAGGGCCGCGCAGTACGGCGGCGCCGCGGCGTTCTTCGTGTTCACGTACACCGCGACGTTCGGCGCGACGTGGCTCACGATCCCGTGGGTGTACCCGACGGAGACGTTCCCGCTGTACGTCCGTGCGAAGGGCAACGCGTGGGGCGTCGTCGGGTGGTCCATCGGTGCGTCGCGCGTGCCTGCTACTATGGTGTGGCATGAGCTCAGATAGGTGGATGTGTACAGGGAACGGATGGCTCACGCTCCTCAACCCGGTCATGTTCAACGCGATCCAGGAGAAGACGCTCTACATCTTCGGCGCGGTCAACTTCCTCGCGATCCCGATGGTCTGGGCGTTCTACCCCGAGACGGCGAACCGCACGCTCGAGGAGATGGACCACCTGTTCATGAGCAAGAGTCCGCTCGTGTGGCACGAGGAGGCGTACTTCCAGAAGTGGAAGGCGGGCGAGCTCGAGGACCGCGAGAAGACGCCGCCCGTGGCGCAGCCGGACCTGGACGACGTGAAGGTCGACGAGCAGAAGCAGGAGAAGGCATGAGCCGCACGAGGGTGACGCCGCTTGAGTTACGACCGCTACGTTTGTTTGTACACCACGCATCTACTGTTCGTCAGGTTATTAGGGCACGACTATATTTCTGTTCTTGTCACCGTCAGCCTACGCCTGAGCTGGTCAACACACGTCCCGTGTACTTCTAGCATTCGGCGCTCCCAAACTTGGTGAGATGTTGGGTTGGATAACGATAACTTCATAGCCAAGGATACATCGTGATAGATTACAGAAAGCGACATACGTACAGCACGATAGACAGTGTCTCTTGATATCACGTAGCATTACAACGGTCTACAGTAAGTGAGCAGCGGGTAGCATGTCAGCGATCGTTTCTACCCAGAACATAACGTAGAAGATGCACGCACCTTATACAAACACGCTCACAGAACTACAGAAACACTCCCTCGAATCAGTCCATGAGCTTCGGGACGACGTTGATGAGCTGGTCCAGATTGATGAACTGCACCCAGCTCTCGATGTCCTTCCGCTCCTTCTGCCAGATGAACTTCGTGTTCTGCGACCCGCGGAAGAAGCGATGGCGCACTGGTACTTCTCCTCGACGGCGACCTCGCCGCGCGTGCCGCCGATGTCGCTCGTCCACACGCGGAACTCCCAGCCGAGCAGTGGCACGTTGTCCCCCGTCACGGTCTGCCGCGGCACGTTGAACTCGAGCCGCGCCCAGTCGAAGCCCATCGGCTGCCCGATCGCTTTGATGTACGCTTGCTTGAGCGCGAGTAGGAGGCAGAGCCGGCGCAAGACGACTTCATCGCCGTCTTCTGGCTTGATGAACGTCATTTCGAGGGGGTGAGCTGCAGATACTAGTGTTAGTCGGGGCAGGGCTCCGGACACGCCCCACGCACCTTGTGATAGAAAGACTCTGCATAAACATTGACGGAAATATCTGGTGGGGAGACCGCGAGTTGCTTGATGCCGATCCCCACGTTGATGACATCTCTTTGCCGGCCTTGGGTCATGACCATACCGATGAGGTTGCTGTCGTACGCGAGGTGGTAGCCGATCATCGCCCGTAGACGGCCCGTTGGGTTCATGGCATTGTCGATGTCCTGCAAACGGGTGCATCAGATCATAGCTCAAATGGCGAACCCATTCCAAAAGTGAGACTCGTGTTGGACGAACGTCTCTGTTTCCATGCGCGCTGCAATGCAGGTTCAAGACAGGACATGTCAAGGTCAGGAAGCGCGCCATATGAGCGTTGGCGAAGGGACCAGTGCCTCCACGCCGTAGCACGCGTGAACAGGCCACAAACGGATACACGTCTCCATGGCCACTTCACTTTTGCAATTCTCTATCAGACGTGCGATTGGATGAGGCATTCGCGATGCATACGTTGAGCCAGACTACGCTTCTTGGGCCACAGATAGGGTCAATATGTTGATAATCAATTCGCACCTGTTCTATGTAGTGCTTCCCATTATCGCTGACCATGTCTTTCCACCTTGACCTAGGTACTCTTCGGTGCCGCATCATTAGCAATGGGAGCATATGCGCAATCATTTGCCCTGAGAGCGACAATCAGAACGCGTCACCCAAAAAATCAGCAGAGTCACTCACGCGATGTATCGAGTTGTTCCCGTGCATGCGCCACATTCGCATGAGGGACGCATGTACGCGTCGTATGGTAGCACTGGTCATACTCCTGTGTTCATAAGAGGATGAATCAGTGAAGTCTGTTGGAAGGCCACCACCGAGTTCGGACATACCTCAACTGTCATCTCTCGATTGAGAAAGAGCATCCACACAAGAAGAGGGCACTCCAATGACATGATGTATCAACGAACCGGGCTACCGGCCGGGAGAGCAGGCGGGGAAAGCAATGATCGGTCACGGTCAGGAGGGAGATACACACGTTCATTTATACTCACTCGTGGACAATTAAGTTTCAGTGTGGTCCAAGCAACCTCGATCGTTGCGACGACCCAAATAAGACAGCTTTTGTCAAAGCTGTGGTGACGATGTCGCGGTATTGTCACAGCCTGGTACTGGTGTGCTGCCGAATCCGCGCAGGTTCGTTCTTGTCCTTGCCGACGCCACAGCTACCTGCCTAATCCGTACGACCTGACAAAGCAGCCATTTTGGGAACATCATATTTGCTGTTACAGTTCCGCCCTTAAGCATGCCCTCACAATCACACATCTGAGAGTATTCCGAACACACGTATGGCGGGTTTCCCTTAGGAGGCTCCTGGCCGCACCCATTCAGGCGCCGAATTGTACCACGAATGCTTTGCCGCGTCCAACGAAGCACTCCGGCGCCTATAATGACTGGTGGAGACAACGCCGGCGACCATCCTTATCCTGCTAAATACTAGCAGCTTTCTTAACATTCACGCCATCTTCACGATCTAACCAGGAATCATGCGGACATTGGTATAGCTTGTTGAGCACGACACTTGAGTGATATGTGGTCACCATGATTGTAGGCAACTTTCGCTTGGACCATTTGGACGAGCGCGCCGATGATTAGTTCTCAAGCTCTCGATTTTCAATGTGAGCCCTCGACCTTGCATTACACGGCAACCAGGCGCGATACATACTGCAGATCGGAACCACCTCAACAGAAAGTGTAAATGTACAGAGTATCCTACACCTCTTCTTGAGCCTCGTCCAGCGGGAACCATTTGTCCCTCTTAGTCTGAGGCTGCGACACTGATGACGACTCCTGTAACAAGTTTGGTTTTACCAGATGCTGATCTTCAGTAAATAGCGTCGCCTCTTGCATAGAGGTAGACAGCTCGTCGATCGACATCCGGCGTGGGCCCGTTTGTCCCTCCAGAGCTCGCCGAATACTCTCTCGCGAGTTGAGGCTGCGTGCGTAGTAAGGGTCAGTCACTGCACTTCCGATTGCTGGAAGAAGCCGCGTACAGGCAAAGGAGGGAACACGGGTATACTATGCATAATATCCGCATGACGTCAGTTCGTCCATTTCGATCATATGGTTCGTTGACTTACGTCGGACCAAGATAAACTCAACAGCACCGAAGATGAGGCCGGGGCAGGTCAACCACTGGAGCCAGTTAGCAATTGAATCAAACCAAAATCATGCAGACCCACCGTGATCAGGCACACGATAGCGAACACCCTGTCATGCAAATCTTCAACGGAGAAGCTCATGTCTGAGGTGCCAGAGTAGACATACGTGACAAGGATGTCTAAAATAGTGGTATAACTCAGGTGTGATTCGAGTAGCTTCACCAGTGTGCTCACATGTATTGAATGTATAGATGATGAGTATTTTGATAGCTTTGTTTGACCTGCAGCGAGCGTCAGTTCCCAAGCTGGTGTAACAGGACTTTACGCAACACCTCTGAGACAACGTTCGTCGGATCTCAAGGAAATATATGTTCGCGGCAGCTATGACCAGATCACAAGCGATGTTCGCCGATAAGCCACAGCCTATAGTTGCCTAAGATGCGTGACGGCGATGATGCTTCTATACGAGACCGCAGTTGTAGACGCACCCTCGCTCCATTCTTCATGGAACCGACGTAATGATCCTCGAAGCTGGTGGAGAAAGGTCACACCGGCCGCGATATAATGCAGTACAAAGTACATGTAGGCTCACCCGATGATGGTGTATGCTATGGCGTGAATCGTTGTCAATGAACAGAAGCGATATCATGGGCGAACGTCTGGGCTTACCAATCAAAGACGCTGTCGAGAAGGCAGGAGATCCATCAAGAAATCACCAGCTATGTGAAGGCCATAAATCATTACCTAGTTGAAATAGTGCCAGGACACACTGCGGGGTGCTGTGAACGGAGTCCCTACCTGTCGTAGCACATCGACTCACGATTGCACCCGGAATCTGTATCCTTCTCTCGCTTACTGTGCTGCGTCAGCGAAACATGTGGCCAAACGGAGGAAGGCACGTACACCCGTATATTCGGTAGGCAAAGAAGCTATCGGAGGGTGAGACGATGACAGCATGTGTCGGGAGAGCTGCTCACAGCTGCACAAGAAATCCCGCCAAAGCCTTTCCCCGTAGGTTAGCTCGTGGTCGTATATGCGAGCTCCAGGGCGATTTGCGGTACTCACTCCAACGCCGACCTGGACCGACAAGCTCCTATGGCAGCTCTGAGTAACTATCCCGTTGTAGATCCCCAATGTCCTGCACTGACCAGACGTCATTTTCCAGCGCAATGTAGTCGCCGAAATTTGTCACGGTATAGTGATAGTAAGAGATTGTCAACAAAATAACATGGAAGGTGTCCACAACGCTGAATGAGAGTGGCGGTTGCACGCTTCTGTTATTCTTCATGTTACAACACGTTCTACGCCTTGTACTCACAAGATAATAGCAACCTGTGAGCGAAAGAGATGAGAGACATGAATTTGAAACCCAAGCGTACGGAAAGATCACCAGTGCTTTCAGACCACGACCGTCCCCCTTCGAATACCGAGTGTAGTAAAGGTATGTCTGAAGACAAGTTACTCCGTACAAACTGATTGACTATCGTCAGCGCGAAAGCTCGTAGGATTCGCCTTGCTGCTCACACGGTAGATAGAAGCAGCCCAATCAGGATGGCCCCGAGGTAATCGTCCAGCGGTATCAAGGAAGGCATGCCCAGCACATCAGTAGGAAAAAGACGAAGGCGCGCTACGAGCGACAGGCCACGACGATCCTTATATCGACGCTCGGCGTCAGTTCTGTCGCATGAGAGCCAAAGACGCACCGGGGTAGACTTCGAATTCAGGGACCTCCATCACTTCGTATCAAGGGACTGGATAGGACTCCGGCTAAGAACACTAGCACATACGTCGGGTGAGAGATTGGACGCTTCTCTCCGACGTGATATGGTGCACACAGACTGTGTCATATGTTGCGCGTCGGAACATCACTCACAGCATTCACGGGTCTATCGAGCTCTCTATGTGCGAAAGACGACACCATATGGCGATACCTTACGCGGTTTAGTCGATGTCGTGCGGTTCAATGACAATCCACACTTGATCCACACGTAAGTAACGGAGTCGAAAGGCGTGGGTAAGTCGCCTCGCACGTTGACTTATCGTCACTCACTTGGCCGTAATTTGTCAAGGCGACTCTCCCTGACAACGCAGTGCACGTCACGAGGAGCGCGATATGTTGGATAGCGCATCAGTACGGATTCAACATCTGTGCATGCATACAGAGTACATGGACTCAAAGTGTCAAGGCAGCGCGACCTGAAGCAGCCGACCTACGCAAGCCACTACTCAAGTACTCACATCTCGTCTTTCGGCAAAGCAACTCCTTGCAGTTCGAGTCTAAGTTTACTTATGTACCGGCTATGGCAGCGTACATGAGGCCACTGACGGTCACACGATTCGAATGAGTGAAGAAAAGCACTAAATACGGAATACCAATAGAACTTACTGCGCACGACCGAAGTTGCCAGCTTCCTCCTCTGCATGGTTCTGTGGTCATTGTATGTAGTGCAGGTCGGTGAGAGTCCAGATGGAGAATAATAGGTCCTAGGGGGGCAGTTGCCACGGCCATGGAGTAAGTCGCTATCATGAGGGACCTATCATACCAGGAGACGACTCACAGCTTATTGAACTGCGTTGGCAATGCCGCGGCGCCCTCACGCGCGTTCCTCACGGTCCCTCAGGAACTAGACCCAACGACAGACCATTACGTGCTGCAGTTTACGCTCCGAATTTACGCTTTCATCAGTGTGAGCACCCACGAGTCGGCTCCCAGTCACCGTCGTCGGTGCACGGCGAGAACCTACAGTCGAGTTCATGAGCATAACCCATGGACTCCGTCCGTCATCACTGGGCTGAGCTGTACATGTTGAAGACCGTCCTCCCCTCCCTCCGTCAAAGAGGTCTTCTTCAGGGTCTGCCTAGGGGAGACTAGTACATGTTGGCAATGGCTGCGGCGGTGCCAACGACCTACCGCAACAGTCTACACCCCCGGGCCTGCGCCATGAATATAAGTAAGTGACTCATGCGAAGGTACCCAATGAGTCGACTCACAATTCTCCTGAGTCTAAGGCAGCTGCCAGTCAGTGGCGGCGTTCTGTACGAGGCCGCGATGCTCTTGCCAGTGGCAGAGTCGTATCGGTTACCATAAATGGTAATCGCTCATGTATTCGAGCGTCCCGACTCGGAGGCGTCACGGCTGTTCAAACGTTCAACGTTGTCAACGTTCAGTGATCAAACTGGACCCAGAACCATTCACGTTTAACTCGCGCTCGATACACACTGTCACTCCGTTCAGGAACCCCTATCCAACGCCGGTCTGACTAACTATACAGAACGTTGCTGCCGCCGGACTTCACTCATCAATGTAAGTTCAACTTTAGTATTCAGCCTGGAGATCATCTAGCGACACGGTATACTCAGCACCTCACATGCGCGTTTCTCTTTGACCTGCTGCTGGAACCTGGAGATGCCAGATTGTTCAAGTCAACTGTGTCCACTGCACAGAATGGGAACGTCGCTTCCCGACCACCCGGCGTCTCGACACTCACGATTTTGTGACATGCCCGAGATCGTAACACACAGGAACAAGCTTTAATTGGCACACGGACTGACCCGGACGCCAACTACGGATATTGGCTATTCGTGACCCATGTAGCGTCAGTACAGCTCGGTCGCGAAAGCTGCGAGCTGCGACCAGCCTAGTGGTGGAAGCGGGACGCCCTCTTGTATCCTCTTGTGCCCGCAGCCTCACCAAGCTCAGCATCATGCCACCGGAAGAAAGAACCAAAGCAGATATGGCGACAGCGAGGGCACGTACGACCCTTGACATCGAGCAAGTGTGCTACTTCTTGTATGGTAAGTACCTCCCTGGATCTCCGTGACTACCAGATACTCACTATTTCTCATAGGTGGCAAAGTAAATTGGGATGTACGCACTCGTTTACTGAAAGTTGTATCTGAAGACCCGGTTTTCGACAAGTCAGACCGGTATGCAGAATGAGAAGAGACGAGTTGACTCAATGACAACTGACGAGCAGGCCATTCATGACACGCAAGGACCGGTACAAACGGGCTATAAGAATGACCAACAGGATCTACGAGCTTCAAGACATCTTTGGATGGTCCAACGCAGAGACAACAGAGGCACTCGACCTAATAGACGAAGAGCTGCCCATTCACCTGAGTTCCGCTAGTGAGTACTGCAGTCTGTCGATGGTACGGGTATTGACTCGAATCCGTAAGCATTTGATCCTGTCTTCATGGATCAATGTGGTCCCAACTTGCGCAAGAAGTACAGCGAACTAGTAATCAATCGAGGTATACAAGGGTGAGCACTGAGCGCGTGTATACCTTGGAGAGGCATGTCTGACTTGTAGCAAGTACATACCTGCAAACTGAGCTCGCGCATGGCTCGGACGTCGCCTCATTGGAAACGACGGCTACCTACTTTCCAGAGAAACAAGAGTTTGAGATACACTCGCCGACGCTGACGAGTACCAAGTGGTGGGCAGGCGCTGCAGGCCGAACAGCTACACACGGCGTCGTACAGGCGCAGTTGATACTTCCTGGCGGGAAGGCCATGGGTCCCCATTTGTTCCTCGTCCAACTGCGTTCTCTAGGTGAGATAATTCTGTCCATCCCTGCCGATAGTCAACCTCATCCACTATAGATGACCACAAGGCACTTCCAGGGATCATGATTGGTGATATCGGTAAGGGTAGCTTCCTGGAGTGGTTACGGTGTTATGTCAGTGCTGATCATGAATTGACAAGGCCCCAAGGCAATGGGAGGTTACGGAACAGTCGATAATGGGTTTGCGAGATTCGACCGAGTCCGGATTCCAGGAGAGAACATGCTCTCAGAGTACTCGCAAGTCACAGAAGACGGCCGTTATATCCGGCCGCCTCATGCCAAACTGAGTTATGCAGGGGTAAGTCAATGAACAGCTCTCCTGAAAATTTGCATTGACACATCCCACCATAGATGATGGTCGTACGCTCGCTGTAAGCATGAACATGATAGATCCGAGCCACTGTTCTGACAGTCAACCCTCTTCAAGCCTCGTGGGCAAGGGTGCATGGGTCATGGCGAAAGGTACTACATTCCAGTCAATGGGCAGCATCCGCTGACAAGTGAGTAGCGGCAACCGTATCTATCCGATACTGTATGGTTCGTCGACAAGGGAACCGAGGCGCAGATGGGCTCGAGCGGCAGGTCATAACTTACCCCGGGGTGTACTACCGACTGCTGCCAATTCTGTCCCACGCGTACATCTTCGTTATACTTGGTCGGAGCTTGGTGAATGCCTTCAGTCTCATTCCGCCTCATTGAAGCTCACTTGCCTTGCCTTCGCAGCTCGTGCAGATGGAGGTCATGAGCAAGCAGCTTGCAGTCGGGAATGTGTCCATGGTGTCGGAGATGCATCTGACATCGTGCGCGCTCAAGATCCTCGCAACGACCATGGGCGCTCAGGACGCGGAGACGGCGCGCCGAGCTATGGGAGGACACGGCTTCAGCGAGTTTGCCGCTATAGGGAGGTACTATGCTGACTTCCTACCTACCACGACGTGCGTGTTCCCATCGGCATCGTGTTGCGTCGCTGACGACAGTCCCATACACAGCTATGAAGGCGATAACTTCGTACTAGACCTACAGATAGTTCGCGGAGCGCTCAAAACCTACAAGACCCTGCAATCATCCGGATTCTCCGCCAATGCTGCGGCGAAGCTTCCTCCGTCCTCTGCTTACATGCGCTCGTTGCTTCCAGAGTTTGCGACGGAAGTCTCTGAGCCTGATTGGACCAGTCCGCGACAGGTGGTCGGTCTTCTCGAGAGGCGTGCCGCAGCGATGGTCAAGAACCGTGCGGACACAAAGGACGTTGATCCAAGCATGGACAATCGTGTCTCGAAGGCTGTGGTAGACGCTTACCTCGGTGCTCAAGTCCGTGGACTGGTCGAAAATCTACGGGACGTCCTTCCGTCCCGAGAAGCGAGTGTTGTTGGCAAGCTGTGTACTCTGGTACGTGCTGCTAGTCATATTATCAGTGAATAACTGCTTATGATCCGATCTAGACGCTGCTGGCGTTGGCCGAGTCTGGGTTGGTGGACATTCTATCTTTCGGATTGTTGCCACAGAAGGCTGGTGAAGACCCTTCAAAAGTTTTGCGCACGGCTATCGATCTTCTATGTATTGAGCTGCTTCCGGAGGCCATCGGCCTTACCGACGCCTTTGGGTTCACCGACTGGCAACTCGATAGGTGAGCAGTCTTCTGTTCGCGGTTTCACGACTCTGCCTGACTGCTCCGGATGAAGTGCGTTAGGAGTCTACAATGGCAGTGTCTACGAACAATTATGGACTCGTGCTCAGATGGAACCTCTTAATGCAGAAGAGCCTGTTTGTGGCTATGAGGTGCGCCAGGACTCTATCACGGAGTCTGTATCATCTGACATGTATAATCAGCAATATATCAAGCCTATGCTCCGCCGGGGTCGTCGATTATCTGCAACGCGGAAAGCAAAGTTATAGTTTGGAAAGTTGTTGGATGGGCGATGGCTGTGTTGCGACGTTGCGCTGATTGTCAGTACTTCTGCAACGCCTCTCTAAATCCTTTGCGAGTCTTCTTATACCCACAAAGCTCCATATATCTGACGCTGATCACGTCTCCTACTTAGGGCCATGAACACAGTACACGTACCGTCCATTGGGACCACATAATCGCCTCTGCGTTGAGAACTTGTCATGAAACATGACAATTGATCTTTAGCAGAGGTTCTCAATCCAATATGAAGGCCGCGTATTTTGGGTTTTAGTCTCGTGGTGCCGTGGTGTCATAGCGTGGCTATTGCATCTGTCCAAGTCCACTCAACTTCTCCCGGGCGCGTTGATACATAGATATAGCTCAGGCTCGTTGCCCAAGGAAGATCAAGGATAACTCGGTGCCTTCCGGATCTCGAGTCGAGAACGTATCATGTGGGTACGCGTGGCGCGGGCACAAGTGTCACTAGACGTGGGCTTCGCGTCGTACGATTGACACCTCACTCGAAGCACATTCAAACAAGCCAATGTGCATACGAGGCTCGATCAGTATGTACCAAAACTCTATGTGTTCTCTCTGGTTGCTCATGACCTGGGTTGAAGGCTTCTATCCAGCAGTGATCAATGCAACAGGTGATGCAATCTAGACTCTAGACTCGAACCATCCGAACTCTGCGACTGACGATTCAACAAAGACTTGAAGTTGCTATGTCAGGGCGTCCGTTTGATGAGAGCCTTCTGGATGCGCATACACTGTGGCAGGCTGCACTTTCATACAACCGGCGAAATGGTATCATCACATACACGCATGTGAACAGTGATTTTTAACACTTGTGACCCTGACAGCGGCCACCCTGTAGGCTGTGTATACCATACATCATAGGGCAGTGCGACCTTCACGTTCACTTCACACAATTCATATAATCGAAGCTGATTGGATTTGCATCATCTCAGTGGTTCATATATAGTGGCACTTATATAATAGCCTCGCTATCGTCAAATCGTGAAGGCACAAGCAGACATGTCACCACTACCAAGTATCGCCAACATACTTGGGCCTGCGTGTATAGGCATCATCGTATCAAGCATGTATGTGTCACGCTCTAAGTCCTTGCACGAAGGCTAATATGTACCAGCATATTCGGCATCAATTGCCTGCAGCTGTATTTTTATTACACCAAATATGCCAACGGAGACGGCGCGACACTCAAAATCTATGTACGAGAAATAACACCCGAGGATATACCGCTCACAACTAATGCCTCCTTCGAAGGTCTCTGCTCTCATGTATGACGCCAGCGTTATCACTGTCCCATGTCCCACACTAAAGTGCTGTTTGTTAGGGTGGTCGATACTCTGCACGTCTTACTGTTAGTGATATCATACTATCACTACACGGTGACGTATTTCGGGGACATATTTGCCCTGGCCTATGGTTACTGGTACGTGTCGCCTGGTGTTCGTGCTTGGCTTACAACGTGATTTACATACCTTGCAGGACATTGCTGGTACGACCGTGTGCAAGTGTCGCCATATACAGCTGACCATCCTTCAGGCTGAGGTCGCTGTCGGTGTGAGTGTAAAAGCAATGCTGATACCTGTATAAAGACTGTTGCCATCGTTGACCTGCTACTGCTTGAAGGGTTTGCTTGTCACTATGGTGCAACTGTACGGAATCTCACACCGCACTGATGTGTGATACAACTGACGAGTCGCTGCATCAGTTATTTCGCTTTCCGGGTTTACACCCGTGAGTTCGCAGTGTGTGCGCAGAAGAAACAATCATTGACGAAGTACTGGCACAGTATCCGGGAAATGTACTCTTCTACCTGTGGTTATAGTACGTACAAAGGCCGCCTCAGGCTGTGTGCAAGGCTGATGATCAACTCCTTGACCAGTCTATCTTGAGCATTTGTGGGCTCGGTAAGTCGGTCGTCATAGAATGCACAGCTCAATAGATATTGATGCTACGATAATCAGCACTTAGCATAGGTGCGTGTTGGGTTCCGTAATGGTCTACAGGGTCAATGCCATCCTGATTCCTCGGTTCCGCCAGTGTTCACCGTCGTTGGGTAATTCCACGTGTCAAAGCGCATGCTCGAGCACAACTAATTCGAGACTTAGACTCGAGATCCATCTTTTCGCTTCAGGCGAACGTCTGAAGGTGCATTTTCCTGAGGACTCTGGGAGTCGTTCGTTGTGTGACTGAACTTTCTCTGCAGCCATATAGTGCAGCGGGTCTCAGCGCCGAGCTAGCATGCGATGTACTCATCGCGGGCACCCTCATCTACTATCTACATGCGAAACGGACCGTCTTCCCTCGGTGAGTCGTGACTGTGACCTCGTTACACACTAACTTACGCGTGCGTCCACTTGTAGAACGAATCGTGCAATCAACCTTCTCATTATGTATGCGCTGAACACATGTCAGTGTTCTATGCTTGTATCACTGTAATAACACGCTCATTCAAAGCATCCCGGGTATAGGCTTGCTGACTACGTATGGAACCATCGCACTCGCAGTCGCGGCCATCATCGCTCACTGCCCTGTATGTACAGAATATTCACGATTATCGATTTGACACTGGTAAGTGCGCTCGATCTCTAGAAGTGCAGTTGTACTGATGAGAGTAGTTTCTGCTCTTCCCGGAAACCATGATATACACTGTGTTCTTTTTTGTGCTGATCCGCCGTGCGTCATGGCCCCTGCCGAGTCCTCATACGGACGCTGACCGTTTACCCTCAGTATACACCTGCTCTATGCTGTCTACGTGCGTACCAACCAAACCCTATACTACGGGGCCCAGGCTCACACGCGGGTTGTCTAGGCTCAACTCTCGCGAGAACGTGAGACATGCCCTGGGAACCCACGACACTGTCAACATTCTCCCGGCCAGGATCAAATTCGGGAGGTGTTGTCCCGAGGCTGACTCAGAGCTACTAGTATCTGCGGACACGGCGGCCACCAAGTGCACGCATACCGCGCAGACGGATTCGAACCCGTCGTGCGTCTAGAAGGAGCTTATTTATATTCTATGCTGTCCTTCCAGTCGTTGCAGGGCTTGCTTGTGCACGGTGAGATTGATCAAGTACTCAGCACGGGATGTGTACCACGGAGGCTTTGTGAGAGGATTGGCTATGTACACCATAAATATCATCATTCACTCGAGAGAACACTACTTCAGACAGTTGAAGAACCGGACGGGCATTCATGTGAGCTATTTCGCGAGTGCGACGCGAGCATAGATGAAATGATGTTTAGTCAAAATCTGAGAGGAAGTCGTTACTCGATTCTTTGAGCTGGAGTGGGTACGATCCTCCGAGATCATGTCATCCACACGCAAGCCCTCAAACTCATACTGACACAATACGGCGATGATGCCAGGCAAACATACAACATTCCTTCGGCGATTCGACAACGTCTACATTCAGTACATCCATAACCTTCACCAGTAGACAATTAAACGTACCGCGTTTGCTACTTTACAGTGTACAAGTCCATGTATCCGCGCATCACTCATCTTCATCTTCGTCGTCGCCACCCTCGTCCGGCTCTTCTTCCTCCTTGTCTTCACCCTCTTCCTTCTCTGCCTCTTCTTCCTCCTCTTCATCGGACACGACAACTCGTTTCTTTTTCGATGACGACGACGGTGCAGGCTTGTCCTTGGGTTTGGACGAAGCTGACGGTTCAGATTTCTTCTGCTTCGATGTGGCGCTGGCAGGCAACCTGGTCACCGCCTTTGTTTTCGATCTCTTCTTGGGACGCTCCTCCTCTTCGTCCTCTTCGTCATCATCGTCATCCTTCCCGAATCCCTCGACTTTGGTGTAGTCTACGCGGATCCCGCGCGTCCTGCGGCCTCCGGTTATGATGTTACTGGTGTCCAGTGCTCCGAGTTCATCTGTGACACGCATACAAGTTATCAGACGAGAGATACCGTTGATCACCCGTGGAAAGACACACCTTCGTCGACCCCAGCATCAGAGTCGTCGCCGCCTTCGACTTCGTCTTCAGACTCCTCGTCACGCTTAGACCTGTGCAATCATGTTCTCTTCCGGTCTCGAACGAGATGCTGATAACAATGTACTTACTTCTTGCTTTTCTTTTTCTTGTCGCTTTGCGTCGGTTCGGCCCGTCGTTTCGTGCGGGAGGACATGACTGTCGCAGACAAGTCCTATGTAGTTGAGCGAGACGGAGGCGGAATCTCGTCCTCCCCCTCGGGCGCTCAATTGAGAGACTCGATCACGTATGTAGCGCCGGGGAGATGCCGAGATGTATTCCGAGATCCCTGATCGGGCAGATCGCTAATTCTCTCGACTCAATTTCCTGTTCAATTTCCGTTCCATTTCCCCCTCCATTCCCTCTCGCTCCCCCGTTCACTCCCCCGCGTTTCACCCTTCCTGTTCGTGCAACTTGTAAGTTATGTCTGAATCTGCAACTGCGACACCCGCTGTGGAGGAAGTGAGGATGGAGGTAGGGGATGCGAGCAGCGTGCCAATTGAGGTCAAACAGACGGAATCCGGGTCTGTGGCGGTCCCTCCGACGGTCGCGAAGACGGCGGGCGACGCGGGGTCAGACGACAAGCAGGCGACCAACGGGAGCGATGACGAGGATAAGTTTCGCGCTGCGCGGCAGAGTACGTGAGATGTAGCTATGCCCTATCGTGACTTGTGTTGACTAGCGTCCATTTAGTCGAGTTCTATTTCGCGGACTCTAACCTCCCCTTCGACAAGTAAGCATTACTACGCACCACAGACTCGTATGCTGAATGGGATGCGTAGGTTCATGTGGACATTGCACACGGCAAACCCCGAACACTGGGTCCCTCTCTCCACGGTATCGTCCTTCAAACGCATGCGTGAATGGCAGAAGCACGGTCATGCCTGGATCGCCGACGCGCTCCGCATGGCATCTGAACTCGAGGTCAGTGAGGACGGCACCAAGGTGCGTCGGCGCACGGAGGTGCAGCCGCCCAAGGACCAGTTCGAGAGGAGTATCTACGCTGTGAGTCAGGTCTCGCTGGGTCGCGTCTGCATCTTAAGGCAGCGCTCAACTACAGAAAGGATTTGGTACGGATGAGGACGGCGAGACGCAGGAGAAGCTGGAAAGCTTCTTCAACAAGTATGGGCGGACGAACGCTGTGAGGATGCGGAGGACGGAGGACAAAACGTTCAAGGTGAATGACTGTGTATTGCCGTCGTCACCGTGTAGTCTAACTTTCGCTCTTAGGGCTCCGTATTCGTCGAGTTCACCGACTTCAAGTCCGTCGGGATTTTCCTTAACGCCGACCCTAAGCCATCATGGAACGGCGAGGAGCTGAAGACCATGACAAAGTGCGCCTCAGGTCCCGTCCATGTCGTACTATCTAACTCATCATCACCAATCCGCCAGAGAGGCCTACTGCGAGATGAAGATCAAGGAGAAGGGCCTCACGGGCAAGGCCGCACGGATGCGCAAGCAGTCGTTCCAGACCGGCAGGGGCTTCAACGCGTTCCGCGAGATGGAGGAGGCGAAGAAGAACAAGGACAAGAAGGACAAGGGAAAAGGGAAAGAAGAAGAGAAGAAGAAAGAGCCAGAGGTCTTCATCGAGTTCATGGGCAGCAAGATCCGCGTCGAGCAGGGTGAAGAGGGCGGGACCGTCAAGGACGAGGACGTCCCTCTCGTGAAGGGTGCGTCGTTAACTTTCGCGGGGGCGGGCGAGAGCGTGACCTTCGATGAGATCAAGGTCTGTTGGGGCTTTGTCATACGTGTATCCGACTCACTAACCCACTGGCAGAGCCCGCTGAAGGAGCGCTTCCCGCGCGCACCGTACGTCAAGCACACTCGCGGAGAGAGCTCCGGTCTCGTTGGGTTCGAGAAGGCCCTTACAGAGGACGAGATCGCGTACGTCAAAGAGCACCTCAAGACGCTCGGCGGAAAGGACGTCTCTTGGAGCATCCCCGATGGTACGTCACATTTCATCGACCCCTCCTCTTGTCTCACATCTCTGCAGAGGAGACGGAGCGTGCCTTTCAGCTTGAGCGCGCACAAGGCTCTGCCCGCCGCGCCGTACATTACAGCCAGAGCAGCCGGGGCTCCAGCAGAGGCCGAGGCGGTCGAGGGCGTGGCGGCCGTGGTGGACGCGGTGGAGGCCGTGGTGGCGGACGCACACGGAGTGGTCCCAAGGAGAACGGCGCGGGCGCAGGAGCGGCTGCAGCCCCGGGCGAGGAGCAGACCGGTGAGAAACGCAAACGCGCAGTTGAGCCTGATGGTGGCCCGACCGTCGGTCAACGCGGGCTTGCCGTCCCAGTCATCCAGAGCGCGAAAAAGGCGAAGACGGACGAGGGGTCGTCATGAGTAGTCAAATTGGTTCGCGGCCTGAAGAAGCATTACTAGGTTCGATAGCGGTCAAAGCATTATTGTAGTTGTAACTTGTATCGAGCATTGGGCATTTGTTTCGCATGTATCTGTCGACTTCTCGTGTGTACTCATGATTGATTTACGATTGCAACGCGTCTTTCTTGAGTGCCAGCACTGAGGATGACATTCATGCCAGAGGCACAGGACCACGGGATTGTAGATGAGGTGGAAGTTATGTTGCGCGCCTGCCCTTCACTTTCGTCGAGTCGGATCCCCGTGAAATACCAAGTCGTTGATATTGAATATTGATGACTTGGACTCGTCTCAGCCTTCCGATGACATCAAAGACGCGTGAGTAGACCAGCGACAACGCAGTCAATAGGGTAACGCGTCGTTCGACAGCTCTACTTAGTGTGTTAGATGAAACCTGCACGTATTCGGAGTACTGGCCACGGCATGCATTACATATGGATCATCCAAGAAGCCTAGTGTACAAGAGAAACTCGAAAGTTGCAAGCCAGCAAGAATGCTCGTCAACGTGTCATAGTCCGTGGGTCCAACTGATACAACGATACGCGTCCCTCTAGATTGGCTTGTAGATTGCCTACGAGAGCCTTCAGCCTAAGTCATCCCAGTCGTGAAGCAAGAATGCGTACCTTGATCTCGTCAGCATACCGCTCCGCCACCTTCCGCCGCTGCACCTTCTGCGCAGCCGTGACCAGGCCGCTCTCCGGCGTCCATTCATCCGCCGTGAGGATGATGCCGTCGAGGATCTCCATCGGCTTGAAGCCATTCTTCTTGCCGACGGCATTGCATTCCTTCATCACAAGCTCACGGACGCGGTCGTCCTTGCAGAGGTCGGGCAGGCCCGTGTGTACAGACAGGCCAAGTGACTTGCTCTCGAGCGCGTACCGGAGGTTCTGCTCGTGCGGGATGATGATCGCGATGGGCTGCTTCGCGTCCGGGTGTGCGTGTACGCAGACGTTGGCGACAAGATTGCATGACTTGTAGACGGACTCGAGTCGCTCGAGCGCGATGTACTGCACAACGATCGGTCAACGAAAGTTCCGACAAACAGGCTTGTGTCATGGCTTACCTCTCCCCCTGACAGCTTCACCAGGTTTTTGATACTAACCAGACAGACATCAATACCTCGCCAATCTCCCATTAATGAGATGACACGAACCGGTCAATCAATGAGAGGGTGCCGTCCGGATTCCACTGACCGACATCACCTGTCCGGAACCAGCCGTCCGGCGTGAAGATGGTTGGGTCCTTGTTCAGGTCGTCACGTTTGAAGTAGCCCTTGGTTAACGACGCGCCGCGAACCCAGACCTCGCCCTGTGGAGGATTGTTCGTGGACAGGTAGTTCGCCTCCGGGACGTCCTTCAGCTTGATCTCCATGGAAGGCACCGGCAGGCCGACCTCGCCGAATCCTGAGTACTCCGGAGGGAAGACGGTGGTCATACCAACCGTTTCTGTGAGGCCATAGCCTGTGCAAGCAAGTACGTGAGCATACGAGAAGTGGTGACGCTTGAGTGCACAAACCAGGGACCATCTTCACGAGAGCGAGGCTGAGGAACTCCTGCGTTTCGATGCTGAGCGCAGCACCTCCCGAGAGCGCAAGACGCAGCCTGCCACCCGTCGCCGCCCGCACCTGCGAGAACACCGCGCTGTCCGCGAGCTCGCTCAGGCCAGGCACACCCGCCTTCTTGATCGACACCGACGCGTTGAACATGCCCTTCTTGAATGACCCGCCCTGGTTCACCTTGCCCTCGATGCCCTTCCGGATCGTCTCCCACACCTGCGGCACGCCAACCATGATCGTCGGCTGGAAGGCGCGGATGTCGCCCAGGCAGTTGCGCACGGACGTGTCCATCAGCGTCTTCACCCGCGCGTACCCGAACTTCATCCCCACGAAGAACAGACACATCTCGACGATATACTCGAGCACGTGCGACAGCGGGAGGTACGCCAGGTACGCGTCGTCCGGCTTGAGGTGGTGCCCGATGTACGTGTACACCGCACCGACGGACGCGATCGCGTTCGCATGCGAGATCATGACCCCCTTCGGCGGGCCCGTCGTTCCGCTCGTGTACATGATGCACGCCGTGTCCTCAGGCACTGGCCGCCGCGCCTTCAGCGTTTCCTCCGAAGCGCCCTTGCCGAGCTGCCGCAGCTCGTCGAGGTGCAGGACGCGTACACCCTCGCGCGCCGTCCGGATCTTCTCCAGGAGCGCCTCGTCCGCCTTGCCGTCGTAGATGACGACACGCAGACTCGGCACGTTCGGCGCCACGTTCGCGACGACCTTGAGCAGCTCCGCGTTCGTGAACATCGCCACGCACTCCGGCTCGTTCAGCGCGTGCTGGAGGCCAGACTCGCCGAGCGTCTCGTACGCGGTCGCAATGGCTGTCGCGATGATCGCGCAGCCGTACGATATCATTTGCCAGCTCGGGCTGTGGGGCAAGTGAGATGTCAGCATCGGTGTGAGATAGTTCGAATACAGAAGGGAACTAAACCCGCACAACTCTCGCTGCATCATCCTCTGGTACTACGAGGCGCGCCGGAGAGACTAGTACAGCCGAAAGGTATGTCATACTGCCGCTGACATAAGGCGTATTTGGCGAGTGGACGCGTGTACCAGCAGCGGCTGCGGTCGGAGATAGCTGGGGGTCCCCGCTGCAGCATCCCGAAGCACAGGCAGCGGGTGGACGAGAAGCAGACTCGGCTAGGCAACGAATTACAACGAGAACAGACGTACGTGGTAGCCGCGTAGATGTTGACGACGTCTGTTTTCTGGACACCGAGCTCGAGCAAGGCTCCGGCGACCTCGACTGCAGCGTCCTTCACTTGCTGGAAAGTGAGGTACTTGTAGTCGCTGAGCTGGAAGTACTTCCAGGTCTTCTTCTCCTTGACCTCCTTCCCGCCCACGACCTTCGTGACCTCCTTCTCCTCCTCGTGGATTTCGACGACGTCGCGGGAGCCGTACGACTGCCTGGTGCCGTGCGTGCGCGCGGCGTACATGAGGACGTCGTAGACGGTGTCGATGCCCTCCCATGGCTGCGTGACGAGCTTGTCGCGTGCCAACACGCTCCGTCGTATCCGCGTCTCGCCGTCGACCTTTTCTGGGCCGACTTCGACAGAGCCAGGTTTCGGAATGCGTGTAGGGGGCATGGTGGTGGTCGGGAGTAAGTCGGGAGACGCGGGCAGCAGACCCGCTTCCCTTGCGCTTCCCCAGTGGGACCTGTGATGTCAATGGGGATTGGCCATGTATGGGCATGCCTGTGTATTAGGTAATCCCCTCCGCGCTCGTAGGAGGCCACGCGTCGGACGCGCGTGACCGTGTCGCGTCGGCCAGACCACCAATAGACCACCCTCCATTTGTCTCGAATGTGGCTCAGAACGATTTGACTTCAAAATACTGAGCAGACAGCTCACAGTTACTTGTTGTAATGCGAAAATCAAGTACTGGTTTCCGGATCACTCGGATATGACTGGCAGTCGCTTCAAGGAGGCTTCAAGGTGCAAAATCATTCAAATTGTGCTGTCAATATTGTGGTGGTCTGGCCGCGGCGGCAATGACGATGCGTGCAGTGCTTCGCGTAAGTATAACACTTTCCATGGACACAGTACTTACTGTACCGTCGTACCGGGGCCCGACTTTCTGAATATCACTCGTCAGCGGTAAGTCAAAACGAATGCTACATACCGTTGGATCGCAAGAGGCGCACCAGCAATTGGCCCTTCCAGGATGCTTCTTATCACGACCTACCACGACACATCTTACGAGTTACGTTCGCCGGGTATATTAGGGCCTGTTCGGTAACGAGTTCGAGTTAGAGTTACCGCAACTTCTTGCCCATATATGGTAGACTCTATTACAATACGCGGAATAGTCTTATGGCAAGTACAGACGCGTTTACGTGCACTCACGGACCAGTGACCGATTGCAAGGTGGATTTGCATACGATATGGAATTAACAGTCAAGTCTACGCTTCCATACCGAAAGTGCTGAGGCTGGCATTGCTCTCCTTGCCCTCGTGTTGCTGCAAGGTCCAACTCTCATCCACAGCGGCATGCAAAGGGAGCGCTTTCATGATGAGGCTCGAGACAAACCCGAGACCAGCGATGGCGAGGAGGACTTCCCAGATGACCTTGAGGCTGGCTGCGAAGGCTTCCCGGACCTCTGTACGTAGTGGTTCCGGGAGATCTGCTATGGCAGGGATCGTGGCATACGCAACGACTGTCCCCTCCGGGAAGTGGGCGGTGAAGGTGGGCGGTAGGTGTTTTTGAAGCTCGTTCTGAAGGACAGTTCCGCCGATCGTGACTCCCCAGACCTTTAGCCATCTATCAGCAACGAAGAGCAGAGGCAACGGAATAATAGCCACGCACCAAAGCAAAGTTACGCAGGAACATGAAGAATGCAATAGCAAGGCCGTTCTGCGAAACGTGGACTAATCGTGCGCCACGTCAGGCTATTTCGGAGATAGATAGAAGAGAAGACTCACGCGGCGCGAGGACGGGGAAGTACGTCGAAAATGCTAGGAGTCCACAGCCCAGCGCACTCGGTACGAGAAACCCGATAGTGTGTCCGAGAGGCGTGTCCGCATCCAGCGTGAGTAGTCCCGTCCCGATCATCATGGATATCCAAGCCGTCCACAGTGGTAGCCTGTAGCCGCCTGTGCGATTGACGAACACGCCTCCAAGAATACCGACGGGCGCGAGGACCAACGAAAAAGACAACACATCTACACCGGAACCGATTGCAGAGGCCCCCTTGCATGCTTGTAGGTAGACTGGGATGTAGTCTGTGTCAATCGGTCAGTGACCATCTTGCGTGTCGTTGCAGCTGGAAGCCTCACAGACGGTTGCGATCATTACTATTGGCATCATGATGACGAACGTCTGCATGTAGCCACTGACTCCCGTGATTGTGGAGAGTAATGTAGCAGGAACCTATCGAAAGGTGAGCCATGCATGGACGCCGGATGAAGCGAGACATACCAGTGGATATGCTGGGAAGATGCACTCATATGTTATGAACGCTGCCATTCCCACGAGACCGATGATGAGGGGTGCTAGCGATGGCGCCGAGCCCCAGGAGTACTGGACCGTGACGCCGCTCCAGGTGAGCCCGATGACGCAAGCAGTCGTCGCGGCGATAACAAGGAACGTGCCACTGAGACGAACGCTCATGAATAAACACGGAATGCTATAGACGGAAAAGATCCACCTACAGCCAGTCGATTCTGCGAATCTTCTCCTTCAGGGTTCCTGGCGTTGCCCGGACACGCAGGAAGAGTATCATTATGGCGCCAGCTACTCCGCATATTGGGATATTGAGATCTGTACATCAACATGAGCACGTTTCCTCCGGTGAGCGTGAACACTACCTACAGAAGAGCCACCTCCATTGGCCATTCTGAGCAAGGGCGCCGCCAACAATTGGCCCGATTCCGCTGGCCATCGCCCATGCACTGGAATGACCTATATGAATGATTTGCCGGCCATTGTAAGGAGTAGAACTTACATTCCAATCAAACCGTTATAAATACCACGCTCGCTGAGGGGCACAAGGTCGGAAATAATAATGGCAGTCGTAGCGGAGATTCCTCCGCCACCAAGCCCCTGGACGGCTGTCGTGCTTTTGTCAACGAGCAGGACGAAGATCTAGTGGTACAGAACGTACTCCGTCCTGCGATCAGATGGGTCATACTCTTTGCAGATCCACAGAGAGCACTGCCTAGAGCCATGATCGCCAGAGATGACAGGATCACGATGCGTCTCCCGAATATCTGTGGGAATGCAGATCATGATTACCGGCGCGACTCTCGTTCGATCTCATGGATAAACATACAGTACCTGGGAGAGACCTCCGCTAAGGGGGATGAAAGCCGTCCCTGCTAGCGTGTACGCCGAGCCGACCCATATGAACGATGAGCCATGTAAATCCTGGGTGATGGTTGGAAGTGCAACAGAGACCGCTGCCTGTTCACCATATCAGTGAGCGGTGCTGTGATCAATGGATCGAGTAGGAAAAGCGACGCACCAGCTCAAGAGCAGTAATCATTGTGGCTATGCCGACACCAAGGAAGACAAGCCAGAAGCGTGCATCTCGCGGCTGTTTTTCCTGATCGACTACCTTCGCAGCAAGGGGCAGCTTGGACTCTGTCGCGTCAGGAAGTGGCACAAGGTAAACATCGCGTGTGTCCGTGATCATCTCGACAATGGGACACTGAAACAAAATAGAAATAGGATAAGAGAAGCGGCCGGAAGTGAGATCAGGAAAAGAGTGCGTAAGAAAAGCCCTCGACGGACGAAGCAGGCGGGAGGATTAGATATCGAATACAGACAAGCTTATGAGCTCCTTTATACATGACGGTTATGGGCCTATCATATCGAGTGGTGCGGCGGGCGGGTGGCGCTCATGATCAAAACGCAAGGACGCATAGCAATGGCACGCCCGATGTCATCCCTGCGCGCCCATTCTGAGCAATGAGCCGCAATCACTATGGGCGCTGGAGCCGGTCAATACAGAGGTTGATCGTCACCAGTGCAGATGCGTTGCTCGTCCAACGTTTTTTGTTAGCGATGCATATGTCCTGTATCGAAGGTACAGTGAATCGAAGGTACAGAGGGCAGAGTGCATAAACACATACCATTTGAATGAGGGAACATGACCAAATCGAGGATAGATAATGAGGCGGCCATGTCGGCCCGTACGCAACCAGCTATCAGTTCGGCAAGCAATTCAAAGTACTAGAGAAGGGCGCATCAGCGAGCTGTCCGACTGCAGGAGACAAGCGCAGGCAGTGCTCAGTACCATTGAGGAAAATGATGCGAGACGTGGGACTTGACGTTCGTGAGGTCCCCGTGAAGACGTGCTAAATCTCATTGGCACTGGGCCAGCTGATAGCTTGGGGACCGGCATGGCTAGTTTGTCCATTACTTAGCATGGAATTCAATTCGAAGTTAGTGCACGCAGTCGGGCAGTTTTGCACGAGCCGCGCCACCGACGCGCTCGAAGAAACCACATTTATCCGCGCGTGCATCGCTCACTTGCATATTGTTTGCGTGTAACTGTGTTCAGTTGTACAACGTTCAAGTCCGAGCAAAAATCACACACGTGAGGACTGCAGGTTTTATAGGCACTTCGGGTGCGTATGAGCGGACGGCGCGACACATTGACCGTGGTGATGCAGGCGTCTGCGGTTCAGAGGCTGGAGCTGAGCTGTCGGCGAACGTCGTTCCGAAGGCCATCCGAGAACCCTGCTGGCATGATCGTGTTGTGGATACTAGCTAAGCAACGGAGTGGGATTCTCACCTTTCTCGGCGGCCTCATTGGAGTTGACAACTGTCAACATATCTGAGTCTGTAGTAATGAGAGGAGGATGTTGGATTCGAATGAACGTCATGAAGGGCCCGGAGGCCTACTCATGCGGCGAAGTTGGAGGAGAGCCCGACACTCCTTCATCACGTGCCTCGCACAGATCGTAATCTGCCGTCGCCACACCCACGTTGCAACGCCGCGAACAAGCCGACTACTTCAATACTGCACTCAAATCCTCACGCAAAGCGGTTGATAGCCTCACCATGTGATACGTGAAGATTCGCGCATGCGCCTCATGCCAGTACATGAGCCCGAAGGACTTGTGATCGATCGTCGCGCGCACCCCGGACCCAGGGCCACTAGCACGGCGGCAGACAGGCCCTAGTCCTGCACAACAAAGGAAAGCCCACCGGGCTGCTCCTAGTTGTGCAGCATTTGTACTGAGGCATGATCACTGTTCGCCCCCGTCTGTGACTCGAGAGCATGGACCCCGGGCCGTCCACGCAAGGGACAGCACATCGTGTGTGGGACGTGGAGTCGCTCGATGTAGGCATTTTTTTCAGTCGACCACAATGATTTACCCAAGTGCCGAGTTGCACATGCCGTCACTGGACATCGGAAGTACGATGGTCCGTATTTGCAGGCCCGGCTTTTTACGACGTTGATCCTGCGCCGGCAACGACCACGGTCATATCTTCGCGGGCGGCGCGTCGAGAGAGGCGGTCTAGGATCAGGACGTCGTGGCTGCCACTGGCCGCATGGTCTCTACCCCACGACGGGTCCGTGTCTTTCGGGAATACCTCTTTGGGCGGGTCTCTAATGCCATTGAGAGCGCGCTGCCAGAGCCGATGCCCATGGCAGCTCGGGATCGCCACCGAGTCGCAAGCTGTGCGTGTGGCCGCCGAGTGCTCCAGTTTTCCACACGGCGGTCTTGTCAGTCCTAGCGTGCACAGCCCACCTACGCGGCCACGATGAGACATCGCCCACTATCATACACAGGGTGCAGGACAAGATAATATAACGCGAGTTACCTTGATGATACGTTGAAAATATGCATAAGGCCGACATCGTAAGTCACTCTATTATACGGTGAACTTATGATGTGACATGGTCACAGTAAGTCGAAGCCACTTACGCTGATAAAATGATGCTTAGAATGTGATGTCATGTCACACCGTAAGTTCACAGTAGTCGGCCGCCCCTTACGTTGACTCTATTGTGACAAAGCGTCACAACGTAAGTTCAAAGCAAGTCGTTGCGTGTTACGGTAATAGAAGCCTGTAGAAGTGTAGTTAACATCGAGATGTTGCGGTACACATATTTTAATCATATCCTGAACCTATTTCGAGTCGCCCACGAGGTTGTCTGGCGAGCGCTTGATGGCACGGTAGGACAAAGGATGGCCGGGACAGTCAACAACGGTCAAGGACGGTCAGTGACGGTCAGTAACCGTTAGTCAATACTGTGTAACAATGGGTACTTGTGTTGCCTTTTCCGCTATCGACGCATCCATTCTGAGGAGCGCGCCCGGGCCATTACCAAATTCGGTAATGCAACCGAGCACCCGCCGCTCGGACTGTCAGTGTCATATCAGAGCAGATGGCGGCTCAGCATATATTGCATTAGTTTATGCTGAACATATGCTAATGATATCTAATAGGCGGCAGACCGTCCTTGACTGTCCCAACCGTCATTGACCGCCACCGGCCACCCCGGGCCGCAGGAATCCGGGTGGCTTCGCGGGAACTGGGTAATCTGCCCTCGCTAATGGTGACCGTATCAGGACACCTTCAAGGTTTTTACCAGAATATGTCTGCACTACAGTATATGCTGACCCATCTACTCACTGAAATTCTAATCAGGGTGCCGCACACACTCTGATCATATCCCGAACAGACAGTTCCCGCGAAGCCACCCGGACTCCTGCGGCCCGGGGTGGCCGGTGGCGGTCAATGACGGTTGGGACAGTCAAGGACGGTCTGCCGCCTATTAGATATCATTAGCATATGTTCAGCATAAACTAATGCAATATATGCTGAGCCGCCATCTGCTCTGATATGACACTGACAGTCCGAGCGGCGGGTGCTCGGTTGCATTACCGAATTTGGTAATGGCCCGGGCGCGCTCCTCAGAATGGATGCGTCGATAGCGGAAAAGGCAACACAAGTACCCATTGTTACACAGTATTGACTAACGGTTACTGACCGTCACTGACCGTCCTTGACCGTTGTTGACTGTCCCGGCCATCCTTTGTCCTACCGTGCCATCAAGCGCTCGCCAGACAACCTCGTGGGCGACTCGAAATAGGTTCAGGATATGATTAAAATATGTGTACCGCAACATCTCGATGTTAACTACACTTCTACAGGCTTCTATTACCGTAACACGCAACGACTTGCTTTGAACTTACGTTGTGACGCTTTGTCACAATAGAGTCAACGTAAGGGGCGGCCGACTACTGTGAACTTACGGTGTGACATGACATCACATTCTAAGCATCATTTTATCAGCGTAAGTGGCTTCGACTTACTGTGACCATGTCACATCATAAGTTCACCGTATAATAGAGTGACTTACGATGTCGGCCTTATGCATATTTTCAATGTATCATCAAGGTAACTCACATCATATTATCTTGTCCTGCACCCTGTGATAGCTCAGCCTCAGTCCTTCGAGCGGTACGCCGTCTGGACGACCATCGTGAATTGAGGTAAGTAAGTACCGACGGGAAGACATCGCCGTCTCGACACTGCATCCCCCGGACGATCCACGGCAAGATCAGATGCATGACCGCGTAGTGTGGCTCTGCTAATAGCTGTCCTGTCGTCGATATCCAGACAACACGACCTGCTCCAGGAGCGGGCAGCGGAAGCCCGCGGCGATGCGTCAGTTGCCCGTCCTGCCCGACTCGCAAGTCGACTATGGGCTACCGTCGTATGGCAGCCGCCTTTCTTAATAGTCACATCAACCCTCGTATGCATCAGAAGTCTGGTAGCCATGACCGCCTGCGATATGAAACGATATGGCAAGGTCTGTTCAATATTACATTATACGGGGACTTCACTCCTCCTCGCCACCAAGAGTTGAGCCGACCGCCGCACTACGTGCCGTATAAGCTTCCTCGGGTAAAGATTACCGATACTGAATGTACTTACTTTGCAGCGTTGTAGCAGCCAGTTCCCGCAGCACCGGACCCAGAGTACTGGAGGATGGGATCAACGGGGTTCTGACAATTCGCGTTTGCGTAAATCGTGAAGCTGACTGCAGGGCAACATGAATGACTGCACATGGAGTGATAACCCTCACAAAAATCACTTACTCTCAGCGGCGTCGTCAGTTGCGGAGACATACACGGAGTTGATACCCGGAGGATACGGCGGCGTGCAGCATCCTCCGTCGCTCGCGATACAAGCTCCGTTCACGGGATCTATGAGGCGTACATTGTGTATGGCACTACAGTATGAGAAAGAGCTACGAACCCTTGCAGTCGTAGTCACTGAACCATTGGAACAGCTCCGCGCAGGCAGCAGTCGGAACCAGAGCAGTAAGAACAACGGCCACAATGGAAGTGGCTAGCATAGTTCAACAAGATCGAGTCGAATGAGAGCCGCGAATAGCTGATCCGAGACAAGGCGCATTGTCCTGAGTCGACCGGTGCACTTTATAGTTCTCCCAAGAAGCGCAAACATCCGCGGCGGATGCCAGGCTAGATTGCACTACCCGGAGCGCACATAGTGCTCGCTGTGTTGGACATGGAGGCAATGAAGCAATAACAGGTTAGCCTCGTGCTCTTTCGTATTACTAGATGTGATCCCTACCTCAGTGGGCGCCGGCGGAGGGAGCAGAGACAAAGATTAATGTCCAGAGCCATGGAACTGCATCATAAGCGGTGCAGCAGCTTGGGCCTCTTAGACGTATGTCCTGCTCCGAGTTGGTATCAAATGGACTCTCATCCAATCACGAAAACCTTAATGTGATGCTTCCTGTGCAATCGACAGTTATGTGATCTTCCGTAAATGTTAACACAACGAGGAGAGGAACTGACGCGCTCGACAAAGCCACGCTTATCTGCATGGCGCGCATCGTTCCCTCGCAGACTGTTTGTTTGTACCTCTATCTGGTCGATCGCCATCAAGCTCAGTTGTACAGGTCCGAGCAGAGACTATACACGTACTTCAGGTTGAAGTGCCTCATGCTCTCGGGCGCGGGTGGGCGTCCGTCTAGTTTAGGCGCGACACCTTGTTCATCACTGTCCCAGTCAATGGTGATGCAGGGGTCTACGATGCAGAAGCTGACGCTGGGCCGTCAGCAAGCTGCGAACACTGTTCCGAGAGCCATCGGAACGCGTCACGTTGACATCGTGCTGTGAATGGTCAAACAACGGAGTAGCACTCTCACCTTGACTTTCCTCAGCGGCTTCTTTGGAATTGGCAGCTGCTTTTAGTGTGTAGTGATGAGATTTCAACGTTCAACATCTGGTCCGAGTAAGCATCTTGCGGGCCCAGAGATGAACTCATGACCCACCAGAAGGTGAGGGGCAACCGTACACAGCACATGGGTATGCTGAACGGAACCAGTCTAGGGCGCCGCGTCTCCGTGTTCCTCCGACTTGACGGTGACAAGCGTCGCGAGCCTGAGCTCCGTAGAAGTGAGACAGCCCAGTCTTAAACTTGATAGTTGACGAAATACTGACCAGAGAGGGCCGACACTGAGAAATTGAAGCCTGGTCACAACCTTACGATAACAGGAACTGTGCTTGTTACAGGCTACTGTCGCTAGTAGCCTTTCCATAACTCTCGTTAGGATTCTGTTGACATATAAAACAGAAAAGGATCAGTCGAAATGCCAGGAAGAGCCATGAGTAAACGAAAAAAAGGTCCGAGACGCACTACACTGGCAATTGCACGCACGCACTTTCTCCGAGACAGGACAAACAGAGCGAAATCACTGTGTCTGGCGGAGACACGTCAGAACCACCCTGATGCCTGCGCGCGCACCTCCTTGTGGAGTGAAATTGGAATGGCCCATGTGGCTCGTGATGCTAGCAGTACATTCCGAGCCCGGATTAGATCATATCTCTGCAGCGAAGACGTACTCACACGTACTCATGGGAAGACGTTGAGCGCTGCTTCTACGAGATGTTGCCCGATAGTATGATAGCATAATCTATACAGTATGCCAGGGAGCATAGGACGTCACTTTCCGGGTACCTCCTGTAAGAGCTACCGGCGGTGCACGCAATTCGAAAGCATTTGTTTGTTCCGGCGCGCTCGTTAGTACGTAGTAGCCTGTGTCCTGGGAACCTGGTACTAGCAGCGGACAAGTAGTGACAGGAAGGCGCCCTCGGAGGCCCCGGGCAACGCGGCTAGTCTCCCCAAGCAGACGTCGACAATTCCTTCAATCTTCGCGCCTTGGCAGGTCCAGAATATCCTTGTCTGACGGAGTTTGGCGTCTGTAGAGTCAGAAGCCTCTAGACTCAGGTTATAAGAACATTCGCTACGGTGGCATCGCACGTCGGCTGAGTCGGTGAACGACAGCCACTCGACGAGTCCTACGAGTACCCATCCGCTGCCGCCGTCGCAATGGCAGAGCGCACCGGCACTATCCCATTCACGTACGAGCAAGACACATATCAGACGTGGTACAAAGTCGTCGGAAACCTCACTTCCGGCGTACGCCCTATCATCACACTGCACGGCGGGCCCGGCTTTTCTCATCACTACCTGCTACCGTTTGTCGAGCTCACCAAATCCAGCGGCATTCCGGTCATATTCTACGACCAGATCGGTATCGGTGGGTCGTCACACCCCGCCGACAAGCCGAAGGAATTCTGGACCGTGGATCTCTTCATGGACGAGCTCGACAATCTCCTCTCCCACTTCGGTATCGGCGACAACTTCGACCTCTTCGGACACTCGTGGGGCGGCATGCTTGCCCTGCATTACGCATCGCATCGCCACCCCACAGGCTTGAAACACATCGTCGCTGCGAGCGCCACCCCGTCGATGGAGCTGTGGGTGGAGGGCGTCTATAAGCTGCGCGAGCAGTTGCCGCCCGACGTACTGGCGGTGTTGAAGCAGCATGAGGCAGCAGGGACGACGGACAGCAAGGAGTACCAGGACGCAATCATGGTCTTCTACAAAAAGCACCTCTGCACCCTGAATCCGTGGCCCAAGGAGCTGCTGCAGTCATTTGCCGCCATGGAGGAGGACCCTACTGTATACACGACGATGTGCGTACCGCCACTGAGTCTGTTCCGCTTGGTTGAGGTATTGACGGTCATTGGTTGTGATCTAGGAACGGGCCGTCTGAAATGTGTGTCAACGGAACGCTGCGGACCTGGTCGTGCGTTGATCAGCTGCACACCATCCGCTCCCCGACGCTGCTCACCAATGGGCGCATGGACGAAGCGCACGACGCGAGCGTCGCACCCATTTTCAACAAGGTGAATCGCGTCAAGTGGATCCAGTTCGCCAACAGCAGCCACGTCGCGTTCCTCGAGGAGCCCCAGCGATACTTTTCCACCGTGTCCGACTTCTTGCTCGATAAGTAGAGGCGTGACGGACAACTTGAATGTGCTGGTTGGTAGTGCAAGGAGTGTCCTATTCGTCTCGATCTGCTTCGTGTGAAAGCGGTGTCGTGTGTGATATATTTCGTAGTCGTCGAAGTCGGATGCTCCTTAGCAGCAGATATTGGACAAGAAATTGCGCCTTATTGTAGAGTCGAGCTGGGTGCCGCCTGTTAGTACGAGTGTATATGCCCTTACTACCAAGGGAGCAAAGACGAACTCTGGCCCCTAGCGCCGTCATTGGCAGCTATCAGACTGAGTTGACTCCCAACCACAGGTGTGATCATAAGCCAGAAATATGACTATTTCTGTGAGCTGGTCATCACGACGTCAGCGGAGGAGTCACAGGCACTTACCAGTCAACGAACAGCTGCGCACTATGGTTGTGTGTAGGCTGCAGCTACTGCTGCCAGTGGCGGTGCTACAGCAACCACGCGCATGCCGACGATATGATCTTTTCATCATGCGATTGTCAGCACGTTGTTGCGTTATTTACAGAAGTCGGTCGCAACGTCCGTTAAGATGTTGGTAACCTGACCAATACTGCGGACAGAGGCAAACTCTCGGGCAGCGTGGGCCCCCTCTCCTTGCACACCGAACAGAATAGTCGGGATCCCCTTCTCTGCAAGGAGAGCACTGTCCGTCCAATACGTTCCTGCTAGAACTATCGGTTTCTGGCCGAGGATCTGTTGTGCGTGGCCATCGAACAACTGGACGAACGGATGGCTTTCATCAATCTCGTATGGCGCCCGGGATTCGCCCATGCGCAAGGAGTAACGGAAATCCGGCACGGATTCGACTAGACGGTCGAGAATCGCACGAAGTTGCCCCTCGACGATCTCAGGCGTCTCGCCCGGGACTGTCCTCCGCTCGACCGAAACCGTACAGAGAGCAGGGTATGAGGTGAGCTCTTCGCCGCCTTTGATGATACCGGCATGCACTGTGCCAGTCCCGACCTTCGGATGCACCGCTGAGCCTTGCACTCGGCCAGCGATCAGATCTTGGCCATACTTCTCGAGGGCGACGAGGAAGTGGCCCGCTTTCACGATCGCGTCGACGCACAAGTCCGGACGAGAGCCGTGTCCGGCTTTCCCGAGGATGTCCACGTCGGCCCACACGAAGCCTTTGTGCGAGAGCATCAGGCCGTGTTCGGTCGGTTCGCTCACCACGGCAGCATCTGCTCGCCAGCCTGCAGCCAGAAGCTCGATCGTCCCGATGCTCAGATTCTCCTCGTCCGCAACCAGCGCTAGGATGATGTCCCCGCGCAATGTCTGCGTGTCACGGGCTCGAAGTGCAGCCACCAGAGACGCGGCGATTCCGGCTTTCATATCGAACGTACCGCGCCCGTGGACAGCGCCATCCCTGATTTCACCGCTAAGAGGGTCCCCGGCGTATCCTGCAAGCGTGACCGTGTCGACATGTCCGTTCAGCATCAAGGAGTGGCCTCCGCCACTACCCCGAGCGACGCCCACCACCGTCGGGCGCGCAGGCGTGCCTTCGAGGCGATGCACCTCGAAGTCATGATGCGCGAGCCAGCCGCATAGGAAGTCGGCGATACCGGTCTCGCCCGCGCCCGCGCCTTCGCTGAGGTCGGGGTTGGATGAATCGATTTGGGTGAGGATCTGTGTCAGCATCACAGGGTCGGTCGTCGTAGTGTCGAGGGGCGTGTGATAGTCCCGCGCACCTTCGGTGGCGAGGAGGACTACGATGCTATCCGGTTTGAGTAGATCCGAGCCGGTCTCAGCGGCGAGCCGGCGGAGCGCTGCGAGGGGGCGGCACCGCACGGGCCTATCTCGACATGCTCTGTGCGGAGGTTCTCGACCTCCCGATGCGCTTCAATGTCGGCTACGGACAGCGCCACGTCGACGCCATCTCGGAGGATCGGCCATGCGACTGCAGAAACGGTGCCGCAGTCTAAGCCAGCCATGATGGTATGGCTTCTGAGGATCGTCTCTGGTGTATCAGCTTGTGGACGATCGAGGAGGTTCTTCCTCAGGCACGATGCCGTGTCCGGCTCGACGGTCACGATTCTGGTTCGTGCCTCGCGGTCAGGTTGCTTGTAATGGGTCGTTACCGCTTGTCCGAGGGAGCCCACGCCGATGGGTGTGATGACAATGTCTGGAGTGCCTCTGCCAGTTACTTCGGCGACTTGGTCGTCGACTTCACGAAGAAGAGTCGAATAGCCATCGACGATCCACTACGTTCGTTGTCAGTGATCATCTTAGTACATGACGCGCGCTTTACGACTGACCTGACAGATTTCTTCGTAACCATCGAAAGCCGTGTCTTGGATGAGCAGACCGCCCTCGCAGGCGTTCGCCGCGATATGAGATTGGCGGACTGCGAGATCGTAGTCCCCGCCAACTTCTACAACGTGAGCGCCTTCCGACGCAATGGAGGTTCTTGTGGCATGGGACATGTCGCGCGGAACATATATCACACATTTGATTCCAAGCAGCTGAGCGACGCGTGCGACTGCACGCCCGTGGTTCCCTTCTGTCGCGGCGAAGAGCGTGAGACCGATGCCCTTGCTTTGCACTATTGCTGACAGCCCGTTCATCGAAGGAACGGCATCTTGCTCCCATGGTAGTCCTAGATGACGCGCAACAGCTCGACAAGTGGCCCACGATGCTCCTAGAATCTTGAATGCTGGTAAGCCGAAGCGGGAAGATTCGTTCTTGAGCAGAACGTGGGCGATGCCGAGCTCGCGCGCAATGGAGGGAAGCGAGACAAGAGGTGTTGGCGCATATCCCGGGAGCTGTCTGTGAAAGGTGTAGATGTGTGCCAGTGGGGAGGGTCGCACGGATGGTGGTGTGGTGTGCTGGACCGCGGCAATGCTTCTGTATACGCGGGGCATCGCGTGGTACACAGGGCAGGGTGCAGAATCTGCAGATGATCGTCTTGAGTGGCCCAGAGTACGTACACCGATGCGATAGTAAATCTGGACTGAGCTGGCGATGCAGCATATGTAAGTACATAGAATCTATCGTGGCAACACCACCGTGAGTCCGTGACCACGACACACCGCGGACAACATGTGGGATTCGGGCTCCGAACATAGTACTAAGAATACGGGCGTTCCATGATCACCTTCGCTGTATGTTCGGAGCCCGCAGATATACCGATAAGAAAATGAGAAATGTTTGACGTTTTGGCAGAACATGCTCCGAATATGCCCAAGAATTCCGAAAACCCAACGAAAACCCAACGAACATTCCACATTCACTTGGGATGTTCAGACTGCGAACATGCTTCAAAAAGGTGATCATCACACCCATGTTTTCTTAGCCTGTTCGGTCTCCGACATCCACATGTTGTCCCCGGTGACAACATACAGCAACCTGTGTCATGTGCACGTGAATTGAACGGTAGAGGAATCTGGAATCTGCGCCGCCGCCGGGGCCACAATCGAGATCTCTCCGGTGGCTGTCCTCAGTACTCAGTAGCCGAGGCCAAGGCGAGTTGCAGAACACCCACCTACTGACACGCCTCATGCGAAACTGTTCTCAGATTCTGACTGTTGTTTCTATCCCGCTACGTGGTGGACCAAATAGTCATGCCGGTCCTCAAGTTGCCAGCTGTCAAAGGAATTCAGAGCACGTCACCTTCACCGGGCCTTCACGAATGTCGAGCCTGAGTCCGACGCCTCGCATCATTGTTTCCAACACCGAGCACTGCCTGTGCTTGTCTTCTGCAGGACAGCTCGCTGATACGCCCTTCCTTAGCTCGAATCGCTTGTCGAACTGATCAAGGACTCGGAGCTAACACTACTACTGGTTGTGGACGGGCCGACACTGCCGCCTCAGCATCTTCCCCCGACCTGTCATGCTCCCTCATTCAGATGGTATGTGTTTACACACTCTGAGCTTCATAATCACAGTAGCTTTGATACAGGACATGTGCATCGCTAACAGGAAGCATTGGATGAGCAAGGGGTCCCGGTCAGTGACGGTCAACCTCTGCATCGGACGGCTCGAGCGCCCACAGTGATCGTGTCTCATTGTTCAGAACTGGCGCGCAGGGATGATTTTGGGCGTGCTATTGCTATGCGTTCTTTGTGTTTTGATCGTGAGCGTCACTCGTTCACCGTGCCACTTGATGATAGGCCCATGATCGCCATGAATAAGAAACTCAAGCTTGTCTGCACTTGACATCTACACTTCGCCCCCTTGCTTCGTCCGTCGAGGCCCTTTTTCCCGCACTCTTTCCCTGATCTTACTTCTGGCTACTTCTCTTATCCTATCCCTATTTTAATTCAGTCTCATTCATATCTTTCCATGGCCGAGATGACCACGGGCACGCACGATAATTCCCTTGTACCACTACCTGACACGAAAGAGTCCAAGCTAGCCTTGGCTTCAAAGGCAGTCGATCAGGAAAGACAGCCTCTAGATGCGCGCTTCTGGCTCGTCTTTCTTGGTATCGGGATAGCTACAATGATTACTGCTCTTGAGCTGGTGCGTCGCTTCTCCCACTTGACCCAGTGATCACCGCACCGCTCACGGATACGATGAACAGTCAGCTGTCTCTGTTGCACTCCCAACCATTACTCAAGATTTGCATGGCTCATCGTTCATATGGGTCGGCTCGGCGTACACGCTAGCAGGGACGGCTTTCATCCCCCTTAGCGGAGGTCTCTCCCAGGTATGTTCATACATGAGGTCGAACGATAGCTGCGCCAACAGTCCGCATTCCCACAGATCTTCGGAAGACGCATCGTGATCCTGTCATCTCTGGCGATCATGGCTTTGGGCAGTGCCCTCTGTGGGTCTGCGAAAAACATGACCCATCTGATTGCAGGACGAAGTACGTTCTGTACCGCTAGACCCTCACCCCGTGCATTGATGATCTCGCGACAGCGGTCCAGGGGCTCGGTGGTGGAGGAATATCCGCTACGACTGCCATCATCATCTCCGACCTCGTGCCCCTCAGTGAACGTGGTATTTACAACGGTTTGATTGGGATGTAAGTCTTACCCCTGGCGATGACGGATGAATCATTCATTGTGTCCCATTCCAGTGCTTGGGCGATGGCTAGTGGGATCGGACCTATTGTTGGCGGCGCCCTCGCTCAGAAGGGTCAGTGGAGGTGGCTCTTCTGTAAGTAAAGTTCACGCTCGCGAGAGGAAACGCACTCATACCAGTGGTGCACAGATCTCAACATCCCGATATGCGGAGTAGCTGGCGCCATCATGATCCTCTTCTTGCGTGTCCGGGCACCGCCAGGGACCCTGAAGGAGAAGGTACGCAGGATCGACTGGCTGTAAGTGTAATCTTCCATGTAATATCATCGCATACTCACGCCGTGTTCAACTCGCAGTGGGACATTCCTTGTCATTGCCGCGACTGCTGCCTGCGTCATCGGACTCACCTGGAGCGGCGTCCAATATTCCTGGAGCTCGGCGCCGGTGCTAGCACCTCTTATAATCGGTCTCGTAGGTATGGTGGTATTCATTATGTACGAGTGTATTTTCCCGGAACATCCACTGGTACGTCTCACTCTGACCAGCGTCCATGCGTCCCGAGCTTACCTATTGATAGGTGCCCTCTGCATTACTGTCCACGATCACGGGAGTCAGCGGTTACATGCAGACGTTCCTCATGCCAGTAGTAATGATCGGAGTCATCTGTGAGGCTTCCTGCTGTTCTGGCGTGCGCAACGCACACTGATCAATTGTTACAGATTACATTCCCGTCTACCTACAAGCATGCAAAGGCGCCTCTCCGATCGGTTCCGGCGTAGATGCGCTGTCTTTCTCGTTGGTCATCGCGCCCATTGGTCTTCTCGGAGGCGCGTTCGTCAATCGCACAGGCGGCTATCGGGCACCACTATGGACGGCCTGGATTATTCTGATGGTCGGTACGGGTCTGCTCATCACCTTGGACGCGGACACACCCCTCGGACATACCATCGGGTTTCTCGTACCGTGTGCGCTCGGCTGTGGACTGCTGGCGTTCTCGACTTACTTCCCTGTACTTGCGCCACGTAAGTCGTCTCATCGGCCCGTATCCGCGATCTCCTAACATGATGTACCGCTAGTGCCCGTTTCGCAGAACGGTCTCGCCATTGCGTTCTTCATGTTCCTGCGCAACTTCGCTATGGTACGTGCACTGCTTGCCTAGATGGTCTCCGTTACTGACAGGTGGTCGAAGGTCTGGGGAGTCACGATCGGCGGAACTGTCCTTCAGAACGAGCTTCAAAGACACTTACCGCCCACCTTCATCGCCCAGTTCCCGGAGGGGACAGTCGTTGCGTATGCCACGATCCCTGCCATAGCAGATCTCCCGGAACCACTACGGACAGAGGTCCGGGAAGCCTTCGCAGTCAGCCTTAAGGTCGTTTGGGAAGTCCTCCTAGCCATCGGTGGTCTCGGGTTTGTCTCGAGCCTTTTCATGAAAGCGGTTCCTCTACACTCTGCCGTGGACGATCAATGGCGCTTGCAACAGCAGGTAGAGAGTAAGGACAGTATAAGTACTACTGCAACGGCAGTATAGCTCTTAAAGCGTCTGTGAGAATAGTAAGGCGACATGTAGCAACATCATACTTTGTTTGTGCATAGCGATCCTACGTACAGGCAGAAAAACGGACGTTGACATTATGTATCAAATTGCATTACTGGGTCAGCCACAGTAGCCAATTCAAAGATTTACCCCATCTGTTCCGGTGTCTCGAAAGCGTTCGCGCATGACACTTACGTCCAATGCAAACTGAGTGTACCGCTTACCTTCGCAATTCAGCTCGTCACGAACGACGCGTGCCCTCTGGGCGCGCGGGCCTTCGCTCACTGTTCCCGCGAGTGTACACGGGAGAGCTCGCCGTCCTAGAATGGCTCGCATCCTTGTCAGTTCCGCGGTATTCGCAACTTCATTGAGCGCTCGACATGTAGCTAACACGTAACGGCCCGGGAGCGCCGTTGGTACCTTACCGGTACCACTTGATTACAGTCGACCGACTCCTCTCTGCTTCATCCCATCTACTCAGAAGTACTAGCGTCGATGGTCCCTTCGTTCTCAGCTGCTGGGCACAATTCCGGGCCTTGGGACCAGGATCTTTCTGGTCTCAATGTACACTCGTCGAAACGTGCATCCGTGTGTACCCGTCTGTACGAGGTGGTAGCGGAATGCCTGGCGCATCGGAGGCACGAGGAAGCAATGGTAGTTTCTGGCTGGCTATCGCTTGACCATGGCCAGGAGGAATGGCGCACAGTGCGCAGGACCAGGCTTGTCTGTCTCGCTTGGTACACGTCAAACCCGATGGTGTATCAGTCGGAAGCCTACCTACCATCTCCTCCGTTCATCTTTCCTCTCGGACGCAGTTCCGAACGTCCTGGCCACGAGATGACTTCTTCGTACAGGCATGTCGCGCTGATGACTTGGTGTCAGGGCCCTCATAGTATCTTGCGGGTGATCGCCACGACTTACTCTCCAATAAAGGCCTCTGCACACACCATTTTTGGCGCTCTCGTGTCCCACGACACGGTCGTCATCCTACATATTGACAATGCACGAAACCAACCATTCGAAGCGTGGCGCGTATCCTCAGCGTCACTGTCGATTCTAAAAGCGGATTGACACGGTCGAATCCTGCTATCGGTTCTCTCGTGCGTTTTGGCCAATCACGTTCTCCTTCGCTGGCCTGGATGAATCTCACTCGTCTTCAAGGCCAAATGAACGGACATGACATACGCGCACCACGTTCTCCTCCCCGCGTCGCACGAGGCTCCCTCTTACACTTGCCCCCCGAGCTTCTCCTTCTAGTCATTCATTGGACGGACGACGAGGATCTGATGAATCTGGCGTCTGTCTGTCGCCAAACCATGCTGGCCGTCCAGGACACGACACGTATTTGGTATCCGAAGATAGGCGAACATCGTTTAATCGATGTACGGCCCATACGTCTGGCACCAGAAGTGACACCCGAGGGAGAGGTGATACTTCCCAAGGAGGACACCGGGATGTATTTCGCGGCGTTCGTAACAGAGAGCGACGAGGTTCTCCTCCTCGGGATCCAGTCTGAGCTCGACGAGGTTACCTGAGACGTCACCTCATACGAACTCTGGTAGCGGAGAAATTTCCGTGCAATACTGGCCCTTCGCTGCGATGCACATGTCCTATGTGGTCGTGCAAAAGGGTATTGTGGAGGAGCTGGAGCAAGACGCGACACGAGAGGGTTTTGTCGATCGAATTATGCGACGGCGTGAGCGCCTCCTGAGTAGTTGGACGCAGCAATACGCGGATTGGGTAAGGTCTCAATATCAATGTTGACTCCGTATGCCGACTCATGTCACATTTACAGGACGATCTCTTATGATCAGTGTGGATATGTGATTGCAATATTGGATCTATCACGTCGTCGATCGATAGCTGTGACGGTCTGGGAACCTCTCATCCAGGCTCCATCCATCCTGTACAAGGCCTCTGTAGAGCAACCGTTTGCGCTAATACCAATGTCGGTGTCCATTTTGTACATAACCATGTCATCCACCAAGTCAAGATGGGACAGATCCGACGAGTACACTAAAATCCTTGTACTAGCTCTCAGTACAATCACCGTTGCCACCGAAGCCTGCAGTTAGATGGGAGAACCTGGATTGCAGAGGCTCGAGCGTAGAGAGCCTGGTGGTGAGTACCGAGAGTGGACCCGAACAACGCGCTGTCGACTCTGCCTAGTACACAAATTCATCGTTAACTTCCACAACGACACCTCGGGAAAAATGTACGGAATACAATCGCACTGTACGTTCTACTAAAAGTCCAACAATTCATGTAGAATGGAAGCAAGAGCTAAGGAAGGGTATCAGGAACTAGGGTCTCGACGTACAAAATCACGGAGTTAGACAAGAGACTGTCCACGTCGCCCCGGGGTGATCTCGAGCGGACAAAATCCAAGGAACTTTCTCCGAATATGCCCTCGTCGGGTTCACTCTGATCTGTGGCCCGTTGGTGCTTGCGGCCCAGCTCGCCTTCATTGTCGCTATCTTCCATCGCCTCGTCGTCGGTTTCCGCCTCATTGAAAGCAAGGGAGCCACCGATGTTACCGAGCACCCCACTGAATTCGAGGTCGCTGCATATCTGCGACGGGTGCGATGGCATGGATGGAACCAAGACGGCGTCCCGAAGGTTGAGGAAGAAGCGCGATAGCAAAATGGTGCTGATCCTATTGTGGCGCGTGAGCTCATCAGAGTCGCTGCTTTTATCTAGGACAGCGATGCATTACGTACGTGTGGAAGATCAGCGAAAAGTCTCTGAAGATCTATGATGATTGTCAGTACCCGAGTACTTCCAGGAGTTTGCGCTCAGCACCTACGTCTGTGGTGTACAGCACAGCCCCGGCCACATTCAACGCCAACAGCACACTGGTCTACCCATGAGTCACCACCGTCTGCGAAACATTGATTCCACGACCATTACCTGAAGTATATAGTCCCTGGGGATCGTTAAGTGGGAAAGTTGCTGTTTTATAATTCGACACGCACCATCCCTCAACAACAGGGTTGTCAATGTCGCCTTTTGATGGACGGCTAGAGCCATTCTGCGCACGGTGAATGTGTGGTACCAAGTAACGCATATCACCAGAGTCTCTGCCAACACATCACAGACTCGCAGGACGATCTCGACTAGAGGATATTGTCAATGAGATGTGGTATGGGAAGAGAAAGGTCGCACGTCTGGTCCTGACTGTCAGTAAATGACTTTCTTCGCATGACAGATATACCAACTTGTTAATCTCTTTAGGGATGCTGGACACGACAACACAGGCTGAGCCCGTATGACTCGGCACAGCAGATAGGTGGGCACAGTTGTACTATCCTTGTAGATGAGACCAGGTAAGATGATATCAGAAGAAGAATGACGCACTATTCTTACTACCAGGCCAGCAACGAAAATCAACAAGATGAGGAGTGGCAATGGGTAATGACGGCCGTTGATGGCATAGACGCAAAGGGCTGCAATAACTATTGACTCCAGTCAGAATAGAGGCCAGGAAGCAACCAGAGGCGGATACCTCCGTATATGAAAAACAGGACAGAGCCGATGATTATTGCGGCAATAGTGAGGTGATATGCACTGTTGAAATAGAAGTTCAGCACACGAATAGACATTTTGTTGTGCTAAAAACACCGACCTCTGTATTAGTATAGGAGTCGTAAATTAGAGCTTTGAATCGGTAAAATAAATGATAGGCTTACTCCGCATCCGAGGTCCCAGATGACCACAGCGTGCACAACCAGATAGACGAAGGTTAACACATTCATCAAGGCGTAGAGTCCAGTCGCCAGCGAAGGCCTTCTCGAGAACATCAGCCTCGCTTCTTGTGCGGCGAAGAGGGTGTGCTCATACATGAGCAGTGCTGCAATGGTGACAGGTGAGAAGGTTCCGCGGGTGATGTTCGTATGATTGTGGTGAGATCAACTTACTCAGCATTGCTGCTACGCAACAGTTACGGGGCACGCTAGTTGAGACCACATCAATATACGCAGGAAAGGGGAGAAATATAATGATTACGCACATAGCCCGCCTAGCACAATGTACCTCATCCATGAGTTGAGGGTACTGTGGATCAAGCATCATGTTATTGCGCTAGAGATCTCTGAACACTGTCAGTACTTATACGTTCGAGCTTTCGAGGACTATCATTGAGCAAGAGCAACGTGGCATCTAGTTAGTACAGTTCGTATGTGCGTTAAGAGCCCTCCAGCTCACCCGTACTACTTGACTTCCAGGACTTGTTTGATGTATCAATCATTCTGACGAAGGCTACATGAATCAACGCGAAGCCTCTGGCTCATATATCGCCTTGACTGCTGCCCTCGGCGCTACTGAACACATATGCCTGAGGGAGTACTAGAGATCAGTACACAGTGACAACCGTATGTGGTTACTTACACGAATTCTGAGACAATGCTTCTTGGATGACATAGTCCCTGATACTGGTATTGCGAGGCGAAGCGGATAGGGACGCCGTATCGGCAATACAGGGATCCTAGGCTTGTGATGTACACGGATTACCAGCAGCTGGTCGGGTCGTACGCCCACTATTCGTGTTCCTGACCTATGTACCCTGACTGCATGCTATGGAATGAATACTCGCTGCTGGTAACTCCCTCTCCTCTTCAGCAGCCTCGAAGGGTGCCACTGGCATACGTGCGCAGTCCGACCTGGTCACCCAAGCGCTGCAGCGGCTGCACAGCCCGCCTCGTATTCATCGCGCACGTCGCCTTCGCTCATACTTAAGTGACGAGAGTAGTGTTCTGTCGCCTCGAAGTATAGAGCGTCTTATATGGATCTTCAGCTTGGATTTGTTGAGCAAGTTCCGCAGAATGCGAACTCGCTGGGATTCGAGAGGTTCAGGAGAAAGAAGCGTGTGAACCGCCGTTGCCTAATTGAGCGTGACCAGCATCTGATTGGCCGGTCCGCTCACTACTTACATACTACTCTCGGCCCACTAAGACGCGTCCCCGTTGCCCTCTGCGCGTGCGGCGACCTCATAATCTTGCGAAAAGGCGTGTTACTCCCGACAAATCGAACGAGCATCGCCCACACGATGGAGGACGACCAACAGCAGTTCGTGCACGCCCAACTGCCGGTGCACTCGCAGTATGACAGAGACAGACTGTGAGTGTCTTCGTTCCATTTCGCGTCGTTCACCATCACCAGGTGTATCTGGGCCACACATACGTGGTGATCGTTCTTTGCTTGTCGCCAACGGCTCGGTATTGTGGAACATGCGCAGCGAGACAAGCGGGAGAGCTCTACCCATCCTTCAGCCATGCGCAGTGAAGTTGACCCGAACGCTGACAACTATCCCTTTTGCGCCCTCATCAACCTTGAACAACGCCTTGACCCGCCCTCTTTCGCTGCAACCAACACTTTGGTCCGGGAACGATGGATTGGTGCCGTATTGGCAGTGAGTACGAACTCGTGGTTCGGCAGGAACCAAAGCAGGCTCGGATGTGCGGTGTAGGAGGTGAGTAAAGCTCGTTGCATTGCATATATTCGTACTACGCGCAGTGAAATCTTCGCGATCCCTTTCGTCTCGGAAGGAGCTCGACTGCTGGGTATTTGACGACCTACCACCCGACCGGACGTTGTTGGGATGCTGGTAGTATGCGTGCGTAACACGCGCGCATATTAGTCATTGCATACAGTCCTGCAGGTCCTCAGCGTTGCGAGCTGGTTGTGTCCTACGCGTTAGAAATAGGGTGCTGACAATCGTGCGTAGCGGACCGTCGCCCAATCGACCCGCCGCCTATTGTTCAGCTTCGTGTCCTCGACCCCTCGCAACGTAGTCAAGGCGGAGACTCGCGGCCAAACTCACCTGGTGAGTGGGTTTCTGTTCAATCTTTCCATGTCTCGCTCTCTGCTCCTTCCATGTCTATTGTACGAAGGCGCCCGGCGTGTTATATCACCTGTATGTCCATAGGAGAAGACATCAATATCGCTTATGTCACATATAACCTCCACTACGACCCGACTCTACGAAGCTCCTATACCGCATCGAGCGTGTCTCCGAGCGCGTCCCCCGCCCGAGAGTTTGGCCATGATACCTAACCCTCGCGGGCCCGCACAACACGCACGTGTCCTGCGCGTTTCATTCCCCGCAGCGCCGTTCTCCATCTCTGTTGCTTCGCACGTACTGTACCGTACCCCCGGGCTTGGCTGACGTAGATGTACAGATGGTGCCGCCGCGATGGCTGCGTCGCAGAGCTTCCTGCAGAACCCCTACTACTTCATGTTTGCAAGCCTCGCAAAACCAGATGAGGACGTCGAGCTACATTGGCTCAAGGTCAGCTTTCTGCGCTCTTGCTTTGCGTGCATTTCTCACTTTTGATCTGTCGTCATATAACTCCTTGGCCCGGCTCCGCCCTCCGCTTCTGTTCCATCTGCATTCACTGGACCACGCTGTCATGATAACCAAATCCACCTGGCTTCCGTTCTTCAGGATGGCAAAACACGATGTACGACCGGTTCTGTCGTATCCTCCCTGTACCACCTCAAAGACGCGGAGGCCGGTGGGACTGACGCGGGGTTCTTCGTCTTCCCTGACTTGAGCGTGCGGACCGAAGGCAGCTACAGATTGAAACTCAGCCTATTCGAGGTCGTCGGGTGAGTAGGATGGCTCTCCGCGCATAGCTGCTCGCTTCTTCTGTATTAGTGGTTGAGCTTCTCTATGAGGTCGTGCCTCCCAGATGAGGTTTTGGCCATCATCAGCGCGCCCTCTGTGGGCGTACACTGAATGGATTGGTTCTGCAGAACCACTGCACCGTGGTCCTCGTATTCCATGGACCGGTGGACCAGGGCTGATGTGGACCACATGCAGGATACCGCAATGCCCTCGTGGTGGATCGGCGAACTGAACCTACGAGGGCCGCGCCCCTGCTGCAGGTGATGTGGCCGAGCCAGCAGGCCTATGGCAGCGGTATGCGTTCACCGGATCATATATAACATAGTTTGCTTCGTTCTGAACAAGTCTACGTACGCTCTGTAGCATGTGGGATCAGGGAAGCTCTGGCTGCTTCGAACGCGGCCGCTGCGGCTCTTTGTGGCGAGCGGGGCCTCGATAGCCCGACTATCTGATATGGTTGTTTGCAAGTACTGACGGTATCATAATAGGAATTGTGTCGACCATTGCAAGTCAATATTTTCCGCGCCGTTTTATGTGTATACTGCGAAGAAGTTTCCGGGTATGGAAGGTACGTGCCTAAAACTCTTGCATCGTCCATCGCTCTCGCTTCTCCGTTGCCTACTATTAGCTTGATCGCGCAGTCATTCACCATGGGATATCTTCACGTCACTTGATTGCGATGCTTTTCTTTGTTCTTAATGGTTGATTGATACTGACCTTACAACTATAGAATCGACTGCTCTATCATGTTCTTTGGCTGATCAAGGTATCAAAATTCGTATTCGAAAGGATATCCGCGTACGACGGCGACCTGCACCAGGCGGCGAGGCGCCAATACCCATACCCATTGCCGGACCTCCGCCTCCAGGCGGCGCGTTTGGGCCCGTTCCAGTGCGCCTCGATGATCCAATGACGGACGAAGAACAAGGGCCCGACGAGAGGGAGAGGAGGCTCAGCAGCAGCTCTTCGATCCCATCAGTGCCTGTGCCCGAGAGGGAACCGCCACGGAGACCGGATAGCGACAGGGAAAGCGACCGAGAAGAAACCCAAAGACGTATCCCTGTGCGGCGCGATTCGGCCCCTAACACGGCCAGTCGTCGAGGAAGCGCAAGTGATAGAGGCTCAAAGCGGAGGAGAGGAGACAGCAGCACGTTGAGTATTGGGACGAGCGTGAGCGGCGGCATGGTCGACGGGCCAGATGTGACCCCTATCAGCGCGGGACCTTCGAGCGCGGGTACAGGCTGGGGCGCGATTGATCCTGCGTTGAGCGCGCCGTCGACCACCACTCAGCAATCTCCTGCGACACCGACTTCCTCGTCCGCCGAGCATCACTATGCACCCGCTACCGTTCATCAGTCCCCTCCCGCGGGATACGAACATCGCTATTCTGCACCGCCCGCCCAGGCAGGCATTCCCGCCCCGGCCCCCACTTCTGCTCCTAGCTATTCATATGAACCCCACCAAGCACCGCCAACCGGTCATCACTACTCTGCACCAGCAGCACCTCATTCGTATGCGCATGTGCCGCCGCAGACACAACAGCATCATGCGTCTGCCTATCCTTACCCACCACCGGCACCTGCTGCCAGACCTGGGCATACGACCCGTATGCGCATTCTCACCTTACAACATGCCTCCTCCAGGCCCCGCCCCGGCGCATCACGCTCAGACACACCCGCCTCCGCCCCCGCGATATCCAGACTACCCGCCTTACGCCCAGCAGCAGGGATACGGCGGCTACTACGATTCGCCACAGCACCAGCACCAGCAGCCGCATCACGTTCCTCCTCCGACCTCTCATCCTGCCCAGCATTCTTACCATCATCCTGGATATGGCCCGGCGCCTGCGCCGCCTTCTCCGAACTCCAGTCAGGCCCCTGCCCCCGTATCCGACTATTACCAGTCTGGGGCTCCAGCTGGGCGGACGGACAATCGCTCCAGCTCGCATGTACCGGCCGCAAGCACGGCCGGGACTGGATACGCTCAAACAGCCTATGCCCCCGCCCCGCCTCCTACGGCGCCGGGACCGAACCCGGGTATACACCACCATTACGGCGCACCCGCGCCTGTCTACTCCCAATACGCCCATGGTCCCGGCCAAGCCCATGCACAACAGCAGTCCTCGGCCAGTGGGAGCCAGGGCAGTGGCCAAGCTGGCGCAAGCTCAAGCGGGCGAGGCCATTACCAGCTGAGCACACCACCACATCACCACCAAACGCAGCCGTACAGCGCGTACCCGCCTGCACCCGTTGCTGGCACCAGCGCGAGTGCTAGTGCGAGCGTCGCTACAACGGCGCCTGCGGAGACGGCCTGGGCGTACCCTGCTGCTGCTCCCGGCCCTGGCGTGAGTGCAAGTGCGTGGGGTGTAATGCAGGATGGGCCGTACGCCGCCAGCTATGGCAACGCAGGTGCGCCGGGGCGCGATGTCCACGGGCACGGTCCGAGATTGGCGCCCTTGAGGGTAGGTGGAGGAGGCACACCCCCGCCTGGATCAGAAGGTGGGAGAGGCGGCTCGAGCAAGAAGAACAATCCATTGAGCATTGGCAACATCATCTCGGGAGACACAGGCTGAGGGCCTCGACGTCGTGCGGTAAGCCATGACTGCGGTTCGGTTCGGTGGGATGAAGGAGGAGTTTTGAGCGGGTGGGTCCTTGCTATCGTGTCGTCGTGCTCAGTGTTTTGTTTTGTGGTGTTTGCACATCTACTTGTACATAGATATGTCGCTCAAAACCGGGTTCGTATGGACTCAAATTCCCGCTAGTTGTATTCGTACCGTAGACTATGTTTGCTCCATGTACTCAATCGTCTTTCTTGGCATGTCTATTGATCAGTTGTATATCGTTCAGCGTTCTGCTGCTGACGCTCATTCGGTACTCCTGCGGCTCGGTGAATAACTTCAGTAGGAAGATTGAATCTCTGGGCGGTTGAGGTTGGGAATGTCCCCTCGACTCGTCGGGTCTTCGGAACGGGTAACGCACCCTCAAGGAAGAATGTCACATGATGGCTGCGAGATCAAACTCTGGAGAGGTCTGTCTACGATCAAATACTCCTCCTCAGGCCTCAGGCCTCAGCGCTCAGCCCCGTATGCGCTCATGGGGCTCCTGCCATGGTACACCTGATAAGGAAAGTATGTGAATCTAGGGAGTCCACGATGGAAGGCTTCAAGCCTACCTAAAATTTGCAAAATCTCCTCCTCAGTCTCAGACGCTACGATGGTACCTACGTGGCCGTGAGCCGCAAGGTGGAGGACGTGCGAGTATTGGCCTCACCTTCGTTCAGTTTTTCCAACTTATTGCTTGGGTTGCGCACAACGCCTTGGAACAGACCCTTTTGGTTCAAAGAATAGCCCATCTTGTTCGCCTTCAGTCGTAGAGAACGGTTGAACTGAACCGACTGTCAGTGCAACTGCCATATATGCATGTAGATCGCGACTTACGATGTCATCGCCCTATATCAAGTTCCTTGTCAGCAGGTGAGGGCGGTGGAACCATACACTGGCCACTTACAGTGTAGTAAAGAAGAGCTGCACCCCTAGATTTGTATGGTACGGTCAAAAAATCTGTGATAGCGCTTTGGATCAGCAAGTGTCCGGAGGAACTGTACGGCAAAGCAGCACCTATTCTACGCCTCTGGCTTGACGAATCTCGACGACATAGCCCTCGATATACTAGTTCCAAGTCATCGAATGAGTCCGGTAATGACAGATCTTCTGTGATGATTCCCCTGTGGTGCAATTCACCTAAGAGCTTGCGGAGCACCCCTACAGCGGTGCGTCAGTAGGTGAGCCATACAACGAACCAGTCTTGATAGTACATTGGTGGGTCTTTCCATCGTCTGTTGGACGAGTAATCAGGATATCGATGTCGCCACAATCTGCTTTCCCCCTTGATTTCGACGTCAGCGTTCCGTCCCATTATCAAGTAATGAGGAAGTAGCACCGTCGGTAGCTTCCCATGATCTCAACGAAGAGCTTGGGGTCGATCTGCAATGCTGTGGCAACAAATGTGAATTCATAGAACTATATTCGGTGAAGACAGCGACATACCTATGGGCTTGATCATATTGAATATATCGGCGGCCTCAGTTCGAGGCATCCTAGAGTTGATATCTTCCGAAAATTTGTAATCACTACAGCCGTGACGCGTGCCAGAAATCATGACATACCTGCATAATGTCTGAGCCCGATTTCTTGGCATGTACTGAGCTTGATACCGCCCTTCCGCGTGCGAATGTCGTCCAGATTTCGACAACCACTAGCGTACCACTTGAAAGCAGTCTGACGGCCTGCGAGCGCCAGCCTGAATTTCATTCGGAGGCTCTAGGCATGTGTTTCACACTCACCGACTCCATAGATGCCCTGGAACATGTTGATGGCTTCGACATCCTCCGTCCTCTCGTATCCTATTCTCCGCAACTCCCCCGTTTGCAGAATTTCAATGATCTGCATAGCACGTAAATTGAGCCGTTCAAATGCATAGCTTCTGGAAGAGCGAGGCGAAGCTAAGGCGAGAAGACATGCCTTCTGTGCCGTCTTATCCCCAATACCTCGGATGGCGTGCGCCTCGTCGTAGGACCGTATCCTCTTGGGGTAAGACCGGAGTGCCCTTATGGCTATGGGCAGCGCGTGGCGAGTATGACAAAAGCCACGGGAATATACGTTCAGCGTCATTGAAGGCGGTGAGAGAGGACAAAACCGCACACCTTTGTCGTAAGTGTAAACTCTCCAGTTATCCTCTACAGATAGTTTGGCCTTGTGTAGTTCTTTCAGCTCTTGAAGCTAAATCACATTCAGTAAGCCTAGACAATCTGGCAAAGGAGTACACGACCTTATCGATCACGTCCTGATTTGCACATTCCGGATCCTCTTCTGGCTTTGAGTCGCACAAGAAGCCCTGGGGCCGTGTCAGAGTGGTGCTGCAGAAGACATAAGCAAACCACACCCTCTTCTTCGACGCCGCATGGGTCGTACCACGCTTCCCACCGCTGTCAATCTCCTCGTCCTGTTCGTCGTCGCTGCTCAGTCCAGGCCGCGCATCCTGAGCATGAGGCAGAGTCAATGGGCGAACATGACAAGGCCCAGGCTAACGGCGACCTACTTCTGCTTCTCGTTCCTCACGTGCCTGTTCGTAGAACGGAGCCAACGGATCCGCTTCAGGAGTTGCGCGGTCCTTGCTTCTCAGTGCATCTCTGGAGCTCCCGGCGACCGGTGCGCCTTCAGATAGCCTTGAGCTAGATCCCGAAGGTTGTTTACCCAGGTAAGATGACTCGTCGAAGCCGCATATAATGGTAGAGTCTTTAGGCTCAATCCGATCGACAGTGAATTCCCTACAGACACCGTCACGTATTTCAGTGTCACCTGAGACGCCTACGAGAGGGATACGCACGATATGGTACTGATGCCGCTCGTATCTCGTCCGCTCGGTTTGTGAAGGGTAGGACGAGAGATACCATGCTCCGTGAAGGTCGTGACTTTCTGTGCCTTCGAGCCGCCCTTACTCATGCAGGAAGGTATACCGGCGTCTAATCGTTCCTTGAAGACCGCGTGGAACATGAGGTTGAAGTTCGCTGGCGGCTCAGAGCTGTCTTCTTCAATCTGCTCGGTCTTGTCGCCATCGGGGTCGTCGGCGCCCGGCTCTGTCTTCTCTGCTCCCTTCCTGGCAGGTACGCCCGGGTTCCCTCTTCTGGAGGCAACCCAGCTCCACTTCACCGTCGGAATGTGGTCCGGGATCTCACTGAGCGAGCGTAGTCCGGTCGCCTGCAGGAATGCTGACTTGGGCGGATGGTCGGTAGTGACGATGTGCGTGATGATGGATGGGTCGTAGATTGGTACGATGGTGCCACCATGCTTGACAATCTGAACGGTGTCACACATAGTGGGTCAGCAATCGTCGTCAAGACGCGGGCAATTCGGCTTACATGATCCATGCGTCCCCTCGTCTCTTCGCTCGCATACTTCATGTCTCCACCATAATAGTAGATCCTCTTTCCCCGCAAGTAGGGCGAGACGCGGCTCTTCCGCGTCGCAGCCATTTCGGACAATTGGTCCTGGAGGCGCTGGGCATATTCTAACGGAGTGACCAGCTCTCTTTTCTTCTTGCCCGACTTCTGGTTCTTGAGAGGACCCGTCTTCGTCTTCGGCTCTGCTGCTGCCTTCCCACGCGCGAGGTTCGCTTTCGACGAGGATGGCCCCGAAGCCGCGGGAGTTGTTACGGAACTGCTACTGTGAGCTGCATCTGGTCCAGACCCGCCACCGAAGACTTTGATGACTTTGCTGATGAGAGCAGCATTCTTGCGCACCGCATGATTGGACGAACGGGTCTTGGGAGGCTTCACTACATCGTTAGATGTGGCCTGCGCTTCTGTCGGAATGATTCGCGACGAAGAGGGCACCGGTTGCTCGATGTTGCGTGCTCCAACATCGACGACTGGACTGAGAGGTCGCTGCAATGTGTTCGCAGGCTTCGGTTGCTGTCTCACATCTGGAACTGGAGAGGCATTCATTATTCTGTTATGTGAAGGCACAATAGGTGTATCCAACGCTGGGCCCCTTTGATGGGCAGTGGCGCCACTGGCTGGGATGTCGGCGGCTCGTTGTGGTGTCAGGACTTCTGGAGCACTGGAAGTAGAGCCCTCAACACGTTTCAAACACTCCGAGGCAGATCCCTCGGCGTGTTCTGGGCTCAATCTCCGCTTCTTCGAGACGCCCTGAGAGTGCTCTGCGGTTCTCTCTGCGGGTGCTTTACGCTTCTGCCTGGTGAGCTGTAAGAGATAGCATATACGAATGAATCAGTCGTTGAACTTACCCACTCTGCTGCGGCGATGCAGCATCCAGCGGAATGGGCGTGTTCTGTTCTTCATTATGCGCCACATCGGTGTTCACAGCCTCTGGTCTCTCAATGCTCACGCGGCGCGCTGTCGAAGTCCCTGCATCGTTGTTGTGGCTTGCATCATTCCTACTTTGGCCGTTCAGCTATGTCCTATATTGAATATCGTGTACCGACCTTATTCGATTCCTGCCATACACACGAGCTAGGAAGTCTTCGTCTCTTTCGTCGGGCATATCCAGACGCTTCTTCTCCTCCCTCAGGAACCATTCGTTGTACGCGGAGTAGCTTCCGTATGCTTTCCATGGTTGGGCCATATTGAACACTTAGAGGTGAGTGTAGTAGAGGACGAACTCGGTGTGAGCCACAATGACGGCGGAGGTCCCATATATGGGCAAAGCGCCGTTGTTCTCAATCTTAGTTCCCACGCCTCATTCAACTCCCTTGGGTTGATCAATGTTCAAGCTTGTCTTGCCGCTCCGACTACTCTAGCAAAGTGCTAAGATAACCATTTCCTCAGCTTCTAAAGGGACAGTTCTCATTCAACCATCTTATAACAAGTTGTTGTGCTCATTCATTCATATCCGCTGGCCCGAAGGCGGAGTCCCAAGATCGCCGAAGCCACCAGCCATTGTGAAGCAAGCAAACGCCTACTATTCTCATGATGTACGTCAGGAAAAGAATGTAGTCTATCAAACATCTAACTTGTTTTCATCTCGTAGACTTCACTCAACGCTAGGCGCCGTCGCGCCTGCTTACCTCTTCTGCATCAAGTTGCAGAGAACGATTCATCGGCAGTCAAAACAAAACACGACTACACACCTGGAAACACCTTTCCGTCGTAGAGCTCATTTTCTGAAGCGGTGTGTTCTTGTTTTCTCCTGCTCTGCTCGCTCAGGTTCTGCTTGAGCGGCAAGGCAGCGGACCCACACGACCAAATATGCGCACAACAGTCTGCACATGGTCGAGGGAATGCTTCCCGCTTCGTAAAGCCGAGCGCCGGCTGCTCATCATGTCCACATTCTCCCATGTTGTCGCCCGGCTCTTCTAGACCGCAGCAGTTCCTCGGGAGCGTGTGATGTGGCGTCTGCCGCGAATTTCATCGTTCCTTCAGGGGAGCGACGTGCTAAGTGCCCCTTCTGCCGCGACCTTGCTATTTTCGGTGCTCGCTCAGCGTATTTCACAACCCTAGCATGCCCCATCCGACCCTCTTAGCGATTGTCGTTGACGCTCTCACCTGGGACTGCGGCGCAAAGAGCAGAGCACCGGAGTTTGCTCCAACATTGCTTCCGAGTCGTCAATCTCTGATTTAACTCGGTTTCCCAGGTGTTTCAGCTAGAATACTCTGCGGATGGGCCAGTAGGGTGATCAGGCCAATCAGCAGCTTCTGGTGCCTAGCCATCGCCCGCATGGAACTTGTGCAGATGATGCTCCTCGATTTGGGCCACCTTGTCTTCTTCCAGTCATCTCACTGCGGCCGGCTGCAAGACGGGTGGCGGAGCCGGGAGTACGTGGTCATATCGCCCCTCATAGCCCTCTACTTGAATGCAGACGTTCGCAGTGTACTGCGATAGCTAGTAAGGCGCGAAAGTCGTCGGAATCGCCGTTCTAGTGGTCGTGGAACACGTTGGGGAACCCATCGAAGGAGCTGATCAGCGGCATTTCTGGGCTATGCTGGGCCGCTGAGTTAGCGTCGCCGTTTCTCAGTCGTCGGAGTTATTAAATGGCGACGCAGCGGACACAAAAGTGGACAGGCGGCCTCTTGTTCCTCTTGCGCTCTCGCCTCTCCGTTCTACGCCTCTGCGGTCGCTGCCATGGCCATCGAACGCTATCGCATCTGGTCTACTCCCGGCACCGCCTCGAGTGATGAGGAGATCCACTCCGATACGTCCTCAGAGCTCACTGAGCTCCACCCCGACGAATTCCCTCGCTACTTCGACGAGCGCAATGGTCGGCTCTTCCATTCTCATGGTCATTCTCCGTATCCTTTGCCTGTGGATGCGGATGAGCAGCATGTGCGTCACCTTCTTATCGAAGCCTATCATGTTTGGGATGTCTGAAGGAAGCACCGGACTGATCAAACTGCACAGAGGCAAAACAGGCAGCATGCCCTGTTGTACAGCCTTATTGGTGCGCACTTCAAAGGCCCCGTTCGCGATGTCTTGCGGCCGGTCCACGGGTTGCAGAGGCAGGCCGTGGATCTGGGGACGGGAACAGGACGGTGGTGCGTTGTGATTTGTGCATCTGTCAAGAATCTGCCAACTCAAACCTTCTCTGAAGGGTCATGGATGTGGCAGGCCAATTCCCACATGTGAGGTTCAGCGGGATTGACATCGGTATGAGCTTAATTGCGATGTCTCACGAGGCTATCATAACCTCTCCTTTCTCTGAAGTGCCAATCCAAACTAGGCACCCTCTGCGGAACGTCTGGTTCGAGATGCACGATCTCGATGAACCGCTCGGGTATGCGCCGGGCAGCGTCGATCTCATCCACGCCCGGGACATCCACTTGGCGGTGAGTTTGTAGACGTCGGTGCTTCGATTTAGCTCATGGTAGATGCAAAGGTCCGTGATTTCCCCAGGCTTCTGAGGGAAGTAGCGCGTGCGCTGCGTCCCGGCGGGTTGTACATATCCGGCGAGTGGTTCGGCTACCCGGTCATGAAGGACGGCTCTCGCATCAGCGAGCGTGCCCCGCGCATCCACCGCTTCTTCGACCTGGTGAACTACTACCTCGGGCGGGACGGGATTGGCTTCGTCGCGGCGAGCATCCCCGAGTGGGTCCGGCTTTCGGGCGCCTTTGTTGGCATGCGCGTCGAGGACGTTTACGTCCCCATCGGGTCCGAGAATCTCGACCCCCGCAGTGCTGGGGAGAGGCTGAAAGCCAATCTTCGCGTATTCGCGACTTCCATGCAGCTCTGGTTGGTGGAGAAACGCTACTGTGGCCGCGCGGCGGCTCAGGACCTGGTCAATGGCTTCATCCTCGAGGTTAACACCATAGAGGGCATGGAACTTCAGTACCGGGTTGTTTATGCTCGCAAGGCTTGAACGTCAATATCTAGGTTGAGGATGGATGTACTGTCTTGTACTGTTAGTGTTTGAAAGTTTGTACAATCTAGCTTGTCAGCTGTGGCGAATCATGGAATTCGAGTTTGTATAAGTCTACGTATGATCGGGGTTCGAAGCCACGGCTTTTTGTAAGCGCCGGTCGGTTCGGCGACAGCCGGAACCCGCGTCGAGGACCTGGTCGCCTGCAACGTCGTACACTCTCCGTCAACTCTTCCTCCTAATTATCCATGTTCGCTTCGAGGTCGTCGGCGGCGCGCAGCGCGTCGCGCATCGTCCGTAATTTTGCGACCGTCGTCGACACCGCTGGCGTAAAGGTCGCCGCAGTGGACAACGGCGAACCGACTTCGGCTGTCACGTTCCTCGTCAAGGCGGGCAGTAGGTTCGAGAGCAAACCCGGTGTTGCTCATGCGCTGAAGGGGTTCGCATTCAAAGTGAGTGCATTCCGGGTCGCGTCAGGAATTTTTAAACTGATGTCTCGCAGAGCACGGAGAAGCGGTCGTTCTTGGGTACGATCCGAGAGGCCGAGTTGTACGGCGGTGTTCTGTCGACAAGTCTGACGCGGGAACACCTCGCATTGACTGCGGAGTTCTTGAGGGGCGACGAGTGAGTCTGTCTATTCTTCGCATTACTCTGAAGACATGGTCATTCCGTCCAAACCATCTCCGGGATGGCTACGTCACTGGCGGTACCGCTGGGACGGTTATATTCGACCGTCATTCTGGTGGACAGTTGTAGTCCATTCAATCGCTGCTCTAACACATGTCGCATGTGCACCTTCTGAACTCTCGATTCACCTGGGACATTCTGGCAGTCGGTGTTGGACTATGTCGTACCGCTAGCGGGTGGTCCCGGGTCGCTGTCCACCTGCCCGGTTCGTAATGCGAACGTGGACGTGCCACCATACTGCAACAACACTTCCTGTTATGCAGATACAGAGCTGGCTCCGGATGGCTTCAGTCGTCAATGCTTTAGATCCTCGCTTGGCATAGCGTTGTAACATACTGACCTTTCTGCAGGTCTTTCTTCGTAGACGTCATTTCTTCCTTCATCAAGTCGGCAAAGTACACAAGACACGAGCTTGACGAGTACGTTGTTCCTGTCTGCGAGGCCGAGTCTACCACCGCCTTCTCCAACCCTGCCGTGCGCGCCCTCGATCTCGCACACCTGCTCGCCTTCCGTACTGGTCTCGGCTCGTCGCCCTTCACCTCCCCCGGCGCGCATGTCTCGGTTGAGGACATCAAGGCCTACGCCCAGACTGTCTTTGCTCCTGGCAACCTCGCGGTACTCGGCACGGGCATTGACGCGGCGACTCTCCAGAAACTCGTTGAGCAGTCTCTCGGGTCGCTGTCTAGCGCGTCTGCGCCCACTTCTACGCCAAGCTCCTACTATGGTGGCGAGACCCGTATCGAGGCGCACGGTGCACCAGAGACAATCTTCATTGGTCTCGGCACGACGGGTGCTCCCTCCGCTGAGCTGGCGGTGCTCTCCGCGTACCTCGACCCCACGCCGTCCGTGAAGTGGTCGAAGGGCAGCTCACCCATCGCCGCCGATGTGCCCGAGGGCGTCAGCGTGAAGACCGTGCTACTCCCGTACTCGGACGCGGCACTGTACGGCGTCCTCATCCAGGGCGAGAACACGGAGGGCGTTAAGGCGGCGGGCAAGGCGGCGGTTGCGGCGCTCAAGGCCTCAGGGAGCCTTAAGGGCGACGAGCTCAAGAAGGCAGTCGCGAAGGCCAAGTTCTCTGCTGCAAGTGCACTTGACGGCCGTGACAACCTTGCCTTTGCCTTGGGTGCACAAGTAAGTAGCTTGCATACGTTACTCGGCTCCTCCGCTGACGGCCATATCTAGGCCCTCGGTTCGCCGGCGTCTCTCGACAGCGCGATCTCCAACCTTGACAAGGTCGGCGCGTCTGCTTTCTCCAAGGTCAGTTGCTTCCACGGGTGATTCATGACTGTACTCAATGCTGCTTGTCCCAGGCGGCGACCTCGTTCCTCAAGGCCAAGCCGACATATGTTGCTATTGGTGACATCAAGCGTCTCCCCTACGCGGACGAACTCGGGCTTTGATCGCAAAATAGATAGATGACGAAGAACAGTATTGTTACTTCTACATCCAGATTAGTGTCCGTGTGAGTAATTCAAGAGTCTGTAATGCTACATGCACAGTCGGCGCACACTTCACGGTAAGCTGTGCAGTCCGTTCGATATCACTTTCCTCGTTGGTACGCGGTCATTTGAGTGTGTTGTTGTCGGTGCGCTGGTGTTCGTTCACACAGGGTGTGGGGGCGTTATGAGCCTTCTAATCTTGACGTAGCCGTTAAGTTTGACATACGTCAGGTATGCGCTCAGGCTCGGGCGCACGATTGACCTACACGGCCAGGCAATCTACAAGACATCCCTAGTAGCATTTGTCGCGCCAGAAGTCTTGGGACTTCGCCTTCGCTTCGGGCCTCGAGCCACAGCCTCGATGTCAACAGCTGTCATCGAGAATTCGGGAACAACGAATTCAGGTACGTGAGTGCTTATTATTCCAAACGGACAATTGCATTGTGAGCATTGGCTAACATTTGTATTCAATGGGGTTCTTTGTTGCGACGTAAAAGTCTCCGACTATCGACCAATAGCAGATGTGTACGCAGTCAATCTCTCGTCGATAGTGAGGACCCATAAAGTCAGAGGTCATCGTCCTATTTGGTTATGTGAGCAACGACGGCTAATTGGGACGCAAGGTATCGAACTTACCTCGTCTGCCTGGACCTGACCCCAGACCCGTGAGCCCCGCCTGCATATGCGACCTAACAGATTCTCAGCAGTCGCGTCGCTTTCGAGATCCGCCACGGCTGCTTTGTCGAGGACCATGTACGGTATGCGGATCTGCCTCCCCAGAACGTGCGGCATCGCCAACGTCCCCGAGCCCCAGCATGCCATGGAATTGAGCTGCAGCAGGTAGATGTCGATGCCGGGGTTGAACCCGAGCAGGAGCACCTTGTCGTCCTCGGTGACGAACGCCGCCGACACCAGCTCGTGGAACTCCTCCGACCGCAGGACGTCGCCGTTTGGCAGGATCTGCGGTTCGAAGTGCAAAGGCCGCACTCGGACCAACCGGTGGTGCCGGTCGATGACTGGATACCGGATACGCCGAGTCCCGCAGACGGCGAAGTTGGTTTGGCGCGAGACGGTGGCGAAATTGTGTAGGTCGCCGTCGTCGAGATGGTCGACAATGAACGACAGGAGCTCGTGAGGGAGCTTCAGGAGCGACCCACGACCGGGTGTGGCATGGACTGAAAGGAGAGGGCTTGGTACCTGCGCGGCAGGCTCGATATCTGCGTGAAGGCGGTAGAGGATAGAGGAGTCCAACGCCGCGCATGGGGCCTGTCCCAGACGGACGAGTGCGTCGATTCCAGGGCTCGAAGGGTACATGCCGAAGCGGTCCGGAAGGAATCGCAGAATCGCTGAGCATGACACTTGATATATCTGCTGCGAGAGTCCTTGAAGTTTGTCGAAACACGCGATCGCGAGGTAATTACCGGAGAAAAGGACTCCGTATATCTTGTTGTGATTTGCGCCTTTGCTATGCAGCTCCGTGACTAACGATCGAGCCACAGAATGCAAGGCGGCCTCTGACCGCAAATTGACGCAGACCTGCAAGAATACGTCGCTACGCAGCCAACGTCGCTCCCGACCCCGCTGATCCTCAATTCTATACGGGCTCTCCGATTTATGAATCATTGGCGTCACGGCTGGCCAGAGGAGGTGCAGCAGCATCTTTCTTAGCTGCGCTGCGTCGTCGCTGTCGTCTTCCGCACCAGGACGACAGCATTGGTGGAAGCCATGATGATATTCGCGAAAATATTGCCCGACGATGACCTCGTATAGCCGCGTGCAGACGCGCTCGCTGTCTGGGCGGTCTGTTGACGTGCCTAGCAGCTCGTCAACGGGAATATTCATCCGGACATTGACAGAAGAGCTCTGCGTGGCTTGTGCCGGAGGGGACTGCAGCCAGTTCGCGCGATAGCTGTGCCTCTCGGGGAGGTCGGGCGCACACGTCCAGAGGCCGTAGTGATCCTGTGTGATGTACCGCTCGCACTCATCTGCGGGAGGCATCTGGTCCAGGCGGAACATCGGCTCCGCCATGAAGGAGAACACGAGCGTGTCGAGGTCTAGCTCATACGTCCAGTCCATCCACGTCCGCCCAAAGTCCGGGCGAGTCTCCGTGACCATCTGGGTGGTCTGGCTGTAGTTCCCCCCGTACGGCAGCTTCTTCGCGACACCCGAAGCCGCGAGACGGCTATCCAGTTCCTCGCATTTGCGCGCGAGCCATTCGGCAAAGGGGGGAGGCTCCCGCGGGATGGTGAGCATGAGATGGTAGCCCGCGATGTCCCGGAAGCTAGGGGCAGCCTGGTAGTTGCTGAAGTACAAGCCACGGTACCGGACCAGGGTGTTGAAGAGCGGGGCCATTACCGGTCGTCTTCAGCAATGGGTGCAGGAACCAAGTCTGCGGTGAGCACTTCCACTTGCAGGCGGTAGAACTGCGCCGGAACGTCGTGAGGTGGGAAAGTAGAGGCGGAAGTTTGATTGAGTGCTAGGCTTACAACTTCCGAGCGACACGATATTCCCGCTTGGCTATGCAGCAGAAAGGCAGCACTCGTTTGTAGATTCATACTCTCCCGACCTCTCCGCCAGATCAGGGCCGATACTACGAACAAAGACGCAAGAAAGGAGATCGATACCTACTGAATGACCATCAGTGAAAAGGTCCCCAGCATAGCTGGCTGTAGATAGGTCGCCTACCTCGATATGTCCTGATCGGGCAGAAAATGAACGAGCTGTGTTGAGCGTGTACCTGCTAGGGTTTGTACATCAATAGCAGCAACAATCTGACGAGGTATTGGCTTACCTGTCAGGTGGCAAAGCTTCTTGATGACGACACCTGCAATGGGCAAGGTGCAGGCACGGCACATCGCCTCCCGGTCGAGACATCATCTGTGTCATGGAAGGGACCATATCGGCCCATCAGTTAGCTGGCAATACCTTCTAAGACAAAAGGCTCGTGTCATCAGATAAACGATGTGCCAGGATGACGAGACCAGGAAGCCGAGGGCAGTTGAGACAGAAAGAGTGGCATCGTCGTCGCCCGAAATAATAGATAACAGCAATTTCATTCATTTACGAACCGAACACATGGGAGCAGACGACATCCGACACACTGTACAGCACAGCACACTCGTACACATGCACACGAAGAAAAGAAATAGAAAGCACTTTCCGATGAACTTGACACAAATGCGGGCGAGTTGGCGTGGTTGCCAAGCGAAAGGCGGTCAGGACGATTGAGCATTGCAGCGAGAAGGGGTTGCGAGATGACCGGGCCTACTAGTCATAAAATGAGTCTGATATCCTCCATTAAAGTTGAACTCACCAGCACGATCCACTCAGGAATCACCATCGCTCGAACTAGACCCGGGCCCCTCACCATCACCGAGACTTCCGGACCCGTCGCCCTGCCCGTCGCCCTGCCCATTGCCCGCATTTCCGCCACTCCCGGAATCACCTGTAGCACCCGAAGGCTGATCTCCCGCATCAGCAGGCACAGCACTCTCACTGGCAGATGGCTCCGATTCGTTCGGTTCATCCGAGTTGTGCCTGGGCTGTGCAGCTGTGTGCGCCGTCGTCTTCGCCCGGCGCCTCGCAGCAATCAGCTCCATAGTGGACGGACCTGCAGACACACGACCTCTCTCGTCGCGATGTCCGGGACCGAAGACTTCACTGCTCAATAAGTCAGAATGAGGTACATGCAGTATGCACATGAATCACGACATACGTGTTGTACCACTCGAGGACATCTTCTGCCCATTCAGGGTCTTCGAACATGCCGAGGATGTTGAAGTAGAACTTCTGATAAACGAACTCGGCATCGTTCTCGCACCACTCAACTTGGGCATCAAGACCGAAGCGAGTCTGCGACAGGTTGTGTAGATGCAACACCTGTGAGCAGTCGGGAGGTACTTACCAGGGTCGTCGCATAGGCGATGGTTTCCGGAACACAGGCGGTGATCCCGTACTCCTTCGCGAGGGACTTTCTCCCAGGGCCTGACCGCGAAGTGGAGGAGAAGTGAGCGAGTGGGCCTTGCCAGTCTTGGGCCCTGTCATGATCGCACGATATACCTGGTGATTGAACGTGTGAAGGCTATGCAGATAGGACCTTAAAATAGCACTCACCGCAGAGATGAGCGGCGCCTTCAGCAAGCCAGCTTCCGGGTTGTCGGCGAAGTAACCTTCTTCGCAGTACACGAGCGCGGGGAAATGATCAGCAGTCACCTGTACAGACCCCTCAAGGGTGCTGTCACAGAAGCTGTACGAGGATGTTACCACGCCTTTGGATTGATGTCAGATATCCAGCTTACCTCTGCGGGTCTGCGTTGAACTTCCATTGAATCGCTGCCGGAGTGAGCAGACGCCCAGTGGCGAGGTGGCGGAAGCCGCGTTGGTGCTTCTCGTGGTCTTGTTCGATGTTCGGAACATTGTCGAGGTTCTTCGGGATGAATGTGAGAACACTATTCTTGACTTTCGTGCTGTCGTCCGAGCGAGCCTGTTTCAGGTGTTTCTCGAACTCAATCTTGATGTTAGCAATGATAAAAGGGCACTCTGCTTGACACTCACGAAGTGAGAAATGACGCCGACGATCTCCCGGTTTCCCTGAGCCTGCTGAAGCACCTCCTCCAGCTGCGGGATCAGGTTGAGAAGGCTCTCGTAATACTCGATGTGCCTCGGTATCTCCTTGACATCGCTGATGCACCACATATATGCGCATATAGCAACACATATACAATGGTTTCGTGAGTGTATGCGTTAGTATAGGTTCGAGAAGGGTGCTGGGTGGGCAGCTTACAGGCTCTTGAAATCGGTGAGGTCCCATTCCTCAGGCATGAGCCCGCCGAAGTGAATTCCGCACAGAATCACGTTGTTGAGGTTGATGAAGGGTCCCATGCAGCGCGGAATGAAACGCGCGGCCTTCTTCCAGGGCTTGAGAATAAGTCTGTATGACGTTAGCCCCTTGACGACACAGTCACAAGCCAGAGAAGCTTACTTTTCTTGATCAGTGTGCTCGGTCGCTCGCATCGCGCGAATAAGCTTCCCGAGAGGGGAGCGGTCAGTCATGATCAAGGACTCGACATCGTCCTCGTCCTCGGGCTCGGTGCCCTAAGATGTAGATGCATGAGTAACATACATATATGCACACTATATGCTGGCTTTAAGACACACATTACCGTTCCCAGAGTCGCCACGACTGTACTCGGCATCGTGCCCGCTTCTGGGGTCCCTTCCATATCGGGTATTGTCTTCTTTGTCGCGTGGGTCACGCACACGGACAGTGTCGCGGCCATTCCGTGAGTCGTGTTGGCCATCACGTCCATGGAAGCCAGAGGAGTCAGACGACCTATCATCGTAGTCGTCGTCGCGGACGACTCTCGGTCGCTTCTGGAAGTGGTCAGCGGGAGGGGCAGCGGTGCGCTTAGCGCCGGTGCGGGAGGCGGAGAAGGGAGCCATTCTGGGTTTAGCGAGATCTAGGAAGCGGGGAGATGGCGGTTCGAGATTAAGCCTTGATCGGTGCCTCGGTGATCGCGGGCGCCTGCTTTATACCTGAATTCAGACTCAGCTGTCAAGCGCCACTCTGCGCCACTTGCACCGGACTTGCCTTATTCAGTTCAACTGCAGAACACCGTGTTCAGCAGGGCTCCTCAGACAGGGGCATCATTTTGTAAGGCAAAATAAGCATACCAGGTAGATTGTGAATATCTCAAGGGTACGTACACAAATTTTCGGAAGCCTCACGTTATTTGTGCGAGCTCTGGAGCAGCGCACATCTTAAGTGAGGCGGTAGTCACAGAGTGTCACATATGTGACTGGCGCTTCGCGGTGACTGCGTCCTCAGCCAGTGCTGAAAAGTACGGGCGAGCATGCGGGCGGGCGAGACGGGCAGGTCAGGGAGAGCGAGTGGGCGCGAGAGGGAAAGCGAAAGTGCGAGAGGGCAGGGTGGGCGGCAGATGTCGAGTCCGAGCAGGATGCGGAGCGCGTCTGCAGTAAGCTCGAGGGCAAGATCGACGGCAGCGAGCTGGAGGACGGAGCCAGTGAGGTGACCACAGGTGTCCTCGGACGAACGCAGGACGTGGGCCTGCTTGAGCGCGCGGGCAGCTGGGAGGCGGGTAGAATAGAGCGATGCACATACAGTAACGGGCTGGGATCATGGCCCCATTCGTAGCCCCGGCAGTGCACGGTGCACCCGGGCGCGACGTGGCACGCGTTCCTCCCGACGTTCTGTTTGAGGTTCCCGAGGATGGTCTCGTCAAGGTAGTCTGTGATCATGACCAAAGCGGGCGGCTTTGCAAAAGTGCACGAGAGGAGGGATGGTAGCACGCATCCGGCACCTAGCTCGACGACTGGGGCATCCCGTCATGGCGCGAACGAGTGCGTGTGGACATGGGAAGATGCGCATACTGGTCGTGCCGTCGAGCGGGATGAACTCGCGCTATGCGAGGAGGGGCGAGGGCGAGAAGAGGTGGTCCGCTAGCAGCGTGTTCGCCTGGAGATGTCCGTGTCAGATAAGTCCTCACTACCAGACCACTGCGCCATGAACGCACCTTGCCTTCCTGCGCAACCCAGTCAACGCAGTCCGAGCTGTTCGTCACGCGCCTCTGGGAGGAGCGTCTTCGCGCGTACCTTCGGTGCGACCGCCAGAACCAGCGGCCCGTAGTGATTCTCACCGTCGTCGCTCAGGTCGGCGGTGCCATTGCACAGCGCGGAGGCGTCGCCTGGGAAGTCGTCCGAGTCCATAGCCCGCAAGCGCCGGGCGGAGGGACTGGAGGGAGCGCATCGACTTGAGGTAGTGCATAGAGCTGCGCTGGGAGTGGCGCGCGTATGGCGGGTTCTGCACAACCTCCCCGCCAAGTTCAAGAAGGTCCTCGTGCCCGGCAAGATCCAGCAGATCCTCTGCACGGGCAACGTCTGCGACCGCGAGCCCTTCGAGTACCCCCGCAGCGTCGCGCCCGACGTGCACGTCGTCCGCGGCGACCACGACAAGGTGCATTCGCTTCCCCCTTCCGGGCTTTCAGTGGGCGCTCACGGGGTCACGGTGCGCAGAGCAACTTCCCGCTGGCGGCGGCGGTGGCGCACGCGCCGATCCGGATTGGCGTCGTGCACGGGCACCACGCCTCGCACGGCGTGTCCGGGACGCCGCCAGCAATCCGCCACTTCACATGCAGTTCGAGGAACCGCAGGCTCGGCAAGAGCTGCGCGACGCTCCTCGATGGCAGACTCCACCCTGCGTGGCACGAAGAGACGACCGGGTCCATGCGTTCGAGCATTGCGAGCGCGTGGTGCCGTAGAAACGCGTTGAACTGAAGCTCGACCCGGCATACGGCGCACGCAAGGGGGACCGGGGCGTCCGCGACTAGCTCGTCAAGCTGTGCGTGAGAGAAGTCGACTAAGGAGGGGGAGAGCGGCGCGGCTTTGAAACGGCAGGTGTGGAGGTGGAGGACGCGCAGATTATGGAGGAGCGAATGAGGCGTCCGAGGCAGCGAGCGATCGAGTGCGCAACACTGGTGGTCGGACTAGAGCGCAGAGACACAGCGCGGCGAAAGCCTGAGAGGGTAGTCGGCATCGTTGAGCGAGAACACTGCAAGCGACGTCGCCACCTCGTCGGTTTGGTTCAGGTTCGCAAGCTTCTTAGACTTCCCGGCCTTTCGCAGTGTACGCAGTGTCGATGGCGGAGGCGCAGAGTGAGATGGCGAGCGCGTGAGCGACTGGCGAGGGGGCCAGCAAGATGGCGGGCGGGCGCGAGATGGCGAGGGTGAGGGCACAAGAGGGGCTCCTGATAGCATGCGGACTCTTGGGTAGACTGCGGATGCGACCACCCGGGCCTATCCCCAACGCGAACATCGAACGCAAATCTACCCTTGAGGTCTGCGCGCGTGCGAGCCCCGTGCATAGAAAGGGGTGTGGAGGGGTATGGGTAACATGTCCGAGGCCGCAATCCGAGGGTCAAACGCGACTTGCAGTGCAGAGAGATGCCTGCCTGTCGACTAGTAAAGAATGCGTGAGCAGCTGCCCGAGGGAGTACCGCGTCAGCACGCACCTTCGTTTCTCGAGTACCCATACTCTCCGTTCTGATGCGCCATATTCCCTCAGAACCTTGGTACAACCACTGTCGCCGGGTTCGGATTGTTGAAGAGTCAAGACGGGTAGCGATTCGGAGGGGTGATGGAGAGGTCACGGAGAGGTCAGGAAGAGTGGGAGACGATTCGAGACGCTCGTCTGGGTCGCCAGACGCAAAGATTAGCGGTCACATGACTCTTGAGACGCCAGACGCGTCGAATCCGATGAAGTCGTTCTCGACGCGTCTCCCTCCTCCTTTGCAATGCCCGAGACCTGTTTTGGCTGCGGAAAAATCTTCGCTGCGAACGCCATTGGGAATCACCGCGTAAGATGCTCAAAATTGAAGGAACTTAGTGCATCTGGCCTTCGCAAACGGGCGATGGTCTCCAAAACAAGCCCCGCTCGAAGGTCGCGAGGAAGGGCATAGAAGAGCATGTTCTTGAGGAGAGGCAGAACATCAGGGAGACGGTTAATGAGGTGAGTGTCTATTGCTGTCATGCTTCGTCTACTGACTTCCTTAAAGTTTCATGGCGCAGAAGTTCGTGAGCCCGAGCTCGAGCCAGAGTTCATCGAAGGCTCGTCGGGCGATGTACCCGCGGACCCTCCCGTGGCAGCACCTCCTCCATCTCCGCCTCGAAACCTGGTGAGCCGCTCAGGGCGTGTCAGGCGCGTCCCTCGCGCACTCCAAGATTATCTCCCTCGTCGACAAGCGGTCTTCCTGCGCATATACTCGCACAGGCCCCGACTTCCACCAATCCGTCTGAGCCCTCGCACCCCCTCCCAAATCCTCTTGCATCGACCCCGGCTCCTAGTACTCCTCTCGTGGCTCGTGCTGCATCTCCCAGCCCTCCTCCTCTTGCAGACCTTGAAGCTCTCGCGACCAGACCGAATCACTTCGGAGTCTACCGACAGTACTATCGAAGCCCACGACGTGAACCAGATGACGAGGCTAGCATACTACAACTCTGTGATGATACTTTACGGGCTCCTCATCAACCACAACCTGCTGGGCAATCTGTTCGCGGGTTTGGACGCGCGATCGTACAGCGCGTGCGCTCAGCTCCACGACCAAAGCCCGGATCGCTGAGACCAGCTCGCTCCAACTGGTTCTTCCCGTTCTTGAACCCGAGCGCATTTCTCCTTATGGAGTGGGCGCATACAGGCTCAAATCTGAAGTCGAATGCCGAGGTCCAACGCCTCGTCGACGAGGTCCTCATGGATAAAGAATTCGACATCGAAGAACTGCGCGGCTTCAAGGTTGCACGTGAGACAGCAAGGTTGGATGCGATAGATGTTGCCGATGAAACATTGCGGACGGTCGACGGATGGCGCAGGGTGGCAATTACTGTGCCAGTGCCGAAGGAGCGCGTCAAGTACTCTTCTGAGGCGGATGCTCCGCACTTCGTCATCGACAATGTCTACATCCGCTCCCTCGTCGACACTATGAAGGAGGCTGCGAGCGATCCTGATGCCACGACGTACAACTGGATCCCCTACGAGTACCTCTGGAACCGCCCTGTTGACAATCCCTTGACTGATGCGCAAGGGAGACCGCTTACGGAGAAGGTCCGGCTTTACAGCGATGTTTGTGACTCTCAGGAGGCTCTTGACGAGGATGCACGGATCCGTGCATGGGCTCGAGAGCACTGCAATGACCCGCCCGACGTTGAAGTGGCCATGGTACCCATCATGCTCTGGTCCGACTCGACTCACCTTGCCAGCTTCGGATCTGCGTCTCTCTGGCCTATCTATGCGTTCTTCGGCTTCGTATCCAAATATGTGCGTGCAAAGCCGAACTCATTCTCTGCGCATCATTTGGCCTACATACCCAAGGTAATTTGCTCAGTTCTCGGCATGTTCTGGAGTCACGCGATGCTAATCCGCCACTGTTGTAGCTTCCTGATGCCTTCCAAGACTGGTACGAAGAGGTCCACGGGAGTCCTGCCACAGAGAACACCTTGCGATTCTGTCGGCGAGAAGTCATGCATGCCATCTGGACCCTTCTCATGGATCCCGAGTTCAAGAAGGCATACGAAGAAGGATTGCTGTGGGAATGTGGCGACAAGATTCTCCGACGCCTGTTTCCGAGGTTTTTCACATACTCTGCGGATTATCCGGAAAAGTGCGTCTGCTGCGATTCTGATTCCCTAGCTGACTGACCAGCGAGTGAGTACTAGAATACTTCTGGCTTGTACTCGCTATCTCGCTCAATGCCCGTGTCCGCGCTGTTACGTCAAGAAATCCGACTTACGACTGATGGGAACGAGCAGGGACATGAAGCAGCGGCGGAACCATATCCGCGTCGACACTGAGCCTATCCAATATGACATCAATGCAACGCGGAGCTGGATCTTTGAGGATGGGTACAGCGCGAGCAGCAAACGCATAGATAAGGTGCTTGGACCACGCTCACTCCTCCCAATCCGAGTGAGTTGTCCTCGCTGCTGCAACGTCATTTATCCAAACTCACTGAGACTTGCAGAGCGCATTCTCAAGGTTCTCAGAGAGTCTGCCGCGGCCACTGCGCTTCAACCATTACCGACTTCTCGTTCCCGACGTCATGCACGAGTTTGAGCTTGGAGTATGGAAGGCTGTTCTCATCCATTTACTTCGCATTCTGTATCTGCTTTGTCGTCTCTCGGTTTTTAACCGAAGGTGAGCTTCTCTCCACCTGATCGCATCACCACCCTCATCTTACTTGTCCAGATTTCGTAAGATCCCAACGTATGGCTGCGATACAATCCGGCGCTTCAGCAACAATGTTTCTGATCTCAAGCAGATGGCCGCGCGTATGTACGAAGACATCCTGCAGGTAAATGTGCTATATGACGATAGATTGATAGCGTCTAACACTCCGTTTGACTTGCAGTGCATCATGCCTGTCGTTGACGGCATGCTCCCTCCACCTCACGATGATATCGTGCTCGACCTTCTGTTTGCTCTCGCAGAGTGGCATGCTTTTGCGAAGCTTCGCCTGCATACCGAACGGACCCTCAGCCTCTTCGACGAGTCTGTCAAAGCTCTTGGCAAGGCAATGCGCAGGTTCGAGACGATCACATGTCCAGCTTTCGACACAAAAGAGCTTCCTCGCGAAGTCGCCGCTCGAGGTCGTCGGCAGGTTGCCGCAGCTGCTAAGGCTGGATCGAAAGGCAAACAGAAGGCTGCTGCAGTATTGGTGCAGTCTCGCAAGGCCGCGGGAGGTGCTCGACGTGCCATGTTCAGCCTGTGCACCTACAAGTGGCATGCCATGGGAGACTACCCTGATATGATCAGGGCAGTCGGGACACCCGACATAACGTCAACACAGCATGTGAGCCACTGAAAGGACAGTATTGATATGCACTCACTCGAAACGTCGCAGGGCGAGCTTGAACATCGTCGCATCAAGAGGTTCTTCCCTCGCACGAACAAGAACAACTATGCAGCTCAAATCGGCAAAAGGCAGCGGCGCGAACGTCTTCTGCATCAGATCAAGAAGAAGCGCAATATAGTTAGGGGGCAGCACTCGCAGTCGTCTGCACCCAAGGCCCGGCGGCCTGCGCAAGAGGAACAGGCAGCAAGGCCAGGTTCGAGGACCCGACTTGAAGTCCCCGACAGGCGCCGCGGCGCAGTGCTCCCGTTCACTGACAGCGAATTCCTGCCGCCCACGCCGCCTGACAGTCGATACCAGATGTCAGACTCGCAGCGTTATTGGGAGAACATTCCCATGTGGCAGGCAAAGAATCGCGACGATCCGGCGACCAAGGTGAGTAGTAGATTTAGAATCATGTTGATTCGAGTCCGACTCGTATTCATGCCGATATGCAGGACTTCATCCCTCACCTCAAGGATCACTTACTCGGACGGCTACTGAACCGCGAATACAATGGCGACGAGGATGTCTTTACACCAGCAGATCGCCGCCGCCTTAGTATCGAGAAGGATCGCATGTACCTTCACAAGGTTCTCCGGGTCAACTACACCACTTACGACATGCGGCGCGGTCAAGATTCGATCAATCCGAGGACTCACCCGAATATCATGCTACTTGCTCATGAAGATGATGACGACGCAGGCGAGCACCCTTACTGGTATGCACGAATCCTTGCCATGTTCCATGTCCATGTGCGGCTCGCCTCGGGAAGCCCATCTGTGCCTGACAAGTGTCAGAAGATGGACGTTCTCTGGGTACGCTGGTATGGGCGAGACCCTACAGCACCTGGGGGATTCAAGGCTCGTCGCCTACATCGCTTGGGCTTCGTTCCAGATGATGATCCTTACGCATTCGGCTTCCTCGATCCCACGTCAGTCTTGCGGGCATCACATATCATACCAGCTTATGCATACGGACAAGTAAGCGATTTATTACCACCGTCGCCATGCGCTCGGCGTCCCGAGGAGGAAGACATGGATTACATGTACTACTACGTTGGCATGTGAGTGGTGGATTCGTGTTCAAGTTCACTTTCTGCACTTCTAATCTACAGCATTGCTCATGTACTGTTCAGGTTCGTTGACCGGGATATGGTCATGCGTTACTTGCCGGGAGAGGCACCCGGGCACCAGGGGACCGTGTCGCAAAAGTATAGGGATGGGCTGTTCAGATCGGAGGCTGAGCCTGACGAGGTCATGGCAGAGGATCAGACTGACACGATTGCTGAGCAGGAACACGACAATGTCTCCTTTGCACAGCATGAGGAAGGACATGACTCGGAGGACGATGATGGGAGTGTGGACGGTGCCGGAGACCATGACGACCACGAGGAGCATGATTATGGCTACTGCCCCGATGGTGACGAAGACGAAGAGAATGACTTGGAGTGGGAAGACGAAGACGAGGACGAGGACGGAGATCTTGGCCCAGAAGATGGGGAGGTTGACGATGATGATGAGTATGCACATACTGGCTTTGCACATCTATGACTGTTGGTACCTAACTCACTCAATACCACTATTCAATGGCTGATTAGCACTGGTATGAGCTTTGTACGGAGACTGTAAGTGTGACAGGCTCGGAAACAGCAGTGCTTAAGTGACTCGGGATCCTCTCGCACGTCTGGTACACCAGGTCAGTTCGTGCCATACCATCTCATGTGATGACATGGCTACGGCTGTCTATGATTGACTGGCCATGCATACTTCTACCTTACAGCTTAATTTTCGTCTGCCTGGCAGGCGAATATCTGGCTATGTCAGGCCCTCGCTAGCATTGCCTTATTGGGTAAGTCATGTATTACATCGCCTTGTCAGCTCTGGCCCGATATTGATTCGCCCTTTTCGCTGATGACTGTAGAGGCTTATGTGAGCAACCACACCGCTTACCTTATCCGGCGCGAATCGGCGTAGTGAAGTCCAGTAGCGCGCGTCAGCCCTCCGTGTCTCATACCAAGACCCTCTACACGGCGCTATCGAGACCAATGGTACTTATGTTGTACACGCCCATTTTGGTAGGATGTGAGAAAACTCTGAGCGGCTCGGGCGATACTGATCTGGATCACCAGGAGTCGTTCAGCTCGACGGCACCTGGCAGTCGGGTCAGCGCCTTGACCTGGTCATGACCTGAGCTGCAGGCCTGTCGATGCCTCGAGGGAGCTCTCCTCCGTCTCTCCCTCGACCCTACAGCGACATCTTCCAGCAACTTACGTAACCTCTCCTGTGCATACGTGGCTGCGTACTGAGTGCCGTGAGAATCCCAATACTCGTCTTCGTCCCACACTCTACACCCGCACTCAACCTGTGCGATCTCGACGTCAACTTGCTCTCGCTGCCGCCCAACGATGGATACGTACGGGCGGGTTCTCATTCTTCCATCTCGCAATTTCAACTTCGGTATTCGTGGGCAATACGCAAGGAGCTCTGTCTGGCTGCATTCATGCGTTGGCACTCAGGAGAGCTTGCCCTCGTCATCGGCCAAGGTCGACGATGTGGGCACTTCCTGCTCCACGCCTTAAGGGGGCGCCTCGTACATCTATGAGGTGAGTGAAAGTTGCTATGGTTGGAACTGACGACATTACCGAGTCCCGGAGGCCAGCGACGAGTCACGACGCCGAGCAGATCTCGTGGCCAGCACTCACCTGCACAAGTGTAGCGATACCTATGTAGCACAGACATGGTGAGCCAATTCCTTTCATTGCACGAAGCGAATGCCATTCAGTGCGGTGTTCCCTGCGCTGTATCGAAACCCCCTTCTCTTTTGCAACCAACGTCGCGAGTCGTACGCTCGCCGTGAGGTGTCTAACGCACGGTTCGTTACGCTTGCCTCTGTCCAGCATAATGACGTGCAGGCCATCGATGGTGAGTTCATCATGCATCTGATTCGGTAGAGTAGACGTGGGACGTGCTTGTGTCGTGCACACGTCTGCGTTCCTTAATATCGTACATTTCACCATCGGAGTGGGTTAATCACAATGATAGGTATGCGAGACCCGATTTGACTGCTATGTGCGCAATATACTGATGTTCCCGACAGGCTTCCAGTCGATACCAGTCAGGAGCTCTTAAGTTAGATGCGCTGAGCAGATTCCGTCATCTATGCCCTGATTTCCAACACAGTAGTACCTATATAATCGCACGGAATCGTTGGGTAGCATATTAATGGCTACATTGATGTACTAGTTACTGGGCTACGAGTAATAACGAGCGCTGTTGCCAGCGATACTGTGACGACGTATTTTCCGATTGAACCTGCACTTCCTTGCCGAAGAGTCAGCCTCAACCCACCTGCCGGTAACATTCCTGTGGCCCGAAAATGGAGGGGGGTCGGATGTGCGATCTCACCTCCTGATGGCCTGAGCTGGTCAGGTCTCGCGGATAGGCAACTGAGGAGAGTCTCCGGAGATAGGAGCCTTCACCTCTGGGTCAGGTCAGACCGGCGCTCCGCCCATGTCCGACCGAGGGCAGTGGCGGCTGATGGCGCTCGGGCGAATCTGACCTCTCCCCGAAATGGGCGTGTATTCTCAGCACGCTTGTTGAATGAGTCAGTTTTTGACCTACTGGACCCCAAGCCTGCAGGTTCGCACCTAACCTAGCTTACGACCATGTTTATTTTGATGCCAGCTCACTGCCACGAACTTCAGGCTCTTGAACTTGTTGGCGCACCACACAATTGATGACACAAGTACATGACCATGAAACGACTGGGTGGGACTTTCCAGTACACAAATCTCGACCACTCACGGTTTCGGAACTTCAGTAGATCGCTGGCTACTATGAGCCAGATTAGTGACCTCGGGCTACGCGGATTCGTCGATTCGAGCCACCGTGCTTCATTTCCTGCATAATTCTACATCTTCAGAAGTGACACGGCGATGTATCGAGATTACATGTATGCTTAGTGCGGCGTGCGGATTATGTTTGGACAGATTTGTGCTCAGTGTTTCGTGAGTAGATCTGGGACTCGCTGGGTCAGCGTTGTACTGATTGTATCGCGCTTGCAGTTGCCGCGAATAATGAAGGCAAGTCTCGCATCCTAGTTGAGTGCCGGAACTTAACAGTATTTAGATCACGGGTCGATTTCTATCACTGGCCCATTGACTATGTGTATTTCGCTACGTGATCACGACGTTTTCGCGCTTCAGTATGGGCGGCAGTGAGAACGTCTCACAGCGCGCAGCGACAATCATATCATCCAGGAATTCATCAACAACTACCAGCAGTCGCCTCTCTCGTCTAGTGAGTTTACCAGTATCTGGCGCCTCGTTAAAGACCCCTCGGTGACTCGCGCATACAGCTGCACACATCCTGTCACCGGGATGCCCGACACAGTCGAAGAACATGAGACTGATGCGCTAGGCTATTCATCTCGTGCGGTACTATATAAACATTCCGCTCCCAGGTGGTTCAGACAGTGTTTGTTCTCCTGATCTCACCGCACTGCAACACTCCGTCGCGTCCCATCCCCCTTCTACTCCAGCAGCCCAACCCAGCATGTTCGAGTTCCGCCACCAGCCAAGTTGAGAACTGCTTACATCATATATCTTCTCGTCACAGGGATCTTCTTCCAATTGCCCTACTGCATCATACGGTCAACTATCCCTTCTCTGCGCACTCGCCAGTCATGGACTCTGAAACGCGAGATCATGACTTCCCTCATGCGAACCTTCATTGCGTCACCGCTGATGACACGCATTCGTCCTGTGCGCGCTGAGGACCCGAAGGCATTCCTGACCAACCCGCCGGCAGAACACATAGCGTACGCTCGCTATGAACCAATTTCCCAGGAGATGATAGTCGGAGAGGTGAAGGAGCTGGCAGAGCTGAACGGTGTCAAACCCGTGCCATTCTGCGGGTACTGGATCAAGTTCAAAGGCGCGGCTGGCAAACCCAACCAGAAAGCCGGGCCTGACGAGAAAGTCCTCATGCATCTACACGGTGCGCAGAGTCCGTCTCAATTAACATAGTAACTGATCGCCAGTACAGGTGGAGGATACATCGCTTCCTCGTCATACCCAGAGGGCGATGGCTGTGGCAATTTCTACCATGACCTGCTTTCTCAATGCGCCAGCATGTGGCGTATCTTCTCCTGCGGATACCGCCTGTCATCATCGGCCCCTTTCCCTGCGTCCAACGCGTTCCCAGCAGCACTGTTTGATGCGCTCGCAGGCTACTACTACCTCTTGCGTGTAGCTGGCTTCCGCCCCGAGAACGTGTCCATCAGCGGGGACTCTGCAGGTGGCCACCTCACGCTCGCGCTCACCCGCTACATCGCCCTCCACCGACCCGCGGGTCTCCCGATGCCCGGGCAGATAATCCTGATCAGCCCGACAGGCGAGTGGGAACCCACACACGACGGGCCGGACGCGTCGTTCCGCAGGAACGACCCCTCAGACTACTCCACACCATTCTTTTGGGGCTATACAAAGCGGAGCTTGCTGGGAAACATGCCTGACGAGGCCGTTGTGAACAGTCCGTGGATCTCCCCCGCATCGCTGCTCCTTTCGGAGATCAAGGAACTGTTCAAGGGTCTCCCCAGGACCTACTTGACTGTTGGCGATGCTGAGGTGCTCCTAGATGTATGCCATACGTTGCGCGACCGGTTGATCGCGGGTATCGGGGAGGAGAACGTCACTTACGTCGAGGTGGAGGACGCCACGCACGACTTCGTTACTCAAGACTGGCACGAGCCTGAGCGGACCGATTCGATGAAGCATATCGCCGCATGGGCGGGGTGGTTGTGACCGCTAGTCGAGGCTCTGCGTTCCTACATTGTATACTTACTGTCCTTTAAGTTTGGATGGTGTACCAACGTATAATAATGTTTGTGTCACCTCGTTGACGCATTGCCAGAGTGCAATAGTACTATACACCGGTCTCTAGCCCTCTCTCCCGGAGACCAGACGCTCGCTTGTCTGTGTGTGTACTAATGGTAGTTTTACTGGTCTCAGTATAATCTCAGTTTCTGGCGGCCCATTCACGAAATCAATGGATCGTGAGCCAGCAGCTTGAAGCCTCTCTCATACCAAGTCATTGAACTTTCAAGACACGTAAGTATATACACTCACGACACACTATTAGATCTGTGCTCTCCTGTAGCACCGTGACAGCACTTGGTATGCCACGTCAGTCAGGAAGAGGAACCCACGGCGTCCGCGACAAGCTGGACCGCTTTCGCAGAGCGTGGTGTTATGGAACACGCAAACTCGCGAGGATGACTAGGAGGCGTTAGATGGCTTCTATATTGTCGACAATGCCACTTGAACCATGACTGACCTGACAAGCCCGGGAACAAAGCGAGCCTCCGGCGTGATCTCTCTGCCCTGCAGATCACGAGCTTTCTTGATATCTAGCGTAGCTATGATGTTCGAGATCGCTAGAAATGCGGCCGTGTCTGCGAAAAGGCGACCTGGGCATATCCTGTGGACCATTGTCTTCATCTCGATTTGCCACAAGTGTCAGACAGCTCACCTTCGTCCATGTCCGAAGACAATGTTGACTGGATCTGCTATCTCTGCATTCAACGGCCGACTCTGATCGGAAAATCTCTCTGGGCGGAAGACATCTGGATCACCGTAGACCTCTTCGCTATGGGACATAGACCTAGAAGAACACAGTAAGCGACGCATAAAAGCCTACGGATGTGTACATACCACAGATTAGCAATGACCCAAGTGTCACTAGGGAGGTCCAAGCCCTGGTATTCGTCGTTTTCCGTCAGATAATGTGGAATGCCTATATAAGAGATTGGACGGGATGCACGGGGTAGGTATGATGTAAATGCACACTTAAAGGGGTAGGTGGATTCCAGCTTGATGACAGCCCAATTAGCCAAGAAATTCATTGGTCCTACTAGTGAACGCACCGATACACCTCCTTCAGCACACATTCTACGTATGGCAAAGCTTCCCTGTCGGCAAGCGTCGGAAGTCGGTCTCTCCCAATCACGCGGTCAACCTCGTCTTGTGCTTTCTGGTAAGCGTCGGGATGAAGAACCATGGCTAGTAATAACGTGAGCAGCAATGTTTTGACCTACGGAAAATGCTCAGTTCAAGAGCAGTAGTCAGATCATTCCCGACTGACTGTATCTGTCCCAGCTGGATTATATGCTTGTCAGGTCCCGCACTTCCCTATGGTCACGAAGCAGATACCCACCGGCATACATGGCAGCACAGGCACTAATGATGTCAGGTTCTTCTTCTGCAAGACTGCCCGTCTTCATTGCGTCTTCAATGAGCGTCGATATAATTGATGGTTTCGCACAGCCCGCTACCTGCCAACCTCGGTGAACTGTCGCGTCATCTCGCAAGGCCGGTGTGCTTACAACAGCATTTCGAGCCATGTAATACGGCTTCAGTTTGGCATCCGTAATGATAGTCCTAGCATCCAGTACTTTGCGCTTCCAGCTCATACCAGGTAGCCATGTCGGAAAGTGTTTCACTGAGTTCCGCGTCAGCTCGGAAACCGGCTAAGCGACCTGACTCACCAATCGGGAAAAAGTCCACTGTAGTACCGCCAGAAGGACCCATTGCAGTTGTCAACTCCATGGCACGATCAATGATATGGATGTATGGGTCATCTGAAGACGTGACTTTGTGGCCGTATACACTGTCCATGATAAGTGCCGTTATGTACCTGCTAGTCTTGAGTCATGGTCATTGAGCAGTTGTGCCACGGTACGTACCGCTTGACATGTTTTGTGAAGTCGTGGGGTTCGTGTATCAGGGCCGACAACAGTATATATGTCTCCCTCTGTTGCAACTTCTCGAACTGCCGAACTGCCGCCTTATCCCCGAAGGCATTCTGAATCCATCTACGCTGCTTGCGACGATGCTCGGAATTATATGGAAGGGTTATCACATCAGGATCCCAACCCAGTCTTATTATATCTCGTCAGCGCGCTGAACTCAACGTGACTGTGACAATCACTTACAGCTCAGTCAGCATGACCATCCGTGGCCGGCTTGAGTACCTATTGCCCCTCTTGTCAAGTAGTTCTCTCGCTATCTTCTGTGTGTTGATGATTAGGATTGGCCTAGTGAACATTGTTGCGTAGATGAGATTCCCTGATGCGCAGCTTCGTCGTCAGAATACCCACTCCTGGCCAACAGACATACCATATTCCTTAGACCAACGAGCAAATGTTTTCTCTTGGTATTCCGCGGGAACCTGGTGTACGTTGCCTACGATCGGAAGAGGCTTCGGACCAGGAGGTAGCCTGAGTAGACGGTTGCGACCGAGCCATCTGCCATGAGATACAATAGCAAGATAAAACGCGGCACACAACAAAGCAGCCCCGATCAAGGCGCGGGGAGAACACAGCTGGTACATGACGAATTAGAAGTAACCGACTGAGAGAGATAGCTAAATCGTACCCGGTCGTGCTCGGTTTCTGGCTGTTCTTATACGCTCAAGTAAGAATCAAGCACGCGACGTATACACGCAAAAAGAAGCGAACAAGTGTCCGAGTATCTGTGGAGACATGTGGAGACATTGCGGAGAAGTACTGAATGGAGCACTTATGCGGCGATCAAGAGTCCATTCTAATCTGCAGACAATATTAAGCATGGAGTTGGTATGGAGTAGCCCATGATTACCGCTGTCCGATAATTGGTCCGTCAGAAACATATGGCAGGGACCATACCTCAACCTGCTGAGCTTCCTCTACGCCGAACTCTCTTAAGACACTTCTGGCTACGGAGAGCAAAATCTGCCAGCGTGTCAGCGGACGATAAGATCTCGAACGGAAATAGTTGTCTGGAAGGGGTAAGAGAGTTGCGCCTCGACAGACTCGTGGACATGTGCACGAAGCGCTTCGGCTTGTGTACCGAGAGACAATTGAACAGTTGCTGTAAACGGAGTCCACCAACGCTAGTCCAAGCAACGCAGTCAACAGAAAATCATAACACATCTGAAATCACGACTCCGTATGTTCGTCAGATTCAGAAACTCCTATTTGCAGTTGCACAAAAGCATCAAACAGTCCGAGTTTCCGAACAGCGTCTAGGGAGCGAGGCGACCGTACCTTATCTATCTTCTTGCGGAACCATGATGATTCCCACTCACGTCAACACCATCGATATACACATCGTTGTATGTGTCGTCCGGTGGCTCTGAATCACGTCCGCTGTTTTCGCAGGCCAGCACACGCTGTGTTACCAGCATGAGCACAGAGCACGCAACTTAACAGTGACGGTACATGGTACATGATTCCTGCGTGACCCGATGAGCCAGAGTGCAAGAAGACAGTGTCGAACTGAGCGCACCGAGGTGGGTACTTCTCTTTCCGCATGAATGGTCCACACCTGTATCACTCAATAAGAATCGTAGACTGTGTGCGAACGATACGTTATGTACCTGTCAACCACTATGCGCAAAGGGTCCCTATCCGATTGCTCCACAGCAGGACGTTGATGAGCAGCACTCTTATAATAAGTACACCGCGCCGACATAAGTACGCGGGCGTGCGTCCTTCAACCAAGCGGCGAGGTGCACACCTGTCCAAACCGTCACAATCTCGATGACGCCGTAGACGCATCTGAGGAGAGGCGTCTGCAGGTAAGTACGTGAGCCCGAAGGAGTCGGTCAACGAGGTGACGATGATCCGACATTGGCTAGTGAGGCTGTTGGGGACATGATTCAACGCGGAGAAGAGCGCGAAGAGCCATGTCTTCGGGTCGAGCAGGGCCTCGATGACTCTGTCAAGAAGCGAGGGCGAATGCTAGGTTGGTACGTGGACAAAACGCACTGCTCGATATTGCAGTGTTGTTCTCGACACCAGTTTGATCTGCATTATTTAATATTAGCAACCCGGAGTCCCTCAGAGGTAGCTTCTTTGTCGCACAGACCTGGAGACGTCGGATACCTTCAATATGTCCTTCCCGTGTGAGGAGCCAGGCGTTAGTTGGCGAGTCCGGGAAGTATAGCCTGAGTACAGGTCATCAGCACTACGACAATCGACTCTTTGCGAATATGATCCAGCTCACCAATAGGCAACTGCAGTGATCAGTGTCAAGATACCGGTGATGGACACCAGCCTCGTGAATTGGCGATGGCCATGATGAACATCTACACGCATCATTTGACGATGACCGGCCACCATTGCTATGGTTCAAACCCCTGGGTCTTGAAGCTTGACATGTGAAGTCCCGAAGCTGATTAAGCCCGAGATACTTTGCGCTTCAAAGCAGATGAACCGGTATAGGTTATGTTGGTCCTGTCGAGGCATCTGGGGCTATGTCTTCGGGTCAGTCTTGACAATTTCCGGGAAGCAAGACACTGTAGAACCAAGGGATGCCCCGACTTTGCCCTGACCTCAGGCGGCCTCCGCTTTGGATTGAGCTTGGCGGAGCCCACGCAAGGACGGATGAGATCAGACATGTATCACTTTGCGATGGGAGAGAGGCAAAATGCACCCGGCGAGAGACAGACCTGATGAGAGCAAGGTCAGTTAGTAGGGGTCGCGTACTCTATGCCAAGTACTCTAGATCTAGATCTGGCCACGGAAGTACAGATTCTAGGACGTATGACCATACATGGTATGCCCGAGACATCCCCGAAGTACCTGGTGAGCATCAGCCCAGAGCCAGGTCAATCCTACCCATAAACTTGCCTACGAACACATCAACCTGGAGATTCAACATAAAAAGAGGACAGCGGAGTGTCATATAGGACGACCGTGTGGAGGCAAAGTTCAGGCGATACTGCGACAAGTACCTCAAGGCCGTTCAATGATTAACGCGGGATAGACCACATGATTGCACCAACAACGAAAGGACCTGAAGAGGACGAGTAGCTACGTACTCAAACGGCGGATTGCAACGATAATGCATAGTGAAGGGAGCATTGGAAGGTTCCGAGGCGGTATGTGCGCGAAATGAGAGCGCGGGCCAGGAGGAGATGAGAAGGTGATTTGACGCGTCGTATATGGGAAATGCCGGACCAATCAGAACGCAGGAACTCGGACTGTCGCGCAGATTCCGGCGCGGGCTCTGCTGGCAAATCGCCATACCGGAGAGCAGAGAGGGGATGCCGTCGCAGCTCCCCTCTCTCTCCTCCCCCGAAAACTGCCTTATTAGGCCATCTTCCCCCTCCTCGTCCTCCTCCTCCTGCGCCCTCTGCGCCCTAGCATGGCCCTCAAAGTCGACGGCCAGGTCGCTGTCGAGCCCCTCGTGGCCAGACTGGATAAGGCGGAACTACAGTGGCCGTCGTCGCCAGACTCGCCTTCACCACATCACAGCCCCATCGCCGCCGACTCTTCCGCCGCCTCCTCCTCCTCCCACTCACCGTCGTTCCCCGCAATCAGCACGCTGCCCGATGCCGTGCCCGCGTCGAGGCCCTCAGAGGTCGTCGTCGTCGAGGCGAACGGCGGAGGCAAGGGCGCGAAATCGAAGCCCGCCTCGAGCGTCACCGCAGCCAAACCCGCGTCAGGCCCGGCCGGCGCTAAACCAAAGTCCTCCAAGGCCCGCTCACCGTCTCCCGCCCCGCCTCCCCCGCCCCAGCCGCCGCTGCGCACCGTTCGCCTCGACATCCCCCTCGGTGGTCCCGAAGACTATGAGGTCGACATCGCAGCCCTCAGCAAGACCACTGGTCAGCGGTCACCCACACCGCCTGCTCCCGCGAAGCACGACACAAGCGACGAGAGTAACAGCGAGGGCGACGACGAGGGCGACGGCAACAAACTCAAGAAGAAGCGGAGAAAGGTGCGTCTACAGCCTCGCTAGTCTGCGCGTACCCTCATTGTTCAATGCAGAAGAACCGTGCCTCCGAGTACTACGACACGGCCGACCCCTTCATTGACGACTCTGAGCTCGCGCAAGACGAGCGGACCTTCTTCGCGCAGACGAAGCAGAAGGGATTCTATGTGTCGAGTGGACAGGTTGCGTTAATGAATACGTGCGTGTTCTCATTCGTTATCCTCTTGCGTATGCCGGGCAGGTCGCTAGAGTGCATTCATCGTTGTGGTCCGTTATTACCCCTGGTCTCGTCGCCAACTCAAGCCAGTGCGTCTGGCCTACAGCTTACCAAACCTCTCGCGCAGAAGGACGGGTGATTAGAATCTCGAAACGTTTTCTTCAATCACTGTCCCATCACACTATAACGAACATTGGCCTGACCTACATCGTTCAGAGCTCCCCCAGTATCGAAGAAACCAAAGTCAAAGAAGGTTGTCCTTGCGCCTTCTGCGTCCGTCGCCGCGGCGCTCTCCTCCGCTCCTATCCCTGCTTCCCTCGCGGCAACCCTGTCACAACCTCTTGTGCCAAGTGCACCTAAGCCGCCACCGTCCCCGAAGAAGGTGAAGATAGAGAATGGGACACGGGATGTGCCCATCACATTACCATCCGACCACGAGGAAGCTGCTCCAAAGCCCGTGAAGAGGAAAGCGGAGGAGCCGCGTGCGGAAAGCATCCAGTCGGGCTCACAGGAGAGCGCAAAGAAGAGGCGGAAAACCCGCGAGATCGTGAGTATTCGGTCCGGGCGCTCTGGGATCGCTCTGACAACTGCCGTAGCAACCATTCCATCCGGACCTCGACGAGATGTTTGAGGAGTTGAAAGTCGCGATTGCGAAAGGTGGGTGACCGTCTGCGAGAGGGTTATTGCTGTCTCACTGAACGCATGACAGAGAACTGGGAAGTCAAGGGCAAGTTCCCACCCGGCCTCAAACCAATGTTGGCGAAGATCGCACTCAAGGCAATCCTACTCGGCGAGTACGACGACAACTTCTTCAACATTATGCCGACGCTCTTCCCGTATAACAAGTTCACTATGACGGTACGTGTCCAGAGTAGTCGTCGTCATTCGCGAAGCTCACGTTCCGTCAGAAATTGATCAAACGGACGGTGTGGCGGGATCACACGACGCTGCTCGTCGAGCGACAAGAGGCTCTGCTTAAGGAGCTCAAGGTGCTCGCCGACCAGGGCTTCCCGAAGGCGCAGGAAGAGTGGGAGAAGAGCGTCGCGGCGTGGGAGCGGCGGCACGAGCGCACGAAAGACTCAGCCACTGAGGCCGGCTCAACCGTGCATTCGGTTGAAGGCACGCCCGCACCGGGCGGGTCAGACACGACGACGACGCCTCGCCTTACGTCGCGGCCGTCGATCGAAGATGGCAATGACACGGGCATGGAACATCAGGACGATGAGACCGCAGCGCAGAGCGGCGCAGCGAAGCGGGACGCGCATCCGCCCGGCAAGAAGTATCGTTTGACGGACACAATGAAGGCGATCATTTGGCAGCTCGTGTGTTTGAGCAATGAAGTCGTGAGGTTGGAGAACGAGAAGAAGTGGGTGTTCCGTCTGTGTCATGTACGCGGGAGGAGTGTGCTGATGGGTCGCATAGTACTTTGGAGAACAATAATCAGGTAGTGAGCGACCAGGGCGTGAGGAAGACATTATACCAGAAGGTGCGTCCAGATTCACCGGCTCTGGGACATGGCTCACCAATATGTAGATCGTCAACGCCTTCCCTGAGGGCTGGCTATCGTCTGGGCAGATATCTCGCGAAGGTCAGCCGTTCTGCTCTGGTGACTGGCCCCCTGCTTATCATTGTTTGTAGTGAGCGTCATGAAGAAGAAATACGAGAAGGATGCCCAGGAGAACGAGGCATGATCCATGCACTCCTCGTCTCTCATTCCTTCTACGACACTTGCATCACTCGCGCATTTACACTGTTTCTTTGGTTTTGTGTACGCTCGTCTAATCCGGCACTGAGTCTTCCCTGATGGACGCTCTGTACACCATCTGTGTTATTCGTACATTATGTTGTAGGCGTTGTAATGATAGTAGGAGAGCGTTGCTCTGAATGAATCGATACATCGATCAGCCTCCACTGCGTGCTCGTCTACGCGACTTCCTCTCAGGCTCCAGCAACTGTAGACTTGGCATTCACGATAGTGAGCAGGTCTTCATGAATCTCGCCGATAGGACCGTACATCTCGCTGTTGTCGTCCGAGTCCTCGGACGACAACGAGAGAGCGGCGGCTTCGGCTTTGACGGCCTTGTGTGCCATTTACGGTGCTCGGCGTCCAGCAGCAAAGGCTTGGATGGCCGGTTCGATATCCATCCCATGCTCGTGCGCAAAAGCCTCCAGCTTGTGGAGATTCTTCTCGGCAACGTGGATACAGTTCGCCTCTGTGTCCCTGATGTATTTGAGGAACTGGATCTGGAGTTCCTTCTCACGAATCTTGGAGTCGAGTGCAGTGCACTCTTGGACACGAGCTGTAAGGGCAGACCTCTCCATGTCGATCATGAGGGCGAGCGCATCTTCAGATATGTCGTCGGGCTCAGGAAGACCTGTGTCGCTAGATGTCTAATAGACGACATTAGTGGTATTCGACTTTTGAGACATAGGCGAACATACTAAGATCCAGGACGGAAGTTCGCCGCCGAAACTATCAACAAGGTCGCCGACCTTGATTCCTCGGATCTGATGATGTAGTGCTCCAGGGTAAGGACTGTATCGAGCACGTCCCTTGCCCTTGCCAGGGCTACGCGAGGTGTGGCGGCTATAGTCCTGTGATGGAATGCTGGTGGAACGACCACGGGCCTCCCTAGGAGTTGCTGGATCCGGATTTCAGCCACAAACCTCAAGTCGCTGGTTGTAGTACGTACCAGGAGCCACTGAACTTGAGCGGTCAGGGAATGATGTTGCCGGCCCACCATCTGAATGCAACGAGGGATAAGATGACACCATTGTGACTGGTGAATTGTCCTTCTGGAGTTCGATGTTGGGGTGGACAGAGGTCATAGTGCAATGAGCGTGAAGGTATCACTGCAGTCTATGTATGTATGTCAGTGGTGGAAGGACGAGACGAGACGGCTGTGCTCACCGCAGGCAATAGTTGATAAAGAGACCGTGTGAGTCGGTGTGACCTTGCGTTGCACGAGAGTACGTACGCAATACGTACCAATTTGTGTAAATACTTTGCTCTCGTGAGGTCTGTCTCTCTCAGGATATAGTCGGTATCATACATGGATGTTCCCGTTGCAAAGTGGTGCATGTCAATTTCATCCATCCTCGCGTGGGCCCGCTAAGCTCAAGGCCGAGGCCTAAGGTCCCGAAGGCATCCCTTGGTTTACACTACAAGAAAGGATATGTCATTCTATCGGTGGTCTTGCAAAAGTCTGCAACTACGTCGAAGTATCGCTTGGGCTCTTCGAAGAACGCGAGGTGCGTGCTGCGTGCAAACTGGACCCATTTCACGCGGTTCACTTTGTTGAAAATAGGGACGAAGTTGACGTCTTGCGCCTCGTCCATAGGCGAATTGACGAGCAGCGTCGGGCACGATATGTTCTGCAACTGGTCGACGCACGACCACGTCCGCAATGTCCCGACGATGTATATGTCGGACGGTCCGATCCTAGCATCGCGCGCAGTTAATACGCCAATGTCCCCCAAAATTCAGCGGCATGCGACTCACATCGTAGTGTATACCGTCGGGTCCTTATCCATCGCCTCAAATGACTGGAGTAGCTCCTTGGGCCACGGGTCCAAGTTGCAGACGTGCCTCTTGTAGAAGACCATGACCGCATCCTGGTACTCCTGACTATCCGTCGTGCCCCAACCTCGTGCTTCTTCAGCACCTGCTGAACGTCATCTGGCAGCCGCTCTCGCAGTGCGTCCATCCCTCTCGCCCACAGCTCCATCGACGGCGAACCGTCCGCGAGGATGAGGTGCTTCATCCCTTCGGGGTGTCTGTTCGACGCGTAGTGCACCGCGAGCATGGACCCCCACAAGTGCCCGAGCAAATCAAAATCGTCCTCGACACCGAGGTGCGCGAGGAGGTTGTCGAGCTCGTCCATGAACACGTCCATGGACCAGAACTCCTTCGGCTTCCCCGCGGGTGGGACGACTTGCCGATGCCGATCTGGTCGTAGAAGATGACCGGGATGTTGTGTGCTTTGGCGAACTCGGCGTGGGGGAGCATGTAGTGGTGCGAGATGCTTGGTCCGCCGTGGAGCGTGACGAGGGGCCGCGCGCCTGGCGAGAGGTCGCCGACTACTTTGTACCAGGTATGGAATGTCTCATGATCGTAGGTGAAGGGGATAGCCCCGGTGGTCTCCGTCGTCGCAGGTGATCTTGACTGCAAGCTGAAGCTAGGGCGGGGGGACCTTCAACTTGCCCGTGGTATCGTGAGCGCTGTTATATGCCGCGCTCGAGGGGCATCCTTCGAAATCTGATCTCAGCCATTCCACCAGATCCTTTCCACGAGCGTTGGTATGTCGTGATTTGAAATGATGCGCTCACTCTGAACAGTGGTCTGCTTGCTTCTCTCTACAGATAATCATCAGGAGGTGCACACATAGTAAATCATCGACGACCCGCCTACGCTGTGACGTGCTCCATCAACGTGGGCAGCTCTGACTCGTCCCACGCACAGTTTGACTATCACAAGGTGCTCTCTCTCCGCTGAGATCCGCGCCACTCTTGAGCTTGAGGCACGACGTAGTGCGTGATATCTTCCAGGAGTCCTAGTCAGTCATAGTCTTTCCCCCAATGTCTGCACTGATACGCGTCCACGCACATCTACTATGCCCGGTCGTCTACCTATCCGCCCATTCACTCCGCGACCTTTATGTCTTGCTATTCACCGACCTCTCAGGTCGTTTGCGAGTATAATGATTGTATGGAGAGAGCATGATCTCCGGTTATCGACAGTACTGCACATTGTGACTTCAGTCTCAACGTTCAAATATCTAAGTTCACAGGAGTCAACACGACAACTACATACAAGGGACAAGCGGATCTTCAACCGCAACTACCAGAAGACTCATTCGAGCCAAGAAGGGTGATGCCGTGCTAGGTTCTCTGCTACTGCCTCTTGCTCAAGCCTAATGTTAGGTACTACGTCTGCGTCCGAAATGGTCATCGAGACTCGTACTGTGTTGGTGGTCATTCGTATGCACAGAGTGTCGCAAACTGGCCTACTTGCAGCAGTCTCGGCATGTTCTGAACATTGTTTGACAAGAGCGGCCAGTCCATTCAATTGAAGACAGACTCGGAGCGAGTGTGTCCACCAAGGTCCGCCCTTTTCGAGCGGTCATTTTGACACCTTCCCTTTCCGGCCATTTGTGGCTCGATCAGGCAAGCGTGCGTACAATGCTCGTAGTGGCGTGGATTGATCTCTTGACGTAAATAACTCTGGACTCGTCATGTTGTATGACGGACATACGTAGCTTCACTCCTGTCACTAAGAACCCCGCGTGTATATAAGACACTCTCACCTGAGGAAAGAGACATCATCCTTGTGCCCGAACTTCCTCCACCTCCCGAGCGCGGCAGTTCCCTGACCGACATATACAGTACTCGAAGTCTACAATTCAAGTCTCCGAGACTTCAAGCTTTCCCACTTGCCTTTCCAGCCTTGTGATGAGCTGCCAGCGCGTCCACTTCGCACATCTCTGGCAGGGTTGTATGTAGGAACGAAGGTCAGTCACGGTTTGCTTCATTTCGTCACGTCGCGAATCAATCCGAACCGCCTCAATTAGCTTGTCATACCACGTGATCGACGCGACCCTCTCCGACTTGAAGCTTGAAGCTTGAAGCTGAAGCCTCCCAACTACCGCTGTTCGCACTTCTTAATCATCTGTATATTTGGATACATGGCCACTTTGGTTCCAGTTCTCTCCCCAGAGGATATAGAACGCGCCGCAGACGTAAGCACTAGGCATCACGGTGATTGTCACTGACTCATATTGTTGCAGCTCATCCGGCAAGCCTATGCGCCACAAAACCATCTCTCGTCCGAGGACCAAAGGCGGATTCAGCAGGAGCTCTTTGAAATACAGAAACGGCCAGAAGCATGGGGACTGGTATTGCCGTTCCTGAATTATAGCGACCCAAACGTGCAGTTCTTTGGGGCTCATACGGCACAAGTGAAGATCGCGCGAGACTGGTGAGTGTTGCTGCTACAGTCGTTTGCATAAGGGTTGTCGCATGCGTGCGACGAACACCTTGTTCTTGGCTGGCATGACGTACCACCGGACCTGGTCAGTCCCGTTAAATGTGCAGAGTGCACAGAGCGGGTCCTTGACGACTCTCATCCTTGGCCACGGTATCAAGGACGCCTAGCCTGTACCCTCGTCACGCAAGATAGATGGTACCTAGCGCGATTCCAGGTATTCCGAATGTCTCGGACGAGGGGCGCAGGTGCTGCGGTCGTCCTGCCGAGGGGTGCCGTGGCGGATGTGCGGCGGGGAGCCACAGCCGTCGGGAAACGCAAAACGACAACCGTTTTGCAGATGACTGTAGTCTGGATATCGGGCTGGCGTCATGAGCTAACATGGGTATCAGGGCAGCTTTTCCTGAAGACGATGCTCCACAACTACGTGACATGGTTCTAGATGTGACGGGTCGCGCCATGGGCAGCGGCAAGAATAAAGTCATTCTCCGCAAACTCTACGTTGCTGTACGTCCACCGGTCTGCCATTTGGGACGCTATTGAATGATCGTGCCCGCTAGGTGACATCTTTAGCCCTCAAACTTGCGCCAGGAAATCCGTCTCGATGGCCTGACTGGCTAATGTCGTGCATCAATACGATGTCGACCCTCGGTGCTACGACCGAGCAGATCATGGATTTCCTTGCGATCGTTGCCGAGGAAGTGGAGAGTGCAGACCTGCTGCCTGCAAGTAAGTAAGTGCTTCAGCGTAGTCTTCAAGCCAGCCTATTCATGACCTGCAGGATCCAGGTGCAAAGCAGCTTGCGAGAAGTCGTGCCGATGGTTATACAGGCCATAACATCATGCATCACCGTCCCACAAGCTCTAAGCGCACCCCACCAGCTCTCGTCCGCGTTGAAATGTCTTCAAGCATGGTTCCCAATACTCCCCGCCAGGTGCGTGTCGTCGGCCTTCACTAAGCCCTTCCTTATATCTACTCGCAGCGATCTTACACCGCTTATCCCGTTGCTCATCACGCTCTTGAACCCAATCTCGACGGCAGCTCTAGAGTTTGATGAGACAGCGTTTGCGGGGGCGTCCGAAACTCTGCAAGAACTCATGACGAAGTCTGCATTCGCAGATGGTTCAGCGAATCGAACTCTCACAGAGCCGCTCCTCATTTGGCTCCACAGCTATGGCGGCCGGATCGTCGAGGAAACATTGAACAGTGCGCCGTATTACTAAGTATCCCTCAACAATTTAGACTCACCTGCTCCAGGCGGCTTGGTCGACCCCGTCTCACACTCCTTCTGCAAGCTGCTGGTTGCCCTGGGCGACCATTCTGCTATGTATCTCGCAGCGAACATAGCCTCCTCCTTGCCACCCGCACCCTTTCCTGAGCCTCCACCACCAATCAGCTTCCCTGCGCCTTCTCTGCCGAACAAGTCCCAGCTCGTCCAGACATTCCTTCGCCTGCTACTCGCGTATGCGGCATTGCCCGGATTCTATGGCGTGGACGAGGAGGAAAGCGAGCTGACATTCGGTTTTTGGTATCTTTACCAGGAGGCGCTGTGGAGCGCTGAGTACGAGCAGGAGTTCGAATTCGGGGATGGGGATGTGGATGCAGAGCCGGGAACGGACAAGACAGAGCAGGCGCAAATGCGCGTGGCGAGGGGTGTGTACTCGGAGCTCGTGCAGGTTTTGAGGCGAAAGGTGGTGTGGCCTGACGCTGCTACGTTGCGCACATGGAACAGAGGTGTGTGTGTCCGTGCTCTTCCACTCGGGCAAGCAATTGACGTGACTGCGCAGATCAACGAGACAAATTTCAAGCGTACGTCATCCATCCATTTATCACGAGCGTTCTGAGTTCATTTGTGCACCATAGTTACCGCAGAGACGTCGGAGATATCGTCATAAACGCGTAAGTCTTATCCCTCTGTACGATAGGCTCATGGGCTGAACGTTCGCGACAGGTATTACATCCTCCGAGACGAACTATTGGCCTTCTACGTCGCCGATCTGCTACAGCGGCTTTCATCAAAATCACCGAATGAAGGCTGGGAAGTAAGCGATCTGAAATTGCCCGCCGAAGCTGGAATTGACTGGTATACGGCAGGACATCGAAGGCACCTTGCATTGCGTTCTGGCCGCTCAGGAGGCAGTGCCAGTCGAAAGCAATCCTCATCTTGCTCAAATATTCGGACCTGACATACTCGGTCGTCTTCCCGTCACGGGGAGTGGCCGGGTACGCCGCACGGCTCTGCTACTGATAGGTATGCACTTGCTTTCGCGTAGAGCTCGCGGTTCTGAGTTTTACTACTTTAGGCTCCTATGCTTCCTGGTTCACTACTCAGCCGCAAGACGCATCTCCCTTGCTCATGAACGCAGTCTCCTACATCGCCGTAGCTCTTCCTGATCCTGCGTTGTGCTTGCCAGCTGCGAATTCTCTCCGTGACCTCTGCGACGTGAATCGGGCCGTTCTCGCGCCACATATAACTGCGTTCGGAGCGTTGCATGCGAGCCTGACTGGAATCCCTGTGAGTCGGGAAATTCGATTTGAGGTGGCATGCGTCTTCACAAGTGTATGATCGATAGGATACAGAGAAGGCGAAAGTCACACAATCTATCGCTAGTATCATTCAAGCACTTCCTCCTGCCGAGGCCATCTCACCAATCGAGGTAATGTATCGGCCTTCTTCTAGGGTAACATGTACACTTACACAATTTACAGGCGATCCTCTCTCCTGTAATGGCGAGCCTCCACGAGGCACTCCAATCTGCCGCACAGGCGAGTCGACTATTTGCTTATCTTGTATTTTGTATTCAGAGACTCATGGCCAAGGCCCAGCGACCTGACGAAGCTCGAGCGATTGCGGTTCAGAAGTTGATGACAATTACAGGGGTTGCCAGCGGCTTGACACGCACAACCGAGATCATAGTGGTTGTGGACGAGAGTCCGGCCGCCCAAGAAGAATCCAAGCAGATGATGCGAGCGCGGGACGACCCACGTATGAGCCAGTTACGAGCAGGTCTCCTTGCCGTCATCAGACGAATCGTGGAACTTTGGACAGAGGATGCGAGCGTATCCGGTGTGAGCTCGAATACACTCTCCGGTGGCTTTTGTTGACCATCTATGTCAGGCTCTGAGCGAGTTGATTCACGCGATCACTTCGCTACCGACCGACGTCACCCTCCTCACCTTACCTCCTGGGCCTTTGCTGGAAGTAGTCTGCATGGCCGCTCAGACGCAACTGACCGCGGTGTGGCTATCGTTGACGACCTCTCTGATTATCCAGCTTGATCCCCCGTCTTTGCTTCCCACCACTTTCAAGTCTGTTCCGACGAACGAGGCCGAGCAAATCGCGCTGAATGTGCTGGGCGTGTTGTTGCAGACAAGTCTGAGCGTGCTTGGTCAGCCAGATGCTTTGGAATCGGTACGTTGCATCCACACTACGCTCGATGTAGGCAACGATCCCACGACTGCTCTAGAATCCCGATATCGTACAAGCGTTCTTCAGTTGCATGGACAAGGTGGGTCATGTAGCTCGCATATCGTTGGTCACAAGCTCAACGTTCATGCTTAGACGGCTCAGCATTTTGTCACTGCATTCTATCGGCTCCCCTCGGATATATTCACTGCTCTTATGCAGTGCTCGATCACATCACTGGGGCTGCAGGAGCGGTATTCTCTAGTAGGAGCCTCCACTTTCCTTGTGAGTAATCCCTCAACGTGCTTGAACTCGCCTCCCAAGTGATGCTTGTGCAGCGAACTCTTATCAACCGCACATGTGCGGTAGATGAACTCAGCGAAGCCAAAGTCATTTTTGCCCAAACCCATGGTCGCTCGTTCATGAGGGTAGTTCTCAATGGCTTCGCAGGCGTAGCACCTCGATCCGCTACTCCGAACCTCATCGAGTTGCTCTCGACGCTGACACAACGATTCCCTGCCGAGAGTCGCCAGTGGATGACAGAGGTGCTCTTCGCTGTAGGTCATCACATTTCAGCCCTTGTCTCTGTCTGAATACATGCCCGCCATGTCAGGATGATTTTGTGCAATGCAGAGCAAACGACGCGGCCAAGGAACAACTGATCAAAGCAGTCTTTGGGTATGTCATCGCTGGTGCCACAGCAAAGGATTCTCAGACTCAATCGGTACCAGGTCACGCTCGATCAAGCGCGTGAGAGATGCAGCGCAGCAGTTCGTACTTATCGCAAGAGGCTTGGAAGGAACTAGCTTTGGCTACACTTCAGTCACGATGTGAAGGCGAACGATTGGACTCGACGAATCGCGGCAGTATATGACAATGTTGTACATCATAGTAATGTGACCTGTGTCACGACTCACCTGTGTTGCTGCCAAGTTGCTGCATGCTCTAGGCCAGCGTCCGGCATACTTATGGTGCTCCCCGTCATGATTCATTCCTTACAAGCGGTATCTGTGCGGCTGACACCAAGCTATAGATACACACCGACGACGTCCATGACGAATCGAACCGACGAACAATGCCCAGTCAGGATCATAATGTTTGAAAACGGGCTCTCTGGTCAGCCGCTACGGGTGCCTCACGTCTCGTCCACTCCTCTTTCGTTCAGCTTGCCTGCGATAGCTCAGAGAGCTCTTTTCCTTGCGCCTGGTGCGCCGTTATGACAAACCTGCCAGTGCATGCTCGTGATGCGCGACATCGACGTGCTGTCACTCTTCGACGAGATGTCTATGTCCGGCCACGTCGCTCATCACCTGTCGTCGCGGATGCTCTGGCCGGAAACAATCTAGTATTCGGACCGGGTGGCGAAGCAGCAATAGTACCTGTTCAAGGAATCGGTACTGCTCCGGAAACTGGACCTAGCCAAGAAGCCGGTCAACCAATCGAGCAAGCCTCCGAAGCTGCAACACAGACAGGACTGCCGTTCAGCACAGGAGCGGTCGCAGTCATGGAGCCAGATCCAGGACAAGTAGGTTCCTGCAGAGCATGGGGTGTATTCTCACTCATGATTCGAATGCAGCTGTCTGCGAGCTTTGCTGGCCTTTCCTTAAGCATCGGCCCTGTCTCTGTCGCGTCCGTGGTGGCGAGTACGATCACTCAAGCCCCTTCCGGAGCAACCACGTCTATGTCTTCACTACCCGTATCCTCTACCACCAGTACCCAGCCATCGAGTACACTTAGCTCAGGCGCTACCACCGTCTTCTCCACGACACCCAGTTCTCAGTCCTCTTCTAGTCAGGGGACAACGTCCTTGTCCTCCGCTTCAGCATCAACACGGATGTCGTCCAATCCATCTGGAGCGCTTTACGCAGACAAGACAGGCTTCAAAGTCGGCGTTTCCTTCGGTGCCTTGGCCACTCTCGGCTTGCTCGTAGCTCTCGTGTCGTGGTGGCTCCGCATGCGTCAAAGGACCCGCACTCGAGCCCTGGAGAACTCGGTCGTCTGGCCGTGGGCCAAAGAGACTCCAAGCGACCTACCCAGAAGTCCAGCAGGTCTAGAGACAGGTTTTGGGGCACATGCATCGAATGGCGATGGGGCTAATGTCTGGAGTGCTGGTTGTCTCGACCGCCTCGACGCGATCAGCCCGACCGACGGGCGCCTACCGACACTTCCTCCGGCTGTGCACTCTTTGAACGACACACCGTACCAGACGGTGCAGCTGCATCACACGAACAGCAGCGTCCCTGATCTCGCGCCGAACATGGGAGCGCTTCAAGTGACAAACCTCGTTCCGGGCGACATCACATCGGGTTCCGAGAGCAGTCGCGCAAGTTCGGTGTTGAGCATGGCCTTCGTGGGGCATACCCCGATGCCCGAGTGCGGAACCCCTTACGAACCAATGGCTTTCCTGGGCGCCCAGGATAACGGACTACCTGTGCCCTGGGCTCCTTTTCACGCACACAAGAAGACGACAGATTTCTTCCGCTTGAAGTCTTCAGGCAACATCAGCGAGAAGAGCGTGGGTCCCTTGCCGTATCCTGGGGACATCGACCACGGGGTTTCCGCACAGGGAAGTTGGGCGGCGTCGATCAAGACGAACCTTGTTCACGCGTTCAATGCAGTCGTCGGAGGGCCCACCCCGAGCAATACGGCTGCGGATCATCTAACTACTTCGCCGCGCAGGAAGAAACGCGACTGGAAGCACGGCGCCGACGTCCTGCATTACAGCGTTGACACGCTGTCCAGAGGTGCCTCTATCCGCTCTAGCCACTCAGACGTCAAGGAGTGGCCACCAGAGGAGGTCGAGGGCAACGCGTATCTCACCCACCAGGACGCACCGACAGGTGGGCTGCCGGAGGCCCATTCATGGGCGTCCATTCCCCTCGAGGATGAACCGCAGAAGAGTCCCCAGGCGGAGGTGAAGGAAGAAATTGCAACAACGGCATATGACGCGGAGGACAACAGGCTAGACATTATAGAGGAGTATTACGCCGAGCAGGCCTTTGGGAGCCCGTCCCTTCACGTGGATGCGGATCCTCCCCGGTTGCCAGATATCCCCCAGGTATCTCACACCCCCTCACTGTCATCACTCGCGATCGTATGCGAAGGGCGTTCGCAGCGCAAGTCGACGAAGTACAGGAAATCGGGGCCGCGCAAGAAGACCCGCGGGTCGCGCAGGCCGACGTTGGTGACCCGCAAGTCTTCGTCGGCATGTTCGGTAGGCTCGGACATGTCTCGACAGTCAAGCGTGTGCTCTGAGCGGTTGACCGATGGTGAGGCGTTCGCGAAACGGATGTTGAGGGAGAGAAGGAGGCGGGTGATGGAAATGGGGGCCGCGAGGTAGCCTGAGAGGGCTCGCTAGTATCAAGTTGTACGCTTGATCGTCGAACATACAAATGTCGCATTTCACTCTAGTATCTACTCACAATATTCCGATCATGGTGCCCCTTTCCGGAGATTGCGAGGCTAAGCTCATGAAACGCATACAGATCGCCGCCCTTCGCTATCTAGCCTGTGTTCTGTCAGTGTGTGAATGTGACGCATGATAGCAAGTTTGATACATGCCCTACTAGATGGCCTGGATCACCGACGAGGCCGAACGCGATGTTCGGTGATGCATGGTATGAGCTCGTCATCTGGTCCCTATCTGTTTCGTCTAGATGTTCGAAGAGCCTTGTGATCACGAGCATGTAGACGTCGCACACAATTACGAGAACCGCGAAAGCTCAGGCGCACAAGATATAATAGGGCTTCTCGGGACGCTATAACACGCACGAAATCCCCTCTGTCGCAAGGTGAGTAACTCGGAGTTACGGCGCAGCATGAACATGTGCTGAGCTTACTAAGGACACAGTGCACACAAACAACTCCACTGCGATCATGGTACCCGAGAGCACCGGGACAGTCGACTTCACTGTTGAGTCTGAGACTTTTCAGACTTGGTACAAAATTATCGGCGACCTCCAATCCGGCGTCCGTCCCTTGGTTATAGTCCACGGAGGTCCCGGATTTCCGCACATCTACGTGCGTTGCCACGCCCGGCTCTGGGAGTCGAAGGGCATCCCTATTGTCCTGTACGACCAACTCGGCTGTGGGGAGTCCACGCGTCTCCGCGAGAAGCCAAAAGAGTTCTGGACGTTCGAGCTGTTCATCGCCGAACTCGAGAACCTTGTGAAGAAACTAGGAATCCATGACAGCTTCGACTTACTGGGTCATTCGTGGGGAGGAGCCTTGGCCGCGTCATACGTCTTGGCGCGACAGCCTCAGGGCTTGAGGCGGTTGGTGTTGGCGAACACGTACGCATCAATGCGGCTGTGGGAGGCCGGATGCCGGAGGTTGATTGAGAAACTGCCTGAGACAGTGAGGGAGACCATCGAGAGGTGCGAAAGAGACGGGATGACGAAGTCCAAGGAGTACAAAGATGCGGAGCTCGTCTTTCTCAAACGGCATGCACTTACGTTGGACCCGATGCCCGAGGACATGCAGGTCACCATCGCCGAGCTGGAGAAAGACGATACAGTATACTTGGCAATGTGAGTACAACAACATCAGCAGGCGACATTGCTGACGGGATTGACAGCCACGGGCCCTCCGAGTTCTACTGCACGGGAAACCAGAAGAACTTTGATATCATCGGCCGCTTGCACGAGATCAAGCAACTCACGCTGGTCATCAACGGCGCTGAGGACCAAGCGACGGACTTGTGCGTCGCGCCTTTGTTCTGGGGCATCCCCAATGCAAAGTGGGTACAATTCGCCAAAGCAACCCATCAGCCGTTTTTCGAGGAACCAGCGAGATATTTTGACGTTGTTGGGGAGTTTTTGATGACGCGTGTGTAGATGTTCATATCCTCCGAGTCACATCTGATAGAATATGACATTGTCAATGGGCTCCGGAGCAGATAATGTAGTACTCACCGTCTTCGTTGCTCAGACTCAGACTGGAAAATATCGGGTCAGAAATTTAGACGTGCTCGACGACGTTATAGCCCTCGAAGACGCAATGACTTCCTGCTCACGGAGGGTTCCGCAAGATTTCAGCGTATGGTAGCAACAAAAACGGGATCGGCTTTATACGCACACCGTGTCAAAGGAGTAACTTCGTGTGTCTGGAACTTGTTGGTCCCGGCGCCGCGCGGTGCGTGCATACTGGCGGGAGTCGGAGATTATTGCTAGCCTGAGCGAGCTGTCTCCGAGTGCTTATGTGGCATGCAGTACTACAGAACACTATGAAAACAAGCTTACTAGTATCACCTTGTACGTGCATTCCTTACGACAGTTACGAGCCTGACGGCGCGAAAGACTCGGATTTGAAGCTTTAAAGGACAGAGGATCGGCGATACCGTCACGGTGACGCCGTGCATTGGCGGGGCACCGACGCAATCACGTGGTTATGTGACCGTCACGTCATCCAATCTTTTTTTTTATATTTCTTTTTATTCTCCATGTTTTAGGCCCGTACGGTAGGTACATGCGGGGCAACAATAATAAGGGATGTCCGACGTGAGCAGACCGTGTTGCGGCATGGATCCCCAGATCCCGAGAACCCCGCCTCCCTGCGACCTCACCACCCTCCCAGCCCCTGCCCCTCCTCCTGCATCCAAGGCGTGTCGGGGTGTGGGCAGTCGTAGGTATCGTCCTTCACGTCATCCAATCGCCTCCTCAACCTCCTCCACTGTCAGTGTTACGCTTCAATTGAAATCATAGGTTTCATTGTGTGCAACTCGAGTTGTATGGGGTGTAATCAAGACGATGTAAGTAGTATAGTACTTGCCGCTATTTTGTACTGTTAGCCCATGCCGCGTATGCCTGCTGATTTCTCTCTGCCTCCTCATATAGCAACTCCCAGTTCTTGCAAGTCGCCTCGTACAGTCGATCGACTGCACCGAGCGAGTGTTTGATGGACTCGAGCCGTGTGACATCAGGAAAACCTGAATTCCCTAATGAGATGTAATTAGGTTCAATGAGGCAAATTTTGATACAATTAGGACAAAATAGGAGGATTAGTGATTATTCAACATTCCTTTACCCCCAAACTAATTAGTACTAATTAGTCCCTAATGATGTCCTAATGAGTTCTAATGTGCGCTATCTGAGGTGTAATCCTGTGACAATTCCGTATACATTAGCTATGATCCTCCACAATGAGTCCTCAATACACGGAGTAGAGGAGAGTGAGCACATGCCTGACCATCTCGCACAACAACAATGTGATTCAAAGATTGTATTCCAGATACATATCTACTGACAAACAGCAGTGCACGTATACTATCTATCATACCCTCAGCCTAATACAGGTCGCCTGCCTGCCCATTTCCCTGTACGTGCACCTGGTGGCTCACCTGCACACGTGCTCCCTCTCGTTTACCTGCTCGCCCGCCTGTGTGCCCGCCCCGCCTGCATGTGCATTCGGTAGCCCTGTCTGCGTGCTAGGCATTTGCCTGCGCCCTGTACCCGCCTGCCCGTTGGTCCACTTGCCTGCTCCTCTACCTGCTCATCCACCATCCGACAGCTCGCCCATCTCGCCGACCATCCATCAGCCGTGTCTACACGCAAGGCATTACCCTGCGTGCTCGTGGTCATCGTGCGCGTGGTCGTCGTGCACGTTGTGCTCCATGCTGCCGTACCCTGTGCGAACAGTCAGCTCGTTCATTTGTCTGCATTTGTACTCACTGCCACTCATTCGTTGACTAATGTCCGCGTCCCAATTCGAGCTATCGGTGTGCTCGTGGTAGTGCACGCTCGAACGCGGAAACGTGCTGGGTGGGTAGGTCAATTATCAATACAGGGAAACTCTAACATACATACCTCGACATCACCGCAAAAGAAGTATCGGTGGCCGCGCAGCAGCATCTGCACGCCGAGAGCCTGCGCATCATGTATAGTCTACTTGGTGTCCGAGTCGAAGATCTTGAGAAGGTCAATGAGCTCGGAACCGTTGCCATGAGATGTGATGTTGTCGCCATGAACCTCGTAGGCAACCGCGAGGGCGTGCAGACCATACAGGGCGAGCGGGCGGGAGAGGCGAGAGCGAACGGGCACGCAAGTGAGCTGATAGGAGGGCGAGGATGCAGGCGGGCAAGACAGGCGGACGGGAAAGAGCGCCGAGTGGACGAACGAGCTAGTGAGGAGCGAGCAGACAAGTGCATGAGCTAGCAAGAGGGACGGGTGGACGAGAACGAGAACGAGCAGGCGAGCAAGAGCGGGAGGTGGGCAAGCCAGCGAAGAGGTGAGAGTGAGCAGCTACCGAGGGTGGGTAGGCAGACGGCGGACGAGACGCGTGAGAGCGGGCGCAAGAGCGAGCGGGCGCGAAAAGGGTAAGTTAGTGGAGCACGAGAAAGCAGGATGGACACGTGGGCAATTCAACCAGATGCGCAGACTACCGGACAAGTAGGCACGACGAGCTCATTGCTCGTCGATGCACCTACTCAAGCAAAAATACCTTATGACCGAGTCAGACGGCGGGTGAGCTAGGGAGAGGGCGAGAGCGGGCTACCGAGTCGACGAACACCGAGCTAGCTAGCGGGCAAAAGCAGGGACGAGTAGGCGAGCGAGTAGGTCGACAGCTTACAGGCAAGCTAGCGATCGAGGACGGTGAGCGGCCAGGAACGGCGAGCGCGCCAGACTGGCGGATGTCAGTGAGCGAGACAGGAGAGATGGGCGACGAGATTGCGCGAGCAGACGGCGGGGGCTGGTGAACAGACGGCGAGAACGGGTGAGCGAGCTGCGGGAACAGGTAGGCAACAACGCGCGGGCGGGTTTGAGCGGGCGTGTGCAAGAGGGTGAGGGGGCGCGAGAGGATGGACATGCACAGGAGGGGAGGTGTGTGCGAGACGGTGGGCAGATTGTCGCTCGAGGGTGGACAAGCCGGATGCGCGGGCATTTGAGCGGGATGCGTGAGCTGGTGGGCAATATTATAGATAGCGCGAGCTCCGAGCTCGTCGATACGCGTACTCAGGCATGGTAACTAGCAACAGATTAGTAGAGGCTACTCACCTGCATTTTCCGTCTGTCTGCCTTCCTTTCGTTCAATACTCCCGCCCCTCGTCTTATTGTATGCCTCGTCTTCGGTTCGTGCTCGTTGCGCTCGGGCTTGTCTTGCTCGCGCGCATCGTCTTTATGCTGCGTGGTACAGCACGAGAGCCTGTGTTGTCGAAGGCAGTGTCAGCTAGCAGGTGCGTCCAGCACTTGCGCGAGCGGCATGTACGGTCACGCCGACGTTTACATTTCTGCGATTCGGGTCTGTGTGGGCGGGCGGGCGCGAGAGGGCGGGCAAGCTAGGTGCGTGGACGGATGCGCTGGCAGTGGGAGAGGAGGTGAGCTAAGTCTTTAGCGCCCGAACGTGGCTCTCGACGACCGTGATTCAGACCGCCAGACCGTGACCGCCAGAGTCCAAACCTGCAAGTCCAATCTCGCCCGCCCACTACTCGCCGCACGCGTCGACTCATCTGCCTACTCGCACGGAGTCTTGACCATCCGTGGACACTCGCTCGTCTACCCGTCCCCGCGCTATGCGCGTGGTTATCTGCCCACTCACTTACCGGACCGTCGTATTCAACTGGCGACTCACCCACGACTGCTACTACCCCACCTTGGCCGAACGCCACGCATCAAAGCTCCCGCGCCATCTCCCGGTCATACAAAAACGAACACGGAAGAAGGAGAGGGTGAGTAGAGCATGAAGTTCGAAGGGCGACGGGGGGAAGAGGGAGATTACAGCGAGCGCGAAGGCTCGAAACCAAAGGTGCGCCCCCGTTCGATGTATCTTTCTCTTGCTGCGTTTGGTTTCAGTGCATGACCGTGCTGGCTCACTGGCGGATAGGTCGCTGTGCCTCGATCCGCTGAAAAGACCGTGCACGCACGCGCCCTGTGAGCATATCGCGTGGTATATCCGCTTCGTCATTCAAATTCAGAGACTGCTGACCGACGTGCTCGCCGTGCTCCCCGGATGACCACTGTCTGCCAATTCTTGCGCCCCTCTGAACATCTGTCCTGCCTCGCTACGCCACCACGTCCCCACATACCGGACATACCTAAGTCCGACGAGATCCACGCGCGCATCCCCGACATGCTAGATGTGCGCTCGCGCCTTCCGGACCTCGAGTCTACCGACATGCACGCCCGCCTTGACGACGTCCGCGCCCATGTCTCTGATATTGACTTCAACGCTCGACTGTCGAGCTCTGCACGCGGATCGACCACGTCAACTCCCTCATCTCCTCCGTCCCTCGCGCTGGCCAGTTGTTCCACGGCTCGAAGGCCAGATAACGACGAAGATTCTCGAAATCCACTCAGAGCTGAGGTTCGACGCATACTCGTCATTACTAGAAGCTCAGTTTTCTAAACCTGTAGCACCAAAAGGCCTTGCCCGCGACAGCAACTCTGAGTCCCTGCACACGACCTCCTCTAACTCGCCTACCAATTCGGGCGCGGCCTCGTGGAGCTCGACTAACAAGCCGCCGATGCTGTCAAGCTCGACTTCACCTTCAGCGCGCGCGCCTCCGCCAGCGCCGTCCCCGATTGCGTCTTCGCCGTCGTCGCGAAGGATGTACTGATGGGCATCCGCGCGCCGTTGGGACCTCCTTCACCAAGACGACCGACCAGCCATCCCTCCCGCCCTCGCTCACGGCCATGTCCGAGTTCGCGGACGTCACCACGAACCTCCTCAAGCCCCTCGGCGCGCTCGACCTCCCTGTGGTGCTCTCGAACCTGTCTACCCTGAAGTACTTCCCTCGCTGTCGATCACGAACAATCCCTGCACCCGGCCCAGCGCGCCCCTCCCCCAGAGCCAGCGTGGCAAGCGTCTCATCCTCGAGCTGAGGCTGCCACCATCGTCTGATGCTGCTGCTACACTACCCCTCGATCCAAGCCGCCTTCCAGCTCGTCGACACGATCGCGGGCGAGGGCAAGGCGACCGGGATACGCGGAGGTCTCGGCGCGCAGCTCAGACCCGAGACGAAGAACAAGCTGAAGAAGGTGCGTGAAGAGATCGTGAAGCAAATTAGGGAGGAGGCAAAGCGCGAGCAGAAGGAGGAGGAAGAGGAAAGGCACGCAGCGGCGAAGCGGAAGGCGGAGGAGGACTGTTTGAGCAAGTTGAGCCCAGTGCGATATGACAAGGCCGGTGCGTCGTTCTGTTCGCAAGCAAGCCCACAATCCTCGTCACCTTGGACGCGTCTACGCGCGGCATCGACTACCCTCACACGTCATCCAGCTCCGGATTCCCTCGAGCACCGAGACGTATGTGCATCGTGCAGGCTGTACCCGCCGTGCCAAGGGTATGTTCAGTGGGTCAATTAATCTCGCATTCTCACATCCTATCATTGCATTTCCCTGCTCGTGCTGGCCTGATGCCCCCTCGTTTGTCTGCCCGCCAACCCATTTGCTCGCTCGCTCGCCCTCCCGCTGTCCCGCACATTCGTTCACGTACCCATTCATTTGTTTGCTCGTTTGCCTGCTTGCCGACTGTACACTCTGTTCAAAGGACAATTAGCCACATGCAGATATATTGTTTCTGCCAGCCCCTCTCTCGATGTTTGCCTCTGTCTCATACCTGTATACTAAATAGAGCTTGTGTATGAGCTGTTGATATCATAGTCCTAGATCTCCTCATTCCATTTGTGATATCTATGACTGGGGCCAGCCTTGTGATTGGATCACCAGTATTGTTTTGAAGAATGCTCTACTTTCCATGCTGATCAACATCTTGGCAGGCATAGCTGTACCATAGTCATATTTATGTCTCAATGTGCTGAGGATTATGAACTATTATGAACAATTACAGCTAATATGAATAAGATCTTCATAGTATGAACTAAATTATGCATGTTATCCTGATTAGTACTAATCATGCTCAATGAGAGTGTCATTAGGAAGATGAGACTAATTAGAACTAAGATAGTCAAATTTAGGGAATCCAGATTTTCCTGATGGTGTTGACTCGGCAGATGATCATTTGACGCAGGTAGTTCATGCAATGGGCTGCGCGTATCGTTGGCGTCTCCAGGCTGTCGTCCGTCAACTCGCGCCGGATGATGTCGAGACACTTGAGTTGGTGGAACAGTGTCACCGTGTACGCTCTGGGACCTGGTTCTTCGACCGCATCACCCCTTGGACGACCTGCATCGTGCACATACACAAGATGCCCCCCAGAAGGCATCAGCCTAGCGTACTCCTCCTCCGCGAACGGGTCATTAAGCTGATACCGTACAGTGTCTCCGATGCTCATTGCAACGGGAGCGGACAGCAGGATTTCGAATTGTAAACCATCTAGACACAACTGGTTAGGACGTTAGGTATTCAACACCAAGCGCGATAAAGGCCGACCTTCTGAAAGGTGCGCAGCATGCCTCTTTGCCAATGCGGCTACTTGTACCAGAGGCGCGTCATGGGTGCGAGCGAAGAACACCGATGTGCCAGTGTATCCAGCTAAGATGCATATTGCTACTAGCAAAGGGACGAGGACAATCGCGCGTCCGAGCCGGTGGCGAACTGGCATGGTGAGGTCAGCGTCGGCTCAACTTGGGGGAAGTTTGCCAGTAGGTGTGCAGCACTCTTGTAAGGTAGATCCGACTGACACTTGTCTGCTCCAGTACTTGGGACCTCGACTGCAGCGTATGTCAATGGTCCCCGTGGCTGAAGATTCCTCGGTACGTGCCAGCTCCGCCGATGACCGCCACATAACTCAATTCCTATATGCAGTGAAATACAAATCCAACAGGCCTCGTGGCACTCAAGGTGAGGCCGGGGCATGAGTAACCCAGGCATTATCAGGCTTTCTAAACCCGTATGTATCAGGTGTGCCCGCCACAGCAGCGAGGAGTCTAAGTTCAAGGCATGCAGTACTACTGCGAGGAGGTCGGTTTACTCGGGCAGTGATTTTGCAATGCCCACAAGTCACAACTTGAAGTTCGATGTCCTGACTCGGATTTTATCGCAGCACGCCTACGTTTGTTCAACTCGGACGGATCTCCATGATAAAGCATGCTGAATTGATCATGGAGATGTCCATTCCTAAGTTCTATGACGACAAATTCAAAGCAAGGCTTATGGTTGTTCAGTCAGGCAGATCAAACCTTGCGCTGTCAAAGGCATGCACTCTCCGCAATTGACATTCAGTGGAAAGGGAAAGCTAATTACCGTGCATACGGTCGACGCACTACGGCACACCACACGCGCACGACAGTTCTTGTTCGGCCGCCGAAACCGTTTCCAAACTGTCCATACGGCCTACAGCGGGCACTACGTGTATGTGCGTCCTCCTGACTCAGTCACTGAGAATTGCTCATAGAATTCACCGCCATCGCAGTGACAACCCCTGAGGTTCGCAGCAGCACGAAGCTCGATGTCGTCCTTACAGAAGACGATATGGATCGCGGCGCTGATTCAGGTCATGGCCACCGCTTGGCTCCTGGCAGAATTCCTTCGAGATCCCAGTCCAGCAGCGGGTGAATGTCTTCCGAGTCAGATTGTGGCAGTATGCTGAAAGACTTGCCCACAGTCGTGGCGAAGGAATACTCTTACATAGGCCATGACTACCCCGTCGAATTTCCTGTCAGCAACATCGAGCGCGTTGCAATGACGCTCCAGGAGTCGGTTCACTTCTCCCTGAATGTATCCGATCACATGGCCAACAAAGAGTGGGATGCGCTGGACAAGCCACGGCATTTTGGAAGCACGCACGTCGGTCCGCAATTCCGCTCCGTCGCCACAGTCTTCGGACACCAGCTTCATTGCCTGCGAACGTTACACAGCGGAGTGCTCACCAAGTACGGGCACTCGGACGAAGAGCCCAACTACCACCACTGGCAACATTGTCTCAACTATCTCCGACAGACATTCCTTTGCGACGCCATCGACACGCTTGAGGAGGGTGATTTCATGCAGAGGGATTATGCCGCGCACAGGATGGGGGACAACTTGTTGTGCAGAGATTGGGAGGCTGTCTTTGCCGCCTTGGACAGGAAGCAACAGGAGTGGTTGGAATTCAACATCGAATGGGTGGCGCCTGAACTGACTGCACCGCAGAATGATCCTATTTAGGTAGTACAGACGGAATCAGACATATGCGTTCTCGTTGCATGATCGTATTCATTGCGTATCACGGACAGGAACAGCTACGAAAGGGAATGCAAGGCAACGGCGGCGGCCTGACGCTCGGCTCGCGCACAGGCTGAGCAGCCCGAGCCCACCATCGAGGGTAACAACATTCACTTCGTCGAGTGTTGCTTCATGAAGATGGCTCGACAGCGTGCCTAGTCAGCGCCGACAAACAAAGCGCCGGCAACAGAACCTACCGGGTTTCCCGCGCAGTCCATCGTCATTTTGCCACCACTCAATGCTAGTCTCGTCACTTCCGTCGTATGACAAATGCGAGAGCTCGAAGGTGAGCACTTTCTCGGACACGCAAGAGAATCTGTAATGCCACGGAGTGACGGTGATATCATCCACCTTGAACACCCGAGGCGGCCTAGAAGCGAATGAGACCTTGCGCTCATCCAAAGCGAGTGTCGAGTTGAGTCGGTGCAGCGTCGCAACGACCGATGGCTCTTCAGCATCCGTGGGAGGCCCGGGAAAGAGAGGGGGTAGGTGGACGTGTATTTCACATAGTTCCATTCCGTAGTCGATCGCGCGGAACTGAACAATTGTCGATACCTGCACTATGCCAGAGATCCGGTGAGTGCTGTTCAGAGGAAAGACGTAGACTAGCGATGACTTGCCGTGTCCGCAATGATATAATGCCGCTCAGGCGGCGAAATCATGCCATTGTGCGACATGTACCGTCTGGCGTCGACTTCAGCTACCTTGTGTGTATGGTCGCTGTCGATGATGCTGACGAGGATGGGATGGTTGACGAAATTGCGAGGAACTGGCGGCGAGGGGCGGGCAACGGAGTCGAGATGAATGTACTGTGATGGTCGACGTAGCTCTTGGACGCCGAATGTCGTTGTTGCCTTCTCGTCGGACGATCGGAGCCCGCCCGAGATTTGCGTGAGTAGGATCGTGTTCAGGACAGCGCAGAGCACGCATATGAATGTGAGTAGAATGTACGTCGATGATGCGCCAGTTGATACACGTGCAGTGCGATCCTGGTTGTCGCTGGGAAGCGCAGAGTAGGCCTTGGATTTGCGCGACATTCCAAACATCGTGACGAGGGGGCAATGTGCAAGGGAGAGGAGGCCTTCGGGTCTGAGTCAGATAGGCGCGCGAAAAAAGGGCGGCTCATTGCTGGGGTGTTTGTGGATGGACGGGATCCAGGTCCATCCAGAACCGTCCGCCAAAGTTGCGTTGTGCAAGAGGATTGTCACATGTACGAATATGCGCACATCTTCCCAGTACATCGGTTTCAAGAGCAGTAATTCATGACACCGATTGGGATTTGGGGCTTCGGTTTCCGCTGTGATTGAAGCACCTGGAAGACGACCTGATATGAGAAGGAGGTAGCCGGAGGAAGAAGTATCAATAACGTACCTAGTAAGTAGGACTATCTTTGTGCCATGTGCGACCCAGTGCCGGAGCTCTGGCATGCACAAATTCACCACAACAGGTCTTAGCAGAGGTATGAAACCAGCTAGGCTCGCCCATTTCTCTCCATCGCAATAGCAACTTCACCTCGACACCGACACAAATGTACGGACTCAAGTCCACCAAGTTCGCATTGCTCGCCCTCTTCGCCGCACTACTTGTCGGCATGACCGAGGCCACCGGGCGCGCTGTGGGGACGAACCACGAAGACCCCGTCAATCCCAACCCCGATTTGCCTGTGTTTGTGAGTCGTCTCAAGTAGACTTTCCCATCTGAGTAGACTAATCGAGTTGACGACAGTGATACAACCGCAATGCGTACCTGCTCGTAGGCATATTTCTACACACCACAATCTTCATTCTCACCTCGGTAGTAGGCCAAGTCGGTGCACTCGCGCGATTCGATGAGGAGTGCCTCGGATCTGATGACATCGGTGGAATCTTTGGCTGTGTATACATAAATTGACTGGAAATGAGTCGTTGTCGAACCTACCAATGTTTCGCGTCAATTGAGCGATACACTGCGTGCAATGTTGCGTACTTCCACTAGATGAATCCGGGGTAGTAAAAGCACCGTTTTCACAGCTTACCGCATCCCGTGAGACGCCCAGCGCCCAGTCAGACAACGACTCTGCCAGCCTACAACTCAGACTCCCGTGTCAAGTCATATGGCGACTTACCAGTACACTCGAAGATACAATACTTGCTTGTAGTATGATCGTAGCTGACTCATGTGCGCACACTCGTTTCGATTGCGGCCCTTGTGTGTGCGGACACACCGAGACCATGAGAGCTACTATACAAGCCCCTCCTCGTCAGCCTTGATTCCTGTAACAATGCAGTCAAAAACAACCACTATTCGGCATGAGGCATTAGACGTACTAAGTGCGAGGAAAGTGCTAGCGTAGCGCGAGATCGCGAGATTGCCTGTTCACGACGTCATGAGCTCAATGAGAATGATACTGAATGATGGGAGACGCACCAGTGGCAAACCAGAGGCGCTCTTGACCGCTTTCTCTCCAGACTGAGTTAATTTCGCCTTCGCTGGTTGTGCCCCACGTAGGCACGAGTTTCGCATGCACATCTAATCCGCAGATATCCTTGACAACATCTCGAGAATCACCGAACCTGAGAGTGTGAGATGCAGTATTACCCGATTGGAGCGTCTCTGAAGTACTGACCCTGTGGCGTAAATAACAATGTCCGCCTCCAACACTGAACCATCCGAGAAGCGCAGTCCGTTCTCGGCGAAGCGCTCAATTGAGCCACCACTCTTAACCTTGATCTTCCCGTCGATGATGTGCTGCGACGCTCCCGTATCTAGCAACCGACATCAGACATCTGTGCGAGAAGTGTCAAGAGATGGCGTACCAAGGTAGTAACCACCAGCACGTTCATAGATGAGAGGAAGCAGCCCTCCGTTTCCTGGACCGAGAGATGTCTTGAAGCCAGCCTTCTCCAATCCGTCTAGCTTCGCTCTGTGTATACGACAACAAGTTATGAACAGTCTAAGTACGTTGTTGCATGTTGACATACTTCTCTACCGTCGCTGCGAGATATGGGAAGATGCGACGTTGGTACTGCATGCTGACGAGGAGCGGAAGTGATGCGCTGAGGTGGTCCGCAATCTCAGTCGGGATCTCCTCATTGTAAAGGCCTGTATGAGTTGAGCTTCTGCCAGCGTCATGTCTTGAACTACTCACGTGAAAGACCGGAGTTGAATGTGCTGGCTGCAATGACGACAGTTGCAGATCGCTGGAACCTACAAGTTACAACGCATGGTCAGCGAGTGAAGTCACGAATACGCGCAAGACGTACATCGTCACGTTGGCATTGTGATTTGCGAAGTCATGCGCGATGTCGTGCCCTAAAATTTCGGTCAAAATAGTCCTCATACACTCATCAAGTAGGACATACCCGAGCACCCAGCACCGACGACTATTACCTTCTTTCCAGGGTAGTCCTCAACACTATGGAAATGGGAAGAATGCAGAACCTCTCCCTTAAAAACGTTCTATTCGAACACGTCAATTTCTTTTGTATCAAGGGAAAGTGTCGATTAAGTCTGTCAACAAACCTGATCGGGTACAGTAGGCATATTCGGGACGCCGCCACCGATGCCGGTGGCGAAGACGAGGTGCTTGACTTGGACTGCCCTCGTGCCTCCGTTTCGACGGATGTCGACAATCCATTGTTTCGTCGACTCGTCCCATCGAGCATGCTCAACTTTGGAAGACGTCCAAACGTCCAGTTCCAGCGAGGTAGCGAAGCTTTCTAACCAGTTGCCCAACTAGGATGATCAGTTCAGACGCAATCGACGCATGGATCGACGACTGATTCACCTTTGCGGCTGGAGCATATATGGGCCATGTCGAGGGATAACTAGAGATGAATGTCAGTCACGATCGCTCTGAACTAGCAGACTGCACCGACTTGAGATATGGCATTCTGTTGTACCCTACAGCGCCTTAGTAAGAAGTTCATGATGATATCAGTCGAACTCACAAAGAGGATCGTGCGTGGACAGTGTCTTGTATCGATCGCGCCACTACGCATGGGCTAATTAGATCCTAGCACGACCCACTAGCTGACTACACCCACGTTATCGCCAACGCTCGGCTTCTGCTCGACGAGCAGAGCTCGAACACCCAGAGCCTTCAATCTTGCACCCAGAGCGAGCCCTGTATGACCAGCGCCCACTATCAGGGCGACTGGACTCTCGTCGTTGAACTCGGTCTCATCCGCGCGCTTCTTGACCCAGTCGCCATTTTCGATGGTCGCGTTGCGCAATGCGCCTACCTGAGATGCCGAGTTGCTATCAGTGCGAGCGGCAGAAGACTTGCGACGGAGCTCACCTTCTCAGGGAATCCCTTGAGCGCCTCCAGGGCAGTGTACACCGTGTACGCCTTCCAGACACCCTCTGAGTTCACGAGGCGACAAGTCCCGGTACCCGTTCCGACCGCATTCTCAAACGTGAATGAGAACTGCAAGAAAACAAGATCCGGGAACGGCTTGGTCAAGGCCGGGACGCGATGCTTATCCTCTAACAGTGCGCCAACGCGAAATTTCGAGGATCTCAGGCGGTCCTGGAGATATTGAGTTATTTGCGAGCCTTGTGTAGTCCGGAAGTCCCAAGAGAGCGCGAGTTGATCACGCCAAAAGCCGTCTTCCAGAAAGAGCTCCTGAATGCTAGCCGTGTCATACTCGACAGCTGAAGCAAACTGCTTCAGCCATTCTCGAGAGACGTCCAAGGCTGAAAGATCGGGTATGACCTGAGAGTTGAGCCGCTGTATAGTGGGAAGCTCGAGAGAACTCATCCTGAATGCACGAGGTGGAATGTGAGTCGAGGTTGCAGTCGTCGCAGACCTGTTGGGGACGAAGGAAGCGGCGTGGATTGCACCCAATCCAAGATAGTTATAGCTTCTCGATGAATGACGGTGATCGGTCTTAGACAGCACGGAGCTGTCGTTTCACCACAATCAGACACGGAGTTTGTCCACAACTGAAGTCACGACTTACCGGCGATGTCGGGTAGTAGGATGTTACCGGCATATGTTTGTCACGCTTGACAGAACCTACGTATGAGTGAATCCCGCGTGCCGTATTTGCTAGGGGCTGGCTACGAGAACACGTCCACACTCCGGTAACTCGCTGGTTGCTGATCGCGATATGTCTTCATTTCCGCCTTCCCACAGAGATCCAGAGTTTCAGGAGCTAAGGAGTTGATCCAACACCGAAGTGTGTGAACTGAGCTGCCGGTCAAGGTATCATCAGATATTGAAGTATCGGACGTAACCTCGGACCTTTCATGATAGCGTATAGGATGTCGACTCAGTCTGTGTACCCAAACTATCCAAAGGCTCGACGGCTTGGTTTGATCAAACAAAATCTCATGCTGACAATGGGCTAATGATATTCGAGCCAGAATGGCTGGAGGTATACCAAGCGTATACAGGCCTGATTCTGAATTCGCTGTCAGGGAAAGCATCAATAATGAGGAACCGAAGTGAAGACGCCGAGAACCTACCTTGTTAAGTCATTGTGCCCTTAGTGCCAGAATACAGCAGAGTCAACAATACACAGGTCACGCAAGCATAAAACCGTGGTACCAGAGGACTGTCCGTGCGATACAACCTGAGGACATGGTGGCTTGAGTCGAGACGCCGTAGACGCTCGACAACAACTGTCTCGGAGGTTTCCGGCATTAGCCACTGGGCCACTCCTCCTCCTCGAGGCCGAGGAACTCGGTAATACAGGGTTCTTCCACTGCACCGACTCGGATCGCGAGTGTGAGTACTACCGTTATTGACTAGTCCTACTCATTATATCACTGACTTCGAATGCATTTTCCCCTCGCAGGCTTCTGTAAGATATACGTGTCTCCGTCTTGAAGGCAATTTCGCCGTACGTAGTCAGTACAGCACTCAGCACGTTCCATGGTTGAATCACCATTGAACAGATTTACACACTCTCGAACCTTCGTCGGACTGCCATTTCTCGCTCGAGATTATTGATAGCCAAAACTGGGAACCTCGGGCTGCGTATCATGGACATATGGGCTATGCAGAGCCTAGGCGAGCGTATGAATGTATTTTTCGTTATTTATTGAGATCGAGGTTGCCCCGCAAGGTTTTCGGCCAGGTTCACTCGCAAGGTAGCAGGTTTCGCGCAGGATTGAGGTTCACGTAGCCATTTTCGCACGAGGTTCAGGTTCAAGGCTACGATCACACTGTAAGGTCCGAGATTCAGCCGAGGTCTACAGATGAGGTTTGAGGTTGAGTTACGAGGTCCGACCTCGTGAGCCATGTCTCTCAGGTACGATGTATACGCCCGAACACTGGCATCTAGCACTGCAATGCGAGTTACGAGGTTCGAGGTGTGCATGTGAGGTTCGAGGTTCGAGGTGTGAGGTTCAGGTGCGAGGTTTCAGGTCATGTGATAGGCCTCGGTGACCCCTCGGTGACCTTGTGAAGGGGGTCGTAGAGGGCCGTACAGCATCCTACATGAACCTACTGGCCATGTGTCTCAGGCATTCATCTGCAGCTCACGCGATATTACTGATTTCTCTGCATGCAAATACTTAGGCTTTAGGGAGATGTCGGTGCTACGGCCATCTGGGGCAATGCCGAGACATGCCCGAGGTATTACTGTATTTAGCAGTGCCACCTGACCGAGTCGCTGCCAGCCTCATTCCATATGTTGTGCACTCGCTCCGTCGCGAGCATCCTCATTCGCATGTGCTGAGCCCGAGCAGAAATTGTGATTAGAGTCCATTTCACTCCCTCAAGGCCTGGCGACACCTCAAGTTTCCTCTTCTACCGTGCTTCCCAGCACGTGTTCTGCGTTTGGGCGCCCATCCCTCGCTCCGACGCTCCCGTCTACTGACCTATACTGGCCTACTAGTAGTGCCCCTCTCACCCTCCTTACTTCCCTCCTCGTGCGTTGTCTGTAGTCGACGTGGTGAGCCGCAGCCACAGAAACTCACGTCTATCGCACTTACCATTTGATAACGCGGCAGACGTGCTGTCAATGTGCCAGCATGCACTCTCGCCTCGATGCCGGTTCTCTGCCTCTGCCATCCCGCTGTGTTCCCCATCCTCGACACTCCCGCCCCCGAACTTCTCACGGCGATCATTGCACATCGACTCAACCACAGCTGCTGCGGCTTCCACCTCGGCCATTGACAGTCGCTCGCTGGACGGCGATCGGTCCTCTCTATGACGGATGCCCGACTTCATCGGAAAACAGGTCGGCCACCGGAAAACAGTTCGGCCAGCCCGAGAGGTGCACTGGCGAGCACAAACTGCCTCACTGGGGCCCGCAAGCCGCCGCACGCAATCGCTACGCACTGCACACTCCTGTCGTCCACACCCTTGGCGTATTTTGGAGCCACGAAGCGCGGACACTGAACAGAAACACAACAGATTGGGTAAGCATCGTCGCCTCGATTCGACCAGGACACACAACATTCACCTGATCCCACAGTGTGCCGTTCCACGTCTCCCTCATCCACCCTGTCTGAGTCAGCTCGCCGCCGGGCCATCGATCCTGTCTTCATCGGGGAAGCCACACTCCTTGCCTCGCTCGCGCCAGGCCGTCTGCATGCGCATGCGCTGCCAGTGGCGGGCTGATTGTCGCTGGTTCTGTTTGCCTCAGTGTGTGCAGAGGCCGGTGCGAAGGTAGGTTAGGCAGACGACGATCTGTAAAGGTGGTGCGGCGTGGTACTGCGCAGATCGCCCCGGAATCGACTTATGTCAATGAGATTCAGGGAGGGAAGGTGTGTCCTTTGTATCGGCGGCGTTTCGAGGGCGTCAGGACTATGCCCGGGCGAAGGTGGATTATCGCGTCAACACGAGAGACAGCTCATCGTGCAGGGGTACGGTGAGTTTCCTCTGGGTCTACAGATCGCCTCGCAACGTTAGGACATCGTCAAATGCCATCGGGCCAGTGTGGCCCCTTTGACGGCAACAGACGCAAAACACGTCACATTGGTGCCGCTGTTTCCCGGGTGCTGACACTGAGTAGTGGGTATGAGTCGATCGCGGGCGCGACTGCGATTGTTGCTACTCGGCTACTCGCGCGGGCATAGGTGACCGTTGGCGGCTGCGCACCACTGTGGGTTGACGGTGTTTCGACAGCACATGATGCAGGGTAGTGTCTGGTAGCATGAGTTGTGGGACGGGTGTTAATGTGCGATCGTTCCGCATGGTGCTGTTCCGGGAAGCTCACTGCTATGTACGCTGTAAGCAGTCCTCAGACTTATACTCCAGCAGCATAGACAGGCCAAGGAATGTAGTCTCAACATGTATCACGTTACATTAAATGCGCTAGAACATAACGAATAACGATACTTTCATGACATCATCTGTCGGATATCCAGCCTAGACATCCTGCGCAAAAATTCGGCTTGACGTGCAGTAAGCCTCAGAGCACATCGAGGATCAATCAATCAGATTGGCTTGACTCGCTGTCCTCGTCATTGCTCACTCCTGGTCATCGTCACACTTGTCCACTGTGTTGTACATCTCGTTCTCCGACACTCTGAGGCAATAATTTGCAACACAGCCATTGTAAGTTAGCATCATCTGTCCCTCCGGGTTCTGCACTCACACTAGTAGCTTAGCATGGAAGCATGAGTGACGATGCTACTGGACACAGGCCACAGTCGCTGTTAAGCGAGTTCTACCACCGCTTCAATGGATATGTCCATGTGGTCGAGACTGCCCTTGCGAATCCGACAGATTCGACAGTACTCGAGCGACTTGGAGATGATCTCAATCAGTTTGGGCAGCTCGTCACCGAGGTATGTCGCGGTCATGATACAATCAGGTGAGGTTACTGATCTCACCTACCATCGTGGAACAGCATGCAGCGACATTCCCTCCAGGTGAACTGGGCCACATTCAAAATGGTGTCGGTCTTATGCTGTACGACATCCGTCTGCAGTACCGCGAAGCCCTGGATCAGTCTCACCACGGTCGGCCTGAAATTGTGACACGGGCTCAAACTGGTCGGCCTGGTCGGCCTAGGATCACAATCGACCCGACTTGGCTAGAGTGGGCATATCAGCATCGTTCGATTGCAGGCCTCGCTCGTTTCTTGAATGTTGGGCGATCAACAGTCCGCAATGCTCTACTGGAATACCAGATCGCCGAACCTCAGCAAAATCCCTTCCCCACATCTGATCTCTCGGCCGAACCAATCCAGGTGTCGGAAGATGATCACGATGACCTACTAGACCCGATTCTCCCTGAAGCCTTAGCTCACATGCATGGGCCTGCTACGATGGGCGATGGCCAATATGTCGATCATATCTCGTCTTTTACTGGTCCTTTAACCCTCCTGCCCGATGCCCAGCTTGATGACCTCCTCAAGCAGCTTCGCATGCATTATCCCCGCGCAGGCATCACGATGCTGGATGGAATGCTGAGACAGCTCGGCCACCGTGTACCTCGTCAGCGAATACGATCTTCCCTTTCCCGCATTGACCCTATCCACCGGACCTTCGAGCGTATTCGCATACGACGCCGAAAATACAAGGTGGCCGGTCCAAATGCATTATGGCATCATGACGGCCAGCATGGTGTGTTCGGTCACCAGTGTTTTGTGGCTCTTACATGACTGTACTGACGATGACTGGATATATTAGGCCTTATCCGCTGGAAGATCGTAATCCACGGATTTATAGATGGTTATTCTCGTCTCATAACTGCACTACGGGCACATGGCAATAATCGTGCAGCTACCGTTCTCCAGCTGTTCCTTGCTGGAGCAGAGATCTTTGGGGTCCCTTCCCGTGTACGTGGCGATCATGGTGTAGAGAATCTGGCTGTTGCTGCATGGATGGAAGCGAACCGCGGTGAGCGACGGGGCTCGTACATATGGGGCAGGTAAGGCATCTATCTAAGGGATGGGATTTCAAATTGTGATTGGTGAATGACATCGCATGGAATTATAGGAGCATCCACAATGTTCGCATCGAGCGTCTCTGGGTCGATGTCACTGCACAAGTCGGTGCAAAGTGGGCGGAATTTTTTACGACACTCGAGGTTCATTATGGCCTTGATCTCAACAACGACAATCACATCTGGCTCCTACATCTGCTCTTCCTCGATCGCATCAATGACGAGCTTGCCTTCTTCGCTGATGGTTGGAACCACCACCGAATCCAAATCCGAGATGGGCCCAATCGCTCGCCCATAGACATGTTCGTCTTCGACATGCTCGTTCATGGAGTACGTGGAGATCAATTGCCCGATGAAGCTCAGACTATGGAGGAGCTGGAGGTGTATGGTGTCGACTGGGAGGCACTACGCGAGGATCGTCTTTTGCGTGCCTACCATCAGAACAACACCCAAACCGATGGTGCATCGTCATGGATTGGTAGGGTTGGTCCACCCGAGCGGCTGAACGAGGTCGAGGTTGAACCTCCCGAGGAGCCAGGAGTTGATGCTTTGGACAGAGTCATTGGTGTCCTAGCACAGGCGATTGAGCCGTGGTCGGCTCATGCAGATCAAGCGAGTCTAGCAGCCTGCTGGGTGAATGCATTGGCATACCTCCAGAGCCAGTATATGGATATGTTTTGACAGTCGGGCTATTGATTGCATTATCTGTACTGTACATAGTCCATGCGAAACTCATTCTCTCCGGGTGACGACTGGCTGGCATTTCGTTACTACAACGAGCCTACTAGTATGACAATAACGACTGTATTTTGTGACGAGTGGTACCACAGTCGCGCTGCACCCAATCTGTGCCAGCGTCAGGGCGGTAGATCACGAGCGACTCGGAGTCCAAAGTTTGACGTACATCTGAGTGACCGAGTCATAGCCTCCGACTCGGAGGCGCCGCACTCGCACCGAGTCAACGGGCTCCGCTACGCCCGCTCGGATAGCGAAGACGACCATCCCCTCTATACAGCAATAAATGTTCCCACAGACACTCAGCAATGCGTACACCCAAGATCAGTGGATCCGGGTCGTACATGCGGTGAGAGTTCGTGCTTCTTTCGTGCGGATGATCCCGAGCCGCACTGCCACTGCTTCTTCGCACCGAGTCATCGATGTGGCTCACTGATAACACCTCCCAGGATCCCCCCAGGCTCTGGCTGTCGCTGGTCGGTGTGCCAATCCTTGGTTTGACGAGCAGAACAACTTCATGGCTGTGTGAATGGCTCGGATGTCTGAGGCTCGGAATAAGGGGAGGCAAGTCACTCACACTTTCAAGTACCTCCAAGGTGTGTTTTGAGCGATGTTGTGACTTCCGTGTCGACTCTGACTGTTCTAGGCTGTCGTTCCTCCCGATGGTAATTGATGTTCCACTGTACATGCTGCTACAATAGCCTCACAGCTCGATATGGCTGGCTTCTTCGCTTCAAAATGGTAATATCCATCGTGGTGTGAAGAAGCCAATCGTAATCGCTCAATCCTGCAGTCGTCTGTGAGCAAATGCCGAATGAAATTATTTATGCTGACCCTGTCCATCGAGGATTGGTTGTGCTGGCCGAAGCCAGCAGAACTACTCACAGGCTCGTGGTGAGAGTCTGTATCTCCCCGACCTGGATTGCATGCCGAAGTAATCCCTGTAAGTACATCTCTGTATATAACTTGTCGTACTTGTTTGCTGACCTTGTCGCATCGTCTTCCAGGAGGTTTTGAATTGCAGTAGCCCGATGGAGATGCTCGTCGAGCTGGATCTCACGATGTAAGTCTTTGGATAGAAGGGTGGCGACTGCTGCTCGTACTGCTGCCATATACCTGTGCCCGAATCGAATTGAAGACAGCAGGAATACAATACAATATGAGAGCAGAACCCGATGCATAGCGAGGTCTGCCATAGGCCGAGTCGCCATGGCCTATGCCAGACTTGCCATAGAGGGCAAGTTCGGTTTTGGCCTCACCTTCCGACGGTGCCCACTCGCTCTTTCCCCACTATACTCTCGTCGTTCTTTTCGTCTGCTCACACCCTTGCCATTCAGTCGGCAAGCCACCTCCTCTCATTGCTTCGTCGTTCCTGCACTCTCCCAGAATTGTCTCTCCAACATTTATTGAGGTTTGTTGCCCTTCGTGCGAAGACCTTTCGGGCTGTTCAACCCAGGTGTAGATTTTACAGTCGCTCACTCCTTCGTCGAAAAATTTCTACTGGAACTGTGATTATAGGCCTGTTCTACACAGCCTGTTTCACTCGTCAATCCAATATATCCAGTATGTGCTTCCCGACACTGTCAAAGACGATCAGGCGACAGCTCACTGCCTGTCCCATAGTTGTTTGCAGCCCTGTATGCCAGTATCCCCTGCTCTTCTCGTTCTGTGCTCTTTCTGACACCTCGTGCAGACTTCCTTTAGTGTCTCACAGTCTCAGTCGCCATTCGTTCGTCAAGGTAAGATACTCACTTTTTGCTACCGATTCGCCTATTCATCGCTGTGGCCCACAGATGGACTTCAGTCGACTCTCGGCTCAGCAACAGGCCGATCTCATGGCTCTCATCCAAACTGCCTCGAATACAGCCCCAAATTCGTCGCTACCTGGCCCGAACCCCTCGCAGGCCTATGGCGAGACCCAGCCTGGAGTCTTGCAGCAGCACCCTGTGTCGGTCACTCCTAGCCAGAACACGACCTCTGCAGCCCCCTATACTGTCGCAGGTCAGCCTTCGACACAGTCGGCTTGGGTAAGTCCCTGTTGTCTGACTTCCACTGACGATGCATCTGATCTCGCACTCTTCGGAGCAGTCCTCATCGCCTACTCGGCCGAGTGTTCCCGGACAGCCTCACCGAGTTAGCCAAACAGCTGGGGCTTCTGAGCTGGTGCCTGAAGCAAGGCCATCGTCGCACCCATCCTTTCAGGGCCACATCGTCTCGGCTGGCGAAGTAGCTGGGTCGCCCTCGCATCCCAATATGCCCCCATGGGCCATAACCCCTGGCAATCCTGTCGCACAGAGGTCGACGACACCTTGGCATGGCATGCCTACCTTTGGTTCGTCTCTGCGAGTTTCGTCAGTGAGCTTTGTACTGAACTCTGCACCTCGCAGAGCAAAGTAGCCCACCACCGAGTCTTGTGTCGTATCACAGTGCTCGGACCAGCCCCCTCGGTGCCATGGCCCCCCTGGTTCTTCGTCGCAGGTAGCAGGCCCATCGTCGCTGTACAACACCACCGAAGTCACTCCGGGCCCCGGCCCAAGCCGTAGCCTGACACAGCCTATCCTGGGATTGAACAGGCTCCGTCCCCAGGCTTCCAGCCAGGTCAATGTAGCTCGCCTGTCATCGTCAGCTCGTATGCCTCGCACGGCGGGCTCCAGCCTGTCAGCTCGGCCCCGCCGCACACGTGGCTCGGCACAGCATCCACCGTCGCTCCCGCATCTCCCCCATATCATACGATCCCCTATACCACATGCCGAAGACCAGGTCAAAGTGACCTGTCTGATCTATCCGCAGCCTGTAAGTGACCATCGTGGCTATTATGTGCCCGGTGCTGACCGAAAGACGGTAGGACCCTCCGTCAGCTCCACTTATTGCCTATAACTTCGGACGGGACAGCTTCGTCGATCATCTGCGAGGGCATGGGCTCTGTCACGACTTTGACATCCCGCTGTCAACACCACTGCCCCGCCTGGCGAGAATGGTCTTGCTTGAGATGCGGACCTCGTCTTTCCACTATGAGGTCCCCACTGCCGATCATCTCGCCTTTGAGCATGAGCGCCTCCCTCTCGGCATTTTAAGCTTAAAAAACCGTGGCATTCGTCGTGCGGACGGCCAGGTCTATCTCGATCATAAGCCCCTGTGGGCCGACAAAACAGTCGAGATGCTCCTCGCAGATAAGCACCGCTTCGCTCACAGCGACCACGGCTTTTACAATGGCCGTTTTGTTCTGCGATTTGGTGAGCAGTGTTCGCCAGTATGTGGCGAGCTGTGCCTAATAGGTCTTCCCTGTAGTGATATGTACGGGCCCCCTGCTCGCTGTCGTCCAGCCATCCACAGTCGCTCGTGAGCATACATGCATTGCTACCGCGTTATATGGGCGATTCGCAGTGGATGAGTGGCCACAAGCGATCACCTCTGCCCCTCTGTGCATTGGCTGCCTTGACGATGTTCGAGAACCTAGTCGTATGGCACATCTCCCCGAGCCTCCTGAGCCTCTGATTGCTGATGCTCAGTCACGGTGTAGCTGTACCCCCTCCGTCACCCATGCTAGGAAGTCCTGATCGCACGAACAGCAACCCGGGCAGCCCAGCCTCCACGACCGACTCGGATATTGGAATGACAGATGCCACGACTGGGCCCAGAGCTGGTGCTCAGCTGAATGTGAGCTTCATTATGTCCCGTACTCGCCACAGTTCATCATCTTTTTTTCCTGCAATATTCCAGGGTCGTACAGTGCCAAGTCTTGCTCGCACATCGTCTATGCCATCGGCTGTAGCTGCATTCATGCCCCGTGATATCTGGCAGTCGCCGTGGGAGCCAGAACTGCCGAGGGATGCTGTCGGTGGCCAGCAATACAGCGAGCTGAGTGGCTTCGCTGAAGCTGTCTATGCTGCAGCCAGCCGCCACCCTGAGGCCCACGGTAGTGGCAGGGCGCGGGGTGCACAGGCACGGCCATTTTCACTGCGAATTGAAGGGACTAGCATGGATGCGATGGTCGATGCCCTCCGGGAGTATCTTATTCAAGTTGATGCTGCCCATCTCGGCGATTACACAGCCCTACTGTCGCCTGATCGCGTGTTCCGAAGGTTGGTCAGTACCTCGCCCTCACTGTTCACTAGGCTTACCTCCATGCTACAGGCTGTCGCCAGCTGGAGCAGTAGTGTCATTCGGTGCAGGTGTCGAGCGTGAGGTTTTGTGGACAGCACTCCAGAAATACCAGGGAGATCCCAGGTTCTGTCGGCCTGGCCTAGATGGGACCTGGACGATCGCTAACAGTCCCATCGCTCACTTTGCTGCTGAAGAAAACAGGCTCGCCCGCAAGAAGGAGCTCACGATCTTCGGGGCCCTGACTGCACTCCTCATGGTCAATGGCCAGTGCCCGAAGCCCCTCGACCCTGTATTCCTGCACTACCTGATCCATGGGTGCTGCATCGAATCTGTCACGAAGGCGATCATGGCCGAATGGCACCCAGCATTCACGACGCGGCTGTCAGCCTTCCTGGATGCTGGTCCTGCAGGTGACATAACCCCCTTCATCTCGGACATCGTGGAGTATGCCGAGGTTGATGTAAGGCTATAGCCTTTCCTATGTCGTCACCAGTGCTCATATTCTCGATAGGTCAGAAGTCTCCGTGACCGGGATCCTGCGACACATCGTGGTGTCGCCGCCCTCATACTGTACAAGGGACTATTAGGCAACGAAAGCCCCCAACACACCGATACCCAGAGCTTTCTGCGTGGTCTCAGGCTCCCGTGTGCCAATGGGTTCGATTTCACGCAGGTATGACCTCGCCGACTGCCCAGGCCCACCATGTACTCACACCGACTCCTACTAGGCTGTTCGCCTGTATGTAGGTGGCTCTAACACGTTCGTCAACGAGGTATGGGCTGCATACATCATGGCATACAGCTCCATCGCGCCGCAGCTGGACATCCGCACTGCGAGCACGGTGCCACAGGAGCAGCGCACACTGAGGGTTGATGGTCGCGACTACGCACTCGGCGACCTCGTCAGGACTTTCCTGCAGGGTACAGGGATTCCCTGTGCATCAGGAAAAAACTCTCCTGTGAATGAGCAATAATTATACCAGTTTCCACGTAATGAGGGGTAATCCTTCCCATTCAGTTGCTTCCAGTAATACCGCACACTACCTAGGGTCCATGGGTCCCGAGTCTGGATGCTCAATATTATACAGAATTATCCAGTATTTGATACGTATTCCACTGCACATTCAAAGGTATTCTTGGGCATTTCAGGCAGAATCACGGTTGGATTTCTCGCCGCATTTGGTTGAAGAACGAACAATTAATGCATTGCATGGAAGAGTAGTAGTAGGTGCACTGTCCGGACCAGAACACGAGCAACGAGAGCAGCAGGAAGGCAGACACAGAAAGCATCGAGAGCATGAGGGGGGGAAACGAGGATTAAGTAGTCAATTACTATTCACACTACCAGTGCCACCATGATCAGGCTCGTTCGCCAGAGCACCGCCTCTATTCATCGGGTATGTCACTCCAGTTGATCGCGGCATTGCCATTCTGTATGCCAGGATGCATCGCATGTCCCACCCTACGATAAAGAAATCAGTGAAATTCACCATCACACGAGTTAGGAGTGCCATACGTCACGGCTGTGAAGACATCATGCATGACTCTGTGGTATCGCTTTGGGCGTTCGTGGCGGAACGCAGTGAGCCGCGTCATATGGGCCTCGTATGCGGGTATACTGGTGGCGCTGAAGTCGGAGGCCTTGCTTAGGCCGAGTTTGTTATCTGATATCACTGACTCGACCTCAAAGACGGTAAGACAACAACACAATGCTGATTCAATCACCAAACATACCGCTGTCATAGCCAAGGCCATCATAGTCGGTGGAATCTCATACTCGGAGGGGGCACTTGACAGTGATGACGCAAATGTTCCACCGTTTTTCAGCCCAGTACTGAGATACTGCACGTTCGTGAAGAATGCAGCGCGTACTGCAGGCTTGATAAGTGAGTTCTCGTACGGAGAACGGTAATCAAACCCGTCCTGCGAGTGAAAACATAAGTCATGCGATATTAGACATGCAACATTGCTGGTACGCACCGAGAGCGTCCAAGGATAAATGTAGTTCATGTTCTGTAGAAGAATGTCACCACCGGGCGCATTGTGATTGTTCACAGGTTGAATCATGGATTGATATGCATGCTCGACAGACGGCGTTACAGCACGTTTGATCGCAGTTCGAAAGAGCCCTAGCCGATGAGAAACCTGCGACAATTCATCAGTAAAGAAGCCACAGATGTACAGCAATAAAACCGACGTAGGCAGTTATGGGTCGGACATAGTCATCATAGGATCCTTTCTCCAATCGTTCCGAGACGTCGCCCTGGCCAGTATACCCAAGCTTATCAGAAGAGCAGATTAACGCCTCAAGAGCGATGTCTTCAAGCCCAGCCTTGTCCATCGGATTCGTCATTTCCTGGATGTCGTCGAGACTAGCATAGTCAACCGGGTTTTCGAATCCAAAAGCCATCATACGGTCACCAATGACGTAGCTGTTATGGATCACTTGCCCCATCAGTGCACTTTGCGGCTTGATATCCATGGTCACACTACGTGATTTGTAGTTGACGATAATATGCGTCCGCGACCTCCAACGACCATTGTCGTCCTCACGGCGGACATGACGAGGGCGTTTTGCAACCTTGACCTTCGAAGCAGAGGGACGGATGATAGGCATCTAGTGAAAGGTTGGTGACATTGATGTTGAGTTCGTACAAGAACAACTCACCTCCGATTTCAGTTTCTCTTGCTGCTTCTTAGTCAGCTTCAACAGTAGGTTAATTACATCCACTGAGGTAGTACGCAGCACGGCACACATACCTGCTTCGACACGTTCCTGGATACAGCCGGCCCACTCTCATTGACCATGTCCAAGTCATCATCACTATCCTCGATGTATTTCACGGTGCGGCGCGAAACAGCATAGCGACTGGTCTTGCTGTTACGAGATGGAGGATCGTCATCGTCGTCCTCGCTCTCAACTTCTTCAGGCTCATCCACGACAACATCAGCGTCGTCAGTTGTCGGCGGTTCGGTGGGATATGAACCAACACTTGAGGAACGAGAACCTCTTGAATGGAAGCGAGGCGGACTTGCACTCGTCGCACTGAAGTTATTGCCAGTGGCACCTTGGTTACCTATCCGAGTGTCGGAACACGGAGGCACAAGTCAGAGATCTAGTGAGAACTAATTTGCCGTGTGAATAGGTATACTGTGCTCACCTGCAGCAGTGAAAGTGACGCGCTGTGATGCATCATACTTGAGTGACTAGGGTCAGAGTAAACAGATCGGATTCGGCTTACCTCTGCGTCGAAGTCATCACAGACCTCGCGATGCTCCGCTTCCTCATCATCGCCCCCCTGCAGCTCGCCGTCCACATCATCGAATTCTTCTTCGCCATCGTCGTCAAAGGTCTCCTCAGCAAGCCGAGAAGCTGACGTGGAACGGACCACCCTTGCAGGTGTGATCGCCTTGGAAGTTTGAGACTTGGTCTGTGAGGCTAGTGGTGACTCGTCGGCGGGTTCACTATCCGAGTGGTCGACGTCGATCCGAGCTGCCCGGTGGGCTTTCTCTGGCCACGGCATTAGACACGTACTTGCAAGTCAATTGAAAGATACGTACTCCGAGTCGGTTCGGACTCCGGTGGTCTCAAGGCGCCGGCAACCTTCAACTTCTTTGAAGAGCGCTCTGTTTCTGCATGGCTATCGATGTTCAGCGACTTCGGCGGCATTGCATCCCGGGCCCCAGCGTTCCTACCACCACTATTGGTACTGTTAACCTTCGCCACTGCCGAATCTTCTCTCTTCCGCTTTGCCTTGGCTGCCTTAGACGTCGACGAGGTTACTTCAACATCGGATTGTTTCTTCTTGCCTACATCGAATGGATCAGAATCAAGAATGTACGTACAGTCGTTGTGCGACAGTATACCATTTGATGACTTCCTACTAACTGGCTGGCCTTCTCCAGCAGTCTGCGAGCCGGACACGTCACGTCGCTTTGGCACAATTGTCGCCCACTTTGTGTGAGCAGCTTGGGCTGTGACACGCACAGGTCGGCCGGCTGCTAGTATTCGAAGGTTAGTATGCGCATATTAGCTGGTGAATCCATTCTTACACTCCGCGGGAGGTTCATCAACCAGATCATCGTGTGAGCCGTCTCGGTCGACCTCTGATATACGACCCACACGGCTAGCGCGAGGACGACGGCTTGCTGCCGACATTCCTGACTTAAGGGCGAGAAGTCAGTCAGGGTGCGACCTGCGTCAATAGACATGAGGTAGTGTCGAAAGCAGGCTTGCAAAACGACAACAGTATGGAGCTATAAACAGCCAGGCCCCTGTCAAGTAAGTAATGCGCACCACAAATGAATGTCTGTCAACGGAGTAACAGATTTGCTAGAGAGGTTCGTCGTCGAGACAACCACGATGGTGGGAGCCAGTGTACGGCTGGTGTTCTTGGTGAGTCTCTTCGGATGCTGCTAGTCTTAGGATTAAATGGAAGTTGGATAGAGTACTATGAGTCGGAAGGAAGGCTTTCGAACGCCAAAGGAGACCGGATGAAAGAGAGAGAATGCGCTGGCGGGTTAGGACGTGCCGATGCAGTGTGAGATGTGACACTGTGATGCCCTTCACCCCAGTGCCAGTTCGGCAAGCAGCGACTGTTACTGCGTCACGAGCCGCGTGCACTGTCAACCATCGATCTCTGGACTCAACGTCTTCCACGCCGTCAGGTCTCTCTGCATCTGCACTCGTCAAATATCTGTACTTTAGTAAGCTGAAATCCTTGCACGGCCTTGACCCCATACTGACAACCGGATTTCCTAGCGTCTCCGTGTATACTACCAACCCCTTGCCATAATGCCATACACATGTAACGGCTGCACCGCTACCTTCGCACAACGCGGACCCTATCTACAACATCTTCGGCAGAGTGAAAGACCTGCCTGCCAGCTCGCACGCCGGCAACACGAGGAGTCTGTACGACGACCGACTCGTCAGGCTAGCCATCGGCGAGCCGCACATTCACGCTCAAACAATCGATCGCGTTCCTCGGGATCCAGGAGCAACGGATCCGCACCTGCATCGGCCGCAACTGAAGACCTTGACGCAGATGATGAGGACGAACCCATGCCATTTGAGGGCGATTACTTCGGTGCTGCGGGTGACTATGCTGGTGGAGATCTTCCGTTTGGTGACGAGGTTCGCGTCGACATCGATCCTGACTCCCATGAGCCAGCAGAGGAGTCAAGTGATGACGACGCTGACGACGACGACGACGCTGTCGGGCAGGATGTTGTCCAGCCCACAATGGAGACCGAGCGAGATGGGCATCAGCTTCCCCCTGCACCTCTAGGTCGTCGCACACCCGAACCAACTTCCACTGCTCACTCAGAAGCCGGACACGAACCTGCTACCCAAGACGGACAGGGTGTTGCAGCAGGCCCGGGTGGAGTCGACCCCGCAGAGCATACGCAGATCCGCGAACCACCCGAGCACATCGTCCCATTCGGTGGCGAGGCTGGCAAGCCCTCTCAACCAGGGCAGCTACCACGCTCTGGCTACACCTCGTACGAAGGCAAGGTTGATCCAGATGCAGTTAATCCTTATGCACCATTCGCTTCACGTCTGGACTGGGAGATTGCGCGCTGGGCTAAACTTCGTGGGTCAGGGTCAACTGCGTTCTCCGATCTTCTCGCTATCGAAGAGGTCTGTCCCTTCTGTCAGTCATGCTCTATCCCAAACTCATCAAGGGGTTCTTACTAGGTTCGCGAACTGTTGGGCTTGTCATACAAAAATAGCGACGAGCTGAACAAGATCATTGACGAGGGGCTTCCAAACCGACGGCCCGCATTCCACCGCTTTGAGGCATGCGTCGGAGGCGAGCACTTTGAGATGTTCTGCCGTGACATTCTCGAGTGTATCCGTGCGCTCTACGGTGACCCCGAGCATGCGGCATATCTATGCATCGCGCCAGAGCGCCACTATGCTGATGCGGACAAGACGCTCCGCTTGTACCATGATCTCCATACTGGAGAGTGGTGGTGGGCGACACAGGTGCATTCATCTCTTCGATCTCCTCAAACTTCACTGAATGTACATGCAGAAGATACTCGAGAAGGAAACGCCGGGTGCAACAGTTATTCCCATCATCATATCATCAGATAAGACTCAATTGACAACGTTCCGAAACAAGACTGCATACCCAGTCTATCTTACGATTGGCAACCTTCCGAAGGAGATCCGCCGCAAGCCGTCACATCGCGGGCAAATTCTCCTCGCTTACCTTCCAACGAGCCGCCTCGAACATATCAAAAACAAAGCAGCCCGGCGTCGGACTGTGGCGAACGTCTTCCATGCATGTATGTCGATGATCATGGAACCTTTGCAGAAAGCTGGTGTAGAAGGTATCCCCATGACCAGCGGCGACGGTATACAGCGGCGCTGCCATCCAATCCTCGCCGTGTACGTCGGGGACTATCCCGAACAAGTCCTCGTAACAGGAACATACACCGGCGAGTGTCCAATCTGTCATTGCTCTCACGACGACCTCGGGGCTTACCCATGCTTGTCCGACTATCGCGATGTCGACGAGGTTTTCGCCACTCTAGGTCTCTATGGTACAGCCGATTACAACAAGGCTTGTGACGCCGCCGGCATTAAGCCAATCCAACATCCATTTTGGGAGAACCTCCCTTACGTCGACATCTATCGGTCGATCACGCCCGACATCTTACATCAGCTCTATCAAGGGATTGTCAAACATTTGCTTGCTTGGCTCACCAGTATTGTCGGCGAGGACGAGATCGACGCGCGGGTTCGGCGACTACCACCTAACCACACCATCCGCATATTCCATAAAGGAATCACCGGCTTAACGCGTGTTACAGGTACTGAACACAAGCAGATGGCACGGTTCATGCTTGGCCTTCTGGTCGATGTTCAGCTGCCTGGTGGTGAGTCAGTCGCGGACCTGTTCAGTGCTACGAAAGCCCTTCTGGACTTCGTGTATATGGCGCAATACTCGGTCCATTCAGGCGCAACTCTGGCTGCACTCGAGCGCTCACTGTCCGAATTCCATGCGAATAAGGACGTCTTCATCCGGCTTGGCATACGAGATCACTTCCTCCTCCCGAAGCTTCACATGATGACGCACTACGTCCGCGCGATCAAACTCTACGGTACGACCGACAATTACAACACAGAGTCCACCGAGCGACTCCATATTGACTTCGCGAAAGAGGCCTACCGTGCAACGAACCATAAGGACGAATTCCCACAAATGACGAAGTGGCTCGAAAGGCGCGAGAAGGTGCTGCAGCACGCCAACTACGTTGAATGGCGTCTCCTACGAGTGCAACGTGAGCAGCATGATCTCATCGCTGCCCGTCAAGAGATACACTGGCGGCCGCCAGATATGGCGTGTCCGTTACATCATCTCATGGCGAAGCATCCTAGTCGAAAGGCAGTCCCTGTCGCCGAGCTTGTGTCTTCTCAGGGCTATGGCGCAACACATCTTAGGGCTGCTCTTGCTCGCTTCGTGGTGGAGTTCAACAATCCAGCTCTAACACGAAACGAGATCGAAGCTCAGGCACACCACGTACGGTTTCCATTTGCGACTCTACCTGTCTTCCATAAAATCAAGTTCCGCAATCTTATATAGTAAAGGAGAGTGGTCCCGCTTTTGGACGCCGGCGCTTCCGCTCTTTCCGTATCCGGTAGCCTAATCGTCTCGCTTATTCTGTTCTGCTCTCCGCACTCTCCTCCGCACAGCTGAGGGCGATGCTAGAAGACCCCGCGTGCTCTTCACCTTCCAACTTGCGCATGGCGTCGACGACAACGTTTTTCAGCGCAGTAGAGGCGGCGGGGGGAATGGCGAGCGGTGGGCGACGGCGGGCGAGGACGGGCGAGGACGAGTGCCAACGGGTGAGTGCAGATGCACGCGAGCAAGCCCACTAACGCAGGCACAGGGTGCGGTGATGTGGATCACATCGTGCGCGGCGACTGCGAGCAGGCATGGCCGGTGTCCCACACACAAACACAATCGACGAGTGCAGCACGGCCACCGCCACGACGACGTGCGCGGAGGAGGACAAGCAGCTCGGCGGGTGCGTATTCCGCCATCTCCACTTTTCTCCCCTCCGGTACACGAACGAATAGCCATACAGACTGCCGAAAGACAGATGGCGGGCGGGCGGGTGGACTTGCGGCAGGAGAGCGAGCGGGCAGGCGACAACACACACACCAACTGCGAGTGTGCAAGGCTAATGCCCAGCACCCAGACACGGCCGGCGATTGCACACGCAGGCAGGAAGAGAGGTACGGGTGCGGATGGGTGGGAAAGCGGGCGGTGCGGTAGGAGAGGGGACGGGCAGGAGGGCATATGGGCGGGTGGACGGGCAGGCGGGCAGGTGAGTGGACGAGCGGGAGGCCGGCGAGTATGCAGCTCAGGCTGACAACCGGACAGCACGCGCATAGACCACCCGAATAAGCGAGGACAGGGCGCCGCATACGACACACGCCCACCGCGAACGCGTAGGGTTAATGCCCAGTAGGTACACACGGTCGACGAACGCGCACGCAGGGTGGTAGACAGGCGGGTGAGTGGGCACAAGCAGCCGAGCGTCGGAGCGGGCTGGCGTGCACGCAGGCGGCCCCGACGCGCACGGCAACCGCGACCAATTCCCAACACACAGGCGCAGCCGGCGAACGGGCCGCGCGCGTGCGCAGTGAGCGAGAGACGGGAGACAGCGACGATAGCCAGGGCCGGGACGTGAGCGTGTAGGGCCAGTGCCCACATGCAAACACGGCCGATTAGTGGGCGGCCGGACAACCGGACGGGCAAGCGCATTGGCGAGGGGACAGGTCACAGCACATACGCCGACCGCGAGCGCGCCGGGCGAATGCCCAGCATGCAGACACCGCCGGCGAATGCACACGCGGGCAGGCGCGCAGGCGGGAAAGCGGGTAGGTAAGTGGGAGGGCGAGCGGACGGGCGGGCAAGCAGGAGGACGAGCTAGCGGATCGGCGAGAGAGCATTGAAGAGACGGTCGAGCGAGCACTGGCAGGAGGGTGAGCGAGGACCGTGGGCAGGGCTGAGGCGCGTGCAGCATATGCAGACCGCGAGCGTCATGCAGACACAGCCGGCGAGTAAACGGCCGACAGCGGGTGCTGTCGCGGCACGAGCAGGGTGGAGATGGGCAGAACCCGCCCACCCTGCACCCGCGGTGAGCTAAGGTTCAACGCCAACACCCGCGGTGAACTCGGGTCGCGTACGGGTATAGGGAGTTGCTGCGTAGCTCAATCATGTTGTATTTAAGTCCATTCTGCTCGACTGAGGCTTCCAACGACTGGCACGTCACCCGGCACTGCAGGTTAGTACTGAGCGAGTCTGGCGCCGACGACGGATGTTTTCAGCGACGCAGGATTACCTGTGCGGCGCACGGGCAGCCTGCTAGTGTCAAGTATCACGGTAAAGAGACCCTCGATTCGATCCATGCGCGACCTCGTCAAATAGGTCAGAATGATGAAGTGCTCATACCGGCGCGCTTCGACACCGCACTCGTACGTGTTCGGCAAAGCGAGAACGCAGAAGCTCGCAATGGCCTTGCTGGTATGATTTCCTCTACTTTGGTCTCTAGCAATACTTACATGTATGTCCGATGTTGTGGTAGATATGCGTGTGGGACGGGTGCGGGTCATCTTCTCGATCCCCGAGAAAGCATCACCCTTGCTCTTCTCTTCTTCCACAAGAACGCGCAACCCGGAATTACCACGACATCTTGTCTACGTCGAGTGGCTGTCGAAATTCGCCGCTGCTCCGGACCCACGCTACCAGATGTACAAGGTGACGACACTGACGGGTGCGGCGGCAATCGGGTCGGTAGTTCCGCTCTCACTGATTGAACGGAGTGTTCATCTCAATCCGAAGTGGGGTGGGCCAGTACCTGTACATTGGACAAGCGAGAACATTTTGAACGAGTGCGCGACATTTTACCTTAACCAATATAAAGATTCCCATAGCTTCTACAACCTGTACTAGTAGGGCTTTATTACTACGTCAAATACGAGGAATGAATTGATATTACTACAATTGGTGCGACCATATGCAACTATTCGTCGTATTCTGTGGAACTCGAAGAATACCCCTCTGTACTGTGTAATTCCGAGGGAGGGTTTTTCCTGATGTGAGGCTCGGCTGGACGATGCCAAGGCGACATTTAGCGATGCAATCGACTTATCACAGGCCGGCGAACCCTTCTTCCGCCCTCGCATGTTCCACCTGGCCATCACAGGCAGCGAGACAGTGGACCCGGTTGAGAGGCTTACGGCGAGTTGTCAATGGCAGTATGCATGCCTGTGCTGACAGACTATTAGGTGTGGATCGTCGGCGACACCGATTCACAGTATTATTGCAGCAACGCGATCCGGCAGCACTGCATCGACGAGGGCCGCATCTCGTGGAGAACGTGTTTCCGCGAGGCAGCGATCCCCGCCAGCTACTTCCACCGGCTCGCCGAGCTTTCCTACGGCCCAGATACAGCGGCTGCGGGCATGCCAGGGTCGCTCAGGGCAGCCATACAGAACTGGCTGCTCCTCGAAATCCTGGGCAGCATCGGTGGCCATACCTTCCTCTAGAAGGGCTCGCCCATGCAGGCAGTTCCCGCGACACGCCTACGATACCCCTTCTCTCCTGTTTCGGCCTGTAAGGAAGACCCATCGCCCACCCCCCCCTCACCCTACTTTTCTTCCTGCGACACGTCGCCTACGATACCCCTTCCCCCTGACATTGGACTTTTTCAATACTGACAGGTGCCACCACAGCCTCGCCTGTCCTGGGGACGGCCGGGCACAGCTGGTCCCTGGGCGAGCATTATACCGCGGACACCATCTGTTTACCTGTACCAGGATTAGGCTGGGACTTTCTACGGTACTGCATGGACCATGTCGGCTGCATGCCCTTACTTATGCTATGAGAACTATACTCGGGCTGATCTTCGTGTGTATTGGATCGGCCGACCACATCGCTATTCTACTGGCTTACATCGCCCAGCAGCTCCCGGAGCCTGGGTGTGCAGGCCACTGCGAAGACAGCCACGTAGAAAATCATACCAAAATACCCTATATTATTACTCACAGCAGCGATGTACCCATATAGACAGCCAGCCCTACAGATTCTGCCCTACTTCCGACTCGAACTTACAGCCCCGCAGTACAGCCGGCCATCCTTATTCAGAGACGGGAAGCTTTACCACCAGACCATAGACCCATATGTCAGGCTATGCCTGTACTCGCACATGGACACAAGATGGACGCGGGGTGCACCGTGCTCTCATCCATGCGCGGGGGCCGCCTGCGGTCAGGCCAGCATGCGTCGTCGCTGTCACAAACTCACTTGGGAGCTCATAGCATGGGGGGATCGCAGCCCACCTTGAAGCGACACCGGAGGCCCATCAGCCAGGCATGACGAGACCATAGCAGGTCACACCGTAACGGGGACGGCATCAGTTCAGCGGATTCAGCACTAATAGAGCTTTTTCTGCAGGCAAACAGAGCCGACTTACCCTGTGTGTCTGACCAATAAAGACACAACGTAGCGGGTTCCGGTGGACTCGCACGGAAAGCCATGACACCGGATGACACGGCGGCCCCCGCGATCGTAGCTCGTCTCCCTGCGGATGATCGCCACACCCACCGACTGCTGCCCGACGGGCGACGGCACGACGTGTGGGCTTCCGGCGAGCCCAGCGTCGACGCCGCGGTCGATCGTGACTTGCCCCATTGCATCACTGTCAGCTTCCCACATATCGACTTCCAGCGAAGTGGAGCGGGAGGCTGTCTTGCGTTGAGTCGCGAGTGTGCGGGCAAGCCGGTGGGTCAACGGTACACGTACACGTCCTCGCTGCCATGCCCCCGCCTCCATCCTCCCCGCTCGCCGTCCTCCGCACGCGGGCTCGCGCGTTCCTGCCATCCGCCCGCGCGTTCCCAGACAGCTCCGCACCCGCAGACGGGAGGGTTCACGTGCTTCCCGTCTGTACGCGCCGCGCGCGCGCCCTCCCGCCTCCTTGGTGTGCCCACCCCCGCTCGTCGTTCGCTCGCCCGTTTGCCCGCCCGGCGTTCATCGGCCACGTCTGCGTGCTGGGCATTCGCCCAGCATGCTCGTGGTCGGTATGCGCGTGGTGCTCGTCCGCACCGTATCCCCGTCCGTGCCAGCTTGCCTGCCGCCTCGTTCTCCCGCCTCGCGGCGCGTGTGTTTGTCGGCCGTATCTATGCGCTGGGCATTCGTCCATCGCACTTGTGGTTGCCCGTCTGCTCGTCGATCCATCCGCTCGTCGATCCAGTGCTCGCCGTGGTTATGTGTGTCGTGCTGCGTGACGACGCACCCTGTGTTCGCCCACTCACCCACCGCCAGCTCGCCGGTTTCCCCCCTCACTCGTCTACTCACCTGCCCGCCGCCCGTCCACCCGCCCGCCTACTCGTCCGCGCGCCCGCCTACTCGCCCGTCCTCGCGTCCGTGCGTCCGTGCGTCCGCTCGCATTGGGCGCATTCGTCGGTCGTGTTTGCATGCTGGGCAGTTGCCCAGCGCGCTCGCGGTCGACGTGTTGCCGCCCGCCCGCTCGTGCCGCCTGTTCGTCGGCCGTGCCTACACGCAGGGCATTGGCCCTGCGTGCCCGCGGTCGTCATGCGCGTCGCGCTGCACGTCGCCACGTCCTGCGCCTGCCGTTAGTGAGCTCGCGCGCGTGTGCCTGGACTCACCCTGCCCTCGCCCTCACTCTCGCCCTCGCCCTCGCCCTCGCCCTCGCCCGTCCCCGCCAGTCATCCACCCCTGCCCGCCGTCCACTTGTCATCCAGGCCTGCCGCCCGTTCGTCGCCGCGCCCGGGCTCGCGGTGGCTTTGTCGGCTGCGTTTGCATTGCGTTCGCACGCGTGGTCTTCGTGGGTGCTCGCCGCGCGCGTGTGCGTCGTGTCGCTGAGACTGAGACCGTGGGCGTGGGCGAGTCGACCTGGTGGAACTCGAGAGGGGCAGACCGGGCGCTCGCGGGGTTGCCGCTTTTGGCAATACCCGCACGACTGCAGGGCGGGTAGGCGGGTACGGAAATCGCTACCCGGACCCCTACCCGCGCGTACCCCTACCCGCGACCCGCGCGGGTTGGGCGTACCCCTGCAATGCACTAGCGTTGACGCGCCCGAGGTGCCGTTCGCAAGCCGCCAGCTCCCGCCAGCGAGTTACCTTGGCCAAAGGTGAGCACGGGATTGTCTCACATACAGTGGGATACAGCTCACCTGGCATCCTACACGTCTGCCGCGTTGCTTCGCAGGTCCTCGGAACGCTCAAACGCCGCGCGCCTTTTTGTCAGACGGTCGACGCATGCAGGCGGGCCGCGCGCACAGCCGGATAGTGGGTGCGAAGCGCGCGGATATACCTAGGCGGGACAGGGTGAGTGCAGTCGCCCTGCACGACAGGTGGAACCGAACTCACCTCGATGGTACAGCACCGGGGACGATACTCGCACGGCACGATGGCCTCTGCGCTCGTGTCCTGTCTCCCTGCGGGTCATTGCTTGTTCACCACACCGTCTCCCTGCGAATGACCGCCACCGCTCTGCCTGACAAGCGCAGACACGACGTATCGTCGTCCGGCGAGCACGCCCGCGAGAACGTGCTCGACTCAGCCACTGCCTGGAGATCGGCGCGTGGCTCGCGTTCGCGGATCGCCGCGCAACCGATGAAGCCACGGCGGATCGAGTTACGGGGAGCTGGATGCCCGTGCGGCTGTTTGACGTGGCGGGTAGTGAGAAGGTGGCGCGTGCGGATGGCCGGAAAGCGCGCGAGGCTGTCTCGCTGAAGGTGAGTACGACAATGATGAATGCATGATTGGAGACTTACGTCGGTGCCCTACTCATCTGCCGCGTTACTTCCCAGGTCTTCTGTGCACTGGCGACCCGAGGGACACGCCCGTCGGGCGGTGGACGGAGCGTGTCGATCTCCAGCAGGCCGGGCTCGGGCGTGGGGCGAGGGCCCCCTTGCTATGCGGGCGTGAGTACTTTTCGCGCTGCGTGTACAGTGAGAGACAACTGACCTTGTTTGAAATAGCTGCTCGTCCGGGGATCCAGATCCCTTGGTAGGGAGCTGGCTGGTGGAGGCGCGACAGAACGCGTCACTGGAAAGTGACGTCCGAGGGAGGAGGAGGATGTCGACGTACGGGCGAGTGGATCCCGAGCTTTGAACACGAAGGATGGACGCCCGCGGCGGCGCAGATGCGGCGGAAGCATTCCGCAGTCTGCCATGGGTGCTTACCACGAAGAGGGCCGTGCGTCGACTCGTTCACAGGCCGAAAGGCTGCGCGGCTGCATGCGACGGTTGCGGCCGCCAAAGCAGACAGGCGGTGTCAATGCCAGGTGGGCTGGGTCCGGAGGCGTGAGTGAGGTGGAGAGAGCGGGGTGCGGAACTGCATGCTGAGCCGTACAGGTGCTGTTCTCACATGGTGAGTAGTTTCGCCCTGCATGCACTGAGGGAGAACTCACCTAAGATGCGAAGTTTGCTCGCCAGCGCCCATGTCACCGGGGATCAAGATCCCACTGTATGTAGCCAGGGAACAGCTGGCTGATGAACGTGGCACGCATTCCAGCGATCGACGTTGTGCGGGGGAGGGGAGGGGATTCCGAGCGTTCAATACGCGAGGTCCCGCAGCCTTCGCGACACGCGCTGTGAGTGTCTCCACTGGTTTGAGCAGTGATTCGGCCTCGCGGTGACTGTGCGCGACACACAGAGCCAATCATAAAGGGCGCGAACATGGTGCTGCCCCGTCGGCTGTCCCTCGTCCTGGACTGGGTGACACGCCCATCGAGACTTGGCACCGGTACGACAGACAGGTCCGTACGCGCTGCTCTTATCGGTGCGTCACCCGCTTTCCATGAGCATCAGTACCTCACCAACGTTCCGGGTCAGCTGTAGATGTCCATGATGTTCTGGATATACCATCTACATCGGAAGGCTTCTATAGGTATGTGACCTTCGACGTGGCCGGATCTGGCGCTGGCGTCTCTTTACGGGGGTGCTATCCTATCCCAGCATCCCCGGGCCATGTGTGCTGATTATTCAATCAAGTACCAGCCATTGGTAGGTTGTCACTACCCCCGGCTCACCGACGATCCAAGGTCCACTCGACCCTTCCCCCTGCGTCAGCTGGATACTGGCTACAGCGTCCAGCATTTCGCGGGCCTGCACAGCCTTCCGTGCACCGTCCGTTGTGGCGACTTTCGGACAACCGTGTACGACGCCTCGGCGACTCGATCTTCTGGGAGGTGCCACCCTGGCAGTGAGTCCCAGCGATCTGCGAAGTCCGAACATCAGCGACGGTGCGACTGACTAGCCTTCGTGCCCACGAGGACCTCACCGGACGGCTTCCCGTTCCGCTCGAGCCCACAGTGAACGTCCCGCATGGCTAAGCATGTACGAAACGAGCAGGACGTTCACTCACACTGACCTATCTCGTAGCCACCGCGTCATTGCCCATTGGCGATTGTCGATTCGTCACTGCTCACGCCAGGGTAGCTCGCAGTGAGTTCATGCCACCTGACATGCACGGCCCCGAACTACGCTGACCACATTTGCCAGCGCGCGATCCTCTGACAGGTCAGCAAGTGGGCGCGACGGAGCTACTCCTACCGCAGCGCCCTAGCGGACATACCCAGCAGCGCCGTCCCCCGGGTCGACGTGGGCCCGCCCGCACAAGCCGTCGCAGGGCGCCGACGGCGATGTCGTGCCGTCGTCCAACGTTGAGCGCAAGCGCAAGCGGTTGGAGGGCCTCGTCATCCATCCGAGCGGGTTTGAGCCCTCCATGCCCGAGACAGGGTTCCATCCCGCAGTCGCGAAGAAGCCGACGGAGGACCACCCGCTCGTCGGCACGCTCAAGCAGCCCTGGGACGACCTCCCCGCGTCGGACGAGGTATCCCCTCGCCCGGACAATGGCGAGGGTGGCAAGCAGTTCACACGGAGGAAGTACATGCGCGACCAGGCGGAGTTGGACGCGGCGGAGGTGCTCACGAACACGGATGTCATCACGCACCCCGCGGGCACGCAGGCGGAGCCCTCGCTCGCGGCCGCGGTCTCGCAGCTCGGCCCCCAGGCGGCGTCGACTGGCGGGCAGCGTGGGCAGATCCCGGTGTCCTCGTGGGACACGCCCGAGCGCCAGACGGTGCTGATGCGCGGTCAGCGCGAGGAGAACACGCGGGGCGACGTTGTGCCGACGTACTACATCGAGCGGAAGCGCCAGCGGTCGAACATCGCGGAGCACAAGGAGGAGGGCGTCCTGATGTCGGAGCTGAGCGCGGGCATTCTGTCGGAGGGCCTCGCGGCGGACATGAGGGTGCGCGAGGAGAAGATACTGGTGGAGGTGAGGATCCCGGGCACAGCCCTGAGCCTGCGCGGGACGTGTCGCTCCCGCAGCCGCCGAGACAGGCTACTCGCCAGCAAGATGCCTTCAAGCTCGACGAGGATGGCGAGGTTGACGTCAACTCGGTGGGCAACACGGCCGCGGCCAACGCTGCTGTCCAGCAGGTGCGCGCGGAGTACTTCCCGACGCTGGCGGAGACGGCCTTCTGGCGGCCGCTCCTGAGTGTGACGCTGCAGACGCGCCCGCTCACGACGACCGTCGCCCGGCTCTCGCGCGCGTACGCCCGCGGGACGCCGTTCTACTCCACCGTCGACCCGCACGACCGTAAGTACGGCCCGTCGATGGGCGGGCGCGTCCGCAACATGCGCCTCAACCGCACGCACGAGCTCGTCGTCGACCTCGCGCGCCTGCTCCGTGGCGAGCGCGGCGGACCGCTGGGCATGCGGTGGAACCCGGAGTCGCTCGGACGGGGGATCAACGGCGAGGGCATGGCGGAGCCGATCCCGCTCGAGAAGTGGATGGTCAAGGTCGGCCTGGGCGTGTGGTACCAGCGCGCGGAGGAGTGGAAGGCGATCTACGCGGAGGCGGCGCGTGAGGCGGAGGTAGACGACGCGATGGAGGTGTTCGGCGTAGACCAGCGCGGGGCGCGAAGAGAACACGCGCGACGCTGTCGTGCCGACGTACTACATCGAGCGACGCGTGACTTCTCGAGTCGTAGCGAGTGTCGGAGGAGCCACTTGTCCGCTGCATCCGATTGGTAACGAGCATGACAGCGGAGAACCCGTAAGCATGGCCCTCATCCCCCAGCTGCATTGCGCCTACGTGTGAAGCCTAGCCGACGCTCGCTGACGACGCGCGTTGGCCCGACCTAAGTCAGCAGCCACGCAAAAGTGAGAGGCCGATGTGCCTCACGTCCAGCTCGTGTCTGTGAAGAGGCCAATGAGTTCGGGCCATCCAGAGCATGACCGTGTCTTGGCAGAGGTGTGGCCGTCGTCGAGGGTGAGTTAGTTGCGCTGCGCTATGTGCTCGGTCTAACGTGCAGCATGTAAAAGGGTGGCACAAAGGGCTAATGGGATGAAGTGCAATGTGCACCGACATGGATAAGTGAGTACCACTGGGTACTGCCTGTAGCAACGTGCCGTCCATGTCAGGCTACATGCATCCTGTGCGGTGATATTCAATGGACTAAGTACTGCATATACACACTGTACAATAGTTCATTGAGGCAATTCTACATCAGGATTTCCCTCCCCTGCCCCAGGTGCTGATGTGACCCCCTTATTCAACAGTGAATCCTTCCATGCCTGTGCCAGTGGTCTTGAAAAAGCCATAGAAATAGAGTGATTGACAGCACCATATGCCAATGTTGTGCCATGACTATAGTCTGCCTTAAAGCCAATCAGTGTACCTGCAGCCTGTTTGATGACAACCCGCAGGCCAACATCCACAAAATTGGCACCACCACTAGGGAGGGCATTGTACCCTGCAATTGATGAGTGACTTCTATGAATGGGTATGCTGAGAATAGACTGACTAGTAGTTACAAGCTCCCTAGCCACACAGAGGGAGAATGCAAATTTGCAGTAGGCTTTATCAATGTGTGACCACCTACAGCCAGATTATGACACAGGATGTTTGGTACATCATATGAGAGAAACACTCACGCAACATATCCACGACTCATGTATGCTTCTGGTGGACCACGCTCAGCTGCAGGGAAGGAGTATATTTGCTGTCCAACTGTGATTTTATAGCCACTGCCTAGATTATACCAAATCAGCCTTTGGTCTGTGGTGAAAATCATTGTGTACAACTTACCTTCAGCCACATTCCTTGTGGCAATCCTGGGCATTTCAGCCTGTTCCAGGGATGCCTCAACTTCTTGGATGGCTTCTGAGGGTACCACAGCCTTGATCATAGCCCAAACCAGACTAACAGCCCCAATCACATCTTCATCATGACATTGCTGTATGGAAGGATCCAGGTTCCTGGTATAGCTTTTGGCCCAGCCTACCACACGGGCATGCCAGGGACCACGGTTCAGTCCAACTTGGGCCATATGTCCACCATGACTGGGCTAGAAGAAATTTTCATCAATAACAATACTAATTGACAGCATACTGAGACATACCCTGACATTCCGGCGTTCATTACATGCACTCTCAACCACTTGATGCAGCCATGCATACAAAGGGGTGGAGAGTGCTGCTTGTTGTGCTACACCTCTGATGCACATTAGCTCAAGCTCATATCCTGCTAGGGTATTCATGAGTGTAAATCATGTAAAACCTCCAAATGATACTGACTCACCTTGAGAACTGCCAGATAAAATAATCACTGATTCCTCAGTCCCTATTTCAAGGTAATCATGGGGACTAGCCAGCCCAACCAGGGCAGCATGGGGTTGTCTTGGATTGGTGAATTCTGACATGTGGGTGTGCAGAGGAAGATGGGGGACCTGGTCGCGGGAGCGAATGACCAATCTAAGCTTGATGCCACCAGCAATGATATAGGCATGAGGGCTGGCCCTGAGCAGATCTGCTAGACCATAACTGCTGTGGCCTAGTAGGCCTATCTGGCGCACCTGAAATTGAAACCCTTAACTGTTGTACAGTGTTAGAGAGATCCAGACATACCAATGTCCTCTTCTCATGATGGCTAGCCTGGACTACACCACTGGATGACTGGCTCTCTTTCAGTAGTGTTTTCAGGGTTTCCCAAGCCAGGAATGCTGAAGTGCCTTTGGGCAGTAAGCCTAAACTCCTGCGCACCAGTACAGACAGCTGAAGCTATAGCATGAGGACATATATCATAGAAAACTCATAAAGACTCACATCTTTAGCTGATGGCTGGTGAATAGCCTCTATCTCCCTGAGGATCTGACATATAACAGGAGAATTGGAATCTTTGATGTCAGCAGCACTTATGCTCTCAATGATCCTGATAGTTTCAGGGGCAGATAGGTATGTTGCCACTATGTAATCAGGTTACCATGGGCCATTACATGAGTATGAAGAAAACACCCACATGCTTCCATAGCATCAGTATTCTGTTTCCTTGGCATATTGGTGAGACTGTCACTTTAAACATCTATGTCAATAACCCATTGGATCAGCATGACAGAGAGTATACCTCTGTGATGAAGCTAGTACTTGACCTCAGTATACTCATATGAATATCTGTAAGAGTGACTTACTGCTCAGTGGATAGTAGGGTGCTACTGAATGTCCCTCTAACTCATGCCTCCTTAAATACTGTTGCAATGGCATGTTAGTCATTCAGCTGAGCAGTATCAGTCAGCATCAGTCAGCATCAGTCAGCATCAGTCAGCACTAGTCACAGTCAGTCACAGGCTTCTCAGGTGACTGGCTAATCACTTCAGCTGTCCCTGATCCAGAACATGATAGTTGTATCGAAGTAGTATACATAGAAAAGCATTACATGACCTTCTTCGCCGTCCTCCTAAGTCCTTCAAATGCCACGGGTTCGCGCTCGTCGGCTCGCGCACTCGGCTCGGAGCAACGGTAAAGAGCCGAGGCGGAAACACCAGCAGCCTCGGCCGAGTCGATGGGCAAGGATCGCCATGCGAAGTTCGGCGTGACTTGAGGGGGCGGGCGAGAGGGGCCGGGTGAGCTCGTCAGTGGAGCGCTGAGGACGGGGAGCAAGGTGGGATGACGGAGGCAGGGGACTCGTGTCGAGGTGAGGGTGTATGCTCGCGCATGAACAACACGTCTGCGCATTATCATGCAGTACAATAGGTGTGAGTTTCTGTGGCTGCGAATCACCACGCGCAGAGAGGATGGACACGCACCTGGAACTCGAGCCCGATGCCGTCCGCCGCGGAGACGTCGAGGAGCTTGGCCCATCTTGCGGCCGATGCTGCTGATGCCTTCGGCGTGCTCCCTGCCGCGCGCCCAGAGCGGGATGTGGTCAACCTTGGTCCGGAGGCTGACGACCGCGCCGCAGATCTCGTCTCGTTGTCGAGGTCCTCGCCGACGAGCGCCATCGCGAGCCGGCTCCAGCAGTGGTCGAGCAGCTGCGGGTTGTTATTCATCGTGAGCACCTACTTGCCGCCGTGCGCATTCGCGGGGTCCTCCTATATCGGCTTGATGCCCGACTGGAAGGTGTGGTAGTTGGAGTTGCGCTCCAGCCGCGAGGGCGGCTTGAGCCAGTTGAAGTACCGGCAGAACGTCCCGACCGTCTCGAACTCGCCGATCACTGTCAGGCCCGCCTCGTACTCGTCCTTCTCGGGCGCAGCAAAGGGCGTCGCGTTCTGTAGCGGGTCCGCGCTCGCGCTGGGGAGCGGTCGTGCGGGGTGGGCGGAGGCGGGCGTGAAGGGGACGGTCGACTTTGTGTCGTGGAATATTGTGCTGCGTGTGATGTCAGGGCGCGCGCGCAGCGCACGGGATGAACACGCACCATTTGTTCTCGAGCGGGTGCTCCGGGGCCTGGATATGTACGCAGGCCGGGCGTCTTGAGATCCTCGATGGTCTCTGCGCCTTGGCGGTACCGTCGACGCTGAGCGTCCTCGCTTTTGCGAGGCGGGCGGTGACGTCGACTATAGACAGCGGGCGAGGAGGGGAGTAGGGATGGAGGGAAGGTCACTACTTGCTCACTACTAGTAGATCAGTGGGCAGCAAGCGAGGAACGGCCGCAAAAACGAGAGCACCTCACCCGCCCACCGCTGTGCTCCCTGTCAGCGTACATGCCGGTCCGTGTGTGCACTCACCGTTGCCTGCCGCCGGTTCGTCAGCTGCGCCTGCATATACAGGGACAGGGCGTTGGCCCTGTGCACCATGATGCTCGAGCTCCCTGCTCTCTCATGCCCACAGGAAGCTGAACCTCGCCTCCGAGACACGTCCGTGACACGTCACGTGACCTGAAGCTGCAACCTCGAAGCTGCAACCTCGACGCTCGTGCTGCAACCTCGACGCTCGTTCTTTGGGCCTCAGAGTCACAAGTCAATCCCTCGTCGTCCGTATTTTTCAACGATAAATACTGTCATACGAGCGCGTTCTCAACAGGACTCCACGCGGTAGCACGATATGCGGTATGTGTCCCGATCTACTTAGTCGCTCACTGGTATGTATCAGCCGCTCGCAATTCTCCATCATCGACGCGCAGGCAGTGCAGCGCTAGACGTAGCCAGTGCTCGCGCGTTCAGCTGTGGTCACCGTGACCCTTAGGGGACAGTCTTAAGCATCATTGCTGCAGACGCCTGGAGTGCAAATCACTGATCACCCTCGACCTGAGAATCCGCGAACTATCACCGCTCCAGTACGCTATTCCCCGCTACAAGGTAAGTCAATAGCACTATATTGACATCCTCAGACATACGCTAATGTGTGCTACGGATACAGCAATCTCTACGATGAATACCTCCGTGCCGCTTAGCGATGGTCATATCCCCTTCACATACCAAGGGGAGACGTTTCAAACGTACTGTAAAGTCTTCGGACACCTGCAAGGTCGCTCCAGCAATCCGCTCGTCGTCCTCCATGGCGGGCCTGGCCTCACTCACGACTACCTGCTGTCTCTATCCGATCTCGCGACTTCGTCAGTTCCCGTCATTCTATACGACCAACTCGGCAACGGCAAAAGCACCCACCTGACGAACAAACCAGAGGGTTTCTGGACGATCGACCTCTTCATCGACGAGCTCGTCAATTTGCTTCGACACTTCGGGATCGAGGACTCCTTCGACATCCTCGGACACTCCTGGGGCGGCATCCTGGGCCTCGAGTTCGAGGTTCGCAGGCAGCCCGTGGGCTTGAAGCACTTGGTCCTGACCAATGCGCTCGCGTCGGTTGCGTTGTATCGCGAAGCACAGAGCAGATTGCTCGCGACATTCCCGGAATGGGTTCGGGAGGGCATGGCGGCAGGAATCAACGATCCGCGAAAGTACCCGGCGCTGAAGGAGTTCTACGCAAAGCACGTCTGTAATGTCAGTCCGTGGCCGGAGGAAGTCACCGACTCCTTTGACCGGGTGTTCACTGAGGAGGGGGATGCGACTGTGATGTCCGCTCCGTAAGTCGAGGATGTTGTGATTCCCACATGTCGTCGTCGAGAGCTAACCTGTGCCCGGCATGTATCCAGCGTCGTGCGCGGTTGGTCCATCATTGACCGACTGCATCTCGTGCGCGTACCATCGCTGGTGATCAACGGACCAGACGATGTATCGCAAGACTCGACGGTGGCTCCGTTATTTTGGGGTATTAACCGAGCAAAATGGGTGAGGCAGGAAGGTACCAGCCATATGCCGTTCTGGGAGAAACGGGAGGATTACATGGACGCCGTCAGAGGCTTTCTGAGTTTATGACCAATCCCTAGTAGGCGGAAACTATCATGCCGACCTCTGGGTGCGGTAGCGTCACGCTTGTACGTACTACGAAGACGTACCGCCAGTCCAATGTCCTTGAAACAGGAATCACTAATGTTTGTGAGTTAGCACGTCTTCAATGTTTGCAATTGGGCACCAGGTTATGCTGTTTATGTAATAATACGTAAATACTTACTTCTTAATAGTGAAGATCTGGGATCTCAAGATCTCACCGGCATCCTCCGGTCGTGTTGTTGCGTCGCGCGTCGGCCGGACATCCTCAAGCTCAAGATTCAAGACGTCCTGCAGGCTTCCTCTTCACGCACTTCACCTCGGACTCGGCTTTTGAACGCGTCGAAAATGCATCGAGTAGGTTCTGGTGCAACTAATCGGAACCGCAACGACAGGGGGACCTGGATTCCTCGCAGGATGAATGCGAAGGAATGCAAGTGTTATGCACCGCCTTCAGACTACGGTCGGTTATGTGAGTTCAGCTGCCGGTACCATACACTGTCTTCTCGATACAGAGTTGCTTCGCATGCTACATCTACACGAGTGCCATTGTGCGGCAATATTCATAACGATATAGTCACCACGACAAATGGCATCCAAAATGGTCGTCACGGTCATGATCGCGGTCTGTCATGCATGGCATGGCTTGTCGTGCAACCCTATAGAGCGTATTTTCTTGTGAGTTCACTAAAGCAAAACTCGATGCTATGCGACTACCTCGGCTCCTTCAGTCTCTGCGAACACGAACAGTTCACGGGCATCGTGCCGCATTGTCTGGCGGGTTTTCAGTTCATTGTTCTCTGCGGGACTCACGCGACTCACCTATAGCAACATCTTCGGCATTCTTACCGGGCGCAGAGCAGGATTGACGCTCTGTCAGAACTGGAGCCGCTTGGCTGTGCACAAGCATCATGGCAAGGACTGCGACGAAGGCGATCTGCTTGTAGAAGAACATCACTGGTACGACGTAACGTTCGTGCAGCATCCTACTGTGTGCGTATCTCAATTTATAGCATCTGCCTGTAGAGCTGTGTGCCTGCCAAGAACGGAATAGCCTAGAGTGCGTCCCGCAAGAGATACGCCAGTGCATGGTCAGGCAGATGCGCCTATGATCATTTGGGTGGAGGCACTGCGTATCTCTCATGCCTCCGCGCCTGACCGTAAGTTGCCATACAGTCCCATCTGTATTCCGTCTTGGCTACTGTGCCACATGCAGGCCTCCTTTCGGTCGATTCCCAATAGTTTGTTGTCCGACCTTCACGGCATCAGCACCAAGGAAGGTGGTAGTATCCCGCTGTCGTTGGTCTTCAGCTTATACTAATTGACAGTGCTCGCTTCTGCTCATTCACAGTTCTCTATTCTCTTATGGTCTTCACTAGCAACCGAGAGTGGTAACATCGTTCCCCGGTTGTCCTCCTCGATAGCGGTCATGCCTTTGCAGAAAGCGGGCATCCTCTCCGGTATGTCTGCCGAAGTGCACTGCGTGCTTTGCAATACAGCGCTCACCATGCGCTAGGTCGGGATCCTTTTACGCCGACCCAGGCTAATTCATGTGCATGACCGCCTGTTGTGCATCAAATCATTGTAGGAGTTCGGGCGCTACTTGCCGGCGTCCGTGCCTTTGTCGCATGTTGCAGGCTGTGCTCGAGTTGCATGTGCAGACGTGCAACAGGACAGGTTTTGCCGTCGACGGCGCGATCTACTCCCGCTCCTCGGCACGCTCTCGACACTACTGTCACATCAGCCTGCTGCCCACGAAGCCACACCCTTACCACGATGTTCCAGTCACGTAACGATTATCGCCTTCTCACCAAAGCGAACACGAACGAGAACGTCGGTAGAGAGAGTGAGGGAGTGGAGGAAGACATCTACTCTGGGGGACCGGGTGCTACTACTGCGTCCCCTAACGCGTCCCTCTGGCCACTCTTCATTTGCCTTCTATGCACCGTCGCGAATCTCGGCCTCTTTCACCAATCTTCGTCCCAACCGTCGCCAGCCGTACCTACGACTGCCTTAACCAAGCAAGACATTTTCAAACTTCGCCGGCCGTCCCAATACATCCGTCTTCACGAGATCTCCCGACCTTCGCCGCCGGTAGCCAGGCAATTCGACAACTATCCCATCGTCGTTGGGCAGATTGACTCGGCCGCCCCGAACAAGGTTATCGACGGTGCAGCCCATAGGCATATGGTCCACAGTGGTACGATCATCCCCGAAGATAGTCGCGTGCATGTCTCGCAGACGGTCAGTCATTCGCACCGAAACGCTATGAACAGTTACTAACTGTCATGCTTACAATAGGTGTCCACCATCGTTCAGTTCCGTGCTATCGACTTCGGCATGGAGCGATGCGAGCTTCAGCTAATGATTAAGCCACAGTCCTCCGTTAGCCTCTCGTCCAAGCCGTTCACGCTGGATGTCTTCCGCCTCAACTCTTCTCTCCCTCTGGACACGCGAGCACTCACGTACAAGACCCGGCCGCCTCGCATCTCGAAGGTAGCTGCTGTCGAAGTGACTGGTGCATCCGATACGCACTGGTACCGCGGCTTTGCGTGCCCCTCCGATGATGTCCTTACATTTGAACTGGCTTGCGAGCCGACGCTAGACGAAGGAGAATGTCGTGTTGAGTGGTGGCAGAACAAGAGCAACCCTCCGACAGGTATGGACTCTGGTCATACAACCGGAGACGTAGGGCTGAGCTCCATTCGTTCGGCAGCGGTCTTCGTCAGGCAGCATGCGACTGTGTAGCGTTGGCCCGGATGACTCTACGGTCACCTCGGGCATGTGGGACCGTGGTTATCAGTGAGGATCAGAATATCCGGGCGCAGATCTAGATATTAATCCTCGGCGATTGCTACTTGTTCAAAGTTTAGACGTTCAACGTTTCCAGTCAGCCTTGGCTTTCGTGCAGCTAGCCGGTTCTTTCAAACAGAGTCTGCCATCTCTCCGCTGCAATGGTCACTCTGAAAGAGGGCGTTGAGACCCGTGTAACTGTCAGCTCCACTTTGCACATTATGCGCGCATCAGTCATGTCTCTCGCACCTACTGGCGTCATACCGCCGCGTTTCATCTGTCCCGCTGTTCAGTGTTGTAAGCGGTGTTCGTTCAACCATGGCCGATCCTCGACCTCAAGCTTCAAGACTCACAGAACTCCGTCTCACTATGTGTTCGCCCCAAGCAGTGTCATCGCATACACAGGTATTCAAGCCTGGTATCACAGCATGACCGGACGCGTACGTATCCGCGGGGATAAGTTTTCCAACACTGCAGAGCAGTGACCCGTGAAGTGACTCGGAGGATAATATCGCCCGTTATTTGTCGGATCGCTGATCATCCTCGGTCTGCCCAAACGAGTTAGTGTAATGTCGCCAGTGCAATGCAGGGTATCTCGTGGAGCACACGACGCCCATGGACCGAGCGGGTTTGAGCTTCGGCGGCGCTCTATATGTGCAGGGGACGTTCGTCCTGTACTGACACCCCTCCGTCATGTCGAACGCCTCATGGACTCCCAATGAACCCGCGGACGTGCTCTTCAGCGAGAAGACCTGGCTTCAAGGGGCAATTCTCACTGGCGTGGGCTACGGAGTTGTTTTCACCCTCTTTACCCAATGCTTCCGTGCTCTTCTCCTCGACATCAATCGGGCGAACATGAAGCGACGGGTCTTCTTTCTAATATACATTACGATAATGTTCATTCTCGGGACGATATTTATGGCCGCCTGTGCGGAAATGACACAACTGTCGTTCGTCCAGTACCGCGACTATCCCACTGGCCCAAGCGGATACGAGAACGATGAGTTCTCAATCCCTGCGGACGAAGCGGGAAATGTGGCATTTGTACTGACGAATTGGTTTGCCGATGCCCTGCTTGTAAGTGAGCGAAATCCTCTCCCGTTCATTGGAAACTGACAATGCAATGATGTATAGATCTGGCGTTGCTCGGTCATCTACCGCGGTGTTGGATCCAACATCTGGATCCCACTCCTGCTGCCTGCTCTCATGTATCTCACGGAGTTGGGTGAGTAGCTCAAAGCCAGATCGATGTTCCACCACTTACAACCTTCGTTGTAGCTATGGGATTCCTGTGGCTCATCCAGATATCGACGCCAGCATCCTCGCCCTTTCAAAACGGATCGGCAAGCAAGATCAACTGGACAGTGCCGTACTTCAGCATAGCGGTCTCTTTGAACGTAGTCGTCACACTCATGATCGCTGCTCGGCTGTGGCTCTACCGTTACCGAATCACCTCGGTTCTCGGCATGGGGCACGGCTCCCATTACACTGGCATCGCCGCCATGATCGTCGAGTCGGCAGCTATCTATTCAACCTTCGCACTTCTCTTCATTATTCCATTCGGCGTTGGGAATGCGATCGCCAACACGTTCCTTCAGGCACTGTCTCAAGTGCAGGTGAGTGGTGATCGCTAGATGTAGCGTTGCCCTGCTAATAGCAGAGTAATAGATCATCGCACCACTTCTCATCATCTACCGCGTCGCCCGAGGCAAAGGCTGGACTTCCAATACCTCCACCGCCGTCATGTCCAGCAAGACGCGCTCGACCACCTTCAGCACGAAGAACACTGTCAGCGTCAAGAACCTTTCCGGTTCCTACTTCAAGACTGGACAAGGCAGCTCCATGGGCAGAGCGACCGACATGAAGGAAGGGGACATAGAAATGGACGCCTTGGATGATAGTACTGTACACGAAAGCGTCAGGCAGGTTCGAGACTCGAATGGTGGAGTTGAACAGGGTGAAGCTGTCTGAGTAGCTACATCACTGTGCTGTATGCTATTTATTCGACGTGTTACGAGCGAGCACGATTTGATCACGACTGTCATTCAGGAAGCTTGTGTACGAACACGAACCCTTTCGCTCAGGTGTCTAAGACGTCTCAAATTCGTTCAGAAACGCTATTGTAACCTGAATAGCAGCCTACTTTACTACTCGAAAACTCATCACTTGCCCTGTTCATGAGATGGACACTCGTAGTATAAACAGGCAATCAGCGTGTGTGACGACCATGAAGTATCAATTCCATTTCTGGCTCCACTGTTCCCATTCCGCATAAGCACCGTCTAGTACGTTATATACCTTTTCCCAATCTCTGCAGACCAACGTATCGCCAATTCGATCCTGCTCGAAGTTCCTATCCATGAAGTCTCCCTCTTCTACGCTGTCAGCCGCTTCGCACAGGAACGTCTGCCGCAGATAGTTCAAGCAGTGCTGCACATGGTGCTTGGACGCAGTGGGGTCGTTCCGCTCCACGAGAGCTTGCTGGAACTTCCAGATGCAGTGCAGCTGGTGGTAGAACGTCATGACGAAGAGGCGGTGGTCGGGACCCAACCGTGTGCGACCGAAGCCGTCTGGATGAGTGGCGAGGCTCTCCCATTCGGCGGTTATGACGGGGTCTGTGCCGTTCAGTGTGAAATGGACCGATTCATGAAGGGTCATGGCGACGGTGTCGAGGTCCCCGAATGCATAATCCAGTGGATAGTCGTCATTGAGGTACGAGAAGGGTCGTGAGCCAGGTCCTGGACAACGAGTTTTGCCTCATCAGCTATGTCGTAGGGGCTCAAGCTGAAGTGGGCACGTACCCTTAGAGTTGCCTCGAGAATGCAACGGTGAGAGATGCGTGCCTACGCGCCAGGAGGTGAAGAGAACGTTGAGAACGACGAGGATGAATAGACAGTGCTTCGTGAGGACGTCTCGAATGGACATGATAATAGAGTCTATAGAGCAGTATGTGGCACTGCGAAAGAATGTGTTCACTTGTGCAGCTTCAGACAATTCAGGCGTCACAACACTACTCATATTTTGGGTGTTTGCGAAGCTGACAGCGACCCAGTACTTTAGGAAAGGCCGAACGCCGCATTGAACCTCATTGTGCATGGCGTGGAGGGTTGGCTAACAGCCATGCAGTCATGATCCGCCTCGAACGCTGCGGAAATGTTTCACCTTGACTCTGCATATTGCCATGAGGCGCACAAAAACGATAGCTCCAAGACGATGGACCGCGGCACCTAGACATCACTGATAAGAAGCCTTGGTAGGCTGCCAAGCGCCCCCGGCGTGGCAGCCTAGCAAGGCTGCAAACCCTTCTAAACGCCATCTGCCAGTTTCTGGGCAGTTTCCCCTCGCCCTTTTCCTCTATAAGGTAACAATCCCTTCTGCCCCTTCGCGCACGCCCAAGTTCCTCCGGCGGCCCACGTGCTGCGTGGCTGAGGGCGCTCCCCGATCAAGGATCTCGTATCCCGATCCCCCGCGTCGCGCCCGATGTTCGGTAAGCCGCTGCCGCCCCCGCTGAGCTCGCCGCCACCGCGTACGCGCCCACAGCGTTGCGCTCGCCGTCGCCGTCGACGACAACGACGGGCTCCGCGAGGGTGTCGAGTCCACACCGACTCGGATGCTGCCGAGTGGTGCGTTCCCGAGCCTCGCGGGCACTCCCACGGCTGTTGATGGGGAGATTCCCACGCATGCTCGCCGCCGCGCCTGGCGCTGTGCTCGCTGTCGACGACGACGAGCTCGAGTATCTCGCTCCCCTGTCCGTTCCTCGTCGCGATTTTGTGCTACATACATATAGTATCAATTTGAACACTGTATATAGGCCTCTATTGTATATAGAATCAGTAGTTACCTCGGAATTGTATGAATTTACATCCAGTTATGCCTGTGCATTATGCATGGATAGAGCGGTCAAAAGCGAGAAGAATGTGCTCTTTTATACTCATTGTTACTACTGTTATGATACATAACTAGTCTCTCAATACTATAGGCAAGCCATCCTGCCCTGTAAGTGAAAACTCCGCCATAAGTGGCCATGTATAACATCTCAACCAATGTACTGGTACTCAAAGAAACAGTACTAATATACTCATTGAATGCATGCATGCTTACTCACTACTTGTTGTACGGTCTCTGTAGCAACTGGGGTTGATAGAGGTCAAATGTAGGTGGAATGCCACACATATGGCTGGCTCAGTTGCACAGCATCTAATGCATGTATATACACAGATCTTGAATGTTTTGGCATCTATTAGTGCTAACAAACAATGCTAGGGTATAAAAACATAACAGGATTGTATGCACACCATGTGATGCGATGATGTTCGCACTGGTGGCTGACCCAGTGGCTGAGAAAAAGAGTGAGTCGGAATCATGCACCTCGTCCTTGATTGGCGTCGGATAAAACGGAAATAGTACCCACTAATGGTAAAACAATGTTAGTACTTGTCCGAAGTTGTTTTGAGTCAATGAGGTGACAGCCGGTGGGTCTGTATGCAGAAGTGGTCGTAGTGGCGTGAAAGCGCCCGTACACTCGTTAAGTGTGCAATGCACTCGAGCGATGTTCACTCGGGCACCGCTTCGGGCATGTCCCCGAACTGCCCGAGATGATGTTCGTCTCGCTCTACACGACTTCCTGCTTGTCCAATCCCAAAGAGACCTCACATATAGCATTGAGATATACAATACATACTGTATACCAAGTTTGGAGACAATCCAACCACAGGGTATGACGTGATAAGTTCTTCTCCTTCCTGTGGCCACCTATAGCTAATTGAATGAATGCCCTTGTCATCTCATCTCAGAAACTTATTGTAAGTGTAATTCCATACAGATATGATGCCAATGTAGATTCTGAGAAGTTGTCATAATGTCTGGATGCATGTAGAGGCTCCAAATGAATGGATATGCTTTTTGTACACGTGAACATCCTCATAACATTGAGGCACATATACTAGTCCTGATACTGTGAGTATACATAAAACAGTACATGAATGTGCTTGCAACATACTGGTAGAGCTTTCATGAGCTACAGTGGAGAGGTTGTAATGTTATGCATGCCCCCTTATGGCGAAGTTTCGCATTTTGGGGCCAGTAATCCTTCATCAAACACTATGTATTGCTTGTGGATAATCATACCAGTTATCTAGAGTTTATGAGAGCATATTATGCTCACTTCTGACCGCTCTATTGATGGGTACTAGGTAGGCATTACTGGGGAGATAGTCATACTATTCCGAGGTAACAACACATTGTATACACTTTATAAGCCTATATACACTTTGAATATCACTACTAGATACATGGCTCAAGAAATTGTGGCAAGAAACGAAGAGGGGAGCGAGATACTCGAGCTCGTCGTCGTCGACAGCGAGCACAGCGCCAGGCGCGGCGGCGAGCATGCGTGGGAATCTCCCCATCAACAGCCGTGGGAGTGCCCGCGAGGCTCGGGAACGCACCACTCGGCAGCATCCGAGTCGGTGTGGACTCGACACCCTCGCGGAGCCCGTCGTTGTCGTCGACGGCGACGGCGAGCGCAACGCTGTGGGCGCGTACGCGGTGGCGGCGAGCTCAGCGGGGGCGGCAGCGGCTTACCGAACATCGGGCGCGACGCGGGGGATCGGGATACGAGATCCTTGATCGGGGAGCGCCCTCAGCCACGCAGCACGTGGGCCGCCGGAGGAACTTGGGCGTGCGCGAAGGGGCAGAAGGGATTGTTACCTTATAGAGGAAAAGGGCGAGGGGAAACTGCCCAGAAACTGGCAGATGGCGTTTAGAAGGGTTTGCAGCCTTGCTAGGCTGCCACGCCGGGGGCGCTTGGCAGCCTACCAAGGCGTCTTATCAGTGATGTCTAGGTGGACCGCGGTCTGCGATGCCGTCTCACTGGACAAAAACGCGACCCGCTAGCACAATCGGGGCAATGATGAAGCCTCGCGGGCGGTGTCACGCATCGTTGAGCGCTGCCGCTCACTGCATGACAATTCCAGGTTCCTTATTCGTCCCACCGAATAACGAGCGAACTCGGTAAGTGCATTGATCAGACAAGTTGCTGTAGTCCTTTGGATGCTCACCTCGTTGGGTCGATCATCATGTCTCCACGGGCTTTCAACACCTCTCTGAGACAACAACCCGTACCTTCGCTCGGGATTGCTCTAGCTGTAGTCCTGCTTGCATTCGAGGTTGCCCTCGTTGCGATTGACACTATGAAGAGACATGCTTGGAGTGCAGGTACACAAAACGCGCTTAGCCACCCATCCAGCAGTGAGTTCGCGACTCTCATAGCCGTAAACTAGCATCCGAGAGTCTGAACGCCCATCCATTGTCAGGTCCCTTCCGATTCGCTCCAGCGTTCGACGACCAAGTAGGAATGCGCGTGGACTACACGTCCCATTACCAGTATGACACCGCCGAAGGAGCAGCGGAGTTCGCCGCACTCCTCCCTCACAGTGGACACCTCGTTTATCTCGACGGCCCTCAGGCCTCATCGTCGGCCTCCGTCCCCCAAGCGTACACCGTGACCCTATTCCACCAGTTGAAGTGCCTGGACATAGTCCGAGCACAGTACGCCGACCCGACGGATGCACGTCTGCCGCTCACTAACCACTGCCTCAATTACCTGCGCCAAACGATCCTCTGCCATCCTAACACCAGAGTGGAGCCGGCGATTAACTCGGAAGGGACGGCGGTGAGGGGCTACGATACAGTTTGTCGGGACTGGACGAAGGTGTACGAGGAGGCAGAGAAGAACGTAGAGGCGCACAGAGCATGGAGGAACGCGACTGCGGGCAATACGTGAAGCGAGCTCAGTGTAGCAACACGAACATTTCGTTCTGGTACATTTCACAGGGAGTGAAGGCACTCCTTCGCAGTGCTTGAAGCTCCATGAGCACATCCTGGGAGTCGGTTCACCGCCCCCTGGGGACCATGTGAACGTACATACCTCTGAGATGATCTGTTGGATCCTCGGCGATCGGTGACCGGAACGCAATGTATCAGACACCCTGTCACACCGCTCGGTGCTCCACCCTACGTGATCGCCGCCCAACAGCGGGCACCAATAGCGAGAAGCTGAGGCTGTGCACTAAATACTGATCAGCACCATACGGAAGCAAAATCGGGGCACTCACCCTTCACTGCATTGTAGTCTACCACAAGGTTGGGCCTTAGTAAAGGCCGAGCGCGGAAACGGTGACCAATTGGCTCTTGCCTAGGCCAGTATAGGCCTTAAGTTCACCACACGGCGTATGCAGCAGGCAGCATCGCGATCAGCCCTTCAAGTTCTCAGCAACACGCGCCGACGGCAGCGATCCAGTGATTCCGAACACCTCGGAGGGTTCCACACTGGCGCGCTGGCGGTGTGCGCATCGCATCTGCGCGCGGCCATGCCCCCTTCCCAAGGGAAGACAGGAAGGATGCGCGGGATGTTAATATGACTGGGACCCCGCGCCTTCAGTTGGCGTAACACGCCTCCACACCGATAGCCCGTCCTCCATCCCCGCACGAGACATGACCGCTCCCATCCCAGAGACAACTGGCAAGATACCGTTCACCTTCCAGGGCGAGACCTACTCGACCTGGTACAAGGTCGTCGGCGACCTCAAGGCCGGCGGCCGCCCGCTCGTCACTCTGCACGGCGGGCCCGGCTTCTCGCACCACTACATGCTCCCGCACGCGCAGCTCGCGTCCGAGCTGAACATCCCCGTCGTGTTCTACGACCAGATCGGCATCGGGGAGTCGTCGCACCCGGAGAAGGGCAAGGGCGCGGGGAAGGAGGGCTTCTGGACGATGGAGGTCTTCATGGACGAGCTCGACAACCTGCTGGTGCACCTCGGCATCGCGGACGACTTCGACTTGCTGGGGCACAGCTGGGGCGCGTTCCTCGCGGTGCACTATGCGAGCAACCGCGTCCCGAAGGGGCTGAAGCGCCTCGTGCTCGCGGAGGGGACGTGTTCGATGGAGCTGTGGATCAAGGGCACGGACGCGCTGAAGCTGAAGCTGCCCGAGGATCTGCAGAAGGTGATGAGGGAGCATGAGGAGAAGGGCACGACGGATAGCAAGGAGTACCACGATGCGATGGAAGTCTGGTTTGCGAAGCACATCTGCAAGATGAACCCGCTCCCGGAGCTGCTTGCGAAGAGCTTTGGTGCGATGGGGGAGGATTCGACGGTCTACGGCGCGATGTACGTTCGTCCGTCATTTCTGCGTGTGACTCTGGGTCGAATGGCGGGTCCACAGGATTGGTGCGTCGGAGGTCTGCTGTACCGGGACGCTCAAGACGTGGTCCTGCATCGACCAGCTGCACAACATTAAAGCACCGACACTGCTCCTCAACGCGCCTGAGAGTGAAGCACAAGATGTGAACCAATGGCCGATGTTCCACAAAATCACGAAGGTGAAGTGGGTGCAGTTCGCGAAGAGCACGCACCTCGCGCAGTTCGAGGAGCCGGAGCGGTACCTTGAGGTAGTAGCCGAGTTCTTGAAGGTGTAGGAAGCGTGCAGGGAGAAGGGAGTGCGACTGGGCAGACATGTATAAACAACCAAGTACCTACAAGTCAAGTAACTAGACAGCCCAGAAAATGAACGAGTGTTAGGGGACATACAGAGTTCCACACCGTCGATCCCCATCGTTACGTTCTCGAGGCGACCGACAAGTTCAACAAGAGCCGTTCACGCTGCCCACGACGCGAACGCTGGGCGTTCGCCCGTCCGCGGGCTGTCCTTCTCGTGCTCTACAAGTATGGTCTCCCTGGCTACAGCCTCCGTCTTCGGTCTTGAAAATTCTATAAGCCTCACGTAAGTAATGAATTGTCTCAAAAATACGGCCCAGCACGAACCTTGTCAACCTTCTATAATCCGGCCTGCTTTCGCGGCTGCCCACAACTGCGCATCCACCTCACCCGGGTCACCTTCCCCATCTACCTCAGCTGCCCCCGTTCACCATCGTTGAAGAGACCTGCACGATCTGCAATAGCAGGCATTAGTCACTCCCGCAACCAAGACAACACCTAACTCTTCAAGTTCCTGATGCAGAGCGGTAGGCGAGGGTTGGGCGAGGGTGGTGTACTTACCATGAGTATAATATGTCTCATTCATTCTGGGTACTCGTCTGACCGAGTACGCTAACCCGGCCGAGATCCCGGCCGGCGTCAGTAGGTGGGTGGCTGACAGCTTAGTCAGCATACTGCACCTAACTTAAGTGTTTCTCGCGCCGCACCATGGTGCCAGTGCACCTAGTCACCTTTATTTACGAGAGCTAAAAATTTCAAGATATGTCTGTACGTTTATAGAGAAATTAGATGCAAGTTGTCGTACGCATGAGCGGATGTACGGTACTTATACTGTTTTAGGGAAGTCACAGATGCCACCGGCGTGTGACAGTGAACAGCAACCGTCTCGGAAAAGCCTACCGGCAAACCCCGAGAACCGCCGCCTCCAAGCTCCAGCCTCCAGCGTCCTCCAGCTGGAGCTCCAGAGCTCCAGCAACTTTGAACGTCCCTATTAAATATTGTCGCACTCACTCACAGGGACGCAGATCGATGGTATACAACCAATAATCAGTAAGTACATAGGCCTCAGAAGTTCAACAGTCACGTATCGACTTTGTCCAGTGTCACGAAGTATGTAGGACTTGGGTATGGCGGTCCCGAGTCTACAACTCCAACTGGTACCGTCTCCTTGCGTCGCCATCTTCTTCTTGAGGATGCCAGTGTTAGTGCACGCATTGCCAGACTACTCGACTTCATCCACTAGCAAACGTGCTGGTGGATCGTGTCCCTTCAATTGCCCAGGCTGCCGAGCCTCGGTCGAAAATGCCAGCGTTTGCCCCATTTTCATGCACAGTTGTCGTTGGTGTACGGCGCAGACCAACGCGTACACCAACTGATGCGGCGAATTGTGTAGACTGGTAAACGCCAGGACCGTCCGAGAACTGACACCTGTAAGTGCATCTTCTGAACCTCCGAGTCAGAATACGAGCTGGCCTCCTCTGTTACCATTGTGATTCGGCGTAATATCAACGGCATACACTGGTACGCCACAGTACGTGCAGTCACCTAGTATACGCACTCAAGCCAGAGAGCTTGAATTTGTTACAGACGCGACCCCTGCTTCGTGATCTCCGAGTCGGCGTTGAAAGCACTGGCGCTGCGCAGGCTGTGCATGCTAGTCGTGCGGCTCGTATCTCGATGCAATCAGACGTGCAACATGTTGCGGTTCGTTCCCGAGCTACTCGACGTCAACTTTGTGGTTTTTTTTTTTTTTTTGGATGGCTTAAGTGAGGCGATGGCACGGGACAATAGGTCCAGCCCACCACTCCAGCCAGTTAACGAGCATACCGCTCGATCATCCAGGGAGAAAAATGCATTTACGCACGGTCATTACGGACCAGTGTGGGGCTCTACTCAACCGGGGTCGTGTTCACGCACCCGGACTGGAGCAATACCCACTAAAAACCCGAAACGCGTCCAGTCATCTGGCAGCGCAATCTCGTCCTCTAGGACTCTGTTCCACGTACGTAGTACTACGTCAGTCCTCTGGGTTCGGCCACCCAAATAGTGCCTGGTGGAGGCAATGTCCAGTTGGAGCCGGGCGTCGATAGCGGCGTGCCATCGCTGGTGGACCGCGAGCTCGTGGTGTTGCCAGTCGGGGGAGTCGCCGTGGCCAATGACTCTCTCGCACCGCAGCTTCCAGATGAGGTACGCAGACTCCGATACGAGGATACGCCAGAGCCTCGAGGCCCCTTCCCGCCGACGTTTCGATCCAGGGTGCGTCCACGCTTTTATGCCGAGGGTGAGTAGCGTTCCAAAGGACATCCCAGGCCAGGCGAGCCCCGTCTTTAGCCAGAGCGCTTCCGCCAGCGCCCAAATGTGCCGTTGTCCAGCCGCAGCGCATTCAAAGAGGATGTGTTCTATGGATTCTTCGCGGTGGCAGCTCGTGCAGGACACCCGATCTTCGTATTGGGGGATGTGATCCCAGAAGTGCCCTACTCGGAGCGCGGAGTGGAGAGTCTTCCAAAGGAAGTCCGAGACTTGGTGTCGGATGTCCTTATGTCGCAGGCTCGTCCACAGTTCGTTGCTGCTGTGTTGCTGACGGGGCTCCAGCGTGGCGAGGGCCAAGTTCATATTGCGGGTAGTCCCTTGCCGGGCCGGAGGGCGTCTGGCGGCGAGGATACCTTTGTACGCCATGGCTTGCGTGAGTGACGCGAGGCGGGCACCGCTCAGGCGGAACGCGGGGTTGACGGTGGCTCGCACTGCGGTGGGGGGCCGACCCAGTAGAGGCGGGCATGCACGGTCCCTGATCCAGTCGATGGCCTTCCACTCCCAGGGCGTTGAGGCATGGCGGACGGTCGTCACGGCGCACCGCTGTCTGAGGTGATTTATCAGCGCAGAGAGGTAGTCGGCATGTGGTACCCCTATCCATCCTTCATTCTCCCATCTTTCTAGCTTGGTCGTCACGGCCTTGGTGAGGAAGGAGGAGGTGCTTACGAGGTGGAGGGGCGCGTCGCGTGGGGTCCTTTGCGCCGCGTACAGGGCCGCCACGGCATCGCCGAGGGCAGCGTGGTGCGCGTTCTCGGGGCCTGGGTCGTCAGGAGGGCATTGTGTGGATCATTGTGCCCAAAGAAAACCATGCTCACAACGCCTAGGTGCTCGTACTCGCCGTCTTGGTGCATGAGAGCGTGTTTCCGTGACAGTATAAAGACCGTCGTGCTTTCTTCGGGTACCACTCTCCTCTGGGTCTCCTGATGGCTGGCGGTGAGTCGTGGACCGTCGGGTGGACGAAAGCCCGGAACGCCTCGGACAGACTGCCCCTCGTGGTTATAGTTGGGTCGAAGGTTACTTGTCCGTCAGATTCGAGGGCGTTGGCGTTTCGGTCCAGGCGACGCCTCGTCAGGGTCAGTCCGTCATTTACCGGGGAGAAGTCCGGGTGCCACTTGGGGCGGACGAGTTGTAGGAGTCGCCTGGCAGCATGTCGGCAGTCGATGGGGTGGCGGCATCCCTGTCTCCTATCCTGCTGGCATACCTGACAGACACAGTCGTCGACTCCCCGGGATAGCGCCTCCTCGTGGTTCCGGAGTACCCGCTGTATGTCGGCTAGGGTCCGTACGCCGTGATTGTCCCGGAGGCAGTCGCTTGTCTGTGTATTGTTGAGTCGGCGCAGCTTCGCGTCCGCTCCGAGGTGGTACCAGATCGGCAGTTGGCCCTTCAGTGGTCTGTCTAGCTTGATCGCGGCGAAACTCACGTTGTGCTTCTTTGCGACGGTGAGCATTCGCTTGAGCCAGTGCGGTAGGCCTGATCGGCTGTCCAGTGCTGGGCTCCAGCTTTGGAGGAAGGTGTTAACTTGGGCAGCCGGCCGTACGGCACCGGCGTCGCCTGTCACAAAGGTATTAAGGATGGCGTCGCATACGAAGGCCCATGCGGGGCGGAGCTCCGTCAGGTCCAGGTACCTGCGGATCCACGTGAGTTCTATTGCTTCATTCCTCGCCCGTATGTCGAGGAGGCCTATGCCGCCTTCGTTGGGGGCCGGTGTAGGGTGTCGAGGCTGATCATGGGCCGTGACCCGTCCCAGACAAAGTCGCGTATGATGGCTTCTAGCTCCCGTTCTGTCGCGCTCGGCATGCCCTGCACTTTGGCGAGGTACTGTGTCATTCCACCCGGGCCCATCTGGACGATGTTCTTCTTCCCTCGCAGGGTGGGGTGGCAGCGTCCCCATCGCTCGAGGAAGGACCTGACCTTCTGCAGGGTTGGGGCCCATATCGCCACGCCGTCCGTCAGATTACCAATCCACGCCCCGAGGATCCGCACCGCCTCACCGTCCTGGGCTAGGTGCACATTCGCCGGTACTAGGTCGTCCGGGTCGGCGGGGTTGAGGGCGCGGGTCGCTATGAGAGTGGCCCTGTACTCCGGTGAGCCGATGGGGATGACTTCAGTCTTTCCATCATTGAATTTTGCCCTGGATGCTTTGCACCACAAACGCAGGATCGTCCAGAGGTCGGACCATCGGTCTTGTTTGGAGAGGTAGGTGGAGGTGTCGTCCGCAAAGAGGGAGGTGACCAGTCTGTCGGCTACTCCAGGGACGGTGAATCCTCGTAGGGTAGAGCGTCGTATCATACACGCTAGTGGCTCGATGGCGAGATCGAAGAGGAGGCAGGAGAGAGGGTCGCCTTGCCGTACTCCCCTAATGACCAGGAAGGTTTTGCTGGACTCGCCGTTGATGATGACGATAGTGGTGGCGCCTTTGTACAGGCTGCGTATCCGTGTTATCCACGTCTCCGGCAGGCCGAAGGCGCGTAGGACCTGCCACAGGTAGTCGTGCGCGATACGGTCGTACGCCTTCTCTTGGTCGAGCGCCACTATGGCACCGTCTTCTTCCAGGGCCTCGGCGTAGTTGACCATCGAGCGGCATAGCTGTGTTTGGTCTTCAATGTGTCGTCCAGGCAGGAAACCAGCTTGGTCCTTGTGGATGAGGTTGGACGCTAGGGGTCCCAGGCGGGACGCTTGGATCCGGGAGTATATTTTGTAGTCGGCGTTCAGGAGTGTGATCGGGCGGTAGTTGGCGATGTCGCGTCGGTCGCCCTTTTTGTATATCGGGCACATCCATCCTTCGTTGAAGCGCGAGTCCGTCGCCGGGCCGTAAGTGTCGAGGTCCTCGAAGGCGAGTTGTAGCAGGGTGAAGCTATCGAAGCCTTGTTGATTCCTCGCAAGGGGGTTGTGGAGCGTCTGCATTGTCGACCAGAACTCGTAGGGTAAGCCGTCTAGGCCTGCTGCGCGGTTACCGCCGGCGGCCTTGATCGCGGTCTCGATTTCGTCTGTCGTGATTGCCTGGGTGAGGCTGTGGGCATCCCCTGCTGGTAGCGTGGTTTGTATCGAGTCGAGTGCTTCGCGTATACTCTGCTCCCGGTCGACTGGGTCATCGTTCGTGTCCAGGCCCTGGATGCTATCATGGTAGTCTCGTGCCAGCGTCGCCATTCGGTCGGAGCGTGTGGTTAGTTGTGGGGGGTTTGAGTGTGGTACCTTCAGTGAGTAGAATACGTCGCGGGGCTTACGCTCTTTATTGATTGCTGACCAGTATTTGCTGGGTTGTTCTGCGTTCAGGGCGTATTGCGCGGTCGTAGCTTCCTTTATGGACCCATGTCGTTTGCGCTCGAGCTCTAGCAGCCTGTCTTGTAGTATACCCACTTCGATGTGCAGTTCGGGGTTACCTGGGAAGTCGTGTAGGTTCTGGAGGGTCTGTATGGCCTTCGAGGTGGCAGCGATCGCAGCTTTGAGCTTGGGGATCTTTTTCTTGAGGCGGCGCCGCGCGGCGGTCCGGACTGCGGCTTTGAAGGCCTGTAGCACGGTCTGGGGGTTGTCGTTGGCAGTTCGGGGCCGTTTGTCCGGGAAGGTCTCGGCGAGTTTCAGGGCCTGGGAGCCCAGGTTGGCTGCCTCCATGAGGAACACTGGGTCTCGTAGCAGTAGATGGGGGAGGGCCCACCTCCCGTGCCCTATATACGGCGCTTGCTGGCAGCTCAGAGCCGCTGAAACCAGTCTGTGGTCTGTTGGGACTCCAGTGGTTTGTATTCGCCACTCGTTAGACGACGGCAGGAGTCCTATGGAGATGTATATGCGGTCAAGGCGGGAACGCGAGGGCGAGCTCCGTTGCGGGAAAGAGTAGTCTTTGGCTGCTGGTTCTGAGGAGCGCCATCCGTCGTATAGTCTCAAGGTACGTACCAGGTTACGCAGCGACTGTACCGCGTTCGGCGGGTCTTCGCGCATAGGTAGTCTATCAACGGCTTCCTCAACTATGTTGAAGTCGCCTAGGATCACATCCGGGCGGGCTCTTCGTCGGCCTTCGAAGGCGTTGAGGATGTCTTCCCAGAAGGCCGCATTGGCTTGGGGGTCGTTTGGTGCGTAGATGTTGAGCAGGGAGAGGCGGCGTTCCCCATGCCATCGTAGGCGGACCAGCATAGCGCGGCCGGGGATCAGTTCCTCCACGTCGATGTTCGCTGTGTCCATCAGTTCCCTATTTATGGCGAAGGCCACTCCCTGTGCTGAGGATGCCCTGTCAGCCGCGGAGTGTATGAGGTGTATTCGTCGCCCATACAGGCGCTGGATGTCAGCAACGTACTCATCGTCGAGGTGTGTCTCTTGGAGGGCGAGGATGCCGATCTTAGACTCACGTAGTAGTTGGTTTATAGTGTTCCACTTGTTGTTGGTGGACGATGCTAGTTGTCCTCGTCCGTTCATGTTTAGTGATGCTATAGTCACAGACGCTTTCGTGCGTCGGCCGCTGCTTGTGTCGTTCGTTTGTGCATCGTTTCTTTGATCTGCGGGGCGCTCTTCAGGACGCTCCGCTGCGCCATTGGGGGGTGTCCGGTCGCCGCCTGGCGCGGTATTTCGCTGGGGAGTCTGGTGGGCGGCGATCGCCCTACCGCCGGTTCCCTCGGTCCCGTCATTTACGGAGACGTGGATAGGGGGCGCGTCTTCGTTTCGGGGACGAAGGGGGGTGTGCCGTTGGTCGATGTTCGAGGCCGTGGTGTGGTGTTTGTTATGTGTGTGTGGTTGACCATTGTTAGCAGGACCCAACGCTACAATGATCGCGGAGGGGGGAGAGTTCTCCTGTTTCTCACAGGGGACATGTTCAGCCGGTGTGCGCCCCGGCGTCGCTTGAGTCGATTGACCGGGCAAGTCTATTAGTGCCCGTGGCTAGAGTTACGGACGACGCGTCCTCGTGCTTTCCTGTCCCGCGCACTGCCAGTAAATTTGGGCACGGGTGTCACGTGTCCGGGGATAAGTCGTTAGTGTGCGTTCGGATGGGCTTGTTCAGTTTCTCAGCCCAAGGTGCGAGCAGGCATGATATTCATTGCGAGATGGGTGAGGGTGTGAGTAGGTACTGTAAGTGATAGTCAAGATGAATTATACATGGTAATCAGGAGGAGGGGCGCGCTCGGTAGACATCTCTGGGCGTGTATCGAGGGTGTAGGACAAAATTAACTACCAGGTCGTGTACGGCGTCGAGCTCTGCTGGTGGGCCTGCTGCGCTCCGTTCCAGCGAGAGCTTTGCCCGCGTCCTCCTCGCGCCGCACCTCCGCCATAGCCACCGCGTCCGTTGCCACCATACCCGCCGCGTCCTGTGCCGCGTCCGTTTCCTCGTCCGTAGCCGGGGCCGCTGCCTCGTCCTCGTGGGGCTCCGACGCCCAGATGAGACGGCCCGGCCTGTGCGTACGCTTGCGCTTGCGCTTCGCGGGCGGCGTTGGCGGTGGCGAGTGCGGCGTGGGCCTCTGCGGTGGCGACTGCAGCTGCAGTCGGCCCTTTCCAGCCGCGTAGCGTCAGCAGGTCGCAGAGCCCAATGGAGTGATCGGCTGAGTGGCATAGTTTGCACAGCATTGGCTCGCGGTAGGCGACAGGTTGGGGGCTGTGGGGTCCGCGGAAGCTGTAGGAGCGGAAGAGTTCACAGAACTCGACCCACTCGTTCTCGTTAGAGGTGGGCGACTCGCAGAAGAACTGCGCGATGGGGCGCTCGACGCGGTTCTCCATGTGCATGTGAAGGATCCGTACCTCGGCAGAGTTACAAATGTAATTGAAAGCTCCGTCGACCGTGAACGTGTGCCAGCGGCCTCCGCGTCCGATGTCGTTGGTGATGAAACGACGGGTCTGGCGCTGGACGAACGCCGATCGTAACGCGCTGAGGCACTCCGCGAGGATGCCGTCCTCGGTCGGCCACGGGAATCGCTCGATGAAGATCCAGGCGGCCACGTAACGGGGAGGCGAGACAGTGAGATCCTTGAAGTGGATGGAAATGTACTCCATGTCGAGCCAACCGATGCCGACGAGGTGGAGCATCATCGCCTTGTCGAGCTTGCTCAGGATGTAGTCGTACGGGGCCTCATTGTGGCCTGGGGTCGTGATAGGGTTGGGGATGTGGATAGTAGGCGTGCGTATATTGAGGCGTTCCGCGAGGGCCTTCCTGATGAGGCAGAGGCGCTTCCAGCCGTCGTCGTCGTACACTCCCGATCCCGCGACCTGGATCCCGACGCAGTATCGTTCATCGCGGACGAGGTGGTTGAGTTGTCCGACGTCGGCGTTCTCGCTCCTGGCGTAGAATGATTTCTTCTCGATGCGGCGCCAGCCTGCCGGGGGTGGGGCAGTGGCGAAGGTGGGTGCGCTTGCGAGGTCGTCTGGTAGTTCGATCGCGGTAGGGGCGAGCGGGGCGTTGTCTGCGGCCGGGGCGTTTGCGGGACGGTGGGTGCGTGCGCGTGGGGGCCATGGGAGCGGCTCTTCTTCTTCCATCTCGACGTCCTGCGGCTCCATCGCTTGAAGGCGGGTGGGCGGTCGAGTGGGGGTCGCGACGCGGCCGGCGCATTCGCCGGCCGTTGGAGTGGTTCCGGGGTGAAGGCAGACTGTCTCCGCGGCTCTGGTGCGACGACCGGTCTCGGCGGCGCGGACGGCGGGGGCGCGAAGGGCGTAGACGGCGTGAAGGAGGGCGTTGGGAGCGGTGGGCGTGCCAGCGGGCGTGGCGTCTGTGGTGACCCGGGTCGGCTGGCGTAGAGGAGCTCGACGCTCCCTTCCCGCGATCGGGCTGGCCTGAAGGTCGGGGACTGCCACTGGGGCGGAACGTCGGGCTCGGTGCGGGTGGTGCTTGCATTCGGCGGGGCGAGCTGGTGGCCATAGCCGTAGTGCTGGCTCGTCATCGGTGTCTGCCAGAGGAGGTGTGGCGGGATGTCTCGGGGGTAGTCACCCATGTTGCGAGCGAGGCGGTCGTGGGCAGCCATGAAAGACGTGGCGAAGGAGTTGCCGTCGAGGTTGACGTGCGATGGGACAGGGTGGGCCCACGAGGGGAGGTTCGATGGACCTGGGGTGGCCTGGCGGTGCGGCGCGTTCGCCACGCGAGGTTCCGTGGCGGGCTGGCATACGTCCGGTGCAGGCGGCGTTGCGGTCGCGGGCCCTTGGTACATCTCGGATACATGGTAACGTCCAGGCGGCGCGTGCCCGCTCGCCTGGCCGCCGAGGGCGGGCGGCTCGGCGGGCGTAGGGTGAGCGAGATCATGGGGCGCGGGGACTGCGTGTTGGCCGCCTCCTCCTATATCGGAGTCAGTGCGTCGCCTCTTACGGATGTCGCTGGCGCGGCGTGTATTAACTACGGGAGTGGGAGGGTCCGAGTGGAGCGGGAAGGCAGGGAACTCAGACTCGTAGGTAGACATCTCAGACGGGAACGGGGGAAGAGTCATCTGGGAGGCGGGGTGCGTAGTCGGGAGGGAGGACGGGTAGGCAGGGAGCGCAGACGGAAGTCCTACTCCTAGGCTCGCCTGTTGAGCCTCCTGCGTCGTTCTCTTTTTCACCTTGGTCTTAGGCTTTTTAGTTTTCTTGACTACCGTCGTCCACCCTTCGTCCGGCGCCAGGTTCTATGTCTGCATTAGGATTTGTTCTTTTGATGATTCGGCGGAGCAGTCACTGACCTGGTCCTGCGCTGCCTCAGTGGGCTCGACGCGGTCGAGCGTCGGGGCCACCGGTTGCCCGGTTCCCACTGCGCGTCCTTCCTCGTCGATCTCCGCTGGCTGTAGGTCGGGCGTTTGGGGCGGCGGCTGGGCCGTTGTCGCGGTGAACTCGGCGCGTTCGGTGTTGCCGTTCGCTTGGCCAAGCGGTTCGACCCTTCCTCGTAGGCCGGGCGCCGGTACCTGCTCGGTCGTCCTTGCGAGGCCTTTGTTCCGTTAGCGTCATCGATTCTTCAGCCGGTGGCTGATCACGACTCACTCGGGCTCTCTATGCTTTCCTGATGCACGGCGTACATCCACTGGCTCGCCTGGGTGGGCTGCGGCGTCGGGGATGAGGTGTGCGGCATGGCGGTGAGAGGCGGCGTATCGACGGGAGTGTCAGAGGTTGGTTTTAGGTTGGATTCTCGAGGTGGGAGTGCGACGAGGCTTGTTTTCGCAAGGGATGGGGGTTCAGGTGATGGAAGTCGCGTTTTTATGTGAGGTGCGAGGCGCTCTGTTGGTGCCGTTGAGTTATTTTATCGTTATTTCATCGGGTCTGGTACGTACAGACGTGGGGCTCAGGGTAGACTAGGACTTGGTGTTTTCGGGGCCGGTTTGCCCTCGCTCGTAGTCCTCCTCTGGCACTGTCGCGTTTGATGGCCGTGGACTCTGCTACCTCGTAGTGCTGGTGGTTTGTCCACTTTTGAGGGGTTGGGTGTATGCGAGATGGGGTCCATTCGTTCGCCCTTAGGATGCTTGCTTGCTCGTTGACTCTCCCCGGCGTCTCGAGTACGGCCGTTCCGGCATTGAAGCGGGCGTCCCTGGATGGCTGCCAGTCAGGTTGGCATCGGGCCTTGTTGGGCCGCCAGTGATGGCGCGACCAGCGGTTTGTCGTGCGACCCAGGGGGCCGTTTCGGTAGTCGCGACTCTTAGTTTGGGTGTTGGTACGGCCGTTTCGGCTTAGCTTCCGGCGTCTGTGTGCGGGTGTGCTTCTTTACGCGTCGCGCTGTCAGCTGCGGAGCGCGTTGGGCAGCTTGCTGCGTGTTTCTAGGGGCGGTTTTGGCATAAGGATCCATATATCGAGGCATAACGTACTCGCATGTATTTCGTCTCTAGCACTGCCCTCTCGATGCTGATGCCGTGGCGTATTTCTCCTGCGCTCTATTCGGTCTCTCGGGTAGCGGTCAGGGATGAGGAGTGGTGTGGTGTGGCTATTGGGTTGGGAGTGGGGATTGATGTCTACCGTGCTAGGTCAACTGTCTAAATCGCGGCTGGTGGTCGCCGTTGTCACCGTTCGAGCCGTTCATCTATCCTCCTCCTGCCGGGCATCACGGTGTTCAGTTTGTCTCCTCGTGTTCTCGTTGCTTGTTACGCCGTTACGCCGTTGCTCGGTTCAGTGGCGGCGGCGGATTTCCGGGCGCGGTTTCTGGTGTGCCTTAGTGCGTTGGTGATGCGCGTGAGGCTAAGTTGGGCGCTCTCCTCCTCTCCGTCGTCCCAGACTTCGAATTCGTACGGGTTTTCAGAGTCGCTGAGGAAGGGTGGGAGGTGTAGGAAGCTGTGGTGGGGGCGTGGTAGTGCGGGGAGGGATGTGTAGTGTGTCGTGTGTGCGTGGCTCTGGAGTGCATCAAGCTGGGCCCATGGGATCGGGACGCGGAGGTTGCACGTGGTCTGGCTTCCTATTATGGAAAAGGTCGCCCAGTGCTTTCTCAGGGTTACTATTTGGGCCAGTCGTCCTGTGCCCGATCCCTGGGTGTTGGTATGCAGCCGGATTAGGGCAGAGGTGCCTAGCTGGCGTTTTGGGCGGGTGTCGATGATCCAGGTCAGCCCAACTCTCTCTTCCATGGTGGGTATGGGGAGAACGTTAACGTCGGTGATCGTATCTGCTTGACTTGGTAGGTGAAGGCGAGGAAGGGGAATTGGGGGCGCCGCTTTCGTTGTCTGTTTGCGCCTGGTCTTCGACTTTCCTCCCTTGCCAGGGTGGCTTTCTGGCATGGTTCGTCGCTGGGGGCTGGGGCGTTGTTGCAGGGTGCTTTTGCTGTCGTCCCAGGTTGACCGGTCTATTAACGTGCTGTGAGCGTCTCTTCCTGCATCTTACGTTTCTTTCAGGCGCTTATCACTGGTCTATTTCATGTCTGAAGGGCGTTTATGTTCAGGTGGCGGCCTGAATTTTATTGTCAAGTTATGGGAGATTCATGGCTCTTCGACATATGGCCTGCGGCGAAGGACTATTCTTGCGCGCTGGCGTTTCGTGTTCATGTGAGGTCACGTGGCGGTGGCGCGCCCGGTCTGGTCGTCACGTTATGTATTTGGTTTTCTTTTGATGTTTCCTGTGTCACGGGTTATCTACTGCGTGCTACTGTGTGTCGAGCTGTACAGTTGTAGCCGGTGGCTTCAAACCTTAGATTCCTTTGTCTGTGTCGTGCTCGCCATTGGGCGCTCGTGGCTAGCGTCTTATGGGGTTTTTGGCGCCCGCTGAGGGATGGGCACTGGGTTCGCCGAGTTATGGTGCACATCGAGTGTCTGCAGTCTGTAGGGTTCCTACGTACAGCTTGCGCCGTCTGTCTTGCGACTACTCGTAGAATCCTCCTGTGGGATGGTTCTCGAGGTCCCCGTGAGGGGAATGGGGTGACCCATGGCGGACCGCCTTTCGGTCGGTCTCGCCTGTCTCGGGGCAGTAATGCCCTGGACATTTTTCAGCGCAAGTTAGCTTCGTCCAGAAGGACTACTAACCCCCCGGACCACGAGAAGGTCTGCGCAGGACTCGCTGTCTTTGACGACGACGAGCCCTCCCGGGGGAACTTTGTGGTTTAGCATGGGTGTGTGGTAAAGTATAATACCATAAGTAGCGAAAGACGCACAGCTTGTGCACGGCCTGTCAGTACGAGACGGTGTGATGTCGCTGATTAATGAGGTTTCCAGGATTCTTACATACGATTACAGTATGCGGATTTGCCAAGGTTACGACCATGACATTGACAGCGTACGTCGCTGACGTCCCGCCACAGATGGGCCCTGTCAGGCCCTGTCAGTGTCACCCTTGCCGGTAAGTCCAGCGTCTCCTGACCGCCGTGGTTTGTATAAAGATGCTCACTGTCCGCATAGTCTCCCCAGCTCTCCCCGCCTTTTCTTTTCTGAGCACACGAAAGCAGCGGCACCGGTTGGTGAGTTGTCGTTATTTCACTCGTGAACAGGCAGGCATGCTGATCTACGTTGTGATCGTCAGCCTTGCTTGATTTCTTTACGACCTCCACTTCCATCTCTCACCCTCGATATCTGACGACCGTACTACGTACCTTCTCTTCATCACCAACGACAACTTCCAGCCATGCGCTTCAGCACTGTCCTCGCTTTGACTCTGGCCACGGCCTCCGCAGCCCCCGCACTCGCGTCATTCGCCGAGGTGTAAGTTTCATCCATGGTTGTCTTGACTTGCCTGGAACTAATGTTTCTGCGCTGTCCGCAGCGACGCGCGCGACGTAGACGTCGAACTACTCTCCCGTGCCTACCTTGGATCGGACGGGAAGGTGCACTATGCGCCGGGCGTTCGCGGCGGCGGACATGGGACTGGTTCTAGGCCGAAGGGCCTTGGCAGCCGGCCCAGGGAGCTCTACGGCCGTGAGGTCAGCGAAGAGCTATACTCCCGTGCCTACCTCGACAACGACGGGAAGGTACGCTGGGCCCCCGGCGTCCGGAATGGCCACCGCGGTACTGGCTCCCGCCGCAAAGGCGCAGGAGACGGCTCTACGCCTAGCACGAATCAGCCTCGACCTCACCATGGTCCCAAGCCCAGCTCGTCGGAAAAGAAGACCAGGGAGCTTGAGACAGAGGAGCTGTTCTCTCGCGCCTACATCGGCGCGGATGGTAAGGTGCACCACGCACCTGGTACCCTTGGCGGCGGCCACGGAGCCGGTGCCCGCCCGCCGAAGGGATATGGGGCGAGGCCCAGGGATCTTGACGGCGTCGAGGAGCTGTTCTCCCGTGCCTACCTCGGTAGCGACGGGAAGGTTCACTATGCGCCGGGAGTGCGAGGCGGCGGACGTGGGACTGGTTCAAGGCCGAAGGGCACTGGCAGCCGGCCCAGGGAGCTGCAGGAGCGCGCGTATATCGGAACGGATGGGAAGGTGCACTATGCTCCTGGCGTGCGCCCAGGGGGACGCGGAACCGGCTCCCGCCCGAAGGGCACTGGTAGTACTCCAAGAGAACTTCTTGACCGCGAATTCTTCTACGACTCGCTTGACCTGGATTGAGCCCGTCGTCGGTAGAGCGCGTTTCTACGCCGTGTCGTCTGCAAAGTGTAACGTAGTACATACATTATGATTTGGCTGTCAATGGGATCGGTTTGTGGATGTCTCTGATAACATTTGATGCATTGGACTTCCGCTTGTCATGGATGTTGTGACCACACAAATCCTTAACATTCACAACTGTATGTACATTCCAATGAACGTGATTCGACGAACATTAAACCAGCTGTGTCTCATTGGAATTTATCCTGCTTTACAGTACATTCGGAAAAGTATGTTTCGTTCATTATTCCTATGGTCACAGCAGAGTCCCGTATGCCGTCTGTGCTACAGTACAGTCCGATACGACAACACAAAGACTAGAAATAATGACTATAATCGTCACCGTCCTCATCGGGCGTCATGGCCTCACGCCTGCGCGATGGCTTCTGGTCCCTGCGCGGCAGAAGTCGCCGAAACGACCTGCTCTGTTGAATCTCCCGTTCGAACTCGGCGATGCGCCGGGCGGCTTCTGATACGTCGAATGCATTATCTATGCAATACATGCCGTCAACACTGTCCTGGCAAGATGACATGCGCGATTACTGACCTCCATCACCGTAACGGCGAGACCGACGAGCGTCATTCTGATCATAGTTCTTGTATTGGGAGCGCGGCTTAGGCATCGGAGCGCGCGCGCCCTCGTCAACGCCACGCCGAGGGTTGTTGTGGTGAGGGTTCCGACGGCGAGGGTGCTCATCGATGGAAGCATCCTCCGAGTCGTCGAGGTAATAGCCAAGGACCGATGCCGACTGCCCATCATCCAGCCCGTCATTCGAGCTGTTCACAAAGGTGCTCGCAGAGTCACTAAACGCGGCTGACGAGCCCTCGCCCTCGTCGGAGTGCGCATCAAGTCCCTCTTGGTACGGCTGGTGAGGTGAGGGCGCGAACTTGCGGCGGTGCGCCTCCTCCGCGCGGCGGCGTGCGAGATCTGGCTTCTTCTCGACGAAGCGGCGCGTGCCGGGCGGGGTAATATCCAGCAGCCCCTTCGATATCCTCTCCCAGCGGTCGAGCAACCACACCGTGAGCGTGCGCCCGCCTGCGTAGCTCGTCCCGCCCAGTAGGTAGAAGCCGAACTTCTCGCCGATGATTTCTGTGCTGATGGAATTGCCGGGATGGGCTATCACCTGCTTGAAGAAGTCGAAGAGGTACACGAGGAGCGAGAGGTGTTCGACCGACAGGAGGCGGAGGACGTTCTGCGCGATCTCGACCATGGGTGCGTCGAACTCTTCGCGGATGGCGCGCCGTTCCTCGGGAGTGAGGTCCGGGGACTCGATGATCTGGTGCTCCATCTCCGGGACGATGCCGCGGAGCGTCTTTCGTGACCGCTTGATGACCGGAGGGAATATAATGTCCCACTCGCGCTTGAGCACCGGGTTGACGCACCACTTCCAGAGCCCGTAGTTGAGGTCCCGGGGAATGAGCGGCTCTGGGAGATGCTCCAGAATTGTCTCGAACAGCCCGCAGATGTCGGATGTCCTGAATTTCGCTAGAGGGCCGATGCGCACGCCTGCCGGGCGCTTGTAGCCATGGTCGAAAATGCGCCGCATCTTGTCGATGTTATGCTTGATAGGCTCGCCGCCGAAGAGTTCGTCGTCATAGATACCTGCGGGAGGGTGAGAGACAGCTCTTGGTGCACGGGATTAGTTGCCTCACCTGTTCTGTGAAGCTCCTCGACACATTCGTAGAGGGCAGCAGGGAGATCGTGTTGGTAACCGTTAAAGACGATCGTGGTAGACGAGACCTCCATCATTTCGAGAACGGTCATGTAGTAGATTCCTAGAGAGGGTCAGAACGAGATTATCTCAATTATCGGCATGGAAACCTACTCGGAGGCTTTCTTTCAGGGTTCTCCTCCTCAGGAGGATCATCCTTGTGCCGCAAATAGTGCTCTCGTGCCTCGCGCTCGGATTCTTTCTGCTCGTAGAACACTTCGAGGTCGAGAAACTCCGCCAGCCTCTCGTGACGTCCATGCAGCAGGTGGCCGAGGTCGTGCATAACATCCTTATAGTCGGCGATCTGGAAGGGAAGCCGGGGAATGGAGCTGCTCTTCCTTCCGCTAGGCTTGGATGTCTCGACAGCGTCCCGCTTCCCCGGCGAAGGAGCCTGGGATTGCGAGGACAGCGCTGGTTTCCGCACGGACGTGGAGTTAGCGCGCGGTCGCTGGGCGCGCCCGCCGTCGGTTCCGGAGCGAGCTGAGGAATCATCACAACCGCTGCTGGGCTCGGACGAGAAAGTGCTGGACCTGGTACGTTGTTGTGGTGTTTGGGGAAGGTCGGTGGTTGGTCGCACGCTCGGAAGACGTGGTCCTCCTCCGAGTTCGCAAGCGACGAACGGCGTGGCCTGACCACAGAATCTGGGGCGCGCGAGTGGGTTGTCGGGTGTGATGCAGATTGAGGGCGAGGTTGCTCGGTGATGGCGCGTTGTGATACCACATCATGGTGCTTGGTCCGATCCTTACCAAGCGACGATGGTGCAGGAGAAGAGTTCTGAGTTTGCAACGACGATTTCTTCAGAATTCCTCGAATCGGCGAGGCGGTACTGCGATTGGCGTCCGAGGTAGAGCCTCGGAGGATCCCGCGCAGCGGGGAGGGCTCTTGAAGTCGCGCCGGTGGTAGCGACGCCGAGCGAGGCTTGCCAGAAGCAGCTCGAGGCGTGGTGGCAGACTCCGGGGTAAGAGAACTTGAGCGGAGAGACGATGACATGGCGTACAGTGCAGCAAATGTGTACGGAGCGGTTCGCTAGAGATGGTTCAACAACAGGCCAGCCAACGCCTTTTATATCTTTTGCATCCCTGGCTGACGGACATGGATGAACGGATGCCCAGCATCCGTGCACCCATATCCGTATCCAGAAACCCCTGTATGATTTCCGCGTCCATGTAGTCTTCAAGCCGCCTGCTTGTGCATACCCGCGTTGCCGTACGTGGTCAGAATCAGAACGGCATGTGCAAGCGCCCAATTTGGAAAGGACTACGAGAAAGACTTACGACGAAAGATACGAGACTTGTAGTAAGAAGCCCGATTCACTGCCAAGCAAGACAGCTGAAGGTATTGTACTTCCGTAGCGATGACTAATTGTCTTGTATATCGTACCGATGGAGGTTTGCACACCGCTAAGGTACTTGAGCCGACTTGACAGATCACTTCCGGCTGAGCGAGGATCAAGTCCAGAGAATTACTGACCAGTACGGAGCCATGCTCCAATACGGTGCTGCAATGATAATATGAAAGAGTCAGCCGTTCAACGTTCAACTCGGAAGATTAGTACTGGAATCGCTGCTACGGATTTCTGTTCGGCATTTGTGCGGCGAGCGCTCAAGTACGTAGCGGTTCGGTACGAGTTCGAGGCGAGTTACCACAATTTCCGGCCTGTTCGGTAACGAGTTCGAGGTGGAGGAGGAGGAGGGGATTCCATTTAGTGAGTTACCGCGATTTCTTGCCCATATACGGCAGCAAATTCTCCCCGAGCGCCGGAAATCACAATTCGTTACCAGAAAAGGGCAAGAAACCAATTCGATATTTAACTCGTTACCGAGCAGGCTTACATATTACCTATATGGAAACTAAGACACTTCCGTCCGCTCAGCGCCCATAAAAGCCAGAAACACCGCTCATGATCAACCCGTCATGCACCTGCATAGCTGCTCCTCGTCGGCGTCGACATCATGGCTGGAATTGTGAGCCTGCTGAGTCGTTTGCGCAAGGTATGTCGACCAATTGGCATCTCAATCGTGGTTTGCTCACAGTGTCGATCAATGGTTCGTGTAGCTTAACAACCCGCCGGAAGTGCCCGCGAAACAACCAAACGCGTTGCGATTCGGGATACTGGGTGCGGCTAGAATTGCACCAGCTGCTCTCATAGTTCCAGCAGCTAGCCATGCCGACGTAATTGTCACTGCCGTGGCATCTAGGGACCAGGTGAAGGCTAGTGCATATGCCAAGAAACACAATATCCCAACAGTGTACTACGGAACCGAATGTTACCAACGTGAGTGCTCATGAGCCCAGTTCTGCCTTGCGCCTTTAGAACTGGGTTATTAGAGCTATTGGATGATCTAAACGTCGATGCAATATACAACCCGGTATGTTCCTATCTCTGACGTGACGATCTGGGGATTCATCGACTTTGACAGTTGCCGAACAGCCTTCATTATGAGTGGACTGTGAAAGCTCTCAATGCGGGGAAACATGTTCTCGTAGAGAAACCCATCGCAGACACAAGTGCGGAGGCCCAGCAAATGATCGATCTCGCAACGCAGAAAGGGCTCGTGCTGCTCGAGGCTATTCACTGGACGTAAGGGCGACTCCGCTGTCTAAGCTACAATCGAGCTAACAGTTCTATTTTTAGTTTCCATCCAGCTTCCCAGCGCGTGAAAGAACTGATTGATAGTGGGGAACTCGGCAAACTCAAGAGCATCAAAGCCGATTTCGCGCTCCCCAAAATTCCGCACGGGATAGTGTTCCTTGAGGATGATGTGCGTTTCGAGTATGACTTGGGTGGCGGTGTTACCATGGACATGGGAGGTCGGTGATATGCATAGTCGACCATTCTCGAATGCTCAACAGCTTCTGCAGTCTACCCTCTCTCTGCGGTCCGGTACTTCTCCTCCAGCGACCTTGCGAAGGTGGAGAGCGCGAGCGCCATTGGACACGAGCGTGATCCAGCACGGATCGATCGCGCCATGAGCGCACACCTAGTCCTGCAATCCTCCGTGGAGGCGGACGTGTTTTTCGACTTCGGCATGCCCGGATGGGGCCCATTCCACCTGCTGCCACGCATGGTCAAAGGTAGTGTCTACATCGAGCTCGAGGGCGGCACGATCGACTACTTCAACTTTGCGCTACCCACGGTGTATCATAGCATCACCGTCAAGCCGATCGGCAAGAAGGCACGTATCGAGAAGGTCTATCAATTCAAGGAGGGACCCGGAAAGGAGTGGTGGTCGACGTGAGTGCATGCGTGAGTTACGCCGCAGATACAGCTGATGAGCTATCGTAGGTATCGATACCAGCTTGAGGCTTTCGTGGACAAGGTGCGCGGGCGTACCCCGCAGACGTGGTCGGCCCCCGACGAGCCCATCAAGCAGATGCAGTGGGTGGAAAGCTTGTATGCCGCAGCGGAGATGCCTGCCCGGCCTGCGTCGACGTATTACGCTACTCATGCACATGCCTGAGTATACGTCCCTAGGCGTCTCGTGCTCCGACTTGGGGAACCTCAGGTATTCAATCTTGGAGTATCTGCGGGCCCGTCAAGATCATTACAACTTACCTGGCCGTAAGGTATGATTCCAGTTGAATCTGCGCATGGGACTGATTGGCAACCTGCCTCATTCATCCTCACTGCGCTTTTGCGTGAGGCGTCGTTCGTGTCATGCATACTTTTCATGGTGACAGGGATGGTCGCCTGAGATGGCTCATGTAAACTTGATTTGCGCCATGCTGAACGCCGACGCGGAATAACCCAACACATAAGCGCCCGAGTGGAAACAGCCCCTCGTACCTTGTTGGGCACGCTTGTTTCTGTCATGATCCATCTCGCCGGTGGTGTACTCTGTCTCGGACTCTTGACTGCACTGCATTGCAGTGACAAGCGTGCTGCGTGTACGCTGTATGACTCAGCGTCTCACACATGTCAGTACTTGGTTCCACTTCAGCTGTTGATTGACTTGCGTGTTCGCGGAATCCATAAGACCGTCCTCCCTTCCGTCAAAGAGGTCTTTTTAAGGGCCTGCCTATAAGAGGAGACTAGCAGGATCCTCATGTCGGTGATTACTATTGCCAAGCGAACTGATGGAAACAGATTTTGCGTCGTCACATCGCCTACAGCAGTACATCAGAAGCGGACATTTCCCTCTCCCGGAGACCCGAAAACTGTGCATTGTATGTAGACATAAAATGCTGAAGACGTCTCTCGATCCTCACTGACACCAGCTCTCGCGTTGACCGGCAGCCCCCCCCCCCCTACATGCATCGAACCTTTGCAACAACCTCCCTGAGCGACATGTCAACGTCTTTCAAGCCTATTTCGAAGGTTGTGGCATCTAGTGATGGCATGCCGATTTACGCAGAGGCTATTGGCGATCCCTCAAAGCCGGCACTGATCATGGCACATGGAATGGCGCTTTCTGCTGCTACCTTCGACGATGTTTTCTTTGACAAACGCATGCTGAACGAAGTTTACATGGTTCGTCTAACTTACTCCCAGGGTTTTCTTACGGCAATCTGACTGCGTACGTTGCTAGGTTCGGTATGACCTACGAGGGCACGGCCGTAGTGGCAAACCCACCAATCCTGAGGCGTATGTCTCGTCGGTATGGGCGGATGACTACACTGCGGTAATGCAAGCGTTTAACATTGGGAAGCATGTGTTCCTCGGATGGTTAGTGTATCTGTTTCTACGGTCGTATGCAAACTGATGTAGAACATGGATATTCAGGAGCTACGGAGGTGAGCTACACACCAATCCGGCGTCTGCTTGCCGTTAACTCGTCTTCAGCCACGGTTGCTTGCGATATCTGCGCAAACATCAGCCCGAACCCATTAGCGGGGATCGCATGGATGACGCCCTTGCCCTACGTCGGACCTATCATGGGTGCCGTCGGCACTCCCGTGATCCTCGGGTTCCTTCCAGGGCTCGTCAGCGCCACCGACGTTGCTCTGCACGTTAGCACCAAGATCGCCTTTGTAGACTCCCTAGTGAATGACCCCGCGGCACTAGACTTCAAACTCAAGACGTCCATGATCGGGCAAGCAATGTTGCATCCACCGGAGGTGGCGCAGCTTATCACGACGCGACCGCAGGATCCCGCGAAGCTCTTCGAGGCGGGCCAGCAGGGCGTTCCACTGCTGTTACTACATGGAACCGCCGACACGCAGGTCAAGGGGGCCGTCGTAGAGAAGGAGATAGGCCCGCACTTCAAGGACTTTGAAGTCCGGGAGATCGAGGGTGGCTGCCATGCTTTACCGCTCGAGTATCTTGATGAGGTGGTGGAGTCGCTACTGAAGTTCGTGAAACGAGTCGTGGTACGTGAATCCGAACTGTCCCACTTCACAGGTTCTGATTATGATCTGTAGCACGTACAGTAGCACCAGATTACGTTATGGCTGAATGGAAGCGTCCACCACGTGCTGTATCGTATTGGTGGCAGACTTATTGCATATGTGGCATGTTTCACGGCCGTCCTGGAACGAATTGCATGAGTACTACACATTGTACCTTCGGCGCGCCGGTGCTGGCGAAAGGCCAATTGTTTCTTCAGGCCGCACCGTTCTCCTGGGCTGTCTTTGTCTCATGAGGCTTTCAAGCGTGCGTTTGATCAAACTGGTACGTCTCAGATTACTACTGAGGACTGTCCGCGTGATGACATATTCCGTACGAACCCTTATCAGTCCACGGTTCTGTCCTCGGACCTCGCGGACACCAGAATTGTCCAATTGAACCGGTAGCGCATGTCAAGGATAATAGAATCCGGACATGCTGCGAGTCGCCAAGTACTACATGCTGCCATCACGGTAAGCTTTGTCCTGGCTTATGTGTCGCCCAGTTCATCCCGGTCCTCTCCCAGTGTCTCCTAGTGGATCAACAGCGAGATCTTCGTGAGAATTTGTATAGCGCAAGGCTTTCACTATGCGCCGGCTCGGAAAGCATACACAATACTTTCGCTAATCCGAATTCCAAAACGGAGCAGGACGCCGTCGTTCTGGGTGCTTGTGCCGTCTCGTCATACAGTCCAGAAGAGCACGCAGAGGTTGGTTTCGTAACATCTTCGCCTGATGCAGAAAGTTAGTGCCACCAGCCGGGGCTTCATTTGTAGAAGTCTCCTAATCACTCCGTGCCTTCAGGGATATTGTCAGCCCATGCGGCGAATATATTGACTTCCTTGCCGACGATGTCAATGGCTGGTATAAAGCGGTGCGATCCGAAGGTATCGACGACAACCTCCGCATCGTCTTCGACCTTCCGTGCTCCCATAGATCGCTAGGATGTCGTTCGAGCCCATAGTCAAGACCTTGCATTCCAGCGACGGGACAACCATTCATGCCGAAATCGTCGGTAACCTTCAGAAGCCGTGCCTCGTCTTTGTACACGGGCTGAACATGTCCTGCCTCGCGTTCGACGGTCTATTCCGGGACAGTTCTATGCTTCGCGAAGTCTGCATGGTGAGTATTATCCTTGGGCCCGCTAATCCGGCCTCTTGACCAGTTGACAGGCACGATATGATCTGCGTGGACACGGACGCAGCGGTAAACCCGAAGATCCGGAAGCGTACAAGTCGTCGCTCTATGCTGACGACTTCGTCACTGTGATGCAAGAATTCGGCTTCAGCAAGCCAATCTTGGTCGCTTGGTGTGTAATATTCCTTGTCACCGCTATAGAGAGCTCATTGTGTGATCATCTCTAGGAGCTACGGAGGTATGTTTCCCATGCTGTATGCCACCGAACTTAACGCTTACAGGCTCGCACCTTCGACAGGTACAATCTCAGCAGATATTTACGCCAACCTCAGCGCAGACACCCTTGCAGGGATTGTCTACGTCAGCGCAGTCCCGTACATCGGCCCGCCCATGTTCCCAGACTCCATAACTCCACCTACCATCGCACTTATACAGAGTCAGATGGTGGGGACGGACATCACCTCGTACTTCCGTGACAAAGCAGCCTTCGTCGACGCAATCTGGAAGGACATCGACAGAGTCGACTACCGCTTACGCCTAACGTGGCTCGGGCCTGCATACGTGCAGACCCCACAGGTGATGCGCAACATCGTCACACGGCCTCAAGACCCAGCGAAGCTCCTGGAAGTCGTACGCAGCGGCATACCTGTGCTAATGCTATATGGCGATGCGGACAAGATGGTGCTTGGGGAGTACGTTGCGGAGAAGATGAAGCCACATTGTACGAATGCGGAAGTATACGTTGTCAAAGGGGGAGGACATGCGCCCTTCTTTGAGGACCAGGAGGAGGTCGTGCGTGAGCTCTTGCGATTCGTTGGCCGTGTCACAGTGAGAGATGACTCTATCATAACTTTGTTCGTGCTGACCCCAGGCGCAGACGTCAAGCAAACTATAGTAACATGGACTAGGTACATATGTGGCTTCCGAAGGAGTAAGTGCGACCTGTCCCTGCGACATCATCAGTCTGGAATCTGACGCTGGTTGAGTGGACTTGTCAGCAGGTTGCGAAAATATGCGGTACACATGTTACATATGTAACAGGCGAGTATGTAGTGCCCGTGAACCCCACGCGAGACCGTTGCAAACCAATCACGGCAAAGCTATGTATATGTCGCTCTCTACGACCCGATTCCCGTGATGCCCGGCGACTCGGACATGCATCCGTTCGGTTATCATGGACGGGTATGTTTCGTGTCAAGAGCGTTTGTCAAGTCGGTAGACTGCTTCGCAGACTAACACACTTCGGCTGACCGCAGACTGTCGTAATCTCTCTCCGAATGGACGACGGAGCTACGCAGAACGTGGCCAAGACTTCACCGACTCAGAGCGCACCCGGTGGTCGTCGTCACAACATGTGTTCCACACGCCCACTGTTTAGCGGCCGTTGATCATCGCGACTCAAGCATCAAGTATAGTCTGCGGATACTTGAAACATCTCAGCGGCTTTCCCGGGATATTTAAGCTAGGCTACACTCTGCACGCGTTCACCCGCTCATCATCAACCAACATGACTTACCAACGCGTAGCTAAGACGCTGACGTCCAGTGATGGAACGCCCGTGTATGCGGAGGCCGTCGGTGACCCTAGTAAGCCCGGCGTCGTCCTTGCGCACGGCATTTACTCGTCGGCTGCTATCTTCGACAATGTGTTCAGCGACGAACGTCTTCTTGCAGAGGTCTACTTGGTGAGTGCAGGTTAGACAGCAGAACATCTCGGATGCTCAATGCTTGTAGATCCGCTACGACCTGCGTGGGCACGGGCGAAGCGGAAAACCTGAAAACCCGGAGGCGTATGTTTCGTCGTTGTTTGCAGCTGACTACGCTGCGGTCGCCCGGGAGTTTGGGGTGAAACAGCCTATCTGGTTCGGGTGGTGAGTTGAGCTGAGTACTCAACGGGTTGAAAAGACGTACTGATGGGCTTCCCCGCAGGAGTTATGGAGGTATGGTGGTCGTTGGCAAGCCTGACGGACTGTCCTGACCGTGGTTTCAGCCACGATAGCATGCGACGTCTACACGCACCTTCCAACCGAGACGTTTTCTGCGATCGTCTGGGTAGCTGGCGTGCCCTATGTAGGACCGGTCTTCAACAAGGTTGCCAGGCAGGAGGCGCGCGGGTACCTGCCAGGACACATGAATACGAGCGATGTGGTTCTGTACCGTCAATCGAAGGTCGACTTCGGCGACCTGATATTCCACGACCCGGACGGCATGGACTTCAACCTGAAGATGTCGTCGCTTGGCCAAGCGTTCCTCCTGTCGCCGCAGGTGACTCAGAACCTCCTCACACGCACGCAGGATCCCACCAAGCTCTACGAAGCGGGCGAGAAGGGCTTGCCTTTGTTGGCGATGAGCGGGTCTAAAGACAAACTTGTCGACGGTAGTATCGTGGTAGCCGAGGCGAAGAGCACTTCCAGAACATGGATGTGTATACCGTCGAGGGCGGTAGCCACACACCGTGGATCGAGCATAAGGACGAGATTGTTACGGAGCTGTTGAAGTTTGTCCGCAAAGTCACGGTGAGCGATGGCATGCATATCAAGATAAATAAATACTGAGTCTTATGCAGAAGCCAGCTATGTAGCCGAGTGACTGCTCGCCAGTCAAAATTCTGGAGCACATATGTAGTCATTGATACACGACCATCGGCGAATGTACTGAATGAATACCGTTGTACTGTTATATTCGATCCTGTCCTGCATCGTTGCGCATTTTGAGGCTTCCAACTTGTGGTTTTAAGTACGACGACAGCGCTACAGTAAGTATGTCAGTAACGTCGACGGAATGATTCAATGAAGTTCTGCGGAGGATTGGCGGAGGAGGATTCCTCCGAGGTTATCGGAGCGCGCAAGATCGATCGGGCCACGGGGTCAAGCGCCTAAACTTGGTCTTTACACACGCTGGCAACGCCGATACCGTGACCGTACAAACTAATATTCTCTCTTCTCTATGAATTTCTTGCTCTGGTACAAGCGGATCCTGTGATTTGAACTGGCCTCAGCGCTGCTACATTCTCTCTCACAAATGTGGGCCAATCGATGGATACGCTCGAGAATAGTGTCGTCTCTGTTTGGCTCTGGAAGGAGCAGGGATGGACCAGAATATCAACCTCTGTCCCAACTTGCAAAGCAGGGCAGTCGTGCCGAGCTTGAGGACGATGAAGCACACGCCGTGGCGAGAGCCAGCGGCTCACTTGAGGACGATGAGGTGGACACCGGCGCGCAACTTGTCGCAGGAGAAGACGCAGAGGTGTCTGAAGGAGAGGCTAACGCAGTTCGAAACAAGATCGACTGGCATATACTGCCTCTGATGTGTAGTGAGTATCTGGAATGAGATGTGTCGACATATGCGTTCCCTGAGTCGCACCTCCAACGATAGTACTCACATGTCCTATGCTCAGCGCTGTATTGGATCCAATTCATGGATAAGACCACCCTCGGTAGTGCAGCAATTCTAGGAATCAGGTCAGTACATTGAGCAACTCAGCGGCTTGTTTGACAAATCTGTCATAGGGAGGCTACTCACCTGACGACAAACCAGTGGGACTTCATCAATCCCTCGCTAGACGTCTCTCTCATCCCGTCTCCTTCTCAGATACAACATGTACGTCATTCCTCAACCCCTCAACTGAGTCCTCTCTCATACATCTTATCAGGCTTGGAACAATATTCTATGTCAGCTATCTCATTTTCGAGTACCCACAGAACCTCGCTCTGCAACGATTTCCTGTGGGTAGATGGATGAGGTGGACATGTTCATGATATCATCCGGTTTGTTGCTCATACTTCGTTTGTCTCTGCAGTTTGAACATCTTCGTGTGGGGGCTTGCGTTGCTAGGACACGCCGCGTGCAAGAACTTCACGGGCCTCTTCATCGTTCGCTTCATTCTTGGCATGTGCGAAGGATCTATTACCGCCGGCTTCATGATCGTCAGTTCCATGTTCTATACCCGTAATGAACAAACGTTGCGCGTCGGGTACTGGTGTAAGTTGAGTCTCGTCTTCACTGCCGTGCTCAGCTGATCGAACTGTCCCTAGTTCTCATGAATGGTACAGGTACGTCCCGAACTTTGTCGCCGAGCGCGAGTCTGGCTCATGCGCATTATGGAGCACAAATCATTTCGGGCTTCATCAGCTTCGGAACTTTACATATCAAGACCGAGGGGTTCGAACCATGGCAATGGTAGCGCGATCCTCGTGATATGACGCGTGCAGACGTTCATGCCGATCCGTCAGGCTGATGTGCATCACCGGCGCTTGACGCTGATCACTGCGGTCGCTTATTGGTGAGCTTTACTGTTCGCAGAGTCGACTGTCATAGTACTGATGGGCCGTACGTAGGTTATACTTCCCGGACTCGCCGACTACCGCTTGGTTCCTCACACGGGAAGAACGTATCATAGCTATCCGACGTCTCAAGGTCTGTGACAAGGAAGCTGCCTCTGTGGGACTCCGGGTTGCTAATGCACTTCTACAGGAGAATCAAACTGGTGTCGAGAACAAACACTTCAAAATTGAGCAGTGCGTTTTGTCTGCATGCCAAACTATCATCCGCTCTCACTTCTCAACAGAGTCCATGAAGCCCTGCGCGATCCGAAGACCTGGCTCTTCGCGCTCTTCTCCGCGCTGAATAACGTCCCCAACAGCCTCACCAACCAAGGTCAGATCATCGTCGCCTCGTTCGGGTTCACGTACTTGCAGACGACCCTTCTCGGGTGCGTCGACGGCGTCATCGAGATTGCCACCATCTGGACGGGGGTGCACCTCGCCGCTCGGCTGAAGGACGGACGCGCGTATGTCGGCGCGATGTATTTCATACCCAACATTATTGGCGTGCTCCTCATCAACGTCCTGCCGTGGAGCAATCGGATAGGGCTCCTGTGCGCACAGTGGTTGACAGGTATTGCTGGCAAATTGTCAAGTGTTGGATCGAGGCTTATTGAGTGACCGATGCAGGTGTGGGAACAACCGGTTTCGTTCTGTCCTTGTCATGGCTCTCGAACGTAACTGCGGGCCACACCAAACGAGTAACAGTCAACGCCATCATGTTGATTGCGTACTGCATTGGGAACGCTCTGGGGCCATTCATGTGGCAAGAGAAGTAAGGCCTCGGTGCGCTCAGATTGAGGCTGTCTTCCCGCACGCTGGCTCATCGGGTCACGCAGGAACCATGTACCATGGACTATCATCGGCCTCTGCTACGTGGCATGCCCTGCGCTTATGCTACTCATACGGCGTGTGCTGGCCTCCGAGAACAACCGACGTGATTTAGAGCCGCCGGACGACACGTACAACGACGCGTATATTGATGGCGTCGACGCGAGCGGAAAACGTGTCCGCAAGAAGATAGATAAGGTACTTACGTTTTCCTCGTTCGCTAGGCGCTGTTCGAAAACTCGGACTGATCGGTGTTCGTGCGACTGCCAACAGGAGTTTCTGGATCTGACGGACATACAGAACCGCGAATTTAGATATGTGTTGTGATTTTCTTCGATTAAGTTCGCCGCTACGTGAAACGTTTCTCGGACAGCCGGCTAGGTGATCCTGGTGAACTCGATTCAAGTTCACAGCGAGCCTTTCCATTCTACGAGCCAGAGCGCTTGACACAGGTGCTTAGGTTCCCGAATACCGCTATGCGGGCTGTACAAACCCACTTCGGTATCATCTATTTGTATTCTGACTGTATCTTCCGGCGATACTGGTCTTGCTTCTGGGCATCGCGAACGGCGTCCTAGAGGAGCCGAGCGCGGACCAAGCTCGGCAGGAACGTCCATGGACGCTGTCAAACGTTTCTCCAGTGTCATTATCTGACGACGCTTCCCGTCGCCTGTAGACATTGCGTACCTGATTGGGCCAGTATAAGAGCAGCAAAGCGAGCACTACATACCGGGTGCGACTAAATCATCTGTCCGTGTCTGTTGGTACTGACACGTCATGTACCAGCTGTCTTCTCCCCACGTCTTGGTTGGAGCTGCCTTGCTGTGTGCTGCGTTCTATCTTGTATTCCATGGCAGACAGCTGGGTCGTGGCCGTCGACTCAGGCTACCTCCTGGTCCGAAGCCTCTTCCGATCATAGGCAACGTTCACCAGGTTCCGGCGGAGTATCAAGAGCGAGCATTTGCACGCTGGTCCAAAACATATGGTACGTACTACTGTCAATCGAACAGCATAAAGGCATACCCTGACGATATGGCTGCGCTGTTAGGAGACCTCATGTATACCAAGATGTTCACCAGGCCGATCTTGATCATCAATTCGCTGAAGGTAGCGAGAGAACTGCTCGACAAGAGGGGCAACAAGTATTCGAGTCGGCCGCGGATGGTCATGCTAGTGAACTGTAAGTGGCCGCACCACTTTTGCATTGATCCTGATCGATTATTGATTACACGTAGATTGGGCTGGGACCCGGACGTGGTAACCCTTCCATATCACTCAGAGCATCGTCGAAAGCAGCGCAGGTGGATTCAAAATGCTTTTGGCGACAAGGCGGCAGTCCGGCAGTTAGAGACTCTGCAACAGAGGGAGACATATGTCTTGTTGATGGGCCTGATTCACGAACCGCACGACTTCGCCAAACATGTCAAGCGGTGTGTATCTCGATACTACAGTGCAACGACCAAGTGGCTCAGGCTCAAGCCTAACAGGTACATATCGGCACTCATCATGGACAGCGTGTACGGCCACAGGGTCATGTCTTCAGACGATCCATATATCCATATCATGGATCTTGCCATGGAATTGACAACTGCACTTAGTCCTGCGGGCGGTACGGTCGTGGACTTCTTTCCGATATGTAAGTCGGATCGTTTACCAGGCCCTCAAGCTGACGTGTGCCGCAGTGAAACACATACCGACGTGGCTGCCGGGTATGAGTTGGAAGCGCAAAGCAGAAGATGCCAAAATCATTGTTATGGACGCAAGACTGAGGCCGTATCACATGGCCCGAGATGCTGTTGTAAGTAGAATCCCTGTCCATATTTGATGTCATGACTGCTCACCGTCGCTGTCAGGCCGCAGGGTGCGCGAGGCCGTCGATCATATCTGGGCTCATTGAGGACGCAATGAAGCAAGGCAACCTTCCGGAGGAACAAGCTGACATCATCAACGGTTGCAGCGTCTTGTACGGTGGTGACTTCTGGTGTTTTATCGGAGAGGTATTAATTGGCAACTAACGTGTTCCTTATCCAGCCGGGACAGATACAGTAAGGACAGAGGTGGTACGATGATGTTGACTGATTCGACCCCTTGACAGACGAAAACGTCGCTGCTCACATTCATATTGGCAATGGTGCTTCATTCCGACGTTTATCAGAAAGCTCAAGATGAGGTTGACCGGGTCATTGGAAGCGACCGTCTGCCAACGCTCGCAGATCGGGATGATTTACCTTACGTTCAATGTGTCTTGAAGGAGGTGTATCGGTGCGTATATTGCTATCCAGGTCGGGTGTTGCGGGACTGAAAACGTGCTCTCATGAAGTTGGAATCCTCCAGTTCCACTAGGTGTGTAGCTGAATTAATTATGCGTTCAATTTTGATCGACGATCGGTATAGGTATCCCACACTATTTGACAGAAGACGATGACTATCAGGGTTTCGACATACCGGGTGATACCGGGGTCGTTGCTAACCTATGGTATGCATACATGCATATAGGCGTTTGCGCACAACTCACTTCCCCTCTCCAAGGTCCATGTCACATAGCGAGGAGGTTTATGGTGACCCGGACGTCTTCCGCCCCGAGCGATTCCTTCATCCCAATGAGGATACAGACATAGCAGACCCAGTCAACATCGTATTCGGGCATGGACGAAGGTGAGCTGCCTTGTAATCACTGCAAGTTTGACATGAACTTATGGTTCACAGAATATGCCCAGGTCGCGTTTTCGCGGACACGGCCATCTTCCTAGCGATCTCGAACATCATGCCACTCTAGACATCAAGAAGGCTCGCGATTCCCAAGGAAGAGAGATCACACCAGAGGCTCGCTTTGTTCCGGGCTTGTAAGGTTAGTCAGTCTCATCGTTCATTAGTAACACTGTCTGACGGCTCTCAGTCATCCTCGCAAATTCTCGTGTTCCATAACTCCACGCTCTGAAAAAGCAACGAACCTTGTCGCGGACGCCATCGCATCGTTTACCTGATTTCAGGCGTATCAGGTGCTGTCACGACATCACAGGCTTTCTTTGCATCTGACAGAGTTGCATGTACAGTGTTGCGAGGTTAGCTACGTGTCATTATAGCCTCGTGGTTTGGTTAGAGACACAGGCTCGCTCATGAATCAGTCTTGTTCATGAGCATATCGCGCGTACACGGGAAATCAAATAAAGCTACTATCACTGGGAGAAGAGCGACGGTATTTCTGTGTGCCTGCCTTCTCGTTCCTCGATCCTCAGTGGACTCTGAGACCAATATTTCCTGTGTTGCCGTGCGTCCTTCAGCTGATTGATCTAGTTTCTAGCCACACGAAGCCTGGAGCTCTAGTCCAGGGAGCTGCACCAATACGACGTATGAATCAGCAAACACTACAAACTCTCACTCGCCCTTCTCACGCTTTGTATTCCTCCGGAGATGTCGATTCTATTTCTGATGTCCAGCTGCAACTTCTGCGAAGACGCGCTTCGGGCACTAGTATGTGAGTAAGCTAAGGCTCGGCGAATGCACCTTGTCTCCACGACAAGACTTATGAAGCACGTCAAGCGGTACCATGTATCATGCCACCGCATCCATGAGGGTGAGTGACGATTGAATACCCGCAGATACACAGAAAAGCGATGCTCATGCTCTTCATTTATCAGTGCGACATCCAAGTTGGCAGTTCATGAGAGACGTTCAACGCACGACAGGATACAGTTTGAGGCGAATCTCAAGTTCGTAGTGTGCATTCACTTTAGGACTCCGTGCTCCATGATGCCTCAGCTGACGCTGTTCCAGTGTCTGACTTCTAGCTATGACAAACCTGGCAGGGTATTGGCCAGTCACTGGGTGAGGCTGAAGCGCAGCGATATGGAACGGCACGAATCACAGTGGCCCGGTCTCACAAAGGCTCCTTTGAAATGATGCTGGACTGTATGACATGAGCCGCCAGTGAAGCCTCGGATGCTTTGGTACTGCCCAGGTGGCCTGTGAATGTAGGTTCCGACGGAGGAAGCCCGCTTGCTTCAAGGCAACAAGGTTCATTCGCTGCTTTTGCTACTGTGTCGCATGTTTTTCAGAGACGGTACATATATGACAGAGCGGGCCTGCATCGCTGCAATACTCTCAGTAAGCCCAACCATCATCTGCTGCTGCGACACCATGGATCCTCTACCAGTGTCCTCGCCCATCACTTGGGCTTTCGGTACTCTCTTGTGTGCGGTGGCTACCTATTGACTCGTAACAGGTGGCCTGCCCGAGGTTACACCCTCAAACTACCGCCCGGTCCGAACCCTCTCCCAATCATAGGTAACATCCACCAAGTCCCGAGGAGTATCAAGAGCGTACCTTCACGGAGTGGGCAAAAATATACGGTACGGCTACTTTATGTTCAAGCTGGAGGGGTTACATCTTCTGACGGGTTGATTCGCAGGCGATCTGATGTATGCGAGGTTCTTCACTCGCCCAACCCTCATCATCAACTCGCAGAAGATCGCGAGAGACCTGCTGGACAAGCGCGGGAGTAAGTATTCCAGCCGGCCACGGTTGGTCATGATGTGCGAACTGTGGGTACAGATCTGTAGCATTGTAGGAGTCAGTGCTGATGTCGTGCACCCAGTCTTGATTGGACTCCAAACGTGTCGTTCCTGCCATACGAGAGTGAGCATTGGCGCAAACAGCGCCGATGGATCCAGCATGCTTTCGGGGACAAGACAACCGTGCAGCAGTTCGAGGCGCTACAGCAGCGCGAGGTGTACATTCTTGCCGCAGGCCTCATGCACTCGCCGCACAACTTCGCAATGCACATCAGGCGGTGCGTCAGGATCACTCACGACATCGTGCCATGCACCACAAACTGAGCGCGTTCGTCCAGGTACATGTCGGCGCTGATCATGGAGAGCGTGTATGGCCATCGGGTCGCCTCCCTCGATGACGAGTATATTATGCTCATAGACCGCGCTATGGAGGGCACAGTCTCCTCAGGTCCCGCTGGCGGGACGATTGTGGACTTCTTCCCTTTGTGTAAGTTCGTGTACCATCAGAGCCTCAAGAAGTTGACACGTGCTTAGTGAATACGTGCCAGCCTGGCTGCCAGGTATGGGTTGGAAGCGGCATGCATTAAGCACGAGAAGCATCATATGGGACGCCAGATACAAGCCATATGCTATGGTTCGGGATGCCGTCGTGCGTGATCGAAGATATGCTCGCGGGCGTGAGCTGACGGTCTCACGACCCATTCAGGCAGCTGGTTCTGCGAGGCCATCCTATGCCACTGCGCTCATTGAAGACGCAATGAAGAAGGGACGGCTCGAAGAAGAGGAAGAAGATATACTCAACTCTGCTGGGGCACTCTATGGCGGTGAGCAATGATTACTGTTCGTTAGCATGTTGTGACACACCCGCCTAACGCTATGTCGGGACAGCCGGGACGGACACTGTGAGTGACTCAATCATGCGGCTGTACGGATGCTGAGAGGATCACCGTAGGCAAAGACAACCTTGCTCACGTTCATACTGGCCATGGTCCTCCATCCGGATGTATACCAGAAGGCACAGGCAGAAGTCGACCGAGTAATTGGGAGGGATCGCCTTCCGACCTTAGCGGACAAGGATGCATTGTCGTACATTGACTGCGTGGTGAAGGAGGTATATCGGTGAGTCCGTGAACTGAAGAGACATAGTAGAGTCGCTGGAGCGTTATCCTGCAGCTGGAATCCTCCTGTTCCTCTCGGTAAGCTATTCAAGAGAAGCGTGCTTTCAGCAACTCACGGAGGCTCTGCAGGGATCCCGCACCACCTCACGGAAGATGACGAATACCAAGGGTTTGACCTTCCCCGAGGTACCGGAGTGATAGCCAATCTCTGGTACCGTCGAAATCACCCTGCCGCTGGCATACCGCTGACCCTCGTCTAGGTCTATGTCCCGCAGTGAGGATGTCTACGGCGATCCCGACATCTTTCGCCCAGAACGGTTCCTCGACCCAGGACTACCTGACCCGGAGATATCGGACCCGCGCAACATCGTGTTCGGGCACGGGCGAAGGTGCGCTGCCAGCGGCAGTTTTCACAGGCACTGTCCACACTGAAATCCCACAGAATATGCCCGGGACGCCTATTCGCAGAGGCAAGCGTGTTCCTGGCGATGTCGAACATAATAGCCACACTCGACATCAACAAAGCGCGGGACGACATGGGAATGGATGTCACCCCAGAGGCTTGCTTCCTATCTGGGTTTATCAGGTGAGTTGAGAATAAGTCGTGGTTGCGTATCGGATGATTTGTCTAACGCTCCTTGGAAGTTACCCTCGGGACTTTGCATGCTCGATAACGCCACGTTCTCCGGAGGCTGCCAGTCTCGTTGCAAACATGGTGGCATCGTCATCCTGAACATTGATACTGCCAGCAGCGCGCTGGCAAGGCTGTTTGTAGGGGCCTCTGTTTGAGATTTCATGGCTCACTTCGAAGCAGTTGCAGGCACGTTGATAATTGATACGCATCCGTCTCTGACCTGTGAACGGACACGTACTGGCTCTCGTAGATTGTCATCTACAATTGGCAATGAGTCTCGTGGCCCCGATGAATGTTATCTTCCCTGTCGCCTTTTGCCCGAAAAGAAGCTTCGCTCCGGATTCACCAAACCAACGATAGCGAGTCTGGCGAATCTCGTCGCTGGTCGTGGACAAAGGTGAGCTGGGCCGACTTGTCATGGCAAATCTGAAGTAAAGTCATGCTCAGGGTACCTTTGTGGCCATGTTTCTGGCAACATTGAACGACTTACAGTAAACCGAGATCAAGAAACTCCAGCATATCGGGGATGAGCTTCATTTCTAGGACGTTTATGAGGTCAGTCCACGTCGTCACACGGGCTATGTCAGGCACGCCGAGCAGTGCTTCTCAGTTATCCTCGAGCCTTTCGCGTGTCATAACGCCATACTTCTTGGCTTCGCAGTCTCGGAGTGGCATGTCATCCTTGTTGAATTCGCCTGCGGTCTTGAACTCAGTAACCTAAAGGAAGTTCGATTGCTCGAGAAACTGCAACATATGTAATGGCGCCCTTAGATGGCCCTTAGACGTCCCGCGTGATGGATTCTCTCTAGCACTTGGTGCGCCACCGCTCGGCACGTTGGTCAAATTTCAGTCGCCTCAGCGTCATTCGTCGGGCTTTGAGCTGCGCTGCCAGTTATAAGACGCCGGGCATGAAGGCGAGCTCACACTTACCCATCTCCCTCGCAATTGACTCGCGATCATGTCCCAGGATCTGTTTTCGCACATCTGGATCGCAGTCACCCTGTTATGGATTCTCGTATACTCATTCATTCGTGGCGCTCGAGAGAAGCCCGTCGTCTCCCGCCGGGCCCACGGCGCCTCCCACTCGTAGGCAATATCCTTGAAATGCCATCGAAGCACCTAGAGCACACCTTTGCTTCGTGGTCAAAGAAATACGGTACGTTTCACACCAAGAGCTTTCCATTGGCCTAATATGAAGATTATATACAGGTGACCTGATGTATAATGAGTCCTTTGGCCACCGTACAATCATCATCAACTCGCAGAGGGTCGCACGGGACCTGCTAGAGAAGCGGGGCGCGAAGTACTCGAACCGACCGCGAATGACAATGCTGGTAGAGCTGTGAGTTCCGTATGTTTAGCACAGAAGCGTGCGTCGAGTGAAGCTCGTCATGATGACCATGTCTCGGGTGCCAGAATCGGATGGGATCCCATTCCGGCGTTATTGCCGTATAGGTCGGAAGGCCACCGCAAACAACGCAGGTGGACATGGAGTGCGTTCGGTGACAAGAAGTCAGTGCAGAAGTACAAAGACTTGGGAGAAAGGGAGACGTGCATCTTCTTGCTGGGCCTGATGGAGACGCCCGACGATTATGCTCTACACATCAAGAGGTACGCTCAGTCTTCTCTGTAGGCACCGCTCAAGAAACGATTTGGACAAGGTACCTTGCAGGTCTTGTCCTCGAGTCCGTGTATGGGCATCGCATCACGTCGCTGGAGGATGAGTATGTGACACTGATGGACAATGCTATGGAGGCGACCACCACCACAACGGGAGCAGCAGGCGGGGCCTTGGTAGACATAATTCCAATCTGTGAGTACCATGACGGGCGTTGATACACCGACTGACCCGGACAATGCAGTGAAATACGTCCCCGCGTGGCTACCCGGAGCGGGCTTCAAGCGAGCAGCGCTGCACGCGAGGTCCCTCGTAAGGGATGCTCACCACGTACCGTACAGTATGGTTCGAGATGAAATGGCATGCACAAGCTATACTGGATAAACGTAAACATCATATGACGAAGATAAACAGGTATCCGGAGACGCACCGCCTTCATTTACTTCCGCCCTCGTAGAGAAGGCGCAGAAGATGGGACAGCTTACCCAAGACGAAAACCTCATTCGCTACGCGGCAGGGAACATATATGGCGGTGAGTCCTCCATGGATATGTAGCTAAGCGGTCTCTCAAATGCTGTACTAGCTGCGACAGATACGGTACATATCCACATTGACGACCTCGGGCCATTCCTGATTAGCACTATGACAAATAGACGCAATCCGCTTTACTCACTTTCTTCTTAGCGATGGTGCTCCATCCAGAGGTATACAACAGAGCGCAGGAGGAAGTGGATCGTGTTGTCGGGAAGAACAGACTTCCGACTTCGGAAGATAGGCCGCATCTCCCTTACATCGAAGCCGTCCTGAAGGAGACTTATCGGTGAGCGTACACAATTTGTGCAATCCTCATGAATTCTAATCAATCTGCGACAAGCTGGCATGCGCCCGTCATTCTCGGCAAGAGCTTCTAGGTCTGCTGTAAATCTCCGGCTTACACGAGACCGCAGGACTGCCGCATTATCTCGACGAAGACGATGAATACGGAGGCTATCATTTACCCAAAGGCTCAACTGTTGTGGCGAACGTGTGGTAGTGCAAGTGCACTACATTGCAACCTCAGTCGACTTACCGTCATTCCCAGGTCGATCTGTCGTGACGAGCGCATCTGGGGTGATCCGGCTGCTTTCCGTCCGGAGCGTTTCCTTGAACCGAAGTCTGAAGTGCTAGATCCATTCAATGTTGTCTTGGATACGGGCGCAGGTGAATCCTCTTAAATCCATCTGAATAGAAATATTTATTTGCGTCCGTACCGATTACAGGCGCTGTCCCGGACGCCTCTTCGCGGACACGACGCTGTTCCTGGCCATAGCAAACATGGCGGCTACGCTGGACATCCGTAAGGCGCGCGATGCAGAGGGGAGGGAGATTACTCCAGAAGTATCTTTTACTCCCAACTTCGTCAGGTGAGGCATTCAAATGTGCATAGTATAGACGGTGTCGGACTCACTGTGAGCTAGCCATGCTGAAGAATTCACCTGTGCCATCACACCGCGCTCTTCCGCAGCGAAGACACTTGTCGCGGAGACGTTGGCGAGGGTTCCGGAGTGACAGCCCTTCTATATCATATGACTGATGTCCCGAGCTGTGTCGGCATTGAATCACTTTTCTTGGACTGTACTCTGTGGGTGTAGACGGTTCCCCTAGCCTGTTGTCCCCTTATGCCTCTTGACTCAAGAAGCCATTCAACCGGCTAAATGTCGCAGGGTGCTGACCTACCTGAGATCCGTTGCTGATCCATCAGACAGACGTAGTTTCAGCAGCAAACCACGGCGGCTTTTACAGGAATCTCACCCCACCTCGCAGTATATGACGAATACGGCTTCGATCTGTCCGAGTCAGAAAATGTCGGAGTGAACGTCAATCTGCATGGTCACAGCTACCAGAACCAAACCTTTGCGCATCACCGACGGCTGGCATCGTCAAGGTCCATGACCCACAGCGAAGACGTCTACGATGGCCCCGACGTCTTTCGCCCTACGATCCAAGTCTACCCGACCCGGATCGGATTCACGCAACATCGCGTCTGGGTATGGGCGAAGGTGCGCCGCCCAAGACACTTCCCACAGTCTGATATTGTGAGATGAGCCGTAGAGGAGCGGTCTGACGCTTCCCGTACAATCCCCGGGACCTTGTCTGTGAGATGACGCCGTGTCTGTTAAGTTCCTCTGATCACGGATATGGAGGTCTCGTCAGTTTAAAAAGCCGGAGGCGATTTGACTAACTTACCTCAGGCTGTAGCACCTTTTTGACATTTTAGTAGAGCCAGCCGAATCCGAGGAGCGTTGACAGTGGACACTATCGGGGAACAGAGCGAACAATGCGAGACATCAATCGCGCTGCGAGGGCTTCTACTACTCGAGTCCTCACGTAGGTAAGGCAGGCTTGTGCGAGCAGGCTGAGCAGCGCGTAAGTAGTAGCGAGCACTGCCATGAGCGAGAACGCAAGCACACCGCCTGGACTAAGTAGTGATGAAGCCAAACACCAAGAAAGAGCAGCGAGGTAAAGGGAAAGCTAAAAGGATGATCGCGAGATGTGTTATCCTACTAATTCACGATCACGTGGTACACCGCGTCCGCGACGCGCATCGTGCGACGTTCATTCGCGTTCCACCCACGCGTAAACGGGATTAACGCGAACCACAATGAAAGACCTATCATCGCCGCAAGAAAATCCGATTCCTGTCATTGTATGTACGTATCCATGCATTGCAATACCTCACAGCATCCCGATCCCACCAGCATGCCAGACCATCCCCCAAGCCTTCTAAGTTCTAACGAAGGGCTGATGCAACATTCTATTCCAACAATCGTCCCTGTGATACGTACGTGTGTCGTCTCAAGCTCCTCGCTAGTCTCACGCGCCCAGCTTGAGCGACGCCATGCTCGCCTCGAGGGGGTTGAACTTGCCCTTGATGATATCCGCGCCCTGCTCCGCGATGCCGTACACAGTCGCTGTCCAACACGCACGTCAGATCACCGTGCGCTCGCGAAGCGGAATGCACGGAGTACTCACCCATAGGGTGCGCAGCGAACAGCAGCGGGCGACGGACAGGTCAACGACGCGGATGTTGTTCGTGCCGTAAACCTTGAGCTCGGGGTCGACGACGCCGTTGTGCTCCTTCGGGAGCATCGAGCACGTCGACGCGGTGTCTGCAGGGTCAATTTGCGTCAGGGTCTAGGTTTCAGTCCGAATTTGTCGGGATACGCACGCCACGTCGTGCCCATGCACTTCTTGATCCAGTCCCGGACCTGTGCGTCGTCCTTCGCCTGAGGGCCCGGGTTCAACTCGTTGACTGGGGCCCCAACATCAGTCAACACTATGGATGACAAACATGCTCCACGCACCGATGATGTCCTTCAACGGTGAGACGTCCGCCAGCTTCCTGGCCCACTTCACAGACTCAGTGAAGACATCCAAGTCGACCTCATGCTCGAAGTAGCGAGGGTCGAACTCGGGCTCCTTGTGCGGGTCGAGGACGTCGAGTGCTGTGATCACACACCCCGTCAACGTCCTGGCAACAGCCACACCAGCACACGTAACACCACGATCGTCCCCCTCGAGAAGCAGTGGTTCATCGCCACCAAGATCGTCATATAGCTCTTGCCTTCCGCGGGCGGCGCAGGCCCCCCAGGAACCCCGGGTAGCAGATGAGCTCGCAGCCGGGCGCGCCCCTCTTTATACGATCGAGCTGGATGTTGTACTGCTCCATCAGGCCCGGCGGGAACTTGTCCTTGTTCGCCAGAATCTTCGCCTTCGTCCGCTCGTAGATCGTGTCCGCGAGAGGCGAAAGGTCGTTGAGGGCCGTGAACGCGAAGCCGATGATGCCTCTCGTGTACAGACCCTCACCGAGCGCGCTAGACGTCCTCAGTGTCAACGAGACCGGACGAAGGTTTGGAAGACGCAGCAACGCACTGTAGGTCTAGGTGCTTGGCATTGTGAGTAGCGTCCCTGAGTAGGTCGATGGTTTCAAAGCCGACGTCCTGCTTGAGTTCTACACGGGTCGTCAGTATCGTGCATTAGCACCGATGTCCGAGCACGTACCCCAGCTGACGCTAATGAACATGTGCTCCTGGGCGTTCTCTCCGACCCCAGGAAGCTCAAGCTTCAGTGGCACGCCGATCTTCCCGAGGACATCCTTGCGGCCAATGCCAGAAAGCTCCAGGATATGCGGAGACTTCAGTGCACTAGGTAGACCAATACGATTAGTACGTCTCCGAAGATGAGCCCAACTTGTCACATACCCAGCAGCCAAGCAGACGTCCTTCTGCGCGTTGACGGTGTGCACCTTGCCGTCATACTCAAACTCGACCCCGACAGCAGTGAGCTTGCCATTCGTCGCAGGCCGGGTGTTGACGCGGTGCACCGCCGCGTTGATCAGGACCTTGAGGTTCGGTCTGTCTTTGTTGGGGAGGTAGAAAGCCTGTATGGCGATTGTCAGCGTCATCTCGCCATGATGAGACGGCAAGTGAAACTTACAGTCGTGGAGTACGAGCGAACGTGCTTGATCGGGTCATAAGTGTTGGGGATAAGGAAGACACCATGGGGCTAGAGACACCATTGAGTCATGCAGTTCCTCCGCGGATTGTGAAGGACGTACGTCGCCGCTGAGCTATGTTCCGCATACATACATAGTCAGATCGATGCTCTGGTTGAGAAGGCGCGGGAGACTCACCGGGTGTGCAGCCTTGGACAAGCCCGCGTTGAACAGACTCTGGTTACAATTGATAAGTAGGAGATCTTCATGTGAATGAAGGTCGAAAAGCCCACCTGAAGCCACTTCTTCTCAAGCCCGTCGATCATGCCGGGATAAGCCAATTTGAGAGGACCTGTAAAGATATTGAAATCAATGTCAATGTCATGCAACGCGAAAGTCAAACGAGTTTCCTTACCATCCCGTCCAATCTTCCACGTGTCGAAGTTCACGTTGACGTTATCATTGCGTTTCCTCACTTCTTCGCTCGGAGCGACGAAACTGCGAAAGGCCATCAGAAAATAGACTCACCACTTTCCTCGCTGAACCTACCCCTCAGTCTTTGCAACGTAGCGCTCGTAATTCTGCCAGTTCCAACCTGGGTTGCCGAGTTTCTCGAATTCTGCGGGACGCGTTAGACTAGGGATGACTATATGCGCGTTGGGCATACCGTCAATTTCCTCCCGGGGTGGCTTGGTCCAGCACATGAAGTTGATACCGGAACTTCCGCCAAGGCCCTTCCCTCTGAACCAGAACCAATCCGCATCGCCGAGCTCCTTCTGCTTGATCTGCGAGGTATAAATGAGATACTGAATCCCGCCGCGGCAACGACCATACCGTTTTGTACGGCCACGTCCAATCGGCGTTGGCAAAGTGGGTGCCATATGAGGCGGGACGCACTGAAGGGACTGAGTGTCGCGACGTAGCGGACTTTGCGCGTGCACTCACAGATGCCGGGCTCATCGAGGTTGGCACCGCCAGCCTCGAGTACAAGGACAGAGACCTCGGGATCCTCGGACAGTCTGGCGGCCAAAGTCAGGCCGGCCGTGCCTCCGCCTGCGAGAGCATGTAGGTGAAGTCGGAACTCATGGGAGTACTATGCGACTGACCGCAGACGACGTAATCAAAGAACTTGTTCGACACCTGGTCGATGGTGGCGGTCATGACGGGCGATGATGAGAGTGGGGAGCAAGAAGGGGCTTGGGCGTGGCAGGATGCGGGGATCGACTAAATAGCGGAGGCAACTCCGAGACTGATTTGGAAGTGAATTCTTTGGACGGGGCGTGCAGCGGGTGCGTGCGGCCGCGGCGTGCGCGGTGAGACTGACAGGGCGCAAGTCATCGAAGAAGATTCTATCGCCCGTTTCCATCACAGCGCGGCAGGATTGGCGAGACAGCTTCGACACAATCTGGGTCACCTCGACGACTCTTCCAACCAGCATGCGCACGCCTCGTTCGTCCTAGAACGGCGCGTGTCTGCTACTCATATCTCGTGATTGTCACATCAGAGGTAGGCATGCGGACGCACTAAAACATGGCGTGCACGCACTGAGCTGAGGCATGGCCGGCGAGTAGAGTGCGGGGCCCACCAAATGGGGCAAGCGCAGAGACGACTTTAAGATTAAATGTTGAGAAGGAGAGGAAGTGACTGACGATGCGCTTAGCTGCCGAGGAAGCGCCCTGCAACGACGTCCAACGACCGATCCGTGGTCTCGATCGAGCCAATCAGCGCCCGGCCCCAGCCACACCCCCGCAAGGTCACGGTCCCACACTTCTGCAGAGTTGTGTGGCCGCGAATACAAACAACACGCTCGATGCTCTGAGTTGCCAAAACGGGCAGCAAGCCACACCGTTGGGCGGTGGTTACAGCTGTTGCAGAAGGGTTTTGGCTGGCGAGATGAACGGTTGCAACTTGAAGCGGGCATCCCAATTTCGCGTAACGGCCGTAAGCGAGCCTCTTGATGAGGCCCAGGCGACCAGATTTTGAGCATTCAATGATTCATAGTGACCGCTCCGGGCCTGCGAGATTGCAGCTTCGAAGCCGAGGTCAATGTCGTGATACTTATAGTCATAAATAGCGTTGAACGTTCTGAGGCTCGGTCAACGACTCGCGCGCTCAGACGGTAGTGCCCTCTCTTAATTTGGTGAGTCACTCTGCGGCAGATGTCAGCTGTGCAAGAGGAGCCTCGTAGGGATGTCTTTCAGCTAACCTTCACTTGAAGTACTTGCTGGTAGACCGAATGAAGAGCGCGTCAACAAATCTAAACCCCCGTGGTGCGAATCGGCTTCAGTGCCGTCCCCTGTGTTAAGAAACAACAGAATTGGGATGCCGTACCATCAGCACCGGCATAAGTAGCTTGACAAACGGTACGAAAAGCGCACCAGGATAACACTTTGAGAGAGATCACATGAAGATCACATTGGAGGCAGGGCCTCAGACCTCAGCTGTAAGCCTTGAGAACGTCGAAGGGAACCATTTGCTTGGCTTGTCCTCGAAAGACATTGTACCCGTTCCGATCCTGCACCCGCGGAAGCCACGGTACTCCCACCTTGAATCTACTGCGTGCATTCGTCTATCCCACGGGCGTACAAAGAACACACCATGCAGAGCAAGAACCAAGCGAACAAGAGGAGCATCGTCGTAGCGGTGTCTTTCAACGAACCTCCCGCTTGATATTAGTGTCCCACCGGCGGGTTTGCAGGGCATTTCGAACCCCACTATGATGGCTGTGACGCGACCGCCCCGGACACTGTGCCTAAGATTAATTAGTGAAGACGTCATCATATTGTACTGGGTGACTTCGTAGCAGAGACACTGCAGTGAGATCGAATATTGAATGGGGCGAGTCAGCGTCCTGCGTTGTACTTGTAGCCGATAATATTCGGGGACAGTGCCTGCCCGCGTTCGTGGGCATTCGTAGGCATGGCAAGGCGCTTTTCGTGCTCCTCGATATCTCGAGCCCACCTTGCTGCCGAGCGGGTCGCGCGCATAGCGTTCTCGATGAACTGTGGATCCGCGACGTCTAATTGCTCTTCAATCATGTCGGCCGCGAGATGTAGTAGGCGAACATGCTCGCGCACATCAATCGCAGCCTCGTCATCACTCTGCGAAGTATCATCAGCATTGCTCGAGTCGCGAGGAATGATCAATCTGAGTCAACATAGGGGTCACATACCTCAAAGCCTGCGTTCCACCTGCGTGCATGCGCGACAAACCGTCGCGCCCTAAGCGACGGCTTGTAGGTGACGAGTTGTCTGTTGTAGATACACTCACGCCATCAGTGCCCTGCTCATGACTGCACAATGTGACTCACCGACGACATACTCACAGTCGATAACACCGACTCCTCCGCTCCCGACTCGGACTCCTCCTGCGACGGCCGCGCCGTGCTCTTCATCTGGACTCGAGTGACTGGCCTCCGAGCCCTGTATTCTGATGTGGCCGCCTTCGGCATGTTTTGTGGATCTCGGGGGCGGCGCGAGTTTGGTGGGCACAGTATTGGACTAAGTACAGTGGTACGCGACTTAAAACAGGTCCGAGGCGGTCGCGCCACAACCGACACAGCGGAGGAGGTATTACCCTGCAAACCGGGTGGGACACTAACTCAAGCAAGTTGCAATTAATACTTGGCACCGTCGTGACACACGATTCCGACCTCGACATGAACTCGACATGAACTCGACATCGTCGTGACGGGAGGAGAGAAAACCTGCCGTCGAGCCGTGGAGGGATCCAGGGCAGCATCAGGGCCAGGAACCGCCACATCACAAATAGGAACACACAGGCTGTGGCTGTGGCGGCGACTGCTCGGCGGCGACGGGGACGGAAAGGCAGCGCCGTTGTTCGCACCTCGCAGTCTTCGCCTCCGTCCCTCCCCCCGGGCTACCCCTCCACATCGGTCCTTCTCTACGCTCCTTCATCCTCCGCCGGCGTCGCGAGCGTCGTATTCCTCGACAGGATGCAGCACCGGCTCTTCTCGCTTGTCCCGACGGGCCTTCTGACCATCCTCCTTGCGTGGTGTCTGGTACCGCTCGCAAAGGCAGACTGTGAGCGAGACGAACGGCGGCGATGTGCAGGGCTTGCTAACGGCGTTTTTGGGGTGCAGATTGGAATATCACAGAACCGGCGAACGGCGTGGTCTGGACGAACGGGCAGACGAACCTGATCTCTTGGACGAAGGGACTAGATGACGGGGTGACGCAGTTCGACATTGAGCTGCAGAGATTGAGCACGTCGGGGCTATCATATGTTGCGCATCTTGGTACGTGTTCCGCTCTTCACACCGAGCGGAGTAGAATGAAGGCTTGAGGTGGTTCAATACGTCGGCATGGCGTAGACTTCCCGCAGCTGCGATCCGGAGAAAAGCATCACATTGCAGCTAAGTCCACCATACCAAGCCGCCTGGACCCCGCCTATTGTGTTCGAAAGGCGCGGGGCCCGACGATATGGACTTAGCTGTGAAGTGAGACTATATGCGCTCCATCGACGAACTTTGCACGCATCGGCTGCACCGCCCCGGTCCGGACGTTCAGCGTTCAGCTGCATCCCGCCTTCTCCCGCTCCCTAACAGACACCGGACTGACCACCGTTCCTCCCACAGTGCCCGAATCCATGAGCAGCATCAACGTCTACATCCAAGACCTGCCCACGGGCGACGACTACTACGTCATGTTCGTTAACTACACGCACGGCCTCCTCTACACCTCGTCCTCCACCTTCACCATCTCCGACTCGACCAACTCGTCCACGCCCTCGCCCGACGCGAGCGCGCCCACCGTCTCCATCTCCGGCGCGCCGAACCCCACCGCGCAGTTCGCGACGACGTTCGCGAGCACGGGCATGCGCGCGTGGACCGGCGTCGACGGCGCGGCGTTCCAGATCGTCACGATCACGAGCGTGCTGCTCATGAGCGTGCTCTGCGGCGCGTTCTCCGTCCTCTAGCTGCAGGCGCGGACGAGGACGCGGCTGGGCGATCACGGTGTCTGCAGCCGAGTACGGACCGGGACTTCTGCCGCGGAAGCAGACCACGCACGCACACGCTATACGACGCTTTCAGGCTATCAGGATCGGGAGCACGGCTGTCACGGTTGGGGGCTGGCTATCAGGGAGGTGTACTGTACCTCCGGCGCTGCTGTCGTAATGTATACCTGCGTAGGCGGGTGGGCTGGGGGTGCCCACTTGCCCGCTTGGTTTCTTGTCTCTTTCATTATTATTTTACGGGCGTGTTGGTTCTGACTGGCTATGGATTGTTAGCTGACAGTGCTGGTGATGGACGCGATGACATGCATGTGTGTACGCCCGCGGGTTAGACGAATGCACGCGTTAGATTCAAGGTGGTCGTGCCGCGGCTTCCGCGGGTGCAGCAAGGTACTTAGCAGTTGTACCAATCCGACAGTTCGTTCTTCGGTAATCCTGTCTTGTGCCCTTGCCAATCGCATTCTGACTCGTTGGCTTCAACGGGATTTCCAAAGGCAATACAGTAGGTATGTGATGCCTCTTTCTAGTATTGGTGGTTTGTCCTTCAGACAGGAAACATCGACATGTGCATCTTATCTGTCTACCCGTGCCATCGACACACCCCGCATCTGAAGTTGACGTACCCCAGTAAGTCATCGCAGACGTATTTCAGTGCGCTGCACCGGCACGTGTCCGTTGGTGCAAAATCAACTGAGTGGTCGAAGAGGGCTAATGCCCATCTGTGTGGCGACTCCACTCGCCGACCGGGGGTTTGCTCGCCCACAGCGATGCGTTTCGTAGACATCTGGAGCTGCAGCCTACTGCCTCCGTGCGTATTGCACTTGCATCAGACGGCCGGGTACGCTGTGGTGAGCAGTTCGATATTATATTGTCAGGATTCAAACGCACACGCGTGCTTGACCGTGCTTGTCCGAGGTCTCATTTTCGTAGGATCAGCGCCCAGTGGGAGACGCCGCGCGGCGCATGGAAGGACCGCCTCTCCATATATGTATTCCTCAAACCCTATTGTATACGCCGCGACCCGATAACACCAGTACAATCTCATACAAGGTGCACACATCTGCTCGATGAAGCTGAGCAGTTTTCTCGGGCTCTTAAAATCAGCGCTCAGTGGGCGACCGGCGTTCTTCGCGGTGCAATGGAAGGCCTGCCTCATGGCTACTGCATACAACCTAGACCCGACATCACCAGCACAATCGGTACATGAGTGGGCTATCCTACACTATCCTTTAGTTGTGCCCTAGCATTTGAACGCGTCTGCCAGGAACGCGTGATCTTGCAACTCCTCCGCCGTGGCACGTTCCGAGTAGTCGAAACGCAAACAGGCGCGGATGAAGTCCGCCGCCTTCTTGATCTCGTCCTCCGAGAGGCCCGGTACCTTGTAGTTCGCCATGGCGGTTTCCAGACTGCTCGGTATGAGCTCCGAAATGCGCAGGAGGTTGCCTGTCATCGGGGCTGAGTATGAACTAACATGGATGGGACTGAACCGAGCCGTACCATCGTCATCGAAAAACTCCTTTCGCCGCTTCGCACGTTCGAGCATCGGCGCGGGGAAGCGTTGGCCGGTCATCTCCATCATCTTCGCGAGGTGGTCGTCCTCCACACTCCAGTCCTCGCCCTCTTCCGGGTGGAAGAGCCAGCGGCCCACAAGGAGCTCGAACGTCTGCGCAAAAATCAGATCACAAAGCCCGCGTGATGCATACAGGAGCGTACAATGCAGCCGACGGCCCAGATGTCCAGTCCTGGCCCAAAGTCAGACTGGAGAATAACTTCGGGGCGCGGAGGGCGTACGCGCTGAAGCAGTCGGTCGTAGGCTGCTCGCCCGCGCGCTGGGCTGTGGGGGTTATGAGGCTCTCTGCAGTGCTTCGGTTAGTCGCTGACCTTGGCCGTAGTCCACTAGGTAGATGAGCATCAACTCGGCTTCGAACGCGTTGGTATCCCAGGAATAGCCGTGTGGGATTGGTTGGGACTTGAGGAGGGGGTAGCTCTCGCCGTCAAGCTCGAAGCTACCGTCTGTCTCGGCTGGGTTTGCCTCGAGGAAGCGGTCGAGGTCCTCTTCCCAGTAATAAAGCGAGTTGCCGAAGAGGAGGTTGTCTAGCTTCACATCTGTACAGATGTGAATAATTGTAGATGGTACGGCGACGAGCGAGTTACCGGCTGACCTGTGTGGACTATGCGCATTGAGTGCAGCTGGACGAGAGCTTCCACCAGCATCATGATAATGTTTCGCGTCATGTAAGGCGGCAGCGCCTTGTGAGGTGCTGAACGACGCAGGGCCGAGACAGAGGTGCTGTAAAGGTCCATGACCAGACACAGATGTTCGCCCCGCGGGCCACGCTCAACAAAGTGATCACGTAGCAGGGGAAGGTGGTCAGAGTCTTTCCACCCTCTGATCTCCTTCATGAACTCGAGCTCGCGCATCTGGCCCGTGCCATGTCGTTTTGTGGCGTCGACGGTCAGAATCTTGGCAGCGAGGTACTTGTAGCCTCGCCTGCGGAGATGAGCAACGGTGCGTTGGGAACACAGCTGGAACGCTCACTCACTCGCCATCCTCGTCGTAGACAATCCAAGAAGACGAGGACACGCCCTCGCCGAGCTTACGGCGAATCTTATAGCGGCCAGCTTTCAGCGGGGCATTGAGGCGAGCAGGGAAGTAGTCGTTGTCGAAGCCAGGAGCGGTGGTCATAACACGCAATGGGGGGATAAGAGGGCCGACGAGGAGGAGGAGGAGGAGGAGGAGGAGGGTATTACATTTAGTCAAGCGCTGGTGTATATCGGCGCGAGTTGGCCTGCGCATGCTGCTCGAGTTGACTTGGGGTTATCCTCACCCTCAATTGTGCCATACATGATGCCTCGCGCTAATCGTATAAAACGCTTCATACGTTGCACTATGATGGTGTTCTACATGGAGTGAATATTTGATGATAATCCTGGTTATGCGCCAATACGAGCCAAGCATCGCCACAACGAGACTCTGGCCCAGGCGTTGAGTAACGTTGAGTAACTTACGAGTGCAGCCTCCGGCCCGGGGCTCCGTGGGTGGCACCGGCGCTCCGTGGCAGAGACCAATTCTTGCTGCTGCTGGCAGTGCTGCCACCGCCACTGCCAGCTCTCGTTTGTTACAAACCTTCAATCATTGCATGAGCCTCATGAATACTCTCTTAATCTCGTATATGCCTTCAATCGTGGTCTAGTGAAACTCCTACTCCAATTCTGCACTCGCTCCAATTCTGCACTCGCCAGCAATCTGCGTATCGCTGACCATGAGGGCCCCATTGATCACAACCTTGAAATCGGTCCGACCGAGTCGAGCGCGATACTGCGTCCTGGTGATGCAGTATTCTCGTTATACACTCTCAAATCATTGCAAGCCCGCACTCACTACTCACACAGCCAGGAGAGAACACTACGGCACCTATGATAAACATCTCTTCGCCTTCGGCGTGTTTGCGGCTGCCGCAGACAACGCTTTGCGGTATGACCGGCCTGGGAAGCTATGAGCGTCGCTACCGCGTCGGAGAAACGATGGCGGCCTTTGCTCCTCCACGGAAAGGATTGCAGGAACGATCATACGGCAAGCGTGAGTGTTTCACGCCCAGAACCAGTGGTGTCCAACGGTTCGTGCGCGTCCCCCAGCCTGTAACTCCAGTGTAACTCTAAAGGTAGTGTGCGATAACGGTCTGGTGAACTTGGTACCTATCTTCTCATGCACTGACAACTATCTTCTTCTTGCTTTCACAGGGTCTTCTCGCTCAGCGTAGAAAGGCGGATGCTTCGCGAAGACGCACGCCGCTCCGTAGAAGCCGCTCAATACCTCGCCCCCTCGATGCTTGTCCCCCGGTATCGGCATGATAGGCCTGACCCTCCCACGAAGTGAAGTGCCCTCTTCTCGCTGAAGACCTGCTGAACCACGCAGAACTTACCGCCATGGCGACCCGAACCGGTTCCGAGCGAGCTTCCGTCGACACCAAAGACGTCATCGTCAACGAGAAGCAGCCAGAGGTGCACGTCGCAGTGTTCACGAACGAGGTCGATACGGGTGCGCAGCTCGTGGCGGGCACGGTCACTCAGGTGGACCCGCAGGAAGCGTTGCGGGTGCGGAGGAAGATCGACTGGCATATCATGCCGCTTATGTGCAGTGAGTGTGGGCTATCTTGCGATGGAAGCTGAGGGTACGACGATGATTATGTGCGATGTAGCGATTTATTGGGTGCAGTATATGGACAAACTCACGCTTGGGAATGCGGCGATCCTGGGTCTAAAGTGAGTCAGAAGCTGGTCGCGTGTCCGCTGACGCGAACCACACACAGGACGGCAACGCACTTGACCACGAACGAGTGAGCAGCATTCGCTTTTTCCGCGCATACAGGCTGTCTCAACTTGACCTACACAGATACAACTGGTGCGCCCGCCTCTCTCACGCGCGTCTCGCATGTTGACGTGGTTCCGCCAGGCTCGGGACGATCTTCTACATCAGCTACCTCGTCTTTGAGTACCCCCAGAACCTCGCCCTGCAACGTCTGCCCGTCGGCAAATGGCTCAGGCGAGTACCCCGCATACATCCTGCGTCCCGTCGCAGGACTTACGGAAACCCCAACCAGTGTCAACATCTTCATCTGGGGCACGGCCATGGCGTGCCACGCAGCCTGCAAGGACTTCGGAGGCTTGCTCGCGTGCCGCTTCGTGCTGGGTATATGCGAGGGTTCGGTTACCCCGGGTTCATGGTCGTGACCTCCATGTTCTACACCCGCAAGGAACAGACACTGAGGGTCGGGTACTGGTGTGCGTGTCTGGCGTTCCTGTGTTGTGCTTCGATGACGGCCAGTGGTTTTTGCTAGTCATGATGAACGGAACTGGTTTGCAGTTTGTGTATCCCTTCCGCCTATGCTATGCTGACCCTCGTTGTCAGCTCAGATTATCCTTGGATTCGTGAGCTTCGGTCATTGCATACCACACGCCGAACTTCGAGCCTTGGCAATGGTAACGTCTTTCTTCGATGCATCGACACCGCACATAGCTTATGATGGCACCGTCAGGCTCGTCGTGATAACCGGTGCCATCACCATAGTCTCTTCCGTTGCATTCTGGTGGATTTACCATTTTGTGCCAAACACGGGTCTTACGACACTCTGGCAGGCTCATGTTCCCCGACTCCCAACTAACGCCTGGTTCCTCACCCATGAGGAGCGAGTCATCGCAGTGCAGCGGCTGAAGGTGAACATGATACCTGCGACGTCGCGCAGTTCTCATTGACGTCGTGCAGGTGAACCAAACGGGCGTGAGAACAAGCATTCAAGAAGGAACAGTGCGTACCCCGCCCCCCTTCATCGCATATCCAATACTGATGTATGCGCCAAGATTCTACGAGCCCTCCTCGACCCGAAGACCTGGCTTTCTTCCTCTTCTCCGCCCTCGACAACGTGCCCAACAGCCTCACGAACCAGACGCAGATCATCATGGATCCTTCGGGTTCTCGAACCTGCAGACGACGCTCTTCAGCCTCGTGAGCGGCGCGATCGAGCTGCTGACGATCTCGTCCGGCGTGAACCTCGCGACACGTCTGAACAACGCGAGGGCGTACGTGGGCGTGTGCTGGTATCTCCCGACGCTGCTGGGCATCTTGCTGGTGAACTTTCTGCCGTGGAGCAATAAGGCAGGCTTGTTGTGCGGGCAGGAGCTGACGAGTGAGTCTCGTCCAACGTTCGATTGCCCTGGCGCGTACGATGACTGATTTGCGTGTTTTCTCAGACATCAGTGTAACGGCGTTCGTACTCGCGCTCTCCTGGGTGACGAACGTCACCGCGGGACACACCAAGAAGGTCACAGTCAACGCGATCATGCTGATCGGCTACTGCGTCGGCAACTCAGCGGGCCCGTTCATGTGGCAGGCGCAGTATGTCCCCAGGTCAGCTCTCCAAATTATTACCGCATATAGCCTGTCACTCATGCTGGGTATGCAGGAACCACGTCCCGTGGACGGTTATTGGCATCTGCTACCTCTGCTGCATGGGCTTGCTGCTGATCATCCGGTATGCTGGCGCGCGAGAACAGGAAACGCGACCTGAGCCGAGAGACACGACGCGATGATGTGTACATCGAGGTCCTGCTCGCGGATGGAACCACGGTCGAGAGGAAGCTGGAGAAGGTGGGTACCTCGGACGCGGGTCTGGAAAGGCTGCTGACGATCCTCGCGACACAGGAGTATCTCGACCTGACAGATATCCAGAATCGTGACTTCAGATATGTCCTTTGACGAGAACAGGTTGTATATGAGCCGCCCAGTGTTGTAACATGATCTATCCCATTAGCAAACACCGTTCTTCGGGGCGAATTGCCAATACTTCGATTCAAACAATATCAGCCAACCTCGTTCAGATGCGGTTTCAGGGAACGTACACGTCTGTTGGGCAACGAGAGCACGTATGGCCCCAAGAATGACTTGACGAGCCCTGGGACGGGTGGGAAGCCGGACGTTGGTGGTGAGTGTATAATCGTGTAAACGAGGAACGTTGTCGGTGGCTGGTGCCCCTTCTGTGAGAACATGCTCGGTTGGACGAGCCTGAGCACTGACCATCTCCTTCATATGTTGGGTGCTGACGTCGGCGATGTGCTTGACCTCCGTTTCCGCCAACCCGGACGCGCGAAGCTTCGCCGGTTCGAGGTACGTGATCTCCTGCATGAACTGTCACTGTACATTAGTCTCAGAGCATCCTCCCAGTCATTCAGGTGTCTGACTTACGTGCTTCGTGAGAGGCTCAATGAATGCATCCACGAGCGTTCTCAGCCTTTCACCATCGTAGGGTTGTTGATCGTGAGGTCCCGCGACCTGGTCGTATCCCCACTTCTCGCCCGAAGGGAGACAAAAAACGAGGTACTGCTCGAACTTGTGCATGCCCTCCGTGAAGGTCGCGTGTTCCGCCACAATAGAGGAAGTGTCGAACTTCGGATTGAAGAGAGGGTAATAGATGTTCTCCTCCCAACTGCAAAAGCAGTGTCAGACACGAGTCCCCTGTTACTTGGCCGTTGTCAGGAGCACGCACTGATGATGGTGTTCTAGAGCTGCTACCCATTGGAGAACATAGCCAACGAAGTCTTTCTCTTTCTCTTTGGGTACGGATGTCGCTTGCTATGCACAAGTCTGAGGTCAGCGTCCTGGACACGTCCTGTGTTCGTGAAAGGCGGTCACTCACTTGGTACACGTTCAGTAGCCCGTTCATCAGACACGCATGTGCCCCTGCCATCTCCCAGTACTGAGCCTCATAGATGTCCACAGGAATCGGCCCGCGGGCGGGTTCCTCAAAGTAAGCAAGTGCCTTGCGAAGTGCGGGTACGGATGCCATGGCGGAGGGTCGTCATCGTCGAGAACTCCCTGCGCTCTGCGTATATGTATGAGTTATGAAGTAAGGCACGGCCGGTTATTGACTGAAACAACATCGCATCAGGTCCTGGGCGTCGTGACGGCGTCGTCCTGCGGCGAACACATGCTCGATCAACGACCCGGTCTGGCCAACCAATTCGCGTCGCTGCAGTTGGCATCATCCCCTTGTCCTGGCGTTGCAACATGTTGATCCCGCCCTGGATCTTCATCCGCGGCGCGCGCAGATCGACAAGGCAGTGCTCGCCCCTTGCATGCCGAACTGAACCGGGCTCGCGAATGCTCATCCACACCCTGCGAACTCCGGATCGCAGCGTCAACGTGTCTGTGCAGCATCTTGGGATTCTCGCCGTACCCGACCATGACCGAACAGATCAAGGAGAGCAACCATACCTGGTACAGTGTTTGTCCTTCAAGGATAACCATGTGCGAATACTGGCGCACTGCATTGTTCACACACACTGGCCGAGGATCACCGGGTAAATCGATGAGGGTTGTACTCGTCCGCGGTTGACCATTATCATCAGAGTCAACACCAAGTCCATTGTGAATCCGCACGCATTCGCTTTGGCATGAGCACAGCAGCGTGGCTAGACTCGGAGAATGCCAAGAGGCACCCGAAATCCAACTGGAAGTGTAGCAGCTGAGGAGCCGTTCGTCGCGTTCAACGTGGAAAGCAGTATGATGCTCGCCCGTCGATATGCTTGCCGTACAGGGAGCCACTAGAATCTTCAACTGCTCGGTGTGCCTGACATAGCCCGTATGACGACGAAGACTGACGACATAAATGTCCTAGAAAGAAGCTCACCTCCAATATCTTTCTTGATCTCGGTTTACTGCAAGTCGTTCAATGTTGCGAGAAACGTGGCCATGAAAATACCCTGCGCATGACTTGACTTGACTTCAGATTTGCCATAACAAGTAGGCCCCAGCTCACCTTTGTCCACGACCAGCGATGGTGTTTGCCAGATCCGCTATCGTTGCATCCGGTGAATCCGGGGCGAAGCGTCTCTTCGGGCGAAAGGCGGGACAGAGAAGAATAACATTCCCGGAATCGACGACAAGACTCGCTGTGAAATATAGACGACATTGACAGGTTACGAGGATCCGTACATGCCTGCTCACATGTCAAAGACAGATGCATACCAATTTTCAATGCGTCTGTGACTGATTCGCAGTGAGCCACGAACACTCAAACAGAGGTACCCACAGACAGCCTTGCCAGTGCGCTGCGGCAATATCAATGTTCAGGATGACGATGCCACCATGTCCGCAACGAGACTAGCAGCCTCCGGAGAACGTGGTGTTATCGAGCATACGAAGTCCCGAGGGTGACTTCCAAGAAGCGTTAGACAGATCATCCAATACGCAACCACGACTTGTTCTCAACTCACCTGACAAACCCAGATAGGAAGGATGCCTCCGGGGTGACCTCCCTTCCCGTGTCGTCCCGCGCTTTCCTGATGTCGAGTGTGGCTATGATGCTCGATACCGCCAGGAACACGCTTGCTTCTGCGAATAGGCGTCCCGGGCATATTCTGTGGGATTTCAGTGTGGACGTTGCCTGTGACGATTGTCGTTGGTAGCGCACCTTCGCCCGTGCCCGAACACGATGTTGCGCGGGTCCGATAGCTCCGAGTGAAGCAGACCTGGGTCGAGGAATCGTTCTGGGCGAAAGATGTCGGGATCACCGTAGACTTCTTCACTGTGGGACATAGACCTGGACGAGGGTCAGCAGTATGCGAATGGCTCAGTGGTTCCGAAGGTACCAGAGATTGGCTATCACTCCGGTACCTCGGGGAAGGTCGAACCCTTGGTATTCGTCATCATCCGTGAGGTGGTGCGGAATCCCTGCAGAGCCTCCGTGAGTTGCTGAAAGCACGCTTCTCTTGAATAGCTTACCGAGAGGAACAGGAGGATTCCAGCTGCAGGATAACGCTCCAGCGACTCTACTATGTCTCTTCAGTTCACGGACTCACCGATATACCTCCTTCACCACGCAGTCAATGTACGGTAGTGTGTCCTTGTCCGCTAAGGTCGGAAGGCGATCCCTCCCAATTACTCGGTCGACTTCTGCCTGTGCCTTCTGGTATACATCCGGATGGAGGACCATGACGAGTATGAACGTGAGCAAGGCTGTCTTTGCCTACGGTGCTCATCTCAGCATCCATACAGCCGCGTGATCGAGTCGCTCACCGTATCCGTCCCGGCTGTCCCGACATAGCGTTAGACAGATGTATTACAATGTGCGAACGACTAGTAATCGCTCACCGCCATAGAGTGCTCCAGCAGAGTTGAGTATATCTTCTTCCTCTTCTGCGAGCAGTCCCTCCTTCATTGCGTCTTCGATAAGCGCGGTGACATAGGACGGCCTCGCAGAACCAGCTGCCTGCGTGGATCGTAACACCTCACGCATGCGAGCAATCTCAGACACCACAACTGCATCCGAACCATAGCATACGGCTTGTATCTGGCGTCCCAGACGAGTCTCTCGTGCTTAATGCATACCGCTTCCAGCCCATACCTGGGAGCCAGGCTGGCACGTACTTCACTGCAGCACGTGTCAGCTTCTTGAGGCTCTAATGGCACGCTAAACTTACACAAAGGGAAGAAGTCTACGATCGTCCCGCCAGCTGGACCCGCGGAGACCGTGCCCTCCATAGCGCGGTCTATGAGCATGATGTACTCGTCATCGAGGGAGGCGACCCGGTGACCATACACGCTCTCCATGATCAGCGCTATGATGTACCTGGGCGAACGCGCTCAGTTTGTGGTGCATGGCACGATGTCGTGAGTGATCCTGACGCACCGCCTGATGTGCATTGCGAAGTTGTGCGGCGAGTGCATGAGGCCTGCGGCGAGAATGCACACCTCGCGCTGCTGTAGCGCCTCGAACTGCTGCACGGCTGTCTTGTCCCCGAAAGCATGCTGGATCCATCGGCGCTGCTTGCGCCAGTGCTCACTCTCGTACGGCAGGAATGACACGCTTGGGGTCCAGTTAAGGCTGCGTGCACGACATCAGTACTGACTCCTACTACGGACGTTTTGTACCCGGGCCCACAGTTCGCACATCATGACCAACCGTGACCGGCTTGAATACTTACTCCCGCGCTTGTCCAGCAGGTCTCTCGCGATCTTCTGCGAGTTGATGATGAGGGTTGGGCGAGTGAAGAACCTTGCATACATCAGATCGCCTGCGAAACAGCCTGTCAGGATAATCCCCTCCGGGCTGAACATGAAGTAGACGTACCGTATTTCTTCGCCCACTGCGCGAAGGTACGCTCCCGGTACTCCTTTGGGACTTGATGGATGTTACCTATGATCGGAAGAGGCTTCGGACCGGGCGGTAGTCTGAGGGTGTAACCTCGGCCAGGCCACCTGTTACGAGTCAATAGGTAGGCCACCGCACACAAGAGAGTACCGAAAGCCCAAGTGATGGGCGAGAACACTGGTAGAGGATCCATGGTGTCGCGGCAGCAGATAACGGTTGGGCTCGGGGAGAGTATTGCAGCGACGCAGGCCCGCTCATTCATATATGTACCGTCTCTGAAATAGATGCGACACGGTGGCAAAAGCAGTGACTGAACCTTGTTGCCTCGAAGCAAGCAGGCTTCCTCCGTCATCGGAGAGTCTACATTCACAGGCCACTTGGGCGTACCAAAGCATCCGAGGCTTCGCAGGCCACCTGGGCAGTACCAAAGCATCCTGGTGGCTCATGTCATACAGTTAAGCATCATTTCAAAGGAGCCTTTGTGAGACCGGGCCACTGTGATTCACGCCATTCCATATCGCCACGCTTCAGCCTCACCCAGTGACTGGCCAATGCCCTGCCAGGCTTGTTGCAGCTAGAAGTCAGACACTGGAATAGTGTCAGCTGAGGAATGAAGCACAGAGTCCTAGAGAGAATACACAATACGAACATGAGATTCGCCTTGATCCCGGCTGCCCCGGCATAGCGTTAGGTGGGCGCGTCACAACATAGTACCAACGAACTTGAACAGTGATCATTGCTCCCCGCCACGGTGCCCCAGCAGAGTTGAGTATATATCTACTTCGTCTGACGTTCAAGTCGACAGTACATTACTCAGCCACATCACGGTTATTACTACGCGCTATTGTAGGGGACGAGCACTCTGCGGTTGCCAAGATACAGTATACGAGATAGTTCACAACTTCGACCACCACAAAGTAAGGAAAGGCACGATACCAGCACACCCGTACGACACCGTCAGAGTCGCAACCTCATGCGCGAACGCAGGGTGTCTCTATCTATGTGCGCCATCGACACCAACGTCCTCACGCATCTTTTGTCACCGCCATTCCGATCAGCTCGCTCGGCGTCTGCGCACGCAACCCATACTCCATCTGCATCCACGTCTGCGAGCCGTTCCCGGGCCACACCTCGTCCTACAGCAGACCAGACCGTCATCACACATCCCCAAGCGCATCAGCCAGAATCGGAAACTCACCACGTCCCTGAGCAGGCTGCTCCCGCGCGTCCTCGTCGCGAACACGTCGTACGCCGACCGCCTCGGCACGTGCGCCCTCCCGAACTGCGTGTACGGCTCCGCGCCGTCCAGCGGGGCGGATGCCCTGCGCCCCATCACCCGCACGACGGTCTGCGCGGGCGTCCTCGGTACCACGTCCGACTGCCTGTCCTCGCAGCTCCCCCGACGAAGTGGATGCTGAGCCCGTGCTCGATGTCCACGTCGAGCGCCGGCGCGCGGTCGGGGCGCAAGCTGGCGCGGAGGTCGGAGTGTCCGGTGGAGTTGGTCGGGCTGAAGGAGAACGCGCCCGCCGCGGGTTTGTGGTCGCGGGAGCGCGCGGAGGACTCGGAGGCGAGCGGGTACGCATGGGCGAGGACGCCTTCCGCGTCGACGATAGAGCTTTGCATGCGGAGCTTGTTCCGCGCGTTGAACCTGTGTTCCAGACGAGGGAAGGTGTGTCAGTGAGCTAGGGAACGGCGCGAGGTGAAGGAGGGGACAACTGACATGGCGAGGAAGGAGTTGACGTAGACTGTAGGGGAGACGGTTAGTGTTGGGATGAGCTGGGAGTCGGGAGAAAGCGTACGCACGCTTGGTGAGCATGAACTCGACGCTGATCACCGCAAACGTCGTAGGCAGCGCAGTCATCTGCAGCGGAACGTGGGGTCAGAGGTGGTGTATGCGCGCTGCAACCGCCCACAGGACGCACCGTGATGATCGCCGTAAGGGAGCAGAGACTGCACCACCGATGTCAGTTACTTGCGTAGTACGAGAGATAGCAGCCTGAGGGCAGCCACACCTCGTGATGACACCCGTGTTCAGAGTGTACAACATCAGCACGGTGATAGTCGAGTCCATGCTGCCCACCAACATGCAAGGTTCCAAGTCAGCACCCGAAGCATGCGGACACACGAGACGAATCCGCACCTTGTCGAGCCGACACGACACCGCTCGAGGAAGTAGCACAGCGAGAGCGCAATGATCACGTCGATGAAGGTCGCCGCGCCGAGGGGGAGGTACGTGACCCACTGACACTAGGTGAGCGCTCGTTACTGTGCGACGCGACGGGGACGCGTACCCGGGATTCGAGTAGGCCGGTGTAGGACTCGAACTGCAGGCTGCGGCAAGAAGAGTTGGCGGCGGGCGGGGAGAGGCGGGCGAGAGGTACGTACATCTCGTAGCAGAGTGCTTGCAGATGACGTCAGCGGGATGCGACGAGAGATGAGAGAGGGATGCTCACTTATTGCTGAGCCTGTCCATAGATAGTCGTGAGCGAACATAGACAAAACTTTGAGGCACAAGACGAACCGTATCCACCGAAGAGAACGATCGCGGACTGCGTACATTGAGTCGCGTCTACACGTTTGGTACACTGATGGGACGTACGACTGCTAGGGGCAGAAGCTTGCGCAAGGCTGATTTTCGGTTGTCTGCAGCATTGACTGCGGTAGGGACAGAAGAAGGGCATGACCAGTGTCAGTGGTCAGATCCAAACAGATAGGCGGACAACCTTACGTTTCCACAGCCGAATGGTGTACAAGCTAAGTAGGCTTGTATGAGTAATGGAAACGGCGCATACAGCCAGGTGAATACGAACGTATGAACCGAGACAATGACAATCGCCTACGGGAGCCTCAGTTGACGTCTGCGCAACCAACACGAAAGAAACTCACGTCCACGATGATCTGTACCTGCGGGCATGGATGAGAGATCGATGAAACGCGCCCAGAAGTCACCAGACTTGCCTTGAAACTCCAGACAATGTCTAGAAGTACGAGGGGATCGAGGTAGTTGGTGACGAGATACCAATACACCAGGTGGATACACAGAACCAGATGAGCGGCATCGAGCATCCTGGGCGGTACATTCAGACTACACCGTCATAGTCGGCAGTGTTCTACTTACCACAGCCAGCAGACTGAGATCTTGTTCCAGATCCTGTCGGAGGGGTACTTTTGGAAGTAAACGAACGTCTGTAGGTTGGTTATACCGAACAAGCTGTTCGTCAAATCTCAGAGAAGCTCAGTACAGCAGAAGCACAAGACGCGACTCACACCGCGGAGATGAACGCGCCTATGAGCACGGCACCATACGTTCTGTCGAGCTCCCCCATGGCGGATATCCTGCGCTCAGAGTGAAGGGGGAGGAGATGGGCGAAAACCGAGTCCAGTCAGGGTAAGGAGAGACTTATGGCGGGCTTTACACCGAGGGCACCTTCGCGAAGAGGATCATCTGGCTAGGAATGGTCGAGCATGGGCGACGAGCGAAGGCACGAAGTCCTTTTATTGCGGTAATATCCCAATTTTCTGGACACGGATGCTCTGAAGTGTGCCTGTCGGCATGCCATCTTTATCTCGACGCACAACGTGGATGGAAGAGAGCACATGCATGCAGACGTGATGTACACGGAGCAGGAAGGCACATCTGTTGGCACGAGCGTCAGTGGCCTGAAACGGTAAAGCAATTGGCGGATGTATACAGAAACACACGGTACTACCTATTGCTTTCATACACGCCGTCAAGCCTCACAATGTGCGGTGCAGATATACGCAAATTCATAGACCACGGATGGTATGAACCCCGCCGGTTTCAGGCTTCACGACCAAGATGATGACCTGGCGAGCGGAGTCGGATTGTCGACGTCGTTGCGACTCCTACCAGAAGGCCATAATTCACGATAAGTGTCCCGTCCTTGAAATCCCCGTCTCGAGAGCTTGACTCGCATGACTACCGTGTAGGATGGACCCGGCACCTGTGCGTGTTCATCAAGTTGATGTTCGACGTCCAACGTTGCTGTCGGCGCACTTCAGATGTCGTTTTGTTCGGTAGAGATGGAAGCCCCACAGATACGGGGAAGTCATCCCAGACACTGGTAATCAGCCGACAGTTTCAGCTAGAGTGTAGTGAAAGCGTACAAGGAAGAGAAGCCCGAGACTGGCGACCGACTCGCAGGAGACGCGTCACGGTCACGTGGCATAGTCATGAACAACTGACCAAATCCGAGGAGGGAGGAGGTAATTCCATTTCGTCACCCAGCAACTAAGTACCTACGCGACCTTGACGCGCGAGTAGAGGGAATATCGAGGAAATTCCATTTGGTCACTACTCCCTACGCAGACGCGCCCTAGCAGCGCATAATACTATGTAGCCTTCACCTTTCCGAGAGGCCCCCCTGAGTTGTCACCGACATCCAACCTACAGTACCTTACTCTTACTAGAGTCGCACGATCGCAATTACGACTCTAAGGTTCATACATGCTAAGTAGGGAGCGACAAAAACAGAGTGAGCATATTCGCGTGTTCATGTATTACACAAGTAGTAGGCTAGTACATAGCTTGTATCTGACGCATCCCGTCAGGTGTCTCTTGGGTCAACCTCCGTCCAAATCTGCAGCCACAAAAGAGTCATCATGCAGGGACCCTCGCCAACGTCTCCGCGACGCGTGCCTTCGCTGCTGAAGAGCGCGGTGCGATGAAACATTTAAATTCTTCAGCATGGCTAGTGCACACCAGTGAGTTCGACTGCGTCTATACTACGCACACAATGCCTCACCTGATGAAGTTGGGAGTAAAAGACGCTTCCGGAGTAATCTCCTTCCCTTCTGCATCGCGGGCCTTCCGGATGTCCAGCGTAGCCGCCATGTTTGCTATGGCCAGGAACAGCATTGTATCCGCAAATAGGCGTCCGGGACAGATCCTGTACTAGTAGTCGGTACGGGTGCATAAGTATCTCTATGTAAATGAGTAAAATAATGAATGACCTGCGTCCGTAGCCGAAGACAACGTTGAATGGATCTAGCACTTCAGACTTCGGTTCAAGGAAACGCTCCGGACGGAAAGCAGCCGGATCGCCCCAGATGCGCTCGTCACGACAGATCGACCTGGGGAATGACGGTAAGTCGACTGGAATTGCAGTCTAGGTGCGCTTGCACTACCACACGTTCGCCACGACAGTTGAGCCTTTGGGTAAATAATAGCCTTCGTATTCGTCGTCTTCCTCGAGATAATGCGGTAGTCCTGCGGCCTCGTGTAAGCCGAATATTTGCAGCAGACTCAATCAAACCTTGCCTAGAGTGACGGGCGCATGCCAGCTTGTCGCACATTGATTAGAAATTATGAGGATTACACTAACTGTGGACGCTCACCGATAAGTCTCCTTCAGGACGGCTTCAATGTAAGGTAGACGCGGCCTATCTTCCGAAGTCGGAAGTCTATTATTCCCGACGACACGATCCACTTCCTCCTGCGCTCTGCGGTATACCTTTGGGTGAAGCACCATCGCTAAGAAGAAAGTGAGTAAGGCAGATTGTGTCTATTCGTCGTAGCGCCGATCAGGAACGGCCCGAGGTTGTCAATGCGGATATGTACCGTATCTGTCGCAGCTAATGCAGCTTTTGAGTGACCACTTCGCTGTAATCTCCATTAACACGAGGACTCACCGCCGTATATGTTCCCTGCTGCATAGCGGATGTCGTTCTCTTCTTGAGCTAGCCGGCCCGCCTTCTGCGCCTTCTCTGTGAGGGCGGACGCGAATGAAGGTCGCGCGTCGCCAGATACCTGTTTGCCGTTCGTCATATGTTGATCAGGTACAATTCGTGCGCACAGCACATACCATTGCTTCTCGGACCATCCTATAGGGTACGTGGTGGCCTTTCCATACGAGCTGCCTCGCATGTAGCCCTACTCGTTTGAAGGCCACTCCGGGTATCCAGGCGGGGACGTGTTGCACTGCGATGATCAATTGGTTTGCCCGAGTCGGACTGTATATTGAACAGTGCTCACAAATCGGGAATATGTCTACCGCCGTCCCGCCTGCTACTCCAGTTGCGGTGGTCGCGTCCATAGCGTTGTCCATCAGAGTCACATATTCATCTTCCAGCGAGGTGATCCGATGTCCATACACGGATTCGAGGACTAGTGCCGCGACGTGTCTTGTGCAAATCATTGTTAAGTTTCTCAAGCTACACCTTCAGGCCGCGGGACTGAACCTACCGCTTGATGTGCAAAGCAAAGTCGTCGGGCCTCTCCATTAGGCCCAACAAGAGGGTGTACGTCTCCCGCTCTCTCAGATCTCTATAGTTCTGCACCGCCTTCTTCTCGCCAAAAGCGCTCCATATCCACCGACGTTGCTTGCGGTGGCCTTCCGACCTATAAGGCAATAACGACGTAATGGGATACCACCCGATTCTGCCGGAAGGGGACACATCCAACCATGGTCATCGACACGCATTATACGCACGCCGGGAAATAGAACTTACAGCTCGACCAGAAGTGCCATTCGCGGTCGACTTGAGTACTTCGCGCCCCGCTTCTCCAGCAGGTCTCGCGCGATCTTCTGCGAGTTGATGATGATCGTACGGTGACCAAAGGTCTCGGTATACATCAGGTCACCTTCAATTGTGGTAGCATCGGCATGTGAGCCTGGATTTCGGTCTGTCACGGCTGCATCGTACCGTATTTCTGCGCCCACGAAGCAAAAAATTGCCACGGATATTGCGATGGCAAGTCAAAGACGTTGCCCACGAGCGGGAGGCGCTTGGGGCCTGGAGGGAGATGGCGGTTTCCTTGGCTGCTGCGACTGAGTGAGTAGAGCAGGATACACAGCGCAGGGATCGCGAGCCAGGCATAAGGAATCGGGTCCTGAGACATGGCTGCCTACAGTACCAGTCAGCTGCGAGCGTAGTAGGTCAGAGCGGCGCCCTGGCATCTTATAGCGATACTATTGGCAGTGTAGCGCGGAACCCTGCGAAGCATAGTACTAAAATGAGTGGACACTTACCGTAATGTGCTGAGCCGTGGCGCACAGGCCCGGTGTACGAGGAGCTCAAACCCTCGGAGTTGTCGTCTCGTGCCCAGCCATTTCAAACCGGCCGTACGGTGTAGGGACGGCCGCACCTAACCGCGCACCCGGCGCAGTGTTTTGTCCTGGGGTCGCTGACCAGATCGAATACGGGAGCGAGCGGTCGCCGAGGACTCATCCTGGAATAGCTGATAGATACATCACATCAGAAGAGCGAACTCACCGTGTGCTAGTGTTTGGTTTCAGACAAGGTTCGCCGCTCTCGCAGAGCATTCTTTGCGGCGTGGTGGCAAGATGGAGGCGCAGGGACGGCTAACAAGCTTTGCGCGATGGTCCTGCAACAACTTGTATGTGGACTAAATTTAGGCTCCGGGCTCCGGCACGATCTATCTTCCCTGTAAGTCGCCACCAGATACACGGCGAGGGCCTACATGAAGGCATCCCGGCAGTTTCTGTGGACAGTGGTCTTCATTCAACATATCAAACACGAGTAGTATCGGTCAGCCTACCTTCGTCCACGTCCATGACTAAAGATGGCGCCCGTCGGGTTCACTATCTCTACATTCAGTAGAGCCGCAGCCAGAAATTGAGCTCGGCAGAAGACGGCCGCATTACCAGCGACCGTAAACCTCTTCAATGTAGATCATAAGCTAGACCTCGAGGAATGCGATAAGTGAGCTGCAAACGCTTGAATGCATGTGACCGCACCATCGTCGCGCCATATATTTCTTTGCCCATTGCACGTACGCGTGTTCTTGATACTCGGCAGGAACATTGCCTGTGGTCGGGAGTAATCTAGGAGGTAATTCGAACCGACACCCAAGGACTAGCCAGCTGCTACAAGTTGGCAGAAGATAAGTAACTTCACGCCGCAAGATGATTTACTTTCACTATGTCACGGAGAGAGGATAGATAGCGGTGGTGTAATGCATTACCAGCAAGCGACTAACAGACGCTTGAGTCGTCGAGGCTAGGAGCCTGAGGCCTGAGAAGGCACCCAGTCTCAGCTTCACATTTCAGGATGCTTGCATAGAGCACACGACGTGTTCGCAGAAGATAAACTGACGACTAGACATCCATCAGAAGCTTGTTTGATCTCAGCTGAAGTGAAGGTACAAGACGCACGTAGGACAATAAGCAATTGCCTTGGATGGGCTGCTTCGATGGGCACATAGCCCTTACGACTAATGCGCGAGTACCCACGACGCATACGCTTGTCCACTTCGAGGCGGAATCTACGGGGCTTGACCAGCCCTCCTGACTCGCGAAGCCAGTTGTTACCTCTTGATCTAGATTCGGTAGAATCTGGACGGCGGTGAAGGGCACAGTGACGTGAATGGCGTCGAGTGTTGGTCATAGTTAGTCAAAGAGTAGACTTCCCATTTTCCATCGTTACTACGTAGCCAGCACGAAATCATTGAGAATCTCGCGGGCTCAAGCTGGTCGAAGCGAAAGCGAGCGAGATGAACGTGGGCTTCAAGCTTTGGCGCTTGGAACTGAAATGAGTAGTATGTCAATCACGTGCATGGCCGAGACCCGATGCCTTGAATGCTCGAAGAATATCAGCACAGCAGCAGTTGGGGTTAAATACGGCGTTGTGACTACAAGAGCACTCAGATATGCCATACGAGGAGGCAGGTAACAGAAGGAGGATTTTGATAAGGAGTTTGTAGTCACCTGCCAGCAACACACCGAAATCAGCGCCCGAGTCAGGTTCCTCGTCGCGGAGGAGCACGGCGAGATGGAACACAATGATGTCTATATTTCAGCACAAAAATTGACTCGCTTGATCATGGAGGGCATAAAGCAGATCCCTGGAATCTGTCGTCGACCAGCGATAAACACTGTGAAACAGCTTGAGATATGCCTCGTGTAGGCCACTGCCATTTACCGTATCTGTTGCCCATAATGCAAAGATGTTCTCCGGGTGCTTCGAAGGCATACCAAGGGCGTTCCGACGAGAGAACGGCGCGTTCGGCCACGTGGGAGACGCTGGTGTCTGCGACAAGCAAGTACAAGATCCCCAGCAAAGGGAGTGCAGTCGGTGACACGGTTGTCAGACACTAGTGCGCAGGTCGAGTTAGAAGAGTCCCCTCATTGAGTCTATGCACTCACTAGCGGCACGATACATAATCTGAGTGCCCGGAGCCATGTTGCTGTGAGCAAGCTTTGACAGCGTGTACGGGAAGGCTCCCATCCCACGAGGAGTATGGAAGCCCTGTGACGTGCGTCCATTGCGTGCATAGACATTTGGCGTCTATTAGCCAGGCCATACCGAGGAATGTAGTGGCGGAGCACGAGGCACTTCACAGTCCCTGTGACTGTTTTCAATATAGCGTCGAGTTCGAGAGCAAGGGCCGCCCATGCGATAGCTGATACGCCACATTCTATGATGACGGCGCAGCAAAACAACAAGGTTCGACGCTTTCGCGGTCTGGCTTTACGGCAGATGCGAAATCGCAAGGATGGCTGAATAGCGTTAGACGGCATTTCTACGGGTCAAACATACTGTATAGCTGCCTTTCGAAGAATCAACCCTTTCACGATCGATGCCAGAAGGCACACACATGACAGGCCTCACTCCGTGACACTCACTAGCGCATCCGCGACGAGATTCATTGCGGCAGACGATCGAGGCGTGATCGCACAGTCGTATGCTTCAGGATAGCTGGGGAGCAGATATGCCGGAGGTACATCAGTTCGCTGACCTCCAAGGCGACTGTTCCGACTGACCTGATAAACGAAGATACGAACGCAGCTTTCGGGGTGATGACGCTGCCCTTCGATGACGCGCCTTCTCGATGTTTAGCGTTGCTGCAACACTGGCTATCGCCAAGAAGAGAGTCGTGTCCGCAAAAAGGCGCCCTGGACAGAGCCTGCGACCATGGTATGTGAGTGACAGCATAGGCATGCTCCCGCACAAAGACACAATGCGTACCGTGGGCCATAACCGAAGACGATGTTGCGAGGATCCTCGATCTCGGGGCTGAGAAAGCGTTCTGGGCGGAATGCCTCAGCGTCACTGTATTGTTCCACGTTGCGAGTCATCGCCCTGGGCAATGGTGATTAGTTCCAAGCAGAGCGAGATGACCGACTACACGATGCCAAAGGTTGGTTACAATGTGGGTGTCCTTGGGCATATGATAGCCCTCGTACTCGTCGTCTTCAGTGAGATAATGTGGTACACCTGTAGATATGCAGTGATCAATAGCTATGCCAGACACTCTTGAAGAAATGGGTGCATTACCCAAGGGAATCGCTGGGTTCCAACTGGTCGTGCAAGAGGTGTGTGATATCGTCTGGAGTCCACGAATACTACTCACCGATATGTCTCCTTGATAACGCAGTCGATGTAGGGTAGATTCGGTCTATCCTCGAGAGTGGGCAGTCGCGTGTTACCAACGACCCGGTCCAACTCCTCTTGTGCCTTCTTGTACACCGCCGGGTGAAGGACCATCGCCAAGAAGAACGTTTGAAGCACGGTCTTTGTCTGTCCATAGCACCTCTCAATATCAACCTAGATCAGATAGAAGTCTGAAACACACTGGGTCTGATCCGGCTGGCGGTTACTCGAGTCAATGCGAAGCTCGATGTAGACACAACTTGACTCCGCCTCGGAGACGCACCTGCGTATAATGCACCGGCTGCATACCGAATGTCATTCTCTACCTCGTCAAGCCGACCCTCCTTCTCTGCGTTCTCGATCAGCGTAGAAACAAACGACGGCTCTGCATCACCCGACGCCTGACCAAATCGTGTCAGCATCCAAGAGGACATGCAAAGGCTACGAACGTACGACAGCCTTTCGAACCATATCAAATGGACGATAGTGGGCATCCCGCACGAGCTCCCGCGCATACAACACCTTTCGCTTGAATTCCGCGCTGGGCATCCAAGTCGGTATGTGCTTCACTGACGCATCGGTGAGTATGTGCATGGAAGCACGCGCAGACCAGAACTCACGAAGTGGGAAGTGATCCACCATTCCTCCTCCGGCAGGACCTGTAGCGCTTGTCGCCTGGTTGCTACGATCCACCAGTGTCACGTATTCATCTTCCAAGGACGTGATCCGATGGCCATAGACGGATTCGACGATCAGCGCGACGGTATATCTGACATACTCTCTAGGTGTCAGTTCAAACAACAGAAAGACAACGATAGCACGTACCGCGTGATATGCATGGTGAAGTTCTTGGGCGTGTTTATCAAGCTCGACAGCAAGATACAAACCTCCCTGTGTTGTAGGCCTTCATATTTTCGGAGTGTGTCCTTCTCGCCGAACGCGGCCTGCACCCACCGCCGCTGTCTCCGCCGACTCTCATGCTGGTACGGCGCAAAGACCAAAGTGGGATCCCAGCCAACCCTACTGTCATTAGTGCCTACGCGTAGCCTGCAGGATGCGTAGAACTCACAACTCGACAAAGGTCACCAGCCGCGGACGGCTGGAGTAGATAGCACCCCGTTTGTCCAGAAGGTCCCGGGCGATCTTGGACGAGTTGATGATGGTGCGGCTAGCAAAGAATTCGACATATATGAGATCGCCTAGAAGATTGACCTACGTGTTAGGTGATACAGACCAATCATCAGTGTCATGAACGCACCGTAATTCTCCGCCCATGACCCAAAGGTATACTCCTGGTATTCCAGCGGTAGTTGGTGTGCATTGCCCAGAAGCGGAAGACGTCTCGGCCCGGGTGGAACACGACGGTCTTTCAGGCTTTGCCGCTAGCTACGACCGAGTAAAAAGACAAATAAGCATACTACAGCGACCACCACCCAGGTGTTAGATGGCATGAACGGGGAAAATGACATGATGTGAGCCACCATAAAGGCCGGGATGCGAGATGTGTCACAGAATTCTTATATCCCTCATGGGATTAGTATGAATCCGAGAGGATACGATAGCGAACTAGAGTTGATGCTTGCTCCGAATGAGAATACACGCAATTGTATTGCGTGAAGATCGTGGAAGCCACACGCGCCACTTCGCCTGAATCTCCTGAGCCTGGTTGACATCCGTGGACGAGAGAACTTGGTTAGCTATGGAGAATCTGCATTGCCGTCAACGTGTGTAAGGGTGTGTTTGTGATGGTTCACATACCAGATGACGCTCTGCGAACCAAGTACTATGGATAGCTTGATCGCCGTGTGGTATCAGGACGAGGAGACCACTATCTCTCGGGACTGAAAGTGGATCTGTGGTGTAGTAATGTTAAGCATGTCTAAACTTCCGGAAATATGTGCGATGCGATAAACCGGTCTGGCAAGGGCAGAGAGAACGCGTGGCCTTGCAATGTGACTCGCATGCTTGGCATTCATTGCGTACTTGCCCGAACACCCACAACCGAGTATCTGTGGTCATGTCTACCAGCCATAGACTCGGAAGGCTTCATGGCTAGTACCATGCGAGGATGTCGGTACCGCGAGGGCTTGCCAGCAAGCAGTCGGTGAGTAGGAAGTTGTTGCTTATTCTTACTGTATCCATCCAAGATGGGATTTTGGTAGTTCTCGAACAAGGTCACGGTTGTCTCGGTGCTTGCGCATGTAGACCTGGACCCGTTAAGTTGACTTCGCCGGTCGGTCACGAACCTAGAGATGGGACCATTCAATGAAGCATGCTAGTCATCCATTCAGCAATTTCGTGAGCTCAAGGTAGTCAAAACCTTCTCGTATGTGCCTAATGAAGCGTGTAGCAGAACGGCTCGCCGCATTAGAGAATGGGAGGTGATAGTACTGCTGTAAGTGTACCCGGGCCGTCTTGAGCTTGCTTTGAGCGTGGCTGGGGCACGTGGATTGTGGCTGCGGTCCTCACAGGCGCTTCCCCCCCCCCCCCCCCGACTGAGTCCTGAACACACTCGGAACTTGGAAGAGTCGGAACCGTTTCCCTCATTTCGCCCACTATCTCGAGTTCTTCGCCGAGATTGGAAGCATATAAGCAGCACCCGCAAAGTAGATTCGCTATGCAACATTCTCGACACTGTTAAGCCCTGGTCTGGAATGAATTGTCGGGAAACGCACAAGACCGTGACAACCAACGAAGTCGCTTGCGCGAGGAACTCAGAAAAGCTTTCAAGTATGCAGCCAACAGCTCTGATGAATTCGCTCGTCGACAATAGTGCATCGGACACAAAGGCGGCCCACACGACATCGAGTCGTTCTAAACGTCTTAGGCAGCCGAGGTCTGCCCGAGGACGCAACGGAAAGGACTGAGGCGCATCTCGGATTGCCTGTATTTGCGCGGTCATAACCACATGTCGACAGCTTTGGACATCGCTGGGATACCTCTGGACCAGTTCCCGAGCACAAGAGCCTTCTTCGAGGCGCTACGTGACGTTGTAACAGGTTGGTTTCATCCTGCTCCTCCGGCGTAGCATGTATTGACTTCCTTGATATGCATTCTACAGCTCATCAGCCTGCCTTTCTCGCCGAGGTGATGCATCGTGATATTAGCAAGGGTAATATCCTCGTCGTGCTGGAAACTGCGCTCCTCAAAGGTCCTGTCTGTGATTTCGATTCCGGAAGCTGTGTCGATAGATCTGCGTTCGGCGGCTCGCGTCCACAAGATGATATGGATGCTTTGGAACATGACCTAAAAGAGCGGACGGTGAGCAATCTCGTGTTGTGAAAACGAGCCTGTTCTCACGACTCGGGTATATCTCAAGGAATTGTTTCGGTACTCCGCCGTCGATTTGTTACGCAAGACAGCGGATGTCCTCCATTGTGTCCATCACGATCTCGAATCGTTCTATTGGGTCATCCTATGGATCGTTGTGTGCCACACCGATCATGAGCACCCAGATGGCGCAGTCCTCTGCAGCACGGTATTTCCAACGGAGAACGAGATCATCGCCAAATGCGCCAAGATCGCCTGGTTGTCGGACGGGGAGATCACAATCCGCGGTAACAAGCCACTCACTGACCTCATTACCGACTTGTCAATTTTGGTTGAAACTTCGCGGAAGCGGAAGAATCGGCCAGTCGATCCTCTGACCCATGAAGCGTCCATCCGAGTTCTCGACGATGCTTTGAAAGCCAAAGGCTGGCCGGAGGCTGACATTGACAAGGCGGGCCCCTTCGTACCCCCGCATGTCGACGCAGATGGCGAGGTTGTCAAGACAGGAACGAAACACACCAGGGGAGCCGACGACAATCAGAGCAACCGCTCGACGAAGAGGAGGAAGCCGTCGGCGGAGGACGTACCGCTACCGCAATCCGAAGAGGCTGACAACGTTGCTATCGAGGAGGGGTTCACCCAGAGAAGTCGATTGACGGTACTGCCTGAACGTTATTGGACTGGTATATTTATACGGAGTGCGATGCAGATACCTCGTCTTCCTAACGCCCAAGTTAGTTGACTGTAGTTCACGCGTCTACCATACTTCGCATTGTTACCGCAGTTGTTTGCCTGACATAACAATCACTACGATAGACTACCTTGATCACGGTACTAAAGTACATGCAATCACTACTGTTGCCTGATTCACGGCAATATAGATCACAATAGAACGTCGTTATTATTGGTGTCGAACCGTCACCGGTTGGCGCGGCACGCGAGTCTCCTACGCGAGGTCCTCAGCGAACGCCGGGGACTCAGATTGTATCTGCAAGAGCCCCTGCATCAGCGAACTGCGTAATTCGGTAGGCTGGTTGACTCCGCTTACCCAAGGCTCATCCCTTCCAAGCGCGTACTTTCGCGGAGGTCGTTCCCAGCAAGTCAGTCGGTTCGCTTCGTCCTCACTGTAGATCGGCAACAGGATGCCCAACTCGTAGTTTGTGATCTACCCCAGTGCGTCAGCATCGTCGCGCGTGGGATGTGTGAGCACTCATACATACATTAAGCGTTGGATTGAAGGCAGAGCCCGACAGCGTCCCCCAAGCTGACGGCGTGAAGTTATGCGAGCCCGCGTACAGCCATCCGACAGGCTTGCTTGGCCTGCTGTCTTGAACTGGATCGTCTTCCGGTTCTGTCTCGCTATCTGACTGCACGCCACTAGTCCCGAATGCGGCGGACTTGTCGCGGATCGTACCTAGGATCATCTAGTCGCCTCGATTAGCACTGACATGCAAAGGTCCGGAGCCGTTCTTGTTGATGCTTACCTTGGAGTGCATGAGAACCCGGCCGCGTTTGCTTCGCGATTGATGGAAGAGGTCGCGCGGAAACTTGGCTGCCTCCCACTGCGTTCGGCGACAGAACATCGTCCCTCCTCCCTGATAAACAGAAGCTCTAGACCGCCAGACAAGCATACGAGCAGATAAAGAGGACGAACCTGATCGCCCAAGACGCTTTCGTGCACGTATTGCGCCGTCGGGAAGAGGACCTTAATAGGTGGGTAGGGCAATTTGGCCCGACGCGCCTTCGAGACATCCAGCCACGTCTGCGCGGACTCGCCTCGCGCCGAACAGTGGAACTCGTTCATCCACTGCGTGCTGTACGACCCGATAGACGATCCCTAGAGCGCGACGTGAATGAGATTGGGTGCCAAGATTTCCACGGAGGGATGCATAGGAGTACCTGGCATTCTAGTGTTACTTCTTTGCTTTTGTCTGCATTCAATCTGAGGTCTCGAAGGGCTTTCATCAGCGACGGATGACCTGTGAGGATTACCTGTACATCATGATTGGAGAACGTTCTACACCGAGAACCTAGGAGAGTTCGCACCTTCGGCCAGCCCTCGTGCTTACCCGCAATAGACGGAATCAACTTGGCTTTGACCTTCGAAAAGTCCCAATGCGTGCGTATATGCTCTAGGCGCTGGAGCGGTAGATTCGGGTGCTTTGAAACAAAATCGTGATTAGCCCAGCGAGATGCAAGCAGGAACAGAACATACATCGTTCTTGACATGGGAGAGGAGCGCCGGTTCAACTTGGAGAGCACGAAGGACGCGTGCGAATGCTGAGGGGAAATCGTCCGCCTTCGGATCGTGTGCGATCGGCGACGATCGTTTGGGGACGTCTTGTACCCACGCGGTCTAAACGAAGAAGATCAGAGAACTGCAGTGTATGTGAATAGGACGGAAATTCCACGTTTTCGATGTCTCGCCAATCGTATTCTATCATGTTTGCGGTCGAGATAACGACCCGCAGGCGGCCTGTCTTGTAGAATAGCTACGGTCGTGACTTCAGTAATAGGGCAAATAAACGGAGCAGAGAACTTCGCGCACCAACATGAACTAGACGGGTGACTTGTCATCAATGATCGGCGTTCAAGAGGTAGAGTCACGCATACCTTCATATGCATACAGCCCATGCCATTCCGTAGGAACGGCGTCGTCTTGATCCAGTTCGGTAGGATCGCCTTGATGGTTTCCTGGCCTGCAAACCGTCAACGTATGCAACTTTCGAGAATCAAACGAAGTACCTTGTGGATCCTGTGCGACTGCTATCACGGGTGTTCTGGGGCTGAGCATCGAGTATAACCATGGAAAGTTGTACATGTATGCCGAGACGATAGCGAAGTCGATCTCATCCCTCTAGAAATAGCTGAGGATCATACATTCGAGCGATAAAATGGTATCAGACCCACAGGTGCCAGAATGTCGCTGAGGCGGAATGTAGGTCTCGTGTTTCTTGCAGGATCTACATGCATGTTGGCTATCTGGCGCATCTCACCGTCCCAGTACCATTGTTGGGACGAGCTGCTTGTCGCTGTAGTGGATGCGGACTGTCTCTGAGCGCTCGTGCTTGCAGACGGACGGTTATACGCGGCACTAGAAGAAGCATAGACGTCGGCTCTTCGTGTTTCGCCAGAAGACGAGGAAAGATGTTGCCTCTTCGATCTGTGTGCATCGCTATCGACACCAGAGCTACCCTCCGCATCGAGGTCCGATCGCAGACGTTTCTGTCGTGCGAGCCGCTCACGTTCAAGTTGCGCTCTCTCGGAGAGGAAACCTGTCGCAGAGGGTGCCGAGACTGTCAGATCCGGTGTTACGGCTGGTTGGATCGGGGCTTGCGAGGCTGCACGCCGTGCCTCTTCCTTCTTCGAAGCCTCTATGGCTTGTTGCAATTCTGACTGAAACTTGCGATCTTCGTCATTGACCTCTATCACATCTTCATCGTCACTGTCGCTGATCTCAATGACTTCGCCTTCGGTCCTAGCCGAAGAACGCGCTGGCAGGGGCGCATGGTCGTGCAAGCTGAGCGCTATAGCCCTATTACACAGATGAGTGTGAGCGTTTTTAGAGTGAGGTAGAACCTACCTAGCCAGATCGTCGTCCTGAAAGTCGTCCGCCTGAGACATTGTTACTCTCTGCCAGTGGGTAGGTCGACGAGCCTTTCTGTCAGTGATCACAACGACGGACTGTTAGAGGCCTGTTGAACTCAAGCAGCAAGACAGCAATCAAAACATACTATAACGAACAGCAGACCTGAGCTGCTTCGAACAAAGAACGGAGTTGACTTGACTGCCTAGATGTCGAATGTGGCCACAAACAAGCGGCCGGTGGACGCGTGGTAGGCGCCCATGTACACACGCGACGCGACCGGCACGGTCACGTGCGGACCAGAAGAAGGGGAGGAACCAAAGGCAGGAGGTGAAGGAAGAGGGGACCCGTGTCCATTAGGTTATCGGCCGTGGACGTGGTAGTGTTCACCAGCCTGTTGGTGGTAACAGTATTCACTAAGCTTCGGCCACCATGTACCTAGTATAGAACTACTACATGCGTAGAAGAGGAAAAAAGGAAGCAAACACAGTGATTACCATTGAAGCATAGGGCGACAGCGTTGAGAGGCTCCGCGATTGCGAGAAAGAGTCAAAGCATGATCGTTATGAACCAAATATTGAGACAACTACGCCGGTGCAGCACTGACAAGACGCGATACTATTTTTCGATGTCGGGTGAGTACAGTAATACATTCTGATACACGCAGTCTAGTCATACCACCGCTCGCGCAGTCGCTTCCTCCTCACCATGGGTTTCGTGATGACGATGGCGAGGGCCAGCCCGGCGATGGTCAAGACGAGTTGAACCTTGTTGAAGCTCTCGCTCAGCACGTCAAACGTATTTGACGGCGCAATCCGCGTGAAGAACAAGTCGTGGCCGTATGCGAAGATAAGAGAGGTGGACTCGAGCAGCGCGGGTGAGGTGACGACGTGCTTCGTGCCAACCACCTGAGAAGTTGTCATCAGTGTCTGTGTGCATTGCAAACATCTCTCAACCTTGCGCACCTGGTAGCTGTGCGAAAGCACGCGCTTCGGGTCATCGTATACGACGGAATCATATTGGATAAGCCACTCCTCCATCTCTTCGCTTGTGGGCTTTCGCATCGGTCGTCGGGGGTCCAAGATCCGCCTCGGGAAGGACTGGATCTGGTGATTCTCGTTGGCGACTGCGGGCGCATTTAGACATAACATCCACGATATCTGCATAGCTGATAGTACTCACCGACTATGTCCTTGATCGTGATTCCGTAAGACGTCGACGTCGTGGTCATGATGTTAATTCCTCGGGGCATAATGAACGCTTGCTCGAACACTGTCAAGGCCGCAGTCTCGTTCGAGAACGAACTCAAGTCGGAACTACCCGCCAGCATTAGACTGAGAGTAACCCTTAAGAAGGGAGAAGCACATACCTCCTCGTCTTCTGGTCGATACCAGAGCCCTCGTATAGTTCGACGGACACTACACGGTGGCTCTTCGTCGACTGCACGCCCGATGCATCACCATCATAGTACTGATACACAAGCCAGTTCTCCGTCAAGGACACCTTCACATCGCACGCGCCCTCCGTAACGGGCAGCGCGACATGGTACAGAATTGTGCCCTTCGCACCGTCCACAAGGTATAGCGAGCATTTCGACGCAACGGCAGTAGGCGAGCCGGTGACGACGGCCATCAGATTGGGGTTGAGGTACTTGTACAATGTTGTCCGGTTGCCAAGTACCTTGCCGAGCGAGGCGACAGGCTCGTGCGCTGGATGCGGGGTTATGGACAGAATGTCTTCGCCGGGAGCGAAGCCAAGCGACCAAGTGATATCGGCTACATGCTTGCCGGTGAAGTCGACCTCGGATGAGATCCTGTGTCCGGTGAGTCGACGCTGGCCGGGAGCACCGGTACGAAGGGGGATATGGATGGACGGGGAGAGCTGACGGAAGGCTTCCTTGGTTTCTTCTGTTTCAGGGTAGATATGCACCTAGCTCTGTGGATCAGTATGACACCATTGATTGCAAAACTGGCTATTGACCTGCACAAACTCATCTAGCAGGACGACGAGTTTTTGCGAACCGCTGCGGAGCAAGTACGCCTCGATGATGGGCCCGGCGATGATATCGAATCCTTGCAATAAATCACCGGACTCTGACACGCCTCTTGCATCCTCGCCCGTCAGTGCGTCCACATGGAAGAGGACCGTGTCCACAAGACCCTTCAATCGTCTCACAGGTCAGCTCCAGCTCTAGCCACCAGCTCCGAGATACACACATTGCTCGCCTTCCTCTGAGTGACCAACACGACCTGCGGCGCATCTCCGTCGCCCACCGTCCGCGTAACGAACATCTTCACAGGTATGATTTGCCCCCCGATCTCGGCCGCCCAGCCAAGCCCGAACACACGGCTCCAGAGCACCGCACCATCCGCAGAGTCGATGCCGTACAGCTTCCCATGCGTCGTCGCCGCGACAATCACCTTGCGGAACCCGAACGTGTCGCGTGCGAGCGGCTCAGACGCGTTCGTACTGGGCGCGGCGGACGACGACACGGATGCGTACGAGCCTGTCACGAAGCGCCGGGCAAAGTTCGTCGCGTATTGGGGGAAGTTCTGAATGGGGTGAGTGCGGAAGTCTATCAGGGTTCCGGATGTCGACGTACCTGCGCGTCGGACAGTTGTCGGACGAGACGGTCGCCAAACGACTCTTCCTCATCTCCCACATGGGACGTGATAATCTTTCGCTCCGGCAATTCGACGAGCTCGGCGACCTTGATGTCGGCCAGCCCCTCTTCTCGCGACCACTGGAGCTTGTCGTGTTGCCACAACTGTATTGCGCCAGTGCTTGTCGTCACGGCAAGGCGCGCGACGATCGTGTTACCATCGGGATTGGCGGTTTCTACAGCCACCTGCAGACGATGAGGCACTGCCAGCTGAATGAATTGCAGGACACTTACGTGGGAGATCACACCGTGAACGTTGGTCTCGAAGGGGAACGTGTACCCTGAGACCAGCCCCTTTCCATCCGCTAAGTGACCGGCGAATACGTGTGCAACGGCTTTCTAGAAGGACGTGAGTACGCAATCATCACAGAACAGGGATACTCCCAACCTTGTATACATGGGACCAGTATACACGCGCTATGTACGGCCGGCCGTCCATGTCAAGGCCGCCGACATACTTCGAAACGGTGTACTTGGGCGAATTGGCCTACGTGTCCGATCGTCAGTGCCACATGCAGACGAAGAGCGATCTCAGACGTACAGATTCGGCAAACTCCCAGATCTGCCGGAAGCCTTCTGGTACAGATCGAAGTACGAGCGCAGTGCCGTCCTCCTTCAAAGCGACAAATTGGCCGTACTCCGACAAGCCGACATCCAGGATGTTCTTGTATACTGCTCCCTTCAGTCCCATCGGCTTTTCTTTGAGTTCCGGGGTCAAACCGAAATACCGGACTGAGCCACCTTCGATCCAGACTATTCGCAGGGGCACCTGGGCATCCTTGACATCGCGTAGTTCGAAGAAATCCGTAAGCCCGTCAGAAATGCTTGACGGAATGTGCCCTGTGGTGAGCAGCTCGCCGGTTGCCGTGGACAAGGCGGTGACATGAATGGTGTAGGACGCGAAGGACTTAGCGAGACCAATGAGGTAGACAGTCGAAGGGGTTGTGATAATTTTAGAATATGCTACCAGAGACCTGGAAAACGGCAAGATGAGCATGACTTGGCAAAATTGAATGGGAGAATGCTCACGATTGATCTGGAGCAGACCATCCCCACTTCACTTCTCCTGTCTTCCCATCGACGCGACGTGCTATATGTGCATTCGAGAGGACGTACACATCTCCCTCAGCGTCGAAGGTTATCGATGTTCCCAGGGTCTCAGGATCGAAGAGGCGACCGAAGTCGGGCTTGTGTAAGTGTTTCTCAGCCAATAGGTCGCCAGTGGCAGCGTCCAGTAGGCGGAGTGTAGCCCCGCCTGCACCGGACACGGTGGCAAGAACTGTAGAGGAAATCGATGTACGCAGTCAGTAATGAGGCATACGCAACCGCAAATAATTTGAAGGCGGCCAGCCAAGGCGAACGGGCGCGCGCGCGCGTATCTATTGCAAGCCGTGAGGAGGTTCGATCTCATTCCTGCGTCGCCAGACCATCGAATGTCAAGGTCAGATGCAAGGGTGCCGGCTTCGCGGGACCAACGGCTCGCATGTCCTCCGAGTGGGAAGACTGAGCTCGGCGTCTGGGCGTGCACAGGTGCCACAAGCGTCCCTTTTTCTAAGCCATGGACCGTGCACTTCGAGCGACAACTACGACAACAGATGCAAGTCACAGTGACGTGCCAGCGCCGCCATGGAGAGGCCTCATAGAGAGATGACAATGTACGGAAGAAAATCACAACGTGGTTTGACGACTCACCGTCTCCGTGTAGTTTGTAGCCTACGACATGCTCGTTGTCCTCGAATACGTATCTCCACGCTATACTTGATGAGGTCTGCATTCCATTCAACTCGACGTATATAGTTCCACACACCTATTACACCATCCGCTGGGTCCAATGCTGCAAGTATGTTTCCAGAAGTCGCGGTAAAGAGCAGGGTGCGCGATTTGGCCCCAAGTTCTCCGACTCTCTGAAACCTCGGCGCAGTAGAGTGTGCACCAAATAACGGTATGCCCACGAGAGGTTTATGCCAGTCCACGACTCCCACTTCCGATGCTTGCGTTGCCCAAGTGTGAGATATCCATAGCACGACCGAACAGAGCCAGAAGAGGTGCATGCCGCGCAGTATGTGCCCGTCGCAGTTGAAGGTTTCGATGTCGAGTCTTGCGAGCCGCGCGACACGACGTCGGCGGTGTGGCGGACCCGCCACGTGCGGTGTATGTGCGCTTAAGCGCCCGTTAATACTATGGGCGTTTGATGTGTAAAGTCGGCGGATTCCAACGGGCCGTTTGTTCTCACTTTCGGTCGAGGAGAGTTATGAAAGAACCGGAAGGTGGATGCAATTGACGGAAGCGAATAGATGCGGCTGGCCATGCTGCGATTATGCAAGTTACGCACGAAAGGCAGTGGGCAGCCGACCGCGAAGAGACACCGTCTCATCAATAGGGTCAAGACGAATTCGAGGGAGTTCCATCCTCGAACGAGGAACGAAGTCGCGGAAGAAGCCGTTCTCGAGACTTGGGATCGTGCTCGTCGAGACCGCCATGCTTCTGCGGATGATCAGCCTGCAGTGTGCCTTGGCCATGCAGACAGCAACTGCCAGGCACTGGCGAATCTTAGACTCAGAGAAAGCTTGAGCTTATCGGACCGAGGGCACGACGGTCATCGTCCGGGACACAATGAGGATCTCACGACGGCCTGGGCCTCGCATTCAATACGTGGTCGCGCGCACACGCACGGTACGTACGTCAACACCCAGGTGGGACGCGAGAACGCCGCGCCGCATGCGCCAGACGTGCAGGGTCAGGATCCCATACAGGCCACGAAGACGTTCGGCGGAACCTGTGCTTCTAGCATATCGATGAAGTCATCCAGCGCGAGCCACTCCAGCCCCGGGACGGCAGTGCCTTCGTGCATAATGCGCACATACTGTTCTCCCGCAGTCGTCTTCCAGACCTGCGCAGATGAACCCGGCCTTGGTCAGCGATCATCGGCACGTTCACTCGCCCACTGTTCCTCACCTCCATGATGATCTCCGATCCCATGGCTGGCCAGCGCAGCGGGGCGACCTTCCCTAAACCTAGCAGAGAAGCGAGTCGAATCATCGACCCATCATGTCCGACATAGAACCTGAGCTTGTGCGTTTCTCCGCCGGAGCGGAACATCTTAAAGTTGTGCGCAAGCTCCATGAAAAACACGCCTGTTACGGAAGTCGCCGCGCACTGGTCAGCCTGGACACCAGGAATCGCCTCAGACGTACAGGAGGAGCGCACCGAACGTAAGCTGTGAGTAAGCGGTCGCGTTTTCCGCCGCATTCCAGATGTAGCTGGGAAGAAGATAGTGTCAGGCAACACTGGAAACAAAGGCACCCGAACGCACTTGTACTCCCAGTCCCCGATGGCGAACACGCGAGCGACGTCTTCCACGGTGGCACATGCACCGGAAGCGTTGCATGGTAGAGCGTGCCCGTGACAAGTCCGTGAGCTGAATGTGTCGAAGAAATGGTCGTCTGGCAGCACGCGTTCGCATCGTCGGGCAGCGGAATACCGCCAGAGGCGACAGATAAGCCCTAGGTCCGGACGAGTCGATGGAAAAAGCTATGCTCACACCAAGAAGTCCAGGCTGTGTTCCCAGTGACACCTAGCATGGTGCAGAGTCGATCTTGTAAGCCCGCGCTCTCCTCGAGATGATCGTTCCACGCGGGCACGGACTGGTATGCGTTGCGGATGCTATTCGCGTTTGGACACGAGTAGTCCGGAACAATCGAATCAATCTGGTGTCCATACGCCTCAGTTCCAGACCTGGCAGTGTAGTAAAATTACAAACCGCAGACGGCTGCGTGAGCACCGGGAACGTCTTGGTGGCCATTGTGGGGTCCATTCCCGTCAGAAGGCCTCCTGCTACTTGGTACGTCCGATCTGCAACCGACGTGCGAATGAAAATATCGTCTTCATTGACGGACTGCAAGAATCCAAGCTTTTGTGCGTATACGGACCAGAAGTCCTGCATACATCGTCAATTTCAACAAGACCCTTGAACGAGGGCTGGAAAAGCGTACTTCGCCATGGTGGATCGCATCCTGAAGTCCTTCATACGTGAGCTGGCCTTCATCACACGTCCCGTTCCAGATCTGAACGAGGAAGGGATGCCAAGGGGGACTGTACGTCTCGTGGAAGATGTGGGTCGTGCCGCCTCCGTGATTGAATTGAAGGAAGCTGGAGCAGTCCCACGGTTCCTGGTTGAGTTCGCCCTCTTCAGGATACAGGTTGTCCGGAGTTCTCTGCCGTATTCATCCCAGCTATCGTGAGCGTGCCGCTATGGGGGCACAGTTACGGGAGGCAACGACCTTCTCCATACCTTGTGGTGGCGAACCATCGCGTTCAAGTATACCAACGTCGCATCCGGGGCATTGCCTGGAACTTCGTAATGGGCCGCGTTGACATGGGGTGCGTTGCAGTAGTTGTAGGTGTTCCAAGGGAGATCCGCGGGGGTGAAAGAGGTATTGTACACTCCCGCAGTAGAGCAGATGCCGTTATAGATGGGTACTTCCGTTAACAGCGCCAATGCCATCTGAGCGGGGAATTGCAGTATGAAGCCTAGCCAGCGCGTCTGAGCCCACTTCATCGTTGACGAGTGCAGGGCGTGAAAAGCTGCGAGGACACTCATGCCACTTGGCTATAAGGCGGATAACTCAAGTTGTCCCCGAACCTGTAATCGGGAATCAGTGGAAGGTAGGTCACCAGGAAAGCAACGTGCGTCGCGGTTCCCAGCAGCTCCCATCGACCCAGAGATTGCATCCGCTGCGACGTCGACGCATATCGCCACATCTGACGAGATTCCTGGACGCCACGACAGCAATCGCACACTGGCGGCTGCGTATGATTTACGTTTAAGGTTGCCCGCGTCCCCCGAACAATATCCCAGGTCCAGGGCGAGCGGGTGGGGAGACGAGGCTTGACAGGAATGTCAATTAAGGTTGTAATCGGCTGCAATTCAGGCTGAGAACTCGGGGCCAGGGGCGAAGGAAGCCAAGTTACTCCCGAATCGAGACGAGTAAAATGAAAGAGCCAGGTGCGCTGGAACTCTGTGTAGCGTTTCCGACGGATTCGGGTTCGGTGTATCAAAATAAGGTAAGTAAGTAGGCCGGTCAGATGCAAGGAGAGAAGCGACCAACAATTCGAAGGCTAGGCCCGGAGTACGATGGTGGCAGCTCGGTACTGACTTACTCAGTACCTCTCTTGACGACCCAAAGAAGTCCTATCCCTGCCAGTTCATCTCAAAGGGGAGAGCAATGGCCAAGTGAGAGTCCGAATTAGGTTGCGGTCCGTGAGTTCGAGCGCTGCCGCACGTTCTGATGTAATAGCGTGAATTTCGAACATACCATTTATAGATGCGCGGAGACCAGGGAGACTAGTTTGTAATCAATGTCGGTCCGCCACCCGCGCTGTTTCCTCTTTCCACTAACCCTCACTGGGTCCCAGGCAGTCTCGAATACGTTGCGCTGGGGGTGCTACAAATACGTAGGTGAATCAACATGGTAGAGATCACCATCCGGAAGCGTCCCAGGACGGAGGCAGTCGTTACGCAACGCAAGTTTTTCAAGAAGACCGCACGCGGGAAGGTGATCAAAGGTTTGATGATTGGTCCGCGCACAAAATCAGTTCTAAAAGCCATGATTAGTCCTTCGCGAACGGTATCTGCGGGACGACGTGGGCTGCGGTATCGATGGCTGCAGCGTCTGCCACGATTTGAAGGACTTCAACCTACCATCTACTGGGTCATTTGACCATGCACAGTTCCGGAATGGTCATTTCGTCCTACCGGACACGAACGTGTTTCTCGCTCAGGTTCGAACATTTCCTGTTTCTTCCTTGTTAGAGAGAGCTTCGGTTTGATTGTGCTATATCGTCCAACGATATTGGAAGAGGTGCAACGGAAGTGACAAATTGGACAAACACGTCCATTCTTCCTCATGATAACATGAACTTGGACAATGTCTTACGCGTACTTTGCAGATGGATTTGATGGAATCGACTCTTTTCAACCCCCCGATCATACTACTGCAAACGGTAATGGAAGAAGTACGGCATCGGTCACTTCCACTCTACAATCGCCTGAAAGCGCTCATCCGAGCTGAAGACAAGCGCATATGGGTTTTCTACAACGAATATCGATCGTGAGCCCCAATAGAACCCGATACATGGGGTGCTCAGCAGTAACACCGCGATGGTCTAGCGAGACTGCCGTTATTCGCGAGGAAGGTGAATCGCCTAACGATAGGAATGACCGGGGTATGTTCCGTTTACATGTCCAGCGGCGTCCGGATATCTCATTCTTATGTCCTCAGGGATTCGCATGGCAACTGCATGGTACAATACTCATCTTGGCCTTGCTCGGCCTCCTATCCGAGGGCAGCCTACGAGGCCGTTGCCAAGTGTTGTCTTGCTTTCGGACGACGTCGCCAACCGTCAGAAAGCAGAGAAAGAAGGAATAGCATGCATCTCAGGTACGTATTTGACAACACCCTGGTTCTGACTTTGAAGACCTACCTTGCGTACAGTGCGTAAGTATGTGGAAGCGCTGAAGGAATCCAGCGAACTCCTCGATCTTCTGTCTGCACCCGGCTCGGACGGAGTGGAGCCAACGAGAGCAGTAGCTGCTAGACAAGCCCTGTATCCCGATGTAGGTGCTGATCGTTTTGAGAAGGAGAGCGTACTGAGGTCTTCACGCAGTACTTGTCGATGTCGACCATGTTAGCAGGGGTCAAATCAGGTCAGCTGCATCAAGGACACTTCAACGCCAATCAATATAATTATCTCGAGGTGCGACTGACGTTGTGATTGCAAATGGACATCTAACAATACTCGTCCAATTATACTAGGGCAGTGTACCGGTGACCGGTTTCGACAAACCGATCCTTCTGATTGGTCGAGAGAATATGAATAGGGCCGTGCAGGGTGACGTTGTGGCAGTCGAGATCTTCGACGAAAAGGAATGGAAGGCGCCTGCGGATGAGGTCGTCGAACAAGAGAGTAAGCCGTCTCTTGCCGTACTCTTCGGTCCAGCTCACAATGGGGTGCTAGCAACATTAAGGAATGACGATGCGGATGAATCCGAAGAAGAGAACAAGGATGAAGAGTCTATCGCCGAGCGTAAGGTTCTGCAGACGGAGCGAGCCAGGCAAGAAGCGTCTGTCCGACAGCCAACGGGACGCGTTGTCGGTATTATCAAACGCAACTGGAGATCGTAAGTCCCCACCCGACAGTGGTATGGGAGGGAGCATCAGAATTCACTTGTTTTTCAGCTATGTCTGCCATATCGACAGCAGCTCCTTGACTTCCTCCAATGCAACGTCACTGTCTCAACAAACGGTATTCGCAACGCCCGTTTCCCGGCTGCTCCCCCGTATACGACTACGTACACGTCAGGCGCCAACCTTGCTCGGCCAGAAGATTCTCGTCACCATAGATCGCTGGGATAGCACATCCCGCTACCCAGAGGGCCACTTCGTGCGTGCGTTGGGTAAGGTTGAGAGCAAAGAGGCCGAGCAAGAAAGTTTGCTACTGGAGTTCGACATCCCATACAGGCCCTTCGGGAAGGCTATTCTTGACTGTTTGCCGCCGGAGGGCGAACAGTGGGTTGTGCCGCCGAAGACCGTTGACAATCCGGTGTGGAGGGACAGAGCGGATTTGAGGGACCTCATCGTCTGCAGTATTGACCCGCCTGGTGCGTTCCATTTACGATATATTCAAGACTTGTGATTGATCAAGACTTTTTTCCAGGCTGCCAGGACATTGACGATGCGCTTCACGCACGTCTACTTCCCACCGGGAACGTCGAAGCTGGTGTCCGTAAGTCTTCTAAGCCTTGCATCGCGCCTTCTCTTAGTTTGACCTCGCATTCCGGGCGCCACATCATCTGCTATTCGTAAAACTCCAAGATATCGCCGACGTGTCCCACTTCGTTCATCCGGACAACCCGATGGACAACGAGGCTGCTGCGCGCGGAACCACGGTGTACCTGGTCGACAAGCGGATAGACATGTTGCCTGCGCTTCTAGGAACGAATCTGTGCTCTCTGCGACCACATGTAGAGCGCCTGGCGTTCTCCGTGATTTGGGTGAGCGGCATCTACATACATAGCCGCCGCCACAGCACCCTCATGCAGACTGCTTTCGCTAATGCAGGAGCTCACGCCGGATGCCGACATTGTCAATGTCCGCTTCGCCAAGTCCGTGATTGCCTCGAAGTCTGCCTTTACGTATGAGGAGGCCCAGATTCGCAAAGATGATCCGTACGTTACCAATCCTCGGAACGGGAAGTAGCAGTTCTGAAGTCTAATACACGTGCCCCACAGGACGCTCACCGATGACTTGACAAAGAGCATCAGGCTGCTCAACTCCCTCGCACAGAAGTTGAAGGCAAAACGGATGGAGGCCGGCGCACTGAATCTCGCCTCGCCAGAAGTCAAGATCCAGCTCGATAGCTCTGAATCTTCGGATCCCATAGACGTAGAGCAAAAAGAGTTGCGAGAGACCAACAGCTTGGTCGAAGAATTCATGCTGCTCGCGAACATCAGTGTAGCACGCAGGATAGAAGAAGCTTTCCCACAGACTGCCGTGTTACGGTCCGTGCTTTCCCATACTAATTCTGCACCTCGTTGATCATTCTGTGCAGACGACACCTGCCTCCACCACGTTCCAATTTCGAAAAGTTGCAAGACATCCTGCAGAAACGCAAGGGCCTGCCTCTTGACGTATCCAGTTCTGGTGCCCTCGCAGATTCACTTGACAGATGCACAGTGAGTTGCATGAACCATCTTTCGAAGAAGCGACACTCAGAAGTGTTCTTGTCAGGACCCCAGCGAACCCGCTTTCAACACCTTGGTGCGAATCATGGCAACGCGTTGCATGCTGTCTGCCGAATACTTCTGTTCGGGAAGCGTTGCCCGTGATACTTTCGGGCACTACGGGCTGGCGAGTCCCATATACACGCACTTCACAAGCCCAATCAGGCGGTACGCCGGTGAGCCGCAGAATCCCGTGATGACATGGGTCATTGCTAACCAGAACATTCGCGCCTGTAGATGTGCTCGTACACCGGCAGCTTTCTGCTGCAATCGGATACTCGACATTGCATGCGACTTTGCATTCAAAAGGACACGTTGAACGAGTTCTCGACGTCGTGAATCGACGTCATAGGATGGCCCAGATGGCAGGCCGTGCCAGCGTCGAGTTTTATGTCGGACTGGCCCTTAAGTCCCGCGGAAAGGGCAAATCAACCACGGAGGAGGCTTTCGTAATCCGCACCTTTAGAAATGGACTGGCGGTGTATGTGTCAACGTGGGTCCACTTCAATGCAGTTAAACTCCGCAGAATACAGTAAGCTTAACCACTGTATCTTGTCTCGCAGATTGGGCCTCGAGGGGCTCGTGACCTTCAAGCGGGAGACTCAGTTCGATTCTGATTCGTACACGATCACCATCCCTTCTACTTCTCCCGTGGGCAACACTACCATTGCAGTGTTCGACAAGGTGGTGGTCGAGATAGAGGTCGAGAAGGACAAGAATACGCAACGTGGTCGGGTGAAGATGACGCTGAAAAGTCCGGTCGATTCTAGTACGTTGTAACTTTCTCATTATCCATACGACTTGTCACATCCGATATTCGTTCGAGTTACGCCCGGCGCCAAGGCTGAAGGGTAATTGCCGGCAGACACATATGCAAAGACCCAGTGACGTGTCTCGTATACGGCACTGCAAAATGTGAGAAACGCGGCGCCGGTAGTTCTGAACTTCTGGCACCTTATCGTATGATCAGCCCTGCCACTCGGATCGCTCTTCTCGTAAGTATGAATGGACAACAGTCGGGGATCAAGAAGTCTCAACGTGGGCCTCAAACCCTCAGCGCGTCTTCTGCATTGCGTGTTGCCATCGTCAATATAGACGGGAATGTCTATGCGTTA